TCGAAGGGAAACAGTTGGTTATTTTCAAAGGTATTGACAAAATGGAGAGGGTCGTAACACGTAAACTAATTGAGAAGACAATGATGCTGGCATGGTTTGAACTGAACAAGGAGTGTGAATTTGCTAGAACGCTTACCTATGTTCAGATTCCAAATTATTTTACCTACGTAAAAAGTGAAAAACGCTGGAAACGTAGAAAGAGAGGATTCAGCATTGGAAGAATCAATTACGCACCAAGGAAGATTGAAGATGCTTACTATTTGAGAATGCTGTTAAACGTCGTGAGAGGTCCAAGATCGTTTGAGGAGATAAAGACCTATAATGGTGTGTTGTACCCTGAATTTAAAGATGCCTGTTACGCTAGGGGCCTGCTAGAGGATGACCAAGAGTATATCGATGATATTTGCAGAAGAAGCTTCACATGTCCTCCATCACAACTTCGCCAGTTGTTTGTCATCATGCTTACTTCAGATAGTCTGATTTCGCCAGATGTAGTTTGGTATGCGTGTTGGGAGTTTCTTTCTGACGACATGGAGATGATTAGAAGAAGGGATCTTAATAGACCAGGTACAATATCTTCACTCTTCATTTCCTTAAGTTTTTTTTATAAAAAAATAGGAATCTATTTACTAAATAGTATTGTCAACGAATTTCAGCACTTACGCTAAGTGACGAAGACAAAAGGGAATATGCTCTCCAGGAGATTGTAAAGTTAGTAAAAAGGAATGGCGCTGACTGGACGAGGTTTAAAAGTATGCCTCAACCACGGGGAGTTACTTATTCAGCTACCGATAATGTTCTAATTTTTGATGAAAAGAGTTATGAAAAAGAGGAGCAGAAAACAAACCACGACAGAGACTTTGCTAAGCTTACTCCTGAACAGAAGAAAGTGTATGAGGAAATAATTGGTTCTGTTTTAGCGAGAAAAGGAGGAGTGTTCTTTGTATATGGCTTTGGTGGAACTGGAAAAACATTTTTGTGGAGGATTTTGTCTTCTGCAATTAGATACAAAGAGATCGTTCTAAATGTAGCTTCAAGTGGTATAGCATCACTACTGTTACAAGGAGGCCGCACGGCTCATTCCAGGTTTGGGATACCTCTGAATCCAGATGAGTTTACTACATGTGTTATGAGCAAAGGTTCTGATCTAGCAAATTTGGTCAAAGAGTCGTCTCTTATTATATGGGACGAGGCTCCTATGATGAGTAGGCATTGTTTCGAGTCTTTGGATCGAAGTCTTTCAGACATTATTGGTAATAAAGATGGAAAGCCGTTCGGAGGTAAAGTAATTGTGTTTGGAGGTGATTTCAGACAAGTTCTTCCAGTAATACCTGGTGGTGGTAGGGCACAAATAGTAGGAGCCTCGCTTAACTCATCTTATCTTTGGAAACACTGCAAAGTTTTAAAACTGACAAAGAACATGAGGCTCTTATCTGGTAATCTGAGTGAAGAAGAAGCAAGAGACCTAAAGGAATTTTCAGAGTGGATACTCGATGTTGGTAATGGAAGAATAGCGGAACCTAATGATGGTGAAGCTGAGATCGAAATTCCTGAGGAATTCCTTATAATGGATGAAGAGGAGCCTATTGAATCTATAAGCAGGAAGATCTATGGAAATTCCGAGGCTCTGCAGGACAACACGGATCCAAACTTTTTCCAAGGAAGAGCAATTCTTTGTCCTACGAACGAAGATGTCGACAAGATAAACCAGCACATGCTAGACAAATTGAATGGTTAGTCAGTTTCCTCAGTTTCTACTATTTTACGATTTGTAACTAACCTAAATTGATATCTATCAGGAGAGGAACGAATTTATCTCAGCTGTGATACCTTGGATCCTTCAGACTCTTCTTCTATGAATGACGAGGCTCTAAGCACGGAATTCTTAAACAGCATCAGAGTTGCTGGCTTACCTAACCACAGTTTGAGACTGAAGGTTGGGTGTCCGGTGATGTTGCTAAGGAATATTGATCCAATAGGAGGTCTAATGAATGGAACAAGGCTGCAAATTACTCAACTAGCTGACTTTATGGTAGAAGCTAAGGTTATTACCGGAGACAAGATTGGAGCGAAAGTTATCATTCCTCGACTCACCATTACACCATCAGATGCGAGGCTTCCATTCAAAATGAGAAGAAGACAATTGCCTCTATCTGTTGCTTTTGCCATAACTATTAACAAGAGCCAAGGCCAGTCCCTGTCAGAGGTTGGAATTTACTTGCCAAGACCCGTTTTCTCTCACGGACAACTCTATGTTGCTATCTCCAGGGTTACGTCGAAAAAAGGATTGAAGATTTTGATCGTGGATAACAAGGGCAAGCCACAGAAGAAGACAACGAATGTTGTCTTCAAAGAAATTTTCCAGAATCTCTAACCATGGTCTTCTGTAGAAGATCCTATTCGAAGAGGTTTTAATTTGTTATGCTTCTAGAGATCTTATGTAGAATAACTCATTCATATCGAATGAGTCACACCGAAACTATTTTTCATGAATTTTCTATCTGTAGAAGATTGAACTACATGATATCATTTTTTATTTTTACCAAAGATATTGCGATGATGATGAACGAACACATAAACGATCAACCAGATTTTAAAATATCTAATTCTTTATTCAGAAAACTATATAAGATCGAATACTCAATATAAGCACTTAGTTGAAAAAGCCGTTCACTATTTCTAGCCCATTCAAACTACGTAATTCGATTAAACGATGACAGTTAATATCAAGCCCAAACTCAATGCTTACCTTACGTGATGTCTGAACTGAATCCTGTAAACGGTTAGTTAAGGTTCGTTTCTTCAAAATGCAACACACAAACAATTTTTCAAAAGAGTCATTAATATTTCCCACATAAATTAAGTATCTATATAGTAATATTGCAAAGAATATGACGTCAATCTACACTAAAATCCGAATCTAGACTTTCAGTAAATTAAATACCGGATTCTACGGTATAGTCAAACACGGAAGTTATATTTATATTAAATGCGGTCAAAAAAAAAATCTCAACAAAATCTAATTATATTGTATTCTCGGAAAATCTCATTGCTACATAAAGATCATTACCCTTATATAAATATTCTTCCATCTTAACTCAAACCATCACAATCTCCTAAAATAATAGATCTCGAAAATTTTCCAATGTTGAACGACGTTAAACTCGCACGAGTGGGACCAAACCGTCACGATTCGAGGATTACTGTTAAAGTGTTAAAGATCTGGGATACAATTCATGTCGACACCGGTGAAGGGCTCAGTTTCCTCTTTCTCGATGACGAGGTTACTGTTACAGTTTCAAAGTAATTTTATTTTGAAACTAATTTTACATGATACGAATGGATTTCTTAATTTATTTTCACAATTGCAACAGGGAACGAAGATGCATGCATTGGTGGAAAGAAAAGATCAGCATAGGAGATTTAGGAGACTACTTCATGAAGAAGAGTGGAAGACCATATCTGGTTTCCAAGTTCGTACATTTACTCCATGGATTCGTTTGACCAAACAAAGGAAAGAGATTTTCCTCACTTCTGAGACACAAGTTGATGATGCTGACGCCTTTGATGGTTTTATTCCGTTGGATCTAATTCCATTTGGAGATGTTATGCGTTTGGAGTTCATGCTGGAACTGTTTATCTTAGAGGTTATTTCCAACTATATATCTTTAATTTGTACTAAATCATCCCTGTGAATAAACTTATTTTGTTTTGAAGTTACATATTCTGCTTAATCGGAAGTTTCATGTTTTTTAATTGTAACAGACTTCATAGGCCAAATATTATTTTCTCATGAGTTGGGTGTCATCAAAGATCGTTCTCTTCCTAGGAACAGATTGAACCTTTACGAGAAATATACCAGCAAGATTGACTTTGTGATGCGGGACAACGTGTAAGTTTATATCTACTATATTCCTAATCTCTTTAAAATTAATTACTGGACTATGTAGTATTTATCTGAGACACACTTTTTTATTTGATTTTAGTGGCAATAGATTAAACGTTCGTGTAAAGGGACAGTTAGCAGATAAATTCAAACTCTTCTGGCTTTGTTACGCCAACTGTGGAACAAATATTGTTCTGTTAACTGACTGGCGTGTTGTTGGAAATGATGGTAAGCTCATTCGTGTTGTTATAGTAATATTCTGTAGCAGATTTTCCAATTGTCTTCTTATGTAAACTATATAACATCTTCAATTTTGATTTAATATACAACTAGGTGGTATAAATGTTGAAAGCTCTCCTGGTATCTCTACTTTTGATTTCCATCCCACCGGACACTTAAGGTGGAACATTTCGAGAATACATTGTAAGTTTTATAATTTGAAAGTCCATTCTTGCTAAATGACTTATCTTACATAAGACTCACTAGCCATGATCGATAATTTTTTATATTGTTTTCTTTTTACAGAGAAGCTGAGGTTGATGATAGCGATGATGATTGAGAATCTGAAGACATGGATGTTTAAATCATTATCTTTCCTGCTATCTATGTGTAACTTAACTATGAGAACCATGCTATTGTTATTTAAGTTTACTTTCAAGTTAAGATTAAAGGTTTCAGTTGATCTACTGTTTTCGAAACCACTAAGTCAGAAAATGTTTTTATATAATTTATTCAGGCACAGAAGATACTGATTCAATGTAAATGTCAGTAAAGCAAGATATTGGTCCAATAACAGGGTTTACCTTTATATTCTGGAGAGTCATAAACCAGTATAGGTAACCGTTCCCAAAAGCTGAGTATCTACCTGCCAAAACACATAAAAATGTTCAAGAATTTTAATCCACAGAAGAATACCGGACTGAAAGGATGTATTGAAGACTTATGCTACTCTTAATCAGTTGATATAAAAGTCATGAACAAGGATGTATTGAAGACTGCATATTTACGAAAAGAGTAAAATTTAATTTCCAAGTTCTGTCACCTCTATGAACAGAGGAAAAGCTGCAAATGTTTACTTTCACGTGAAAGGTTCATCTTTTGTGGACTTTGGAAATAGCTGTCTTCCTTATTTTCATTTCCAAACGGTCAGATATATTAAATGTATGAAGAGTATATTTATTTTTCCTAACCGAATAACAATGAAATGGTAACATAATTCGACATCCTATAAATAACTCAGCACTCTGTCTTTTTGTAGAACAGAGAATCACAACAAATCTTCAAATATGGCAACTATATCGAAAATCAACGAACTTTCTCCTCATAGGAATGGTTGGACGATAAGAGTTAGAGTTTTGAAGAAATGGTCTGAGATGATAGATGGAGGTGGTGACATATTGCGTTTTCTTTTGGTAGATGATCACGTAAGTTTATTTATCTTCTTCATTCTTTTTTGTTAACATTTTGATTTATTCGGTATGATAGGAACTGCTATTAGTCGTGTTTTATGTACTTTTAACAATAGAAATTGTTTAATCGATAGGATGGAAAAATACCTGCCAAGGTCAGTCAAGAAAATGGTCTCTATGAGAATTTGATGAACAGCTACACGAGGGCGACTGGAAAATCATCACTGGATTTACCGTAGAGTTGTCACCTCCTGGATTTCGTTTTGCTATGAATCACCATACCATCATCTTCACAGGTAATACTAATCTGCAGAGGTCATGGGGTGTCATCACAGACCATTACATGAGTTTCAAGAACTTCCGGTCCATAATGAATGGAGTATATACTTCCAACTATCCAATTGGTATGTTTTTACTAACCGAGCAATTATTAATGTTTGTGAAAACTTATTATCTTGAAGTAGTAATCAATAGTCATTTCATATTTCATAAAAAAATATATAGATACACTCTAACTATTCTTTGAAATAGATCTCCTAGGCTATCTAGATGGCGTTGGTGAAATAGAAGTTGTGACAGACCACACCTTTACACTAGGTGATAACATGCAAACTTCAAGAGTAACATTCACCATCAAGGATCTTGAGTAAGTATAGTGGATAGAGTTCATGATTTTTTTACCTAGGTTTAAATGAGATTAAGCTGTAAATGCGACTTTTATCATCAACTATATATACTTTCCATCTTTAGAGGTCGCACACTGGAATGTGAAGCCAGGGGAGTTTTGGGTATCCAACTCTACAATAAATGGTGGAGGCATGGTGGAACCGAAACATTCATCACAATGAGTGATTGGATGGTTTACACGGACAGAGGTATTTATCACAGTTGCTTAGGAAGTTTTGCATCTGTATAGATGGAATGTTACATAAGATAGCATCTAGATAGAGTACAATCGACTATCAATGACTAGCTAAGTTTCCAACGTATAGGAACCAACGAGATGAAGATTAAGGATGCTGGAGGAATCTCTAGATTTGAGTTCAATGCCCTTTACCAGGATGTTTATGAGTTCAGGGCAGCATAGTAAGTGATGAATGTTTCAATTAGCATTAGACTCGAAATTTTTCTCTGTAACTAATAAAACAACCTCTGTGCAGTTTTAATGAGAGCGACCCTACAGGGATAGAGAGTGATGGTTCAAGTGTTGAGCTGGATTGGTCTCCCTGAAAAATGTGTTTCACTTGGAGGGAAAATAAGTTGAACTTAAAGTCAACTTAGTGAACTGTTCTAGACCGTGCTTCTATGCTGCCTATATTTAAATAATCTTTGGGGACTGTCGTTTGTTGTGTTTTCGTTGTCGTTTATAGACATTTTTACCTAATTAAATCATCCGTATGGATGTTGTTAAAGTTTTTCTCTTCAATTTTGGCCCATTTTCAACAAAACTGAGTCCATTATCGGAGATATGTTTGATCAGCTTAATAAATGTTTGTCTTTATATTTACTTTTTAACCTGTTATGCGAGTAGAATAAATTTTATTCATTACGAGTATTCAGTTAATTCATACCTTTCCCCTTTGCGTGTTAGACCATAAAGAAAACAGCTTTTCCTGTTTACATAGAGAAGACAAAACTGACAAACATTAGTCAATGCGAATCTATGACTGAAATATTTAGTTTACATAAAAAAATTAAAATCATAACAAATATATTGCTGAAATATTTTGTTTACATAAAAATTAGGAGGCATAACAAAAAAGGGTAAAACCTAATTCTGGAATTATATAAGGGAGATGAATAGCTCTTTATGTATTAGGGTCTAAACGAAAACTTAAGAAAATCTTTCAGAACATGGCTAATTTTACTAGGATCGCCGAGCTTTCTCCTCATCGGAATGATTATATAATAAGAGTGAAGATTTTGAAAAAATGGAAGGAGATGATATTTGGAGGTGGAGACATATTGAGTTTTCTTTTAGTCGATGAACATGTAAGTTTAAGAATTCCTATTGTGTTTTTTTTAGTATAGATAGGTCTAATGTTTTATCCGTTGGCTTACCTGGACTATCAACTAATTCAATTCTACTTTGTCAAATGAAAAGGGTGAAAAAATACCTGCTAAGGTTAGTCCGGAGATTGGCCTCAATGACGATTTCGACTTCAATCTGCACGAAGGCCACTGGATGATTATCTCAGGATTCATCGTTGAGTTAACACCACCTCCTTCACTTTTCTCTGAGAATAATCATACCATCATCTTCACCGAGGATACAGATCTGCATGTGTCAACTGGTGTTCATCAAGACCATTACATGGAGTTCAAGGACTACACAGATATAAAGAATGGAGTATACAACTCGCATCGTCCTATCGGTAAGTGAATACGTCTCTACATTTTTAACTCGTGCAAATGAGACATATTGTATACTACTGTTAGACAAGCACATCTTTAATGGAGTTAGTCACAGACAATTTAACATTATGTTTTCAATGGAAACTAGATCTTATAGGTTATCTGGATGACGTTGAAGAGATAAGAACAGTGAAGGACCACAACTTTAGACTAGCTCCTGGCAAGAAGACTTCTAGAGTCATGTTCACGATAAAGGGCTTAGAGTAAGTGAAGCAAAATTGTCTGTGACTTAATTCAGACTTCTACCCGTTATAATATATTTCGTTTTTTGAGTGTAAACTGTTTTTTAACATATTGAATTTAGTGGTGTAACACTGGAATGCAAAGCTTATGGAGTCTTGGCGGATCAGCTCTATGATAAATGGTGGTATCATGGTACAACAGAAACATTCATCACAATGAGCGACTGGATGGTTTACGGAGAACAAAGTATGCAATCTTTTAATTTCATCATTTCGAAATAGTTACTACAATGAAAGTGAGTCTACAACTTCATTACTTGCGATCAACTGTTAAAATAAATGATAGGAACCGGTGAGCTGAAGATTAAGGACGCAGGAGGAATATCTAGATTTGAGTTCAATGCTGATTATCAGGATGTTTATGATTTCAGCGCTGAATAGTAAGTTAGAAATCTATTTACAATATCTTTACATTCCTTAATTTTTTGTTAACATTAATCGTAACTAATACTAATTATGCTAAACATTTTTTTTTGCAGTTTCAATGACAGTGATGGCTCTGTTGAGGAGGTGGTAGTAGTATCTCCATGAAATACTACTGTGTTAGTATGAATTTCCATAAGAGATTGTCGCCATGTTGTTTTTGAACTATTGACTGTTTCAGTTTATGCTTGATTCACAATTCTATCTATGAACTATCTACTATCATCTTTGAATCTGTTTTCTTCTATCTCCTTCCTATATTTGAATCTGTTCTTCTATAACCATATCTGAGTGATTTTACATGCACTATTTCGTATATGCAATCATCATTATATTAATAGAGTGTCAAATCCCTAAAGACCTAATTTTATGAGTACAAATGATATTATATTAACTGTGACATTAAATCCGAAAAGTTTGGTAAAGAAGATTCGGGAAAATAGCCATAGATATAATCATTGTTACCAGAATTTAAAAATGTTAAAAATATATAAAATTACAAAAAAAAAAGGAAAAAACATTACTTTGCGTCGTTTAGTAATATCAACCGTCCCAATCAAAGACAACCCTAATTTGTTTCCCTATATAAGGAGAGTGTTCTCCGAACTTATGTTCCAGAGTAGAAAACTAAGAACTCCATTTCTAGAAAATATCTTCAATGGCAAACTTCACCAGACTCAACGTGTTGACACCTAACCGTTCTGATTGGAGGGTTTTGGTTAGAGTTGAAAAGATGTGGGATACCTTGGAGGCAGATGTTGGTGAAGGTCTTAAGCTTTCTTTTTGTGGATGAAATGGTTTGTTCTCGATCTATTCATATTCATATTTTCTCATATACAAGTTCTTTATATTCCAAAATCATGTTCCTAACAGGGCACAAAGATGCATGCTTTTGTTGAACAAAGTAATCAGATGAAAAGGTTCAAGAGATGTCTTCATGAAGGGGAATGGAATATTCTAACCGGATTTTCCGTGGTCATGGTGAACACAGAGATCCGTTTGACGGAAGCCAGAAACAAGATTGCTCTCACGTCCAACACCAGCGTCACACCCGCAGAGGACTCGGATGCTTGGATTCCGCTTGACATCGTTCCTTACGATATGTTTCGAATTTTTGGAATGATGAACGAACTTCTTTCCCTAGAGGTTAGTTTTTCTTACTTAACATTTTGTATCATCTAAACGAGGAACCCTATAGGAAAAGTAGCTTTCAATATGTTAATTTTATTTGGCATTTTTTTGTAGACTTTCTAGGGTTTATACTTGAAGTTCGTGAGACAATGCTCAGGGAAGATGTCTCTATTCCTAGGAACCCTTTAAACGATGATCCAAAGACCACTAACACAATAGATTTCACCTTACAGGACAACGAGTAAGTATATTTACACAAAACTAAATTGGAATAAGTTATGTATCGTTTCTGAATTCTAACCTGAAATACATACACTATTTGTGGCTACTTTAGTGGGGATCAAATACAGTGTCGTGTAAAGGGTGCCTTAGCATCTAAGTTTAAACGGTTTTGGCTTTACTATGGTAAAATTGAGACCATCGTATGCCTCTTAACCGATTGGCGGGTTGTAGAAGATGCGGGTAAGTGTATGAAAATTTCCAGTTACATCCTTCCTTGAATAATCTATACTATTAAATATTATTTATCTTGATGGGATGTTATAATTATATGTGTAGATCCAATTCATATCGAAAGTGAAGAAGGAATCTCTAGATTTGAATTCAATCCTATTGGCTTTGATGAGGTTGACCATTTCACTGAGATAATGTAAGTATTCTAATAATGACTCTCTCTGATAACAAGAATTATGAAAAGGCTTAAAACTTGAAAATTACAGCTTAATAAAACTAATGTGTCTATGCAGGTGCTCTTCCTCACAAGACAGCAGCGAAGAAGATGTTGAAGAAATGGAATTTGATTATTTCAATGGCTGTAGAACCGACAACAAAAGTTGATGGACTTCACGATATGCTCAAGCAAAATGTCGGAAGATATTTTAAGATGATGCACGTCGTCTACTTTTCTGTCCATGGTTATTATCTAAGACAACTATGTATTAAACCTTTGTTTCATGTTTGGGAACCTTTTTAAACTTTTCTGGCTTCTATTTAACTATGTTTGATTTGATTTGATCATAGTCTTTTCTAATAACATAACAGTAGGTCACAACTTAAAACGAAACAAACAGAAAAACACGGATTGGAAAGGATTGAAAAACAACAAACATTTACCTTGTGTATTTTGCATCTATTCGAATATGTAATGATTCTCTAGCCGGTTACGTAGATTCCGCAACTTAATGAACTCTCCTTTTCTGAAAATATCCGTATATTCAGTTAATTATCACAAGAAAATATTCAATCTTCAGAAAATCTTCAGGAAATATTTAAGAATCCATGATTAAATGCAACCGTCCACATAAACGCAACCCTAGAAAGAACATCATATATAAGCGGAAAAATTCATCCTATTTCAATCAAAACTCTGTAAAGAAGAAAAGAAACCTAAAAAACAACTTCAATGGCAAACTTTGAGAGACTCGCCATGGTTACACCCAATGGAGATGATTCAATGATTCGAGTGAGAGTTGAGAACGTGTGGTCTACTCTAGATGTCGAGAATGGTGAAGGCCTCAGTTTCCTGGTGGTTGATGATGAGGTTTGTGAATAGTTAACCTATACAGTTAAACATTCAAGTATATTTTAGAGGTAACAAATTTTAATGTTTTAATCTCTTCTCATTTTTGCAAACAGGGCACAAGGATGCATGCATTCGTCCAGCATTTTGCTGATGCCAAGAGATTTAAGAGACTTCTTCAGAAAGGAGACTGGTTCACGATAACTGGTTTCTCAGTTGTTATTGTCCGGAATGAGATTCGTATGACTAAACAAAGAAAAGAGATCGTTCTCAAGCGAAACACAGAAGTTGGTGTTTCAGAATTGTTCAATGGTTTTATTCCGCTAGATTTGGTTCCATTTCAGGATGTTAAGAACGGAACTGTTCACGATGGAACTTCTTACACTAGAGGTTAATTTTCCTTACTAATACTATTGTCAAAGAGCAAAATTTTAAGATTAATTAAAATCCTTTTGTTAAAGTTTGATACTTTGTTTTAAACGGTTTTTGTAGACTTTCTAGGCGTCATATCTTCTGTTTCAGATTTCGGCCTCACAGTGGATGACTCTATGCCTAGAAACATACATAACTATGATCCTAAGACCACCTGTAACATCCAAAACCAAAAATTGGGAATTTCGTCGGTTCAATTTAAGTGATTTGGTTTGGGCCGGTTTAGTGGAGAAAGCCCTAAAATCAAGTTTAAAGAGTGCAGCCGTCTTCTCTTTGGGAATTTTCGAGCTCAAAGGCTGCAGAGGAGAAAAGTGGAGTTTTTGGAGAGATTTTCGAGTTTTACTGTTCATCGGGTTACTGTTCATCGGGGTACTGTTCATCGGGGGTACTGTTCATCGTCGGGATTTCCGCACTGTTCATTGTCTTTCCTTCAGTTTCAATCCATTGTCAAGGTGAGTGCATGACTGTGGGTCCGTGATTTGCTAGATTAGATTTGGTTTGTGGTTGTTCTTGATGAGTTTATGTTTTAATTGTTATTTTTATGATATTTTGGTTGTTTATGTGATGAATTGTGTGTTTGTGTGGTTTAATCTGGTTTAATTGAATTAATTGATTTAATTGGTTTATCTTGGTTTAAATTGATTTAATTCTGGTTAATTGGTGTAATTGAATTAAAATGTTTTAATTCAAATTGTTTAATTTATTTTCGGATTTAATTAATTAATGGTTAATTTAATTAATTAATTGATTTAAAATAATTATTTTAATAATTATTATTTAATTATGAGAATTATTTAATAATTGAGAAATTAGTTTTAATTATTAAGAATTATTTAATAATTGAGAAATTGAGTTTTAATTATTAAAAATTATTTAATAATTGGAAAATGGTATTTAATAATTATTGGAGTTTATAATAATTATTAAATATCTAGTAAATTGCGTAAATGGCTCGTAGGCAGAGTGATTGCCTCACTAAGTATTTATTAAATACTTACGCAACTCCATTCCAATGTGTTGCAGGTAAAAGATTTGTGTGATCGCGGAATCAAGGCTGAAGAGGGGGATGATAGGATGTTTACTGTTTTATTGTTTTGCATTATTTTGCTAGACTTGTTTAATTATTATTTGCTTCCGCTGAGCTGATTTATTTGTTATTGATATTTTATTTATTTAATTTATTTTAAAGACCTTCGCTAGAATTGATTAGTATTTATTTATAAAAAAAAATGTTGGTTGTTTCACCACCAGATCGATTGACTTTGTTCTTGAAGACAACGAGTAAGAATTTGATAACTACTTATTAGATCTTTTCCAAACTAAGAAACGTGATATCTTATATGATTATGAATGTCACAATTTCATGGTTATGCAGTGGAAATCATCTAAACTGTCGTGCAAAGGGGATCTTGGCGGTTCTCTTTAAACGTAATTGGCTATGTTATGGTGAAACCGGAACAAACATATGCCTATTAACCAATTGGCGTGTTGTTGGAAGAGATGGTTAGTAAACTTTGAAAACCTTAAGTTACCTTCATCTTACGCTATAGCATCTCAATATCAACTAGATAATGATCAACCATTACTCTATAAACTACCAGGTCCTATTCAAGTCGAAGATGAAGAAGGGATTTCTACTTTTGAGTATGATCCTCCTGGACACCACGAAGTGGTACATTTCACAAACATATTGTAAGTATTATAATTCGGAAGTACAAAGTTTTTTAGAATGTAGGCTGCTCCTTATGACCATTCTTAGGTTCTGGTTTACTGCAGATTGCACCAAGAAGAGGACCTGAGCGATGAATGATGAGAAGGAGTAATGAAGGAGATAAATCACTGAATCATTCCCATCGAAGTATGAAGATCTTTTCCGTTTAAGTATTTCTTGAGCTTTTGTTTGCAGTTTAGCTATGAGAATCTAGGGATTCTTGCACTTCTAACCCACAATTTGAAGTCAATGGCAAAAGTAACCTGCTGTTTTTTTCATTTTAGCTTTACCCTGTTTTTCCAGATAATAACGAAAATGCCATTACTTTTTTGGCCGGTGGTCTACGGCTGAGGTCTACGTTCCGACCAGAAGACCAACAGAACCTCATCCTCTACACTTATTCACGAAACTGCCACTCTCATCAATGAACTCAACCACCATTTTCAACTAACTTCAAGCTTTTAATGCTTGATACTAGTAATTGTGATACTCCAAACATAATTGCACATCCCATACACTCTAACACTATCATTTTCTCCACATTTTCATCCCAAAAACTCTCTAATTCTACTTTTTCATATTTCAAGTTCTTGATTTTCTCAAAATCGGGTTTGTGGCTTTCCTCACCACCGCCGAACGGTTGTGAAGGCTTAAAGACAAAGTTTCATCCCTCGGCGGCCCTAAAGACGACGGCCAGGTTGTGGTTTACTCCATTTTCGTTTTTTCAGATCTGAGTCGATATCGTAGATCTCAGGGTTAGGTCTATAGGTCAACGCAGAGGTTAGTTTTGCAATTGACTAAGACAAATCTGTGGAGTTAGACCGCGTAGAGAGTTCTACATAATCCCTTTGAAAACAAAAAAAATATCGTAAACCTCAAGCAGAGGTCTATTTTGAAAACAGGTTAGTTTTGCAATTGACCAAGGGAGGGCTTTTTTTTTTGAGGTCTACAGATGAGGTCTATTGGTCAAAGAGGTTAGTTTTGCAATTGACTGAAGTTCTGGTTTTTACCTTAGACCTCTTAATGTGGTCTATAACAACAAATTTTAAGCTGACGTCTACGTCAGAGGTCTACATAGGTTTTAGATCTCAGTCTTAGGTCTACCTTAAAAAGTTGGTCAACGCAAAATAATAGGAGGTCTACGATAGTGGTCTACAGGTGGAAAAAAATTTCAAACAATTGCAAAAGTAACCTGTCTGAGGTCTACAGATTTCGTAGACCTCCCCCAGTAGACCGTATAATTTTCTAGACTACAGGTTGAGGTCTATTTTGTTCGTGAGGTCTACCCAAATTTTTTGGATGAATTGCAAAACTAACCTCTTTTTTTGTAGACCGCATTTGTAGATCTCAAAAAAGTCTTCCCTTGGTCAATTGCAAAACTAACCTTTTTTAGACCTCTTTAGTAGGTTTACGTCTAGATCTGGTTTGGAGGTCTACATTTTTTCCGTTTTTTAAAATCGATTTTCTGCGAAAATTTAAAATTGTTTTTGTTAATTTTTTTCATAAATACTTCTGTTAGCCTAATAACTTGTCCCTATGAGAGTTTTGCATGCTAATGTTATGTAATGAAGGTTGTATTAGATTTTTGGTTAAATTTGGTAACTTGGTTAAACTCTGTAGACCGCAGCCGTGTGTGGAGGTCTAACGTTTCCGTCTACAGGGCATCCATCAATATATATTAATGTGTTTTCCCTTTGGTTTTCATGCAGATCATGGTTTGTTTGGCATCCGTGTATGGAGCGTGGACTATCAGAGACAGAAAATGGTATTTTGAGGTTGATAAAACGAGAGGAGGTAGAATGTTCTACCTGCAGGATGATTGTAAACATGAAGAGCTGGTTGAAATGGTTGTGAACGACTACATGTTGCAAGTTAATGGCGAGCTGCTGGAGTTGTCATATCCATTACCAGCTGCTATGATGGAGAAATTGCCAACGGATTCACCTCCTATGTATGTGACGAACGACAGACAAGTTGGGAGCTTGGTGGAGTTATGTAAGGAGCATGTGGTCCGTCTTTGCGTCTCGACCCGCGTTGGTATGGGAAGGAACTACAACGAACCAATACATGAGTGTGTCCAAGAAGAAAAGTCTGAAGAGGTGGATAAAGAAGACGTGGAAGAAGAATTCGGTGATGAAGGCTGGGATGATAACGAGTCTGATGATGTAAACTGGAATGACAAAGCATGGGATGTAAATTCAGAAGATGAATCTGATGATACTCATGACAATGATAGTGCTGATGATGTCGACAACCCCGACGATATCGATGCAGATTATAGTAAGTATGGCAAGGTGAAAGATGAGGAAGAGGGTGAAGAGAGTTTGTCTTTCCGTGAAAGGCTCCGTAGAGGTGTTTGGAATGGTGGAAATGGAGGGTTCACAGGCACTTGGTGTGACACTATTCTGGTAAATCACAGCTATGCCTCTAAAGAAGCCCTTCTTTCTGAGTTGCGACTGACGGCTGTGATGGCAAGATTCGCATTTAAAGTCTACAAGTCCACTACGGATTTGTTTGTGGCAAAATGTGTTGTCAATGGATGTGCATGGAAGTTGAGAGCAGCTGTGAAGAATGAACCGGATTGCTTCTGGGTTACCAAGTACGTAAAGGGTCACACTTGTTCAATTATGGACCGTGTAGCTCACCGTAGACGAGCTACTCCAAGATATATTGGACAATTGTTTGTGGAGCGGACTGGACTCATAGATGGAATTGTCCCTCGACAAATTGCAGATTCGATGAGGATCATGTTTGGCTGAATCTTACCTATACAACGTCATACCGGGCTCTCAAATTCGCTCAAGTATTTGTCAGGGGAACTCCAGAAGATGGATATGCTAACCTTCCTTCCTACCTTAGAAGACTGAAGCAAGCAAACCCTGGCACTATAACACACCTGCTCTGTGATGAAGAAGATCGCTTCAAGTACTGTTTTGTGGCGTTAGCGGCTTCAACAGCGGGATTTCAGTACTTGAAGAGGGTTATTGTGGTTGATGGAACACACCTTACTGGGAAATACGGAGGCACATTACTCGTGGCATGTGGACAAGATGCAAACTTTCAAGTATTTCCTCTAGCATATGGTGTTGTTGATGCGGAGACTAATGAGTCTTGGGGATGGTTTTTTGATAAATTACAGACTTGTTTCTCACCACATCCGATGGTCATTGTTTCAGACAGAGCATTGTCCATTGAAAATGCTTGTGTGAATGTGCTTCCATGGGTCACTAGAGGAATATGCTACTACCATCTTCAGCAAAATATTATCAAGACATATGGTGGTAAGGAGCTTATGTATCTGGTTAAAGGAGCTGCTTATGCCCACACTCTAGCTGAATATAATCGGTGCATGGACTCACTAAGAGCTGCGCACCCAGAACCTCGCAGCATACATGGAGTTGGCCGACCCTAAGCTTTGGTCTAGAGTACATTTTCCCGGTGATAGGTACAACATCAAGACGAGCAACATTGCTGAATCTATCAACTCGGCTATTAAAAAGGCAAAGGGTTTTCCCATACCCTCTCTACTCCAGTTTATTAGAGAGATGTTAGGGCGGTGGTTCTACAAAAGGCGTGAAGATGCTTTAAGTCTGCAGACACCATACAGCAAGGGAGTTGAGTATATACTGGCCATCCGTGAACATTACGCTCAGTCAATGGATGTTCAGCGAATAGATGCAACTAGTTTCCATGTTGCTTCTGGACGTTCGCACTATCGTAGTTGATCTAGAACAGGGTAAATGTGAGTGTGGAGTGTTCCAAGTCGAGAAAATGCCCTGTACACATGTCCTTGCAGCGCTTGCCTCAGCTGGTGTGCACGTCTCACACCATACATGTGACACATACTCGCAGGAATGCTTGTATGCGACCTACGCCCATCCTATATATCCTGAGGAGGAAATTGACAACCACAAGAAGAAGAGCGAGCGGTGCCGACCTCCAAAACCGAAGGATGGGCCTGGTCGTAAGAAGAAATCAAGATGGCAGTCGTGGCTGGAAATTTCTAGGAAGTCTAAGAAGAAAGGCAAGAGTCGAAGGAAGAAGCCCAAAGTTTACAGCTGCTCCAAATGCAAGCAACCAGGACATACGCGCCCGTATTGTGTAAGCTTCGTGCGTCCCGCATTCCATTAGTTTTCATTACACAACCTCTGTAATTTGTTTGCTCTTCACTAGGTGTCCAAGCCTGCTGAGAAGTAAACTCGGCGGTGATATGATCATGGAGGAGGTTGCTGGGAACTTGGATCAGGAAGCAGCTGGAGAGCTTGAACCAGAGGAGGAGCAGCTTGAACCTGAGGAAGCTCTGGAAGCCTTGGCCTTACCAACTGGTCCCATCACAAGGTCCCAGACTAAGATGCTCAACCAAGACATTGGAAGAGTACTTAGCCGTTTGAGTCGGCATGATCAGGAGCTTAAACATTCCACTTTGGTTTGTTTGAGAGCCCAACACTTGGGATAAAGAAGCAAGTGGACTTTAGTGTGCTCTTTTTCCCTGCCAAGGTTTTGTCCCTTTGGGTTTTACTTGGCAGGTTTTTAACGAGGCCTAAAGCCCACTTCCCATCCCTTCTTTGTCTCATGTTGTTTGGGTCCGGCCCAGGCCCTTTTGTTTTGAATTCTTGCCGCCCAATGCATAAGAACCTTTCATTATTGTTTTGTTTCATTTTCGAGAATGGTTGGAGCTTGTTCCAATCAGTTCTCTCTCTCTCTCTCTTCCTCTCTCCTTTATTTGTACTGGACGAATTTCCCTTTCAGTTTAAGCAACCTTGAATGAAAAACCCTTTTCCTTTGTTTAATCAAAGATCTCTTAGTGTGATTCTAAGAACCCTTTCTCTTGGTGTGTTGAATCCAGGAAATCCCTTTAGTATAGTTGTGAGTTGTATCAACTATCTTAGAGGTGGTGTTGGAGATTCCTTTCCATTGAATCTCTGGTATAGCCATTCAATCCATTCTCATCTATCCCTTACTTTGATCCATTCATCACTTCATCATCTCAATCCATTCCGCCAAGTTCTCTGGTTCCATTCATTCCATCATCAATATTCAACCTCTACTTGCTTCAAAGTGCCGATCCTCAACAAGGGGTCTATCAGGCGGTCTACGAGCGGTCTTCCGGAGGTCTACGAGGCTTTCACGTAGCTTCTCTGGAGGTCTACGAGGCTTTAACGGAAATTCAGTGGAGGTTTACGATGCCTACTAGACGTTATCTCGCGATCTGCTTATACATTCGTGGAGGTCTACGAGATGTTCTCTGGCGGTCTATTATTGCTTTCGTACTATTTGATCATTATTATTGTTTAATACTAAGTGATGATTTCCTTGTTCGAGACAAGCCCTAATACTAAAGACGGATTTCATTTCATTGCTTAATGCGAGTCCGAATAGATACATCCGAAATAGTTATACAAAAGGTGAGATCAATGTTGTCAAGAGGGGCCTCAAAAAAATATAAACCCTCCCTTTCACCGTTAGTAGAGGGGCACAATAAAATTAACCCACCCTGAAGCCGTTACTAAAGTTAGATCAGCATCTCCCGTCGAAAGGATCAAGACCGTCCCAGTCACGGATCCTCGGTCCCTTGCAATCGGTCTCCTTGAAAATGTCACAAGCATACCTACTCCGAATTGCCTTGACGTTCTTGTTGCACAGTGAAGAGGCTGAAAAATCGTTTCCAGTTGCGTGACACTCGATGTATTTCAGACAGTAGACACCGCAATCCCCGGGACCCTTTTGCTCCGGCACACCAGCAACCCGTTCGTGAGTAAATTTATCGAACGGATAGTTGTCACGTTCTTCCACCAGTGCCATCTCGCGTAACATGTACGCCATCATCACAGCCACGGGTTCCACCTCCGTCGCCAGTTCTTCATCGTCCATACGGCAGGGATAACTATCCCAGATCGTGATGTGCCTCTTCGGTAAGGAGATGAATAGAGCAACCCAGTGGTTCTTCCCAATGTTAAACGGGAGATATAGGTCGTCAATGTCCCTGCACCATCGTTTATTCGTCTGGCAGAATTCTGGTTTCGTGCCTTGGAAGTAGTCAAGTGAGTCAGGTGGGAGGTACTTCCCAAGTCCAAAGACATTAGGCTCAGACTTCTTGAAATCGTCATACTTTGCCGTCCAAAACAGACTAAGACCACTATCGATGAGACAAAGCCTGTCACTTCTAAAGCTGTGCGGTTGTTCTTTCATTCTGAGCCGCAGCAGATTGATGACCGCGTCCATGTGCTGATGAAAAGAAAAAGATTGAATATTGCATTACAATTACACTAAACCTCAATATGCGGTCTACAAAAGAGAATTATGACAGAGGTCTACTCATGCGGTCTAAACATAGACCTCTCTAAATGGTGTACTAATGCTTACCGAGTCCGATAGCCATTGCGGCTGCGTAATGAGTTCCCACCACCAATACCACACGGGAAACTTATCCTTGTCAAGCTTTGGATACCCACTAAAGCAAAAGTGTGTAATTAGTATACTAATCACAATAATCGGAATTATAAAGAAGTTTTCCAGAGGGTTACTTACGCTGTAGACTTCAGGAACGCCGTTAGTTCCTTCCGAACATTCTTGTCTTCGGGCAGATACGGATTGTAGACCGCTAAGCGCTGCTTCTTGTTACGTATGAGCTCCTTAACCGTAACGTTTCCCACGAACGGAGACTTTTGAGATGGGGCCAGTTTCCTTTCCCTCTGATCCTTAGCCCTGATACTCATTAGTTTCGCGTTGAACTTTCGCTGATTCTTCCTGATGTCTGCTAGGCATTCTTCTTTGCTTGGCACATAGGTCTTAACATATGCGACGCTGCTGTCGTCCCGGTTAGCACTGTTTGATGGACCGGCGTTTTGGTTCTGCATTTGAGGACAATTTGAGTTTGAAAAACAATTCAGACCACAACAAATAGGCACAAACACTCTCGGAACATTTATTGTAAGTCAAGTAAACAGGTTCATTAAAATTACACACATGATTTGCAAGGAAAGAAAAACGTGACAAGTTTGTGTTTATAGATTGAAAAAAACAACGGATTGGGCTCTACTTGGTCTTCAATTTTCTAGGTCGAAGGACCCTATCCTGGTCAGGCTTAAGTTGCACTTTACGCTTAACTTGCACTTTACGCTTATCTTGCACTTTAGAAGAGTTGGGAGATTTGGGAGAGGGATCAGTACTAACCGGTTGAGCAGTTTTAGCTTCTTTGGCGCCGGTCACATCTTCTTTGGCGCCGGTCTCATCTTCTTTGGCGCCGGTTTCATCTTTTTTGGGAGAGGGATCGTCGGATCTACGCTGCTCCTGAAGCCTTACATCCATCAGCTGCTTCACACTACGCTCCAGACCAGCAACTGTCGAGGTAAGTGCAGCTAGTTGCCGGTCATACATCTGGAACCCTGCCTTCAGATCAGCAGACAAGGTCCGGGTGCAGTCAGAAATCAACCTCTGCATCGTCTCCTCGATATCATCATAGTTCGATGGAGGAGTAGGACGAGGTCTCTTCTTCGAATCTGTGAAACTAGCCTCCACTTTTATTGGAGGCTTCACGTCCACTCGCGGGTGATTGGAGACCAAGACACCTTCCTCGTCCCAGTCGCTTGGCTTCCACCTCCACCGACCACCTAACTCCCCGTAGATTGCCTTGATGAGGTTGTCGACGTACAAATCTTCTACATCATCATCCCAGCGTGGATAAACTTCTTCCCTATCGACTAGCTCACAGTTTTTAAAAACAACCTGCAAAAACAAAACAAAATGAGTCCAGGTCTATCTACTAACTACTACTTGCCAGCAAGTACTCGATTCTCAGATTTATGTTTACCTGCTTCAGCATTGCCTCCGCGATGTACCTTTTGCCTTGAATACCCTTGTACGCAAGGAGCGGTGGTGATGGTTTAGATGGCAGAGGAGCACCGTATTTCTCTGCAAAATTCGGCATGCTCTCAAAAGCCCAAATTTGGAGAACCTCGATGAAACCCTCCAGCACATAACCCGACTTCTCCAAATCCACTCCTTTAATGGACTTGATGAGCTGCAAGAAACAAACTCGGCCCCACGGGTATTCCTCAAACTTCTCCAAATCCAACACAAGCCTAGCTAGCTTGACAGGTGTCTCGGCAGCGGATCTACGGGCTTGAATGAAGCCTGCGTATATGGCTAGGTAGCCCAATCTAAGCTTATCCTCCCTTGGCCACTCGCCTGCCCACTCACAAGCTTCAGCCAGCTGGTCAATGCTAGGCCCTACCTCGACGTTGACACCCAACCTCTCCCAGAACTCGCACACGGCATCCGTTGCTGGAGCATCAGGTGTCTCTAGGTTCTCAACATACTCGCAGTTGAGGCCGGTGATGGCTGAGAACTCGTGCAATGAGAATCTTATCGGATTTGCCCCCACAGCGCTCCATATCTCATACTTCTTCTTGCATACAACCTGGAAACAGAGCATGGCATGCGCAATCCGTGAAGCCCACTCGAATTGAAGGTCACGGAACTTTAGGAAGATACCAATCCTGGAGTCACTGATTTCATTCCATTCGTCGTCGGTGAGGAGCTTTCGGAGACTATCGAAGAGCTTGGTGTTCTTGCTACACCTGGAAATGCTTTTCCCTGCGTCCGGATCGCCTCCTTTGGTGTAGAATCTCCTGGGGAATGTCGGCTTTGACATCCTACAAAAAGAGTAGAAGCTATTAAGTCCAATCAGTTGAGGTCTACCAAGGAGGTCTAAGCTCGAGGTCTACATTTACTTATCAACTACAGTCTAAGTATGATGGCTATGACTGAGGGCTATCACTGAGGGCTACGACAGCGGTCTACAATACAACATTAAAAAACGGTTTTAAGATACCTGTTGTTCGCGAAATCCCAACGCCTAACGCCAACGAAGATCTGGAAACCTGATACAGTTTTTTAAACAGAAGGAGTATTACCATATCGAGTTTCGTAATAATAGCAATTTTTCAATCAAAATTACCCGTGAAATCAATGTCGGAAACGAGACTTACGGGGTGAAGTATTAAGGATTAGACCGCGGCGGAGTAAGGAGTAAGGATTACGGATTAAACCACCACATGCAAAGGCCAAAGAACTCTCAGTGGGAAATAAACTTAAAGTAGTTAGAATTTCACTAGAATGAAGAACTTACCGGCGGCAGCGGGTTCTGTAAGCGGCGGAGACAGCGGGTTGTGTAATCGGCGGAGACAGCGGGTTGTGTAATCGGCGGAGACGGCGGTTGTGTATTCGGCGGAGACAACGAAATCGCCTCTAGCGGAGAGCGAAAGGTCAGACACAGATTAGGGTTACGAATGAGGCTTACCACAGCGGTTTTCCGTATATATATGTCGGTTAAATGGTTTAACTTGGTTTTCTTCGGTTCGAATTAACTGAATCGGTTTAACTATACTCGACTAATTTTTCCATTCGATTTGGGTTTATCTTTTCTGATTTCTTAGTGTTTACGGTTAAATTACGGTTTCCTCTTTTCATATAACTTTATTCCCAACTTTATAGTCCTAACGGTTAAATTAGTGTTTAGAGGTCTCAATCACAGTGTATACGTTTGAGGTCTACGTTTGAGGTCTACGTCTGAGGTTTACGTATGAGGTCTATTTGGAGTTCTACGTAAGAGGTCTCTGATTAGGAATACGATGATTTGCAATACGCACAACCAAATTAAGTGTTTCAACCCGAATAGCTACATTCATCAACCAAACACAACATAGCTACATTCAACAACCAAACACAAAGTAGCTAATGAGACAGACAAGCACGGCAATTACAGTAACCGCCGTCGTCACCTCGACTCTTCTTAAACGCTTCATCTTCAGAACTTGGTTCTTCACATCAGTTAACTCTGCCTCAGTCCGAAGCAAGGTTTCGCGTTCTTCAGATTCAGGTTGGCGAAAGCCAAAACGAGGGTTGTCGACGGCCCATTTGAGTTGTAGAAACTCCTCCATCATAGCCTCGTCCCACCATTTCATAAGATGTGGGAAACCAAGCTACAATGATGAAAAAAACGAATCTCTTCAATATTTTTGGTAAAACAAAGCCACATAAGATGTCGAAAACTATTTACAGTTAACATTACCTTATAATTCTTGCATCCAAAAAACATCCGCCCTGGATGCTCGTCCGTATGGTCCATCATTTTCAGCGGAGTTAACAAACCGCAGTAGCATCTGCTCGGTATTCCATAGCTTATATCTCGACTGGTATGAGAACTCACATCTTCTTCGTCCTTACTAACTACCCTAGCAGAGCTTCGAGTAGCCAGCTGGTCAGAGCTACTCGAACCCTCCGTTAACCAGCTAAAGCGCCCCATTCCTGTGTACGATGAGAAGATATCAGTTATTTTAAAAAACAGTAATTATTCAATGACCAGATCTCACCCACAAAATGAAATAGAAGCAAACCTAACCAATACGATCGCCGGAACACTTGATACTGTCGACGGCGGCAAAGAAGACGGATGAGAACAGCGGCCGGAGGATGAGCGGCGGAAGGATGAGCGGCGGAAGCCAAATAATTTATTTCTAGAAAATTTAAAATTAGGGTTTACATCTCTATTTATACACCCGAGGGAGCTGCGGTCTAGTACTGCGGTCTAAGATATTTGAAATTTTGGTTCGCGCTCATAATTCCCGCTCGGTTCTTTTAAAAATTTTGAAATTCCCGCATTTGTTTGTTTTCGCGGTCTACAACTGAGGTCTACATAACCCTAAACCACAAATTTTATAAAAAACATGAACCAAATATCAAATTTTGTTTGCCATTTACAATATTTATGGTTTGGATAACAAAACAATTAAATATAGACAAAAAAAACCAACCAAAAACAAAAATACAAATTGAAACTATCTAAACCCTAAGAATTGGACAACTAAACCCTAAACTATCTATCCAAACTCTTATCAATTTGAAACATTTACTCATGACATTTATAGACTGATTCATTTTTCGTATAATTTATTTTCAATAGATGTCAAATGTATAAGAATTAATTATGCATACAAGTTTTTTATCAAATTATTTTTTATCAATTTTAAAAATTATTTTTAAGATTTCATTTTCCTGTAGACCTCGTTGTTAGACCTCTCACGGTTTTGCAAGTTTCTAACCTAATTTGTTTTTGTCAACCTAAATTCACTTATTAACATGTATGTTTATTTTATATGGACTCTAATTGTCTTTGTCTTGTTTATGAATACAAATTTTTCATCTAAATATTTTCTATTTATTTTATAAATTAAAAGTTTCATTTAATTAAACCGTAGACCTCATCCGTAGACCTCTTACGTTTTTACAGCTTTCCAAACTAATTTGCCTATGTTAGTTTAATTTGACTCATTTGTATGCAATTATAATTTTCCAAGATGCAAATTACTATTTGTGATTTATGTATGCAAATGGTTCATCAAAATATTTTTTTTGTTTTTCCCAATTAAAATATAAAATTAAAATACAAGGTAGACCGACTATAAAAGTCTATATGTAGACAGCAAGCGTAGACCTACGCTCCGGGTTAATTTGGTAATCGCGGCAAATTTTTTTTGTTTGTTCATGAGGGTGACCTTTGTAATTTCGCTACCCAAACAGGTTAGTTTTGCAATACTTTCAAGTTTCGGGTTATGGTTATAGAAAAAAGCAAATTTCGGGTTATATGTGGAAATTCTCCCGAGAATCTAAATATGCACCTTTCATTTCAACTATGGTTTTAAAATATCCTATGTTCTTCAAACGTTGTGAACTTTGTTAGTCTATGAGAATGATGTTTTAAAACTTTTTTCCATTTTTGAGAACTACCTATATATTGTGATTGTATTTACGTTTGTCTTAATTTGTTCTTAGTTTATGCAAATAACTTAACAACGAAATTGTTAATCTAACGGAGAAATCAAGTTTCCCTTATGGTAACAAATTCAAATCACAACTAAAAACCTAAAATAATTCTAACGGATACCACAGAGATACGAAAAGGTGTCCAAGAAAAATATTTACCTGAGTATTTTGCAGTGAAGTTTTTTGGTATTCAACAGCAATGTCTTCTCCTTTTCAATCCGTGCTTCACTCATGATCGCTCAGCCCGTCAAACATACAACCAAGTAATGTGATTAAGAAATGTTAAATAAATTCACCATTATGACGGGATTGAATCTTATTTGTGTTATCTGATCTAGGAGGCAAGTAAAAATCGAAGTCTTGCTACAGGGAAGGAAATTGCGAGAGCTTAGAGGTTTACCTGACCTACAGAACGGAGACGCAAGGGCACAGTCCCGTCAGCTGCAGAGATCGATTTTGCTGGGTTCTTTTGAGTAGAGCATAGGATTTTCACGAACATTGAAAAGATCTGGATTAGGTCAGACCACAAAAATGTTTGAGATTGATCGATTGAGATTTCGTCAATTGGAGAATTTCAGTAACAGAAGAAGATGAAGAAGACGAGCGGAGAAGTGTTAACGCGAGGAGCATAAAGGAAAAAGAAGAAGATGAAGGAGACGACCGGATTTTTGTCGAAAGAGAAGATGTTGCGACGATATCGCGAAACAAAGAATCGGCAAGAAATGGTAACGGCGATTGTCGGCTCAATTACAAATTGTAAAGTAAATCAGTCGGTTAAGCTAAACCGAACAAAATTGAATTCAATCGCTCGGTTTACCTGAATTGAACCAAATCAATTTCTGGTCATCATCTATACTATTAAATCTATACTATTAAACTTAAGAATATACCCAAAATATCTATACTATTAAACTTAAGAATATACCCAAATTAAGGAGTTATAATTTAAGAGTATTGATTTTCTTTTATGATTTCTGCAACTGAATTAACTTTTGGAACAAATGGAAATAATAAATAGGGGTTATCAAATTTGAAATATTAATTCTATACTTATAACTCACCAAATCAAACCCGCAAAACCATACATTATGAAACCAAGCAAAACGGTAAATCTTTAAACCGAATGAGATATACGTATATAACCAAAATATAACTCACCAAATGAAACTGTGCAAACCCCGTAAAACAACATATCTGTATGTTATACTGTCAAAACATATTGAAGGCGGTTTGAGCAAGACTGCCTCAGAGTCAGTATCTTGCATGAAAATATAACAAACTTTTATTTAAATAATTACCGTATCAATATTATAAAAACATTTACAAAAAACTTTTCATCCCGTGCTTCCCAAGCACGGGTCAGGATCTAGTTTTATATTATTAAAAATATACATATACTACTATAAAAAAAAACCAATTTTTTAAGACTTCGCTTTATATTTCATGTTTATATTACATATATGTAGTATACAATTATTACATATATATACCTCTACAATTTTAAAATTTTATGAAAACCGATCTGTATAATCAGACTTTAAAATCGAGACACATACCTGAATGGAGTCTTTGACTGATTCACTTTTCACTTCATGTCCAAATCTAATTAATTATAGATATTTTAACCAGAATTCCAATGGAGACACATACCTGGATTTTTTTCACGGAGCGTCAACCTCAAATTGTAGAAACTTTAGGTTTTTAATTTATTTGAAAATCTCATGGATCTAATCACAACATCACTAAACAAAAAATAATATAAATTTTAAGAATGTAAAATAATTTATTTGACCACTGATAACATCAACAACAATGAATATGAAAACATAAGATACTTATCTACACTTACTTTTATGAATGGTTAACGAAATTAGAGTTTTTGATTTGACTAAAATTTCTGGTATACAAGGTACGGCCGTCAAGACTTTATCATGATAGAGCGAATAGTGAACCTTATATAGAGTTACAATTAACCTAAAAAGATTGAATCTACTAAAACGCATCGTATAGAAAATGAAATATCGAAAAGATTTAACGGCCTATAAACAACATGTGTTAATATTTTAACATTAATTATAAAAGAATACATACCCAAAAAAGTTTTGAAAAGTTGATGATACATTTTATTTTTTCAAAATCCTTTATAAATTAATAATATTAGAATTTTACAAAACATTATTTAATCAATATTTTATATTTGTTATATTATAAAATATAATTTTTAAACCTATCAATTTTTTTAATAATCTCTCAAATCTAGATAAATATGTAAAAATAACATACACAAACTTGACGTTGTGACTAACAATCTCACTATCATCAAAAACAAGATGTTAATAACATGGAAGTCTATTTTGTTGAAAATGATACAATGAAAAAAATCAAAAACATTAAAAAAAATTATGGCTACTATATATTTATATTGATGATTATGTTGTAAACGATGTTACTATGTATTTATATTGATGATTAAATTGTAATAATATATATTAGATGTGATGATTGAATATTTTCTTACAATTTTTAGATGTAGATTACGAAATCTCCAATATTGTAGTTGTTTATAGAATTAAGAAAAAATATATAGATGAGCACTATTAGAATTCATCTTTAAAACACATTACTATAAATCATTATTTTGAATTATTTTAGAGTTGAAATTGAAACCACTACTATACAAAACAATTCACAAATTTGAATATACACAAACAAATATTGGATTTCATTTAACAATTCTTATTTTATTTGACTTTTATGTAAACTATAAAAAAACGTTATTTTGATTTTTTGTTTTTTTTTTTGTCAATAACCTCTATTTCTAAAACAGCTCAGAAATCCAAGCTGGGGAAACAGAGTTTACATAATACACATCAGTAGGTAGAGTTCGAGCACTATGTGCTAACTTATCCGCCTTGATATTTTCTTTTCTTGGTATTTGCATGATAGAAAAAGAGGTAAACCTCCTCTTACACCTGTCCGTGCTAACGTTATTTTGAATTATTTTACTGATAAAACATATACGACCACAAATTTAAATATGGAGAGAATATATTTATTACAGATAGCTTTTAAGAATTCCAAATTAAGTTTAAAAAATTCTTCGACTTTATTATCAGAGGAAATTTCAAAACTATATTTTTTTTTAGATATCAGTTTTCAAAACTATAACTCTACAATGTCTATTTTCAAAATTACAGTTTTTTATTGTGTAAAAAAATTCTAAATCAGAAAAAATGTATTTTTCAAAATTACCACACTCAAAGTCTAGTTTTGAAAATTTACACTAAAAGAGATGTATTTCTTAAAATTTCTTATGTTATCTTGTTCTAAAAGAAATCACCTCTAAGTCAAAATAATAATAAAAAAGTCACGACAAATCAAGAAACAAAAATTCGAAATTTGCATAATAAAGAAACATGTCACAAATGTTTTGAAAATATTATAGCAAAAGTTCCTCTCTTTATTCTTTCCAATTCCCAACAACTCTCACACACCCCCCATCAGATAATAAGAACACTTATAACTGACTTAGACGTTGAATTTTCAGCCCAATTTTTTGTTCTTAAGCTTTGACGCCGAGCCTTGCTTTGAGCTCATCCGCAACCGCATCGATGAACTCTTCCGTGTTCAGGTAAGTGTCCCTCGAAAGCCTGCAAGGAAAAAGCAACAACAAACGTAAATCAAAACACTGAATAAAGGAAGTAGAAGAGAAGAAGAAGAAGAAGAAACTTGTTGACATACTTTGAGCCGTGAATGATGAGTGCAAGATCTTTGGTCATTTTGCCAGACTCAACTGTACCAACACAAGCAGCTTCGAGCTTCTCGGTGAAGTCCAGGAGTTTCGAGTTGTCATCGAGCTTGGCCCTGTGTGCAAGCCCACGAGTCCAAGCAAAGATGGAGGCAATGCTGTTTGTGCTCGTCTCACCACCTTTCTGATGAACCCTGAAGTGACGAGTCACCGTTCCATGAGCTGCTTCCGCTTCAATCGTCTTCCCATCGGGACACACCTAAAGTCAAGAACCGATAACACAAACCATTGTAAATGCAGAAACTTGGAATTTTAATATCTCAAGCTAAGAAATTGTGAGAATTACCAGAACCGATGTCATCAATCCGAGTGAGCCGAACCCTTGAGCCAAGAAATCACTTTGGACATCACCATCGTAGTTCTTGCATGCCCACACGTAGCCTCCTTCGCTCTTAAGAGCGTAAGCAACCATATCATCGATGAGACGGTGCTCATACCTAACAAAATTTATATCATTTAGATTCAAAGGTGTAACATACATCAGGCACTGTGTATGAAAAAGCTAAGAGACGAGACGACTCACCAGATTCCAGCAGCATCATACTTTGATTTCCAGCTAGCTTCATAGACTTCTTGGAAGATGTCTTTGAATCTTCATATTAAAAACAAAAAAATTGGAACCAATATCAGATGTGGACAGAGACTTCTCAGGTAAAATAACCCAAAAACTAGCTGTTACGCTACATACCTGCCATCGTATTTCTTAAGAATGGTGTTCTTGGTGCTAAGATAAAGTGGCCACTTCTTCTCATAAGCAGTGTTCATCGATGCATCAGCAAAAGCACGAATGGACTGTATTACAAAAAGGAGAAAACAAAATAAACTTGAATTAGAGGCTAGTCTCCAAAAGAACAAGTAATTTTCACTGTAACTGAAAGAGAAGGTACCTCATCAGTGTTGTACATGGCCATAGCAACACCACCTTCACCGGTAAAGGTAAAGACTTCAGTTTCAGTCTTCCCATCTTTTCCCTCTGAAAATTAAAGATTTTATGAGTGCCTGATGAATCAAAATGATGCAATGCCAACCCCAAATGAGATGATAAACCAATGAAAAGCTAGTAAATTTACCAAAAACCATAGTCAGTTTTCCTGGTCCCTTGATCACAGCATCAGTTGCACGATACTGATCACCGAAAGCATGTCTTCCGATGCAGATGGGCTTTGTCCAGCCTATAGAAAACAAGACATACTCTCAGAAAACCCTCTCCAAAACAATAGTTTAATGCGACTAAGGCTAAAACATTGTCAATAATTTACCTGGGACAAGCTTGGGAACATTTTTGCAAATGATTGGTTCTCTAAATACAGTTCCTGAGAGAAAGACAAACACATAGTAATGAAACAGAGTGATATTGGATAGGCTTCAAACATACAATTTGTGTATTATTCCTTACCATTCAGAATATTCCTGATGGTTCCATTTGGACTCCTCCACATCTGCTTCAAGCCAAATTCCGTGACACGGCCTTCATCTGGAAATGAGAAAAAAAGTTCAATAGTAAGTCAAATGAAAACACTTGATCAATTTGCAAACTCATCTATCAACACAGTACCTGGAGTGATGGTGGCACACTTGATCGCCACATTATACTTTTTGGTGGCTTCAGCACTCTCAACAGTAACTTTGTCATCCGTAGCATCACGGTGAGGAAGTCCAAGGTCGAAGTACTTGATATCCAACTCCACGAAAGGGGTAATAAGCTGAAGAACAAACGAATTAGAAAAACAAATATGCGAAATACATGAACCACACACATTGAGATATACGTCAGAATATGCCATAGCTATTATACCTTATCCTTGATGGACTTCCAGATAACCCTGGTCATTTCATCACCTACAACACAAGAACAACGAAGCATAAATGTGAGCCAAACACTGGAAATTATAGACTGAGAAATTAGCACAGGACTGCAAAATCATAACTAAAAGCTGAATGTTCTAATCAAATATCGAAACTATTTCCCATGAAGCTGTAGATCAAATAGCTTTTCAACATATGATCTCTTTACACTGAAACGTGCCCAGAATTGTCATCAGATCGTAAACTTAAATCAATCAATCGACGAACAGAGCTACGGATTTTACTTGATCTGTAACGTAATACATGTTTCATAACAAGATCATTATATCAAAAACACACGCCAAAACCTAAATCTAGCAACATGCGTATACTCCAGCAATCAGATCAGAACGAAACTTCGATAAAAACTAGGCAGCGAAAGGTAATGCGATTCCATTTCCGTATCTAATCAACGAGCAAGATCTGAATCGAAAAAGCGACAGAGGGAGTGAGAGACAGAGAGAGAAGGAGATCTAACCATCCATCTCGACGATCGGATTAGCCACCTTGATCTTCTCGAACGCCATGGTTAGTTCTTAAGAGAGACGGATTCAATCGATGAGAGTGGAGTTTCCCACCGTCGGCGATCTATAAATCGAGAGAGAGTTTTTTCCGGCGAGAGACAGAGATCGTCGATGGTGGTGACTGAAGTTGGTGAAAAAAGGCTGGTACAGGTAGAGGGAGGAGGCTCTATATTTATGGTATTTAAAATCTCGGATATTACTTTTGGCCCCATGATTATTACTTATTCCATTTTTGTCCCTACTTTCATTTTCCATTATAGCCGCCCTTTGTTTTTCTAGAAAGAGGTTGAGTAACAAAATTCAAAGATCAAAGTTTTACAAACACCGTTCTTTTTTGTTATGCTAAATGTTGAAAATATTATTACACTCTTTACATTATTTTTTAAGTTGTGATCATAAAATTTATGTCTTCATCGAATTTTGTACTCAATAGAAACAATTAGTACACCCTTTACCTATTTTTATCAGTGTGAAATTTTAAGTTGTGATCATAAAATTTAAAACTTTTGGCCCAATATATTTTAAGATTGTTGCATCTAATGTAGGCCTTGATTGGCAAAGTAGTTAGGTGATGATTGGTTCTCCCGCTACCACCCGCAAACGCAGCGTTTGCGGTTCGTAGCGGTTCTTAGCGTTTTATAACAATCACGACAACCGCTTTCAACCGCTCTATACCACTCTGTACCGCTCTATATCGCTGAAAATCAAAAGCTCCTTTCCGCAAGCGTTTGCGGTTGCGGGCGGTTGCGGTTTGAAAAAAAAAAAAAAAAAACATAATATCTCCAAATTTGGAATAAGGGTATATTTTTTTGAAAAATACCATAATTATGTTTAAAAATTTCGAAAATACCCTAAATTTTTTCTGTTTTGAAAAATACACTTTTAAAATGTAAAAAGTATGTTTTGACGTGATTTAAACAAAAAAATAATAAATAATTACAAATTATAAACGAAAATTTAAAAAAATAATAAACTAATAAGTTTTTTTTCAAATAAATATAGTATATGTTAAACTGAAACAAATTTTAATATTTTGGATCTTTATATAAACAACTTAACCTCATACACATTCAAACCAAATGAAACTTTAAATAAATTAAAACTTTACATATATTTAAAGTTTATAAATTATTAAAAATTTAAAAGTGGAGAAATATATCTTTCATTTTTAATGTTTATCTTTTGAAAAATTTAAATATTTTTGAAACTTTGCATAAACAACTTTAATCTCACCCCATTTAAACTTTATATAAACAATCTTATATTTTTATTAAATTGTTTAAAAAAAACTAAACAGGTAATTAGGATGTTAAAATGATACAAAATTATTATCAAATATTAATATTTTATATTTCTTATTTGAATTTCGTTTTTATTAAATTAGGAATAATCATTTTACATATAAAAAGTGTATTTTTCAAAACCAAAAAAAAAGGGTAGTTTTCAAATTAAAAATTCATCAAAAAATATATTTCAAAAAAAAAATTATTAATATGGTTATAAATGTTTTGAATAATTATATATTATTTTTATTTTAGTAACTTTTGGTTAAACCGCTCTTGCACCCGCTGGCTAACCAGTCAAAAATATCCCGCAAACGCAACCGCTATGAATTGCTATACCAGTCGTACAAACAGCTTTTAATCGCAAACTCCCGCTTCCGCAAACTCCCGCAGCCGCAAACTCCCGCAACCGCAACCGCAGCGGTTAAACCAGTCAGACCCTTAGAAGAGCATTAGGCTTAAGGAGCATAAGCAGGGTGAGTATTTAGAAGAGTAGTAAGCTCTTTAAGTTGTATGTTCAAAAAAAAAATGATTGGTAGAGCTATGAGCCTTTTTATTATAATTTGTTTGTGAAAATATTTAATATGTATATTGATATTTATTTTAATGCATCATATATATATATATCATTAATAATATAAGATTTTTTTTTAAAAAAATATTTAGTAATTATTTCATATTTAAATTATATTTATTAAATTTTTATGACATTAAATATTTATTTTATGAATAATACATTAATGATACATCAATTACGAAATTATAAAATTGTAAATTTAATATAAATATAGTTTTCATTTTTTTACCAAAATAAACAAATTATATATAATTTATTATAATTTATTTAAGATTTTTTAAATATTATTGAGCTCAATGCTTTGGAAATGCTCTATTTCAGAGTAGGGAGGGAATGAGCAGTTTGGGAGCAGGAGCAGTTTCTAAATGCTCTACTAAATGCTCTTTTAAAAAAACTTGATTGGATTAGAGAGAGCTTAATGCTCTTCTAAATGTTCTACCAATCAAGGCCGTACTCTCTCTCTATTTCAATTTAGTTGTCATTCTAGAGTTAAAATTTTATTTCATATTACTTGTCATTTTGTATTTTTAATGCAAAATTATTAAAATTGTACATTTTTATCTCTACTCTTTTAAAATATAAATTATTCATATAAAAAACATATTATTAATTAGGAAGAAAAAAATAATTTTAATTATTTGTTAATTTGCGTAAAAAGTCCAGGACGACAACTAAAAATAAACCGAGGGAGTATTAGGTAAAATAATTGATGTTATTGAAAAACATATATATTTGTATAACATTGCTAAATATATTTTATATGTGCAAGATTTTACAGATCAACATTTAAACCAATTTAAAGTGAGGCGGTTACGGATCTACGATTTAAAATATGTCTTGTATAGATTTTTGAAATATACCATTTAAAAGAATTATAAATCAAAATATTTTAGCAATTATCAGAAAATAGATCGAATTTTCATAGCACTAAATTATCTTGTAGCAAAATATTTTAGCAGTTATTAAGCCATGAATCCAATTTTTTTGCACCAATTTTCCCAATGTAAAGAGAAGAATGTATTTTAGTATTTATGATTAGTTGAACCAGAATGCAGAGAAGTGGTCACTTCACATGCACTTTAGGGTGGGGATGGTCCACCGATGAAAATATATCCATTTTAATTCTCCCCCTCCGTAAAAGATGCTGACCACCTAACCAGATCCACTTTCTTTTTCGTCATATCCATATTTTTGTTTCTTGTCACAATCATTATCCATTTTTATATTTATCTTTACATTGTAATAATTGTTATCAGTACAGTACTATATACAAAAACAAACAAAAAATAAAAGTTAGTATTATTGATTTTTGAATACATAATAATTTTTAGAAACTAAGAGGTCTTTTAAATTTTATCAATACAAAATAAAACTATATCAGTATATGATGCTATTTAGGTTAAAGCTACAGTTAGTTTTATCATCAAGATAGTTATTAAATTATATTATGGTGACTCTAAAATCTTATAGTATATTTTTAACAAGTTTTTTTTGTTTTCTTTATATTCTGAGAAATACATCATGTGTTTTAAGATAGGGTGGAGATGAGAAATTTCATTATATTCATTTTGTAGGGAAATTGAACAAAAAAAGTTAGTTCACTTTGGAGATAAAAAGCTTATAGCTCCAGTTTATAAATACCGATTTTCTTTTAGTCCATATATTAGGATGTTTTTTTGTTTTTTATCAGCAAATATTTTTAAAGAACTATCATTATATCACGTATAAATCCATTTTTAATTCAGTCTCGCTACGATAAATAATACAAGTTCTCTAGCTAGGATGTTACCAAAAAGGGAAAAAAATGGATGTATGAGTTTTGGAGATTTGGAGTGTCCTTGACGCCATAGAGAACAAATGGATGATTATTTTGTAATGGTTAACAAAGAAAAAACTCTTCAAAAGAGGAACAGCCGTCTAAAACTAACGTTCCCAATCCTTTGTCCAAACTATCTAGATGTGGACGTCTCAGGTTGTTGCATCAAACTTATTTCTCATTTCCTTTATCAGGGCCGGCCCTGACCTAAAGCATGTAAAGCATCATGCTTTAGGCGCCAACATATAATAATAATTTTAGGGCGCCAAAATAACAAATGTCTTTAGTAGTGTGGTGGTTGTGTCATTGGTTGGACACTATGAGCTTACAAGTTCGAACCCTTTCAGAGCCAAAATCGCTTCTTTTTTTTCTAACAATGTTTTCATGGGCAAATTTTTTTTTTTTGCTTTAGGCGCCATACTGGGTCGGGCCGGCCCTGTCCTTTATCTTTGAGAAACAAATATAAATATATAAAGCAAATATTTATGGCTCTTAAAATTGGAAAAATAAACTTCTTGAATATCACGTGTTTATTCTTGTATCAACAATTTAAAACAAGAAAGATATTGTATTTACAAATCATTTTAAATAAAAAAGTGATATATTTATTTTTGATAAAATTTCAAATTTATTGATAACTTGTAGTAAAAAGCAATTTACAGTGGCAAATAAAATAATCAAAGAATATAATGGGAAAAGAAAAATCTTCATGTGACTTTCTAGCCTTTGTGATGCTGTGTAGCCAAAATAACTAATCCAGTTCCGAATGGCTTTGTCAAGTTAATGTGACAATTGATGATATGGTATCCAGCTTTGTGTTCTCGCCAAATAAAACAGATTGTAGTCTGAATATCATCCGAAGAAAAATGTAATCCAGCAAAGGCAGTCTACATATGCTGAGAATATGGATGGTGTCACTCAAGTCAGGTGTTGCCGCTGAACTAAGTCGACCTTCACCAATACCGGTCCAAATCGAGTAAGTGTATGGGCGATCAAAGAACAAATAATCTCTGGCCTCATTTCTCTCCATAAAAGACACAACTTTGCTCTGTACTCCATCCTGGTATTTTATCCCTATTCACTACAGTAACGGAAACTATACATGAACCAGTAGTGCACTACTTTCTATGCAAACCAGATAATACGATTCCAATTCACCTTTTAATTTGTCTCATGATACGTACCTTTTGTCCATGTTTTGATGCTGAGAACTGTACTCTTCTTCTGTATGTCTCCATAGAGAAGTACTGCAACTCCAGTCGGCAATGGAAAGAAGTGTAGACTGGATCTAAGCAATGAAAACATGAAAATGTCGAGCAGAAGTACCTCTAATGCGCAACTCCAGATAGTAGGCTTTCAAGTTTCAAGCAACACTTAAGAGACGTCAAATATTCATATATGATAATACCAAATAAAATGAAAATGTCTAACTACCAAACGCAAATCAGGTGTATAAAATCGAAAAGTTGACTATCTTCGTTTAAAGTTGAGAAACAAGATCCATTATTACACTTGAAGACCTTAATAAAAAGTACATTCACACACACACACGCAAACACCAAATTTTAAAACCGAACATAAAAGCAAAGACATGAGACACTGTAATGTTACGCGAAGATGAAATTCTACCGTGTTTGAAGAGGAAACAAAGGTTCAATATCGGACGATGACAAAGACGATGAAGCGACGTTGTATTGAGAAGCTGGAGCGGTAACAAACTCTTTTTTCAATGTTTCTACTCCAATGTCAACGTCCATGACTCGTTGTTCATTGTCTTCATCGTTGTCGCTAATATACTCATCATGTGGCTGAATATCTTCAGAAGACGTGCGAATCTTTTCCAACTCCATGGACACTTCTCTCATGCTTGGTCGTTTTCTCCCTTTCATATTCAAACACTTCCTTGCAATTTTCCCTGCTGGAGTGACTTGATTCATCTTGCAGCCATCTCTGATCCGTGCATCAATAACGTCAAAGAGTTTGTTCTCTTTCATTACATGAGTGAAATAAGTCGCCAGTGTCCTGTTTTCTTGAGACCGCAAGAAAGAAACTGGTTTTTCTCCGGTAATAAGCTCCACGAGCACCACTCCAAAGCTGTAAACATCACTCTTGTCTGTGAATTGGCTAGACTGGAAGTACTCTGGATCCATATATCCAACGGTACCAGAAACCACTGTTGTGAGATGGGTATGATCCACCGTGACTGTTCTTGAAGTACCGAAATCAGATACTTTGGCTCCATATTTCTCATCCAGCATTATGTTTGTGGACTTGACGTCTCTATGATATATCGGAGATGATGCGGCCGAGTGCAAGTATGAAAGAGCTCCTGCAACATTTATAGCAATGCGGAGACGCACTTCCCAAGTAGTGATCGTGTAATCATCGAACTCCTCATAAAGATATTCGAAAAGGTTGCCGTTGGAGATATACTCGTAGACGAGAACTGGAACTTGTGTCTCAAGGCAACACCCTAAGAGTTTGACGATGTTTCTGTGGTTGATCTGCGAGAGAATGACTACTTCATTGATGAACTCTTCTAACTTGTCTTCGTCAACGACTTTGGATTTTTTCACTGCTACAAGTCTACCATCGACAAGCATTCCCTTGTACACAGTGCCTTGACCACCTTGGCCAAGTATTCTGCTTATGCTAAAGTTTTCTGTGGCTTTTTCCAACTCTCTCGAGCTGAACACTCTTGTGTTTTCGACATTGCCTTGTGTTGAATTTAATTGTTGTTGCAACAACAAACCTCCGTTACGCTTGAAGAACTTCTTCTTTTGGATCAATCTCCTTTGCTTGGTAATAAATTCGTATAATCCGTATATTCCAATAATAAAAATAATTGAACCGAAACTCGAACCAAGCCCTGAAAACCAACGAAAGAAGAATGAAAAAACAAAATACATTAATTTCTTGTACGGCTTAGATACGTGAGAAAATAAATCTTGATCATCACCATTGTAGAGTGAGTGTAGACGTTGTGGGATTTTAATATAAAACAGTTAATTAATAAGAAAAATAATGGAATAGAAAAATAATTTTAATTTTAGGGGAAAATCTATATATAAGTATTATAACACAACAATGTATAATACTGCTAAAATTAATATTTTCAATTAACTCACTCATTTCATTGGTACAGTAAAAGAGGTTTTATAACATTTATTTTAGTATTATGTATACTAAAATATTCAATATTTTGTTTTTGTCTAATACATTTTCACTCCATTAATTCATTTTTTTTTCTGTTATGGACTCATTTATCTCTTATCATCTACTCTACCTTCAACTTTTCCTCATTCACATATATCACATCATAGTATATTAATTCTAACAATATATACATGCATATATATACATGCGTTTCACTATTATCCACTTGAGAGTAAAAAAGTAATGTCTTGAGATTTTAACACTAATAAAATATATTATTTATAAATCATTTCTATTATAAAACTTGATATGTTTATCTTTTTTTTTCTTAGAATTAATCTTGTTGTTTTTATTAAAGCCTTTTCATTTTTTTTTTTTTTTGCAGTTTAGAAATGTATAATTTCTCTAGTTGTATTAACTGGTAATTCTTAGAAAATCGATGTTGTTTCACGTACTATTTTAAACATGTTAATTTATTTATTTTCTTATTTCTAGTCATCTCTATATATATTTAGAATTTTTATGTTAAACAATTTTTTTAAATATTTATCTATTCTCTATTACTCCTTATATTTTCGTTTATATTTAAAATTATTTCGACTCTTTGGAAAATAATTTTTTTTAGTGAAAGATAATAATATAAATGTGTAAATTAATTGATTAGTTAATAAAAAATAAAATAATGTTTGAGAGTGAATCTAATTAAATTGGGAGGGTTAATTTGTTGATGTAGACAGTTAAGGAGGAGAGAAATCTCCCCCATTATATACTATAAGATAAGATTTTTTTAAAAGAACTTGTCAATCTGACTAGTTAAACCGTGAACCGGTGGATAACCCGGTTTGATTTTTTATAAAAACCTAAAATTATAGTTAACACAAAAAACCGATTACATCATGCAAAAAAAAAACCCGGGAACCGATCGAATTGGGTCAATTAAAAACCAAAAATTATAGTTAACACAAAAAAACGATTACACCATGCAAAAAAAAACCGGGAACCGATCGAGTTGGTCAATTAAAAACCCAGTTCTTATTTTTAGATAAGATTTTTTTGATTTCTAGCTTAAAATATTTAAAAATAACATATTATTATTATATTATGATGAACTATCTTCTTATTATATAAAGATGGATGCGCACGACGTGGTTGCGACACATAGGATTTTTAGAATTTACAGGATTGTGACACGTGTCATACTTATTTATTAACATATCAAAATTGTGACATGTGTCTTGAAAGAAAAAAAGATAATTTTCATGAAATAGAAGAAAATTAATTCATTGTGAAAAAGGGAAAACATAGTTTAATTCGTTACGGAAATAGTATATTAAGTTTTGACCCAAAAAAAAGTTTTGCGGCTTATATAAAAAAACGTTTATTCATTATGTTAAAAGCTATATAAGAAAGAAAAAAATCGTGAGAAAAAAAGGAAAAAAAAAAAAAAACAAACTAATTCATTATGACAAAAGGATAAAAAATACATCATTCATAATGGAAATTGGATAAAAAGCTTGATTCCTTACAAAAGTAGGTTAATAAGTTTGAAGGCTATATAAGATAAACTATAACCTTTTAAGATTTCATTGTGTGCTTAAGATTTTTTATTCTCTTTAACTAATTTAGAAGCAAAAAAACATGTTTTTGAAGTTCAAGAAATCAGTGAAGAATATTTCACTACAAATCATTTGGATTGAAATAAAAAAATATTGGTATATGATAAGAGAAGGTAAAAATGAGAAAAAAATTGCATGCGTCATATTTTACGATAAAAAGGTTCCATACGCTAACGAGAAAAAAAGAAAGAATAAGAAGTATATTCTATCTCTGACCAAAATAATAAGCTATAACCTTTAGATTTTAATTGTATACTTCCATCTTTTTTTTAGAATAAGAAAAATCATGTTCTCAAAAGTTCAAGAAAGCAATAGAGATTATTTGACTCTAAATCAGTGGAATCGAAATCTAAAAGATCATTGTTTTATAGTATGTATTATCGGGTTTTCAATAGTATTTTAATTATATTTAAGAGTAATCATATTTTGTTTAATATTTTTTTCATAAACTCCGCGTATACACGGGCCTTATCTAGTAAAATACAATTATTGAAAAAAACTAAAGATCTTTTATTCATATACAATTATTGTAAACTTTTACTGCATTTATAAGTTTTTATTTAAATCAACTAATTTTTTTTTCTATAAATCTATATTTATTATTATTAATTAGAAAACCCGGTCCAAGAACAAGAACAAGTTGAACCAGGACCCGAAGACCAGTTGACGTCCGGTCCTATTTTTAAAACATTGCATTGTACACAGTTTTTAAATGGAAGCGTCTTGCTAGTGTCTGTGAGATAAACACAGCTTGAAATATTTACCTATAGCAAGTGGCCGATGATTTTTTTGGTACACGCACTTAAAGTCTCCTACAAATTGATACACGTATCTCCACCGATTCTCCCACAGTCGTAAGGATTCCCATCATTAAATTCTCCTTCCTCACACTCATTAATATCTGGTTTTGAAAAGGAAAAGAAAAAGACTTGAATTTAAGAGCAGCAACAACAACAACAATAACAACAAGAAGAATATATATAAACACAATTACTAACCTTTGCATCCGCCCGGAATGTATGGATTGCCTGTGTAACCACGATTGCACATGCAACTTGTATAGTTAGAAAAACTTGAAGTATGGTCACATACACAATTTATTGGTTGAAGCCTTTTATATTTGCCTTGACGACCTAGCTTTTGGTACTCTTTCCTACTCGGGCATCCTAGAGACTCTATGAATGATGGGTTAGTCGTAGTCGTAGAGATGAACCATCCTAGCGCAACTGTAGCATATCGTTTAGCGTGAAGCAGATTTGGATCAGATCCGTTTAACAAAGAGTATGACTCATCTGTTAAGAAGGCAACTCTACACCCTCCTGCTCCTGTTGTGGTGGCGTTATCATTATCATCTATTGTGACACCAACAACCTGTTTAATACTACGGGGCATGTTTGCTTTGCAGCATCCACTACCATTGCATGTGGTTTCATTTTTAAAACTTCTTTTAGTACAGTAGTACTCGTAAGGGTCGATGTAAGGACTAGGGTTTTGACTATTACAACTGACTACTGCGAGATAATTTTCCCAAGTATTACGGTTTGCTACCACACAACTTGAGGTGCATCCCACCTTGCTTGGCTCGACATTTGTCAACGATGCCGAGTTGTTGCAACCAGTCGCTACCAATGTGTTACTGAGACCAACGTAAAAAGGGCTCCCCGTCAAATTCAAACGTGACCTAGACCCGTCTTCGTCGCTGGAGGAGCATCCTTTCGAAGTTATTTGGCTTTTTATGCGAACTGACCCGTGTGTCATGTTAAGAGAACCATAATGACTCGGAAGAGATATCTTCACAACTTCCTTGTTAACAAGTGAAAGAAAAGGGACGGGCTTACCTGAAATAGAGGTATTACATAAAATTTCGTACCATTTATGGAGATAACAGCCCTCTCCGATTCCAAATGGGTATGGGATCTCGATTCCTCCACATTTACTAGGACAAGACCCGGACACAGCAGTGAAGATAAACAAAAATAGAAGAGAGCTGAGAATCAAAGGGGAACAACGATGATCAGAACTCATGTTTAAGATAAATGTTTAAGAATCTTGGTCAAGATAATTTGTATTTTCTTTGGTAAAATAGCATACGGCTTTTGAAAGGAAGAAGAGACGGAAGATAAATGCTTGATCCGTTTACTTTGACGCATCATCAGGTCTTTAAGTCTTCGTCTATGTATGCTTCATCAGGATAAGAAGCAGATTATTCCACACCTCATATTGCTTCTTTGCTGTCTCTTTTCCTTTGACTAAATCAGTACAGCCTTTATTTTCGTAGGCCTACTGAGAGCATGTCACATTCTCCTCCATCTTTTGAATTTTCTTCCTCCTCTAGCTTATGTTAAGAGACAAAATAGAGTCAAGCACCCACTTTGATGAATCGGTCTAAATGCATAGCATTAAGACAGATTAAGACCTTTTGGGCTAATACAAGTAGCCCACCCCATCTGATCTTTTGTATTAGTAAAAATGGGCATTGCATTTTTCAAGCCTTCCAAATTAATATTTTGAAAATGAGTCCATAGAAGTCCATTGCCAAAACCCAAGATGATCGCTAATAGGCATAAGGAATCCCTTAAAAGATGAATTATGATCCAAACTTTTCCAAAACAAAATGTAACATCCACAAACCAAATTGCTGAGTTTTGGAAGTGGTGTCTAGCTATACCGGCTATTGAAAATCAATTTCTGGTTCAATTTAAGTTGTCCGGTTTTCGCTGGTTAAGGAAGAAAAACCCTGAGGTCGAGTTAAAAGAGGCCAGTTGCGTTTTCTCTTCACAGTTTTCGAGGCACAAAGTTTGAGAGAAGAAAAGAGGCGAGTTTGTGGAGAAAATCCGAGTTTTGGAGTCACATCGAAGTGTCGTGAGAATTGTTGTCTGCGAGTCAGTGTCGAGCGACACCAGAGGTCGAGTGTCGACTGACACAAAGTGTGGGTGTTGATGGTGTGGGTGGACACCAGAGTAATTTATGCGTTTTTCTGTTTGTGTTTAATTGTAATTTGTTTTGTCTAGTATTTGTGTAATTGGCCTGTCAACGGGATTACCGTCTCACTAAGAATTTATGAAATACTTATACATTTTTTTTGCAATGTGATGCAGGTAAAAGAATTATATGAGCAAGGCCGAATCAGAGGATGTTTAATTGTTTAAATTGTTAGTTGAATCTCGTGTTTAGCTTTCTAACATTTATTTATTTAAATTACTTTGTTGAATTGAATTGATTTATTATTTAATGAAAATTATGTTATTTAACTTCCGCATTTCTGAATATGGAATTTAATTATTATTTAATTAATATATATATTTTTAAACTTGGTTGTTTCACAAAAGTACATGTGCTTAAATACATTTTTATTAAGTAATACTCCCTCTGTCCCATATTATAAGCAGTTGAGCAAAATGTATCTGAAAAAAAATGAATGTATCTAGATGTAGTATAAAGTAATTCAAAATAAGAGTTAATTTGGATAAGAAATATAGGTTCACAAGTGCTTCAAAAATTCGAAATACTTCAAATTTAACTACATAAATATTGAATGTCCCACGTTGAAAACTTAAATTTAAAGAATTTTGTGTATAGAAAATATGAGTCAAAATACGATTCACAAACTTTGATCCAAACCGCAATATTTTGACTCATATTTTCAGTATTTTGTTTCTCAAGTCAGACTGGTACCTAATACACTAACTAGAATTCTTGGATACTTCTTGAAATTTTCTAGTTTTAGTTTTCTATGTATATTATAAGTTTCTTTTTCATAATTATAAACCTAAACGACATGTGGGCCGTATTTGGTTATAAGGTACCTCTAAATCCTTATGATTTCTGTTCACAAAGTTAGATGAATGTGAATTTCAAAAAAGTTGGAAAAGAAAAGTATACATCAAAATTCTGGACTCATTAGGGGAATCATAACAAGATCTATTATTTTCATTTCCTCGGAATAAATTACCTAACCACGAACATGGCCTTGTGACTTGTGTGTATGTTTTGTAGTTCAAAGGGAACATTGTATAAACACTTTATACCCTACGTTCTCCCAGCTTCTACATATACATACACGAAATCCCCTCGCACAATATGACGGTCATATGAACGATTTTATCTAACTTATTGTGACGGGTCCCATTTATATAGAGGCATTGGACTAATCATATATATGAATTGAGACCAACTTTCTCCATATGATTGACATGTGGCAAAACTTTTAAAGAGAGCAGTCTCTTCGCATTCTTAGTCGTTACATATATAATAGGTTTCAAAACCGTCAGTTGCTTCACCTTCCACGTTGTATTAACACTCTATTAATTGATATTGTGGCATGAATTTTCCTCTTCTTTCTAGCTAATAATTCTAAATCTTATACATTTCAACTTATGATAATAAAAATCACTCTATTAATCCAACGCTTTTACATTTCGGCTTCCATCTTAAGTTATTACTCCCTCCGTTTCAAATTAGTTGTCGTTTTGGCAAAATGTATCTGCAAATATTTGGACATATCTGCAATGCAAAACATGTCCAGATACGTCCAAATATTTGCAGATACATTTTGCCAAAACGACAACTAATTTGAAACGGAGGGAGTATTAAACATCTAAATTCTCCTAATATATGGAAAAATAGATTTAGCAAAAATCGATGGCGGAAAATCAGAGTGCGTTCTATGTGGCCGTGAGTAAATAAAGAGAGTTAATGGTTCATACTTCATAGACATGTGGTATGATACAAAAATATATGTTTGAAATCAGTCGATGTTGTAAAAAAAAAAAAAAAAATCAATTGCTAACCAACAAATAGAAATTAAATATGGATATTATTGGATTATACTTTATAATATTAATCGCAAATCTAAAATTGTTTTTGAGCATTTTTTTAAGACTTTAACAATAGCAAAACCCGCGCGTATGCGCGGGCATCAGTCTAGTACTAAACTTGCTTCAGATGAATATTCTGGAGTCCACCTCGACTTTTTTTTTATGGAACGTCTTTCATTAATTAGATAAACCAAGCGTTTAATTGTTCCGCGATACAAACGAAGTAAACGGGACAAACAGAGATAGAGCTAATTTTGCGATCGAATCGGCCTGTTGACTCTGGGATCTAGGCGTGAATTCGACTGAGATCTTGACAAAGGAAGTAGCCAGGAGATGGATGTCTTGAACGACTCCATAGATTTCAGCTACGTTGTCGTTTGATCGGATTGCTCGAACGAGCGTTTGGGAGTCAGATTTGATGCAGAGGTCTGTCCAACCTCGTGATCTTGCTTCCAGGAGAGCTTCTCGTAAAGCCAGTGCTTCCGCTGCAAGTGGGGATCTGACCGGAGCTTCCGCCTTACAGCCCTCCTTCAGAAACTCGTCCTTTCCGGATTTGAAGACCCAACCATATCCCGCTGCTTGGTTCTCTGGTCTCCAAGCTGCATCGACGAAACATACGATCGTCTGAGGATTAGGGGGACCTGCATCCCTAGCTTTTCCTGTCTTTTCCTTTTGCGGTGGCGCGATCTGGGCTATTTCCCATTCTCGAGCTTTGGCGATCGCTTTTGAGATTGTGTCCCGCGTGAAGCCTTTCTCATCGAAGATATGGTTGTTACGGGTGAGCCACAGGAACCAGCAGATCCACGGGAAGAGCGTACCTCCGGTAGTGCCTATTGGAGGGAGGCAGATCCAATTTCTCGCCGCTTGGATCACCTCCGTGAACGACTCCTCCTCGATATTTGTTGATAAATTCGTTATCGGGACCTCTTCCTATACTTGTTTAGCAAAAAAGCATTGAAACAGCAAATGTTCCCGGGTTTCTAGCTCTCCGCAGCGATTGCATACAGCGTTTATCTCTAAACCACGGCTGAGAAGGTTGTCTCCCAAGGCTAAGGCTCCACTGCTCAGTTTCCATAAGAAGACCTTCAGTTTTTGTGAGGTATGAGCATTCCAAACATCTCTATTCCAGTTGATTAACCCCTCATCTGTAACTGGAGTTGTATTTGCTTGTTCCTGCGCTTCACGAGCTATATGGTAGCCGGTTTTGGATGTATAGTCTCCTGATTCCGTTGCTAACCATATATGCTTGTGGGTGATCAGCACATTATCAGAGATGGCTCGTCCAGGTACAAAGGCTGATTGGTTTTCAGCGATGAGTCCATTCAGGATTGGTTTGAGACGTAGGGTAAGCATTTTCGAGATTATCTTGTAATAAACGTTACAGAGAGCTATAGGACGATAATCCGCCACTCCTATAGGACTTGTGATTTTTGGGATCAATCTAATATGTGTGTCGTTGATTCCTTCAGGTAGCTCTCCAGTCATGAAGAAAGCCTTAACTTCTGTGGTTATTGCATCCCCCACCACTTCCCAGTTGGACTGAAATAAACTAGCTGAGAACCCATCAGGTCCCGGGGCCTTATCCGGATGTATGGCAAAGAGAGCGTTCTTCACTTCTTCCTTTGTTGGCTCTGCCGTCAACGTCTTGTTTTCTTCATCTGATACCCGAGGTTCCAGAATGGTATTCACCATTGTTGCTCTATCTCGTTCATGCGACGTGAAAAGCTCTGAATAGTATTTCGAGATGACCCCAACGATTTGGTTCTCTTCGTACCAGGTATTTCCACTCTCATCTTCCAGCATCGTGATAGAATTGATTCTTTTTCTGTCTCTTGTGGCCGCATGGAAGTAGCCTGAGTTTTTATCTCCTAGGGCGAGCCATATATGTCTACTTCTCTGTTTCCAGTAGCTTTCTTCCTCTTTATAGGCTGCCCTTAGGAGTGCGTTTATGCTCTGGATTCTGTTCTCATCCGCTATGCGTGCTGACATGGCTTCTTCTAGCTGCTGTTTTTTCTCCTCAATAGCTCTCTTGCTGTTTTGATGGTATTGTCTATTCCACATAGCTATTTCTTTTCTGCACCTCGAGATTCTTTGCTCCACTGTTGCCTCCGGGTTATGCTTCCAGGCTTTTGCTACTAGCTTTTTGATTATCTCATTGCTTTTCATTCTCCGATCATATCTGAATAGACCTCGTTTCTTTTGCAGCACTGGTTCAAAGAAAGTGATGATTGGTCTGTGATCAGATGCCTCGAACGGTAGGTAGATGCTTCTTCCCGTCGGATACACCTCAGTCCAAGCACTATTTGAGAGGGCTCTGTCTAGCCGGCTGTGGATTAGGTGTGTATTCCTTGTGCCTCTCCAAGACAGAGAATTTCCTGTGTGTTGAATGTCATACAGGTCATTCTTGGACAGGAACTCTCTGAAGTCTCCAAAAGATGCTTCTGACCGTCTTGGGCCTCCTTGTTTCTCTGTGTTCGCTAAGATTTCATTACAATCTCCCGTGAGGAACCAGGGACTGTCTCTTGTTTCCCCCAGGTCAGAGATCTTTTCCCATATTTCTCTTCTCTTTGTGTGGTCTGGTTCGCCATAGGTGAAAGTAGCATAAAACTTCTTTTATAGGTGATGTGCGTGTCTATGAAGTTGTCACAGGAAGATAGGATCTCCACTTTCACCTTCTCGTTCGCTAAGATTTCATTACAATCTCCCGTGAGGAACCAGGGACTGTCTCTTGTTTCCCCCAGGTCAGAGATCTTTTCCCATATTTCTCTTCTCTTTGTGTGGTCTGGTTCGCCATAGGTGAAAGTAGCATAAAACTTCTTTTATAGGTGATGTGCGTGTCTATGAAGTTGTCACAGGAAGATAGGATCTCCACTTTCACCTTCTCGTTCCAGAAAAGAGCTAGGCCTCCGCCTCCATGCCCATGTGGAGGTACAATGAAGTTTGAATTATACGCTAGTGAGTGGAGCTCCTTCAATACAAACTCACTTTGATTTTTTGTCTCCATGAGGAACAGGATATCGGGGGAAATAGTGGAGCGTATTTCCCTTATCCGCCGGACTGTTGCAGGGTTCCCAAGTCCACAACAGTTCCAGCCCGCCACTTTTAAGGAAGAGGATCTCGCGGAGACCGAAAATTTTCCGTAGCTCGAGAGAGAGCCGGTACATTCGTCTCCGGAGTCGTTCTGCTGGTGCTAGTTCCTGGGTCCCTTTGTCGTATCGGGGGTACTTGTCTCTGGCTTATTCCGGCGATCCTTCGCACGTTTCCCCCCGAGGCCCTATCTCCAGCATCCCTGACTTGCGGTGAGTTGTTCACTTGAGCCATTCTTCTTTGTCTGAGGCTAATTCCTACAGCCGGGCTGTTTCTCTTGTTCTTTGGTGGTCTACCACGTCTCTTCTTTAGTATATCCTGTGTGCAGGGGATGTCTTGTGTAGTTTGCTGCCCTATCTCAGTCACTTCCTCTTCCTCTTGGTCCTGCTCGAAGTTGAGAGTTCTTTGGTACGAAATTGTTGCTGCTGTTATGATATTTGCCGCAGTTTCTTCCATTAGGCCTTGTTCCTCTGATAGCATAACTCTTTGCCTTCTTGCTGCGCTCTCAGCAGGATCTGGACAGTTAATGTACTGGATAGTAACTTCTTGGAGCTCCTGCATTACTTCTTCCGTGGTGGGGATTGGGATCTCCGGAGGGTTTCTATCTTCAAGGGCTCTCCTCATTGTCTGTGGTCGGGAAGTTTCAGATCTCCCCGATTCCTCTTGGCGACTGGGAGTTCGGCTTCTAACTTTTTCACGCCACTGTAGTTGTGGTGGGCTGTGTCTCCTACTAGTCCCGTGGTACCGTCTTTCTTCCTCACGGTAAAACCTGTGGTTATCAGAGGTTTCTCTTGTAGCTCTTTCCAGATAGTCCCGGTAATCATTTCTTCTCCTTGTAGGTGAGGCTCTATGGTTTCGCTGTGGGGTTCTCAGACTTTCTCTGAAGCTTGACACTGGCGTTTCTTCCCTCACCTCTCGGATGGCCTCGAACCGGGGATTTTTTTCCTCTGTTTGTGTAGACTGGTTTGTCCTGCATCAGGTTACCGTGTCTATCTCTTTTTTCTTTCGGACTGCGTTCCCCCTCTCCTTGAGTTCTTCTCCTTTGTGAATCCAGGGTTGACTGTGGCTCTTTGTCGTGATGTTTGTCGTTTGCAGGAGATCTAGGGCGGTCTTTATTTGCAGCGTTTTGTCGCGGTTGCTCTTGGGAGCTTGAGCAGAACTTATCTTTATGCGTCAAGCTGTTGCAGATGGAGCAGTGGAGGCCTAGTCTTTCATACTCCAGACTGACTAGGGCTACTTCCCCGGTTGCAAACTCCACCTCCGTGACTTTCACTATAGGTTTGAGGGCGTTAACCGAGACCTTGGTTTTTGCCACTGTTTTCGAGATTTCGAATTTTAAGACTTCTCCGGCTTCCTTTCCTATTTTACAGATTAGGTCTTGTTTCCAGTAGTGGAGTGGGAGACCTCTGATGTAGATCCAGAACGGGATCTGGGATGGGAAGTTGGCTGAGATGATAGGCTCCTATTTCTGCACCACGACCATCCATCTAGCGAATTGGTATGGCCGGTTTGCTAAGATTCTTTCCAGGTCTTCCACCAGCGTGAAACGGAACTGGAAGCAGTTGTTACCCAGGTCCGAGCCTTCAATCTCTCCCTTTATCTCCCACCTGTTAGTGAAGTACGGGATGAGAGAGCGGACCCTTTGTTCTCTAGGGTTTGTGGACCTTCCAATGAGGGTCAGAGCGTTTGCCTCAACAAGGTCAGAAGTGTCCATGTCTGGAGCTCGGATTCTTTTCAGCGTCGGGGTTTCTTGTGGAGTGACTACCGCTTTCCCTTTTTCCGCGTAAGAGAACCTCCTTGCCATCCTTTTTAGATCTAGTAGGTTCCTTGTTTCAAAAACTTTCTTTTCACGTTTTTTGTTGTGAGACTTGTTGTATGATGTGTAGGAGAGGTATTTTGAGCGAGCTCAGGTTCAGCAATTCTCAATCCGGCTGGCTGTGTGAGAGATTATAGTGCTTGGTTTGAGATCTTCAAGAGGACCCGGACTAACGGGGGTATCTTGTTGAAGAAGGCGAGTGCCTGGCGGTCGTTGTAGGGGTTGAAGCTGCTTACCGGCGGTCTGTGGCGGACCCTCCGACCCGTAGGTGGGGTAGAACCCGGCGTTCCCGAGGCGTTTGAATTTTGAAAAATTTGCTATTTTGGGAAAGAAAAACCCTGAAACAGCAACGGAAGACTTGTCTGGTTGACTTAGCGCTCTATCGAAACTTGTGCATGGGAGAGTTTTTTCCCCGCCGTGGAGTCCACCTCGACTATCTGATGATTTCATTACTACAAAACTAAGCCCTGCAAAAAAAAAGGCCTTGCTATAGGCCAATTTTATATTTTAGTAATGTACGGAAAATTAAAAAACAAAATCTGATTAATGGGATTCAGACACTGATAAAAAATCATATGCCGATTGAGAAGAATAACACGATAAAGTTATTTATTTATTCTGATTCTCTTATCTTTTTCATATTTTTTTTGTTTTTACATGTTCCAAATAATTAGTTTATTATATTCCGTTTTTACTTACGTTTAGTTTTAATAATTTGATTATTTTTTAAACATTATTCTTTGATTTATATCTAAATTTAGTTTAGTTTTAACTATATTTGGATTTATTGAAACAATTACATAAAATTATAATTTCTCTTCTTCTAAATTTATCTAATTGAAAAAACAAATACATAAAAATATATTTAATATAATAAGATATCATTAAAAAACTATTGGTAATTACATATTAGGAAAAATTATCAGAATACTATGTTCTTATTACTTGAGAGAAATATTATTATTATTTTTTTTGTCAACAGTCTGTGCTTCTACAACCCAGAAATCCAAGTTGGGGAAACAGAGTTTACATAATACACACTAGTAGGTAGAGCTCGAGCACTTCATGCTAACTTGTCTGCCTTCGTGTCGCTGGTTCTTGGTATATGCGTGAGAGTGAAAGAGGTAAAGCGCCTCTTGCATCTGTCAATTTCTTCTAAAAGTACTGCGAAAGCTTGCCACTCTTCTGGGTTAGACACCATCCGTACCACATCAGAGCAATCCGTCTCAAACACCATTACTAACTTGTTATACCGGAGAATACATTGCATTGCCCATAACAGAGCTTCCACTTCTGTTTGTAGGGGAGAAGCTCCCCTCCACAGATTACATGTGCCCCAGAGCTTCTCGCCGGGCTCCATGTTAAAGCTATACCATCCGAGTCTCGCTCGGGCGTCCGTTACTTTCTAAGATCCATCCACTTGACATCTATCCCCCATAAAACCTGTCTCCACCATTGGCAGTGTAGCCGGGTCCCCGCCCGTCTGTCGTACTTGTGCCAGTGCCCAGGCCAACGCCTCTGCTGCTGCATGACATATAATCTATGGGGGATCCCAATACCCATTAGAGAAAACCTTATCGTTGCGGGCCTTCCAGATAAACCAGATCAACCAAGGATACATTCCCATTCTGTCATCGTTTGGCAAGTTCCAGAATAGGTGTGCCATATTTGTAAACAAGCTTTCTGTTGGGAACCATCCCGGGGCTGTTGGGATCGGGGATAAAGCCCAAACCTATAACGTCGGAGGACATTCAAAAACCATATGATTTATCGTTTCCATAGCCATGCCGCATCTCATGCATTGTGGATCTATCTGTAAGCCTCGGCTACATAACCGGTCTCCTACAGAGATATATCCGGTTAAGAGTTGCCATAGAAAATGTTGAAGTTTTTGGGTACAAGGTATGTTCCATGCCTTTGCCTGTAGGCGACATATATCGGGGCCAAAAGGGATGGAAGTTTCCTCATCCAGATTTTCTTGAGTAAGTGTATACTCAGATTTAACTGTGTACCGCCCCGTCTTTGTATAAAACCATCCCATAGAATTCGGCCTGTCCAAATGTGATGTTGGCATTCCCAAGAGACATCCGTACTGTCGAAAAGTTGTTTCAATAGTGGAAAATTCCACGTTGGTCTTCCGGGGGTCATTAAATCCCGCACCCGAAGGTGTGGATAATAATTAATCCCGTTTCCCTTTGCTGACCTCTGGCGAGACGCTGAAATCCAAGGATCATCCCAAACTGAAATAGAGATCCCCGAACCAACTCTTTTAATAAGCTCTTTGTTAACCAGAGGTCGAACCGACATTATTAAACTCAACCCCCATCTATAATAAAAGCAAGTAAAATAAATGCCACATGGACAAGGAAGATAAAAGAGAACAAAACATTATGGTATGCCGTGATTGACATACATTAAGAGTCATGGTAGAATTAGAAAGTTGCTGCACTACTCTGACATGTCTCCTACTAGTTAATTACAAAGCCATGTTGGAGCTGAAAAGATTTGATTTGATCTCATCCCACTGTATGAATATGTCCGACTTTAATTCTTATACCAGGATTAATTTGTCTAATTGGGAGAGTTTTCAGAAATATGTGTCTATTTTCAAAACTTGTAAAATAAATATTTTCAAAATTACAGTTTTTGTTGAACAAGGGAACTCAAAATCCTAAAATATAAATTTTAAACTTTAAAACTAAATCTAGATCATAAAACTAAACCCTAGATAAGCATGAGTGAACCCAAACTTTTTTTTTTTGTAAGAAATACATCTTTTGGTATGTCAATTTTCAAAACTTTACCTCTAATGTGAAAATTTTCAAAACTACACTTAATTTTAATATATAAGTTTGGATTCACTAATCTTTTATTAGAGTTTAGATTTTAAGATTTAAGGGTTCAAAATTATATTTTAAGGTTGAGGGATTATATATTAAGGTTAAAAGTTCATTTACTCAATAAAAAGTGTCAGTTTTGAAAATAGACACCCTTAAAGTATAATACTGAAAATTGGCACCCAAAAATGTGTAGTTTTGAAAATTGACATCCTGAAATGTGTAATTTTGAAAAAAATTCAAAACTTATATATTAGTGTTATAAGAAAGTGTAATTTTGAAAAAATGAACATTTAAAAATGTATTTTTGAGAATTAACACCCAAAACGAGTATTTAAAAAAAAAATCTCATACCAATTTTAAAACACACGATTATAGTGCTAGTTGATTAAATATAATGAGACTAAAAAATAGCATAAGCTAAGGCAACGCTAGGCTCGCGCGCTTCTCGATTAAAATCCTAACCACACAACTAAAATGACGGAAAGCGAAGAGATCAAGTTCCGATGCGACTACATAAAGCCCGAAAGATGTTGAAGTAGGACAACTGAGCGTGTCATGATGTTTTAACTTTTTTTTGTTCTATAATACTTCCTCCGTTTCAGTTTATATGTCGTTCTAGCCTCTTTTTTTTATTCTTATTACTTGTCGTTCTCCTTCTTTAATGTAACTTTTGTTGAAGATTTACAAATATAACCTCAACTAAAATAATGTAACGTGTTAGAATATATGAAGAGTCCGTTTATCAAACTGCAGTAAATGTGTGGACTTGGCTTAACATTCCTCTGTTCCATCTCGTTAAACAATCCAATCGCTTCTTCATACTTCAAAGCCTTCCTCTTTCATCTCTTTGTAAACCTCAACAACTCTCAAAAGATTCAACTCCTGACCCCAACCTTTGAGTAAGAAAGTGTAAGACTTTACATCAGGATCAAATCTTTTCTTCTTCATTTTGTCGAACACCTTATGTGCATCTCCAACGTTTCTGGATTTGCTTAAAGTATCAAGCAATCGATTGAAATCTGTGGATTCCATCGTAGTCCAGGCAGCAATATAGTTAGTCTTTGATCTGTGTATTACAGATCTGTGCATGAATCTGAAGTATAACTTCTAATCAAAATCAAGCTTCATTCATTCTCTTTAATTTCACTTCTTCTCAGTTTATCCATGGTGAAATCAATGCTTTTGCAAAATAATTGGGCTAAAAAAAAAGCTTCGTTTTTGTGTATCTTAGACTCTATCGGAGAAGATGACTTTGGCAATTACAGTATATATTTAGAAAATAAAAAGGAATAACATTCAATTCAATATAAATAAAATTGTAAATTGTTATTATCTGTGAGGTTAAAATTGTCAATTAATAAAGTTTCTTAATTTGTGTGCATTGTTCTAGAACGACATATAAACTGAAACGGAGGGAGTATAGAGAAAATTACTTTTGTCAATTAATGCTATCCAATTACAAACTTTAATGACAATTAATTAAAAATAATTGGATTCTTAATTTTTTTATTGGTTAATATTTAGTGAAAAGTGGTTTATGTAAAAGAAAAATGCATTAATTGTAAAACAATAAATGTTTCTTAATTTGTATAAAAACTCTAGAACATTATATATACATTTTGAAACAGAGGGAGTAGAACTTATAATTTTGAGGAATACACCACAAAACAAAACAATAAAAATCTAAAAATGTCAAGTGGTTTACAAACATGAACGGCACACGTTTTCATGTATGATGTAACAATAAGCTTTTAAATAGTACTCCGTAATTTTCTTTTAGCATATCAATGTACAGACAGCCATCGACCTACATTAAACATGTATTTATATAGAGGTGTGTAAAGTGTGAGAGTGTTCGATGATGCATGGGCATGTGTGTTCGTCCTAAGCACGTATGTACGTACATTCCATACGTCGGTTCAATGTATGAGGTCGTTTCCAATAAAGTATCAACTATCAACTATCACTATAATTAATGTGATGTCTAGATTCTAGAACCGCTTGTCCATGTGCTTAAAATATACAACAAACAATAATATCGGTTGATTTACATTTTTTTTTATAAAGATTAATGTCGTCTAATTTCTAATGCCAATCGTTTCACTAATTTTTTTGGCTATTATTTTTTGAATATAACTTTTTATTTTTGGTAAAATGTGAAAATTTTATACCAGTTTTACAGAGAAAACTAAGAGAAACATTATCACCTAAAAAGAATATATTTGTATAGTTTAAGTTTTAAAAAACGATAGTTAACATTGTTTATTATGTATACAAGAGTAGAAAAAACACTTTTCTAGCTAAGACATACTAAGATCTTAATATGTTGCATTATTATCTTTGTACCCTAGTGTTATCATCAACGCAAATCTTAGCAGTTTTTATTACTGGATCACAAATCTAAGTACTTTCGTATGAGGTTATCCATTTTTTTTTTGAATATTCCTGTGATTTATAGGTTCTAGCTAGTAGCAAAAGAACGCAATTTATTATTCAAAAAAAAAAATAACAGCAAATTAACATAAGTATAGTCGTCCAAAATATGGTTCCCATTGACGACTTTCTCACTGTATGTTATTTCAAGAGTTCCATTGGCATTGGCGCATTGCATGATGCATCCAGTAGGAATTAAACATATGAATTTCCAAATGATGAACTGAGTTTTTTTTGTCATCCCAAATATATATTTGGTACAGTTTAAGCCAATGGACCTATTACCTATACATAGCAACGTCAATAATTTTTTTCAAATTAATAAAGATGACTATTTTAAAAGGTAGTCGCGGCAGCTTTTTCAAACATACTAATACGATACGGTCATTGCCTATATTGTGTGTACGTTAAAAGACTTGCTTATATGGTGCAAAAATGACCACCTAATTTCTTATTTCTTTTTTAATACACGAGAGCTTCTCTTTTGTGACAAAGGGGTTCGTGAGTTTGCGGCACATGTATTCTTCGAGATCATATGCGATTAGTATATATAGTTTTAGTCTTTTAGATATGTAAAAAAGAAATAGGTTTTGTTGATTAGCCCAATGGGAACAATAGTTTTAGAAGTCAAGATTCCACCCATTGAATAATGTACAATAGCATTTGTTAAGATTCCATTCTTGCAACACAAAAGGATCAAGATTTTTTTCCTTTTGCCACTAACTGAAACCAAGGTTGCGTCAAAATTTTCATTTTCATTCTAATTCTTCGGCCCACATGAAACCACAAAGTTACAACTTTTGGTTTTGCTAAAATCTAAGATATGCAATAAACGTTGAGTTTGTATGTGTTTGCTTGGTTTCTTACAAAAAAGGTTGACAATGTTGGGTGTGTGTCGTACTCTTGTCTTGATGCCAGTTGTCTCATTGCAAAACAACAAAAGTAAAAATTATAGAAATAGGAAAATGACAAAAATAATATAGAGGCAACCAGTAAGTAACTAATAATTGCGGAAGAAAAAAAAGAAAGAGAAACGAATAATTGCCATATAGAAAAGGAGTAATTAATAAAGAGAAACGAATAATTGCCATAAAGAAAGAAAAAAAATTGTATCCCATGTGGTTTTCTGCACACGTGCAACTCTCCACTCTAATTTTTCCTAATGTGTACAATTAATTTGAATATAGAACTTAATTACTACTCACTATTTAAGTACTTGTGGACCTCTTAGCACATTCATTCCGTATCAATAAAATTGCATTTGATTAGTCGTTAACTCTGTGTGGTCAACGAAGAAAATTATAACAGACACTGCAAATATTTTTCTTTTCATTATCCTCGGTTAATCCAATAAAAAATAGAAGCTTCTATGCTTATTATTCAAAACCTTAAATATATTAGCTTTTGAATATATGTAAAATCGTTTAAAAATATTTCCAAAAGAACATCTTCTTATTATTTAAAAACTTAAAAATTGTAGTTAAGAAAGTAGAAATATTATAAAAGAGAAAAACGGTGGCTTTCAAAAATATAAAAGATTAATGACCTTTCAAATATATTATTTGTATTTTTTCTTTGTAAAATATTAAATAAATCTCCTTTTTTTGGCACTTCTGAATTGGAGATCTTTCTTGCAATTCTGTTTTTGTCCAAACTGCATGCGAAAATTAGTTGTCTCATTTAATATAATATATTTTATATCTTTTATTGATTAATTAGTTAACTGTACTCCATCTGTTTAAAAAAATTATGATTTTTTTAAATACGTCTTTGTTTTTTTTAAACGATAAAATGTCTAGGTTTCTGATGCACTTGGTTAATTAATAAAAAATCAGATTTCAAAAACATTTATCAAGTTCTTTGGATTAGGTTTAGTCTAAAAATTCATAGGAAATTATTTAATTAAATAATTTTATATTTATGATTAGACATTATTTTTTTCTTAACATTTGTTCAGTTTATCTTTAAAAAAGAGATGGAGTATTGTACATATTATTTGACTATAAATAAATGATGGGTCCGATTGGTAACGTAATGAATAGTAGTAATGTGTTACAATTTTTCCAGTGTTTTTAAAACCGGACCGGACAACGAACCGGAAATCCTTCAGATTAATGGGTCAATCGGGTCGAACCGGTTCAACCGGGTTTATATAACTTACAATTATATATATATATAGTAAATAAATATCATATATGGTAACTAATATACTTTACCTTTTTTAGTTATTTACTTTCCATTATTAAATATAACTAGCAAACGAAATAGTAAAACCCTAAATATCTCTCCTAAAAGGCCGCCACCCCATCTCTATGTCATCTCTCTTAACTTCTGTCGTTCAAAGCGGTTTTAAAAATTCAAAGCTTCTGTAAAATCATTCTCCCATTTTTATTGTTTCTTTATCAAACTTTAGATTAATCAGATTACAATCTTCAAAATAGATAGAAACCATCAATTAAGGGACAATTTAATCTCAAAACCACTGCAAATCAACGTTGAAAACCTTATAAATTAAAAAACCGGGTTTTGATGGTTCTTGGTTCAACCCGGTTCACCGGTTTTGAGCGGTTTTTAACCGATTTTAAAGGGTTTTTGATAAACCGGTTTTCTATGATGAACCAAACCGGGTAACCCTCCGGTTCGCGGTCAGACCAGTTCGACCGGCCGGTCCGGTCCGGTTTTCAAAACACTGAATTTTTCTGATGGTACGAAAGATAACAGTATAAAAAATAGATGGTACAAAAGATAGTGGCTTTGATTGGTGACAACAAGTTAGGACATTACAAATTGTAATGCTCATAGTGTAACCATTCAAATGGACATTACACTTTTGATGTTACAAAAGATCACATTACAAAAAAGTGAGCATTACACCAAATAATGATGGTACAAATGCTATAACAATGGTACAAGTGTGATGATAGTTTGATGGAGTGGTACAAAAAAAGTGATGGTACAAATAACTTTTCTTTTACTAAAACTTGTCAAATTTCTATGTAATTTTTTGTTTTGGCTATAATTTTAAATATTGGCTATCAATAACTTTGACTTTTCATAATTAAATAAAAATTCACTAAGAATTTGTTAAGAATATAAAAAAAAAAATTATATTCTTTTTTTTTACTTTATGAATAATTTTTCTAATGATGCAAGTATATTTTATTTTAGTAGATCTAAGGAAACCAAACATACATATAGATTACACCTCAGTAACAAATATTATAGTTTATGAATCAATGAGTTATTAAAAAATATATTTATCTCCAAATAAAAAAATAACAAAAGATTGTTTTCTATGTGTTGTTATTGAAATGTTTTATCATCTTTAAATACTCATTATTTGTAAATTACTCTTGTTGGTTTCCAGACAACTTAACTCATCAGATTTTCTTCAAGTTACAAAATGTTGTTATTTAAAAACTTGTAACTGATATAAAGCATAATTTTCTTTTATTAGCTATGTTCAGTTTTGTTTGAATGATTAATTTTAAAAGTAAAGTGATAATATTTTCAGTAATAATGTGCATTAAAATAAGAATTAAGATATAAAAACAGATGACATAGACATATAGTTGTTAAATGATGTATTTGAAAATTTTAATTATATCCGAATACATATATATTTCTTAACATTTGACATACTTTTTTCTTAAAAAATATTAAAATATTATGTCTTTAAAAAACATGTAACTGAGGGAATGTGTTAGTAATTTGTAACAAGAAATCAAATAATTTGTGTTATATTGTTAGATACCATTTTAATTTTTAAATTTTAATTATTTATTTATTTTACAATACATCATTTGTACTGTTACAATGTTACCAATCGAAATTCAACTACGTACTATCATTTTGTACTATCTCTATTTGTACTGCTATATTTCGTACCACTGTTTTTCTTACAACTATCTTTCGTACCACTGAAAATTCTGTAACACACTACTATTCACAACATCACCAATTGGACCCAGTATTACAAATATCGGTTTTGTAAAATGACGGTACAAAGATTAGTTCCGATTGGTAACATCATAGTAGTACAATAGTACTACTGTAATAAAAATAGTAATTTTATAATAAAAATATGAAAAAGAAGGATTAAATCAGGAAAAATGTTTTATAAATAATAATATTTCATTTTCTATTTTATTTTCGAAAATATAAATTAGCAATACATTTAAGTTTAATTATATTTAAAATTTCCATAAAAAGATTATAATGATAAAATTTTAAAAATATATTAAATTTTGATATATTATTATAATATATATTTGTCATTATGAACAAATCTTACTATAAAATATTTAACACTGATGTTTATTTTCAATTAATATTTACTAACAATTTATTATAAAATATGGGTCCAAAAAATATTAATATATTGATATTTATATTTGAACTAAAAACCAGAAAAGAAAATTGTGATTAAAACAAATAAAAAAAATTCTGTCCAATTCATTTCATATGTGTACCACTCCAAAAAGTAGCATTACATAAAATGAGACAGTACAGATTGTAATGCAGCATTTTGTAATATCCTTAGTTGTACCATCAAATTTGTAAAACTCATGTGATTGGTTACATATTTGACATTACAACTTGTTATGCTTTGTAAAACTGTAACCAATCAAAGCCATATGTGTTCAGTTTATCTTTAAAAAACAGATGGAGTATTGTATATTATTTGACTATAGATAAATGAAGTTTGTTTGTAATAATAATTGAACTCTCATTTTCTGCCTTGGACCATGATCAAAATTTACAATGAATCTTTTTGCAAGCATAGAGAGCCTTACATGTATTCTAGTTCAACATCACAATCTTTTCGATCTAATGTATTAAATGTAATTTAAATTTCATTACTTTATTAAGATATCACCGATTTAAATTTTCAGGAAAAAAAAACAGTACAGTATAACTTAGCAAAATCGGTGGCGGCATTAACTTTGGGAGAATCTTGAATTTTGGTTATTAAGGAAACAAAAGCAAATTGAGATTATAATAGTAACTACAGTAGTTTAGGAATATAAAAAACCTTACGAGCTGCGAGAGTACAAATAAGTGAAAAACAAATTATTTATACACAAATTCTCTTCTTCTTCTTCTTCCTTCTTCTCTGACAAAGTTATGGGCGAACAGCAAATCTCAGCTACAGTGCCGCGTGACAGAACCGATGAACAGGTTTTGATCAATGTTTCTCAATTTCGATTTTTTTCTTCTCTGCTTTACCTTTTAGTTTAAATTCCTTCTTTTTCTATCCATTGAATCTCCTCTCTTCTCTTCTTCTCACTGATTCTTGTTCCCCACTTTATGGAAATCAAGAATTTGATACATTTCCTAAATTCTCCATTTATGGCAAAACAAAAAAAAAGAGAGACTTCTGTTCACACTCTCTGTTCATTCCATTACCAGTTCTTGTCTTCAGACCATTCACATTAAAAATCACTTTTCAAGATCTCATAACACTCTCTGTTCATACTTAATTTTCAGACTATCTAGAGATCTGTATAGACTGCTCATCACAAATTCGAGGTTTTTGGTATGATGAATTGATGATTGATCGTTTTGCTTGTTTGCAGGCAATCTTGGCTTTGAAGAAAGGTGCACAACTTCTGAAATGTCGGAGAAGAGGAAACCCAAAGTTTTGTCCTTTTAAACTCTCCATGGTAACATTTCAATCAAATTCCTCCAAATGCAGAGAGAAGAGGAAGAAAAACCATTGAGGATTAAAGGGTTCTGATAAAGTTGTGATCTTTTTGCTTTTTTTTGAAGGATGAGAAGTATCTGATTTGGTACTCAGGACAAGAAGAGAGACAATTGAGATTGAGTTCTGTTATAACAATTGTCCGAGGACAGATCACAGTATGTAGAGAAACTTCTTGATTCATAAAGATTGAATCTTTGAATCTGAATGATGAAACTGAATTGTTTCCTTTCTTGTTCTTAAGCATAACTTTCAGAAACAAGCTCAACCGGATCGAAAGGAGCAGTCTTTTTCACTCATTTATGCAAATGGAGAACACACTCTTGATCTCGTAAGTCTCTATGCTTAAACAAAAACAAGAACTTTCAGTAAAATGTTCTTGAAAATTGTGTTTTTTGATTGATGTGTAGATATGCAAAGATAAAGCACAAGCAGACTCTTGGTTTAAAGGCCTTAGAGCAGTGATAACGAAGCATCACAACATTCGAACATCCACGAGTCTTCATCGGTCTAGCAGAGGAGCTCAAAGCTGCATCAGTAGTCCTGCTGGTTTTATGCGCAGGAAACAGAATCTTGGACTTCTTGAAGAGACCCCTGACTTCACTCAGGTAAACAAAAAGAAAAAAAAAAAACACTTTCTTGATTTGGTTTTGTATACTGTTTCTCGTTCTTGATGTGTATTGTTTATGTTCTTGAAGATACGGAGTTTATGTGGAAGTCCATCTACACTATTAGAGGAACGATGTTTATCGAACGGCTTATCTTGTTCTTCAGATAGTTTCTACTCTGTTGAATCATCTGCATCTGAAGCCTTTGGTCCAGTCTCTCCTTACTATGAATCAGATTACAACAACATTAGGAACTCTGATTGTGATGACCGTACTGTCTCAGAGCTTTGTAGGCATTCATCACAGAGGTTTCTTGCTTCTCCTCCTCCTCTTCCTCCTCCTATCACAACTCAACAGATTACAAGATCAAATGTGCTCAAAGACATAATGATATGGGGAGCTACATCGGGTCTAATCGAAGGATCGAAGAATCAGAACGACTCGTTATCTCCTCAGCTTTTAGAGTCAGCCACAATGTTTGATGTACAGAGTGTATCTCTGGGAGCTAAGCACGCAGCGCTTGTTACAAGACAAGGTGAAGTGTTTTGCTGGGGAAATGGAGAAAGTGGCAAGCTAGGGCTCAAAGTTAACATCGATATCGATCATCCGAAACGCGTTGAGTCTCTTGAAGGTGTTCTTGTTGGTTCAGTGGCTTGTAGTGACCATCAAACATCCGCTGTGACTGAGTCCGGAGAGCTGTATCTATGGGGAATCGACGGTGGTAACATTGGTGAATCAGGGAGACAGTTCTTGACAAGGAAAGTATCAGATGATGTTCTTGGTGGTTCTTTGAGTGTTTGTAGCGTCGCTTGTGGCGCGTGGCACACGGCGATTGTGGCTAGTTCCGGTCAGCTTTTCACTTACGGCAGTGGAACGTTTGGAGTTCTTGGACATGGGAGTCTTGAGAACGTTTCAAAGCCGAAAGAAGTCGAGTCTTTGAAACGAATGAAGGTAATATCAGTCTCTTGTGGACCGTGGCACACGGCTGCGGTAGTTGAAACCGGAATAGACCGGAGATACCACAATGCTAGAAGCTCCGGGAAGTTGTTTACTTGGGGAGATGGAGATAAAGGACGGTTAGGTCACGTGGACAGCAAGCGAAAGCTTGTCCCAACTTGTGTTACCGAGCTAGTTGATCATGACTTTGTTAAAGTCTCTTGTGGATGGACTTTAACGGTTGCGTTGAGCGTTAGAGGGAGTGTTTACACAATGGGAAGCTCGATCCACGGACAGTTGGGATGTCCGCGGGCGAAAGATAAGTCGATAAACGCGGTTTTAGGCGATTTGGGTCGACAGTTTGTTAAGGATGTAGCGTCAGGTTCACATCATGTAGCTGTGCTAACTTCTTTTGGGAATGTTTATAGTTGGGGCAAAGGTTTGAATGGACAGCTCGGTTTAGGCGATGTTCGGGATCGGAACGCGCCGGTTCTTGTTGAGTCTTTGAGTGATAGGGTTGTAGAGAGTATAGCTTGTGGGTTGAGTCTGACTTGTGCGATAAGTTTGCATAAAGAGATCTCTTTGAATGATCAGACTTCTTGCAGTTCTTGCAAATCGGTTTTCGGGTTTACGAGGAAGAAGCATAACTGTTACAACTGTGGTCTCTTGTTCTGCAACGCTTGTAGTTGCAAGAAAGCTGTGAATGCTGCTTTGGCGCCGAACAAAAGCAAGCTCTCTAGGGTTTGCGATTCTTGCTTTGATCATCTTTGGAGGATGACAGAGTTTTCAAGAGGTGGTAAGATGGAGAAGTGTCATACTCCCAGAATGCAGATGATGGTTGCACGAAGAGTGTCTGAGGAATTGATAGAAAGCGAATCAGAGACTCAGTTGCAGAGTCTTTCACAAGCTAATGCGAATGAACAGCCTCGATGGGGACAAGTCTCTGTTCCTCCTCTGTTTCATTTTGATAACGTGTCACTCTCTTTGAATCTATCAGTCTCGTCAAGAAGACCTTCTTCTACAAAGATCTCGACCTCATCGGAGTCGAATAAGCTCTTAATCGAAGAAATTGAAAGGCTTAAAGGAGAGGTAAAGCTACTTCTTTTTGATCTCTTACGATGTCTATAGCATCATATTGATAAAGATACTATTTTTATGAAAATGTAGATAAGAAATCTCCGGAAGCAGTGTGAGATTGGTAATGAGAAGATCGAAGAATGCCAAAGAGAGCTTGAAAGGACTTCAGAAGTTGCTAAAGAAGAAGCAGAGAAGTCTAAAGCTGCTAAAGAGATAATCAAAGCAATGGCCTCAAAGGTAAAAAAGATACAACAGATTCAAGAAACAGAGCATTTATTATATGAAACAGAGCATTTATCTGTTTATTTGCTTGCAGCTTCAAACGAATAAGGAGAAACAGAGCAATCCTAAGACTTCTCAAGTCTCACCAATCTTTGATGATTCAGTGTCAAGTCCATATCTCACACCAATCACCACGACTTGTTTAGAATCCAAAAGCAAAGAAGTTGTGGAAAAATGTGGAACGAAATCATTGAGCCGCGAGAGCAACATTAGGCTATTGGTAGATGCATCGCCTGCCATATCAAGAACAGGGCAGCTTCTAAATGGAACTCAAGAATCAACATCAGAGCAAGTGGAGCAGTTCGAGCCCGGTGTGTATATAACTTTCACGGCCTTGCCTTGTGGTCAGAAGACGCTTAAACGTGTGCGGTTTAGGTAAGTGTTCTTGATTAAGTGTTAAAGGTTTGAAGTAAAGGTTAAGTGTTGATGTGATTATTGTTTGTTTTTTTGGTTGTAGTCGAAAGAGGTTTTCAGAGAAGGAAGCACAAAAATGGTGGGAGGAGAAGCAGGTTTTGGTGTATAAGAAGTATGATGCTGAAACATAAACTAATTCTTGAATGTAATTTTAATTCATTTTGATGTTTATTTAGTTTAAGATATTACTTGTTATCTTATAACTGACCAGAGATGGAACAGAGCTCTTGTAATTTTTTAGGGAAAAAAATGAACCAGATTACGAGAAAATAATATTTTTAAAAGTATGATCATAGTTTGTTTTTCAAAAATGATTTGTAATTTTCTTTTTTCAAAGATAATAGAAACAAGGTGGTTGTCCCGCACCTTGTGCGGGTACAATATTTTTTAAATACAATTATTAATTAAAGATTTAAATAATATAAGTAGTACAACTTTTTATTGTATTCATCGTTTTTGTTTTCGCAAACTTCTTATTTTTGTAATCTTGAGGTGTCTTATTTTTATCTTCTCTTTCTTGTTCTTCTACGTAATATTCTTCATTTGTTTTGGAATTTTCTTCACATTCCATTATTTCTTCTTTCCTTTCTTTTTCCTCATGTTCGACTTTTCTTTTTCTTTTCTAAATTTTTCATCTTCTTTTTCACTGTTTTCTTTTCTTTTACTTATGTATCTATTATGTCTTGTTTGTGTCTTGCATATCACCTACCAATTCATTTCGATAGTTAAAATTTTCAATATTTTTGAAATAGATTCTATCTTTATATAGTTGAGGTCTTTTAAAAATTTATTAGTTTTGTTATCTTTCAATTCTGGATTTTCTTTAGTTGTTTTAGTTTTTTTTTCTATTTGTGAATGTAATTTTGAAAGTAGATATAAATTTCAAATAAATGATTTTTTTATTATGAAATTCTTCTGTAATAATTCAAGTTTTTTTAAAATACACCAAAAACTAAACCCTACCCCATCAATATAAACCCTACACCCTAAACCCAAACCCACAGTGTAACACCACCCCCTAAATAACCCAAACCCCACATTGTAACACCACTACCAAATAACAACCCCCCCCCCCAATCCGCACACCTAAACCCACATTTTACAAAATCTTTTTAGATAAGTTTATTCAAATTAGGGTTTCATAAGATTTAAGTTGAAAATAAAAACGAAAGATGTACATACCACTAATTTTTGTCAATGCATTTTTTTTGAGTTGGTACCATAGTTGATTTCTTTGACTCAATTAGCTAACAAACCTGGAATTTACTGTTATAAAGGTAAAAGAAGTAGAAGTTAGATGCGATTCTTTGAATAAAATTTCCAGAAAATAACGAATAATCAGTTAAACATTAGATCTAATACAACTAAGATCTAGCAATAACTATAAACCTACATGACAAAAGATGAAATATGGAATCGAAGAATTTAGAACACGAAAAAGAAGAAACGAAATTCTGTTTATTTTGCTTGTTAAATAGGACTAAGTCGGTTGTAAAATCTAGAGTTTTTTTAAAATACCTAATTATTTGATTTCTTCCAGAAAAGTGGTGCGGTAATATGATAGTTAGGATATTTATTTAAGTGATAAATATAAATCGAAAAAAAGGATAATTATCAATAAAAAGGATAATTATCATATATTTAAAAAAAAGGATAATTATCAATATTTAATAATTAAGGAAATAATGAACTTTTATATAAAAAACGAAATTGTGAAATAATTAAAAAAGAAATTCAGAAGATTTAATAATAGATTTTCATTAAGGGCATCTTGGTAATTCCGCGGCTGAGAGTTAACGTGGTGGCTCCATTCATGAAAATTGATTTGCAAATACTAATATGATTATTTTGTAAACACATTTGTTTATCCTAAATAAATTACACATAAAACTAAAATATTATGTTGTGGTTCTCTTTTCGCAAATTAGGGTTTATTTTTTCTCATTAACAAAAATATTTGATGTACTTTTATGTTGAAATTTGTACTATTATTGAAAGAAACAACTTATAAGAGGATTTTTTGAATAAAAACTTCAAAATTGTCCACTTTGGAAAATTGTCCTGCATATATTTATGATCAACAATTAATGAAATATACTCCACTCTGGAGTATGCAGGAAGAAATTGATTAATCTGAAACATAAAAACAAACTTTCAGTTAAATCTTCAGTGGACTATCATCACTTGCAAAATCACATTTATAAAATGGAAAGTCCTCGGTTGGCATAAAGAAGCTAAAGAAGATGGATTGGCGAGAAGGAAAAGCATTTGTTTTGAAGATTGGCAACAGAAGAAAGATGGCTTTGACACGTGGAAAATTGGCCCCACATTACATCACGGCAGGGACTTTAACATGTGCTGAAGCTGGTCCCACATGGGATTTTAGTGGATCAAATAAAGGGATGTATTAGACTAGGGATTTTAGATGACTTAGGATGATTTTATTTTTAGATGGTTTTGGGTGAGTTGTAGAAGTTAACAATTAGTGCTGATCAAAGTATCAATACAAAGCGATGAAATTATTATTTATAGTTTGAACTTTAGGGGGATAAAATATCCAATTTTTTTTGCTTTGAATGGTAAATATAATTTAATCTTTAAAAGATTTTCTAACGTTTATTTTAATTTTTTTTTCTTAAAGGAAAGTTGGTCAAAAATCAGAAAAGTATAAAAAAGAAAGAAAGAAAAACAGAGTGATAGTTGAGTGAGGAAAAAAAATTTGGTGTGCGTTGTATATTTTTGGTCAATGTTAACATGTAACATTTTAACAAAAAATATTCCCTCCATTTTTTTAAGATGAATTTTTTGGACATTTTTTGTTGTTTCACAAAGATAAAAATTTTAGCTTTTTGAAAAAGTATTTCAATTTTCAAGAAACAATAATTGAGTTTGTTAAATTTTTATTGGTCTAAATTTATAGAAAATTGTTTTATTGCCAAAATTTATACACTAATGATTGAAAATCACCTTTTTTTTATATGCGTGAAAATTTTATAAAATTTATCTTAAAAAAACGGAGGGAGTAATAAAGATGGCGAAAAAAAAAGAACGAGTTCCAAGATGGTTTTTTTTTTTTTTTTTTTGGAGAAAAGGAGTTCCAAGATGTTGTGATGAACTTTATCATCAACTACGACCTATTTCATATCCATGCACAGTGCACCTAATGAGGATCCGAGAATAGTTAGCCTATATTGTATAATGTGATTTATTGTTTTTCCTTCAGAATCTGGAAAAAAATAATCATGAACTCAAATTTATTTGTAACAGTACTATCATACGGTCGGAGACATATTGTATAATATGATTAGTTAGTATAGGTTTCATATACATTCCATTCACAAGCAACATTAGCTATCAAATTAAATCGACAAATTTTCATTCTCTATGTATTAACAAAAAGAAATGAAACCTGTTTTCCAAATACTGTATTTACCTTAATATAGAAAAATCTTACAGTAATAAGAACGGTAATGAGAATCAAATTTACGCGGAAATACATAAAAAAGATATAGATAAAATAAACACATTAAAGTAAAACAAAAGATAAAGTGGAAAATATGTTGTGGGGTTTGCAATTGGCAACCGACCCAAAATGCTTTCTCTTCTTCTTTTACATAATTTTAATCTCTTTTTGTCTTTCTCACTATTCCATCATTGATCGATCGAATTCAAAACCCTTATATTACGCCTCTCTCTTATATAAACTCTCTCTACATTTCCACTCCTTCTTTTTCTTCTTCTCCTCTTTCCCAATCTCATGTTCATTTTCATATATTTCTTTATCATATACTTCTAATTAGGAAGTATATATGGCTCCTGTTTCGATGCCTCCTGGTTTCCGGTTTCATCCAACAGACGAAGAGCTTGTCATCTACTACCTCAAACGAAAGATTAATGGTCGGACGATCGAATTAGAGATAATTCCTGAGATTGATCTCTACAAATGCGAGCCTTGGGATTTACCAGGTATATATATTTTCTCTCTTTTTAATTGTTTCTCATGAGATGCAAATCCACGATAATTTGTATCATCCACATACCATGAATTTTTAAAAAAAAAAATCAATTTATAAGTTTGCATCGTCTACAAATCAAATATGTTTTGTGTCTCACGCTAAAGTTAAATGAATCAATATATCATAGCAAGAGAGAAAAGCAAAAGCCTAACTGGTAGTATTTGTTTTTTGATATATCATCAATCCTTTGACTGATACGCATAATCATTGCAAGATCAAGGTTACATTAACAAATTACAGATTCATTTTCTATAAACTAATGTAAAACTAAAGGTGGAAGCCCTAGACAGAAGAGATACTTGATCTTTTTCAAAGCTATGATTGTTCTTCTTTTTTTAATATTCTAACACTATTTTTTAGTTTTTTAAAAACATTTTTTACGTACTTACAGTTTGTGTATCTCTCGACACGCATCGAACTTGAATGCTTTATAAACTAAATAATAATAATAATAATAATCCCTACTTTATATTAGAATAAAATTTAAACGGACCCACCTTCATCTTTATTCTTTAAAGGATTGTAATAAAACCGAGAGATGCGGTGAGTAGTATAACGTACTAGTTAATAGTCTAGTAAGACAAATTCGAAAGACCGAGTCAAAAAAGATAAAAAGAAGCTTAAAAGAAAAAAGTAACACATAAGATTTCACATGTGCTTTAGGGTTTTAGAAGCTTCTCATTCACATTCTCTTTTTGTTTTACTAAAAAAATGTTCTCTTTATTTGTCTTTTGTGTAGTCTTATATCACAGCATCTTACCTTCTTAATCGTGTACAAAGTTTTTGTTGGATAAAACTAACTATATATACATGATGTTTTTTACTCAATAATATGACCATGATTTGCAAAAATTTCAGGGAAATCCTTGCTCCCAAGTAAAGACCTAGAATGGTTTTTTTTCAGTCCACGAGACCGAAAATATCCAAACGGATCAAGAACAAACCGGGCGACAAAAGCAGGTTACTGGAAAGCCACAGGGAAAGATCGTAAAGTAAATTCAAACTCAAGGACCGTCGGAACAAAGAAAACATTAGTTTACTATCGAGGAAGAGCTCCTCATGGCTCTCGTACCGATTGGGTCATGCATGAGTACCGTCTTGAAGAGCAAGAATGTGACTCTAAATCCGGCATACAGGTAACCAAACTTAACTAAGATAGCAAAAAAAAGAAGAAGCATATTTGATCTAATTTTATTTTGAATGTATAAACATTTTAGGATGCGTATGCACTATGTCGAGTGTTCAAGAAGAGTGCTTTAGCCAACAAGTTAGAAGAACAAGAACAACAACATCATGGAAGGAAAAGGAACAAAGCAACCACTAATAGTGAACAATCTAATTCTAGTACTTGTTTGTATTCCGATGGAATGTATGAAAACCTAGAAAACTCTGGATATCCGGTCTCATCCGATACAAGTCTAACTCAAGTTGGTAACATTTCTTCGTCGGGTATGGAAACGATGGAGAACAAATGGAGTCAGTTTATGTCGCATGACAACACGTCTTTCAACTTTCCTGTCGAGCCTACACAGTTTTATTCTCAATATGGAACAATCTCATATCCTCCCTCAAAGGTAACAAAATCTTTATTTAAAATCATCTCAAAGAAATATGAAAACGTAATATTTTTTTCCAAACTAATCTCTAATTTATTGAATAGGTTGAGATAGCGTTAGAGTGTGCAAGACTGCAAAATCGTATGTTGCCACCTGCGCCACCACTTCACATAGAAAATTTTACACAAGGAGAATATTTGGTAAACAATGTATCTAATGATACAGATGAAATGTTGAGCAAGATTATAGCATTGGCTCAAGCCTCTCACGAGCCACGGAGCAGTCTAGACTCGTGGGAGGTTGCTTCTGGTTCCGGAAACTTCCATGGAGATTTTAGCTGTTCGGGAGAGAAATTCTCAGGTTCATGGGTAGAGGCCAACATGAAATCTGTAGATTTGCAAGAACATCATGGGAGGTTTAAGGAAGAAAAAATGGTTGAGAATTTGAGATGGGTAGGAGTATCAAGCAAGGAACTAGAAAAGGTAATGGTCTTCACTTGTGACCTTTTCTCATATTTTTGAGTTTTTCTAACAAATATTTTATCTGCTAATAGTTATACAATTTTCAAACTACTTTAATTTCTGAGCATATTCATTCATACTATACCGAATGCATGCATGCATGCATTGTTTATTAAAATATTTACGTTTGAACTTGTACTTTAATTTGTAGAGCTTCGTTGAAGAACATTCGACGGTAGTTCCTATAGAAGATATTTGGAGCTATCGTAGGGATGATCAAGCACATGAACATCAAGGTAGCTTTTGGTTATCAAATACTTTCCACATTTGATTCTTGTTTTTTTTGGGATACCAAGAATTTATATATGAACCTAAAACCCATAATATTTTCTGGCCGGAGATCATAGCATGTCAATTTAGTTACTTTCTTAAGTACACACCCTTGGTATAAAATTAACGATTTTTCTTATAATAATTTATATTTTTGCTTTGTTGAAGATGGTGTGGAAGTTAATAACAATGGAGATGTGGATGATGTTTACACACTTGAGTTCTCAGAAAATGAACATAATGAGAATCATTCCGACAAGATAAACAACAACGATCACGACACAACGAGTTCCCCACGTTTTGAGATCGTTAAGAAAGTTGAGGTTACTCAAGGAATGTTTATTACAACTCGTCAGGTAACAAATACATTCTTTCAACAGATCGTACCATCACAAACCGTTATAGTTTACATAAATCCAACCGGTGCCGACGAACGTTGTCATGAAATGACACAAAAGGAGGATGTTCATGTCCTTAAAAAGGTCAATCCGCGGATCGAAAGCATAGTCTCAAGAATTCTAGGACCGTGGAGAAAACTTTCGAATGTTCTTTGTTTCATCCCTACGCTTTTATTGATGCGTTGTGTTCATCAAGGAGGTAACTCTAACAAAAACCGAAGAAGTGAAGGAGATTGTAATGATCGGGGGACAATACTTATGATGAAAAATGGTGTGGTGAGAAGAAAATCTTGGACGAAGAAGAAAGAGAAAGGTATGGGTGATGAAGAAGGTTTGAGAGTTCAAGATAGCTTTATGTTGAAGAAGTTGGGGCTTTCTCTTGCTATTATCTTAGCAGTTTCTATCATGTGTCTTATGTAATTTAAATATTGAAGTTCAAAATATCATATATGGCTTTGCACTTATTTAATGTAGTCATATTCGTCTAGGATGGATGGGTTTGTTCTCTTTTACTTCTTCTTTTTTTTGTTTTTCTTTTTTTCCGAACCAAACTAAATTGTTAGTATTATCTGTGGTTTACATCATGGAAGCTATTTATTCTTCCTTCTTTTAATCAACCTATGTCATCTCGATTGAACCAATCAACTTTTTTTAATATTGTGATGTGTATATTGGAAGACAAAGTTAATGGATTCATACCAAACACACTAATATATTACGACCATCTGACTGAAGTATGCGTGGCACTTAGGTTGAGTTAAGGTTTAAGAACTTCTTGGCTTATTACTAGACAATTGTTGGATCATGAAATGAACCACCGCTAATCCAACACTGTTGATTTAACCACACTTTGCCACACCTTGACCACATATGCAAAAAAATGAAAGTTTTATGATCTTAGCTGGTAATCCACAGCTAAATAGCCAGGAAATATAATTATGTCTATAAAATTAGCAGTGGATAGTCCATGGCCGAAAATAGAGGAAAAAAGCTTCGATTTGCCTCTGATAACCACGAAGATTTCCCTGGTAAGTGGTAACAAACATTTTACGTACAAATAACCAAGTCATCGTGATTTTTTATTTTTTGTGCAATGGAATTGCAACCGCATGCCAAAGGCCCATTTTGGTTTTTGTTGTTAAAGGCTACAGGCCTCATTTACTAACTCGCAAGTACAAACTCATTCACAATTTATACTACTTTGCAGAAACATTATTTGCATTATCTCTTAGGACATGCGAAATCTTGGAGTCGAGCCAATGTTAATGGGGATGGGATGCACGTGGTGAGGGCCGAGGAGTAATGGGTAGAGACAGAAAATCACAAGAAAGCGAAAGTGTTAAGTATTCAAACACAAAATGACAAATCAGTATCGTGCACTCTTCACGGGTCACCTCTAGCATGCTCACTTTCAATCAAAATCTCACTTTCCATTTCCCTTTATTATAAAAAAAAATATATAGTAATAAGAAGTCCTAACCAGTTAACCACATAGTGGATGTTTTTTTTTTTTGGGTTTTACTATGGCACTAGTGTTTCTAATTAAATAATGGATGCATATATGTATTTACTCATACGTAAGGAAGTGGAGTGAGGCAAATATTCCATCTGAGTTCCAAAATTGCTAAAAAATTAAACGAAAAACAAAAACTACATTCCAAACAGAATTTGTAAGATATAAGAAAGTATTCCTTGCAAAAAGACAACAACAACAATAAAAATCTCTCTCTCTCTCTAAAATAATCACGAAGAGCCAATCTAAATTCCAAAAGGGTTTATTTGATTTTGTCCTCTTTCTTCATCACCAAGCATAATTCTCAGTGATAATGTCTTCATCGCCTTCTTGTTCTTGGCCACTGAGTTTATTGTTGCTACTACTGTGGTGCATGGTGGCGAGACAATCAAACGGAGCTTCCAACAATGTAAAAGTGGGAACCATTTCAAAGGTAGAAGATGCTGATAATTTCCATATTTATTATGGACAAACCTTCAAAGTCATCAAGAACGCCATTGATGGCAAGAGCTATCTCCTTATTCAGGTCCTTGCTTTTTTCTCATCAACTTTGCCTTTCTTTTTAGTTTCCAAATGTGTGGTTTGTGTCTGAAAAATAAAATGTAATATGTAGAACACTTCTAGAATGGCGGTTCGGACAAAGTACTGTACTTCTAGGATAAAGTCCTATGTGATTCCACTTGTTAATTACTCAATAGACACTCAATCTTCTCAAGGTATGCTCTGTTTCAATACTCTGTTTCAATACTTGACTCTGTTCCATTTTAGATCTCTCTGTTTTTGCTTATTCAGGTGGCGTTCCGGTTTCTTTCTTTGAGGTAAACACTCCTCTCTAGCTTATTTAAATATTTTGGCTTTTTGTTATATCAAATGTTTGCTTCTCAAGAAACATTAGCTCTAGAGTTTGGTTGGTACCAGTGCAAACAAATCTTAGTTTCTTTGTTTGAGGATGTGAAGAAAACAAACTTTTTTGATTATATCCGCAGCTACTTGGATTACTCGGGAGCTTGAAAGGAATAACATCGGATGCAGTAGCTTCACCGTGTGTTCTGAAACTGTTTGAGGCAGGGGAAGTAGTAAAGCTTGAAAAAGGTGAACAACAAGGGCAGCTTTTGTCTCAATTCTCAGCGCATTTCATCAGCGACACCGATCAACCTCAAACTTGCAATTTTGCAAACTTTTTTCCACTCAGCGAAGGCACACCTCTTCAGGTAACACTCACTATCTTTGTATAGCCCTAGACCTAACCAAGGTGATAAACATTTCACATCTTGATTTGAGTTTTTAAATGGTTTTGTAATCTTGAAAAAGCGCGCGGAATGGATCAAGTTTCTTGGAGCTTTTACCAATCTTGAAACTAAAGCCAATCAAGTCTATGAAGCGGTAACTATTAATCCATGCTTCTTTTTTCGCGAAATCTGTCTTGTAGAGCCTATCCTTGCTTGTCTGTAAAGTATCTTATGGATCCTTGTAGGTCAAAGAAAGCTATACTTGCTTGTCTCAAATGGCAGCCAACAATACCAAATCCTTCAAACCGATTGTAGCTTGGATGGAGTATGATTATAATGTACGGAAATATTCCTTTCACTTTTTTATGATGACATTTCCAAACTAGTTTGAAGTTCTTGCTAAGTTTCTATCCGGTATAAATTTTAGCCATACATTTTTATTTTGAAGAATATGGGTCCCTAGTTGCAATTAGACTGTCTTATTTCTTATCATTCAAAGATGAATGTGTATTTGTGGTTTTAGACTAATAGCAAATATGGTTCATCTTGAAGGGAGGTGTTTGGTGTTTCACTAAGGAACCACATAAGCTAAAGGTACACAATTCAGCATTCATCACCACTCTAAATTCTTTGTTTGAACATATTTGAAACTTAAAATTATGCACACAAATACAACAGTTTGTAGAAGATGCGGGTGGCGAAAATATTGACAAATCTATAAACAAGATCTCTTACAATGTCTCTGATCCTGATGATTTGGAAGCAATCCATGCCATTTTATGCGTAAGCCTATCTTACTTGCAATGATTCTTTCTCATTAGACAAGAAAAAACATATCCATGCCATTCTTTGCTTAGCCTCAAAACTTTGATTTAACAGACTGTGGATGCAGTGATCGATGAAACACTATCATCTGATCCTCAGAGTTACACACAGCAAACGTTCTTGGGGAACATAAACCTGGAAGATAACTCATGTTTTGCGTTTAATCAGAGCATATGGAGATATGACAAAAGAGTCAGCAATGGAACAACTCTTGGTAAGAAAGTCTTATAACATTTTTTTAGGTTTTTATTGATTTGAGCCGAAATATGTTTTGTGTTTTGAAAATGAGAAGATTGGTACGATGGAGCTATTTCTCAACCAAATCTTGTACTGGCTGACATTATTGAAGCCTTGTTTCCAACTGGAAATTACACAACCTCCTACTTCAGAAACATTGCCAAGGTAAAAAAACCTAACTTCAAAATTCTAAGCAGTAATGTTATGGTGGGATCCAAATTATGGAAATTAAACATGATATTGGACTAAACTTAATATTCAATTGGACGAATATATGTAGAAGAATGAGATATTTGATAGAGAAAAATTTATGTGTAGAAGAATTTACAGCTTGGGACAAATATTTGTAGCTAGGAAGGCTATAAGTACCTCTTCACCTTTTCAATTAGTACCTAAGTAGAAAAACTAGAAAAAAAGGTAATCAAGTAGAAAAAGTATAATCAACGCAATATCCATAATCATTATAGTGTTTTTACATTTTATCAGAATCATAGTATTAAACTATGGTTTGACTCAATACAACATGTCAAGATCCATACATACACACAATTGAATGAACTAGATTTCAAGGAAATATTTATCATTTTCATTGGTTTTAGATTGCATATTTTTCTTAATCTCATTCTTAAACATGACAGGGTGAAGGAGTCATAAACATCAGTTCTAATATGTGTGATAGAGACGCATCATTGCCTTTAATTCCAACCATTCCAGCTTGTGGATGATGTTCTTATACTTTCACAACTCCAAATATTCCCCAAGACACGCCGAATATTTCATTCAAGTCTCTTATTCAATTGGAGTAGCTGGTAATGATTTTAATCTTGTCCTAAATTACTGGGGAAACGACATGTAGGTTCTTAGCTTTTTTTAATTTATTGTTAAATCGTATGAAATATCTTAGCTTGTGTCTCACGGAAATGACATGCAAGCTTAGCTAGTGAGGAAACGACTCTTTCTTTATCTCCACCTCTCTGTTTATTTATAAGCAAGCGTGAATAAAGGAGAGAAGAACTGTGTTATCGGTTGAGATGTGGTTACTTGTAAGAAACGCTGAAACACTTGTGACGATTCTCCTACGCAATTTCTACAAGATTTTTTGTTTCATAAGATTGATATTGGGGAAGAGTCGGTTTTGAACGTTTGAGAGACCAAATGGTCTCAAAAACGATAGATAGGCTTACGCATAAAATGGCATGGATTGCTTCCATTTCATTTTTAATCACTCGTTCATCGATCGTTATGCAAACGCATCAGACTCCTGTCCCATTATTTGGTATTAAAAGCTGAAAAATTATATTGTTTCTTACAGAGAATAAAGCTCCTTAATATTACTTTTTTTACAAAAAATTGTGTTTCAAAAGATATCTTTATAGTTACTTAAATAAACATTTTTAATACTTTTATATAATGTATTAACAGTTTCATATCTTGATAGTTAATATAAGTTTTTGAATTTCGAATATCCATACTCACTTAATTTGTGACATTATACCATCTGTGGATATATCTTATAGGACAGGTATTTCTTTCCTTTATATTTATCATTCTAACATTATCAACATGATCCTTAATAATAAGATTCTAGCTTGCTTTTAATCATAATTTTTTTTAAATTGACATTTTCTTATATATAAAATCGGTAGGAAATTCTTAATTGCATTTACAGGAAGAGTGCAATTAACGATCGGTGAAAGCCTCACATGTTCATGATGAGGATAAATCGCAAGGAAAAAAAAAACAAAAAGGATCTAGGTATAGTAATAGTAGTACAAACAAAAATTTGAAAGACTTTAATATAACTCAACTAAAAATATGAAAAGTCTTGAGGAATACCAAAGGGCTCAGAAACGACGCTCCTTCCTGCCTTAATTTAGGAATGTGGAAAGTCTTAATTTATTTATGTAGCTTCACATCGAAAGAAGGAAGGGATATAAACCCTTGAGAAACGTTGGTCTGCATGCGTAAAGACTTTCTTGTAAATTGATTGGTATTGGAACTCGGAAGATAGAGAGGGCCAATTAGAGGAGGTGAAATAAATAGATGGGCCACTCTTCTACTGTTATATTACAAATAGATTACCATTTTCCGGCAAAGACATTACATTTTCTCGGCGAAATCACGATCTACAGACCTGGTAAGTGATTGAATTCCCTCGGTTAAAAGTTAAAACACTTTGGCTTCTTGTTCTTCATTCTATTTTTTTTTCTTTTGATAAACCTTGAAAACCCTAAAACTGTCCATGTGGTTTAGTCTCTTGTTAGTTCTTATTATGGTTTTGTAATGCAGATATCGTTGGATGGCTACGAGGCGGGGGATGAAGGGAATCGATAGGATAAGTGAATTACCTGATCCGTTGATATGTCAGATTCTTTCTTATCCTTCCGTGAAGGACGCTGTTAGGACAAGCGTTTTGTCCACCAGATGGAGGAGTCTCTGGCTTTGGGTTCCTAATGTGGTACTGTATTCCCGAGATTTCCCAGATCTCCATGTCTTCAAGAGTTTTGGGGACAGGTTTTTCAACTGCGGTATGACGTCATGCATACAGAAGCTCCAGTTATCTCTTTTCGACAATGAAAACGAATCTTATCTCACGTCTTGGATTGATGCTGCAAGTAAGCGCAAGCTCAGGCATCTTGATGTTTGGTGTGTTCCAGATTATCAAACTTGTGAGATCCCCATAAGCGTTTACACATGTGAGACACTTGTAACCCTAAATCTCTGTGAGGTGATCTTGCGTGATGCTGGCTTTGTTTCCTTACCATGTCTCAAGACTATGCGTTTAAGAGATTTACGGTATCCCGATGATGCCACCTTTGAGAGACTTGTCTCCTGCTCTCCTGTCTTGGAAGAGTTGGAGTTTTCCGGATATTTTGATGTTTCTCGAGTCTTTCGGGTGCACACTCCGTCACTGAAGAGTCTCAAAACACAAATATGGAACCGTGATGGTATGTTTCAAGTTGTGATCGATGCTCCTCAGGTACGGGTTTTGACGATCTATGACAACGACTCTGGAAGTTATATAATCAAGAACTTGAGTTCCAGTTTCAAGCTTGATATTCTTCTCTCCTTTGGGAAATGGGCTGAGGAAGAAAGGGTTTCATCTATGAGAAATAGAATCCGCCACTTCCTGCCCGGGATTTCAAACGTTGGGGAAATGAAAATCTATGTAGGAACTGTGAAGGTATGTCAATGGTTTATATATAAGTTTTCTACATAATGAAAGTCTCTTCTTCTTACTCATACTATTGTGTCTGGTTTCAGGTCTTTGGTCACTATTTCAAATTTGAAAGACTGCCTCAATTTTATTACTTGTCCCGCCTGGTTGCTAGAGTCAATGTATCGGATTTAAAATGGTTGCCAACATTTCTCCAATCCTGCCCAAATATTAAATTCTTGGCTATGGTGATGATCTGCTATAATCATATGATTTTTTTCTCATTTCTCAGAAGATTCCTTGTATCTTCTTGTCATTGAATTTTAATCCTCTTGTTTTTTTTTCCTTTGTTTCTTCAGAGCTTAGTTTATATGGGTGGTGGTAAGGAGGTCCGTCCGGAGGAGGTAGAGCATTTCAGTTTTTCATATGTGCCAGAGTGTTCACTATCGTCGCTAGAGTCTGTTGATATCCAAAGCAGCATCAGAGGAACCGTTGCTGAGATGAAGCTAGTAAGGTACTTTCTTGAGAATTCCATAATTCTCAAGACACTGACTCTAGACTTGAAATATCGTGAAAACGAGTATGCCATCTTGAAGGAACTCCTGAATATCCCAAGACGCTCTATCACATGCCAAGTCTTGGTACGTTGATTGGTAAAGACTAGAGAGAGAGAGAGAGAGAGAGAGAGAGAGAGACATTTGAGGCTTGTGCTCTTGGAACACAAGAAATAGGGATTTGTTTATGATTATGTTTTTTGGGACACAAGAAACAGGGCTTTGTTTATGTTTTTTTTGGACGAAAAAGGGATGAAAACTGTTAAGCTATGTTTGCAAGAAATCATCTTGTTTTTTTAAAAAAATCGGTTGGTTATTTTTTGTTAAGTGAAATTATAAGTCAATCGTGGTCCATCTTGAAAGACTATTAAGGTTGTTTATGAACAAGTTAAGCAACCAAGTGTGTTAGTCTTTTGTTATGCACCTTTGTGCTTCTTTCTTTGTTGTGTGTGTTTGTTTTTTTAAAAAAATTTGGATACAATTAGTCGTCATGCACAAATATTAATAGGTAAATAAAAGCAGGGATCAAAGGAAGATATTCATATGAACATTTCTACAACTTTTTTTTTTATAATTGAGAAATATAACTTTGTTTTGAGAAATATAACATTACGTGTCATCAATGATCACACTATTCGTTAATAATGAATACTTCCACGTAAAAGATAATTAGAGTACAACTTTCCTATAAGTCTTTCTTTCAAACTGGCTTAACCTCTCCGTCGATGGAGAGGTCCAAAACCAGATCGGGCTTAGTCTCTCCATCTCTAACGACATCACTTCTTGAAGAAGTCATCATCGATATCATAGCGCGTGTGCCAAAATCGTATTATCCAGCTCTCTCACTCGTTTCCAAGCGTTTCCGGTCAGTCATTACGTCACCTGAGCAATGGAAAAGTAATCGTTAAAGTTTTGCGTATTTCGAATAACCTACTTTTAAAGATGACATACCCGTCGTTTATGTTGCAAACTTGCAATAACAAATAAATTTTGTTATTTTGTTTCAAATATTTATCTAGCGTTTTACTCCCATAACTCATTTTTTTTTTAATATTAATATTATTATAATAACCCAAACCGGGTATTGGAGCTGGTTACATAAGATTGTACCGAAGATAATAGAACCGAACCGAAATTGAAAACTCTAGTCACAGAACCGGAACCCTTTGTAAAAAAGTGAGAAATGATTTTTGTCTCTTCCGCCTCCCATGTGCCTCACCGGCGGCTGTAAGAAAGAAGCCTTGCGATCGCTGCTTACCCGTCGTCAACAGCCGGAGAGCCGACTCCAGCCACCAAGTCAGAGCCGGCAAGCAACCTGATCCCAGCCTCTCTCTTCCGATGGGTTCAGGTCGGGAGAAGAAGACCTCAGCCAATAACCGAAATACACCACCGTGAAATGAACTAGAAACTTGAAATGGATCTCCGAAAACAGCAACTAGGTAACAAAAACACCGATTCCACCAACTGAAACCTCAGATCCGGTAAAGGAGACAATGCAATCCGACAAGAGAATAGTCTTACCCACTCACCACCGCCAAAACTGCTAGACCGCGAGATCGAAACCGACCACCGCCGCACCTCCTTCACGCGTGATGGCACCCACCAGACCAGAAACAGTGATTTCTGCCACGGGCCGCAGCTTCCAAACCGCCGCCGAGACTTCTCCTCCCTGCTCACCACGCTGCCGCCCTCAAAACAGCTCCGGAGCTAGAAAGAAAAGCAAATTGCTTCACACCGGAATTCCGCCGCAGCTCCGCCTCACCGCACTGGTTGAACGACGCCTCAGCACCACCGGAGAAGAGACAGTCAGTCCTCCGACAAACCCTCGCAACCTGCATCCTTCATTCAAGCCAAATTAAACCTCCCTCTCACATCGCCGGTGAAGAAACCGGACGGCGGAGAAGGGGGAAAAACCAGATCTACTTTTTCTCTCTAGCCTTTCTCTCTCTTACTTTCTCTCTCCTCACCGCGGTTGAGTAGTGGACTTTACGTAAAAAAAAAAAAAAAATGTATTACCTATTGTATTTTTTGTTTTTCCCATTTAATACTACTTCACGAGTGGGTACGAATTTGTTGTGTTGGTATATGGTTTTAAACTTTTAATGTCTATAGATAATGTACATAATCAAAGTACTCGTTCCTAGAACGACAGTTTTGTCTCTTTAATTAGGAAGACATGTGACCGATAAAATCAATCAATGGTATTGTTTGGACACTCTACGATTTCAGTGACATATCTTCATGGAATGTACCCATCCATCCTATGTTATTATATATACATACATAAAATGACTAGTTCTTATTTTGACTCGTATTCATTTTTTTCCTGGAGTAATTTGTGTTCGTATTACAAAATTCAAACTACGTCAAGAAAGTAAGACTTTTTAGTATGATCAGGACTTTAAATGAAAATATTCAAACAAAATATATGAGAAAGGGAACAAATTAAGGAAGGAAAGAGAAGGAGAATGTGAATAGGCTTGTAATGGATTGGAGATGCCTCATAATTTCTAAAAAGAAATGCAAATCGAGGAAGATAATACAAATAATCTTATTGAACATCTATAATCTATAATAACATTATAGGAGCTGCCTGGGGCCTCTCAAGGCACCCAGCTCAGCACTTTTTTGCTTCTCTCCCACGCTGCCACGTCACCTTTTACTAATTTTTTGTTTTGCAAAGTTTGTAGGCGTTTCTGTGGAGCCCATGTAAGCCCATCTTAGGTTTTTTATTTAGCTCTCCTTTCTTAAAAATAAATCATTGAAGCCCAATTGCAAAAATTATGTTCTTTTTTCGCCGATTCTTCTTCTTTTTCGTCACAATCAAACGATTCTTCTCCTTCTTCTTATTCCCTTCCGTTTCTCATCTCCAATGCCCACTCAAATTTTCGAATTTATGGCTGCTTCTGTTGAACTTCTCTCTCTGCAATCCTATAAATCCCTCAGCCATCCAACCCACGAAATTCATCCAAATCTGAAAAGCTCTTTCTCCCTCAACCCTGAATTCGTCTTTGCCCAATCTAGCGATGGCCTCCATAGCTCTTTCTTCCTCTGCCAAGCCGCTCACTTTCCAGGTCCTCGACCAAATCCAAAGTTATTTAATTGTTGGAACTGTTATACCGCTCATTTGCTGTTTATCAATCCAGCAAGAGATCGGTTATAACATCTTAGCAGCAATGAAATATCCTAAAAGGTCTCCCAAACGAAAGAATTTCAACAAATTTAGTTATCGATTTTACTGGTCCGATTTGTTACTGCTACGTTTTAGTTAATGTGACTTACTGTTGGTTTAGTTTACAATTTCAATGATTCAAAGTTTCAGGTACATGAATGCTATCCTCATTTGGGTTTTAAAAAAAAATTGATTAGGTGTAAGGTGTAAGGATGGAGAGGGTGAGCTAACTCCATAAGCATGTCATCTAGGTTCTTTGGAGACGGCAATTCACACAGTGAACATAGATCAGGTACGACACAACAAATGTTTTCATCTGGCTTTGATTCTCTGGCTTTGAAATGTACCAAAGTAGTGTGAATGGTTTTCAGGAAACAAGCTGATCCAGCTTCTCAATCAACCTCCAAAATTCTATTAGAAATCCAATTATTAACCATCAGACTTTGGAGGTATGTTGTGTCTTTCTGTCTATGCTAACTGGCATTGTTTACATCAATGTTTTGTACTCAATATGTTCTCTCCTCCAATTTCGCCTAGAATTAGATTCCAAACATCTCCTGCAATTTGGTATTGGTTTTATTTCTTCTTAGCTATCGAAGTTTTAACTATCAACATTCTGATCTTTGATGAGTTTTTCAGTTTTCGTGGTTGGTTCTTAGAAGAGTTTTTATAAAGGTCATCAATAGCTTTCAGGTTTTTGTCTTAAGTTACTTCTTTCATTGTATCCCTGAATCTCATCTTCATTATGTCCATTCAAAATGGCTTAATCCAAAATTGTTGTGAAAACTGTTTCTGAGTTTAAAATTTTGGCAACTAACAAAGAAAGTTTGGATTCGTTTTGGTTTACAAGACTCTCCAAAGGATGTGGGAACTGTGTTAACTGACCTAGGAGGTGTGGCTTCTGGAGTTTCTGGAGGGCTCCGTCACCCTTATTCTCCAAAAGGTAAATGAAATATTCCATCTGTGAAGCTGGTTCCTCCTTAGACTTACTCTGATTCAGTCTAGATTCGAATATACTTTTTAAAACGTTGTAAGTTCCATCGACTTTCGAAATTTTGTCCAGGCATGGTGCTGGGTGTTGGAGAGAATGAGAGAATGTTTAGAGCTCTTAAATGTTGCCGAGACATCAGTTTCTTCTTAGTTCTTCCATTTATACATCTCCCCGGAGAAGGAAAACTTTATCGTGAGTTTCAAAAGTTTTATGGTTTGAAGGAGGTTCAATCACTATAACATTCTCAATCGAGACCTGATTATTTGTTCTCTTTTAAACTGGCAAACTGTTTTCTACTACAGGGAAATTTGAGACCAGCAACGAATGCAAAGGCGTTGGGTTTATTGAGTGATGTAAGTTATCATAGACTCAGATAACCCCATTCATACACATTTGTTTAGAATGCTCGAAACAGCCGTGCCTATTGTGTAGTAGAGACTCTTTACAAAGATGGTGCCCAAAATCTTATCACCAGTCTATGTTGTCGTTGAACCGCAGCTTCTATTTTCCAGGAGCTATGAATGATAATCCGCAGCGCTATCTCCAGGTTTGGACAAAAACATAAAGAACACACTTTCTTAATTTATATGTTAACACCAAGCTTTCATGAAGTCCTCATGTTGTGAGTTTTCACATTTTTAGCTACATGATCTTTGTGTCCGTGTTTCTTAAGCAAAATGGTAACTCTACGTTTGCATTAGATGAGGAGATTTTTAAAGTTCTTCTGAATTGTACCATTTGGCTATTTGCTGATATTGATTTGCTTCTATTTACGACTTAAATTTCAGTTTCTTATCTATATTTGGTAACATTTTAAAGACAAGGAGAGGATTCAGACTTTTGCTGAGAAGCCGAAGGAACTGGGACAAGTTTTAATGCAATGATATGGAGGCTGGAGGGAGGGAGAGTGATGATTATCGCCTCAGATTGACAGAGAATGAAGTAGAAGATTTGGAGGAATATGAGTAGCTAAATAAGCAAATTGACGATTTCTTTGGTGAAGAAGCTGAACTTGAAGATAGTCAATAAAAAATACTCATGAAATGTCTTTCACAAACCAATGTTGACAAGGAAGATATATTGTTAGGTCTTTCAAACCTCAATGGATTGAAATGGTATTCAAAGTAAGGATGGTTTGTTAGCTGCCAAAGAAATTTTTTTCTTTTTCCTATTTTCCTTTTACATTTTTCTGTCATTTTGTTTGTTCATAGTTTCAAGGTTTGACATATAATACAAGTATAGACAGCATCTACGTTTTAAATCAATAATTTTTATCTTCTTTCATCATCAACATGCTTTATAAATGTACTTTTTCACATTTCTAAATTATATTACTTTTTGTGTTTACAACTGTGTTTTCTATGTTATCGTGCCTTTTAACAAATTCCCTCCTTTATAACTGGGGCGGAGGGAGTATTGTTGATACTTTTCAAAATAAAACTTCCAAAGTGTACATTCAAAACAGTTAAACATTAGTAGCTCGAAACCTTTTTTTTGGGATAAAAGCTGAAAACCATTTTTTTGTATGGATAAAAGCTCAAAACCGGTTCTGTTTCTACACATGTTGTATTCTTAATGATTTTGCAATCTTTTTCTAAAAACATATTCATCAAAATATATTCTTCATATAATTAAGTTTAGGTAACAAAATTATCTTAAAAAAAACCCACGCGTAGCATGGAATAACCCTAGTATAACCACAATCTATTTATAATCAACACACTAACATCTTTATGTTGCTCCAGGAGTTGACACCTAGAATTTTTCAAATTTTTTCAGACTGACACCTCATTTAAAACCTTCAACCAATAAAAATATTTTAATTAATCACAGTCAGCATTTGTCTTGGTTTATTTGGCCACATATTCATCCGGTTTGGTTCATTCTATTTCTCCACATTTAAGTGGTCCGGTTTGGTTACATCTGATCCAGTCTTCTTCGACAATTTCAAGCTCATTCTGTCTTTCTTTCGCGAAAAAGACAACGATACACGAATCTCGGATTCGATGTTTTCCGATTTCATTCTCTCTTCTCCGTTTCATTGTTTGGTGTCCGATGCTCGGCGATGGTTCCTGACGGTCCTCATAATGACGGCAGGTTCTCTTTGTTCGTCGATCTTAATTTCAGATCTTAGCTTCGATATTGGTTAGTGTCGATAGCTCATCATAGGGATGTGATGAAACTTCTTCGTTCCCGGATGGAGACGGCACGACTTTTGGGTGACTACAAACTTGGCCCGAAAATCGGGTGTGGTTCGTTCTCTGTGGTGTGGCTAGCGAAGCATCGATCGTCTGGTTTAGAAGTCACCGCGAAAGAGATTGATAAGAAACTGCTTAGCCCTGAAGTCAAAGGTAAATCTTCTTAAGGACATTTTTATGCTCAGCACAATCGATCATATCTGATTCTACGAAGCTATTGAGGTTTAATTTTGTCAAGTAAAAGTGAATGTTGGATTATTCCGCTGAAATCAAAAGTGAAATTGGGGATTTTGTTGATTTTTTTGTAGACTGGAGATAAAAGATTTCTTGTATAGGAGTATTGTAGTGGAGGTAATCTTTCTGGATACATCATTCATTCTCCATGTTTGGAAGTAGTTATTGAAAAGAAATGAATCAGCAAGAAGTAGACGAGAGGAAAATGAACAAGGTTGTTGAAACATGTCTCAGTCAATTGAGATGAAGTAAATATACAAGAAAGAGAATAAAAACAAAGTCAATGAAACTTTCTAGGGATTTGAGTCATGTTCGTAGCTATTATCTTAATACAACAGTTATGAGTACCATGTGTTCTTTCCTATCTTGAGTAAGCTTAAGCTTGATTTAGCATATGTTCTGAGAGAGAAGGTTGTAGGGGGAGAGAGAAGTAATGGAGTTAGGAGTTAAAATGGATGTAGGTTTGAAGTTTGCTTAAGAGTCTTAAGTTAGAGGTTGACGTTGCGAACGAAGAACATGTTTTGGTTGAATTGGCAAAGATCGAACCTTTGAAGGACCGTAAAGAGGTCGAACAGCAGAGAGATAGAGAAAGGAAGGAATTGTTTGATTCAGTAGAGCAGAGACTCAGTTAAAGCTTGTCAAACCGATGAAGAGGAAGGTTCAAAGGAATGATAGTATGTTGTGGTCTGGTCAGTATGTCGAAAGAGGGAAAGACAATTTGTCGGTTTTGACTTTTGAAAGAAGCAACATAAGAGAAGAAAGAAGAGCTCGCTTTGTTAACGCATAGCTCTTTTGTCTTGTCAATATATAGTTTAGTGTCTGCAGCTGAAGAAATTTATAGGGGAAATTTCAAAACTACAAATTTTCAAAAATACACCTCTATGGTGTTTATTTTCAAAACTATACTTTTTTCATGGAGTAAAAGAACTCTAAACCCTAAAATATAAATCCAAAACCCTAAAATCTAACATTGAACCTTTAAATCTAAACCCTAAAACCCAAAATCTAAACCCTAATTTAGGATTAGTGAACCCAAACATATATATTAAAACTAGAAAAAGATGTATTTTTGAAAATTTTCACACTATAGGTGTAGTTTTGAAAATTTGCACCCCAAAAGGTGTATTTCATAAAATTTCTCTTTATAAAAAGGATACAAATGAAGAAGCTTTCGTCCAAAAAAAAAAACTAAACAAAGGATGAAATAATAGTAAAGTGTGCGTAATTTGAGTGTGAAAAAAGTAGTAGCAGCCAAGCAAATAACATGTTTTATGTGAAAAATAGGAAACTGTATTTTCTGGCAATTTCTATAGTATGAAAGCAAATAACATGTTTTCTGACTAAATAGAGAACTAATTTTTCTATAATGACTCATTAAAAATGAATTAAAAAATTTAAGAAGAACATTGGTAGAGTGACAAAACACTCGAAATGGAAAAAAAAAAATAATAAGCTGAATTTAGCTTCTGTAGAAGAGAAAGTGTTGATAACTCGCTCTGAAGTTTACCAAGAATTTAAATATATCCAAATTCAAAAGTTGAAATAAAGTTTTCCAAAACATAAAAACCTAAAAAAATTAAGATAAGTGATGATGACCTCTGAAGAAAGTAGCTATTATCAAATAACATATAAATATCATAATATAATAGGATTTTACTAGAATAAAGTTAAAAATAGTGTTTACTTTATAAAAAATAAAATTACAAATTTAAAAATAGTCTTTACCTCATTTGATATTTTCTCTAAAATTATATATAGGACACTAAAATAAGAAAAAAATATATAATCAAGCGGTGCACGGCTATTTTATATTTTCTTTTCAAATAAAAATTACAAATAATGATCTATGAAATATTAAATAACTGTTCCAAATGACACTAAAATAAAAGAGATATGTTTAATTTTATTTTTCATATATTTTTCAAAACTCTCAATTTTAATTATGATCATTTTAACCGACCGCAGAAATATTGGATACAGACGGTAAACAAAATATTAGTAAAAGAACAAATACATTATCCTTTTCAACTGGGCTTATACAACAAAAATAAAGAAATTCCAACAACCAAGCCCAAACAGTTAAAATTCATCATTAAATAAAAAACATAATATTTAGTCTATAAAAAAAAGAGCCACCGCGGCCTTGTCCACCACTAGTACATTATAGGATTAGGAGCTGTCTGGGCCTCTTAGGCCATCCAGATCAGCATTTTTTCTCTTCTTTCCCACACTCCGCCACGTCACCTGCTTCAATAAAAACTTCCTCACGTGGCGTAAAAGAATTATCAAAACGAAATTTATAGACTCAAATCCAAGCCCAGTTAGAAATATTGAAGCCCAACTAATTAACATCGTCATCTTCCTCGCTTCTCCTAAATCGATTCGGCTTCCAGTCCCACCAGTTACAGCCACCATTGAAACGACTCAATTATAAAATCGATTCCGCTCACTCTTCAAGTCTGTAATCAATGGCCACTATCTCGGCATTCCAAGCTCGCTATAAAACCTCCCTCCCTACATTTCCCCCACCACATCATCTCCCTCGAAAAGATCTTAAAAACCACCAATAATGACCCCGCCTCCGGCTACGACAAACGCTTCGATCACGCCAACTTACAAGACGTTCGACGACCTTGAAGGCAAGTTTTGGGAGTGGAACTACTCCTCCTCGACACGAAGGTATGCAGTTCACATACTCTTGATTTCTTTCTAATTAAAAGTTATCCTGATATCTCTACAGTCAACAACAATACAGGGATTCATATCGGTGAACCGACTTTCTGGGTACAAAGACGTGTTGAAGGCGAACTCAATTTACAAGCTGGATCAATCCTTGCAAAACTCTGTACAAAGTGTCATCCACAAAATATGGCATCTCCTCCCTTAACATCTAAAATCCCGTAAGCTAATTCACCATACGAACTCAAAGTGTTTTGATTATGACCACAGTTAACGAAAAATCTACTTGACTTACTTATATAGGCTGGCTTGCGAGAGCACAAAGCCTCGGTTCTGGTGGTTGTTATATTTAGAGGATTTTGAGATGGTCTTCGATTCAAATTGAGAAGTTGAAAAAACATTGGGGGTTCTTGGTATCATTCAAGATCAATTGATGGATCATTTTTGTTGTCAGAGGAGAAGATGCCATGGAGAAAGATATGAAGGATGGTAATAAAACGAGAGGGGTGGTGATGGAGTCAGGAGTCTGCAATTTCTGCATCATTGTATTGTTCTGGTGTTGTAAAGAGTGATCTGATCTTGGTGGGGTAGATGGAAAGCGTCAGTTCTGGAATTGGGTTCATATCCATAACTTTGTAATTTTGAATGTCTCATCTATCTTATCAATCACGGAAATATTGTAATTTTGGAAATCATTTTTCGACACATTTTTTTAATGCATCTTTTTCTTCTCAAGTCCATCACCGTGTTCATGTTATCCTTGTGAAGTCCATCACGGTGTTCAACTGAAGCATGTGATGAGTTCTCTTACTCAAAAAGGGTCATAGTGCTACTCCAAGAAGTCTGCACTCTTGGCAAATTATATTTTGAATTTTCATTTAAACCCATCGCTGGTAAGTTTACTCTTTCTTTCTTCCATCCATGTGACTATGGTTAGTTTCTTTCCCTCTTTTTTTTTTTGGTGGTTAGTCTCCAACGAGATGGGATTATAACTACTAATAAGTCTACCATCCAGAAAATTGTAAAACTGGAGGTGTTTAACTGTTTATATGTCCGTATTTTATTGATGATGAACTAATTTACATTATAAGCGTAGTCAATAGCAACTCCATTGGAGAGTTTGTGGCTTTGTATAACTTAGATATTTAATACAACAAGAATTGCAAAACTGTAGGTGTTTCCAAACTCAAGAACCCCTTCTTTCAATTCATCTCCAACCATTATTCTTTTATCATCATCATCCAACATATTTTTGGTACCATGAAAAATATCCTGTCGCAGCATTTCCACTCATTGTAACCAAATCAACCAAACTCCACACTATTTCAAATCTTCGATAGTGATTGCTGGCAACGTAGCTTTTTTAATGCTATTATTTAACCCCAAAAAAGTCACCACATTTCATACATAGTAGTAATCTATCCAACTAATAAATGGTGACTCTTAGACATTTCATATTTCTACATAATCATATAGATATTTGTAATGGTTTATCGTATAAGTGAGTTTGGTTTTTAATCTGAGTATATAAAAGCGCTATAGGTATATGATTAAATAATAAGGAATGTTGGAAACCAATCTAGATTCAACTCAACTGTGATCATCAAGCGAAGCCAAAGCTAATCACCATCGTGTGAATCACCAAAACTATATGATTGTTACGTAAATGGCAAGTGATGACTATTGTTGTAGTATATAAAACAAAATCAAGTGAAAAGAAACAGTTGAGAGATGAGATTGTGTAAGAGGTTTAATCTTCATTGACAGAGACCGGATAGCATTCCAGTTGCAGCCTTAGAAAACCTTATAATCAAAATCTACGTTGAATACGTTTCTGTATTTCTTATGTACAAACACAACGCCACGATACAAAAATAATACCTTCCTAAAAATAATACACCCCTAAGATAAAATAATAGTATTTTACTCTTATTTTTACTATCAGAAAATATGTGTAATAAAATAAAACTACCCGCGCGTAGCGCAGAATTTCCTCTAGTAACATTTTGATAAGGGAAGGGACTCATGCATGGCGCATGCTACCACAAATGCATCATATCATTGCCATAATGGATGGACGTATCTCTTAGCTACACAAACTAATTTTAATTTGCTAACCTATGTTAATACACAAACTTTCCAATTTCGTAGGTTTGCAACTGTAATAATGAACTCCTTTAATATGTTAGACGAAAGTTTAAAAACGTCCTTAAGACCTTAAAAACATGTGAATTTAAGTCAATTTTAAAAAATGATTTTGCCATTTTGCCCCTATCATGTTTCCAGTAATTTAATTTATCCCCAACTAAATTAAAAAATCTTAAGTTGATTTATTCCCAAATATCTCCTCAACATTCTCCTCTTTATCCAAAACTTTTTTCATGCGCTGTCACAAACCCCAACCAAAGAAACAATTAAAAAACCAACACTCCCAAAACTGTGAGAAAAAGAATCACAATACAATTAATCGAAAATAGTTGTTCTTGAACATGAACGAGATAGGAAAATTAGGATTTTTTTTAAAGTAGTGGACAGTTCTCCTCCAACCTTTAAAATCATGAAATTCCGGCTGTTACCTAGCAAAGCATCAGTGAGATCAACAGTTTTACTATTAAAAATCAACAGTTTTACTATTAAAAATCACTTTTCGAGAATACGTATGGGTATAATCCAGTTTAGGGGTTTTTGTTTCATTAATTGAGGATAAATTAAAAATTAAGAGAAAAATGAAAGGAATAAATCAGTTTTTTATAATCGACATAAACTAATAAACTCATGTGTTTTGAGAGTTTTTCCCTTTAAATATTTTTTTTTGTTATTTATTTATATTCTTGGCCTGTTCCGCTTCCCCAAGTTTTTGTATTAATATCGTCGGACTCCTCAGTGCTCTCTTCACTCTCTACTCTTCTCCTCTCTTCTCTTTTCTTCTCTTCGTCAATCCTCGCTTCATCGCCGTCCTTTTCTCTTCCTCCCCGTTTCACGAAAGTTCCAGCCCAGGTTTCTTCTACTCTCTTTGAACTTTCCCAATGATTTTTAGAATCCTGTTTTCTTCTCGGCAGTTTCACGCTTTACTAACTGCATCTGTAAAATATTTGGATTTCGTTCGGTTCCTTGTCTTGCATGCGTGAATAGATTTTGTCACTCCTGTATCAGTTTCTTCTGTTTTGATCTATCGATATCCGATGCTGAAAGTTTTAGGGTTTTCTTAAGCTCATTCTTCTGCTTAGGGTTTCTCCTGCTCTTGAAGAAATTTCGATACCATAGACTCATTCTGCTAGAAATTGAGTCTCTTATGCTGCATGAACTATCCTGCTAAGTTTAGCTTTCTGATCTGAAATTAAAATGCCAAAACTGTTTCCATTTCTTAGATATTTTCTTTAGCTTTGTGTGATGAAACGAGCCTTCCTCTTGTTTGCTTGTTTCAGGATGAGTCTTTCATCTGATGAAGAGTATGAGTTCAGCGACTCAGAGATCGAAGAGTTTTCTGACACTCCGTACAAGGAAATACAGAATGGGAAATACAAAGTTAAGGTGAACGGAAGGCTGAGATGCCCGTTTTGTGCAGGCAAGAAGAAGCAAGATTACAAGTACCAGGATCTACGCGCACATGCCTCTGGGGTTTCCAACGGAGCTGCAAGAGGAAGTGCTAAACACAAGGCTAATCATCTCGCCTTGGCAAAGTATTTAGACAAGGATCTTGCTGGTGAGGCAGAGCCTCTTCCACGCCCTCCAGTCCCTTGTGTGAACAAGCCGGAAGCCAAACTTGGGGACGTTTATGTCTGGCCATGGATGGGGATCGTCATGAATCCCTTGAGAGAAGCTGATGGCGACAAGGAAGCTCTACTTGATTCAGGTTATTGGTTGAAGAGGCTCTCTAGGTTCAAGCCTGTTGAGGTGAATGCCTTTTGGGTCGAGCAAGATTCGGCTGTTGGGGTTGTTGCTAAGTTTAGCAGCGACTGGAGAGGGTTTGGGAGTGCAACAGAGCTTGAGAAGGAGTTTGAGAACCGAGGCTGCAGCAAAAGGGAGTGGATGGAGAAGAGAGGAGACTCAGAGGCAAAGGCGTTTGGTTGGTGTGCACGTGAAGAGGACTATAACGCTGGAGGGCCGATTGGGGAGTACCTCTCCAAGGAGGGAAAGCTAAGAACAGTTTCAGATATTTCTCAAGAAAAAAACCAGGATAGAAACATTGTCCTGGATGAACTTTCGAGTACAATAGATATGACAAATGAAGATCTGAACAAGGCTCAATACAGCTGTCAGATGACGGAAATGTCACTGAAGAGGGTCCTGCACGAGAAGAAAACCATGCAAGAAGCTCATGCAGACGGTATTTTAACTGAAACACACTTATTGTTTATGATTCACCTCTAGCTTATGTGTTACGGTTTCTGACTATTGTTTCTATTTTATCTCCTCAGAAACAAAGAGGCTGCAGCAGATTTCGCTTCTTAATACCAAGAGGATCCTATTAGAAAAACAGAGGCTAAGCGATGAACTAGAGCATGAGATTGCCGACCTGCAGGATAAGTCCAAAGAGTTGGACAAGAGGTTAGCACTTACTGAATTGGAGAGACAGAAGCTTGATGAAGACAAGAAAAAGGTACCATACATAGGAATCAATCAGTCTGTATGCATTTATGTTTTTCGTGGTATCAATACTCAGGTATTTATTTTCGTGGTTTGGCAGAGTGATGCTATGAGAAACTCCCTCCAGTTAGCCACCCGTGAACAGAAAAAGGCTGACCAGAGAGTGTTGAGACTTGTTGAAGAGCATCAGGTATATTTCATACTTCACAACTCAAACTCTAAAAGCCTTCCCTCGTTTGTCTCTTGAGTTGTAAACTCTTTCCTTGTTATGCATTTCAGAGGCAAAACGAAGAAGCTTTGGGCAAGATCCTTGAGCTTGAGACGCAGCTAGACACCAAACAGACGCTGGAGATGGAGATTCAAGAGCTGAAAGGCAAATTGCAAGTGATGAAGCATTTAGGGGATGGTGATTGTGAGGCGGTCAAGCAGAAGATGAAGGAGATGAATGACGAGCTGGAGGACAAGAAATCTAAGTTAGAAGAGCTGGAGCAGATGAACTCAGTCCTGATGACAAAAGAGCGTCAAAGCAATGATGAAATTCAAGCAGCCCGAAAAAAATTGATTGCGGTATGGATTTCTATAATGCTGTAGTGTTTTTGGGTGCTGACACACTTGCATTTCACCATTACGTAGCATTTTGTGTCAAAAATGTTCCTGGAGAATCTTTGTTCGTTTTTTCACGTCTGAGATGCTGCAGACATGGTCACATACTGTAGTTTGTTGGATACCTTCACTTACAAATTGAACTGATTAGTTAATAAACCTTTTTGGTGGGGTTGGAGTGAAGATGAGTTCTCATCTAACTAGATTACGGGCTCTGATAAATTCCCAGATACTTGCCACAATATCTAGTCGAGAAACTGCATACTGCCTTTACCAACAACCCAAGTTGGAGTAATCTGTGAGTGATTAATTGTTGTTTTTTTCAGGGTTTCATGACAGGATTGGTTGGTACCCAATCCGATATTGGGATCAAAATGATGGGAGAAGTCGATGAGAAGCCCTTCCTGAATGTTTGCAAGAAGAGATTCTCTGCAGACAAAGCTGCGGTTGAAGCTGCCACCCTTTGCTCTACATGGCAGAACAACGTCAATGATTCAAACTGGCATCCGTTCAAACTTGACAAAGCAAAGGTATGCTCTTTCTTACTGTCTGTGAATTGTTGGTACAAGTGTTGTGTAAGTTGGCAGTAATAATAGAGTGTTGTTAACATGGTTCTGGTTACAGGAAGTGGTAGACGAAGAGGATGATCAGCTGAAGAAGCTTAGAGGAGAGTGGGGAAAAGAGGTGCACAACGCTGTTAAAACAGCTCTGGAGGAGATGAATGAATATAATGCAAGTGGTCGCTACCCTGTCCCAGAACTTTGGAACTTCAAAGAAGGAAGGAAAGCAACATTAAAGGAAGTGATCACTTTCATATCCAAGGACATGAAAACTGTGAAACGCAAGAGAACCTGAAGGTATGCTTTAATATTCTCTCAGTTGACACACTGTCTCCGTATAGAACTTGCAATACAGCTTGGTTAGGTTTAGAGTAAAAACTTTTCAACAAATACTGAATGGACATGATCTCGTTTGTTGAATTCAGTTGAAGAAGTTTAGTTTTGATCTGAGGAATCCACTGGTCTTCTACTTTGGTTGCAGACGGAGGAGGATGAAGAAGAAGATATGGACTCTGTCTGGTGTTTATTTTTTTGTTTAATGCTTAATATGCTAGGTGGGCAGTGAATTATGTTATATAATAACAGTCACTGAATTTTGGGAATTTTTTAATGTATGATATGACTTGAAATTCCTAGCTGATCACTAATGGATATGCGGCTTTTTGTTATAAAACTTTTTACTTGGTTATGGTAGATTATATTTTGAGTTTATATAACTTTTAAGGTTCTTGGTCATAATAAAAGCTTCTGAATTCCATTGTGATTCGCTATGATTAGTACTCCCTCTGTTGCGTATTTCCATTGTAGTTCGCTATTTTGTTTGCTTTGATCTGTCTTGATGAGTTTATGTGCACTATTCTTTGTATATCGCCAACAAAATTAGTTTTGAATGTTCGTGTACACAATGGCTGATTCAGAAACTCTCCAATTGAACCTTTTATTAATGTAATGCTTAAGTTTGAACAAAAATAAAAAGAAATTTTTAAAATCTTCACCTTTTCATTTGTACCTAAGTAGAAATACTATAAAAAGGTAATCAAGTTCGAAAAGATAATCAACGCAATATCCATAATCATTGTTAGTGTTTTTTTATATCAGAATCAGATTAAATGAGGGTTTGAATCAATACAACATGTCAAGATCCATACATACATACAATTGAATGAACTAGATTTCATGGAAATATATATCATTTTCATTGGAATGGTTTTAGATTGCATATTTTTCTTAATCTCATTCTTAAACATGGCAGGGTGAAGGAGTCATAAACATCAGTCCAGATATGTGTGATAGAGACGCATCATTGCCTTTGATTCCAACCATTCCAGCTTGTGGATGATGTTCTTACACTTTCACAACTCTAATATTTTATCCCAAGACACCGAACATTTGATTAAAGTCTGTTATTACATTGGAGTAGCTGTTAAATATTATGAGGCATTACGTATTGGGTTAAAGTGGCAGGGCAGTCTAATATGTTTGAGACAAACAATAAGAGTCAACTACCTCTAGGTTCTTAGCTTGTTTTAATTCATTGTTAAATAGTATAAAAATATCACAGAGGCAAGAAAATAAACTCTCAATTTAATAGTAACGACATTGTTGGTAACGGGCCTGCAATAACATACATATTAGGCCCATTAACAGAGGTTAAAAAATCAGCCAGTCCATAAAAAACTCAGATTGAACAAAATCAAGGGGAGAGTCAAAGTGAAACGGGGAAGTAATGTTAAAGGCAATCAATAGCAAATAAAGCCGAATTAAGAATGTAAACTACACTACCACTATCTCTGACCTCATTAGTTTAACAATGGAAAAATAATCGCTGAAGTTTTGCATAATTTGTACAACCTACTTTTAAAGATGACATACCCGTCGTTATGTTGCAATGACTATCCAACCAATCTTGCTTGAACAATTGAAAGAGTTACTGGTTTATCTGTTAAAGGAGAAATTAGCATATTTTCCTAAGCCTGTCATCATTAGTAAAATCACAAAGCCCAATCCAACTTTAGGCCTAATATTCTCAACAAAATGACAGGACTTGAGAAGGAAGACCCAATCCATGATAAAATGTAAACAAACTCTCATACCGACTCAAAGAATAGAAGGAAATCAAGAGTAAGAGGAACTTTTCCATATCGCAAAAGAGGAAGTTTTCTATCCCGCCAATAGAAGAATATTCACCAAGAAGCCGACCTATCAACACTATATATTGAAGACCCCCCATTCGGGAAAAGGCATCCAAGATCATCTAGAATTACTAGGCTTTGCACCCCCTTTACTTTCATCTCAGTTTTCCTCTTGTTTATCATAGTGCATCTCGCGAAGCTTGTCGGCGAGATAACATCTTTTGTAATCTTCCTGATATTCTTCGAATTAAATCAAGCTTCCAGTTTCCTAAACTCACATCTTTGGTAACCCGTTTTAACGAGTGCTATCTCAGATCTAACAATTGGCGCCCACCGTGGGGCTGGAAACGCTTCTCGCTATTCATCTCGAAGGTATATAGATTTTTGCGAAAAAGCAACGATGGTGAACTCGAAAGAGAACACCCCTACCGGGAGTCCATCCCGCTCAGAAGAAAACTTAAGCGACGATCTACCGCCACCAACAGTAGACAAGTCACTACCCGCTGAAGACATGGACAAATCCGTCCCGTCACCAAGGAAGGATGAAAGCCCTCCTCTGTCCGCGCCGCGTCGCTCAAGGAAACCTTCCTCGAGCGACAAGCACCGTAGCTCGAAGAAATCCTCCTCGAGCGACAAGCTCCGCAAGCTCATGGAGAATCTCGTGAAGCCACTCGCCGAAGGTTTCGAGGCGATGCGAGCACAGCAGAACAAGACTCAGGAACAAGTCGAGGCCTTAGCACGAGAAGACGAGGAACCGTTGGATCCCGCTGCCGCGACGACCAACGGGACCACAACCCGTCCTGCACGCTTTGGCCGACGAACGGCCCTAGAATTCGAACGAATGAACTGTTGTCTCGACGAGGTCGATTCTAAGGTCCATCGCGCCACCAGCTCGGCCCCGAGTTGATGAAAGCACTCGCCGATACCCGGAGGAGCCCACTCACGCGCAGACTCCGCCAAATCGATCTGCATGAAAGAGTCCGACTCAAAATCGACTCCTACACCGGGGAAGAAGATCCCAAGAAGTGGTTAACCGCGTTCAATCTCACCATGACGAGGGAGACATACAAATCCTATGACGAGAAAGAGGCCAACTACTGTCAGGTATTCGTCGGGCACATGGCGAAAGACGCTCTGCCGAGTCGATCGACAACTTCGACGACTTGACTGGCGCTTTCCTAAAGCATTACTCTATGCACATGACCCGAGTCACACGAAATATGTTCACTACGACGCAGTCCCAAGGTGAACCCCTACGTAGCTTTATGGAAAGGTTCAAGCAAGCAGCTCGCGACACCGCCGACATGCCCGACAGCGTCCCATTGGAAGCACTCCGTAACGGCCTCTGGTACGACTCCAAGTTCAAAGAGGACTTGTCGCTAAAGCCTCCCTTGACCTTCGAAGACGCGTTCCACCGTTCCCGGAGCTACATCTTCCTTGAGGAAGACAAGCGCTTCTATGCCGAGAGACACAGAGATAAGAGGACAGCCCCATCCAAACCCAGAGAAGAAGCCGTGGAGATACGGAGAAGGCATGACCCCAAGAGGTCACTCCTCACAGCGTTCGCAGCAGCCGACGACGAGTCCAAACAAGAATATGCCGCAGCGATCTCAACGCCGCAGGATGCTACTCCACTTGGAGATGACAACGACGCCAAAGTCTTCTGCAAATTCCACGGAAGAATTGGCAACGCCACTGAAAACTGCAAGCACCTCATCAGCAACCTCATCCACATGTACCATCGAGGAGAAATCCCGCCGATGGACGGCGACAGATCCCAAGGGAAAGGCTTCCCGCCGAGACCACCCAAACCGGGACAACAAGAGAAGTGAGCTCGACAGTTTCGCTCAAGGAAGGATGCCGGGGAACCCGAAGCACCGCCCAAAAAGAGGAACCGTGACGACCACAATGACCTGCCCCGCCGCCAAAACGACAGGTCAGCATGATCATGGGAGGCCTCTTGGACAGCGACGACTCCATATCGGCGAACAAGGAATACGAGCGAAAGGCCGTCACGGCGGCACAGCGCTAATCCCTACCATCTCCTTTACGGATAAGGATGCAGGTGGACTGGATACCTCTCATCTCGACCCACTTGTGGTCACTCTGCAAATTCACGACTGCGTTGTCGCGAAAATTCTGGTCGACACCGAGAGCACGGTGAACCTCATCTTCCAAGAAACACTGGACCGCATGAGAGTGAAAGAGAGCTCCATCAAACCCACGTCTCGTCCCCTCCCCGGCTTCACCGCCGAGCAAGTCTACAGATATCGAACTTCTCTACATGGAGCAACTTGACACTTGTGCTACTATGGGTCGTGATGATTTTCTTGATCTATTACACTAAGAACATGAGCCGTGAGGTAATATTCTCCTCAAATACTTTCTAAACTCAGATTGTTATGTTACTTTGTGATCTGATTGCCTGTGATGTAGAATTTTGGTAATTGGATGAGTAACACTTGTATTAACAAACTCTACTTGCTTATCTACTTTATTGGGTGGTACAGAGTCAAGTTTTTGACCCATTCAGTATACTTGGATTGGAACCTGGAGTTTCAGATTCGGAAATAAAGAAAGCATATAGAAGGCTGTCGATTCAATACCATCCTGATAAAAACCCAGATCCAGGTCGAAATGCTTTCTGGTCCTCTTGTTGATTGTTCTTCCCTTTATATCATTTCGGAATTATGGTTGCAGCTGTTGACACATTTTTCTTCTATATGCTTATGTTGATCTGTGTATTGAACTCTACAGAGGCCAACAAATACTTTGTGGAGTCCATATCTAAAGCATACCAGGCTTTGACTGATCCAATATCCCGCCGAGTAAGTTTGAAGGTTTGGCAGGTTTAAAATTATTTTGGCATTTAACAAAAGTAACATTCAGGCAGTAAGAAATGTTTATTTAGGTTTCTTCTTGGAAAAGAAATGAGGGACCTAAGAATAATGTAATGATGAGAGAATATTAAGATCAATTTAGGATTGTATTTTGGAGTGGGAAACTAGAAAAATTGGTGGCGTAAGATAAAACAATATAGATTCAAGAGGAAAATAGAGGGGAGACAGAGGTAGGAGAAAAAAGAAAGAAACAAAAGCCTGAAAAGGCAAAAAAAAATCGATTTCTTATTTTTTTTTTTGCTAAGAATGCAAATCTTTATTATATTATTAATTGAGAAGTACATTCTAATGTTTGGATACAAGAATTAGAGAAACATCTATTTGGATAGAAGAATAAATGGAAACAAAAGTTGTTTGGATATAAGAATAAGAGAAAAATCTATTTGGATAGAAGAATAAATGGAAAAAATTGTTTGGATACAAGAATAATAACTTAAAATAAACCGATGGTTTAGAAAACTTCCGTTTTCCATCTCTTAAAAATCTGCAAAAAAAAAACTTAACATAATCTAACGATAATTCCAAATCAATAGAATATGCTTTTTGGATTTTCGGGTTTTTATAGACAAGTTCGGGTTTGGGTGAAAATCTGAGACATAATTTTATAGAGATATATATAGAGATATAGAAATTGTTCGGGTTTCTTTGAAAATTTCTGTTCGGGTTAGGTTCAATTTTTTTTTCAGTTTAGGGTTTTCCGGATTTTTTAGATTTCTGGTTTTCGGGTTTAGATATATTAAAAAAATTGAGTATTTTAAAATTTTGATTAGGTATTGGGGTCGGGTTCCGGGTGAAAAAGTTTCCAGATTTTTTTTGTTCAGTCAGGGTTTTCGGGATTTTTTTGATTTCGGATTTTCATGTTTAGACCTATTAAAAAAGTTTGGGTTTTTAAATTTTTTGATTAGGGTTTTTTGTCGGGTTCGGATTTAGGGTTTAAATTTTCTACACAAAACAACAACGTCACACCGCACAAACGTGCGGGTACTCTACTAGTCTTTATATTATTAATTGAGAAGTACATTCTAATGTTTGGATACAAGAATAAAAGAAACATCTATTTGGATAGAAGAATAAATGGAAACAAAAATTGTTTGGATATAAAATAAGAGAAAAATCTATTTGGATAGAAGAATAAATGGAAAAAATTGTTTGGATACAAGAATAATAACTTAAAACAAACCGATGGTTTAGAAAACTTCCGTATTCCAGCTCTTAAAAAATTTACAAAAAAGAAAAATTAACATAATCTATCGATAATATCAAATCAATAGAATATGATCGAATGATATTTGCAAAATTTCCAATAGTGAAATAGAAATACTTCTAATTTAAATCAAATTGAGGATTTATGTTCGGTTTGGGTTCGAGTTTTTTTGGGTTTAATTCTGGGTGTTCCGGATTTTTTGGATTTTTGGTTTTCGGGTTTAGACATAGTAAAAAAAGTCCGGTTCGGGTTTCGGGTGAAAAAGTTTCGAGTTTTTTTATTCAGTTCAGGGTTTTCGGGATTTTTTGGATTTTGGGTTCTCGGGTTTAGATATATTAAAAATGTTTGGGATTTAAAAAAAAAATTATTAGGGGTTTTAGGTCGGGCTCAGTTTAGGATTTAGATTTTCTTCACAAAACCGCAACGTCACACCGCGTGTTCGCGCGGTACTCTACTAGTATCATATTAATATGAAAGTTCTAGGTTTTACACTGATGTAACATCTATGAATTGGTCCCATCGCAAAAAAATTTAAAAACATGGAAGCAAAAAACTAAATGGAATTCGGTTCATCGACATAACAATAAGCTAAGCTAATTGTTGTCAAAGATGAAGCGATAAGTCTTCTTTTACAAACATGAAGCTCTTGAAGGGAAATCATCTTGAAGACCTAGAACAATCCTCCATTGATGGAAGCTCTTTCACTCACAGCTGGAGGAAATGTATCACCACTCAAAAGAGCCTTCAAATCCTCAGATTTAAGACCGCCCTCAAAATCAACAAATCGAACCATATCCAGCTCGTCCGAGAGGGAACTGCACCAACTACTGAAAAGGGTTAAGCTCACTCACTCACCAAGACCAATTGACCATTCTCCGATGTCGGCTAGCACCTAGATAAGCAAAACCACAACCAGAAGCCTTACTAGCTCCTCCGAAAACATACGGATTGTGTGACAGGAACATCCGAGAACGCTTCACCGTCGGAGCAACACGATATAAAAGAACTGAGATAACAATCTGTCAAAGTGGCTCTGTACATCCCCAAAGCGAGAATGGATTCACCCTAATCCCAATGTCAAGACCGAGTACTCTTAAACAGAAACAGCTCAACGAGATCAAGCGAAGAAGAAAACAGAGAGAACGAAGAAGGCCTCAGGACAAACTACATAAGGCAGAGATGGAGGAACAGACCATGACGGATCATAGAGAAACAAAGATATAACCAAGAACCTCCGGCGGCGAGTTGAGTACCAACCACCACGAAAAACCCAGCTAAGGAGAAGCAGTGCCGCCGCTCCTATCCTCCAACAAGAACCGCTCGAAAGAGAGAGACGTGGAAACCACCGCTCATCATTTACTCAGGAGGCGACCTCAGCCAAGAGACACCTTGAAAGCCCGATCGACCTCCAAAATTGCCGATCTATCTAGCACAGCTCAAGGCGGATAAGGTGACAATACACGAACAGAGAGAGGACCTCTCCCGGCGAGCTGCGCCGGCCACCGGGAGAGGTGGTGATTGAGACTGAAGAAGCTTGACGGCTAGGGCGAACTCCTCGCAAAATTGAGAGAGAAATTGGGGGCGCGTGAACCCCACACCTCGATTTATTATTTTGCCAATCTATTTTTTTTTATTTGCCAATCTAACTTCCATTATCTTTGGACAAATTCGTTTCACTTGGCCCTCAGACCTATGTATGACGACCGTTACTGTCGTCTTGTTGCCTCTCTTTCTCTGCCTAACAATTTTTTTTTTCCTTTTTTTATTAATCTGACTTTGAACATTTGAAGTAGTGTAATTTAACTTTGATACAAAAAAATAAACAAAAAACAAAAAAACTTTGAAGTAGTGTATAGTACGTGTTTAAAGTGTACAAAAACATCTAAGTGAACAAATTCATTTTTATACATAGTATTTATCAACTAGACAAAAACAAATTCATTTTTATACAATACTGCCATGTAACTATGTAAGTGATGTTTAACATATATATTTTGGTTAGTTATATAACAGATATTTTGGTTAAATATGTTTCTAGGTTCTGTTTTGGCTCTAAACATACATGCAATGTATGCGATGCACTTTGCCGTTCCCATGGCCGGAGCTGTCCTTAACCCTATAAACACCAGCGCAAAATCCATTGCCGTAATCCTACGCCACACCCAGCCCAAGATATTATTTGTAGACCACAGTTTTGAACCATTGGTTCGAGAAATCCTCCATCTACTATCATATGACGACTCACACCCAAACCTGGTGGTCATATTAATTAATGAGATCTATTTTCCGGAATAGGTTTATTCCAAGGAGTTAGACTACGAAGGTCTTATCCGAAGAGTGCACTGAATCCAAGTTGAACAGAGAGAAGAAGGTGGAGATAAGTCAGATCCGCGTGAATCGAGATCTGAGCTGAACGAAGAGGAGGAAATAGAAGATGAAGAGGAGAAGAAGAGGCAGAAGAAAATAGAGAAGGAGGAAATAGAAGATGAAGAGGAGAAGAAGAGGCAGAAGAAGCTCATATCCAGATCTGATCCTCCAACCAGGTTTTTGGAAAACGGAAGCGATTAGGTGGGGAAGACGAGGTGTTGTCATTTTGTTTTAGTTTTTTAGTTTTTTTTTTTTTTTTTCGGTTTGCGGTTATTATTTCGGTTATCGGGTATAAACCGAACCGAACCGAACTCAAATCTACATCCAAACCGATCGGTTATTTAGGTAATCCCGAACCCGACTCGGGTCGGAATCGGGTTCGATTTTCGGGTCCGGTTTAAAGTCCCAGGCCTAACTTTGAACATCAAATTATCACATACTTTCTATTAATTAAATAATTTATTTGTATCTTTTTATTAAACATAAACTAGTAGAGTACCCGCACGTTTGTGCGGTGTGACGTTGTTGTTTTGTGTAGAAAATTTAAACCCTAAATCCGAACCCGACAAAAAACCCTAATCAAAAAATTTAAAAACCCAAACTTTTTTAATAGGTCTAAACATGAAAATCCGAAATAAAAAAAATCCCGAAAACCCTGACTGAACAAAAAAATCTGGAAACTTTTTCACCCGGAACCCGACCCCAATACCTAATCAAAATTTTAAAATACTCAAAACCAGAAATCTAAAAAATCCGGAAAACCCTAAACTGAAAAAAAAATTGAACCTAACCCGAACAGAAATTTTCAAAGAAACCCGAACAATTTCTATATCTCTATAAAATTATGTCTCAGATTTTCACCCAAACCCGAACTTGTCTATAAAAACCCGAAAATCCAAAAAGCATATTCTATTGATTTGGAATTATCGTTAGATTATGTTAAGTTTTTTTTTGCAGATTTTTAAGAGATGAGAAACGGAAGTTTTCTAAACCATCGGTTTATTTTAAGTTATTATTCTTGTATCCAAACAATTTTTTCCATTTATTCTTCTATCCAAATAGATTTTTCTCTTATTCTTATATCCAAACAACTTTTGTTTCCATTTATTCTTCTATCCAAATAGATGTTTCTCTAATTCTTGTATCCAAACATTAGAATGTACTTCTCAATTAATAATATAATAAAGATAAATGTAAAGAAATATGAATAGTTATATATTTAATAAATAATTTAAATACAATTTAATGTTTTTGTGTTGATGTAGACACTCTAGATGGAGAGAACAACTCCCTAATTATATATAAGATTTCGTTGAAAATTTTGCTCTTACCCTCGAAGATTTCAGCTGGATTTCTGAAAATCTGCTCTCTTTATAGGGTTCTTATGAGTGATTTTGATTTCTTCTATGAATGTTATTCTTGTATAGAAGCTTTTGGTGTGAGAATCATTCTGAAATGTCAAATAGTGAAAAACGTTTAAGTATATCTTCTATGACAGCTTCATTGATTTGGACTTTTGGATGAATTTAACGTTTAAACATGGTTTATTGGCTGTGAAGGTTTCACGTCTCCCTACCATTTTCCAAACATTGGGTCTACAATACGATGAGAAGGTTTTTTCCTTCAATTAGAAACGAGGTGTTGAAGGCCGTGGTTGCTCAATTCAATGCTGCTCAGCTCCTCACCGAGCGTCCTCAAGTATCAGCGCTTGTCCGTGACTCTCTCATCAAGCGTGCCAAGGACTTCAACATCGAGCTCACGACGTTGCAATCACGCATTTATCATATGGTATGGAGTTCTCCAGGGCGGTTGAGGCGAAGCAAGTTGCTCAGCAGGAAGCGGAAAGGTCGAAGTTTATGGTGATGAAGGCTGATCAAGAGAGAAGAGCTGAAGGTGAGAGTGAGGCTGCTCAGTTGATATCGGATGTGACAGCTTAAGCGGGGATGGGACTCATCAAGCTCAGGAGGTTACAGCTACACTGGCTAGGTCTCCAAACGTGTCTTACTTACCTGGTGGACAAAGCATGCTCTTTTCTTTGAGCTACTAACATCGATAGGCTCTTTCAACACTTAAGTCCTCTGAATATTGAAAGAAAATGGATTTTGGAATGGAACACCTTCGGTGTCTTCTAATTTTGGCACCAAAATGATGAGAGGCTTCTTGTTGCAGAGTATATGTCAAATGATACTCTTGCTAAGCGTTTGTTCCATCGAAATGATTCTTCTTCTTCATTTCTTCTTTTTTACTTTTCACATATTGCATTTGTGAATCCGAGAACAGAGTGGCTACATTGTATCAGTAGTTAGGTCTAGAGTAAAACCAATTTCATCGTTTGATTGCTTGTAGAACAAAGTTGGGGAAATTTCAAAACTACACCGAGCCAATTTTCAAAAATACATGTCTATGGTGTCCATTTTCAAAACTACATTTTTTCATTGAATAAAAGAACTTTAAACCCTAAAATATAAACTCAAAACCCTAAAATCTAACACTGAACTCTTAAATCTAAACCTAAACCCCAAAATCTAAACCCTAATCTAGGATTAGTGAACCCAAACATATATTTTAAAATTAGAAAAAAATGTATTTTTTAAAAAATTCACACTATAGGTGTAATTTTGAAAATTTGCACCTAGAGGTGTATTTCTTAAAATTTCTCAACAAAATTCGGTAATGGGTTGGTTTGATGGTTGGTTTTGGTAGTTACGTTCACCTTGATCTTCTAGGTTGATTCCAGGTATATGTCTAAGTACATTTCTTTGGACTTCTTGTATTTGCAGGTGAGGGAGAGGAGCTTTCAGTGGCAAAAAAAACCAAGGAAGAATTTGATTATGTGATGGTCTTTTATTTCTCATGGACAATGTGAAAAGAGAAATTGTAGTTGCTATTGAGCCTCTTTTTAGGTTGATTCTGTTCTGACTATTATTTACTACATTTTTCTTTCTCTCTTCTCAGTGGGTTTGTATTACTCTTCTGTTTTACAGCAACTGCTTATGCGGTAATAAACTCAATAATTCCATCATTCATGTGTAACTCTTACTTATACTCTTGTTAAATAGCAAGTGTTTTGATATAATGGCAATTACAAATTTACAACTTACAAGATCCAAAATCCGGTCTTCTTCTTCTTTATTTGTATGCAGAAAACAAGCATAATTTTGGGTCTAAATGGTAACCGTTGAATGTTACTGAATGCTGAATTCTGCTGAATTAATTGATGAATAGTTGCGGAATCTGGCTGATTAGTTTGTAATATGAATGGTAACAGCTGAATGTTGCTGAATGAAGAATAAATTGTTGAAAAACTATTTGTGTCACAAAGTAATAAAATATTTACATAGTTAATTTTTTTTTGTGAAATATATAAATAAATTAATCAAAATAATTTTAAATTTATAAAATTAGGAATTTAGATTCATAAATTTTTATTAAACATCAAAGCTTTTTTTTTAAAAAAAATAGAAATTTAAAAACACAATATTTTGGATATTACCAATTCATTAATGAAAATTATCTCAGATGTTACTCTTATTTTGCTCCGGTATGATATACCTATATCTGACATATTTTGTTCCCTCTCGTTTTTGTATAAATTTTATTGGTATAATAATTTAAAAATATTAAATTAAGTATTTTTAAAATTACTATAAATTTTAGTTAGTATTCACACCATATTTGGATATGCTCCTGTAAACATTTTATTCATATTAAGATTCATATACTCCAAAAATTCAAATATTTGAAACATATCTGATCGGGTGATTGGGTGTTGGATAATTTGCCTACTCATATGAATTTTAATTTTTTGGTGACATTCTACAATTCCCCAATTATTGAAACTGGTGTTAGACTAATTTTTTTCAAAAACAAAAACATCCATATTCTTCAAAGTTACTGAAGAGAATACACTAAAATAAAGTAATAAAATTAAATAAGAATTTTTAAAAAAGTATTTCAGAATTCCTCAATTCCTCAACATTCTGGTGTATTAAAATAAATATTTCTCAAGATTCCTCACAATTCAGCAACTTATATGTTATTATTCTGTTAAACAAGAATAATTAATATTCGTGAAATATATTCTTAAAAACTAGTTAAATTTGTCAAAATTAACTGCAAAATTGAACTAATAACTGATATACCTGATTTTTTAAGGCTGTTTAAAAAACCAATATGGAAAACTATGGATACATGAAACAAATTTAAATTTGGATATAACCGAGTTACGTCAAACAAAAAAAGAATATTTATTTATTATAGGGCTTTATTATATGTGTATAAAAAAAGAAAAAATGTGGTTTTGTTTTCTTTTGTGGCTATTATTCATTCAGCAAATTTTGTCTTCTTGTAACTCTTTTGTTTTTCAGAAGGATTCAGCAAAACCAACTGGTGTATTAGTGAAATAATTCAGCAACATTCAGCCACATTCCACAGATCATCATACACCAGTTATGGCCTTTATATAGAGGTGCTTGTAAGATTCCTTCATTGGAGCGTAAAAATCTGAAAATTTTAATAGAGGTGCTTAAAACAACTTTTATATTATTCCCTCCATTTCATAATAAGTGCCGTTTTGACAGAATGAATCTGGACTATTTATTGATGTATTTGAATGTGTTTTGAGTCTTAATACATCCATATACATTTAAATACATTGGATAAGTCAAGAGTCAAAAAGACACTTATTATACAACAGAGGGAATATGATATTAGGTACATACCCCATTAAGCGTTCTTGCATTGCACATGCTCTTAAAGAAAACAAATATTAATTTATCCGACGTGTAATTTCGTAAAGCAAAATAGTGATTTCATCCGCTTGGCCTCCCAGGTATAAAACCTCCTTAATACGATTGTTCGTAACGCCATTAAATTCCCTATAGTTACTTCTCATATTAAGAGCCATCACTCCCACCTTTTAATTGAAAGTCAGACGCCACCTTCTCACGGATAAAGTCGTGTCTCTCCTCATCCTTCAACCGTTACACCCTCTCAAATTGTTACACTTGAAAACCCACCTGCAACTCCCAATCTCCCATAACATGTCCATCTATGCGACATGTGAACACACCACTGATTGAACACATAACATAACTTTTCATATTCTTTTCAACTAAATCTTCATCTTATTATTTGCTAAATATTTTAATTGATTGTAATTAAAATTGACAAAGAGAGAATAGAATGTTGTGTCGTTCTCATTCATCTTAATATTTTGATATACACGATACATCATAAGAGAAAACCCTAGCATAAACTCTACTTAAGGAATATTAACATATTACGTAGATACATTATATATATATATATATATATATATATATTTGCATATAAGTTATAACTCCCTAATACTCCCCCTCAAGTTGGAGCATGCAAGTCTCTAATGCCCAACTTGCGCCGAAGATATGAAAACTGTTGAAACGCCAATGCTTTAGTGAAGATATCTGCCGGCTGCTCGGTAGTACGGACATGAGAGGTAGCAATCGAATCTTTGACAATTTCATCTCGAATGTAATGAAAATCTCTCTCTATGTGTTTTGTTCGTTCATGGAACACCGGATTTGCTGCAATGTACAACGCTGCCTTGTTATCACAATAAAACCGCATCACCTGCTTGTGAGAGATGTCAAAACACGATAACAACTCATGATTCCACTTAAGTTCACGGGTGGTAAACGCCATTGCTCGATACTCCGACTCCGCAGACGAAAAAGAAACGGTGTCTTGTTTCTTTGTCTTCCATGCAATGGGAGAGTCTCCCAGCATAACGATAAACCTTTTAGGGAACGACGTGTCATAGGGCAAGCATTATAATCAGAGTCGCAATATGCCGTGATTTGGAAGTCATCATTCGAACTCAAGATAATTCCTTGGCCTGGACACCTTTTAAGACACCGAACTACCTGTATAGCTGCTTCCCAATGCTTGAGCCGAGGGTCTTACATGAATTGTGCTAACATATGCACTGCATAGGACAACTCGGGACGAGTATGAGTGAGATAAACCAATCTACCAACTAATCTTCTGTAACGAACCGGATCATCATAGTAATCGCCCTCATCTTTAGCCAAATTATGGTTTTGTTCATGGGGGTTTTAACCAGATGACATCCCAACAAACCACACTCTTTGACTATATCCAATGCATACTTCCTCTGCGATAAGTATATCCCGGTGCACGTGACACTTCAATTCCAAGAAAGTGTTTCACGAGTCCCAATTTTTTCATTTTAAAACATTGGCTCAGGTAGCCTTTAAATGTGACTATAGCTTCCCTATCATTCCCCCCAATCAGCAAGTCATCCACATATATGAGAACATAAAGTCTCATAGACCCCCGCGTAAGAGTAAACAAAGAGTAATCAGAGATGTTTGGAATGAATCCATACCCTTTTAGAGCCGAGGTAAGTTTAGCAGACCAACATCTTGGGGATTGACGAAGACCATACAATAATTTTCGCAATCTACACACCTTTGATATATCCCCACATTCAAAACCAGGCGGCAACTTCATGTATACTTCTTCTTCAAGGTCGCCATGCAAGAATGCATTATGCACATCCATTTGGTGAACTTCCCAACCTTTCACCGCAAAGATTGTCAAAAACATCCGAACAGTTGTCATTTTAACCACTGGTGCAAAGGTTTCATCATAATCGATCCCTTCTTCTTGCCTATTTCCATAAGCCACTAACCTTGCTTTATATCTCTAAACTTCACCCGTCGACTGATATTTGATTGTAAATATCCAATGACAACCAATTGCTTTCTTTCCAGGCGGCAAGTCAGTAATATCCCAAGTTATACTCTCTTCCAAAGCACCTACTTCCCCTGAGACGGAATTCCTCCAACGTGGATATTTCATTGCCTCTCGAAAAGACGTAGACTCACTCTCAGCCGTGATAGCCGCCAGGAAAGCTCTATGAGATGGGGAAAAACGATCACAATTCACATAATTAGAAATAGGATATTGGATTGTACCTTGTTTCGATGATGCTGGTGGAGACGAGTATGAAGAGAGAGAGAGAGTGGGTCATCGGAGCAATGTGTAGTATACAAGACAAATCCATCAAGGCGAGTTGACGGGATGCATTCTCTCTGACCTCTACGTACCGGAACGATCTCTTTTTCTTGTAAAGTTTGTTCATCTGGCTCATGATCCATCACAACATCATTGTCAGACTCAATACCCATGTCACCACTCGGGATGCTCCCCCTTTCGTCCGACCGTGACACAACTAGTTCTTTTCCCAACTCACAAAAATCATCATCATACATAACCACTTTTTTCTCATGTGGTGTCATATCACTACTCTGTTTTATCATAGAAGCAAACGGAAAGACAGTTTCCTCAAACACCACATTCCTTGACACAAAAAACTCTTGTGTCTCAATATCCCAAACCCTTCATCCTTTTTGTCCAAAAGGATAGCCCATAAATATGCATCTTCTACTTCTTTCACCGAACTTATCTTTGTCACGCAAGATATTTTTCGCATGACATAGACTTCCAAATACCTTGAGTGTAGTGTAACTTGGAGCTACTCCATGCAGTATTTAAAATGGTGTCTTCCCTTGGAGTAAGCATGATGGAGTTCGATTAATAAGATAGCAAGCTGTTAACACACACTCTCCCCAAAAACGAATCAGTAAGCTAGCTTGAAACATTAGTGAGCGAGAAACATTCAAGATGTGTCTATGTTTCCTCTCCACACATCCATTCTCTTGAAGTGTGTAAACACAGCTTGTTTGATGTAGTATCCTTCAGCAGAAAAATATGACTTCATGCACATAAACTCACCCCCATTGTCACTCCGAACTACGCGAACCTTTTTGTTAAACTGTCGTTCCACCATCTTAAAAAAATTCTTCAGATTTTCTGCGACTTCTTTCTTTTCTTGCAATAAGTAAACCCAAACCACTCTTGAACAATCATCAACAATATTAAGAAAATAAGCAGCTCCAGAAGAAGAAAGAGTTCTATAAGCCCCCCCCCCCACACATCACAATGGATCAAATCAAAAGTTCCAACAGCTTTATTAAAACTCTCATGAAAGCAATCCCGGGTTTGTTTAGCCCTCAAACAAATCTCACAAACGGTTTTAGAATCAACATGTTTCTCAAAATCCAAATCACTAGATAGATAAGATAAAACACGACTTGATGGATGTCCAAGTCGTTGATGCCACAAATCACAAGAGCCCGAGATGACAGCCTTGTTCGCCTTCGCACCCATTACGCCTCGGAACACCAATCAATATGGTTTCAAAATATTATCACACGGTATTTTTTTGATAGCTATTTATGCAAGAATCTCTGAAAATAATAATAATTAAAAAATTATTAGATAAATGAAAAAAAAATTTAAAAAAGAAATTTATTTCATATCCTAATAGAAAAAGGTTTCCCATTTATCAAAATTATTTTATATTTATCACATATTAAATTCAAAATAATGAAATAAATGAACACCTATTAGTACATGGAATATGTTATGTAAACTAAATTTTCTATAACTACATGGAATAGATTACGTGAACCCTTATAAAAAGAAAGTTAATTTGGTATTTGTTTTCTTATTCACAAACTCATCAAATCTCTCTTTGAATAATCCTATGGTAATGGAGTCTTTTGCTATCTTATTATATAAAGCTGGATGCGCGCGACGTGGTTGCGACACATAGGATTTTTATAAAATTTAGGATTGCGACATGTGTCACTTTTAATGTTATGTCCGTTAAGATCGTGACATGTGTCTTAGAAAAAAGGAAAAAAAAATAATTAAAAAAAAATAGATAAAGGAAAAAAAACGAAATTTTAATATTTTATAGTTAAAAGAAAAAAAAAATATTTGTCATATCCTAATAGAAAAAGGTTTCCATTCATCAAATTTATATTATCCAAACACATATAAGATTCAAATTAATGAAATAAATAAAATCCTATTAGTACATGAAATAGGTTAGGTAAACTAAATTTCCTATAACTGCATGGAATAAGTTACATGAACCCCTATAAAAAGAGAGTTAAAGTTGTCTTTTTCTCATTACAAACTCATCAAAGCAAACAACATGATAGCAATACGCATGATTTTTATAACTCACAAAATTGCGATATGTGTTTATATTCCCATTATGAACAGGAAAAAAAACAATATATAATAAGCTATTGCGATTCAATTATGTGCTTCTATCTTTTGTATAATCTTTTCTCTCATAAAAAATCATGTATTTAAAATTCATGGTATCAATGAATAATATTTAACTCTATATTAGTTGGATAGAAATCAAAATTATTGTCGATACATGTATCTAACTCTATATCGGTTGGATAGAAATCAAAATTATTGTCGTTACATGTATTTGATCCGGTGAAGACATGTTAATTGGAAAAATGTTAAACAGATATAAAAACTAGAAAAATAATTAAAAAAAAACTAACTAATAATGAAAATGAAAATTTATAATGGTCTGAGTCAAAAACAAAATTGAGAAAGAAACAATATAAATAGAAAACTAACAAATTAATTATCAAGCAACTAACTTTTTTTTTGACATCATCAAGCAACTAACTAATATTAAGAAAATATAATGAACCGATATTCTAATTTTAAATAGTTTAATTTTCAATATTGTTAGGTAAAAAATTATTAAATAAAGATTTCATCAATTGAAATCTCTTGAATGGAATAATAAAGTTTTGTTGAATTAATTAATCAGTTGATCATATTTAGACATATATAAGTCTTTCTATATTGGATAAAAATAAAAATAAAACAAATTAATTCATTTTTCATATCATGAATTCAAAAAAAATATCAATTACAATAAAAACGTAAAAAGGTTACCGATCTTATTTTATTTAAATATTTTTATCGGGTTTTTAATATTATTCTGTTTACTTTAAAATGATCAAATTTGGTTTAATACTTTTCCATGATTTTATTACAAAATCTTAAAATAAACCCGCGTATACGCGGGTCTTAATCTAGTTTTTAATAATTTTTCAAGATAAGTTATTTTTTTTTGGTTATTTCTAACAAATTTTGTACTTTTAAAATTTGAGGAGAAAGAGTTTTTATGTGAAGCAACTATCATCGACATTGATTTACGTGATGGGTGGAACCACATAGCATGTTCAGTTTGTCAGAAAAATTGAAAAAGTTGAAAGGTTCCATATTTTAATGGAAAAAGGAAAAAAATATTTTTGCAAGCTTTATTTTTTAAGATAAATATGATCTATATTCTAACAGAAAAAAAGTATTTTCTATGTCTTACCTAGCCAAAAAAAAAAAATTATATTCTAACGGAAAAAAAATTGCATGCCTCATATTTTAAGATAAAAAAGTTCCATATTCTAACGGAAAAAGGACAAATTATTTTTGCATGTTTTATATTCTAAAATAAAAAGGTTTCATATTCTAACAGAAAAGAAAAATAAGTGACACGATCAGCTCCTAAGTTACGGGTCTTGGTTTTATCCCAAATCTCTTTTGCAGTTTCTTTCGCGCCAACTTGAATAACAAGGTACTCCGGAATTGATTGGAAGATCAAACCCGTAGCAACATCGTTCTTCTCTAACGAGAGAGAACCTGGCTCAATAGTTTCCCACACCTTATGAATCCCCAACATAACCTTCATCTTCATCGTCCAGACTGCATAGTTTGTTGCATTCAACATGGGATGTGTCATCGATGGACTCATCTCCTTCGATCGTACTACCACGGCAGCGTCGCCAGCTTCGTCTCCTACCATGGCTTCTTAACACAACGAAATTGTGTCCTCTGCTAGGATCAATTAACCTGGTTAAGCTCTAATACCAAATAAAGTCGCTCAAGAACAAAACACTCTCTAAAGAATAACTCTCTTTATTGATGTTTAGAAACTAACTCAAAACTAAACACTTTGCTCTTAAATTGATGATTGTCACAATTCGACAATCACTTATATAGGCAAGCACAACTTTGCTTTTCCTTTTCCTAAATAGAAACTAGACAACTTCCTAATCCTATAAGGAATGTATAAACTAAGAAGCTTTCCTTTTTCTTAACGGACTTGTTAAGACTTCTTAGGAATGTATAAACTATATTTATAGTTTTTTTTTTTTTTTTTTTGACCCCTTTCAAAAAGATTTCTAGCTTGGCCAGTGGGATTGGTTGTAGATGCTCTATAACCCCACTGGAAACATAGGATTTAAGATGATAGCAACAAAAGCAGCTAACACCGCCAAAGTAATTAAACATACTAGGTTTGAAGCCCCGCGCAAGCGCGGGTTGTTTGCAATGGTTTTGTTTATACTTTATCTCACATGTGCATCCTTTTATTTTATTTTATTAGGATGTTAACACCCCACTTTATCTCGAATTTTCTATTTCTAACATTTTAGCATATTATAAATATTATGTTTGTTTACTTTTGTTAGACTATAAACATGCATATGTATAATTTGACTCAGCGTTAAAATTTGTAAGTATATTGTAAAATCGCATTTGCACCGAAATAGGATGAAAAAAATATATATACTTTTATACATATCTACTTTGTTGTGGTAGCATATGAGCCTCATGACCATTGATTATTTTCTATTATGTTAGTTTTGTAATTGAATATATTTGGAAACAAACATATCACAATCCTTAAAACTTTCATGTTTTTCACTGCAATTAAATTTACATATAAAAACTTGACTTCTATTTGTTTAAAAAAGCAAACTCTAACTCTAATTTCTCATTGGTTTTTTATTATCTTAATTAATTTATATTCAACTTTTTAACTTGTGAACACATTATAACATTTTGAAGTAGGATAAATCTTTTAATAAAAAGGTAAATATATACCATTTCAAGATAAATATATTTTTACTTATATCCAAACTTTTTGATAACTTTTAACATCAAGTTATCACATACTTTATATTAATTAAGTAATTTAGTTGTGTATTTTTCTTAGTTTTATTTATATTTAAAAATATAAATATAGGTAAAGAAATATGAATAGTCATGTATTAAATATTTTAAAAACAATTTAATGAATTTTTTGGCTGATGTGGATAGCCTAGATGGAGAGAGGAAACTCTCTATTATATATAAGATTGTGTGTACTTTAATGCATAACGAAGGACCATACATAAGAAACGATGCAAAAAAAAGACAATGCATAACGCTGGCTTATACGAAAAAAACAATGCAACTTCAATCACTAATGTTGAAATAATTGTAGCGCGAATATATACGTATAATTGAAATCACTAATGCGCCAATTTTCCCTTGATATAATGCCTTAGGGATAATAGCTAAGATTTCCTCATTTAGTGGTAAGCGTTTTATATATGTGCGTGTTCGAAACATGTCTTCGCTTTCCATACACGTATCATATATATTCGCGCTACAATTATTTCAACATTAGTGATTGAAGTTGCATTGTCTTTTTCGTATAAGCCAAGCGTTAGGGAAAATTGGAAATAAAGGATGTTTTGACTATACATTTGGTGATCTATACATTTTTTTTGTTATTTTGGAGGATTAGTCTTTTTATGAAGGTAAAATACAAATATACCCTAACTAATTAGAAACTTTAAATTTTCATTTAAATATATAATTAACAAAATATTAACAAGTTAGTGTTTCTGAAATTTTCTGTTACGTATTCTTTCAACTTCCTTCTACTCTTACAGTCTTACGTATGTTAGTATTTTACGAACAAAAAAAAGCTTATCCAATAGCTTAAACTTAGGCAAAGTTAGCCCTATCATCAAATACTATATTTTGGGCTATTAATTACAGACGTTTCACGTTTGCATGTAAACCGGAACAATATCATGGATCCTAAGTGTACTTCTTTTTGTTTTGGCTAGTTAATTTGACGTATCACGTTTTGGTTGTACAGAGGGTAGATCTAAACATTAATTTCATTAGGGGCAAACATGCAATTAACCTTGTAAAATAGAGTTAACAACATGGGCCTATAACCTAATTTGAAAAATTTATGGGAGGCAACTGCCCCCTGCTGCTTCTAACCTAGATCCGGCCCTAGTTGTACATCCACATTTAAGTTTGTATAAATGTTATTTACAAAATAAATAATTTATTTATAATAAAAACTTATGTAAACCGATTGCAAAGGCAAGAAGATGATATTTTGATTAATATGCCTGTCAGTAGGTAGCACGGAAATCACGTGACAGGATATCACTAAAATGAAGACACAGCCACATAAAATGAAGATAACGGACCCATGACTGTTTGCAGTTTTTGAAATAGATTTTGGTTTTTGTTTTTCAAAAAACCATTTTTTCTCCAGTCGTGATTCTTGTTAATTTGATTTCCTACTTTTTGGGAAACGAGATTTTAAAGAAAACTACCCATTTCTCAAGAAAAACCAAAATCCATGTTTCGCTAGTTTCTCCCTAATAATTATCGATGACTTTTGTTATTATGATTTTATTATTTATTTTACTTTACAAATACTGCTATTTATAGGCATCAGTTAGAAAAAGAGAGATCAATAATAATACAGCATCTAAATCTGTTATAAAATACTGTATTACGAAAAATATTTCTTAAACTTATCAAAACAAAATATTTTAGAGGAAATTTGGACCAATATTACCTAAATTAATCATATTTTGAAAATTAACATCTTTTTTAAAGTGTTAGAAAACTAATCTTTTTAATATTCAAAATTACTAAAATACTCTCACTTTTTTAGATATCAAAATTGTTTTAAAATTCGTTTATCTTATTTAAAAATTATTTAAATTGTAAAAATAAATTCTGTTATTCTAGAGGTATTTCTAAACAATTATTTTTATTTTATATAACAAAAAAAGAGAAAACAAAAATGCAGCGTGATATTCCCATAAAATCTGAATAAAATCTACAACAAGAAAACAAAAAAAAATATTTAGAATATTTTATTTGAAATTTAACATCTTATAAATATAGAACATGGGTTAACTTTAACACATCTCATCATCTTTTTTTCTTTTTTTCTTAAGAGTGAAGCGTGAGTTTTTCTCTGTTCTAAAACTATTAAGGGAAGTTAGTATATACCAAAGGATTCGAAGTATGTATTATGTTGTTAAGTTCCATAATACACACATCTAAATAATCATTAGTCACCATATTCAATGTTGCAAATTATATATATAAGATCAAAGTTAAAATGAAGAAAACATTAGGATAATTCAACAAAGTTAGTTTTTTTTTGTTTCCAACGAAACTCCATGTATTATTATTCGATGCCATATGGATTAGTTGCAAGAACTATTCCAGTGGGCGTTAAAGTGTTTACATGGGAAAAAACAAAAGCTCGGGTCCAGGCTTCTTTTGCAAGGGCGTCAGCACGGAAGTTTAAAGTACGAGGGACAAAGGAAAGTGAAAAGAGAGTGAAACTAGATCGAATAGAATGAAAATCTTCGAACTCTGAGGCCAGCGAGGGCCATTCATCATCTTCGTCTATGAGCTTGACTAACTGGAGGCAGTCGGATTCAAAAACCATCGAGTTATAGCCGATCTGCGTAACCATTGTCATTGCCCATATCAACACTCGGAACTCCGCGTGTAGTGGTGTTAGCACCTGCGGGTTCGCAAAGGAGCCTGTGATACTTGTGTCCTCCGACAGGTCAAGGACGAGACCACCCCCAAAATAAGCGTTGTTATATATTCAACAGAGTTAGTTTGTAGTAACGATATGTATGTATTTCGAAAGAAAGAGTATTGGACATATGGATAGGGACTCTTAATGATATTTATGTGTATTTTTTTATAGAGTTTGATTCATATACATAAATATGAATATATTGTGAAAATAACATGTGTATATCTAAGTTTAAATATTTATTAAAAAAAATCTAAATTATTTTTCGAAAATATCTCATATATATCGAAATTCAGTATATATCTTTGAATATCTTTTTTATATCTTAGTTAAATATTTTTTTTCTCATTATTAATATTAGAAAATGATAATGGTTTTATTGTCTTTTCACTTATTGAAAAAGTTATTTTTCAAAACTTTTAAAACTAGGGTTAGTTTTCAAATTATGAAAAATTTAGTAATATTAAACCAACTCACCCAATATTTTAATAGTTCAAAAGTTAACAATTTTTGTTCATAAACTTTGTTACTATTTACATAAATTTTGCAAGTCAGACTAGAAAGAGTAATTTTGTTGTTGTATATATTATTATATATATACCTATTTTCTGTTGATTTATACGATTAGTCACCTCTTTATTCTATTTTTATTTGTTAATCACCTTCAAGAAATAGTTTAAAATATTTTTTCAAACAAATAGAATTAGAATCGATAAATTTAGATATTATTAATTAGTACCAAAAAAATCTCCCAAACAGTAAATATCTCTGAAATAAAACTATTGTATTTTTTGAATAATTTGGTTTATTATTTTTTCTATTGTTTTAAATCAATATTTTAGCAGATCAAATTCATATTTTTATTTTTATAAACATACAAAAATGTAGACAAAAACCAAAAACTAAATAAGTCACCAATCAAGTTTCTAGAAAACTAAAATCTACAGCAGAATGAAAATCTAAAAACCAAAATCTAAAATAAAAAAAAAACAAACACAAAATCTAAAAACCAGCTAAACATTCATGGCCGGTTGATTATCTACATGAAAGCGACGGATAATTTTATATTAATATTTATAGCCACGTTTTTTCTACTTTTAATATCAACTTTCCACCTTCGAACACGAACCACTACTTCGGGCATCTCTCCTAATTCTATATATATACTTTCATGTACTAAATGTTAGCAGATCCATTCCCCTCACAAACATACATAGACAACGAAAAGAAGAAGAAGAAGATGGATAATCTGGAGTTATGTGAAGCAAACAATGTTCCTTTAACGCCCTTAACGTTCTTGAAGAGAGCTTCAGAATGTTATCCCAATCGAACTTCCATTATCTTTGGACAAACTCGTTTCACTTGGCCTCAGACCTATGACCGTTGCTGTCGTCTTGCTGCTTCCCTCCTCTCTCTTAACATCACCAAGAACGATGTCGTATGTCTCTCTCTCTCTCATCTCTGCTTACAAAAAAAATATTTGTCTTTTGCCTCACTTTATTTACTTCGTTGACAGTTTGAGATGTTCTTAAGATTGTCTGGTTTGACTAGAGCGTGTGAGTATAACCTGATTGATTCCGATGGTGTTTTCTCGATAAAAATTCAATTAAAGTTCTGTTCTTTATATTATTGAGTTTAATTAAAAAAATTTGAGTTTTGAATCAAAAGAGAAGCATGAACACAACATTATAGGACAATAATTCATCTTATAGTTTAATTAACTTTTCTTGATCCTAATAATACGGTAATTAAATGTATTGTGTTTTAACAAACATCACATTTAAACTGAATCATTGCCATGCATGTGATTATCATCCCACTCGAAATCCTTACCTTATATATTGGCCAATTTCTTCTCCAATTTCTCCTCCACTTGTCACCTTCCAGACTCATGTTTGGCTCCGTATGTCCCCGTACATGGTTTTTCTTTATTTCCTTAAATTTATTTTACATTCTAAGTAAATAAATGGAATTCATTCTGAAATTAAGAATAAATGCTTTGCCAAGAGAACTATCCCATGCTTTATTCGGTTAGAGCCTAACAATATATAATTTGATGTTGTATTTGAAATGAACTGAAATTGAATTATAATACAGTGTTATTTAATCAAGATTTCAAATCCGATTTTAAAATCCATTGTTATTCGATATCTGATTTGTAATCTATGATTACAAATCTATTGTTATTCAAAAGTTTCAAATCTATTGTTATGCAAAAGTTTCAAATCTATTGTTCAAGAGTTTCAAATCTATTGTTATTCAATTCAGATTTCAAATCCAGTTTTAAAATCCAGTGTTATTCAAAAATAAATGACTTTTAAAATCTTTTTTAAATGAGTAATTTGAAATGAATTCCAATGGAGTTCTATAGTAAATTATTAAATACAGAATCCATGAGATATTGTAGAGATTTTAGAATCAACCGATATGGATTCTTAAAATAAAATAAGACAAATATTTGGATTATAAAACCTATAGATTATGAAATGAATAAGAAATCATTCTAAATAACATATCATTTAAAAAATCTGATGTATTTCAAATATATTGGAGTTGATTTCAATATATGAAACCAATAACACGCCTAATAATATACTTACTCCATTATTTGACAAATATGTTTAAAAATACAAAATTTGTCTCACAATGATTGATGGTTTGTATTTTCTATACAAATTGTGTACCATTTCATTTCCCTTAGTGTTAAATAAACGACACAGTTAGCATTAAAACATTATTCCAAATATGAGACGTGTGATAAATGTGTGTTTAGGTATCCGTTTTGGCCCCAAACATACCGGCAATATATGAAGTGCACTTTGCAGTTCCCATGGCTGGAGCTGTCCTTAACCCTATTAACACCCGTCTCGACGCAAATACCATTGCCACAATCCTCCGCCACGCTCATCCAAAGATCTTATTCATAGACCGCAGTTTGGAGCCCCTGGCTCGAGAAATCGTCCACCTACTATCATATGACGGCTCACAACTTAACTTGATGGTCATATTCATTGATGAGACCGACTTACCAAAAAAGTTTTCATCCAACGAGTTAGACTACGAGGGTCTCATCCGTAGGGGAGATCCTACGTCCTCGTTGGTCGCACGTATGTTCCATATTCAAAACGAGCAAGATCCAATCTCCTTGAACTACACGTCGGGTACTACGGCTGACCCAAAAGGTGTTGTGATTAGCCACCGTGGAGCATATTTGAGCTCGTTGAGCTTGATTATGGGCTTGGAAATGGGGACCTTCCCGGTCTACCTTTGGACTCTGCCTATGTTTCATTGCAATGGATGGACGCTCACGTGGTCAGTGGCAGCGCGTGGGGGCACCAACGTGTGTATCAGGAACGTGACGGTCCCGGAAATATTTAAGAACATAGAATTACATGGCGTGACGCATATGTGTTGTGTTCCTACCGTCTTCAACATTCTCCTACAAGGCAAACCGGTTCACTTGTCAAATAGGTCCAAGCCGGTTCAAGTACTGGTTGGAGGTGCGTCGCCACCAGCTGCCCTTGTTAAGAAAGTTCAGCAGCTAGGGTTTCAAGTCATGCATGCCTATGGGCTTACGGAAGCCACCGGTCCGGTTCTAGTCTGTGAATGGCAAGACGAGTGGAACAGGTAACAGTACTTCCTCTGTTTCACATTTATTGGATTTTAAATGATATTTTTCATTTTTCAAGAAGATTATACTCCCTCTGTTTCTGTTTCTGTAAGTAGAATTGTCCCTAGTTTTTTGTTTTTATTTTTTAAAGATGAATTTTCTTAATTTTCAATGCATTTTTTATTAAACAATACTCCCTTCGTTTCACAAAGAATGTCATGTTAGAGTTTTGTTTTTGTTTTATAAAGAGTGTCACTTTACATTTCCAATACAGTTTTATTAATAAAAATCCATTTTTAACCTTGTTATATTAATGTATTTATTAGAAAGAAAATATTGTTTAGTGTATTTATAAAGGGTAAAATAGAACTTTTATTGATTTTATAAATATGTGTGAAAAAGTGTAGAATGACACTCTTTATAAAAGTAATGAATAATTGTACATTTCAAGAAAAATAATTGAAACTATTTAATTATCATATGTTAAAATCATAGAAAATTGTTAATCACAAAAAAATAATGCATTAGTGTTGAAGTTTATTTTTATTTTTTAATATGTGTGAAAACTTTTTAAAATTATTCTTTCAAAAACAGAGAGAATATTAAATATATTTTACAGTGATACAGAAGGTGTATAGTTTTCATTAATTTTTCATTTAACATTTATCAAAAATATAGGAGATGTTCGCTTTTTAAAAAAGTATAAAATGTAGTATGATGAAGTTTTTTTGTTTAGTGTACAACTATGTTAATTATATAGTTAATTTTAAAATTCTTTTACTTACTTGAAACAGACTACCAGAGAATCAACAAATGGAGCTGAAGGGAAGGCAAGGTGTAGGCGTCTTAACTCTATCTGAAGTTGACGTGAAGAATACAAAAACTCAAGAGAGTGTCCCACGGGACGGGAAGACGATGGGAGAGATTGTCATCAAAGGAAGCAGCATAATGAAAGGTTATCTAAAGAATCCCAAAGCAACATCTGAAGCGTTTAAACACGGATGGCTCAATACAGGAGATATAGGTGTGATTCATCCTGATGGGTACATAGAGATCAAAGATCGGTCCAAAGACATCATCATTTCGGGAGGTGAAAACATCAGTAGTGTTGAAGTCGAGAATGTTCTTTACAAGCATCAGAAAGTGCTTGAGGCCGCGGTCGTGGCCATGCCTCACCCTGTGTGGGGTGAAACACCATGCGCTTTCGTTGTTCTAGAAAAGGGTGAGACTTATCAAGGAGGTCGTGGGGATAAATTGGTGACCAGAGAAAGAGATTTGATTGAGTATTGCCGTGAGAATCTACCCCGGTTTATGTGTCCTAGGAAGATCGTATTCGTGGAAGAACTGCCAAGGAACGGAAATGGGAAGATCGTTAAGCCTAAGTTGAGAGACATCGCTAAAGGTTTGGTTTTCAGTGACAAGGATACTATTAGTTCCAAGAAAGTTCAAGGAGACGACGATAACTATCGTGTTGGTTGCCTTACTTCTCGGCTTTAAGTTTATGCATGATAAAAAAAATTAAATAGGTTGTAGTGTAAACGAAAAATTCGTTTCATTACTCGGCCTAATTCGCTACGTAATTGCATGTAATTCATTTGATTCACTGTTTCAGTCTGAATATTCATTCCCTGGTAGAGTTTTTTCATATGCCTGTTTCTTTTTTTCTTTCTCTGACCGTCGATCCACTTTAATATATTTGTCTTCTTAATAGGCTTGGATTTATGCACCAACACTTAGCTCCCAATTCTTTGAATTTATTTAATTGAGTGATTTTCTAACACAGACTCATCTCTCTTTAACTTCTTTTAATAGTTAATATCGGCACTTATCGGATGACAATCTCTACTCTTTTAGCTAATTCTTTTGGTCTTTGGGAGCCATTTTTTTTTGTAATGAACCGAGCTCAATTTACCAGAGTATATCGAATCTTGATGAAAATCCGGAAAATGTTCCAGTTTGATTTTGTTGCGCTTTCATTGCTTGTTTTGTGAGGCAAATCCGAATGTTAGTTACGATTTTCTCAATTAAATGGTGTTAAGCATGAGTTTATACATTAGAATTGGGAGACTACGAAAGACCTATGGAAAAAACATTATAATTTTGGGGGTACTCAAAATAAAACCAACATTACATGATGTGTTTAGAGGATCATTAGATTTGGCCATGACCTCCTGGTAATCTCTAATAACTAAAAGATGCTTTTTGGGGCCTCTCAGGCTACCCACGTCGGATTCATGAAGAGAGCTCCTAGAGTGCCACACCAGCACTACACAAGATTGGGCTTTATAGATCCAATTGGGCTTTATAGATTGCATCTCAGCCCATTCTTTGTTAAGATTCATAAGCCCACCTATTCATTTGTCTCTTTAATTCGTTACACGCGGCGGAACTTGAATCGATTCACCTATCTCGCCGTTACGCTTAGCCATCTTCAATGTCCACTCTCTCCACTATCGAATTTATGGCACCTCCAATCCGAAATCTATCTTTCTGATCCTATTAAATGCACTTTCACTTTGCAACTCATCTTCCCCCTAAACCAAATCCAAAATTTTGCTATGGTATCCAAATCTCCTTCTTCCTTTGTCAAACCAATGACTTTCCAGATTCTCGACAAAATCCACAGCCAATTCTGCAACGACGAGGTATTGGTGCGGCTTCTTTCAGATCCTAGATTTCATTCTCCAATTCTACTCTTCTCTTACTCGGTATTGTTTTGTTTTGTTCCTTGGATTTCGTCTTACCTTTCGCTTCTGATCGACTCATCTTCTTCTTTCGTCTCTCTCTCTCTCTCTCTCTCTCTCTCTCTCTCTCTCTCTTCTCTCTCTCTCTCTCTCTCTTTTTTTTTTTCCAAAAATCCAGGTCTTGGGTCAATCGGTTTCCGGATTCCAATCATGACCCTCCCTGCTTTTCTTTTCCGTAGATATTAGTTTGCGACGAGGTTTGTTCGATTCATCCTCTTTGTCTCATAAACATTTTGATGTTTCATGTAATAGTTAGATTGAATTGTTCCAGGGTTTGATGAGCTAGAGAAGATAACTAAGGGATGGGGGTCATGTGGGCTATGAGAATCAGGGGTTCTTCTTCAGCTTTTCTGTCTGGAAGTGAAGCTAACTCCCATGTCTCATTTATCTGTATGGACTTTATTTCTTCATCCATTGCATTTCTCCATGCCTCCTTCTCCATAGCTTCTTGGAAATTCATGGGCTCACATTCCGCAGATAGACAAAATAAGGTAAGATTGTCTTGATGTTCAGTTACCTCATAAAGCTCTTGCAGGTTTCTAAAACGCGGAGTCCTTTCGCTTGAACTTTCATCTCCTTGAGAACTTATAGTTGGTGGAGTAGGTGGAGTAGGTGGCGCAATAGGCTCCTCTGCTGGTTGCTCCGAATCCTCTTCTTCAATGTGTGGAAAGAAATTATGATCCTCATCATTTGATCTCCAATCCCATTCTTCTTCTTCATCAAAGATGACATTTCTACTGATTAGTGTCATCTTTGTCTCGGGATTGTAGAGCTTGTTGGCGTCATAACTGATGAAGATATATTTCTCGCTTTTATCATCTAGCTTGCTCCGCTTTTCGTCTGGTACATGAGCGTGAGCAATACTTCCAAATACTCCTAGATGTGAAACACCGGACTTTCTTCCGCTCCAAGCTTCTTGTGGTGTTTTTCCTGAAACGCTTCTCGCTGGAGATCGGTTTGATAGATACACTGCATACGCAACTGCTTCCGCCCACAAATCCTTTGGTAGGTTTTTACTTTTGAGCATGCTTCTCGCCATCTCAAGTATTGTCATGTTCTTCCTTTCCGCTTTTCCATTTTGTTGAGGGGTTCTCGGCACTGCCAACTGTCTTCTAATGTCATTATCTTCACAAAAATTCAAAAATTCTTTGGACATGAACTCCCCTCCACAATCGGATCTCATGGCTTTGATCACAAGACCACTTTCCTTCTCGACATGGGCTTTAAACTTTTTAAAGCTTTCAAAAACTTCTGATTTTTCTTTTAAAAAGTAAACCCATGTTTTTCTTGAAAAGTCATCAATAAAGAGAAGGAAGTAGTTAGTGTTACCGAGTGATCTTGGTTTGAGCGGACCACATACATATGTATGTATGAGTTCTAGTGGCATCCGGGCTCTTGTCTCTGACTCCTTTGGAAAGCTCATTTTGAATTGCTTTCCAAGTAAACACCCTACACATACTTGATTTGGATGGTTGATGCTGGGAAATCCTCTCACCATTTCTTTTTTGGATAGTAGCTCCAGCCCTCCAAAGTTGAGATGTCCGAATCAAAGATGCCAAAGCCCAGACTCCTCCTTGTAGCACATCTTGAGACATTTTGCAATGTAATATTGAATGTTTAGAACAAACAGTATATTCTTTGACATTGCCACCTTGGTAATGTTCTCATGGTCTCGTATTGAAAGATTATTATCCTTTAGTCGGATATCATAACCTTTCTCTAAGAGTTGTCGAAGGCTCAAGATGTTGGTCTTCATATTTGGAATGTAGTAAACATTGGAAATAAATTGATGATCTCCATTCTTCAATCGGATGAGAATATTTCCTTTACCTTTCACCATCATCTTCGATTCATCTCCTAAAGCCACATCTCCTTTGACGGATTCATCAAGCTCCACGAACATGCTTCTTTCCCGCACATGTGATTGCTTGCACCGCTGCGAGGTACCATTTCTGAACTTCATATTGTTTATCCTTCTTGTACGCCATTAAAATCATGTCACCTTCTTGACACATAATTGGACTTCTCTTCGGCTCTATTGTTGTTCGGAGCTCTACATTCGGAAGCATAATGTCGAAACTTTCCACAATAGTAGCATTTAATGCTTGACTAATCGTACCTTGATTTTGGACTTCCTCTTCCACCGCCTCTTGATGAATTTTCTCTTCTTTTGTTGGTGCGGTCTTCATTTGGTCTCCAACGTCGTCCTTTTCCATATCCACGACCTCGTCCTCGGGCTTGACTCCCGCCTCGTCTTGGATGGCTTCGACCACCTTCTTCTTTATCATGATCGATACGCATCTTGAGTACTTGTTCTGCGATATCTTCCTTCTTCTTCTTCTTTTCTTCATAGGCTTGCAATGACCCAAGAAGTTGCTCTATAGTCATAGCCTCCAAGTCTTTTGTCCCCTCGATGACGGTAACAATATGCTCAAATTTTGGATCCAATGATCTAAGAACTTTCTCCATGATTCTCACATCGTCTAACTTCTCACCATTTCTTTTGAGGTTATTAGTAACCGTGATATACCTCTAATTTACCCACTTTTTATACTGTTTTAGCATTGTTTTCTAATGGTTTTTGGCAGGTTTTCTATCTAAAAAGGTAGTTTTACTGTGTTTATAGTGTCTAGAGTCTAAACAGGTGAAATGATGCATTTTGGAGCAAAACCATAGGATTTGCACTTCAAGCCGCTCCATGCACAAGCACCAACTTTAAGAGGGCCCAGAAAAAGATCTACTCAATGGATTTCATCAAGACCAGTTCCCTGCGTGCTCTGATTGAGTTAACTTTCCAACGCAACTGGAATGGCCTAATTTGGATGAGTAGAAAAGGAGTTATAACCAAAAGAGTGAAGACTGTCCAGACGGCTCTATCGAGAAACAGCGCCCAACCGCGCAGTCCGGCTGGCCGAGGAAACTATGTTCCGCGCTCGGCCAAATCACATCCGTCCGTCTGAAGTCTCGGCCAAAGTCCAAACCACGGCCGATCACGCAACACGACCCGGGAAACATTGTCCCGCGGTCGGCCAAGCACGCCCACGCCACGCCGCGCACGACCATGCCGCGCGAGCCGGGAACAAGCCTCGCGGCCGCGCAACCCTCGCGTACCACGGCCGATGCATCCGTCCGAGCCGGGAAAGAACGTCCCACGTCCGGCCGAGAATCGGCCAAATCTCATCCGCTCGACCACGCCGGCCGACCGTGAAATCATCCGGCCACGACCCGACTGTCCGGCCGATCGTCCCGACCGACCGTCCCAACGCCGCGGTCGACCCGAAGCCCGTTTTGAAGCCCATTTCATATTTTCAAGGCCCGGCTTAACCCTAAGCCGCCTCAAAAGACCTAGCACTATATATATAGCTTTTTAGCCTCTTGTGAAAGAGAGCCGCCCTTGTATTCAATTTCATACTTTGAGTTTTATTGCAATCATGTTTTCTTCATCTCTTTGTGTTTTGCTTTGATTATGTCTGAGTAATTCACTAGTTAGGTTGTGAGATCTATCAAAGAGTTCATGGTTTGATAGGTTGTTAGAAGTCACATAGGGTTTACTATCGCATCTTCGCCTCTGCTTGAATTCATTGCTGCTTGCTTTTCTGATCAACTAGCATCAGATCTTAGGTTTCATATACTCTCCAAAAGCTTGCTATATAACCTGAACTAAGTATTTGGTGAGCAAAACTTCATAGACTGCGAAAGTTGATCTATGCGGGGTTGTGAACAATTGGGTCTTGAACGAACTATTGCTTGATTTAATCACCTAGGGACATACCAAAAGTTTAGCGACTAGGTAGATTAACAAAGGGGTCGGAGCCTCGACAGTGGAAAGATCATACAATCGTGACCTGAGTTCTAGATAGCGCAAACCCTAGCGAAACCTTCTAATATCTTGTTAACCTTGAATCTCTGCGAGTTTCTCATTGCCTAGCGTTTCCCTTTATTGATTTTCATAAACCGTTTAATCTGCTGTTTGATTTCTTTGTTACACAATCAAAACCCTAAATCATACTTGTTTTCTAGCTATATTAGACTTGCAATACTCGAAGTGTACTTATCTGCTCCTTGTGTTCGATACCCGTTTACTACTTCTGACCTGTGCACTTGCAGAATCAGGGATAGGAAAAGGGAAGACCTGATCCCGCGATCAAGTTTTTGGCGCCGTTGCCGGGGAGCAATACAGCTACCTTCGAGTTCCCAACTATAGTCTAGCCTAGAATTTCGTTTTTCCTTTTTGTTTTTGCAAATTTTCAACTTTTGTTTTTCCTTTTTACTGTTTTCTATTTAAAGAATCTTGCCTCTATCCCTTTCAGGTACTAAGCTTGAAAGAGGACTCTAACATGAGTGATTCAGACGATCAAGAGGAGAGAGATAACTTGGCCGCGAGAGAGATCGCGCTGGCCGAGCAGCACGAAGATCCGCCGGATCCGAATGCCGCGCACATCGCGCCAATGATGGAGAGCGACACAATGAAGAAGTCATGGGAGACTTCGATTCCAATCCAACACTACTAATCGATCGGAATCCCATCCAGCCGCCACTTCCTGAAGGAAGAAGCTATGAGATTTCACCGGAGATCATTGGTTTGGTGAAACAAAACCAGTTCCAAGGAAAACCCCAGGAGAATCCTTTGGAACATATTGATGCTTTGAAGAAATCTGTGGCACCATCAGTGCAGGAGGTGCGCCCAAGGAGTACTTAAAGTGCAAACTATTCTCTTTCACTTTGACAGGGAAGGCTTTGCGCTGGGTTAAGTCTCTTCCAGCTCAATCCATAACCACATGGAAAGAGTACAAGGTGGCATTCCTAGGTCACTTTTTCACAAAGCAAAGAGCAAACTTGTTGAGAGAAAAGATCTCTAGTTTCCAACAAGGGCCGGTGGAGCCTTTTCATGAAGCATTGGAGCGCTTTAAGGACTATACAAGAGAGTGTCCTAATCATGGACTATCTGATGGCAGTCTATGGAACATTTTCTACAGAGGAATAAGTGGGAAGTGTCGATTTTCTCTTGATACAGCCAGCAATGGAAATTTCATGACCAAGACAGTTACTGAAGCAAAGATTTTGATTGAAAATCTAGCCTCAAGCGACAGTGACAACTTCATTGGGCATGAGAGAGCAGTGAAGGCCATAAATTCTGATCCATACAGAGATGGATACAGTGAAATCAAAGCCATGATGGCTGAGATACTGAGAAACCAAGGAAGAGAAGTGGAGAGACAAAGAGAAGCTTATAGAGTTGAATCCACAATAATTCAAGATTACTTTGGAGATTTGATTCCAAGTTTCCAAGAAGAAGTAAACTTTGTTGGAATAGATGGATCAGCACATAGAGAAGAAGCTTGGAAAGGAGAGCATGATGTTTTTACTCAAGAATCACCCAATGAGAAGAGGGATGTTCATGGAGGAAGAAATTATCAGCAACCACCTCACAAGAGAAGAATGGAGCCAAGGAGCAACTTTGAAGATTTGATAACTTTCATCAAGAGTTCTCATAGAGAGCACACAGCCTTGATTGATGAGAGATTGGAGTCAGCTTTCACGAGATTGAATGAGAAGTTGGATTCAATTTCTTCTTTCACAAGAGACTTGGATCTTAGAGTTGCCAACATAGCCAGCTCTATTAAGAGAGAAGAAGGTGTGCTACCAGGAAAAGTGGAAATCAATCCAAGGAGAGCAGCTGTAGCAGCTATCACTCTTAGGAATGGAAAAGGGTATGAGCCGCCAGCATACCCAGATCAAGAGGAAGCAAAGCCGCCAACAAGAAGAAACCAATGGAGTATGTCATTATTGGAGATGGGACTGAACCACCTAAGGAAGTCCATGTCAGAATAGAACCAGGAACTCAGGAGGAAGTGGAGAAGCCACCTGAAGAACCAAGAGTGTATGAGCCAAAGATCCCATACAGAAATGTTCTTTCTCAACCCAAGAAGGAGAAGGAGCAAGCAAAGCTCAAGGATCTTGTTAGCCAACTTTCAGTAAGGTTACCTTTCATTGATGCTTGCCAAATAATTCCATCTCTCAGGAAGTATATGAAGGCCATACTCACAAGCAATGTGAGTCTTGAAGAAGGAGCAATGATGATTACAAAGGAGTGTAGTGCCATACTTCAGAATCGCATGCCAGAGAAGCTGAACGACCCAGGAAGTTTTGTTTTGTCTTGCAAGATCGGTTCTACACACTTCCATAGAGCACTTTGTGATTTGGGTTCAGTGTGAACCTAATGCCTTACTCAGTGGCCAAGCTATTGGGCATCACTGACTTCAAACCTACAAAGATCTCTCTAGTCTTTGCAGACAGATCTGTTCGCCGCCCTGTTGGTGTTATTATGGATGTTCCAATCATGGTTGGAGATTGCTACATCCCTGCTGATTTTGTAGTTCTTGAGCTGGAACACCAACCTAAAGACCCTCTTATCTTGGGAAGGCCATTCCTAGCTACTGCAGGAGCTATAATAGATGTCAAGAATGGAAAGATTGACTTGCATCTTGGAGATATAGTGATGAATTTCGAGTAAACAAGTCTATGGAGAAACCAACTGTAGATGGTCAAGCTTTTTGGATTGGAGAGCTCGCAGAGACAAGAGAAGAAGTGCTGGATGAACTCCTTCTTATTGATCCCTTGGAGCTAGCTTTGACAAAGGCTGAGAATGAGTATGGATACATGGAAAGAGAAGCTCAATGCTTAGTCAAGTTCATGGATTCCAAGGAAGCTTATAAAGAGCTATAGCTTATATGGACTTAGAGAGAGAAGAGGAAGAGCCAGACATTGACAAGAGTCAGGAAATATCACAAACCAAAGTTAAGTTCGACCCATGGTGCCCACTTAGAGCTCCAAAAGCCGAGCTCAAACAACTCCCAGTTGGTCTAAGGTATGAATATCTTGGTCCTAATGAAACATATCCTGTTATTGTTAATGCTGCACTAACAAAAGAAGAGACCGCTTTACTTGTTCGCGAACTGAGAAAGCATAGAAAGGCTCTTGGTTACTCTTTGGATGATTTAACAGGAATCTCACCTGAACTATGCACACATCGCATCATCCTGGAGGATGAGTCTAGTTCTTCATTGAACACCAAAGGAGGCTAAACCCAAACCTAAAGGAAGTTGTCAAGAAGGAGATAATGAAGCTATTGAAAGCTGGAGTGATTATCCAATATCAGATAGTGCATGGGTCAGCCCTGTACATGTCGTGCCAAAGAAAGGAGGGATCACAGTCATCAAGAATGAACATGATGAGCTCATTCCAACAAGGACAATCACAGGACACAGAATGTGTGTCGACTACAGGAAGCTGAACTCCTCCACGCGCAAGGACCACTACCCCTTGCCATTCATAGACCAGATGCTTGAGCGCCTTGCCAATCATCAATACTACTGTTTCTTGGATGGATACTCAGGATTTTTCCAAATTCCAATCCACCCAGATGATCAGGAGAAGACTACCTTCACTTGTCCCTATGGCACATATGCTTATAGGAGAATGCCTTTTGGATTGTGCAATGCTCCAGCTACATTCCAAAGGTGTATGATGTCCATATTCACAGATCTATAGAAGAGATTATGGAGGTTTTCATGGATGATTTCTCAGTATATGGTTCTTCCTTTGAATCATGTTTGGGAAATCTTGGAAGAGTGCTACAGAGATGTGAAGACAAGCACCTAGTTCTAAATTGGGAGAAGTGCCATTTATGGTTAGAGATGGAATAGTGCTTGGACATAGAATCTCAGAGAGAGGCATAGAAGTTGACAAGGCCAAGATTGAAGTATGACAAACCTTCAGCCGCCCAAGACAGTCAAAGATATCAGAAGCTTCCTAGGACATGCTGGATTCTACAGGAGGTTCATTAAAGATTTCTCGCAGATAGCAAGGCCGCTAACACGCCTATTATGCAAGGATATTAACTTTGAGTTCACAGAGGAGTGTCACAAGGCTTTCACTAAGATCAAAGATGCATTGGTCAGTGCGCCAGTGGTTCAACCTCCAAACTGGGAACTACCTTTTGAGATAATGTGTGATGCAAGTGATTATGCAGTAGGAGCAGTGCTTGGACAAAGAAAAGACAAGAAGCTACATGTGATCTATTATGCCAGCAGAACACTTGATGAGGCACAATGCAAGTATGCCACAACAGAAAAGGAGCTTCTTGCTATTGTCTTTGCATTTGAGAAATTTCGATCATACTTGGTGGGATCAAAGTTATAGTTCATCTGATCATGCAGCATTAAGGTATCTCTTTATCTAAGAAAGATGCCAAGCCAAGATTGTTGAGATGGATACTACTATTGCAAGAATTTGATCTTGAGATCAAGGATAGAAGAGGAGCAGATAATGGAGTAGCTGATCATCTTTCAAGGATGAGAGTTGAAGAAAATCTACCCCTTGATGATAGGCTACCTGAAGAATCAGTTTATGCAGCTGAAGCTAGCAATAAGCATGGACAACTAGGCCATCACAGGCCAGGAACAAAGATCTCATCATCAAACACACCATGGTTTCGCCACATAGCAAACTTCCTTGCAGCTGAATACCCACCACCAAACTTCTTTGGCTACAGAAAGAAGAAGTTTCTGCGTGATGTAAGAAGGTACTACTGGGATGAACCTTACTTATACAAGAAATGTTCAGATGGAATGTTTAGAAGATGCATACCAGAGGAAGAGGTAGAAGGAATATTGTTTGCTTGTCATAGTTCTAGCTATGCAGGCACTTTGCCACTTACAAGACAGTATCCAAGGTCCTACAAGCTGGATTTTGGTGGCCAACTATGTTTAAGGATGCTCATGCATTCATATCAAGATGTGATGCTTGCCAAAGAATGGGAAATATAAGCAAGAGGAATGAGATGCCACAGAACTTTATACTAGAAGTTGAAGTTTTTGATGTTTGGGGCATTGACTTTATGGGACCTTCCCAACCTCTTTTGGTGACCAATACATTCTAGTGGCAGTTGATTATGTCTCCAAATGGGTGGAAGCCATTGCCAGCCCTACTAATGACGCACAAGTGGTCATCAAGATGTTTAAATCCATCATTTTTCCAAGGTTTGGAGTGCCTAGGATAGTCATAAGTGATGGAGGTTCACATTTCATCAACAGAATCTTTGCCAACCTTTTGAAGAAGCATGGAGTCACTCACAAAGTTGCCTCTCCTTACCACCCTCAAACTAGTGGACAAGTTGAGATCTCAAACAGAGAACTCAAGAGCATACTTCAGAAGACAACAGGCAAGACAAGAAAGGATTGGAGTGCCAAACTAGATGATGCTCTATGGGCATACCACACTGCCTTCAAAACACCACTTGGTACCACCCCCTTTCATCTTGTTTATGGTAAAGCATGTCATTTACCTGTGGAGCTGGAGTACAAAGCAGCTTGGGCTATTAAGGAGTTGAACTTCAACCTAAAGACAGCAGGAGAAAGAAGATTGATTCAGCTGAATGAGCTTGATGAGATTAGGCATCTGGCTTATGAGAATTCAAAGATCTATAAGGAGAGAACCAAAGCTTTCCATGACCGCAAGATCATCCCAAAGAACTTTGCGCCAAACGACCAAGTTCTACTATTCAACTCAAGGTTGAAACTCTTTCCAGGAAAGCTTCGCTCAAGATGGTCAGGACCATTCAGGATTAAAGAAGTTCGCCCCTATGGAGCAGTGGTACTATGGGACCAATGGGAGGAGACTTTACAGTCAATGGACAAAGGTTAAAACCTACCTAGCCTTCCACCACCATACCACAGGAGACCACACTAGCTCTTGGCGATCCACCAGATCCTTAAGGAAGTGCCATACAGTCAAGCTAATGACTTTAAACAAAGCGCTGAATGGGAGGCAACCCATTGAAGGTCATTTCTTTTCATTTTCTTTCTTTAATTTTCTTTTGTTTTGAATATTACCTCTCACCTTAATGTGATTTGCTTTCACCGGGACGGTGCAAGTTAAGTCTGGGGGGAGTTTTATTGTGTTACTAATGCATTTTTCTTTCTTTTCTTATGTTTTAGTTCACTTTGTTTCATGTTTTTCAAAAAGTTTTATTGAGTCAAAAACCAGTCCGGAAGTTATGAACTTGCTTTGAGAATTGAGAGTGTTGTGCTAACAATCCATGACCCTAGAGCAGAAACCAGCTAAAGGCACAAGCCTAAANTTGACAAAGGCTGAAAATGAGTATGGATACATGGAAAGAGAAGCTCAATGCTTAGTCAAGTTCATGGATTCAAGGAAGCTTATAAAGAGCTGATAGCTTATATGGACTTAGAGAGAGAAGAGGAAGAGCCAGACATTGACAAGAATCAGGAAATATCACAAACCAAAGTTAAGTTCGACCCATGGTGCCCACTTAGAGCTCCAAAAGCCGAGCTCAAACAACTCCCAGTTGGTCTAAGGTATGAATATCTTGGTCCTAATGAAACATATCCTGTTATTGTTAATGCTGCACTAACAAAAGAAGAGACCGCTTTACTTGTTCGCGAACTGAGAAAGCATAGAAAGGCTCTTGGTTATTCTTTGGATGATTTAACAGGAATCTCACCTGAACTATGCACACATCGCATCATCCTGGAGGATGAGTCTAGTTCTTCAATTGAACACCAAAGGAGGCTAAACCCAAACCTAAAGGAAGTTGTCAAGAAGGAGATAATGAAGCTATTGAAAGCTGGAGTGATTATCCAATATCAGATAGTGCATGGGTCAGCCCTGTACATGTCGTGCCAAAGAAAGGAGGGATCACAGTCATCAAGAATGAACATGATGAGCTCATTCCAACAAGACAATCACTGGACACAGAATGTGTGTCGACTACAGGAAGCTGAACTCCTCTACGCGCAAGGACCACTACCCCTTGCCATTCATAGATCAGATGCTTGAGCGCCTTGCCAATCATCAATACTACTGTTTCTTGGATGGATACTCAGGATTTTTCCAAATTCCAATCCACCCAGATGATCAGGAAAAGACTACATTCACTTGTCCCTATGGCACATATGCTTATAGGAGAATGCCTTTTGGATTGTGCAATGCTCCAGCTACATTCCAAAGGTGTATGATGTCCATATTCACAGATCTCATAGAAGAGATTATGGAGGTTTTCATGGATGATTTCTCAGTATATGGTTCTTCCTTTGAATCATGTTTGGGAAATCTTGGAAGAGTGCTACAGAGATGTGAAGACAAGCACCTAGTTCTAAATTGGGAGAAGTGCCATTTTATGGTTAGAGATGGAATAGTGCTTGGACATAGAATCTCAGAGAGAGGCATAGAAGTTGACAAGGCCAAGATTGAAGTAATGACAAACCTTCAGCCGCCCAAGACAGTAAAGATATCAGAAGCTTCTTAGGACATGCTGGGTTCTACAGGAGGTTCATTAAAGATTTCTCACAGATAGCAAGGCCGCTAACACGCCTATTATGCAAGGATATTAACTTTGAGTTCACAGAGGAGTGTCACAAGGCTTTCACTAAGATCAAGGATGCATTGGTCAGTGCGCCAGTGGTTCAACCTCCAAACTGGGAACTACCTTTTGAGATAATGTGTGATGCAAGTGATTATGCAGTAGGAGCAGTGCTTGGACAAAGAAAAGACAAGAAGCTACATGTGATCTATTATGCCAGCAGAACACTTGATGAGGCACAATGCAAGTATGCCACAACAGAAAAGGAGCTTCTAGCTATTGTCTTTGCATTTGAAAATTTCGATCATACTTGGTGGGATCGAAAGTTATAGTTCATTCTGATCATGCAGCATTAAGGTATCTCTTATCTAAGAAAGATGCCAAGCCAAGATTGTTGAGATGGATACTACTACTGCAAGAATTTGATCTTGAGATCAAGGATAGAAGAGGAGCAGATAATGGAGTAGCTGATCACCTTTCAAGGATGAGAGTTGAAGAAAATCTACCCTTGATGATAGGCTACCTGAAGAACAGTTTATGCAGCTGAAGCTAGCAATAAGCATGGACAACTAGCCATCACAGGCCAGGAACAAAGATCTCATCATCAAACACACCATGGTTTCGCCACATAGCAAACTTCCTTGCAGCTGAATACCCACCACCAAACTTCTTTGGCTACAGAAAGAAGAAATTTCTGCGTGATGTAAGAAGGTACTACTGGGATGAACCTTACTTATACAAGAAATGTTCAGATGGAATGTTTAGAAGATGCATACCTGAGGAAGAGGTAGAAGGAATATTGTTTGCTTGTCATAGTTCTAGCTATGCAGGCCACTTTGCCACTTACAAGACAGTATCCAAGGTCCTACAAGCTGGATTTTGGTGGCCAACTATGTTTAAGGATGCTCATGCATTCATATCAAGATGTGATGCTTGCCAAAGAATGGGAAATATAAGCAAGAGGAATGAGATGCCACAGAACTTTATACTAGAAGTTGAAGTTTTTGATGTTTGGGGCATTGACTTTATGGGACCCTTCCCAACCTCTTTTGGCGACCAATACATTCTAGTGGCAGTTGATTATGTCTCCAAATGGGTGGAAGCCATCGCCAGCCCTACTAATGACGCACAAGTGGTCATCAAGATGTTTAAATCCATCATTTTTCCAAGGTTTGGAGTGCCTAGGATAGTCATAAGTGATGGAGGTTCACATTTCATCAACAGAATCTTTGCCAACCTTTTGAAGAAGCATGGAGTCACTCACAAAGTTGCCTCTCCTTACCACCCTCAAACTAGTGGACAAGTTGAGATCTCAAACAGAGAACTCAAGAGCATACTTCAGAAGACAACAGGCAAGACAAGAAAGGATTGGAGTGCCAAACTAGATGATGCTCTATGGGCATACCGCACTGCCTTCAAAACACCACTTGGTACCACCCCCTTTCATCTTGTTTATGGTAAAGCATGTCATTTACCTGTGGAGCTGGAGTACAAAGCAGCTTGGGCTATTAAGGAGTTGAACTTCAACCTAAAGACAGCAGGAGAAAGAAGATTGATTCAGCTAAATGAGCTTGATGAGATTAGGCATCTGGCTTATGAGAATTCAAAGATCTATAAGGAGAGAACCAAAGCTTTCCATGACCGCAAGATCATCCCAAAGAACTTTGCGCCAAACGACCAAGTTCTACTATTCAACTCAAGGTTGAAACTCTTTCCAGGAAAGCTTCGCTCAAGATGGTCAGGACCATTCAGGATTAAAGAAGTTCGCCCCTATGGAGCAGTGGTACTATGGGACCCAATGGGAGGAGACTTTACAGTCAATGGACAAAGGTTAAAACCTACCTAGCTTCCACCACCATACCACAGGAGACCACACTAGCTCTTGGCGATCCACCAGATCCTTAAGGAAGTGCCATACAGTCAAGCTAAAGACTTTAAACAAAGCGCTGAATGGGAGGCAACCCATTGAAGGTCATTTCTTTTCATTTTCTTTCTTTAATTTTCTTTTATTTTGAATATTACCTCTCACCTTAATGTGATTTGCTTTCACCGGGACGGTGCAAGTTAAGTCTGGGGGGAGTTTTATTGTGTTACTAATGCATTTTTCTTTCTTTTCTTATGTTTTATTCACTTTGTTTCATGTTTTTCAAAAAGTTTTATTGAGTCAAAAACCAGTCCGGAAGTTATGAACTTGCTTTGAGAATTGAGAGTGTTGTGCTAACAATCCATGACCCTAGAGCAGAAACCAGCTAAAGGCACAAGCCTAACAGAAGCTCTTACAGTGGATCGACATGCTAGCTCAGCAAAATTTCTAAGGTAACCAAGCAATCTAGAGTTAACCTCACCCTTAATCAATCTTAATACTCTTGTCAAGGGGGTTGGCATACATGTCGACAGTTCCTTGCTTGATTTTCAATGAGATTTGTCTAATCTTTAAAGAGTTCTCCTCTCTCTCCCATCCCAAATGGTAAGTAATGTTTATGAGAAAAAGCTCAAAGAGCACAAGGAAAACAAGTAAGCATGAGGAATGCATATGTCTGTACCTTCATGTCTTATGGAATACCTTAGTCAAACAAGGAACAAGCTAAAGACTTATCCTGTGGTTGAAAGAAGGGTCAATAGAAAAAATAAAATGATACCCTAGAAAAGTAGGGATAAATTGACCTTTCAAAGTTCTGATGTGAGAAAGAGAGAGGAAAAGAACTCATTGCACTTAAAGACAATCTTGGAGAGATCAAGTGGGTAAGAACAAGTTCAATTGATCGATGTCCCCTTGATAAAGAATTCACGCTTTAAATTTATGCAAGAGGTTAGCAATAGAGAGTTTGGATTGCTGGATGAGACTAGTTGGGTTGGTATTGTTCGCTAAACTTGCAGGGTGTATGTGAAGCTAACCTTATGTTGTCTATGTTCATAGTGGAATACAGGAAAGGAACCTTTCACAGGATATTCAAAAGAGCAAGGGAGTTTCCACGTTTTCAAACCTCTTTCACGGATTTAGATTCTTTTGCTTGAGGACAAGCAAAGATCTAAGTCTGGGGGAGTTGATATACCTCTATTTACCACTTTTTATACTGTTTTAGCATTGTTTTCTAATGGTTTTTGGCAGGTTTTCTATCTAAAAAGGTAGTTTTACTGTGTTTATAGTGTCTAGAGTCTAAACAGGTGAAATGATGCATTTTGGAGCAAAACCATAGGATTTGCACTTCAAGCCGCTCCATGCACAAGCACCAACTTTAAGAGGGCCCAGAAAAAGATCTACTCAATGGATTTCATCAAGACCAGTTCCCTGCGTGCTCTGATTGAGTTAACTTTCCAACGCAACTGGAACGGCCTAATTTGGATGAGTAGAAAAGGAGTTATAACCAAAAGAGTGAAGACTGTCCAGACGGCTCTATCGAGAATCAGCGCCCAACCGCGCAGTCCGGCTGGCCGAGAAACTCGGCCAAAGTCACATCCGTCCGTCTGAAGTCTCGGCCAAAGTTCCAAACCACCGGCCGATCACGCAATCACGACCCGGGAAACATTGTCCCGCGGTCGGCCAAGCACCGTCACGCCAGCCGCGCACGACCAGCCGCGCGAGCCGGGAACAAGCCTCGCGGCCGCGCAACCCTCGCGTACCACGGCCGATGCATCCGTCCGAGCCGGGAAAGAACGTCCCACGTCCGGCCGAGAAACTCATCGGCCAAATCTCAATCCGTCGACCACGCCGCCGACCGTGAATCCGATCCGGCCACGACCCGACTGTCCGGCCGATCGTCCCGACCGACCGTCCCAACGCCGCGGTCGACCCGAAGCCCGTTTTGAAGCCCGATTTCATATTTTCAAGCCCGGCTTAACCCTAAGCCGCCTCAAAAGACCTAGCACTATATATATAGCTTTTTAGCCTCTTGTGAAAGAGAGCCGCCCTTGTATTCAATTTCATACTTTGAGTTTTATTGCAATCATGTTTTCTTCATCTCTTTGTGTTTTGCTTTGATTATGTCTGAGTAATTCACTAGTTAGGTTGTGAGATCTATCAAAGAGTTCATGGTTTGATAGGTTGTTAGAAGTCACATAGGGTTTATATATCGCATCTTCGCCTCTGCTTGAATTCATTGCTGCTTGCTTTTCTGATCAACTAGCATCAGATCTTAGGTTTCATATACTCTCCAAAAGCTTGCTATATAACCTGAACTAAGTATTTGGTGAGCAAAACTTCATAGACTGCGAAAGTTGATCTATGCGGGGTTGTGAACAATTGGGTCTTGAACGAACTATTGCTTGATTTAATCACCTAGGGACATACCAAAAGTTTAGCGACTAGGTAGATTAACAAAGGGGTCGGAGCCTCGACAGTGGAAAGATCATACAATCGTGACCTGAGTTCTAGATAGCGCAAACCCTAGCGAACCTTCTAATATCTTGTTAACCTTGAATCTCTGCGAGTTTCTCATTGCCTAGCGTTTCCCTTATTGATTTTCATAAACCGTTTAATCTGCTGTTTGATTTACTTTGTTACACAATCAAAAACCCTAAATCATACTTGTTTTCTAGCTATTTTAGACTTGCAATACTCGAAGTGTACTTATCTGCTCCTTGTGTTCGATACCCGTTTACTACTTTTGATCTGTGCACTTGCAGAATCAGGGATAGGAAAAGGGAAGACCTGATCCCGCGATCAAACCGTCATAACTCTGGAGAAGTAATCAGAAACAAGTTCACCTTCCTTCATTTGCAACACTTCAAATTCTCCTCTTAGAGTTTGAAGACGCACCTTCTTTACTTGCTCCGCTCCTTTGTAAGAAGTTCGAAGCTTCTCCCATGTTTCTTTGGCCGTCTTTGCTCCCGCGACCTTCTCAAATGTGTCTTCATCTAATCCTTGATAGATTAGACATGCATTGTATGCTTCGGCACAACAAACGCTTATGAAGAGTTATTGTTCTTGTGTGGTAAATATGGTGTTTAAGCGTGAATACTAGACAACGTTTTCAATTCCTCTAAAGAAAATCAACCAGGTCTGCTTAGTAGCCCGTGTGACATGAATATATCACATGGTCCAGTCAAATTTCATAACAAAATTTTAAAACAGGATATAAATTGTTTAAAAATTTGTAAACTAGAGCCTATATATTTTTTAAAATTGTAAAACAGAGCCTATTTTTTCTAGTGTTCACATATATGAGTTAAGTCTGAAATTTTGTATGGACTGGACACAGGGTTCAATATTCCATCGAACCGGGTCTGATATCAGCACATGCAAGAAGTTGTTATTTTCCTACTCGTACCGAAAACAAAAGGCGGACAAGTAGCACGAAGTGTTAATGATTTTCTATACAATTTTACGATTTTTATTATATGAATTCCGTTTCACCAATTTGGATTTCCGAACCGTTCTTGACAAAGAAAAAAAACAAAAACAACAAGACGAAAGAGGAGTGAAGAAGATGGAGATTCAATTCTTTTTATAAAGAACAAGAGTAAAATATAGGCGGTATCTGATGTAAATTAGTAAAATATATTGAAACCGGTTATAGACAAAGAATTTGATAAGATATTTGTTGTTGTGCTAGCGAATACAGTTTCTCAAGAAATGTATGGTGTAATTTTTTTTCATCCATTAATCAATATAACAATTTTATAACAATTTTGTAAACACTTATAAAATATCGTACTATTAGTTCAAATCATGATCCTTAACTCTACATCATAAACCAAAGTTTTAGGTCGCAACGGATTGTCGACAAAGCTCCATTTGTCTTCTTTGATTACAAACGCATGTGAACAAATTTATGAATGGCTACTCTGCGATTTGACCGAATTTTGATGCCAAATGTTTTAAACAGTTAATGTCATAAACTTGTGTCCTTGTCAAAGACTGTATTGTATGTCTTTTATTTTTAAAATTTTATTCATAAATAGATGGCCGAACTTCAGAAGTACACAAAGTTAGAACATGTCGACCAAAATAAAAGGTGATCAAATGAACCGAGTTAACATTCAACTATACACTTACATCTATACACCGCGACTCAAATAACTCAGTATCGGAGCTAATTATTTGTTTAGGCATGCATGAACAGTGTTCGATTTACCATATAATTGTTGAATCCGAGATAGCACTCGTCAAGACGGGCTATCAAAGATGTGAGTTTAGGAAACTGGAATGCTTAATTCGACTCTTAGATTATCAAGAAGTTACAAGAGTAATCTCGCTAACAAGCCTAGCGAGATTATGTGATGAACAAGAGGAAGAGTAAAAGCTGTGAAAGGCCTAGTGATTCTAGATGATTTCGGATCCCTTTCCCCAATGGGGGGTCTTCAATATATAGTGTTGATAAGTCGGCCGAATGATGAATATTCTCCTTCAGGCGAGATGGAAAACTTCCTCTTTTGCGATATGGAAAACTTCCTCTTGTTTTGGATCTTTCCATTCTTTAAGTCGGCATGAAGATTTATTTACATTTCTCCATGGATTGTGCCTTCTCTCAAGTCTTGCCTTTTTCTTGAAGATGTTAGGCCTAAAATCGGATTGGGCTTTGTGACTTTACTAATGATGACGGGCTCAGGGAAATGTGCTAATTTCTCCTCTAACAATAAGTCCCCCCGCCAGCTCGGCAGGTCAAATGTAGTTTGATCTCGGCGAGCTTCATGAATAGAGGACGAGCTTGAGAATCATTAGTAAAATACATCACTTCAATCGGATCTTAGTGCCTAGGTGCATGCTGAATGTAGATTCGTGCCGCCTCATTAAAACCTTGGTACGGAAAAACCCAATTGGGACAAAAACCATAAAAAGGAAAAAGAGTACGTTGACGTCATCTAATTCATGAGTAATATGCTTCGAATGATTTTTGCCGCGACCAAAAATGCTTTCTTGGTTCGAATGTGACGGGTTCGGTTTTCAGCTGTGACTGGGCGATTTTGCCACGTCACGTACGGTGTTTGCAATTGCGTGGGCTGAGTCCGATAGTCGATTAAATCGCGCGGAGGCCCAAGCCCATTAGTGCTTTTCCATTGAGCGGGAAAGAAATGAATAAAAAATTCATAAGGGCAGTTGTGTCCCTTGGAAGTCGCGCGATCTCTATTAAGAGACCGTTCGAATTTCCTTTATTCATTTTTGCTTCTTTTCTTCTTCTCACTCAACCGTCCCGACGAATCAAAGGTAACTTCCGCAATCCGACTTCAAATCTTGCTCGATTGATTTCTCGAATCGATTTTGCGGGATTTAGGACTAGGGAATCACGAATTGCTCGGATCTAGTTAGGTTGTGCTCCGATTTCGTCTTCTCATCGCCGATTCGGGTTTTAGGGTTTTCGATTCGTCAAATATTTCGTCTCGGTCATCGAGTTTTTCCGATTCTTCATCAATTGAGATGAACCAAAGACAGAAAGGGAAAGGGCATCGCCATGGATGACGGCGATGAGACGATTGCTTCGATTGCGCGTCGGACGCGATCCTCCGCTCGTCCGGAGAGGCTTCTTGGTGGAGCCATCCAAGCGGATGCGGCGGAGCGTCGCAGGAAGACGGTGGTGGATGAAGCGACGGCCGCTGCTGAGGCCGAGAAGGTGGTCGAAATGGCTGAGATGGAGGAAGCGGCGAGAGTCGCCGCCGAAGCCGAGCGTCGGGAAGAGGCTGAGAGAGTGAAACAGAGGGAGGGGGAAGAGCATGACTCCGGCGACGAAACCGACTCTGATGAAGACGAAGAAGCGGGTCGTCAGGCCAAGCGAGACTCGAGGGCATCCCGGATGTAATCAAGATGCCGAGTCGTACGCCGCCTACGGGCCTAATCCACGATGGGAGGTCGTGGATGACGGAGGAGATCCTTCGAGACCTCATAGCGGAGGCCGAGTTCCCTGACTCCGTGGAGTTTCGTATCCCTGGCCATCTTGAAAGGCCCTACGACGCTCCGGCTGGGTGGATGTGCGTTTACGAGTGTATGTTCACCGAATTTGGGATGAACTTCCCTCTGTCTCCTCTATTTTTGCAATTTGCGGCTGATCGTGGCGTTCCTACGAGTCAACTGACCCACGGCGTGGTTCGCCACATCGTTTTTACCGAGGCCCTGGCTAGAGCCGCCGGAGTTGTATTCGACCGCCTCTTTTCGAGCACGTTACTGATCTCCGGGCTTCGTCGCGAGAGGGAAACTTCAAGCGGTTTCATACCACGATGAAGTATGATATTGTTTTCGGGGATTACCGAAACAAGATTCATTGGTGGAAGAAATATTTCTTCTTTGTGAAGATAAACCGAGCCTCAGTCGGGAAGATCAAAGCTGATCAGATTAGGACAAGTGGGTTAAATCACCGGGTAGAATTCTTGATTAGAATTGCTATCTATGCTCACTGAGTTTGCGTTTTCTGATGTTGTTTGTTGTCTTCGCAGGACCGTCCAGGCGAGCGAGACCGAACGGCGAACTCAAGGAGAAGTTAGGCTGCTGAAGGAGCTTAGCCATCGATTGTGGCCTGAGGTAGTGGCGGCGCTTGAGAAGAAGAAGCAAGAGAGGAAAGATAAGAGGGAGGGAAAAACAAATCTGCCATCCCTGCGACTCCGATATCTAGTAAGCTTTCGCTTCTTCTCTTTTTTGCTTGGTTCTATCTTCGGGTATCTTAACGTTTTGCTTTGTTTTGCAGCAGCGAAGCCATCCCGTTCTAAGAAGAAATCGATGGGTCTTAGGAAGAGAGCGGCCGTGCCTATTGACGACGTTGTCGTTGCTTCCGAGCCGGCGCCTAAAAAGAAAAGGGTCGAGTCCCCCAGACTGAGGGATTCTCCTCCTTCTCCCCTTCGGAGCTCTTCCATTGCGTCGCGTACGAGGTAAGTCGCCTATTGATGGATTCTCAGGAGATAGGAATTCCGATGCTAATCGTAGACGTTCTTTGCAGGGCTTCGACGAGGAAAGCCTCGACTTCTGTTCCTGAGGGCGTTCCGGAGCAAGTGATCGAGCTTGACTCTCCTCCTTCCTCGGACCATGACGAGTCTTCCCATCACGATGAGAGTGCTTCTCATCACGATGATGGTTTGAGGACTCCGGCGCGTGGTGGTTCGCCTTCTAAGGGGGACGAGTTCCTCACCCCCTGGCGGGCGTTCCCTCCTCTGACCGGCGTGATCGTGGTGGTTTCGAAGGAGGGGAATCATCTCGGCGTCCAGGTGAGAATGATGAGGCGGCGTCTCGTCACTCGGAGGCGGGTGGTTTTGCTCCTGGCTCGAACCTCGGTGCTGAGGGCGACCGGAATTCCAAAGGATGGTCCTGAGGGCTATAATCCTCACGCGTTCAAGACGTGGTGGAATGGCGGGAGTCCTCTTATGGAGGACCAGGATGCTTGCGGAGGGGCGACTTGGATGTCTAAAGTTCATCCCGGCTTGGGGATTCCGCGTGAGGAGCTCACCTTTAGGACCGATTTCGACGAAGCTGCTCAACATCATATTATGTCTGGCGGGAAGTTCACCGCGTTGGTCCAGAAGTACGAGACGGCGCTTCGGGAGCTAAGGAGAGGCCAAGATGTCGACACGATGGTGGCCGATTTGCAGCAGGATAAACTGGCGCTTGAGTCGAAGGTCGCGGCGCTGAACAAGGAGATCGTGAAGACTCTCGGACTCCAGGGGTGGCAGACAGCTGAGGGCTCAAGTGGGTGATCTGGAAGAGAAGGCGCGTCGGGATGCAGAGGCTTCTGCTGCTGAGATGGAGCGTCTCCGACGGTCTCGTCGAGAATCGGTCGAGGCGGCTGTGACTCAGGTCTTCGACTCGGTGAATGACTGGTATGCTCCTCGCCTCCATCGCTTGTCGGAGTTCGTCGCGCAGCGGGACATGGTTGAAGCCGCTGTGGGGAGGAGGCAAGTCGACGAAGCTCTCCTCGACTTCGTGAAGAAGATCCGGGGAGTGGATCTGAACTTCGACGCGATGGAGGAGAAGCTCGCGGCTAAGCTGGCGAAGAGTATCGCGGATGGGGATGCGATTGACGAAGTTGTTATCGATGATGATGACTTCGCTCCGCCTAACAGGTGAGTTTTTGCTTCTTCTTTCGTTATGTCGTGCTTTGCGTAACGTTATGTTTGCTTATGCGTTTGCTTTGCTTTTGTAGCCTTAAACGGCTGGTGCTGCCGGGATCTCCTTCTCGTCGAGATGGGATGGTGCTGATCCGGGTGCGGGACCCTCTACTTCTGGGGCCAAGTCTGCTTAGGCCCCATTTTCATTTGTTTTAAGACTTTTCTGGCTGCGGCCTTTTTGTTGTTGTAATAACATTGCCTGGGAAGGTTTTCATCCGTATGCTTTAGGATTTGTGCTTCAGATTTATGCTAGATACTTAAATGTTTTAAGTATGATTTTTTTGCTTGCGTGTTGCGTGCGGTCACGACTTTTAGACATAATTGATTAGTTCGCAGCGCAACGAAAGTAATCCGGCTTTTGGTTATGTCTTTTAATAAAGGACGATGGTGTCGTCAACCGCATAAAATGAATTAAGTACTTGGTCGTCACCGAGTAGGAAATTCGATTATCGGGATGACTCGTTACCTTTAAGTGTATCACGACATGGTGCGCGTGATGGTGCTAATGCGTCATGACTAGACGCGATGCTTTCGGGTTTCGTCATGACTTCTCATTCGAGACACCGACCGGCGCGTATTAGGTCTGTGTGCTTAGGATGTTAAACCTACTTTCAGCGACGAGCTCTAGAAACTCGATTTATGCTTCCGACTTCAAAGCTTCGTGCGGGTGACGAGGTAGCGGTTTTTCGCTCGTCCGACGAACTGAGAGCCGTGCGAGGTGCGTGCTCTCGGCTTAATGAATGGGTGATCAGTCCATGTTTTTAGGGTGCAAAGTGCAAGTGCTTATTGAGTTTGCCTCAATAACTTGGTTTGACGTCAAACGGGTGCGTGCTGTGTCGACAAGTTTCAGCTTATGCCAGAATGAGGCGCGCTTGTCGAGAGAAAGGTTTTAATAAAATTAAAATTTTATTAAGTATTATAGCTGCGCCCTTATGAGAAAGGCTGCCTACGTACCCGTGCCGGGATCAAGCCATTCGTAGTTCGTTACAAATGTTCATGCCATGGACATGTCTTTTTTTTTTTTTGGCTAGCGCGGTGCTTCGCGTCTAGTCATGGAACTTGCGCAGATCCGACGAGCTCCAGAGGCGATCGGACGTGATGCCTAGGTTGTCTTCTAGCTGATAGACTCCTGGTTTGACGACTTTCGCGATGCGGAATGGTCCTTCCCAGTCGGAGCCGAATTTGCCGAGACCATAGATCGTATCATCATCGGTTTTGCAAAAGACGAGGTCGTCTAGTGCGAAACGGAGGTGTTGCTTTAGGAAAGCGGCTGCTAGATCGTCGAAGCTGTCGATGGAGTCGGCACGGAGGTTGCTGAACCATGTTAGGGCATCGCCGCGCAGTGTTCGGCGAGGGCTTGGCAGAAGTGCGCGCTTTGTTCTTCCGGCGATGTATTTCTGTCTTCTCATGGCCGTCATGAAGGACGTGATCCACTGCTTGGGATCTTCTCGGCCGTCGTAGAAGTTTAGGTGCAGTGAAGCGCGCTTCTTCAGTGGTACCTCGGATAGGCGGCTTGTCAGGGGAGTTCTTCGAATATCGGCAATGATCTCGAATATCTCCTGATCGAGAATGAGCATTGCGGAGATGCATGGCGATCAGTCTTCGCGCGATTCTCCATTTTCTCCTGGTCTCGTCATCGTAGACAGGGTATCGTCTCGGCGAGGGAGAGATTCGTGATGGCATCTTGGTGCTTTATGCGTGGACTTCTCCGGGCGAGAGGATGATGACTTTCTCTTGTTTCTTCCGAGGTCTTCGGGGTCCGTAGCTGCGGGATGTCTTGCTCGAGGCGAATGTAATTCTCAGCGCGAAGGAAGGCGTCCTTCAAAGTTGGGGAGGGGCGGATGCGGATATCTTCCCAGAAATTCGATACCGAAGTCCGTTTCCGAGGGCTTGGATGAGCGGTTCTGCGATTGGGGGTCTCCCGGGTCTCGTCAAGGTCGAGCAGCGTGCTTTGAATCTGTTCAGGTAGCTTCGTAGCGGTTCGTCCTCGAGTTGCTCCATCTCGAATAGATCGGAGAGATTCTTGGTGTTAAGCTGGACCTTAAGTCGGATTTCCAGGCGGGTCGGCGTTTGCCGATGGATCGGGGGTTTCTCCTAGCGTCGTGGCGATGTTCTAGTTGCGTTGTCCGTCGGTCTCGTCTACAATACTGGCTCGGATCTTCGCTAGGTCGTTGGTTTGAGGCTCGGCTTATCATAAAGGATGATGCGGTGCGGAGCTTGCGCTCGCGAAGGAAGCATGATCTCGTCACTCTTTGATCTCCACGCAAGGTGAAAATTCCAGAGGGTATCGGAAACTTTCACGCATTGGTGGAACGTCGAGATGACAGCTTTCATTTCATGGAGCCATGGGGGTGCCGAGTATTGCGTTATAGATGGCCGGTTTGTCCATGACGATGAACTTCAAGAGCTTTGAAATTCCGCCGACATAAACGGGGAGCCGAACTGTTCCGCAACTGGTGAGGTGACGGGATGTAGGTTTGATAGATCCTTCCTCCACTCCCATGCGGTTCAGTGTTTCCAGAAAGATGAGGTTCACCGTGCTCCCGGTGTCAACCAGGACCTTCGCGACGTCACAGTCGTGAATCTGTAGAGTGACCACGAGTGGGTCGAGGTGAGGGATGTCCAGCCCGCTTGCGCATCCTTATCCGTAAAGGAGATGTAGGGATCCCTTTATGGATATACGGGTAGCGTTGTGCCGCGACGGCCTTTCGTTCGTATTCCTTGATCGCCGATATGGAATCGTCGTTATCCAGGAGGCCTCCCATGATCATGCTGACTTGTCGCTTCGGTGGTGGAGGTAGGTCGTCGTGGTCATCACGATTCCTTTTCCCGGGCGGCTTCCGCCTTTTCTGCATCCTTCCTCGGACGGGGTTGTCGTCCGCGCTTCTCCTGTGCCCAGATTTTGGTGGTCTCGGCGGGAAGCTTTTTCCTTGGGACCTATCGCCGTCCATTGGCGGGATTTCTCCTCGATGGTACATGCGCATGAGGTTGCTCATTAGGTGTTTGCAGTTTTCAGTGGCGTGGCCAGTTCTCCCGTGGAACTTGCAGAAAGCTTTGGTATCGTTGTCATCTCCGAGCGAGTTGATGTCTTGTGGCATCGAAACGCCGCTGCGTGTTCTTGCTCGGATCGTCGTCGGCTGCTGCGAACGCTGAGGAGAGACCTCTTCGGATCGTGTCTTCTTCGTGCCTCCATGGGTTCTCTCTGGGTTTCGACGAGGTTGCCCTCCTATCTCCATGTTTCTCGGCGTAGAAGCGCTGGTCTTCCTCGAGGAAGATGTAGTTCCGAGAGCGGTGGAACGCGTCCTCCAGAGTCGCAGGGGGTTTTAGTGACAAATCCTCCTTAAACTTGGAGTCGTACCAGAGGCCGTTGCGGAGTGCTTCCAGCGGGACGCTATCGGGCATGTCGCCAGTGTCGCGAGCTGCTTGTTTGAACCTTTCCATAAAGCTGCGCAATGGTTCGCCTTGGGTTTGCGTTGTGGTGAACATGTTCCGAGTGATTCGGGTCATGTGCATGGAGTAATGCTTCAGAAAAGCATTGGTTAGGTCGTCGAAGTTATCGATCGACTCGGCGGGGAGGTTAGAGAACCAGGTCAAGGCATCTTTCGCCATGTGCTCGACGAATACTTGACAGTAGTTGGCCTCCCTTTCATCGTAAGATTTGTATTTCTCCCTCCTCATGGCGAGGTTGAACGCGGTTAGCCACTTCTTGGGGTCTTCTTCGCCGGTGTAAGAGTCGATTTTGAGTCGAACTCTTTCGTGTAGTTCAATCTGGCGGAGCCTGCGGGTGAGCGGGCTTCTTCGGGTATCGGCGAGTGCTTTCGTCAATTCCGGAGCTGAGCTGGTGGCGCGATGAACTTTCGAATCGACCTCGTCGAGGCGACGATTCATCCGTTCGAGTTCTTGGGTGGTAAGTCGCCTGAAGTGCGCGGGACGGGGGGTTGTTCCGTCAGTGGGACTTGACGGATCTTCATCGTCTTCTCGTGCTAGGGCTTCCACCTGTTCCTGAGTCTTTTTCTGCTGTGCTCGCATTGACTCGAAACCGTCGGCGAGCGGCTTGACGAGATTCTCCATGAGTTTGAGGATCTTCTCGCTCGAGGAGGATTTCTTCGAGCTGCGGGGTTTGTCGCTCGAGGAAGATTTTCTCGAGCGGCGTGGTGCGGACGGAGGGGGCTCTCGTCCTTTCTTGGCGGAGGGGATCGTTGCGGCGAAGTGATCTTCGATCTTCGCGGCGAGACGGATCTCTGTGGCGAGAAGATGGGTGGTTCCTTGTAGGGAGCAGGCTTGTCCCTGCCTTCAGCGGGTAGCGACTTGTCTATCGTGCGTGGTAGACTGTCGCTTAAGTTTTCTTCTGAGGGAGACGGGCTCCCGGTGGGAGTGTTCTCTTTCGAGTTCACCATCGTTGCTAGTTCGTGAAAATCTAGATATCTTCGAGATGAATAGCGAGAAGCGTTTCCAGCCCCACGGTGGGCGCCAATTGTTGAATCCGAGATAGCACTCGTCAAGACGGGCTATCTAAGATGTGAGTTTAGGAAACTGGAACGCTTAATTCGACTCTTAGATTATCAAGAAGTTACAAGAGAGCAATCTCGCTAACAAGCCTAGCGAGATTATGTGATGAACAAGAGGATAGAGTAAAAGCTAATGTGAAAGCCTAGTGATTCTAGATGATTTCGGATCCCTTTCCCCAATGGGGGGTCTTCAATATATAGTGTTGATAAGTCGGCCGAATGATGAATATTCTCCTTCAGGCGAGATGGAAAACTTCCTCTTTTGCGATATGGAAAACTTCCTCTTGTTTTTGGATCTTTCCATTCTTTAAGTCGGCATGAAGATTTATTTACATTTCTCCATGGATTGTGCCTTTCTCTTCAAGTCTTGCCTTTTTCTTGAAGATGTTAGGCCTAAAATCGGATTGGGCTTTGTGACTTTACTAATGATGACGGGCTCAGGGAAATGTGCTAATTTCTCCTCTAACTATAGTAATGTATTATACTTCCTCCGTTTCAAATTAGTTGTCGTTTTGGCAAAATGTATCTGCAAATATTTGGACGTATCTGCAATGCAAAACACGTTCAGATACCTCCAAATATTTGCAGATACATTTTGCCAAAACGACAACTAATTTGAAACGGAAGAAGTATATAATATGAATACCTAAATTTTTAATACCATGTAACTAAATGGTCATCAAATAAAAAAGGTTAATTAAATTGAAGGGGTCAAACTAGGTCTTCGAACATAAGTTAATGGGTTTCGAACATAAACTAAGCTCCATAAACACTTTCACCTAGTTTCACTTTTAAAAATGTAAAAAACCAACCTCTCCACATAGCTCAGCCTATGCTAATACCAGTAGAAACCACTAAACTACAAGCCTTTGCTAATTTAGTATAGTTGATTTAATATTCACATATCTATTGAACTTACGTAAAATACGTTTAGAAATAGTAAGTTTCACAAAGCAGTCAAACTCGGTTCTTTAAATTGTATTTTCTCTTTGTTTCATACTATATGTAGAACTTCCACCAAGTACCTCTTTACATGTGGAGTAATCTCATTATCTTGTTTGGTTGCAAATATGTAAGTTATGCTTTTCCAATATATTTTCTTTTTGTGACTATAGCTTCTATTCCTCTTAAAGGTGATATCTTTTAATGTCATGTTTCTGTTCTAAACTCAAGAGGACAGTTAGATTGTGAGAGCTTTAGACATCTACCTAAACTTTAGGCATGACCTGCATGCAATCCACTTACTATTGGAATATATATTACATTTATTTATCTATATCAATTATGTTTTGAGGCCTTCTCAAAATATTCTATATATAAGTTGGATTTACATGTCCATATTTCCTCTCACACAAACATAAGCATAAATAGAAGATGGATAATCTGGCGTTATGTGAGGCAAACAACGTTCCTCTAACGCCCGTAACGTTCTTGAAGAGAGCTTCTGAATGCTATCCCAATCGAACTTCGATAATCTATGGACAAACTCGTTTCACTTGGCCTCAAACCTATGACCGTTGCTGTCGTCTCGCTGCCTCTCTCCTCTCTCTCAACATCAGCCAAAACGACGTCGTATGGCTTTTTCTCTTTAGCCTTCTCATTACATGCCTTTCCTGTTACTCATTGATGTCCTTAGTTATCAGCAAATGAAATACAAACTTGCTTTTTCAATTGTTTTATCTTTTCTTGCTTATCATATTGCTAGTAGCATCCTTATTTTTCTTTAGGATGGTAACATTTATATCTAACTTATGTGATAAATCTGTGTTTAGGTCTCGATTTTGGCCCCAAACGTACCTGCCATGTACGAGATGCATTTTGGCGTTCCCATGACCGGAGCCGTACTTAACCCTATCAACACCCGTCTCAACGCCAAAACCATAGCCATCATCCTCCGACACGCCCAGCCAAAGATCTTATTCGTAGACCACGAGTTCGCTCCCTTGACCCAAGAAGTCCTCCAACTCCTACCCTTTGACAACTCACAACCTCGTCCGCTGATCATATTCATTAATGAGATCGATTCCACTAAAAAACCTTCCTCCACCGACTTAGACTACGAGGGTCTAATCCAGAGAGGAGAACCTACGCTTTCTTCGTCCGCAAGTATTTTCCATGTCCGCAATGAGAATGACCCCATATCTTTGAACTACACGTCTGGCACCACGGCCGACCCAAAAGGTGTGGTGATTAGCCATCGAGGAGCCTACTTAAGCACTTTGAGCGCCATTATGGGCTGGGAAATGAGTGCTTCTCCGGTCTACCTCTGGACCCTGCCTATGTTTCATGGCAATGGATGGACGCACACGTGGGCCGTGGCTGCGCGTGGTGGCACCAATGTCTGCATGAGGCAGCTGACTGCCCCGGAGATCTTTAAGAACATAGATTTGCATGGTGTGACGCACATGTCTTGTGTTCCTACAGTTTTTAGAATTCTACTTGAAGGAGGTCGAACCGACCAATCACACAGGTCGCCGCCTGTTCAGGTGCTTACCGGAGGTTCATCGCCGCCGGCTGCACTTCTTGAGAAGGTGCAAAAGTTGGGGTTCGAGGTGATGCATGGCTATGGGCTTACGGAGGCCACCGGTCCGGTCCTTTTTTGCGAGTGGAAAGAAGAGTGGAACAGGTAATAATCAGCGTTATGAGTTCACTGAATATATACTACAATCTCATATAAAAAAAATTATAAAGATTATTAATATAATAAAATTCCTGTTGTATATACAATTTCAACAGCCTACCAGAGCATGAACAGATGCAGCTAAAAGCAAGACAAGGGGTGTGGAACATAACCCTAGCCGAAGTTGACGTGAAGAACACGGAAACTCAGGAGAGTGTCCCACGCGATGGGAAAACAATGGGAGAGATCATCATCAAAGGAAACAGTGTAATGAAAGGGTATCTGAAGAACCCTAAAGCAACATCTGAAGCGCTTAAACACGGACGACTCAACACCGGAGATCTAGGTGTGATTCATCCTGATGGGCACATTGAGATTAAAGATCGATCCAAAGACATCATCATCTCGGGAGGTGAGAACATAAGCAGTATTGAGGTCGAGAAAGTTCTTTACGAGAATCAGAAAGTGCTCGAGGCTGCGGTTGTCGCCATGCCTCATCCTCTCTGGGGTGAGACCCCTTGTGCGTTTGTTGTTCTAAGAAAAGGTGAAGAGAAATTGGTGACAATTAAAGAAAGAGATTTGATTAACTATTGCCGTGAGAATATGCCACATTTTATGTGTCCAAGGAAGGTTGTGTTCATTCAAGAAGAGCTTCCAAAGAACAGCAACGGAAAGATCTTAAAGTCTAAGCTGAGAGAACTCGCTAAGGCTTTGGTAGTCGATGGGGACGATGTCGGTACCAAGAAAGTTGAACAACGCGTTGTTGATCACGTTAAATCTAGGCTTTAATGAATTAGAGCTATATGCGCATTGATGTATTTGTATAAGGAAACTCTCTTTGGTTTTCTTTGATATGCGGATACAGATAATTAAAGTGTATAATGATATACAAGGAAATAATATTTTATGATTTATATTTATACTAGGTGATTCTCCCGCACTTTGTGCAGGCATTAATATATTTACAAAACTAAAACTAAGATAAATTAAAAAAAAAAACATTGTATTGAATATTTTTGTGGAATAGATTTTTGTCTTTGATATTGCATGCGTTATACGCAAGATGAAATGATAAGAAAATAAATTAAATTTAATATAATTTTAGTTAAAAAATCTAGTTTAATGATTTAATGGAGAACATGAAATTTATCATGTATATTGTTAGAGGTGAAATTAGCACATTTCCTTGAGCCCGTCAACCTTCGTTGGACACCATTAGTAATTAGCACATTTCCTTGAATTGTTGACCGGTTTGGTCGTGAGACGATTTAATCTTATTGTTATAGACGTTTTCCAGAATTTTAACTCTCATGGCTGCGGTCCTTAATAACTCATTACGTTTTTGGAGATGGTGGTTCTTTGGCATACTCTTCTGGGTGCAAGTAGGCCTCAGTTTTGTGTTGGGATTCGTGGTCAAATCTAGTTTAGTGGGGGGAAAGTTGTAACATCCGTAGCCCATTTTGTGGTTTTAGAAGTTGCGTCCACCGACACGGTGCGTCGGTCGACGGATCAATTGGAAATCGATTTCCGGTTCAATTTAAGTTGCCGGTTTGAGCCGGTTTAGGCAAGGAAGCCCTAAAATCTATTATAAAAGAGTGCAGCTGTCTTCTTTGCACAATTTTCGAGTTCATAGTTGCAGAGAAAGTGGTGATTACTGGAGAGAATTTTTGAGTTTTGGGGTCAGATCGAAGTGTTGTTCGCCGTTCTTCGTTGTTTCCATCGTTTTCCCCCGTTTTAATCTGTTTTCAAGGTGAGTGCTTGATTGTAGGCTCGCAAATTGCTAGTTTTGTGTTGGTTCTTGTTGAGTTCATGTGTTATGCATGTGATTTCGTGTTGTTTGGTTGATTTTGTGATGAATTATGTGTTTATGTACTGTTTAGTTGATGTTGGCATCGACCCGCCAGCGTGTGTCGACCAACACCAATTCGGTGTCGACAAAGTGATCTTGTGTCGACCGACGCAAAGTGGTCTTGTGTTGACCGACACCGAATTAGGGGGGTCAAACTTCCGGAACTTGAGTGAAATATGAATAAGACTATTATTAAATATCAATTTACTAAATATGAAATAGTAATAAATAACTAAAAAAAAACTAATCAAAAATTGATATCTGGTAAACTTCAACACCTGGATTATACAATGTCTACTAAATAGTAAAGACCAAGTAAGTTATGGCTTACTGGGGCTCTCAGTTTTCCATACAGTAGCTAGGTGATGAGTCTTTTATTTACTGTCTATCAGCCATGACATAATAGCTGTTTTGGTATGCTATATAGGTCTCCCTTATTGCTTATTTTGTGGAGAGGAAAAAGATTTTCTTACATTTGCATTTTTTGCTGTGGACATGAAAGTAAAATCCAGTATCAATTCCAGAGATGTCCTTGGACATGATATGGGATTGCCAAAAAATATGCAAAAGTGAAATAAGATCATTTGTCGCAAATGGGCATGTTGAGAAAAACGAAAACACTTGGACAAAGAAACTGTCCTTATGAGAAGAATAGTTCTCACGAAAAAGTTGGTTATAGGGAAAAAGAACAGTAAGAAGAATAATGTAAACAGATTCTCGAACACACAGAAGAAGTTGATGAAGAAGAAAAATATGAACGTGAGTTATTAATCAATAACGCTTTAGATGAGTGGAGTACCATTTCAACCGATCCTTAGGTAAACAAAATGAGTGGACTCATATCAAAGTTTGTCGGACTCATTTGTATATGATATATTCGAAGAAGCTGTGATAAACGCCTAGATTTTTGTGATTATTTTCTAATAGAGGTTGTAGAATATCAAAAACTGTTTTCACGAAATCCTATTGTTTTAGAACGGGTTGAAAGGAGTTGGGATTATTCTCAACTATTTTATGTTTTCCAAAACTGCGCAACTCTGAGAAACATTTATCCCTCGCTTTTATTTTCTCAGATTATGTAATTTAAATGTTGTTTCTCTTTGTGCTAACATAATTACCACATGAATCATGAACTTTTGGTGTATTATAAGTAATAAGCCCAAGAAAAAGCCCATGAAAGTGAGTTTTGGTATGGGGTGTTTAAGCTTCGACCCACAAGTTAGTTTGATAGTTTATGGAGGGAATCAATTGTTTCCCGCGCGACTCAATAAAGCATAATCCGTCAGTTTCCCTCGCATTTCTTCCGATTTCATCTCCACCCTCTCTAGTTTCCGGTACTGCGATTTCGATGGCGATTCCACTAGCCGTCTCCATGGATGACCTCCAAATCGTTTCCGTCGGAGCTCTTTATAGCGGATCCTGGGAAAAGAAGTACTGGAGCTCTTCTAGGGTTGGTTTTTCTGCTCTCTCTAATTTCTTCGAAAAATGATAAAAATCGAACTCGAATTCAATCCGTGCCGATCCTGATTTTGAGCAATTCTGATTCAACTGCATATGATAGGGGCTACATCCCTAAGCTGGAGATGTAAAATTGTTGTTTACTTATTTTTCTTTTCATCAGGGAAAAGATCGTTTCCCTTATCCTGTGGGCTACAAAGCTGTTCGAGCTCACAATGAGAAGACGTATTATATTGAGATTGAAGAAGGTGCCATAGGACCTTTATTTCTGGTGCGCTGCTGATTCGACAAGGTTGCTTCGTCCAATACTCCTTTTTAGGTTGTTCATAGAGTCTTACTCTGTTACTGCAGATTAGGTATTTGGCTGAATCATGGACGGGACCGACCCCAGAAATCGCATGGGGGAAGTTCCACAAGACATTCCTCTCCCACTTGAAAGCATGTCATGGAAAACGATTTACATGTAAGATGAGCGGCGTGGAGGTAATTCCCACTTGCATTGTTACCAATTTACAATAGAACAAATGTTCAAAAAACCAATCAAGTATGTGTCGTTGCCTTTACAAAGCCATAACACTTAGGATATACCTTAAGCCGTAGATGAGTCTAAGAGTTCTGTAAATGCTGTGCTTCTCAGGCCTTGCTTGGTTGTTTGGTTTATAGTTATTCTGATCTTACCGCTGATTTGTTAATTGCTGTCTAAGATGAGTGTGATTTTGGTTGTGGCTTCAGTTTTTTGGCTTCAAACAGCGGGTGGTTCAGAGGCTGCTCCGGCAACTTGTCTACAGCATGGTAAAATCTAGCTCCAGCGATAAGGTTTCTCAAAAGCCGATCAATGAGGAAAGGCCAGTCATGCGTGAAATACCAAATGTATCATGTTATCTGGACAAGCCAGTGGCTAGAAACAAGAGAAGTAAAAAGCCTGAAATATTACACCAAGACTGGAAAGTAAAAGATGGCCATAAAAAGCCAAGATTACAAAACTCAGCAAAAGGACAAGTGGAGTTGGTTGGCCTTGAAGGAGCACCGACAGAGCAGATGCATTCTACTCATGCTACTGATGAAAATTCAAATCTACCACAAGAGAAAGCAGCCGTCTCTATCCAAGAAACAGACCGGCTTCCTGACGGCTGTAAATCAATGCCATTATCCAAATTTTCTAAAGAGGTAATCCATTCCAGGTTTATATCCCTCTGTTTATAAACAACTCTTCTCGAATTTTTTCTCTTTTGTGATTTTGACTCAGTAAAAGTGGTTTTAAACGAGAAAAATCTTTAAAAATTTCAGGAAAACAAACCCAACGATGATGATATATTACTGCACGAGAGCCAAGATATGAATGGTTATGATCTCTGTGTACCCGATACCCAATTCCTGCAAGGTATTAGCTTTTCATTCTTCTTGTGAACTTGTTCAATACCCAATATGTCTAAAAAGATTGTAATCATTATGGCATCTTTCTTGGATTCCTTTTTGGCCGATTCTTGCAGATAGCACCATAAGGTGTGCTCCAAAAATGGATGATAATACAAGTTCTGAGCAAAAAGAAGAATTGAACCTTGCTGACGTGGAAGTCAATGAATGGCATGTAGCTGATTCAGCCGAGTCAAATGCAGAAAATTTGACTGATTCAGCTGATGAGGAAACTGTCACATCAATGATCTCATTTCTACTTCCTCAAGCAATACCACTGCTCAAGAAAGCCTCAAGCAACAAGTCCAAAAAAAATGATATCTGCAAAACGAGCCAACTTGATGATGCGTCAGGAGCAGGTAATACTTAGTCCCTACAAAATGCATGAACTATAACTATAGTCTGTTTCGGAGTGAGATACGTGATATTTTTGCACACAATCTGTCCTTGCTCAAGTACATTCCCTTATCCTAGTGTCCATAATTCTTCTTCAAAATTTGCAGCTGAGTCACTGTCGATAACATCCAGTGGAGATTCTGTTGAGGATTTTACAAGTAACGTGCCCATTGCCCCGGATAGCTTTGATGAACAAGTTGCAATAGTAAATGCAAATCTATCAGAAAACAAGGAAGCAAAGAGTGAATGTTGTTCTACTAAAGGTAGTAAGCTAAATTTATCACCATTTGCCTCCACGCCCACAATGCTTTGCATGACTGTATCTGTCCACTGTTAATATAAACACGAGTCTAATTTCCTGCAGGTAATGGTTTCGTGGTTGGCACATCCCCTACTGAAGTTGGTTCGATCAGAAAAGAAAAACATAAGGTGTATAGCAGGAAAAGAGTCTCGACCAGTCAACAGCTAAGAAACAGAAACTCATCCTCGGAAAGTAAACAAAGCTGCAGAAATACTGGAGATAATGATTGCATAAGCAAAATGTCTCCTATTAAAATCCCACGTATCTTGGAGCTTCAGCCGACTTTGCCTACCAAATCTGTATCAGATAGCACAAATCCACTGGAGGATGAAAGTGGTCATGTAACAGAGCAATGCCAGGGTCCTGAGTTGATGAAGGTGAATAACAACAATCACTCCACTGATGTATCAAGCAATGAGATGTGTGTGGTACAACCGGATATGAGAACAGCTCATGATTTTGGAAATGCAAGTATATCACCATCCTCATTTCCAGCTTCAAAAGTTGAGGAATTTCAAGCCGATACTGGTGAGGCATTGGGCATCCAAGTCTCTGCACCACCTTCTACAAAGTCTCAGTATAAGGATAATACCAGCGAGAAAACCATCTCCAGTGTGCCGGAATTTCCAGCTAGTTCGAATTTAAAGCTCAGCAGAGATATTAAGATCAACGATAAGATGGAAAAAACAGTTGAGCTGCTTGGCTGCTACTTTCATCCCATGCCTGTTTCATCAGTATCACTTCAGTCTGCTGCTAATGATATCTATATTTGTGTGCTGAGCTTTGCTACAGAAGATAGAGTTAGAACCCTGTTTATGTACAAGATATCAGCTAAATCACCAACCAAAGGATTCCCCTCTATCGTTGGTCACACACCTGCCATATTCCCAATCGTGGATGACAAATCTGGTGGAAATGTGAATCCTGTAAGTCTTTTTCCTAGTTTCTTCTTTTGTTGAACTCCGTGATTGCTATACCGTATCTTGCTTTCACTCTTTAGTTATCTGATAGCTGTTACATTTCCTCAGAGAACACTTGAGAGATCTTATTTGCACTTTACTCCAGACGGGCAACATCTTATTTTTACTGGCAACATCAAAACTCCTTACTGCAGGTTCGGACATCTGTTTACTGTTACATACGGTACAGAGATACAGTTCGAGAATATCAGCTAAGGGATTACTTTTCTTTTTTGCAGGAAAAGGGAAATTGATTGCTCGTGTTTGACTTGTGCATCAGCCTGCTTCGAGGAGAATGCAGTGAGGATTGTCCAGGTGAAAACTGGTCATGTTACTCTTGTGACAAAACTTCAAGCAGTTGACAGCGTGCAGTGCGCGGTGGTGTGCGATCCTAACTATCTCGTTGCAGTAGTTAAAAGTGGAAACCTTATAGTCTGGGCCATGAACTCGCAGTGGAGGTGCTCTCATGACTTTGTCATATCATTCTTGTGTGTGGAGATGCAGGCTGGATCATCATTAGACCTTCTGCTAATGTTCATTTCTCCTAAATTTGCAGAGATCCTACGGAAGAGTTCGTTATACTCGTGAATCCTTGCATATCTCCATGCATCGTGGAACTGAAGAAGGTCCCAAAATGTCCTCATCTCGTTATCGGGCGTAATGATATTGGAGAATTGACATTATGGTATTTGGCTTTCTCCCTCTATCTTTGAAGTTTTTTTCTCTGCCCATCTTTTTTTGAAATTACGAAACATTATTCCTGCTAAGGAATGATGATGATCAACCAAATTTTCCTTTCCATTTTTCTGCCTTTCTCCACTGTTGCAGCCTACCTACCTTGTTTATTCTTGAATTAGGGATATCTCAAAGCGATGCCTAGTATCAAGATTTGTATGTCCCAGCAATTTGATCTTTGAGTTCATCCCAACCAGCTTGTTTGCTTGGCACCCTGTACATAGTCATTCTACAATCGAGGATCAAATGGACATGATTTTAGCTGCAACAAAACTGTGGTTCTCAAAAGGGGTCAACAACAAAACATTGGTACCAGCTGAAGTCAAAGATACCGCCATCTGGCTTTTAGTCTCTACCGATCTTGACGCAGACGCTAAATCTAACCCTGAAAGTCCTGCTACATGTTGGAGATTGGCTCTGCTTGTGAGAAACCAAGTCATATTTGGAACTCAACTAGATCCAAGGTATCACACCTGCTATTTTATTTCTTATGCTCCTCTGGTATCTCCATGTCCCGAGTAAAGTAGTTTTGATTTGAGGATTAGATTAGAAGTAAAGAAGAATGAATGTTAACATTTCGAAATCTATTATTCATTGGCTGTGGATCTCTGGTTTACAGGGCTGATGTAGCCGGAACAGTCTCTGGTTATGGAGTAGCAGGCACACTAGATGGACTTGTGTATTTATGGGACTTGGCGACCGGCGTTAAACTTGGTTCTCTCTATGATTTCAAAGGTAAACATTGGTTTTTTCATTTTATCTATGAAAAGAACCAAAGACAAATCTCAAAAATTGTTATTGTTACATGGAACTTTTTCAGGTAAAGAAGTGTCGTGCATAAGCTCAGATGATTCCGGAAATATTTGTATAGCAAGTGAAGATGGTCAGCTTCTGGTTTATAGCCATCCCGCAAAGGAAACTCAAGATCAACAAGGGTAATAAAGTTGAGGATCCATTTTCCAATTAAAAAGTGTATTATTTTTAACAAGAACAATAATCTTGTATTTCCGCATAAGATTAACAAGATTGTTAGACACAAATGTTGAAGCTGTTGATCTTCTCAGCAACTTTGATTATATTACCCTATAATATTGCCTGCCTTATCTTCCACACTTATCCGCCGCCATAGATCTCAAACACTTTCTGCAGAAATAAAGAAAAACCCAATAACTATTGAGGTTAGCTATACAGGGAAGCACAACAGAAATTTGAGTTCTGCGATCAGACAAAATCTTCTCATCTTTTCCTAGTCTCTTATTTTCTTGTGTTTCTGTTTTTATATTTCTTCTTTTTCTTCTTCTCTTGCGATATAGATGTCTCTTTTTTTGAACCAGCGTGTACAGATTTGTAATAATCCATAGATGGTGTTACAGAGTTAAGGAGAAACAAAGAGTTAAAGACACTCCAGAAAATAGGACATGCGATTTTACATAAAACCAGGGAACAATCCTAACTCCGGTTTGCATTCAAATCTTACCTTCTACTTTAGGAGTAAGCAACGTTGGAACACCAGAAGCTTCAGGCCAAGCAGAGACTTCCGGGACAGGACTGAATCCAGCAGAGTACGTTTTGTGATACCTCTCAAGAGTGTAACACTCGTCTACATACTTCAAAGGATTGATTCTCAGCTTCTCGCAAAGCGCTAAAGCGTGTACGCATGGGAACTTGTCACCTTGAAACTTCCCACATGTGCAGATTGACTCATTCAGCTTAACAATCCACTTCTTGTTTCGTGAGACCTCAAATGCATCTCCCTCTAACGGCGTTATCACATAAGCAGCAGCATCATAATCTCTCAAGAACTCTTCCAGCTTTTCCATGACAGGTTTGGTGTACACATCCCCACGGTTAAGAGACTCACCGCTACATGTAAAAGACTCATCAAAAGCTTCTCTCAGCTCGTCAAACATAAGCACCAAAACCCCTGACATTGCAACTCGGAAGTCTCTAAAAACTGCATACAGAGCTTTTGTATCAATCTCCATGACTCCGTATCTGAAACCACCATTGTCATGAGCCAGAGCCCACTGATGTGGATGGATCTTGTTTAGCCATTTCCAAGCTTCCGGTCTCTTCTCTTTCATGTCATTCATGTAGAAATCGAATTCTCTCTCCTGACTAGAGTATCCAGCTTTCTTCACAAGACGCACCAGCTCGTCGCCGAAGACGTCACAGAACTGAGAGCATACTCCTTTCAGACAGAACCTATGCTCTTTCCACTGAGACCCTGGTTCGTTAACAACAGTGACTATGTCCTTGTCTGGACTGGAAATCAAACAAAGCCCTTCCCTTTGCGTTACCTCCTCTCTGATCCTACTGAGAAACCAACGCCAAGTCTCAACAGACACTTCTCTCGTAACCGCAAACGCGAGCGGGAAATATCTGTTGGCAGCATCAAACCCTGAGGCAATCATCAACTTGAACTGAGAGCAGCGTGGAGAAACATCATCATTACCGTACAAGTCTCTTGTGTCCACTACCACCAGAGGTCTACAGTGTTGAAACCCTTTGACAGACTGTGAAAACGTCCAAAACAGACTAGAGAAGGAAGCAAAGTTAGGGTTTGGAAAAACCTCGTATCTCCAGTCCATGACCATCTCGTTAGATGACTGTAACACAGAGATTAGCTTTGGTAAGGCTCTGAGACTCTGTTCCTCATCTCCGTACACTCTCTTGATTACTTCAAGCTTCCCTTCTCGTATAGCAGATGCTTGAAGCTCGTATCCAAGCTTCTCTTTCCACCATTTCTTCAACTCTTGAACCGAGAGCGTTGGGTTTAACCTGACCAAACCTTCAATCTCATCCGCAACGAAATCTGATTTCACAGGAGAGCAAGTATGTGTCGCATTGTATTTGGTTATCTCAACAAGACCGTACTGTCCTCCTTCGACTCTAGCTGCATGTAGTGACCAATTACATCTCGTTCTCACGCACTCAAACCTGTAAGTATCCTTCTTCTCTGTCTCCCTCGCTACACACTTGCGCCGAGCTCTCATAGAGTACCAGTCCACTGCCTTCTTCAGCTCATCTATGTCTTTAAAACGCATGTCGTGATCATCATCAAGCCACAAGCTAGACGAAAGACACGGTTTTGAAACAACCCCAGAAGAAAAGGTCAGAGCTTTCTTCAAGCATCCTTCCGAGCTTGGATTCGGATCCGTCCTCTGTCTTTTCGAGGGATTCGGGCAAGAATTTGGGTCAAGAACATCATCAGAGGTTGTTTTGAATTCCAGAAACAACTCCACATTGGTTATTGAAGGATGGTTGCTTGGAATATCAAGCATAGCCGCGAAGCTAGAGTCGTCCACCACAGGGAGAAGAAGATACTTGAGCTTAGATTGTTGAACGAGAACAGGGAACTTACCCCAGATTACGAACTTTGATTTCTCCTTATCTAATCCGAATCTCTTATAAAGCCCATCTAGCAACCTATTTAGCTCAGTCTTTTGCTTCACTCTGAAATATTCGGAAGTTGATCCTTCGTAGTATACGCCATCAGGACCGTATTTTATACACCCGTCCCAGTGACACAACACTATTACCTTTCCTCTGCTTGTTTCAATCGCCATTGAGCACAAACACAGCTGCAGAGATTTAGCAAAGAAGTGGAAAAGTTGTACGTACCTGAAAGAGAAACGGAGAATTCGAAGTGTGTTTATCGCAATGGAAGCATTTGGATTTTTCAGAATTGTAAGTGATTTCAGTTAAAACTTAAAAGGACATTCTCCGGTGATGTAGTCACTTTTGTCTTGTTGTTGTCACCGATGAAGACGACCAATGAGTGACCTTTTCATATTCCGTTGCCTTGGGATTACAGATAACGAAGCAAATAACAGTTGGGCCGAATTTATAAAGCCCATTAATGTGTGTTTAGGAAAATAAAGCTTAGAAATATCTTATTATATAAAGTTGGATATGCACGATGTGGTACGTATGATTTTTATAAAATTCAGGATCGCGACATGCGTCACTTTTAAATTTATGTCCGTTAAGATCGTGACATGTGTCTTAGGAAAAAATGAGAACTTAAAAAAAAAAGAATTCCAGAATAATGATAATTAAAAAAAACGAAATTTAAGTTAATATATTATATCCAAAAGGAAAAAATAATATTTGTTATATCCAAACAGAAAAAAGTTTCTCATTCATCAATTTTTTATTATATAAAATTGGATGTGCGCGACGTGATTGCGACACATATGATTTTTATAATTTATAACATCACGACATGTGTCACTTTTAATATTATGTCCGTTAAGATCGTGACACATGTCTTAGAAAAAAAAAACAATAATAAAAAATTTAGATAAAGGAAATTGTTTTTAAAAAAATAATTCATTACAGTTAAAAAAAATAAAAATATATTTGTCATATCCTAATAGAGAAAGGTTTCCCATTCATCAAATTAATATTATCCAAATAAATAATAATCTTATTATATAAAGCTGGATGCGCACGATGTGGTTGCGACACGTAGGATTTTTATAAAATTCAGGATCGCGACATGTGTCACTTTTAAGTTTATGTCCGTTAAGATCGTGACATGTGTCTTAGGAAAAAAGAGAACTTAAAAAAAAATTCCAGAAAAATGTTAATTAAAAAAACGAAATTTAATTTAATATATTATATCAAAAAGGAAAAAATAATATTTGTTATATCCAAACAGAAAAAGGTTTCTCATTCATCAATTTTTTATTATATAAAGTTGGATGCGCGACGTGGTTGCGACACATAGATTTTTATAATTTATAAGATCGCGACATGTGTCACTTTTAATGTTACGTCCGTTAAGATCGTGACACATGTCTTAGAAAAAAAATAATAATAAAAAATTTAGATAAAGGAAATTGTTTTTAAAAAATTAATCCATTACAGTTAAAAGAAATAAAAATATATTTGTCATATCCTAATAGAGAAAGGTTTCCCATTCATCAAATTAATATTATCCAAACAAATAATAAAATCAAAATAATGTAATAAATAAAATCCTATTTGTACATGGAATATGTTATGTAAACTAAATTTCCTATAACTGCATGTAATAGGTTACTTGAACCCCTATAAAAGAGAGTCAAATTTCTCAATCATAAATTCATCAAAGAAAATTCATCAAATCCCTTTGATTATATTTCTCCAATTTAAAAATCATGTTTTTGAAAGTTTTGCGATACATAGGATTTTTATAACTGACAAAATTGCGACATGTGTTTTAGAAAAAAAAAATTCTGGAAGTATGAAGATCGTAACATGTGTCATGGAATAAAAATAATAAAAAAATTAATATGTATAAGACTAACTAAAAATTAGAAAAACAGATAACAAATAATTAAAATGAAAAAAAATAATACATCCATTAAAAGTAATAAAAAAACAGGAAACAAATAATTTAAATTCTTTTGTTACATCTATTAAGAAAAGGAAAAAAAATCCATTTCGAAAAGGAAAAATACCAATATATAGTATTTATAATGGTCTGAGGCAAAAACAAAATTGAGAAAGAAAAAATATAAATAGAAAACTAACAAAATAATTATCAAGCAATTAACTAATATTAAAAAATTATAATTGATATTCTAATTTTAAATAGTTTGATTTTCAATTTTTGTTAGGTAAAAAAAATTGAAATAAAGATTTCATCAATTAAAATCTCTTGAATGGAATAATAAAAGTTTGATTAATTAATCAGTTGATCAGATTTAGACATGTGTAAGTCTTTCTGTATTGGATAAAAATAATAGTAAAACAAATTAATTCATTTTGTCATATCATAAATTCAAAAGAAAAATCAATTACAATAAAAATGTAAAAGTATTACCAATCTTATTTTATTTAAATATTTTTATCGGGTTTTCAATATTATTTTGTTTACGTTTAAAAATGATCAAATTTTGTTTAATATTTTCCATGCTTTTATTATAAAATCTTAAAATATACCCGCGTATACGCGGGCCTTAATCTAGTACATCATAAAGAATGAAGATGACGGTTTAGCATGGTTTTCAAAAAAATCCGGTTCAACGAATTCGGTAAAATTGGACTTAATAGATGAAAAAGATTGAGAAATTATAAGAGAGAAACAAGGGAATAAAAGATTTGAGAGACAGATCATAAAGAACGAAGAAGAAGACGGTGGTATTCAGCTTATTATTTCATATTTTTCGTTAGCTTGCCAAGTGCAAGTATTAATATTTTTTTGTCTTTTTGTTTTGATTACTGTTTGTTTGGATATCAAAATCAGTGAAAATCAGGTATCAGTTTAATTTTAGTTTTGTGAAGTTACTTTTTTTTTTCTGAATTACTAGGAGGTTATGGGCCAAGTCTGTATATCTCCTAGAACCAAAACCACATCATGTAATATTAGTTTTGTCTCAAGCGACATTCCTATGACCTCTAAGCTTTGCCTAGGATCCTTTTACCAGTCGAACTATAGCCACTTGGTGTTTTGTGAAGTTATTACTTTTTCGGGTTATTTTTGTTTGAGTGAAATGACTTGGAAAAACAAAAGTGCGTATTTAGCAACTGCATATTTTTACTAAAACAAAACTCTTTGATTGGTGGTTCAAAAGAGTTTAAAATGAAACGTACTAATACAATATAGCAAGCACACGCATAGATCACGACCCTTTTGTTCATTTGTAACATTAAGCTGATCAGAACAAACAAAACCAAAAAAAAAAAATTGTATGGTGAGCAAATATAAGTTGGAAGGAAACGTGGTGAAATCTAAAATAGTAATGTTGTTAGACGAGAAGATCCACCAAAGAACAACAAAGTGGTTTCTTTTTCTGAATTTTTTTTAATGGCATGAGCCATTATTGGACTTGGCCTGGTTCTTGTGGGATGAAAGCATCAACATCATTACATTCATTACAATAGCAACAGATGGCTATCTTCCTCTTATCCAGAGCCTAAAGGGTATGCGTATCACCATCTTGTTCACGTTTGGTATCTTCTTCGCTTTGCACTTGAAGTCAAATTGTATCACAATTCATCCCATTTTATTTCAATGTCTTTTTTTTGTTCAAAGTTATTTCCATGTTTCTATATCACCAATGATGTATTTGATCCGAGAAGGTCTTGTGAGGACGAAGCTCTCACCTCCTTCCCGCAACTCGACAGCTTCCCAACCCACAGTTTCTCTCTCATCCTCCGCCGCCAGCTTTTCTGCCGCCTTCCTCCACGATAGCTTCCGTCAACACAAGCCTCGTTCTCGGCAACGGTACCGACAAACCAAAAAGGTTCAACCTTCGAATTTGTGGCCCATTACTCATTCATTGGGCCTGGACCATTCTTCCTTGGCCCATCTCCTCAACCATCCAGCAGCCCATCAATTCCCGCTCAAGGTTCATCTTTCTCTTATGTTTGAGTAGCGGTCGACAACTTGTATCAAGCATGTTTCTTGTCAAATCTACCGGATCATCAGCTGGGTTATCGGATTTCCCCGAGTTAGGTTACAGAGTATGCATCTCTAACCTTACATTTGCGGTTATGGATTACTGCCCATCTACCGGCGTATCTCCAATCTCGCTTCTCTCCTTTATGGAGACAGTCTTCAAACGCTCTTGGCCTTGACGGCATTTCGAGCTATCATTGTTCCCTTGCTTTTCACAGCAACAGAACTTGCCCTTTTGAAGGGATTCTCGGTTATGTTCTATGAATTTAACCTTCTATCTATCATTACCAAGCTTCTTTGTATTTCTTTTCACGCATGTTCAGACTCCTTGGCATCGAGTCTGCTTGTAACCGCGTTTTAAGTTTAATATAATTCCATCAGTTGTTCAAAAAAAAAAAGGCTAGCCCGGGGCAAACCGATAGAGTGGTTCCTCAATTGTGAATATCATAGTAACCATAACTACGATTTCTGCTCACTTCTAACTCAACCAATTGACAATCAACCAGAGTGATTTACACCTTTAGTAATTACCGATATGGGACACATTATTATTTCATGTTTTTTGTTAGCAAGTATTGCTATGTTTTTTTTCTTCTTTTTGGTTTGGTTACAATTTGTTTGGATATCAAAAATAGTGAAAATCAGGTATCAGTTTAATCTTAATTTTGTTAAGTTATTACTTTTTTGGGGTTTTTTTTTTGTTTGATTGAATTGACTGGAAAAAAAAGGGTGCATATTTAGCAAGTGCATGTTTTTATTAAAACAAAACTCTTTCATTGGTGGTTCAAAAGAGGAGATATTTATACTTAGATGACATTTTGAGTTTTCTATTACACTTTGAATGACTTATGGAAAAAGGTAGACTTTGATGAAGCAAAATGACACATATGCCCTCGTATTTCTCTTTCACCTTCCTTCTCAAATTACAAATGACACAGTCAGCCATGAGACCTTTCTCCTCACCGGACTTTCCTTTTTCACATGCATCTATGTTCTTCTCACTCTGTATCTTTAATTTCGATACAGGGCCGGTTTGTAGCAAGTGTCAGGTCCCATTTGATTTTCATCAATTTTGTCTTACATTTTAGGGCCTAAAAGTTATAAATATTTCTATAATAGGGCCTAATATTTTTGAAACTTATGCAAATAGGGCCTTATATTTTCGAAAACAAGTTCCGTTCAAATGTGCCTAATATTTTAAATTAGCAAAATTTTCTTAAGATTTTTGGGGCCTATTTTTTTGTTTTTTTTGTTTAAAAAAATAAAATTAATCCAATTTTATGGCCTAGATTTTATATTTCGAATTGGACCTAAAGAATCTCAGGCCCAGATCTGTCCAGCAGTCGAACTTTATGAGAAACCGGATTCCATTCAATATAACTCCAGAGTTATTTTCCTCAAAAATTTATGAGAAATCGTCTCGTGGAACATTTATTTCCTCCAGCAGTAAACAATACGCAAATTAAAAAGACTAGAGTTAAACTGAAATTTACTCTCTTTTCAGTAAAGGTAAATGGGAAATAATAGGTCACCACAACACAGCTAAACTGCACCTCTGTCAAGAAGTCACTATGTAAAAAGATACTCATATGTTACATTTATTGTAAACGTACAGTGCCGGCTTAGGAGGGAGGCAAGCTGTGCGACGCAAACGCATTGGGACTCATAAGTTATTATTATTATTCTTTAAGTTTTAAAACAAAACAATTAATGTAAAGGATAAAGAAAAGATATTTTAACCAAATTTTGTTTGATATATACTCCCTCCGTTTCAAATTAGTTGTCGTTTTGGCAAAATGTATCTGCAAATATTTGGACGTATCTGGACGTGTTTTGCATTGCAGATACGTCGAAATATTTGCAGATACATTTTGCCAAAACGACAACTAATTTAAAACGGAGGGAGTATATGTTTATATAAAATAACGAACTCCTGATCTTGTGAGCCTAACGCGATCGTGTCCTGTCTTGTGCACAGTTACCGGAGAAGTTGGGTCGGAGGATATGAATTCAAGATCACCGTTGAGCTCGATGACGTCGTTGACTTGGTTGCCGTATTCGAAAAGCAGAACATTTCCCACATGAAATTATATTTCCTGACTCCACTTGGAATAGAAGTCTCTGCTATAGACGCTCCAATCCTTGAGGATCTCCGACCTTGTAAATCTCTCCGTAAGGAAGGATCTTACTCGGTGGACGAATCGAGTTTAGGGGTCATGGACAACAAGAACGTCGAGTTTCTGTCCGGATGCACATTGAGCTTGATTTGAGGTGATCAAGTATGGCCGATCTTGGGCCAAGCCTAAGACTACTTACAATGGACATGTTAGAAAGAAAAATTCAACAGTTGAACAGCTATAATGAGGTGTTGAAAAAAATGTTGAAAATGAGGTGGAGAAAATGGAGTTGAATTAATTCAACTTGACACATGACATGTTTGAGTGATTTACACTATGAGGGACTTTTGAGTTTGAGTTTACACAAATAGGGACTTTTGCTCAGAGGTGCACTTTTCCCTGTCGTATTGTGTTCTACGATTACAAATATACCCTTGATGAAACTTGAGTTAAAAAATATCTTATTTAATTTGATTGTCGGTGACCGCTACTCTGTGACATATTGCATCAGAGCCGAATTCATCCATTTTGAACTCTCAGAGATTTCAGTTATATATGAGAAGCCATTTGTCAGAAATTTTGGATCCAGATTTAAGCAAAATTGGACACAGAGAGTTCGATTTGACTCTAGCGATTGCACACCATTTAAAATCTATATGTTTCAATCCGACATAAATCTTTGGACATCATGAAAGTGCAATTGTATTGCGTGAATTGGAATGAGAAATGTATAATGTGATATCCGCTGATACTTGTACAAGTTTGTGTCTTTAATCTTTGGACATGGATCTGGTAGCTCTGTGGTATTGGCGTAAATTATGTTTGTGGACAATAAAAGAGATGTGTACGCTAATATATATTTTTCTTGTACAATTTCATAACAATCCACAGTTTTCGTTGTGGACAGTTTAGGTTTGTACTGTTAGTTGTATTCACATAAACCATAGTTTGCGGCGCGATTTTAACTCCGGCGACTGTAATGTTGGTCGTTGGTGTTTGACGGAGAAACTGAAACATTTTGTCCCTGTTTGATTCCCATCCAATCTTGGAATTTGTATGATTTGGGGGAAAACCGTAGCTTTTCTTGGATGAAATGTTTTTGTACGAATGTTGACTTGCTCATTTTGAGATTGTACGATTGGTTGGTTACACAGAAACGAAAGGAGAATCATTCTTTGAATCTAGGAATTTAGAATTTCCAGTGCAAATGTGAATTCATTGTAGTTCTAAAATTCTCTGGTTCCGTGGTTCGAACAGTGGATGCTACAATTGTTAAGAAACTCAAAGAAGAAGAAGAAAAACAGAGCCAAGAAAAACAGAACAGTAACAAAGAAGAAAAAATGTCTTCGTGTTTCAAATCCTCTGTTTCTCTGATCTCATTTTTCATCTTTATGATCTTAAACACGGTTTCTTCTGCTAAAAATCCAACTTATCTCCTCTATTATTGTCCAAACACAACAATATACACAAGAAACAGCACTTAATTAACCAATCTCCAAACCGGTCTTTCATCTCTCTCCTCTCCAAACAGCTTACGCGTCGCATTTTGATAACGCAACCATCGGCGAAGATGATAACAACGTTTCAATTGAACAGATGCGCTGCGTGTACGCTTTTTTGTGTTGTACAGTTGTGTTGTGGATGAAATTTGCTCCAATCGTGAATGAAATTTGAAATTTGCTCCAATCGTGTAAACTTGCTCCAATCGTGGATAAAATTTTGTAGATGAAATATATATTTGGATGAAATTTTGTGGATGAAATTCTTGTAAACATATTACCCCATGAACTTGCTCCAATTGTGGGCTCATTAGACGATTGGTTTACAAGGATGAAACTGAATTAGATCTCAATTGGATCTTAGTTTTTCCAGAATCATATGGAAAAAGCTTCACCTTTCGATTCTAAGAGATAATCTAATAAATTTATGATAGTTTTCCAATAGAGACCCAATTTATCCAATCTGAAAGGATATGACAGAGGTGAGAGTAGGACGAATGTAAGGATCTATAGTGGAACGAGAAGAAGAAACAGTGGCGGGAATGCAGCTAATCGGGTCACAGGCGATCAGAGTGAGGGAGTGACATGGCAACCTTTCATAGGTTGGCCACATCGGGCAGTTGTAACGTTAATGACGGAATTTAGGAATTTGATATGATACGACGACGAGATATCTTCTATACTTCTCACGATGAGAGTGGAATCCAAATCATTACAGTTAGGACCGAATTGAGAAATAACAACGAAATCAAATAGATGGACGGGATATGAGAAAGTAGATTGTTTCGATAACGCTGGCAAAAAAACAGGTGTTTCGGAATCTGGTGTTTGGGTGTTTGTCGTGAAGAAGAAAGAGAAAAGGTAAAAATGATAAGGTAAATGTGGAAAGAAAAAATTATCGCACGAAGGATGAAATAAGGGCAATAGCGTAAACTCGTTGAATGAAAGTGCATCACTTTCAACAAATCACTCTTTCTGTAATGTGAAAGTGGAAAAGTCCCTCTGAGTGTTAATTTCATCTGACATGTTTTGATTGATCGGAAAAAATAAAAGATATATTAATAAAAATAAAGATATGTGCTTTGTTTTGATTGGTTGTTTAGATTTATGGTTTATTTTTTTCTCCCAAAGATAGAAAACAGATTATCTTATCATAAATTTAATATATATAAAGAAACAATTATACCAAAATTCATTATTTTTAATTTTTTATAAATATAGACTTGTTTCATTTCATCTGATTTGGTTTACCAAAACTCATCTTATTTTCTTTTGTTTTCATATTAATCTCAAATAATTTTAGTTTTTTTTCTTTAAACCTTTTTTAGTGTAATGGATCTCAACAATAACCCTTTTAATACCCATAATTCTACATCAAAGAGATTTAGCAACACTTAATTTTCAAATAGTTCACGACTTAACTTCTCTAATAGCTGTTTGTTCTTATCATTTAGAGAAGTTAAGTTGTGAACTATTTGTAATGTTATGCTTTTATATTTCTTTGTCACTTTCTATTTTAATCTATATAATTAATAAGGTTTGGACACTTTCCAACCTTTGACTCGTGGTATTCCCCATTTTTTTTTCGTCTAAAACCAAAACGACGTCGTTTTGCCCTTTATCTTTTTTTTTTTCCGTCTTACACCTAAACGAGGTCGTTTTGAATTTAGGGTTACTATAATTTTATTCCACCCGGTTCCTTCCTCTCCACCTCTCCGACGTAGATCCCGTGATTCCGCACCTCCGCCGTTTCACGATTTCAATGTCCGCCATTAACTCCACCTTTCCTCTGCGTCGCTCTGAAGCGATTCGGCGCTGTACTCGGAGACAATGGAGAGAAGAGGAAAGCTCCCGATGGAGACGAAAATGGCAGAGTGAAGAGAAGACTGGTGCAGAGAAACGAGCAGAAGAGCGATCCTCAGAGAGACGGAAATGGTCGAGGGAAGAGAAAACTGGTTCAGAGCAACGAACAGGGGAAGGGGAAGATCCTCAGGGGAATCCGTCGCTGTGTATCTCCTCGGTGCTCTGCTTCTACTTACCGTTCCAGATTCTCGTGGTATGTTCTTCCTCTCTAGACTAAACGCAGTTTCTATCTGATGAACAAAATTGATCTGCTCACGAATTGTTTGCTATGCGAGTTTGGGCTGAGCTCCAATTTGATTTTGAAATGGTTGTTAGGCGTTTAATCTTACTGTATTAGATGGATCTAGGATTTAGAACTCGATCAATCATCTTCGGTACCGTCGAATCAATTGGATCGTATGAGAAACAGATGTTAGAATCGATTTTTGTTTGAAACTGTGTGGTAGCTGAAAACTGGGACTCGAGAATTTCGTCTTATTTCCTCGCTTTCAATAATCGTAAAACTGAATCCAGAAACAACGACGATGAAATTTGAATAGCAATTTCTAGAAATGCTCCAATTTCGAATCTGATTCTTAGATCTTAAGTGTCTGCGTCAGATTCCTGAGTCTGTATTTGATTATTTTCTCTGCCAAATCAGGTTTGAGCAAGTTATATGGACATACATTTCGAGGCACTGGTGATGGTGGGAGCAACATACAGTGTATTCGAGATTGGCCAAGTAAGTAACTACTTCCTTATCAACTTTTCTGCTTCTCGTTTTGCTTTTCATTTCTCTCCTTTTTTTGTACTGTTTGATCATTGAGACAAAGTTTATGTGCAGAAATATGTAGAGCGTGGTGGTTCCTTGGAAGGCTTGTCTCCAAAACTTCCATTATACAAAGTCACTGAAGGGAACGAACCATGCTTCTTCACCACTTTCTTTTCTTGGGATCACTCCAAAGCTATCGTGAGTTTACTACTGTCTTCTCCAAATATGTTGCTCTTCTTCTCTCCTTAATCTTAACCGTTTAACCTGTGATATAAGTGCAAGGAAACTCATTCCAGAAAAAGGCAGCCATGTTATTCGGCACTCACCACGCTGTGGAGGTACCACACCTTTGCTTCCTCTGTTTCTCTGACGTTTGTGCCTGAAATGACACTGAAAAAGCCTTCTGATTCCCTTTTCCTTCTGCAGGACAAGTCTAGCGGTGGGGGCCAAGGACCAAGGCAAAGGGCTGAAGCACTAGCTGCCTTAAACAATGCCTTTAATTCTTCTACTAGCAGCAGGCCTGCCTATTCGGTAAATCATATAAACACAAATATATCATGAGAACTTTGATGAAGAATAATGGCTACTGATTTTAGTTGTGACGATTTAACTGCAGAGCCAGGACAGATCAAACGAAAGTAGTCAAGAGGGGCCAAGACAAAGAGCTGAAGCACTAGCTGCACTAAATTTTTTCTTTAAATCAACACGTAGGTCTTTAAACTAGCAAGCTACTACTGTTTTTACTTGTCCAGACAGAGTATGTGACAGTGGCCCTCATAGCTCTAACTAATCTTACAAGTATTATGGATTTAGACATGGAAGACCTTGAGACTTTTGCCAAGAACCAAGGTGCTGTAGAAGCTGACAGTTTGACTCATTGGGACATCACTTTCTGGAGTGAAAGGCTACGTGAATCCAAATACTATTCTTTAGCTTGTGATAACAACGAAGGTATATATATTTGTCCATTTCACTTTGGAATCAAAAATTATGTTTAAATTGTTTATATGTGAAATTATGCTTTTATTTTCATCCAATAAAAAAATATGTAATGTTTTATATATAAATAAATTACATTCTAAAAAAAAAATAAAAAAAAAATAAGAACCCACTTAAGAGACTTTACCAATAATTGATACAAAAATGTAAGTCTCTTACAAACGTCTCTTACCTAACATATATTGTTATTATAATTGTAAACACCAACAAATATGCTCTAAAGGTTTGTTCTTTACTGATTTTATTTTTATTTTTATCATAGGCCATATTTTATAATAATTTGACTCCAAAATATATTGATGAGGATTTGGTAAATTTGCTTGATTTTCTGAGTTTCATACAAAGTCGAAACAAATTATAAAGATTTTATACAATGAAACTTACTTGAGTTGTTTACTAGAAATCTAAATTTATTGTCATTTCCTTGCATTTTGATTCTTGAAAAATATAGTGATTTCTTATTCATCGTTAAGCAAATACAAATATATTAATCATGTTTTCCGGACTAGAACCTCTTCAAATGTTAGATGGCTTTAAAAGGATATTTCCACTATGTACTGTTTCCAAAATGAAACATAAAGGCAATACTTTGGGATCCTCTATGTATTGAGCTATACATACAATATCTCATGTTTTGGTGTGTATACAGGTTTAGTACACGGTTAAAGAAGAAATGCAGTACAAGTCAAAAGCTATTTTTCGAGTGCGAATTGTTTATTACGCGTTGTTAATCTCATAAATATAACGATGTTATCATAATAACGTTGTGTGTTTGTATTGTCATCGTATCTTAAATTTTGAGTTGAAACTTATAATTGGATTTGGTGGAGCAATGCAATGCATGCAAATTAAGCAAACTTTTAAATAACCACATGTTTGACTCAATAAATAAAATTCTATCAAAACCTCTTATTAAGATTGTACTTTCGTTACTTAATTGTTACATCTTATGCATTTTGACTTAGAGATATTATTTCTTATCAATAAGGGTAATGAACTTCTCACTTTCTTAAAGATAGACATAATTTTTTTTTAAAATCTATAGCTTTTCACAAAGGAAGCTTAAGCAAAGATTGTTATTGTTCTCAAAGTATTATTTTCTAATGCATTTGTTTTTCATGTTGGATGGGTTTGAAAAAAAAGATGCCTAACCAGTTTTTTTATTTTCTCTATTTTTTCAGTTTGTTTCTTTTGTTAATAGACGCTTTAAAGACTCTCCATTTGAAGTTTATAATTTGTTTATGCAGCAAGTAATGTTTTCCCACTTTTGGTAAGATCTCGAATATACAACCTAAATTATACAATTATTTTCCTTCCAACGGTCCGGTGCCAAGAATGGTTTTCAAAAACTTGGATTAGATATACAATAGAACCTCTATAAAGTAATACTCGATAAAGTAATACTTCGATAAATGAATATAATTTTTAAGTTCCAAATTAAGTTTTTAGTGTAATCATCTCTCGATAAATTAATAATCTCGCTAAAGTAATAAAATATTATAGTTCTAACATTATTACTTTATAGAGATTTTAGTGTACAATGAACCTAGAGAAGCAAATGTGGTTGAGTTAACTTTTGTTTTTTTAACATCGGTAGAGTTAAGCTTATATGTACTGTAAAACCTTATTTGGCATGAAACCTTATCTGTCCAAAATGCGAAAGAACAAAAACAAGTAAACAAAATACTATCAAAAATTTAAACCCGCGCGTAGAGCGGGTTCTCTCCTAGTATTTTATTAAATATATGTGTGTATTTTTCCACTATGTGTTTCAATAATGGTTCTTTATTTGTTGATTGTATGAATGTATTTTGTCAGTCTCTGCTTTAATAATATCATATTGTCAATATTTTGTGACTTTTTCTTTAGTGGAACCTGTGAGTTTTAGATTTTAATGGGAGAATCCAATCTCTTATCATAATTACTTGTTGAATGTATGGGTGTATTTTTTTCACTCTCTACTTTTTCTGCTTTAATAATGTTACTTTGTCAGTATTTTACGACTTTTTTTTTCTGTAGAATCTGTGACTTTCGGATTTTAATGGAAGAATCTAATCCCTTATCATAATTGTTTGTCGAGTGTATGGATGTAATTTGTTCAGTGGAACCCATGTGTTTTTCTTCAATGGAATATGTGACCTTATCTACTAATTATGTAAATATAATGTTTGTGTGTGGAATCCGATAATTTCACCCACTCAATTTGTAATAAATAGGAACTCATTCTTTTATTGATGTACCAATACAAACAATCTCACCTTACTTAAAAAAATCTCAATGGATCCATCAAATTTTCCTTTTGATATTGAAGCTTACAAAAAAACAGTCAGAAATTGAAGAACAGTCGTTGTAGTATAGTGGTAAGTATTCCCGCCTGTCACGCGGGTGACCCGGGTTCGATCCCCGGCAACGGCGCTAATTTGAAAGAGAGATTTTTGTATACTCTTTACAAATGAACCCCCTTTTTAATCAATTGAAGTATAGCTTGGGGTTCTTTGTCAAATCCAGTAAGGTCAAGATAAGACTTCAAGAATGCATGAAACATAAGTGAGCTAAGCAAATTCGAAATGGTTTTGTTTTAACAACCTAAATGAACATAAAACATAAGATAAAAATGCAAGAGATGAAAGAAATACGAATGGAGGCACTTGGGATGAGGGTCATTGACCTTGGGAGATTCTCAAGTCAGTTTATGATGCTCAAACAGTTTAATGATTGCTAATCCTTAGGCAAAGAACTCATTAACAAGACTAATCCACTCTCATACATAATCACTTTGCTAATTACCAATCTCAAGAACTAATTCTCATTAGTGAAATTGATAAAAGCAAGCATAAAGATTCAGTTCTAGAAAGCCAATAAACACCCTAGACAATCACTCTCATGAGCTAGGAATGTAAATCCTTTAGATGGTTGGTTCAAGCATTTCATCAAACACTTCTGGTGCATGAAATGCCTAAGATCTAGAATCAACTTGATCAAAGAAGATCTAGCATTAAGACCACCAAATAAAGAAGGATTAAGCAAATCAAGTCCTAAACATCAAGGTTGACCATCAAATCTCCCTAAATCTAACTCATCCCATGAGCCTAAAGAGAACTACTCAAAAGACATGAGAAATTCGAAATTAAGAGAAACAAGATGATGATTATGATAAACTAAGATAAATGAAGAAAGATTCAAAGAAGAAATACTTTCAAAATCATTAAAATCAAGCCAAGATCTTACAAAAACGAAAATAAAGAAAGGAGGCAAAGAGAGAGGTTTTTGATCAAGGAAAAGATCCAAGATGCCTAATAAAATTAGGTCTTCAGCTATTTATAGTAAAAGATAAGTGAACCCTTGGTCAACTCCGTCCCTGTTGACTTTGTCCTTTATGACGGTCTTGAGCAAACTTCTCAAGTGCTTTGTTCTTCTTGCTCAAGTCCTCTGGTCTGCGAATTTCTTGAACACTTCTGAGCTCTGATCAGCTTCTAGCTTCTCTGTCTTGCTCCAGTCACTACCCCAACTGCTCACTTGCTAAACGCCTCAAACACCTAGGAAAACACTCCAAATGCAATGGAAAATGCAAAATGCTAATTTAAAAGCTAAATGTTCCTAAGGAGATGAAACCTACACTAAATGGTATGAAATGAGACTCAAAGACATACAAAACCATGCAAATTATGATGCTAAATGTATGCAAATATTGAGTACATCAAACGGTACATCATTAACCGGTTTAGAGAGCATCACAAGAAAATAGAGGAAGACTACGCACCTCGGAGCAAGAGAAACCACTTCAAGAGAGACCATGGAGCGGCAAACCAAAGATTGATGGACAACTACTTTGCCAATCAACCTTTATATAATGATGCAATGTTTCATCAACGATTTCAAATGCGAAAACATGTATTTCTTCGGATCGTTGAAGATCTATCAAGAAGTGACATCTACTTCACCCAACGAGTAGACGCAGCCAATAAAGAAGGTATATATCTACTGCCAAAGTGTATCACAGCTATGCGAATGTTAGCGTATGGTGTGGCGGCTGACGCGGTCGATGAATACATCAAAATTAGAGGTATTACAACATTAGAGTGCTTGCGTATATTTTGTAAAGGAATCATACAACTGTATGAGCCTGTATATCTCAAAGCTCCAACTCAAGAGAACTTGCAAGGAATTTTACATGTTAGTGAAATGCGGGGATTTCCGGGGATGATTGGAAGTATCGATTGCATGCATTGGGAATGGAAGAATTGTCCTACAGCGTGGGAGGTCAATATACTCAGGGAGATAAGGGAAGCACCACTGTTATTCTTGAAGCGGTTGCATCTCATGATCTATGGATCTGGCATGCTTTTTTTAGGTGTCCAGGTACATTAAACGATATAAATGTTCTTAGATCGCTCACCAGTGTTTGATTATGTTGACCAGGGAAATACTCCTAAAGTGAAGTTCTTCGTGAACAATCATCCGTATGATATAACATTCTATCTAGCTCACGGAATCTATCCTTGTTATCCAACTTTTATCAAATCAATCAGAATTCCTAAGAGTGAAGAAGAAAAGTTATTTGCACACTATCAAGAGGGATATCGGAATGACATCGAACGTGCATTTAGAGTGTTGCAAGATCGATTTAAAATCATTCGTGAACCAGCTCGCTTGTGGGATATAGCCGATTTAGCTATCATCATGAGGTCTTGTATCATATTGCATAATATGATCGTTGAGGATGAACGAGATACGTATGCTCAACAATGGACGTATGCTCAACAATGGACTGATTATGATCAGTCTGAGGCAAGTGGGTCTAGCACAGCTCAACCATTCTCTAATGAAATACTACCTGCATTTGAAAATCATGTGCGAGCTAGATCTGAATTACGTGATCCAACTATACATTACGAGTTACAAGAAGATTTAGACAAACACATATGGGCTAAATTCTGAGTATCCCGTGGCTACAAAAATTGTTGAATCTATGTTTGATTTATGAATTTTATTGTCTGTGAGTTGAGTTTGTTGTATTAATTAAGTTATGTGTTTTTTTTTTGTATTTTGTGTTTATTAAACTGTATTGTGTTCTAAATTTTTCTATTTTAATAATGTTTGTATCTTGTGTTTAAAACTTACAAGAAAATAAATTTAAATAGAAAAACTAATGTTATAAAAATTAAAATAATAATATTTTTCCATTAAAATAATAATAATTATTTTTAATTATATTAATTTAATTTAAATCGAAAATTATTATAATTATGTAACTTTTACAAAATAATAAAATGAATTGAGTAATGTGTTGAATTTTTTATTAAACAAAAACATTGTAAATGAAGATAATTGAATAAATATTGAATGATTATGTGGAAGAAAGAGAAGATGATGTGGAAGAGAAAAAGTGGTGTTGAGTGTTGAAACCATTGTACATAGTCTAATGAAACATTAGCCTTGGCCCCCATTTTTTCTGAACTTTTTCAGTATAACAAATCGGCCCCCAGTTTTAATTTACGTTTAATAAATGGCCCATATTTTTAAAATCTATCTAAAATACCCTAAAATTTATTTAATTTTGCTGTGGCCCCTGAAATCTTAGGGCCAACGAAGTAGTAAAAATCGGTTCCGTGAGAGCAGGTCCGGTCGTCCATAAGGCTGGTAAAGCTTGTGATTAAGGCCACAAAAATAAATATAACTTTTAAGTCCACATTATAGTTAAGTTCCTTTACTCTATCGGTAGAGTTGCACTTCACCTACCCCATCATACGGGTTCGAATTGGCAGCAATTTTTTTTTTTAATTTTTGTCTATATAATTTTTTAATATTAAATACATTTACAGAATTACTTATAGTTAAATATGTAGAGTATATATGGAAAGGACATATTAGTATTTATGTAATCCCTCTATGTACATGACTATATATTGTAATCTCTCTACTCTAATACAATTCATTCAGCCTACATTCTATATGGTATCAGAGCTACGATACCTAGTAACCTAAAACACTTGGCCGCCATCTTCCTCATTTTTCAAATTTTCTTCTTCTTGCTACTATGGCTGCCACAAACGAAAACATCATTACCACTGATTCCTCAAACCTTCTCCATGTCAATATGACAAATGTTACAAAACTCACCTCTACCAACTTTCTCATGTGGAGTCGTCAAGTTCAAGCCCTACTTGATGGCTATGTTCTTGGTGGATACATCGACGGATTTCTCGTTGTTCCACCGGCTACGATCACGACAGCAGAGGTTGTCACACCGAATCCTGCTTACACTCTCTGGCAGAGGCAAGACAAACTCATTTATAGTGCTCTTCTCGGTGCTATCATTGTTAGTGTTCAACCGCTTCTCTCAACAACCACCACATCTGCCCAGATCTGGGACACACTATCCTCGACCTATGCAAAGCCAAGTCGGGGTCACCTCAAGCAGCTCAAACACCAAGTCAAACAATGGACCAAGGGCGCTCGGTCTATCAATGACTACTTCCAAGGATTCACTACTTGCTTTGATCAATTGGCTCTCCTCGGCAAACCAATTGATCTTGAAGATCAGATTGAATTCATCTTGGAAGGCTTTCCGGAAAACTATAAGCAAGTCGTGGATCAGATTGAAGGAAGAGATTCTTGTCCTTCTCTCACTAAGGTTCACGAAAAGCTCTTGAATCATGAAGCTAAACTCCAAACTGCTTCAATCGTTCCCTCCTCCACTGCTGCTTCCGCCAATGCTGCTCAGTACCGTGGTAACTCACACTCACACTCTGGTCAAAACCGCACTCCAACAACTATCAAGGACAATCTCGCAACAACAACCACAATCAGACATGGCAACAACAACAATTCCAGCCACGATCTGATCAGTCAAACCCACATGGATACCAGGGACGATGCCAAATTTGTGGCATCTGTAGGAACACAAATTCTACAATAGGGCAAACTGATATTTGTAAAGGAAAATATATGAATAAATATATAAACATAATATAAAGATGATACCAAGAATAAGAATTTAGGAAAAAACAGATTTGCAGAGGCAAGATATTATCTTTTTCCTTTAATTCGGTAAACGCCCCGTAGTGTGACGGTTGCATGGCGTTCCGAATCCCAAGATACAACTGCATACTTGTTATGATTTGCATCACTCAAATCATTAGCTTGCAAACCATGTTTTCTGTGTTATACTCTCATAGGAAAAAACAAGAGGAAAATAAAAGAAAGAAAGAGAGATGAAGGGGATGTGGAATTGTTGTCTATATGAATCAATGAGACCACGAGACATTAGTCTCACTTTTATACAAGCCAAAAACGTTTTTGGTCATAGTGAAGATTTAGTTATTGTATTAATTATGGCATTAACCATGAAATTAATCACAAAACTTTAAGAGAGATTTTTTAACTTCTGGACCAAAACTTATTCTTTAGGAGAATTATTTTTTGTTGACCAAGATTCATTCTCTATTAATTCTGAGAATTGTTCACCTTTTATCAAATTAAAATTTATGTAGTGATCAGTTACACAAATAAAAACTTGATATAAAAGGATGGATTACTGGACCGAGGCCCGTTTAATCCCGAACCCACACCTAAACCCAAACCCGAGCCCGAGTCTGTTCCGACTCATCTTGGTGTGCGCACATGTGATTTAGTGTGGTTCATATTTCTCTCTAATTTTCCCAAGGTCTCTAACCTTGTTACTACTTTTCCATAATATCCACTAGTCCATTTTGAACATTTTTAGCAACAAACTTTGGACAAGTATTTCTCATTCAAACGAACTTCAATTTTGACAATTGAGTTCCAACAATCCCCACATGAATAGAAATGACTCTAAACATATGAACACTCGAAGAAAAAAAACTTTTGAGAGTATAAGCGAAAAATCCAGTATATGAGTTGGTAGCATTTTTCAGCCTTGAACCAAATCACTGTCATAAGCTATCGGGTTTACTCGACCAAGAGGTGAACATGATGTCTTGAACCTCTCGGGCTTTGATGTAAACCGAGACAATAGCTATAACACAGTTTCATTCTCTCACAGAATCAGGTTCTCTATTGTGTTCATTTTGGCCGTGAACTTGCTTGGTAATCATGAGTGAACTTGGAGAATATAGCCTTTCATTTATTCTCCTAGAAACGGCCCCATTTCACACTCACAAGGTGATTCGCCATTAACTTTGTTTAAAGGAGTATCATGTACTACTCCATGTATATTTCAAAGTTATGGACCCAAATCATTAAAAGCTAATGCTTATCCTCTGTACCATACATGTAACACTGTTTCATCCTAGGAACTGGGAAGAGATATGAATCTCACAGTGTTTTTGGCAGATTCAGTTTAACTTAGTTTTCCCCTTGAACCTATTTCTTGGGATCTCCAGTCATTTAGGTAGGGTTACCATCAAACATCCTCTTAAATCATAGGCTTTTAACCCATTCCTCTTGATGATTTTACAACTTGATCTCATGACACACCTTTAATATTTGGATCCTAGGTTGTCATTCACTTGAATATAATCTATTAAGATTATTATTATGAGATCAATTGTTTAACATTTTAGGTAGTGGCATTGCAACTTTTGCTATGCATCCCCACACTTTTAGGTATTTGTACAAATGTACTTTACCTTTTCAAAACTCATATGACATTTTGCCAATAACTTTATGTGGTAAGCAATGCTTTTCTCCCACATTTTTTGAGATAACTCAAACATTATGCAACTTGGCATTTTCACATTTTTTAGTTTAAAAAATGGCTAGAAAGATAAATATCTTTTGTAACCAATTTTAAACTTGTTTGGATATAACTTGTCAAACTTAAGTATCGTGTTTACAACACTAGGCACTTATATGACAATCTGATAAACATCAAAACTTGGTACAATCACAAGTGGAAGACCACTACCAAACTAAATTTGGTGTGTGGACTCACTAAACTTGTTACCAATGACACTTTCACCACTAATGGTATTTGTCAAAATCATAATTGATAGTTCACTCCCAACATGGGGTATCAACTCATTTGATTTTTCACTTTAGAAACATTTTTGACAAATGTTCTAATTTTTGGTAAACTTCTTTTTCCTTTTTCTTTGATTCAATTTGCATAAAAGCCAAACCTGAATCATATACCAAAAATATTAGACATATATCAAATATATTAAGCAATTTAAACACTTCTGAAAATTGCAATAAATCATTAAATTAAAACTCCAAATCAATTCAGGAATTTAACAATTTAATTCAATGGTAGAACAACAATTTAATTCATACAAAACAAATTACATAAACAACCATTTATAACTGAATTAGTCAATTCAGAAATCAATACTTTAATACAAGAAACATATGCAATAAAGAAAATGAATCTCACGATTCAATATGCATCAATAGCTATTATGAAAAAATGTATTGACCAAATAATTCCAACGGTTGACAAAACAAAAATTCAATAGATATTAATGCAACCATATGAGCATAATCAAATAAGATGCAACATAATGCAAATATTATTGAATAAGTTAACCCAGAAATTCCTGCAGAAAAAAAATCACATGCAGTTAAACAACCGAATATAATTCTCCAAAATCCCTGAAAATAATCAACGTAGATTCTGAAAAAACAGAAAAATTGATTCAATACTCCAGAATATCATTTCTCAATGAACACCTGTTCATATCAAATCACAAGACATATAAGAATAATTAATGCATAATAGAATTTTTTTTTTCCAGATATAAACACTGAAAAAAATTCTGAAACCTTATGCAAAAATAATCAAAATAAATTGCAGAAAAACAGAAGAATTAACCATATTTCTTCGTGCAAAAAACATTAGAATAATTTCTGAAAATAACAAAACAAGAAAATTAATTCCATAAAATTCTGATAACCTGCAAAAAATAATTAGAATAAATTTGCAGAAAATTGGAAAATTAATCCAATTAATCCAGAATTTCCAGTTCCTGTTTACATAACAAAAACACTTCACAAAAATCAGTTTTCGTTAGTGTAATAAGCAAAACCGAAACTTTACAGAATTAAGATTGTAGGAACACAAATTCTACAATAGGGCAAACTGATATTTGTAAAGTAAAATATATGAATAAATATATAAACATAATATAAAGATGATACCAAGAATAAGAATTTAGGAAAAAACAGATTTGCAGAGGCAAGATATTATCTTTTTCCTTAATTCTGTAAACGCCCCGTAGTGTTACGGTTGCATGGCGTTCCGAATCCCAAGATACAACTGCATACTTGTTATGATTTACATCACTCAAATCATAAGCTTGCAAACCATGTTTTCTGTGTTATACTCTCATAGGAAAAAACAAGAGGAAAATAAAAGAAAGAGAGATGAAGGGGATGTGAAATTGTTGTCTATATGAATCAATGAGACCACGAGACATTAGTCTCACTTTTATACAAGCCAAAAACGTTTTTGGTCATAGTGAAGATTTAGTTATTGTATTAATTATGACATTAACCATGAAATTAATCACAAAACTTTAAGAGAGATTTTTTAACTTCTTGACCAAAACTTATTCTTTAGGAGAATTATTTTTTGTTGACCAAGATTCATTCTCTATTAATTCTGAGAATTGTTCACCTTTTATCAAATTAAAATTTATGTAGTGATCAGTTACACAAATAAAAACTTGATATAAAAGGATGGATTATTGGACCGAGGCCCGTTTAATCCCGAACCCACACCTAAACCCAAACCCGAGCCCGAGTCTGTTCCGACTCATCTCGGTGTGCGCACATGTGATTTAGTGTGGTTCATATTTCTCTCTAATTTTCCCAAAGTCTCTAACCTTGTTACTACTTTTCCATAATATCCACTAGTCCATTTTGAGCATTTTTAGCAACAAACTTTGGACAAGTATTTCTCATTCAAACGAACTTCAATTTTGACAATTGAGTTCCAACAATCCCCCACTTGAATAGAAATGACTCTAAACATATGAAGACTCGAAGAAAAAAAACTTTGAGAGTATAAGCGAAAAATTCACAGTATATGAGTTGGTAACATTTTTCAGCCTTGAACCAAATCACTGTCATAAGCTATCGGGTTTACTCGACCAAGAGGTGAACATGATGTCTTGAACTCTCGGGCTTTGATGTAAACCGAGACAATAGCTATAACACAGTTTCATTTTCTCACAGAATCAGGTTCTCTATTGTGTTCATTTTGGCCGTGAACTTGCTTGGTTAATCATGAGTGAACTTGGAGAATATAGCTTTTCATTTATTCTCCTAGAAACGGCCCCATTTCACACTCACAAGGTGATTCGCCATTAACTTTGTTTAAAGGAGTATCATGTACTACTCCATGTATATTTCAAAGTTATGGACCCAAAATCATTAAAAGCTAATGCTTATCCTCTGTACCATACATGTAACACTGTTTAACATCCTAGGAACTGGGAAGAGATATGAATCTCACAGTGTTTTTGGCAGATTCAGTTTAACTTAGTTTTCCCCTTGAACCTATTTCTTGGGATCTCCAGTCATTTAGGTAGGGTTACCATCAAACATCCTCTTAAATCATAGGCTTTTAACCCATTCCTCTTGATGATTTTACAACTTGATCTCATGACACACCTTTAATATTTGGATCCTAGGTTGTCATTCACTTGAATATAATCTACTAAGATTATTATTATGAGATCAATTGTTTAACATTTTAGGTAGTGGCATTGCAACTTTTGCTATGCACCCCCACACTTTTAGGTATTTGTACAAACGTACTTTACCTTTTCAAAACTCACATGACATTTTGCCAATAACTTTATGTGGTAAGCAATGCTTTTCCCCCACATTTTTTGAGATAACTTAAACATTATGCAACTTGGCATTTTCACATTTTTTAGTTTAAAAAATGGCTAGAAAACCCGAGCCCCACATTTTCACATTTTTTACTTGATATAAAAGGATGGATTACTGGACCGAGGCCAGTTTAATCCCAAACCCACACCTAAACCCAAACCCGAGCCCGAGTCTGTTCCGACTCATCTCGGTGTGCGCACATGTGATTTAGTGTGGTTCATATTTCTCTCTAATTTTCCCAAGGTCTCTAACCTTGTTACCACTTTTCCATAATATCCACTAGTCCATTTTGAGCATTTTTAGCAACAAACTTTGGACAAGTATTTCTCATTCAAACGAATTTCAATTTTGACATTTGTGTTCCAACAGCATCCATGGCCACAATACCAAGCGGTGCTCACAGCTTCTCAACTCCATCAATCAAAGCCGGTTTGCCTCCTCTCCGACTTTGTGGCAACCTCGAGCTAACGTTGTTGTTGCCTCCAACTATAATCCTAACAATTGGGTTATGGACACTGGAGCCACACATCATTTGACTACCGATCTCAGCAACCTTTCGCTTCACCAACCATATACGGGTGACGAAGGAGTGACTTTTGCCGATGGCTCCACCATCTCTATCTCCCATATTGGTTCTACATTTCTTACAACTCCCTCTCATTCCTTTGCTTTAACTGATGTCCTTTGTGTACCTAATCTCCATAAAAACCTCATATATGTTTATCGCTTGTGTAACACGAATAACGTTTTTGTGGAATTCTTTCCTGCACATTTTCATGTGAAGGATCTCAGTTCGGGGGCCGGGTTACTCCAGGGCAGAACTAAAGATGAGTTATATGAGTGGCCAGTCATATAACTCATCTAAGGATCTTTGTGTACTAAGGATCTCAGTTCGGGGGCCCGGTTACTCCACGGCAGAACTAAAGATGAGTTATATGAGTGGCCAGTCAACTCCAATAATACCATCTATCTCTTTGCTTCACCTACACTAAAAACTTCTCTACCCTCATGGCATTCACGTTTAAGGCATCCTTCTTCTTCTATTCTGCAAAAGATTGTTTCACAGTTTTTATTCAAACACAATTACCTCTTCTGAACCTCTTGAATACTTATACACCGATGTATGGACATCACTAGTTCTGTCCATTGACAACTTCAAGTACTATCTCATCACACAGTACACCTGGTTTAATCCACTCAAGCAAAAGTCACAAGTCAAAGAAACATTCATTGCATTCAAGGCGTTAGTCAAGAATCGCTTTCAACGAAAAATTTGCACACTTTAATCGGACAATGGAGGACAATTCCTCGGCTTACGTCAATTCCTGTCAAGCAATGGTATCTCACATCTTACCTCACCACCGCATTCACCCGAACACAACGGGATGGCTGAGCAAAAGCACCGTCATATTGCTGAAACAGGGCTCACTCTTCTTCATCAAAGTTCTGTTCCGACGACATATTGGACCTATGCCTTTGCTACTGTTGTGTATCTGATCAATCGCATGCCAATTCCAATTCTCGACCATGCCTCGCCCTATGCAACTCTGTTTCAGCAATCGCTAAACTACCTGAAGCTCGGTATCTTCGGTAGTCTTTTCTTCCCCTGGCTCCGACCGTATGCAGCTCACAAGCTCGACAACCGCTCATTACCGTGTGTGTTTCTGGGATACTCACTCACTCAGTGTGCGTATCTATGTCTTGATGTCGCCACTGGAAGGATCTATACTTCCAGACATGTTCAATTCGTGGAAGATGTGTTCCCGTTTGCTGTCAAATATGTTCTCAAATCCGATGCTGTTCAAACAGAACCACCACCGCTCTTTCTTCCGCCGACCCCAATTCCGATGACCCAAGTGCCACTCATATCGACTCCCTCTCTGTCTGCCGCGCCTCCGGAAATTGGTCCTCACCTCGATTCACCGGTTACGGCAGAATCGCCATCTTTGTCGCTTGCGACAGAGAATAGATGTTCAGAAACTAATTCCATGGGCTCTGAAAGTGTTGCACATGCCCATGAACAGGTAAATTCCCTAAAATCAAACCACGGCCCACACCAAAGCCCAAACCAACCTAATGTCTCAAACAGCCCAAACTCTGATTCATCTTCCTCCTCGTCCCAAACTGAAACTCCGTCATCGCTTCCCTCACCGACATCTTCTTCTACAGCCACACCACCTCCATCCCCACCACAAAATGTCCACCATATGACAACCCGTGCCAAGAACAACAACACCAAACCAACCAATCGCCTTACCCTTGCTGCTATAACCACCAAAAATCGACCCTTGATACAAAACACTGTAAATCAGGCTATGCAAAATGAGAAATGGAGGAACGCCATGGGTGCAGAGTACAATGCTCAATTACGGAACCATACTTTTAGTCTGGTTCCTCCCTCACCTGATCAAAATTTCGTTGACACCAAATGGATTTACACGCTAAAGTATCTCCCCAGTGGTCTTCTTGACAGGTACAAAGCATGTTGGGTGGCGAGAGGGGTCAATCAACAATATGTGATTGATTAAGCTGAAACTTTCGGTCCTTTGGTGAAATCGGTGACAATCCGGACGGTTCTGGAACTCGCTGTAGCTCATGATTGGGAAATAACTCAACTTGATGTCAATAACACTTTTCTTCAAGGTACTTTGTCCGAGGAAGTCTATGTTCATCAGCCGCCTGGGTTATTGACCAAGATCGACCGCATCATGTTTGTCGCCTCCAAAAAGCTCTCTACGGTCTCAAGCAGACTCCATGGGCCTGGTACCAAGAGTTGAAAAGCTTTCTCTGTGCCAAGGGGTTTGTTAATTCTCTCGCTGACATCTCTGTTTTTGTTCACATCAACGGACAAGAGGTTGTATGTTTTAGTATATGTGGACGACATTATAGTTACTGGGCGCCATCTGTCCATAGTCAAGGCTTTCATTCATGATCTCTCCACCAAATTCTCGTTGAAAGATCCGACGCCATTGACGTACTTTCTTGGTATTGAGGCAACGAGAACATCACAAGGTCTCCATCTGATGCAGCGAAAATATGTGATTGACCTTCTTACTAAGCTCCACATGCTCAATGCCAAACCAGTCTCCACACCCATTTCTCCCACACCGAAGCTCTCTCTGTTCTATGGTACGCCCTTACCTGATCCAAAGGATTATTGAATGGTTCTCTGCAGTCTACAATATCTTGCACTTAAACGGCCTGACATTGCATATAGTATAAATCGCTTGTCCCAATTCATGCATCGGCCACCCGCCTTCTGGCCGGGCGAATCGAAGTTCTCTTCCGGCCAACTGTCCACAAAGACCTGCATTGGCAAGCGGCCAAACATGTCTTACGGTATCTCGCAGGTACCGCATCTCATTGCATCTTTCTATGCAGAGATTCTCCGATACAGTTTCATGCCTTCTCCGACGCAGACTGGGCCGGCGATACCGACGAATTTGTCTCCACTAATGCATACATCTTGTATCCTGGCTCCACACCTATCGCGTGGTCATCCAAAAAGCAAAAAGGTGTTGCTCAGAGCTCTACCGAAGCAGAGTACAGATCCGTGGCTAACACAGCAGCAGAGGTTAGATGGGTTTGTTCTCTTCTCTCTGAACTAGGTGTTGCTCTTCCTGCCACACCGGTTATCTATTGCGATAATGTTGGCAAAACATATTTGTGTGCTAATCCAGTATTTCATTCTCAAATGAAACATTTGGCGCTGGATTATCACTTCATTCGTGATAATGTCTAATCTGGTGCTTTGCGCGTTACACACGTATCGACAAGGGACCAGCTAGCTGACACTCTCACCAAGCCATTGCCACGACCGAGGTTCCTTAAGCTCAATTCCAAGATTGGAGTGATCCACCTCCCTCCATCTTGATGGGGCGTGTAGAGTATATATGGAGAGGACATATTAGTATTATCTGTAATCCCTAGTATCCCTCTGTGTACATGACTATATATTGTAATATCTCGACTCTAATACAATTCATTCAGCCTACATTCTATAAAAGATTTCTTCAGGCGACCAAAACCTTTGGGCCGGCTGTGCGTGAGAGTCACGACATCGTGTCCTATGTTGTAGACGGCTTTAGGAGAAGAAGTGTCGCAGAACTCGTATTCCAAAGATCCAGAGACTTGAGTGACGTCGTTCATGTTGTGATCGTACGCGAAGACCAGAGAATCTCCCACGTGGAATTTCTTACGCTTAGCCCTATCGTAATAGACGTCGTCCTTTGCTGTCCATCCATCGGAGTCTCCAACTTTCTAGATCGTCACGGAGCTGCAGCCAAAGAGAACCGTCAATCTGTCATCATCACCGTCATCAGCCAAATAGCAGCATCGAAGGAAACCTTAAAAATTGTGCATGATATTGATCATCAAAAACATTTGGTAACTCTTTTGCTCTGATAGATTTCCTTATTGGTAGCAAAATCTTGGTTAAGCTTCAGAAAAAAAAATTAATACACAGTAAAACTTCTATAAAGTAATAATGTTGGGATTCTGAAAATCATTATCTTATAAAAGTATTGCTTTATGAATAAAATTCAATATTTATTAATTTAATCTTCAAAAATTATTCTCCACATAATCATGTATTAAGAATTTAAAATAATTTATTTTTTAATATGACATACATAAACTTGAAATTATGATCAAGTCTTTTGGATATCGTAACAAAACATATATTATTTGTGTATATAAAATTTTATACATGATAAAAATTATAGTTTAGAAAAAAAATATAGCTAGTAATGAAGTTGATGATAATGTGTTTCGAACATATTTAACAATTTTTCATGTATAGAAAAATTGCATTATGAGATTTTATATAATAAAAAGTTAAAAATATATTTAAATTCATAGTTTAATAATTTTCTTAGATATATACAACATATAGTTTTATATAACTATATCTTTAACTTATATTTGGAACTATATTTTTACATAGGAATTTCAAAAATATTATTATGTTATCATTTTATCGGATTTTGTTTATTTTTACACTGGCTCGAATTGGGATCAGAGAAATTTATTATCATATAATGATTATTACTTTATCTAGTATTAGTTTATAAAAGTCTATTGTATCTTGTAACAAGCTATTCAATACTTGATCTACGTGTGGGCTTAAGACAAGAGAAAAGTCTCAATCCCAGGAACCACTCCATAGTGGAACATGATATCATTTGTGATTTCAGTGGCTCCTCCTCACTATTTTTATGTGCAATAAGTGAAAAAGTTATTTCTTGTCAGTCATGCAAGCACAAAATAGTATACTTATTTCTAAAGTTAGGTCAAAGATAAAGCTGAAACACTATTTGATGGACGATCTTGATATGGTAGGTTAAGCTACGAGAAGCTAAATGGTTCATATTCCCTCGTGTCCTTGTCAAAACAAATCAATATTCTAGGAAACCAATTTTTTATTGTTCACATTTCACAAGATGCTTGCAAATACCTTATATTTCTTTCATTATTGATATAGTAACCGTTTGTTTAGGTATTGAAAATATTGAAAATCAGAAATACCGTGGATCATTAGAAAATTGGTTCGTGTTACATTCATTTGCTGAAAACTGATTTTTTGAAAATTGCTCTTGGAAACACCTAGAAATTGGTAAATGTTTTTTTCTGCTTTTTGGTTAAACCCTTTTAGGGAATGAAGTACGTTCTGGACTCATTTCAATTAATTTTTAAAAAGGGTCAATTGGTAAGAGTAGGCAAACCGATAGGATGGAGCCTCATTCTCTCATTTCATAGAACCAATACCATCTCTACAATCTCTGTTCATGTTAATGTTGGAACCTAATTTTCATAAGCTTTTGGGTTGAGTTAAAAATAAGAACAAGTGTGAAAAGAAATGGGTTTTGGCTCATTTATTGAATGAGAAGTAGTGTGAGTTAGAGCACTACCATCTCTACGATCTCGGCTCATGGTAATGTTTAAACCTAATTTTAGTAAGCTTTTGGGTTGAGTTACAAGTAAGAACAATTATGAAAAGAAATAGGCTTTGGCTCATTTGTTGAATGAGAAGTAGTGTGAGTTAAAGGAATGATCACTTCATTTGTCACACATTTGAAAGAAATGACATTTTTCACTACTATAAATATAGTCATGCTCACAACAAGGTTCCAATAGCCTTTACTGGAACACTATGGAGACTGAGAGAAATGGGCCATCTCGCGGATAATCTTTCCTTGTGCGATGTAAGTGTCTCAAGAGTATATCATAGCATTATAAGTTCGCAGATTCTACAGTGGAGTGTCGCATTTATGGTCTCACATAGTTGTATCATTGGATTTAAATGTCTCATCAACCCGCCATATTCCGGGAGATTTATCGAGTTAAGGAAAATCTCGTCTTTACGTATTCGTCTCTCTCTTTTTTTATATTTTTTTGTTTTTTTTTAAGTTGTCAAACGTTTTGTTCGTTTATATTTTCTATATCATACTATTTTTGGTTTGTATTTTCAATCTGGATTTTCGCAGTTCTACAGTCTTTACTCAATAAATCCAATACTTGTTTATCGCTTGAATCAGACTGATCTGATATTACAAATGTTTTCTTACACATCTGAAAAGATTATGCAAACGATTTTTAGCTATTAAGAAGAACTAGGTTTGAAGCCCCGCGCAAGCGCGGGGTTGTTTACGATAATTTTTCTGTTTAATTTTATTTATACTCGTTGATTTGAATTATGATGGTTTTGAGTTAACTCAACCACTAAAAATAAAAAATATGAATAATTTTTTTTATTATTTATTTTAATTTATTAGAATATTAAAGCCCCCTTTATCTCGATTTTTCTGTCCCTAAAATTTTATCATGTTATAAATATTATTTTGTTTACTTTTTTTTACATCTATTAGACTGTAAACATGTATATGTATTTGATTGAAGGTTAAAATTTATAAATATGTATATGCATTTGACCATTTGACTGAAGGTTAAAATTTTAAACATATTCTTGTTTTCCACTACAATTAAACACATTATAACATTTTTAAATAGGATAATCCTTTGACTAAAAAGGTAAATATATACTGTTTGAAGTTAAAAATTTCTTTACTCCATCTCTATTTTATATTCCAACTTTTTGATAACTTTTAAAATCAAATTATCACATAATTTTTATTAATAAATTTATTTGTATATTTTTATTAAATATAAATAAATATAAAGAAATATGAATAGTCATATATTTAATAAATATTTTAAATACATTTTAATGTTTTGTGCTGATGTGGACACTCTAGATGGAGAGAGCAACTCCCTAATTATATATAAGATGTTCAATCTAAAAAAAGAGACCAATAGCATTTTCTGAGAAAATAATTTACGCGACAGTTTTTAGCAGAGACGCGAAAAGTATTTTCATCACGATCTTATCTGATCTATTACATAACTTTTAAATATATGATACATCCATGGTGTTTCTGTGAACGATTGACTATATTATATTCAACAATTATAAATTATAGTTCAATATAATTAATAATATGAATATAAAAAATATATGTATAATACTTACATTTATATTTTAATTTCTATAATTTGGATAAAAATGTTATTTCCATAAGAATATTTGTAATATGGATACTAAGTTTAGATTATAACTTTATTTGTTATATATATATATGTATTAGTATGAAGAGAATCACTACAAGAAAAAGGGGATATTGTTACGTTTTTTTCAGTCATAATAAGCATAATTTCGTAACAATAAAATCATAGTGACGGAAATGTGACGATTTGTTATTGGTAGCAATAAAGTCGTCACAAATATTATTGAGTAACAAAAACGTCACAGATTTATTACTAACACATTGAGTTACTATTTCGTCAGCACGGGTGATAAAAACCAAAAGTAACAAAACAGTCACGGCTAGTGACTACTGACATCGTAACAACGCCGTCATATAATGTGACTATTATAAGGTCTCGATTATGTCACTTATTATGACGCAATTATAGTCCCAAATCGCCACTAATAATGACTAACGTATCGTTGCTTAATCGTCACACTTAATTACTAAAACTTAGTCCTTAAATCGTAAACAAATGTGACTATTACAATGTCTCAGTTCTGTCACTTGTCTTGACGAACGTGTAGTCACAAACCGTAACCAGTATTGACGTAAAAATGTCACATTTTCGTCTAAATTATCAAGTGATTTTGTTTTATTGATTACAAAATTCTTTTTAGAATGATGTATGCATTTAACCTTTTAATTTTTTTTTACTAAAACGTAATATAATCTATAAATAAATTACCAAAAAAAAATATTCAATATAAATGTGTCTTCATTGAAAAAAACATACAGAGTCTAAAGCCATAAGCAACCAAACTAAAGCCATGCTACATAGCATGACCATACAAAGTAAAAAAAAGATATTCAATAAAACAAGAAAACAAACTAAAAATCATGCAAGGAGGTTTAAATAAGTGGAGAAGCAGAAGTTCATGGAGTAGCAGGTTGACTCATTGAGTTTGACCAACTTCTCCACACCTTCGACTCGTTTCTGAATCAGAGCATCTTGAACTTTGGCATACGAACGTGAACCTGATCTGTGTCGATGTGGGCCGTAACCATCATGATTAAACAGTCGAGCAGAACGAGCTTTCTCACTTATTTCTTTGGCTTTTGGTGTGCACCAATAATCTAACATGACTCTCCAATCTTCAGTCAAAATCCAATCAGGTTTTACTCTTTTGGATTTTGCAAGGCTAACCATTCTTTTGAGACGTGTAGCAGCAAGGTCATCAAAGTTGGCTTTAACAATATGTTCGACTGAGACATCGCACTCATAAATTGTCTAATATACAGAATATTATTAGTCAAATAAAGTAAAAAATCATTCATAAAAGTATACAACAAACACATAATTTAAGCACACCTTGAACGTTGAATACCATGCAGCTTTATAAAATTGGGGCACTCTTTTCCAGCTGTACCATGGTCCTTTGAAACACCCTTCAATGATTTTTCTAACTTTCGTTGACACTTCAATGTCTATTCCAAACCTGTTGCAAAGGTAATTAAATTGATTATATCAATATTTTATTTTACTTTTCTGTATATGTTAAAAGAAAACAATACCATTTGGCTCCATTCTTTCGAGATGGGTGGAGCACTCGACCATTACGTGCTGCGAGTGCAGCTTGTTCCCTCTCCCTCTGTGCAACTTCTGCCCTCTCCCTCTGTGCAGCATCTTCCCTCTCCCTCTGTTCATTTGGTTCAGCAGAATTGGCAGGGTTTGGATTCATAAATCCAAGGGAATGAGATCTTCTGGAACCAGCATGATTGGATGATTCTACTTCGTACAAGCGTCCGCCGATGAATGGGGGACGCATCTGTAATTGAAAAAAAAAATAAGAATAAGACTCCCTGTTTTACTCGGAACAAGAGACATGAATACCAAAGATAATATAAACGAAAGACAAAGGATTAGAGACATGAATCAGACCTTGAAATCACTGGTTGTGGAAAATCAAAAACCTAAGCGGGCGATTGCGTCTGCTAAATAACTAGGGTAAACCATGAAAGATGGATATAACTCACTTTCTTTATATATTAGGTGAATTTTTAGGGTATTGGTGACGCTTAAATTTTAGTTTAGTGAAGCGCATAAACTTTAATATTTTTAACCGGGATTTTTTCCCTCTATCTTGACCACAAAATTTGATCTTCCCTCTACGAATAGAATATCTTAATTCCAGAACAAACATAATTCTATAAATAAATATTATAAATTTGGTAATAATTCCATTACGAGCAATACTTTTTTTATTTGACAAAATTTCATTGAAAGTCCTTCTAACACAGTCACCTTGGGTTTGATTAATATTTTTTCGTTCACGTTCAAACTCCTATAGACAATCAAACGAGTCAATAAAATGGCACATAAAAAATTGAGATTTCAAAATCGTAAGAGCAACTTTTAAACCAAAGGAAAATGAAAAAGAGTACATGTTAATTATGAAAACGGAAAGCACAAAAAGAAAACATAAGAGATAGAAAAGGGTATATCCATCTAAATTGTAAGGATAGCTTCATAAGACAAATGAATTGCTAAATGTTCCATGACATAAAAAAATGATGGAGGAAATATTTTCTCCCAATCACAAAAACCGTACTAATGTTCTTCTGCAATATAGCGACACCTACAATATCACGATATGAAAGTTATTTTCATAACGTTCCACAGGCCGAGTACGTATCATGTTACTCGATTACTTCATAATAGAATAAAATCATCAATGAGACAACAATATGTAAATCACGATACAGAGGTCTATAAATGAATAGAAAAGTGCCAATTTATAGGTAAAAAAGAGAGAGACTGAGATCAAACCATCGATATAAGATTAATCAAACTAAAACTTTTAATAATGATCAAATCATAGGAAATAACAATAATTTTTAGAATCTCTATTATAAGTAGGAGTCCTATTCCAAGTAGGAGACCTATTCTAAGTAGGAATCATATTCCAAGTAGGATTACTATTTGGATTAGAATATTGATTTTAAGTAGGATTACTATTTTGATTAGAATAAGCTTTGTCTTACCCTCTATCGACTAAAGATCCTATTGCTAATTTAGAAAATCAAGAGGAAAGTATACATTTTTACATCTAAAAAATTAAACTCTATATATTTTTGTTTATAACAAAAGAAACTGTATGATTATGATTATATTTTGATAACTATCTCCTAAATATTATGACTCAATCAAATATTAGAAACATTATTTTTTCATTGAGACGGTTTTGTTACATTTTTAGTTACAACTTATAACGTGTTTTTAAGTTGTACTAGTTAATGACTAACATTTAGTCATTTTTTTCGTTATAAATTGACACTAATTATTCATCACAAGTTTGTAACAAAGTTGCTACTATACTTTGTCACAATATTGTCACAGTTGTTACGATGGTTACTACGGTCACAATTTCGTCACTAACGGTGACAAACTATGGTTACAAATTAGAACGTCACAAAAATTGTGACGTAATAGCTACCTTCATGTTACATAAAAATTTAGTCAAAAAATCGTATATAAAATGTCACAAATTCATGACGAATAATTTTTATAACAATATTTAGTCACAATATCTCTTTTTTCTTGTAGTGAATATTTATCAAGAAAATTTTGATTTATAGAGCTTAGAAATATAACATTATAATATGTTTTTAATGAATATTTATTTAATAAAATACCAAATTTATTTATTTATATTATTATTTTAATATCCAAATCGTATTTTTTATATAAATATTATATGTATATCCTAAATTTTTTAAATTTTGTATTTTTAAAAAATTGTCTTCCTGCAATCGCTTTCAAATCCTGCTGATAATTTAATGAGTTTTTGATTTTGTAATTTAGAGTGGAATTAAACGTTTTCAAACTACTATTATCTGTTTACGTTTGCTTGTGGGTGATAGTTGAAGAACCAATCAAACCCAAACCCTGGTCGCAAAGATTCTTTGAGTCAGTCATGCACAAAACCGCGTAGACTTTAGTAAAGACTTTAGTAAAGTCTTGGTAGAAAACCGCGTTTTTGTAGAAAACCATAAAAGTCGTCGAGCAAAAAGTCATCATTAACTTACTAGTATACTATGATTTTATTGATTATTGATTTCAAGTATACTGATTGACTTAACGTTTACTTTTGTTTGCCCCAATAATTTTCAGTATATACATCACAAAGCTGTTCGACAGGTGAGAGAAGAGCAATAGTAATGACGAAAACAGAACAAGCTTCTCTTCTTCTAAGTTTGCTTCATATACTTCTATGTATTTCCTTTCAGGTTTATGTCACGGAGGCCAGACTCTCTCATCTAGGTCAGTACCAAAGATCTTACAGATTTTAATCAATCTATCCCTTGTTTTTTCTCTCCTTTTTCTTTAATACTTATCAGTTTCACAAAAAATGTCATTCTACTCTCTTACATGTATATTAATTACACATATAGTAAAAATACACGTTTTTTTTAACATTATATTATATTCTCTTTCTAATAAATACATTAATATTAAAATTACATTGGATTACCAAGTGACATTTTTTATAAAACAAAAATTAAAATTGAAAATGACACTCTTTGTGAAACGAAGAAAATACCAACTTATTTATATTGTTTGGATATAAAATCCATGTCCTTGCAAAAAGAGACATAGTGGATGATTGGTAGGAGCTGTGATTACTCTCCAGAGCACTAAATCTCTGTACAGCAATCCAAAATCACCAATCAAGCTCTTATTTCATCTCTTTCCATTTTTGAAACACATAGCAATTTTTTTTTGTTTATGGAAATTCCGTGGCTTTGGAAAGCAATTTTTCTAGAGCATAAAATTAAGTGCTCTTACAATTTTCTCTTTTCTCTTTCCTTATTATGTTTTCAACATTTATTTTTTAATATATTATTTCTATATCTTATTTTTTTATTTTAATGTTGTATTTAATGCCACAATCTACAATAAAAAATCTTACAGCACTAAAATCTACAATCACAGCCAAAAATTCTACAGCAAAAAATTCAAAACTACAGCCACAACCAATCAGGCCCATATACATATACATATTTGTTTTAAGGAGAAAAATCATTGCACCAAATAAATGTAAACTTCTCTAAGTAGATTTTTAAACTTGTGACACATATTAAGCATTTTTTTTGTAATGCCATTATAACCTTCTTTTTTTTTCAATTCAATGTTTACCTTTTTCTTGAGTGCAAATACTTGGTCCCTAGAGATCTACATCATGTTTTCTAAAGTATCGACATGTCAATTGGCTTCTCTTGAAATAAACACAAACAAAATTTCTGCAAAAACAAAAGATAGATCTAAGATGTCATGACAAATAATGTGGAGCTCTCTTATATATTGTTTAATGTACCTCTCAACTTTCATTATTGGACTTATCTAACACACTCTTTAGAGATTAACACTTCATGGCCTATTAACTCATACATATCTCAACAAAAAGAGCTCCGATTGCCTTGATTAGCCACTGATAACTTTTTGAAACCAAGGTCTCTTGCTTGTGTAAGAGCGAGAAGGATAGCCAATCCCTATGCCATTAGCAAACGATTCAACGATTTGATGTTGCTCCCAACGCAATCTCCTTGTTGATTTCTGTAATTCAATGTTACTTAAGTTTTATTTTTAAGCAATAAATACCAGATGAATAAATTAAGAAATATTGTAATACACGTAGAAATTTGAAGATACTAAACAGTTAGAAACTGGGGAATTATTTTTTTTACCAAGAAACTGGGGAATTATTGTTATTGCTTTAGCTTGTTTGCCCGTATATATATTTCAGGATGATATTGCTAACATAATCAGGATGATTGGTAATACATATTGGTAAAGGCTGTAGTTGCTCCACAAAGCCAAAAAAATACATATTGCTAACATAATCAGGATGATTGGTAAAGGCTGTAGTTGCTTCATACAGCCAAAAAAATAGCCAATATTCAAACCAATCATGTTTTACTTAGAAAAAAAAACTACATCAAAAAAAATTGAGAAATGAAATATATTACCTCTATAAATCAAATTTTCCAGAGCAAAATATTTAGAGTTTTGAGAATTCTCTCACTCTTCTTTCCTTATTTTATTTTCTATATATTTTTTTAATTCTTTCTCTTTCTAAATCTTTAAAAATATTTTTAATGCTACATATGATATTTACACAATATATACTTAAAAAAAACCTACAGTATTAAAATCTAAAGTGACAGCTAAAAAACCTGCAGCCTAATTTTCACAGCAAAAAGATAAAAAGTTTATAAAGTATTTTTTAATTCACTAAATAATTAATACTAGTGGCTTATGTCATTTACTCTTTTTTTCCTTTGACTGGCAGCTATACCCCCAAGTCAATTTATACATCCACCACCAGTACCACCACCCATGCCTGCATTGCCCTCTCCACCATGTGGATCTAATATCGGAAGTCAAACTTTGGCACAAAGAGAAGAGTCTTGTAGAAAAGTTCGAAGGCCTCCTAAAACGAAAAGAAGAAAAATTCAAAAGCCTCCTGCAGCAATCCCGTTACCTCCAAGCAAGAGTTAGTCAACAGCAAAGATTTCCAAATATGAAACAGCAATTTATGGTTCTTAGAACCAACTCATCTTTCAAAAAATAATGTATACCTTTTTGGTATAATTTCTGCTTTTGTTAATGAACTTTAAGACAATGTATAACTAATCTAAGTTTAAGATGTAAGCGTTTCCAGCGACAGTACCTAGTCACATGGATCATGGATGAGTTAAAAACAAAAACAAAAACAAGGCACCGCCCACCGGGATGGGTGCCTGGACACAAAAGAAAATCAAAATTAAACTGAAAACTTTGGGCAAATCTACTTCTTTCACCATCTCATCTACTAGCATCTCTTCTCGGGTGATTCTATAAGTAATTGTAGATGTGTCCTTTGTGGCTCCTTCGTGTGAGGAACTTCTTTGGTTCAAGATCTAGCTTTTGCTAAGTGCCTTATACCATTCTAGCTGTATGCTAAGCCAGTAGATTACATTTTTCGTTCTTACCAGTCCTGATCTTGTCGATTCACATCGTTTACGGAAAATCTGTTACCGTAGTCACTATGAGCATTTTTACTGGAAACGTGCGTGGTGGAAGCAGTTCAAACCAGACCAGACGTCGTTTGGAGGTTGAAAATGAGATCATTAAGAACCCTGACTGCAATATTTCTGTAGTATCAAAACGCATGTACGTTGATTGGAAGGATGTTCCATCAGTAAGGTCGTAGCATGGATGCACTGATTGAACTACTACCGAAGGCTATAATATGGGACGTCGAGGAAGAGTACAAGGACTTAACCTCGGGAATGGGAAGTTGCAGTTTGATTTTGATCATAAACAAGCGCGCATGTCACTTTAATCGACGAGCAATCAAATATGATTTTGCTATATATATATAACCAGTAACTTTTTAAATTGATTGAGAAATTTGGGATTGGGCGGTGTGACAATAATGCTATCTCTATTTTTTTCCTTTTTTTTTTTGTCAAATACACTATCTTTAGATTCAAACTCGTTGTGGAAGCCCCTTAGCCTAGTTGTTAAAGGGATTTAATGCTTCTACACCAGGAGGTCTGAGTTTCGAATCCCGGTGGATGCAATTTGCTAATAATTTATGTAGATTATTGGAGACAAAATTACAGGAGGTCTACAGAATGGTGCACGTGGAGCCGTCGGCCGGAGAGCCTTTGAAGATGATAGAATCGTCCATTGTAGAATTGTATTGTAATAGTTCTCATATTTGTATATTAGATTATTCAATCCAGTGTTAAAAAAAAAAAAAAAAAAAAAGATTCAAACTCGTTTAAATGTTATGAAGGAAAAAAAAATAGTAAAACCTTGGAGTAATTCATTACATCACTGATAGTAGAAAATAATCGAATAAGGTTAATTACTAGCACGAGGAAATCGTAGTAAAGGAGATTATCACTATTTCTGTTTAAAAATGACTAACAAGTAACAACATACAGTAATATAAAACAAAGTTAGGTGGGTGGGTGGTGGGTGCACCACAGCACCATAAATCATTTTATATTAACTTTTTTTAACCATATCTACTTTTAACTGTCCTCTTTCCATTTTTTTTTTTTTTTGTGAAACATTCTTTTTTCGATTCTTGAGAAAGATCAACTTTCCACATTGCAACAATTTTTTGGGGCCTTCATAATGTTGAATTCGAGATAGCACTCGTCAAGACGGGCTATCAAAGATGTGAGTTTAGGAAACTGGAATGCTTAATTCGACTCAAAGAATATCAAGAAAGTTACAAAGAGATTATCTCGCTAACAAGCCTAGCGAGATTAGTGATGAACAAGAAGAGAAAGTAAAGTGGGTGCAAAAGCCTAGTGATTCTAGATGATTTCGGATGCCTTTTTCCCAATGGGGGGGGGTCTTCAATATATAGTGTTAATGAGTCGGCCGAATGATGAATATTCTCCTTCGGGCGAGATGGAAAACTTCCTCTTTTGATATAGAAAACTTCCTCTTGTTCTTGATTTTCTTCCATTCTTTCAGGTCGGCATGAGGGTTTATTTACATTTCTTCGTGGATTATGCCTTTCTTCTCAAGCTTTCCCTTTTTGGTGAGGAAGTTAGGCCTAAAGTCGGATTGGGCTTTGTGATTTACTAATGATGACGGGCTCAGGGAAATGTGCTAATTTCTCCTCTAACAATAAGTCCCCCCACCAGCTCGGCAATCAAATGCGGTTTGATCTCGGCGAGTTTCATGAATAGAGAGTGAGCTTAAGAATCATTAGTAAAAATATACCATTCCAATCCATTTTAGTGCCTAAGTGCGTGCTGAATGTAGATTCGTGCCGCCTCGTTAAAACCTTGGTACGGAAAAACCCAATTGGGACAAAAACCATAAGAAGGAAAAAGAGTACGTTGACGTCATCTAATTCACAAAATAATGTGTTTTGAACGATTTTTGCCGAGACCGAGAATGCTTTCTCGGTTCGAATGCCGTGATGAGTTCGGTTTTTGTCTGTATCTGAGCGATATTGCCACGTCATCGCACGAGTGGATTATCGCAAATTGCGCGGGTCGGGCCTGATAATTATCAACGCGTGAGGCCCAAGCCCAGTTAGTGCTTTTCCTTGAGCGGGAAAGAAATGAATAAAAAATTCGTAAGGGCAGTTGTGTCCCTTGGAAGTCGCGCGATCTCTATTAAGAGACCGTTCGAATTTCCTTTTCATTTTCGCTTCTTTTCTTCTTCTCACTCAACCGTCCCGACGAATTGAAGGTAACTTCCGCAATCCACTTCAAATCTTAGCTCGATAGATTTACCGAATCGATTTTGCGGGATTTAGGACTAGGGAATCACGAATTGCTTGAATCTAGTTAGGTTGTGCTCTGATTTCCTTCCTTTCGTCGATTCGGATTCTAGGGTTTTTGGTCAGACATTTCGTCTCAGTCTTCGAGTTTCTCCGATTCTTCGTACAATCGAGATGAACCCAACGGATAGGAAGGGCAAAGCCATTGACGATGGCGACGTGACGATTGCTCTATTGCGCGTCGGATGCGATCTTCCGCTCATCCGGAGAGGCTTCTCGGTGGAGCCATCCAAGCGGATGCGGCGGAACGTCGCAGGAAGTCGGCGATGGATGAAGCGGCGGCCGCTGCTGAGGCCGAGAGAGTGGTCGAAAGGGCAGAGATGGAAGAGGCGGCGAGAATCGCCATCGAAGCCGAGCGTCAGGAGGAGGTTGAAAGAATGAAACAGAGGGGGGGGAGAAGAATGCGACTCCGGAGACGAATCCAGTTCCAACGATGGGACATCGCCGGACCATCCCGATGCAGATCACGAGGGTGATGAGGCAGGGGCATAAGGCCAAGCGAGGCTTGAGGGTATCCCGGACGTGATTAAGATGCCGAGTCGTACACTGCCTACAGGTCTGATCGACGACGGGAGGTCATGGATGACGGAGGAGATCCTTCAAGATCTTATAACGGAGGCTGAGTTTCCTGATTCCGTGGAGTTTCGTATCCCGGACCATCACGAAAGGCCATACAATGCTCCGGCGGGGTGCATATTTACTGAATTTGGGATGAGCTTTCCTCTTTCCCCTCTGTTTTTACAGTTCGTGGCTGACCGTGGCGTTCCTACGAGTCAACTGACTCATGGCGTGGTTCGCCATATTGTTTTTACCGAAGCTCTGGCTAGAGCTGCCAGAGTTGCGTTCGATCGACTCCTGTTTGAGCATGTCACAGTCCTTCCAACTTCATCGCGGGAAGGAAACTTCAAGCGGTTTCATACCACAATGAAACATGACATTTTTTTCGGGGATTACCGAAACAAAATCCACTGGTGGAAGAAGTACTTCTTTTTTGTGAAGATAAATCGTGCCTCAGTTAGGAGGATCAAAGCTGATCAGATAAGGACAGAATGGGTTGTATCGCCGGGTAGGACTCTTAGCTAGAATTGCCGTTTTATGCTTGATGAGCTTGGTTTTCTGATGATATTTATTTTCCTTGCAGGACCGTCTAGGCGAACGAGACCGAGCGGCGAACTTAAGAAGAAGTTTAAGTTACTGAAGGAGCTCAGTCATCAATTGTGGCCTGAGGTCGTGGCGGCGCTCGAGAAGAAGAAACAAGAAAGGAAGGAGAAGAGGGAGGGGAAGAGCAAATCCGCCATTTCCGCGACTCCGATATCCAGTAAGCATCTTGCTTTCTTCTCTTATTTGGTTTTGTCTTCAACTATTTTTACATTTTGCTTTGTTTCGCAGCAGCGAAGCCATCTCGCTCCAAGAAGAAACCAATGGGCCTTAAGAAGAGGGCGGGCGTTCCTATTGATGATGTTGTCGTTGCTTCCGAGCCGGTGCCGAAAAAGAAAAGGGTCGGGTCCCCAAGACTGAGGGATTCTCCTTCTTCTCCTCTTCGGAGCTCTTCAATTGCGTCGCGTACGAGGTAGATCACCTATCAACAAACTTTCAGGAGGTGGTTGCGAAATTTCGATGCTAAGTGTAAATACTTTTTGTAGGGCTTCGACGAAGAAAGTCTCAACTTCTGTTCCCGAGGACGTTCCGGAGCAAGTGATCGAGCTTGACTCTCCTCCTTCCTCGGATCATGATGGTTCTTCCCATCACGACGAGAGTGCTTCTCATCGTGATGACGGTTTGAGAACTCCGCCGCGTGGTGGTTCGCCTTCTCAGGGGAACGAGTTCCTCACTCCTCGTGACGACGCTCCTTCCTTTAACCGGCGTGATCGTGGCGGTCTTGAAGGAGGGGAGTCATCTCGGCGCCCAGGCGAGAATGATGAGGCGGTGTCTCGTCACTCGGAGGCGGGCGGCTTTGCTCCTGGCTCAAACCTTGGTGCCGAGGGTGATAACGGGATGCCAAAGGATGGTCCTGAGGGCTATAATCCTCATGCGTTCAAGACGTGGTGGAATGGCGAGAGTCCTCTTATGGAGGATCAGGATGCTTGCGGAGAAGCGACTTGGATTTCCAAAGTTCATCCCGGTTGAGGGATTCCGCGCGAGGAGCTTACCTTCAGGACTGACTTTGACGAGGCTGCTCAACATCATATCATGTCTGGCGGGAAGTTCATTGCACTGGTCCAGAAGTACGAGATGGCTCTCCGGACGGCTAAGGATGAGGTCTTCAGGTTGCAGCAGGAGGAGCATGAGAAGGCCAAAGACGTCGACACGATGGTGGCCGATTTGAAGCTGGTCAAACTTGCGCTCGAGGGAAAGGTCGCGGCGCTGAACAAAGAGATAGTGAAAACTATCGGTCTTCAGGATAAGGCGGATAGGCTAAGGGCTCAAATGGGCGATCTGGAAGAGAAGGCTCGCCGGGATGCAGAGGCTTCTGCTGCTGAGATGAAGCGTCTCCGACGGTCTCGTCGAAAATGGGTTGAGGCGGCTGTTACTCAAGTCTTCGACTTGATGAACGATTGATATGCTCCTCGTCTTCAGCGTTTATCCGGGTTCGACGCGCAGCGGGACGTAGTCGAAGTGGATGTAGGGAGGAGGCAAGTTGACGAAGCTCTCCTTGACTTCGTGAAGAAAATCAGGGGAGTAGACCTGAACTTCGATGCGATGGAGGGGAAGCTTGCGGCCAAATTGGCGAAGAGTATCGCGGATGGTGATGCGATCGATGAAGTCGTTATCGATGATGATGACTTCGTGAAGCCTAACAGGGAAGGCTTTTGCTTCTTTTTCTGTTATGTCATGCTTGGTGATGCGTTGCGTTTGCTTATGTGTGCGTTTTCTTTTGTAGCCTAAGACGGCTGGTGCTGCCGGGATCTCTTTCTCGCCGAGATGGTGATGATCAGGGTGCGGGACCCTCTGCTTCTGGGGCCAAGTCTGCTTAGGCCCCTATTCTCTTTTATTTGAAGACTTTCTTGGCTGCGGCCTTTTTATCGTTGTAATGATATTGCCTGGGAGGGCTTTCATCCGTATGCTTAGGATTTGTGCTTCAGATTTATGCTAGATACTTAAAATGTTTTAAGTATGATTTTCTATTGCTTGCGTGTTTTGCATGGTCACGACTTTAGACATAATTGATTAATTCGCAGCGCAACGAAAGTAATCTAGCTTTTGGTTATGATTTTTAATAAAGGATGATGATGTCGTCAACCGTATAAGTTGAATTAAGTACTTGATAGTCATTGAGTAGGAAATTCGATTATCGGGATGACTCGTTACCTTTAAGTGTATCACGACATGGTGCATGTGACGGTGCTAATGCGTCATGACGAGACGCGACACTTTCGAGTTTTGTCATGACTCCTCATTCGAGACACCGACCGCTTCGTACGGGTGACGAGGTAGCAGTTTTTCGCTCGTCCGACAAACTGAGAGCCGTGCGAGGTGCGTGCTCTCGGCTTAATGAATGGGTGATCAGTCCATGTTTTTAGGGTGCAGGGTGCAAGTGCTTATCGAGTTTGCCTCAATAATTTGGTTTGACGTCAAACGGGTGCGTGCGCGATGTCGACAAGTTTCTGCTTATGCCGGGATGAGGTGCGCTTGTCGAGATGGAAAAGTTCTTAATAAAGTATTATAGCTGCGCCCTTAATGAAAAAGGCTGCCTACGCACCCGTGCCGGGATCAAGCGATTCGTAGTTTTTTTTTTTTTTTTTTTTTCTAGCGCGGTGCTTCGCGTCTAGTCGTGAAACTTGCGCAGATCCGAGGAGCTCCAGAGCCGATCGGACGTGATGCCTAAGTTGTCTTCCAGCTGATAGACTCCTGGCTTGACAACTTTCGCGATGCGGAATGGTCCTTCCCAATCGAAGCCGAATTTGCCGAGACCGTAGATCGTATCATCATCGGTTTTGCAAAAGATGAGGTCGTCTAGTGCGAAACGGAGGTGTTGCTTTAGGAAGGCAGCTGCCAGATCGTCGAAGTTGTCGATGGAGTCGGCCCGGAGGTTGCTGAACCGTGTTACGGCGTCGCCGCGCAAGTGTTCGGCGAGGGCTTGGTAGAAGTGTGCGCTTTGTTCTTGCGGCGATGTGTATTTCTGTCTTCTCATGGCTGTCATGAAGGATGTGATCCATTGCTTGGGATCGTCCCGGCCGTCGTAGAAGTTTAGGTGCAGCGAGGCGCGTTTTTTCAGTGGTACCTCGGAGAGGCGGCTCGTCAAAGGGGGTCCTCCGAATGTCAACAATAATCTCGAATATCTTTTGATCTGAGAATGCACACTGCGGAGATGCATGGCGTTCGGTCCTCCCACGATTCTCCACGTTTCTTCCGGTCTCGTCGTCGTAGACAGGAGTATCATCTCGGCAAGGGGATGATTCGTGACGGCATCTTGATGCTTTATGCATGGATTTTCCTGGGTGGAGGGATGATGACCTTCTCTTGTTTCTCAACTGGATCCGAGGATCTTTTGGGTCGAAGCGTAGCTGCGGGATATCTTGCTCGATGCGAATGTAGTTTTCGGCGCGAAGGAAGGCGTCCTTCAAGGTCGGGAGGGGGCAGAGACGGAGGTCTTCCCAAAATCCAGATTCGTACTGGAGTCCGTTTCCGAGGGCTTGGACAAGTACTGGTTCTGAGATTTGGGGTGCTCCGGGAATCTCGTCGAGGTCAAGCAGCGCGCTCTTGAATCTATCCAGATAACTCAGTAGCGGTTCGTCCTCGAGTTGCTTCATTTCAAATAGGGCGGAGAGGTTCTTTGGTCTCTTAGTGCTCATGCCGGTCCTTAAGTCGGATTTCCAGACGGGCTCGGTGTTTCTGTGTTGACAGGTCAGGGGGGTTGCCTCTTGTGTCGTGGCGACGTGTCTCATTGCGTTGGATCTGTTGGTCTCGTCGTCCGATACTGGCTCGGATTCTTCGCGAGGCTGCTGGTTTGAAGGCTGGGTTATCATAAAGGATGATGCGGTGCGGAGCTTGCGCTCGCGAAGGAAGCATGATCGCGTCACTCTTTGATCTCCACGCAAGGTGTAAATTCCGGAAGGCGTCGGGAATTTCACGCACTAGTGGAAAGTCGAGACGACGGCCTTCATTTCGTGGAGCCAGGGGGTGCCGAGGATTGCGTTGTAGATGGCCGGTTTATCCATGACAATGAACTTCAGGAGCTTCAAAATTCCGCCGACATAAACGGGGAGCCGAACCGTACCACAACTGTAGACGTGCTCGGCGGTGAAGCCGGTAAGGGGACGGGACGTGGGTTTGATGGACCCCTGTTCCACTCCCTTGCGGTCCAGTGTTTCTAGGAAGATGAGGTTCACCGTGCTGCCAGTGTCAATTAGAACCTTCGCGATGTCGTAGTCGTGAACCTGTAGCGTGACCACGAGTGGGTCGAGATGGGGGATATCTAATTCGCTTGCGTTCTTATCCATAAAGGAGATAGTGGGGATTCCTTTATGGATATATGGGTAGTGTTGTGCCGTAACGGCCTTTCGCTCATACTCCTTGATCGCTGATATGGAGTCGTCATTGTCCATGAGGCCTCCCATGATCATGCTGACTTGTCGCTTCGGCGGTGGGGGCAGGTCGTCATGGTCGTCACGATTCCTCTTCTCGGACGGAGCCTCCGGTTTTCCTGCGTCTTTCCTTGGGCGGGATTGTCGTCCGCGTTTCTCCTGCTGTCCAGGTTTTGGCGGTCTCGGCGGGAAGCTTTTCCCTTGGGACCTATCGCCGTCCATCGGCGGGATTTCTCCTCGATGGTACATGCGTATAAGGTTGCTGATGAGATGTTTGCAGTTTTCAGTGGCGTGGCCAGTTCTCCCGTGGAACATTTGCAGAAAGCCTTGGTGTCGTTATCATCTCCGAGCGGGGTGGCGTCCTGTGGCATCGAGAGTGCTGCTGCGTGCTCTTGCTCCAACTCATCATCGGCTGCCGCGAACGCTGCAAGGAGTGACCTCTTCGGATCGTATCTTCTTCGTACCTCCACGGTTTCCTCTCTGGGTTTCGATGAGGTTGTCCTCCTATCTCCATGCTTCTCGGCATAGAAGCGTTTGTCTTCCTCGAGGAAGATGTAGTTCCGGGAGCGGTGGAACGCATCCTCCAGAGTTGCAGGGGGTTTTAGCGACAAATCCTCCTTGAACTTGGAATCATACCATAGGCCGTTGCGGAGTGCTTCCAGCAGGACGCTATCGGGCATGTCGCCAGTGTCGCGGGCTGCTTGTTTGAACCTCTCCATGAAGTGCGCAGTGGTTCACCTTGGGTTTGCGTTGTGGTGAACATGTTCCGCGTGATTCGGGTCATGTGCATGGAGTAATGCTTTAGGAAGGCATTAGTTAGGTCGTCGAAGTTGTCTATCGACTCGGCAAGGAGGTTAGAGAACCAGGTCAAGGCATATTTCGCCATGTGATCGACGAATACTTGACAGTAGTTGGCCTCCTTCTCGTCGTAGGATTTGTATTTCTCCCATCTCATGGCGAGATTGAACGCAGTCAGCCACTTCTTGGGGTCTTCTTCTCCGGTGTAAGAGTCGATTTTGAGTCGAACTCTCTCGTGCAGATCAATTTGGCGGAGCCTACGAGTGAGTGGACTTCTCCGAGTATCGGCGAGTGCTTTTGTCAATTCCGGGGCTGAGCTGGTGGCACGATGGACCTTGGAGTCGACCTCATCGAGACGACGATTCATTCGTCGAGTTCTTGGGTGGTCAGTCGCTTGAAGCGTGCGGGGTTTATCACTCGAGGAAGATTTCCTTGAGCGGCGTGATGCAGACGGAGGAGGGCTTTCGTCCTTCCTTGGTGGAGGGGATCGTTACGGCGAAGTAGATCTTTGCGGCGAGACGGATCTTCGCGGCGAGGTTGATCTTCGCGGCGAGATGGACCGGTCCCCTGGAGGGGCAGGTTTGTCCCTACCTTCAGCGGCTAGTGACTTTTCTATCGTGCTTGGTAGACTGTCACTTAAGTTTTCTTCTGAATGGGATGGGCTCCCGGTAGGCGTATTCTCTTTTGAGTTCGCCATTGTTGCTAGCTCGTGAAAATCTAGATATCTTCGAGATGAATAGCGAGAAGCGTTTCCAGCCCCACGGTGGGCGCCAATTGTTGAATCTGAGATAGCACTCGTCAAGACGGGCTATCAAAGATGTGAGTTTAGGAAACTGGAATGCTTAATTCGACTCAAAGAATATCAAGAAAGTTACAAAGAGATTATCTCGCTAACAAGCCTAGCGAGACGATAGTGATGAACAAGAAGAGAGAGTAAAGTGGGTGTAAAAGCCTAGTGATTCTAGATGATTTCGGATGCCTTTTTCCCAATGATGGGGTCTTCAATATATAGTGTTGATGAGTCGGCCGAACGATGAATATTCTGCTTCGGGCGAGATGGAAAACTTCCTCTTTTGATATAGAAAACTTCCTCTTGTTCCTGATTTTCTTCCATTCTTCAGATCGGCATGAGGGTTTATTTACATTTCTTCGTGGATTATGTCTTTCTTCTCAAGCTTTCCCTTTTTGGTGAGGAAGTTAGGCCTAAAATCGGATTGGGCTTTGTGATTTTACTAATGGTGACGGGTTTAGGGAAATGTGCTAATATCTCCTCTCACACATAATATCTATTTGCCACCATTCTTTTAACAAAAAAACAAACAAAAATTCTATTTGCCTACACTATTCCCTCACGCACAAAACATTACTAATATCGTCGTTATATTAGGCTTCATATTTTTGTTTAAATATATATAGATCTATTGGAGTAGTAAAATATACTGGTAACTGAAGGCTGATTGCAAATTGACGAAGACAATACAATTATGACCTCGCTCAAGGTGACAAGCGGATATTACTAAATTCCAATTTTATTTCTATATGTCAGGAGGACCCATACTAATGTAATCATGGAAGCTTTATCAATGCTAATAATGGAATGCCGGATAATTTTATATAATATTCTTTTTGTTTTTGTTCAAACTATCTTTTTTATATATATTCATTACACAGTTTCTAGCTACTTAACTTTCAACTTTGCTTCCGACCAAAAAACTTTCAACTTTCCATGTATAAACGACTGGTTGTTAGTGAATCTCTCATAATTGTCTATATACAGTAATACAGTATAAACTTTATAAATTAATAATATCGGGACTTTGATATTTTATTAATTTATGAAGTTGTTAATATATAGATTCTGACCTAAAAAAATATTTTTCAAAAAAAAAAATCAGTATTAGTAATCTTATAAATTTTCCTTCTAATTTAATAAAAACTTTCCTTTATACGTATATTTTCTTAACTTATTTTTTGAAGTTTCTATGTTTACTTTATACATTTTCTCATACTTCTCATATTGTTTAAAATTTCATATATGTTTGGTGTGTGAGAAATTCATATTATAGCAACTATATATCTTAAGTATATATATATATTAAGTTTTATATAATAATTGTTAATTTATAATACTATTGGGACCATATTTTACATAGAAGTTTAAAAAAAACTATTATCTTATTATCTTATCGAATTGTGTTATATTTTACACTAGCCCAACTCGGAACCGGAGGAATTTATTAGTTTATCGTATTTATTAATTTATCAAGTATTAATTCATAGAGTTTGTACTGTATATTGATAAAAGTCTATATATTATTATCTATTTGCACATCCCTCTTCACTCTCTCTCTCCCAGACTCCCACACACACAAACACAGGTAGAAGATGGATAACCTTGAGTTATGTGAAGCAAACGACGCTCCACTAACGCCCATTACGTTCTTAAAGAGAGCTTCTGAATGCTATCCCAATCGAACTTCCTTAATCTATGGACAAACTCGTTTCACTTGGCCTCAGACCTATGACCGTAGCTGTCGTCTCACCGCTTCTCTCCTCTCTCTTAACATCGCCAAGAACGATATTGTATGTCACCTTCTCTCTTTTTTCTTACTTTTTTCTTTTAAGAGCACCCAGAGTGAAAAAAGAGAAAAACAGAGAAACGGTTCTCATTTGAAAGACTCTAAAAAAATTACAAGACTCTAACGACATTTGTCATTGTGTGATTCGTTCGATTGTTTTCATATATAAATTAATTATACCATACAACTATATTAATATAAGAGTCTTTCCATGATGGTGATGCCCTAATTTTTATTTTCATTTTCATTTTTAACTGACCAAGCCAAATTTAATACAATTAAACGGGAGCAGAACCACATGTGGATCAGTTAATACTTCCCTTACCCAGTTACCATATTTAATTGTTGAAGGTTTTACATTCTTTTGAACTAGCACTGTCCGGTTTGATTAAAGCATGTGAGTTTAAGCCGACTGATAAGGATCATGTTTTTCTGTTTTAAATTTAATTAAATATTGTTACCTCTAGAACTTCAATATGATGCTTTTCCAAAAGAGCTTAACACATGATAAATGTTGATTTTAGGTATCAGTTTTGGCTCAAAACATACCGGCCATGTATGAGATGCATTTCGCCGTTCCCATGGCCGGAGCTGTTCTCAACACTATCAACACCCGTCTCAACGCAAAATCCATTGCTGGAATCCTCCGCCATGCACAGCCCAAGATGTTATTCATAGACCGAAATCTTGAGCCTTTGGCTCGAGAAAGCCTCCAACTACTATCACATGACGACTTAAATCAGAACATGAAGGTCATTTTCATTGACGACAACGACTTCCCAAAAAAGGGTACATCCAAGGAGTTAAACTACGAGAGTCTCATACGTAAGGGAGAGCCTACGTCCTCTTTGGTCGCACGTATGTTTCGTATTCAAAACGAGCAAGATCCGATCTCGTTGAACTACACGTCAGGTACAACGGCCGACCCGAAAGGTGTGGTGATTAGCCACCGTGGAGCATATTTGACCTCTTTGGGCACGATAATGGGCTGGGAAATGGGGACCGGCCCCGTCTACCTCTGGACTCTGCCTATGTTTCATTGTAATGGATGGACTTTCACGTGGTCAGTGGCGGCACGTGGCGGCACCAATGTGTGTTTAAGGAACGTGACTACCTCGGAGATCTTTAAGAACATAGAACACGCATATGTGTTGTGCTCCTACGGTCTTCAACATTCTTTTGCAAGGAAAACCGCTTGACCTATCAAATAGGTCTGCCCCGGTTCAGGCGCTTACCGGAGGTTCATCGCCTCCAGCTGCTCTTGTTAAGAGAGTTGAAAAGCTGGGGTTTCAAGTGGGGCATGTCTATGGGCTTACAGAGGCCACCGGTCCAGCTCTCTTTTGCGAGTGGCAAGACGAGTGGAACAGGTGATACTCATTATAAGACTCTTATTCAATTCCAATCCAAAATATTATCTTATTACCAAATAACAAAAGAGAGATATTTTTATAATTTATAAGCATGTCCAGTATTACCGAGTTCAGTTTCATTATTTTATTCTCAACTGAAACAGATTACCAGAGGATAAACGAATGGAGCTGAAGGGAAGGCAAGGGGTTGGGATGTTAACCCTAGGTGAATTTGACGTGAAGAAGACTCAAACTCAAGAGAGTGTCCCACGCGACGGAAAGACGATGGGAGAGATTGTCATGAAAGGAGGCAGCATGATGAAAGGGTATCTAAAGAACCCCAAAGCTACATTGGAAGCGTTTAAACACGGATGGTTCAACACTGGAGACATAGGTGTGATTCATCCGGATGGGCACGTGGAGATCAAAGATCGTTGCAAAGACGTCATTATCTCAGGAGGTGAAAACATCAGTAGTGTTGAAGTCGAGAATGTTCTTTACAAGAACCAGAAAGTGCTTGAGACCGCGGTCGTGGCCATGCCTCACCCAGTGTGGGGCGAGACCCCGTGCGTGTTCGTTGTTCTAAAGAAGGATGAGAAAAATCAAGAAGATCTTGAAGATAAATTGGTGACCAGAGAAGAAGACTTGATTAAGTATTGCCGTGAGAATATGCCACATTTTATGTGTCCGAGGAAGGTGGTATTCCTTCAAGAGCTCCCAAAGAATAGCAACGGAAAGATCTTGAAGTCTAAGCTGAGAGACATTGCTAAGGCTTTTGTTGTTTATGGGGACAATGACGGTTCCAAGAAAGTTCAAGGACGCGGTGTTGATCACGTTAGGTCGAGGCTTTAAAAGTTATATAGGCATCGATATATACTTCTGTTTGTGTTTGGTTTGATAATTTTTTTTTTTTTGCTATTTGGAGTTTATAATAATTCTAAGACAAATAAGAGGAAATAAATTACAAACCTTGTTGCTTACGCTATAAAAAAAAATTGCTAATAAAAGATGAAACTTGCGAGAATAGAGAGTGTCTTTGCTGATGGATCGTGCAGCACAATTTGTGGTGAAATATTTGCTAATAACTTATTTCTGCCCTGTTAGTTTACATTCAACATCTTTTTCTTCTTTTCTTTTTCATTTTTTTTTTCTTTTCTGTTTTATTTCTTAAGGAGATATCATCTGGAACATTACAAGAAGAGCAATTTTAGGGAGTGATGGCAACTGAGGAGCTGCCGGAGGATTAAGACATGTAAGTTTGCTTCTGAGGAGCTGTACCTTACAGTTCTTTCACCTGTCTAGAGAAGGCTTTTGAAAAAGTGACTGTCATCCAGCATTTACCTTTCCTGCATAACGCAATAGACAATGCATGTACTATGACTCTTTAAATAATTGCCAACCTTTTTTTTTTTTTTTTTTTTTTTTTGAACGGCTAATATTTGGAAATGGAGCCTAGATCCATACCAAGATGTCAACCAAAAAAGTTGAAGGTGATAGCTTTGATCTAGTAGGGAGCGCCAATCAGCTTTAGTATAATCAGATTCAAATAAATGTGCTTTGAGTCTTCTACACGATGGAGTAATAAACAAGATAAAGTAGGGTCAATGCCATGCGAAGACTTTTCTTAAAAGTCTTTGCATAGCACTTGCCCTACTAACATAGTGAATGTATCGAAGCTTCTTGTCTTTCCTTTCTCTTAACACAACGGCCACACTTACCCATCTAGGTTAACAAAACTGAGTTTTAACCAAGTCTTGGGGTACAAGACTATGCACAAGTCTTTAACCATGTGGTGACTCAAACTGTGTCACAAGGTGTTATACAGCTGGGGTACGATACCGCGTTTTTGTAGAACAACTAAAAGTCATCGAACAAAAGTCGTCGTTTTTGTTTGCTCCTGATTTACTTCATGTAAACTGATTGGCTTTAAGTTTGTGGTTGTTTGCTCCAATAGTTTCTATATATATACATCACAAAACTGGTCGACAGGTGAGAGAGAATCAACGATAATGAAGAAAACAAACCAAGCTTCTCTTTTTCTAAGTTTGCTTCATATACTTCTATGTATCTCTTTTCAGGTTCATGTCACGAAGGCTAGACCTTGTCACCTAGGTCAGTCACTTTCTTATTCCGATGATATTTTTCGTTTACTCGCACAGGGACATATACATATTTTTCTTTTTTACGAGACAAAAAGCTTTTACAAAATAAATTTTAATCATTACTCATTTATAACTATTTATTCATATCTAAAAGTTTTTGGAATTTAATCGAAAAAAGAATCATTACATTTTAGCTGTCAAATACTGTTTTACTCTGATTAAGAACATAATAAAGTTATTTTCTTACCGCTGATTAATAATATGTTTTGTTTGATATGAATAATTTATTAGCTAAAAGAATAAGGATAAAACTGAAAAAATTGTAACAAAATTGCATTAAAAATAGAAGAGAAATTTAAAAAAATACACCTCTTGAGGTGCAAATTTTCAAACCTACACTTATGGTATGGTAATTTTCAAAAATACACTTTTTCTAATTTTAATATATATGTTTGGGTTCACTAATCCTAAGGGTTCAATGTTAGAAATTAGGGTTTTGGGATTATATATTAGGGTTTAGAGTTCTTTTACTCAATGAAAATGTGTAGTTTTGAAAATGGGCACCACATATGCCGTATTTTTGAAAATTGACACCTTAAGAGATGTAGTTTTGAAATTTCCATTAAATAGAATACAAGTAATCTGAAACAAAATGTTTACTATAGAATGACAAATTAAAACGGAAGTAATTTTTTTTTTTTTTTAATCCTTCAATTTTGCTATGAGAAAAATCTTGTCTACAAACTAGTTTTTAACATTGGAAAATTGTCTGAAACTTCCGATAATTCTTGAGTTAAACGACCAAAAGGTTTCGACAGTTTTTCAACAAATACAAATTCCAAGGCTCGAATTCTGTCAAATATTTTTAAGCATGAAATTATTAACTATTTTTACTTGGCCACATGGATATACAATATATCTTTTTTTTTTATCCATTTAAATATTCGGAGAGAGTGTATATCTATGCGGTTGCACCTCTTTTCGAAATTTGTTTCATAAGTTTGGGATTTACCTTTAATTAACCAGAAACAATTCCGTCAAAATATTTGTTCCACGGAAAGTAGAAGAATATAGTCATATATAATCAATGTTTTTTCTTGGAGTTACGTTGTATAGCAATTATTTGAGGAATGTGTCATGTCATTTAACAAAAGTGCATAACACAATTGATAAGAAAACTAAGTAAAAATGTTATATCATTAACAATAACATTAACTTACTGTTTTCCTATGAATAACAGCTATACCCCCAAGTCAATTCCTACATCCAAAGCCCAGTCCAACAGTGCGCGCATTGCCTACCCCACCATGTGGATCTAATATCGGAATTCAAGTTATGGCACATAGAGAAGAGTCTTGTAGAGAAATTCCAAGGCCTCCTAAAACCAAAAGAAAAAATGTTCAAAAGCCTCCTGCAGCAATCCCGTAACCTCCAAGCAAGAGTTAGTTAACGGCAAGAATTTCCACATAAATACATCACATATGATATAGCAGTTTATTGTGTTTCAACTCATCCTATAAAAAAAATAATGTATACCTTTTTGGTATAGTTTATAAGTTTGTTGATGAACTTTGAGACAATGTATTACAAAGCTAAATTTTAAGAGAGAAAAAAAAAGTTTTTAGCGACACAAGGTAAAATGTATGAGTTAAAACTAAAAACAAATATGTCAAGATACAAAACAAAAGTGGAAAATTAAAGTGAACCAAATCGCCAATTAAAATATGAAAGTTTGGGAGAGTACGACGAGCACACAAGTGTCCTGAACCATCCGGCAGAACCGTTTTGTCTTTGGGTTTGAACTCCATAAGATCATGGTTAGCATGTAAATATCACATAGACAACATAGTTAAACTATTAATATTAGAATAATGAGATACCTTTTACCTCTTACACAACAAAGAAATATATAACACATGGGTGCAGTTGTACTCGATAAGAATGTTTGTTCTTCTAAAAGGCTGCCGAAATTGTAACGCATCGAGAGATTGATCGAAGAGGAAAAACAAAGACTTCACATTGACAACTAAACAAATGTTTCTTCATTTGCTATGAGATGAAGAAAAACGAAAATTTGACCCTCTTCTTTGTCTTCAAAGCAGAGGAAAACTAAATGAGAGAGTAAAAGAAAAGAGAGACGGAGAGAAAGAGAGAAGTAAAATCAAATTACATCCTTGAGATTTGGAGAGGTACACTTGCATTTTCAAGAACATCACTATTCCTCATACGGGAAACAAGCTTAAGCTTCTCCCAAGCCCCGAGCCGCTCGAAGATATACCTTTGACAGTTCTGAGAAGCCGACACTCCGGCCAAGAAGGCACCGTGCGCCGATCCTTGATGCTCGACGTTCACAGCTTCTCCTCCGAAGAAAATGTTATCCACTGGCTCTCCTAGCCTCGCGTAAAGATCCTCCGGCATCCCAACCACGTCGTACGCGTAACACCCCAATGTGTTTGGATCCGTTCCCCACCGTGTCACTAGATATTGAGCCTGTTTGAAAAACCAACACACATTTTCAATATTTCCGGATAATATATATGATTTCACATTTGATGGTTAATGATGATTAATGCTTACCGGATCAGGAGCGTCCGGGAACATTTTCTTGAGCTGAAGCATAACGAAATTTGCGGTGGCTTCATCGGATAGCTTTTCGAGGTCTTCGGCTAGGTTTCCGGCGGCCATGTAAACGAGAACCGAATGGCCTGTTGCCTTGTGAAGGTTCAGAAAATAGCCACAGGCGTAAGAAGTCGGTGCCACCATCCCCAAGAACTCAACGTTGGGCCAAAAGACTCTGTCGAATCTCAGGGCGATCTTGTTCTCGTTGCCTACGCCGAGGCCCGATATGGCGGATGTCTTCCATTGTGGGAGCTCTGGCTGGAACTGAATCAGGTTTGCTTTGAGAACGCCGATGGGAACCGTGATGATAACAGCGTCGGCAACGAAATTGGTTCCGCTCTCGACTTCGACTATCACTTTGTTGTTAGGTGTTCTTGATACTTTAGTAACCCTGTGTGAATCAATATTCCAAGAAACAGGTGATCATTACAATTAAGGAAATATGTCTTGAAAGCTACGTATGAACTTCATCATTGGGTTGATTTTCATTACCTATGGCTCAAGCGAATGTCAATGTTTTTTGCAAGTGTTCTGATCACTGGCTCATAACCTTGCACCATTAGACCATGACCACCTGAAAGACATTCGTCCTGCTCAACAACAAAAATAACTATTTTGAGCATTTCATTAAACCAACGGAGATCAATCAAATCTATAGGAATGGTTTGCTTGCCTGATCCCAACATTTTAGTGATATCAAATTCGCATCTACAGCAAACCATGCCTCCATTCTACATATGTACCACTGCAAGACTTCGTACGCCATCCCGTCTAGCCTAATACAAGAAAACACCCCAAAGGTTATAGATAGAAATTTCAGAAGTAAGAATCGTTACTTACGAAGTGTTACCTTAGTTCTGGATTTCTTTCCAAGACGATTGATATTCCTTGAAGAACAGACATGTCATTAGCAGTTTCATCCCTTATTTTCTCCGTCTGGAAAGTAAAGCATGTTATCAAAATCCTCTTGTGAAAAAGCATGATGATTACAACATTTAAAACTAGAAAATGCAAAGATTACCTCTTCTAGGATTCTCTTGAATGCATCTCCAACTTCAGTGACCAACTTCGGTGGAACTTTATTCCCATGCATGTCGTAAAGTCCATAACTGGAAAAAAGCCAACATTCTCCTCGTAAATGTTTCTAAAATCAATGTCCAGTCTTTGAAACCAGTCTATAGCTATCCCCTGCTTGATCTAGGAGAGACCACACTACGAGTCTAGATCTTAGCACAGACATGATAAAAATGCAGAAACTTTCAAGATTACCTTTCAAGATCATGATCATACAAGATGGAGTCATCCCCGCTAGTTCGGTATAAAGTCAGCCCGAGACTGCGTATGATTGGAGCCAAGGGGTTCTCGTTCGAGACTCCATGTAACCTAGACCACGTTCAAGAAAAGGTTAGAAGGCTAGTAAATGAAAAAATTACGCATTTCTTTCTTTCATTCTTCTTAGAAAAACTTTATATTCCAAATGCTTCTAAAAAAGAATAACATTTTTGATAAAAATCCTCACCATGAAGCTCCCATATCAACTGGACAGCCAAAGGAATAATCCGTATGGATGCGACCACCAATCCTATCTCGTGATTCAAGAACCGTCACCTTAAAAGATGCTTCGGAGAGGTTCCTAGCAGCAGCAAGACCTGATATTCCGCTGCCAATCACGATTACAGAAGGCTGCACATTGCTCTGCTTCTGGACTAGCGCAGAGATTGTGCCTGATTTCAATGTTTAAGAGACATGTTAGATTTGCATAATTCTTAAGCTCAATCAATTCAATTTCACACTAATCGGAATCAGATTCCTCTATTCCTGTATCAAGCAGCATTGTCGAATCACGATGGAGATACAGATAGATCTGATCATTCGAATGCAGACAAATTCGAAATCGCAATGCATAATCGAAATTCGAAATCAACAAAATCACAGTCGCGGTTTGTACCTTCAGGAAGATCATTCGGGAAGGAATTCTTCTTATCCATTGAAGATTTGATTGTAAGAAAGAGAGACAGAGAAATTTCCGAAATTCGTGAACAAAAAATTCAATTAAGCGATTCGATTAGGGACGAAGATTAAAGAGGAAATTATAAAATCTGCAGAGATCGGAGAAGGAGGAGGAGGAGGAACAACGGCGCTTATCGGACCAAATCATCTTCAAAACGCGCGATCGAATTATTCAATAACGACGACGATTCAAAAACGAATAAAACTTTGAGATTAGAAATCGAAAGACGACTAGAAACAATCGCGTCGTTCCCGGAGATCGTACAATTCCGTGATCGGTGCATTTTTTTTTTTTTTTTCAAATCGGAATTTGATTTTTGTTTTGTTTTTAGAAGACGACGAGAAACATGAAGAAGAAGAAGAAGAAAAAGATTCGGTAACAACGAGGTGGAGTCGTCAAAGCGAATTAGCCCTTTTTATAGTGTGAGACGATAAGCTGGTGCCGACGAACGTAAATGACATATTTACCCCTAAAGTTTGTTTTTTGTTTTATTCTTTGGTCGATCAACATGTTCTTTCCATTTTGTACAAAAAAAGATAGTTTATGATCTTTCTTAATTGTGTGATTATTATAGTAAAGTAACAGCTCATTGCTTACACATCTGATGTTGATGTCTATGCATAGGGAGATACTTTAAATGGGCGGTTCATCACACTTAACTTTAGTTCATGTGAGGTAAGGCTTTTTAATGGATGCTGACGGATTTTATCAGATTTTTTTTCTCTACATTTTTGAGATATTTTGATATATGAGACATATGTGGACTAGTTTATAAGAACAACTCCATTTGCCAGATATACAAAGTCTTTTATGAATATAATAATAATATAATTGTAATGCATCATTTTATAATATCTTTAGTGGTATCATCAAAATTGTAAAACTTATGTGATTGGTTACATAGTTAACATTACAACTTATAATACTATGTAAAACTGTAAGCAATCAAAGCCATTATATTCAATCAAATATGAACAATAGCCAGTTTTATATTAAGCGAAAGCTTGCGGACATGTGGGGTACACGTGTTTATCGTTTTGCAGGAATGAGGTGGTCAGGTCTTAATTACGGTCCTAAATATGTCAAACTTCACCCCACTTCAGTGAAACATTTCAAACATATGCTAAAATAATCTAACAAACTAACAAAAGTAAGTATATTTATTAATGTTAGAGACTTAGAGGTAATCAAACCATGTGCATTTGGATCAGTTAGTCAAAAATCACTCCAAACTCAGGGATAAATAGTATAGTAACCCAAATTTGGATATCATGAATCTCATGACTTGTTTCCATCCAATCAAAAGAATAGTTCACTTTGTAACACTTCGGCTGCAGCCAGCTAACCGAATCAGCGGATAGGGGTTATCAAAAATGAATTGCAAGTTCACAGATTTGTGATGTTGTTCTTTCTATATTCATATACATTTAATAATTATGAAAAACTATATTATATTTGCTTAAATCGATTAACCAGCTGTTTAGAAATTTGAATATAATTAGCCATATAGATAATATAATTTATTATTCACTTGTTTAGGCCTTTAGGGTTTGATTTATTTACTTGACTTAACAAATCACTTAGGCGTGGTTTTTACAGTCATACAATGCGATACCACTACCAACTATAAAATAAATTTTGATCTCTGTGTGACTGTGTCCGCAAGCTTTCGCCGATGCGATACCTTTGTAATCTCTGTTGGAAATTCCGAAGCTTGAAGAGCAAGCAACCAAACAAGAAGAAAAAGGAAATAAGCTATTTCTAAAAATAGTTAGGAATAGGAGAATATCCATTCTTGTTTGTAATCCTTATAGAATTAGGAGAAGCTGATATCTATATAAAGAGGTCTATGGAGAGGTGTTCCATAAAACTCAAGAAAGAGATTTAGTTTTGAGAGAGTTTCTAAATCAATAAAGAAAAGAGAGTTCTTTATATCTTTTGAGTTAGTTTGCATAAACACTTTTATTTGATATCAGAGCCATGGTTTAAAAAAGTGAACCTGGGGAGAAATGGGTGTAGGCACTACACACAGAAGATGTAGGAAGAAAGCCCTCAAGAAGGAAAAGGAGTCACGAGTTATGTGGTCTTTGACTTGAAGGGGAGAATGATGGATATCAATCCAAGTCCCACATCGGAAAGTTAAACAGAGAAGTGTCAAATATATAAAGTAGTGTCCAACCCAAATAGTATGAGACCTTTTGGAAAGGAGTCCAATAACAAATCCGTGAGAGCTAAGATACATGAGCCCAAAGCGGACAATATCATATTAGTTATATGGTTGGACACGGGCTTGAAAAAGGCCTTTAATCTCTGTGTCATACCAATGCGATACCACTTCATTAGAAATATTATACTGAAAATAAAATAGGAACATAACCATTCCCGATTGATTTTTTAATAGAAGGCATAAATCTTCGTGATGTTGAGAAATGGATCAATCATTCGGTGACGGTGGTCCGTGGAGATCAAGTTGTCTTTATGAGAATATATGCATATAGTGTTTTGTGGTGAAAAGAGATATCAAAGTGGGGCCATTCACAATTGGCTCGAGTCTTTGTCTGCAACTAAAATTGAATATTTAGTTTCGAATAATTGAGCTACATTTTCGCGATCAGACACGTATGCATCTCTCCATACGTTCTGTCGCGAGTTTGGAGGTTATAAAAATGTTTCTGAAATGTTACAACAAACAGTGGACGTGCCGGAGTGGTTATCGGGCATGACTAGAAATCATGTGGGCATTGCCCGCGCAGGTTCGAATCCTGCCGTTCACGAAATTGTTTTGTCTTGTTTTGTTTTCTTACTGTTTTTACATTTTTCTCATTCATCGTCCTATTGGTCGCACCTCCGAGACATCTCAAATGATACAGTTTGTTTTGTTGTATCATTTCTTTTTGTCTGTGAATAGTAAAATAATTAATCGTTTATCACCCATAACAAGATTGATTTGATTTTCTTCACTAGTAATAATACAGGAGAAGTTATTAACATAAGTGAGTTGAACAAAAAATAGTGAAATGCTAATCATTTTATTTTACACATACAGTGACTAAATGTGAATATTATTCTACATAACGCACAAGTTTAAAACTGCTAAGTACGCAGCAAAGAGACAAGCTGTAAGATTATTACACAAGTTTTGTGGACAAGTTATACAAGAACCGAGTCCAAAGTCTACAAAAGAGCGACTTAGCCACGGATGAGACTAACACCAAACGAGATGGTACAGATCATCAAACCAAGCAACCCCAAGAAACCATACTTCCTGCAACGCAACACAGAGATTACAAAGGTATAAGTTGAAATTTTGTGTGTATGTCAAATCAAGGAAGAGGACGAATTTAAGAAGAACAAACCCGATGGTGAGGCGTTTCATGGGATCTCCAGTAGAGTAACCTTTAAAGTAGAAGAAACGAGTAACGTTGTAGAGTAAACCCAAACCAGCACAGAAGCAAGGATGTTTCATTCCACCAAGGATCATAAGTATGAAGTACATTGGCATCATCTCTAAAGAGTTTTGGTGCCCTCTCTACAACCAACAAAAAAACGTTTGGGTCAAAGATAAAGATCCAAACTTGCTATCACAAGAAGATCATAAGAAACAGGGTTTTTTGTTTTCTCAAACCTGAACACAGTTAAAGAGCTTAGCATCTTTGTTTTCTGATTCTATTGCATATAGAGTTGGATACGGCACATTGTACCTGCACCAAAATTACAATGAAGAATCAATCAGTAATAGAAAGAGATTTTTTTTCTTTTTCTTTCTATGAAAAAAAAAAAGAAATTACAATAACATGTATGTTTCTCATATGAAAATTTCACAGAGAAAATAAGTTATCAGGACACAAAAACATGGAGATAAGTGAATATCCATGGATTCAAATCAATTAATCGGATTATCACAATAAGATGCTTCTCAAATGAAATCGAATTTGATGATAAAATCTGAGATATTGGATTAGAGTGAGAGCAAACTGTTGCAGTAAATGATAAAATTTGCAACGAGACAATGATTTCGAATCACAATAACATGTTACTCAAACTGAAATCGAGATAAGAGACAATCAATTTTCCGCATATTGATCGATAGAAAGCGAGAGATCGTTTTCGATTCGGAGATTTTAAGGCGAAGAAGAAGTTTTGAAAGAAACCTTTTGCGAGCTCTGCCGACTTGAGCACCCATCCAGAGGTTGAGGAAGCAGTAGAAGACGAGGATGAGAACTACGTATCCGTACTCACTAGGCAGAAAATCAGTGATCGCCGCCATGGATGATGATTTGAAGAAACTTGCTTCTGAAATTTGTTTACTTCTTAGCTCGTAAGAGATCGTCTATACTCTCTCTGTAGGTAAATGAATTGTAAAAATGGTTCGTTCCTTTTGTTGTTCTTTTTTGAGTCGGCAAATTTCTTTCCTTTCCAGGATAAATAAATACCCTATATTATTATTATATAAAGACTCCGTTGGTAAAAGGACAGCCACGAAGACCATAAATCAACGGTTGTGGAACTCTCTCGGACTCTCATGTTTTAATGTGTTTTTTTTTTTTTTTTGAACAACATTTTTTCATTAAACTTTTAAAACCCGTTACAGAAGTGAGCCATGGCCCAAAGGTAAAGTCGCGAAGCTATTCTTTGCGATTTTGGCAAGTGAATCGGCACGAACATTTTCCGATCGGGGATGAAACTGAAGCTGATGGATTTGAAGAGAAAGGCGAGAGTTTAAATATCAAAGAGGATTCCGTAAATCTCCTTGATTTGCTTTTGCATGTTTAGAGCTCGGACGAGGGCCTGAGCATCTGATTTGAGGTGGAGATCGGTGATTCCGATGTCCAAAGCGTGGTTGAGTGCTGAGCGGATCGAGATCGCTTCCGCCACAAGCGGCGACGCTACTGATGCTTCCGCTGAGCTTCTGGTGGTTAGGGTTTGACCTGATTCATCCACGAACAGCCATCCCATTCCTCCGATCCGGGTTTCTGCACTCCAAGCTCCATCAGAGAAGCAGGTAACGGTGTTCGGTTTATTTTGTCTTCTGCTTGTGTGGGTGAATTGTTGTTGTGGTTTAGGAATTGATAGTTGGGCTTGTTGCCATTCTCTGGCTTCTCTGACAGCTTTTGTAATGGTTTATGTAGGTGAGAAGGTACGATCGTCGAAGAGGAGGAAGTTCCTGGTCTTCTAGATTGCCCAATAAATTCAGGCGAAAAGAGGTCCCGTTCCCGTTCCGGTTGGAGGTAGACAAATCCAGTCTTTGGATGTCGTAAGGGTCGTTGTGAAGTCTTGGATTTGGAGAGGATTTATAGCGGTGGAGAAAGGGGCTAGGTTCCAGACTTCTCTCGCAAAAACACAATGGAAGAAGAGGTGATTCGTCGTCTCCAAGTCTCCACAGTGGATGCAGTAGGAGCTTTTAAGGATTCCTCTATTTATGAGGTTTTTTCCGATAGGTAAGGCTTTTTGTAGTATCTTCCAGAGGAAGACTTTTATTTTTGGTGAGATTTTTGTGAGCCAAATATCTGAGTTCCAATTGATGTGCAGGAGGTGTTGGTGATGTTGTGGGTCTTCGTTAGCGGCCATGGCAATGTGGTAGCCAGTTTTAGCTGTATAGTTCCCAGACTTGGTGGGGAGCCACAAGTAGGTGTCTTCAGCTCCTCTTCGGCTTGGCCGGAGAGCTTTGATTTCCTCTAAGTGCATAGGTATGATCTCGTTGATTCTTTCTTCATTCCATTCTCTTGTATGCTCGGTTAAAAGTGATGACACCTTGAGGTCCTTGTTGCTTAGGTTTGGTGGGCCTGTGAGTCGGGATGGGGTCTCCATTGAGAGCCAAGGGTCATCCCAGATGGAGGTGGAGAGTCCGTTCCCGATCGCTTTTCCTAGTTTGGTGTTTAGGAGATCTCTTCCTATGAGGATTCCTCTCCAACCGTGGGAAGTGGAAGAGGTGATGGGGACGGAGAGGAAGTCATGGTCTTTGCAATACTTACCCTTGAGGACTTTGCTGAGGAGGCATGTGGGGTTGTTGAGAATCCTCCAGCTTATTTTTGCAAGGAGGGCATCATTGAAACTCTGAATTTCGCGGAAGCCGAGACCTCCGTGTTTCTTCGCTCTGGTAAGTTTTTGCCATGAGATCCAACACATTTTCCTCTTATCTGGTTTTGTATCCCACCAGAAACGTGTGAGGGCTGATTGGATTCGTTTGCATAACCCTGCAGGTAACTTGAAGCAAGACATCGTGTAGGTAGGGATAGCGGAGAGGACTGCTTTTAGCATTGTTAACTTTCCTGCACTTGATAGGAATTGGGAAGAGAAGTTGACTGACTTTTGGCGGATGCGGTCGACTATTTGGGTGAAGAGATCCCTTTTCTTTCTTCCAAAGCTCTCTGGTAAGCCTAGGTACTTACCCTGACCCCCTTCTTTGTCAATTCCTAGGGAGAGTTTTACTCGTGTACGGGTTTCGGGTGGTGTTTTCTTTGAGAAGGTTATAGATGACTTGAGGAGGTTAATCTGCTGACCTGATGCATCTTCATATTGTTTCAGGATGGAGTGCAATGTATCACAGTTCTTCTGAGTTGTTTTACAGAAGAACATTGTGTCGTCTGCGAAGAGTAAGTGGTTTATCATTGGGCTTCCTCTCGCAACCTTTAGACCTGGTAGGTTCCACTGACTTGAGCGTTTTTGCAGAGTCCGGAGAGGACTTCTCCGCATAGAATGAAGATGAAGGGTGAGAGAGGGTCTCCTTGACGGATGCCTCTCTGTGGGATGACCTGACCTTGGGCGGCTCCGTTAATGAGGAAGGTGTAGGAGACTGTGGAGATGCATTGGAGGACCCAGTTGATCCACTTGGGGTGGAAGCCCGGTCGTTCCATGACCGCTACGATGAAATTCCATTTCAGACGATCGTACGCCTTGCTCATATCGGTTTTTACCGCCATGGAGCATCTCTTTGTAGCTGTCGATCCTTTCAGGTAATGGAGAGTCGTGAGTGATTAGAACGTTGTCTGAGATGGCTCGTCCAGGTACGAAAGCGGTTTGATTCTCCGAGATAATGGTGGGTAGTATAGGTTGTAGCCTGGTAGTCAAGATCTTTGAGATGATCTTGTAGTATACGTTGCAGAGGGCAATGGGTCTCTACTCTGTTAACGCTTTGGGGCTGGGGGTTTTTGGTATAAGTCTTACATGGGTTCGGTTGAGGGAGCTTGGTATGATGCTTGCTTCAAAGATTTCCTTAACTTCCTCGGTTATTTTAGGTCCCATTACTGACCAATTGGTTTGGAAAAACCCTGCAGAGAAGCCGTCGGGTCCTGGGGCTTTGTCAGGGTTGATGGAGAATAGAGCCGCTTTTATCTCAGAAGGGGAGGGTTCTGCTATTAAGCTCTTATACACTGAAATACCATTACTATCTTCTATAATTGCTAGCTTGTTAATCGTTCTTCTCCCTCGTGTTGCAGCATGGAAGTATCCCGAGTTTCTATCTCCAAGGGCTAGCCAGAGCGTTCTGCTTCTTTGGTGCCAGTAAGCTTCTTCCTTCTGATAGGCTGAGCTTAGATTATTGTTTATGGTAGCTATCAATGCTTGATCTTCCGTGGGCGAGCTCATAGCTAACTCGAGCTTCCTTTTTTCTTCTTGTATCTCTTTTTGCGCATTGCTGTGATGCTCCAAGTTCCATTTGGAGATGCTTTTCCTGCAGCTACCTATTCTCTGTTCCACCGATGCTTCCAAAGATAAGTTCCAAGCCTTCTCAACTATCGTTGTTATCTCCGGATTATCTTTCATATTTCTGTCGTATCTGAAGATCCCTTTTTTCTTTTTTAGATGCGTTTCCAGAATGGACAGGAGAGGTCGGTGGTCAGAGCCTTCGAAATCAAGGTAGTAGCATCTGCTTGAAGGGAAGGTTTCAGTCCAGAGACTGTTTGACATGGTTCTATCAAGTCGGCAGTGGACGGTGTGGGTATAACGGGTTCCTCGCCATGAGAGGAAGTTCCCCGAGTGAGGAATGTCAAACAGGTCATTTTGGGAAACAAAGGTTCTGAAATTCCCAAAGGTGCCTTCCACTCTTTGGGGTCCTCCCGATTTCTCATAGTGGTCAAATAGGTCGTTGAAATCTCATGTTTTAATGTGTTTTCATTGAATAATGCTTGATTTCACTATCTTTTTAATTGAAAAACATTATCGAATAACATTTCCTAAACCGGTTCGAAAGTAAATTTTAATGGTTTTTGTAGCATAGTTGCCTAAGCTTTTTTAAACACTTATAATTAATTCAAGATGTTGATTACTATAAGCATTTTAGATTGAAAGAAAAAGAGACGAATAGTTTTTTAATAAATCTACATAACTAATAAGGCTTGGACACTCTCTTGTTCGAGACACATGGCACCTTCCTTTTTTTCCTTCCAAACGCTAAAACGATGTCATTTTCAAAACGACGTCGTTTTAATTTTAGGGTTAATCAGTCAATCCAACGAAAACGACGTCGATTTGATTTCAACAAAAAAAATTCTGCTCCGCCAAATTGTTTACTCCATGAGACTCTCCACATCCCTTCCTCCGCCGTTACAAGGTTAATGGCCGCCTTTAACTCCGGTGCTAACGCCTCCTCGCCTTCAATTGTTCTCCTCGACTATAAAAAGCTCCTCCCCATCAAGCCGTCGCCACGGTTAACAACTACCCAGTCGCTCCACCACCCTCCTCCGTCAATTTCGAAGAACCAGAAATCTCTTCGAATCCCATCTTTTCTTCTATGTTTGCGATTTCTTTTCTCTCTTGATTCACCTCAATCATCTCCATCATTTTTATATCCATCTTTTCGTTTTGTCATTCTCTCTCTTTCTCTATTCAACCACCGAATCTGCAATCTCCATCTCAAGACATCTCCCATTCTCTCTTCCTCTTGGCTCCGACGAAAATTACCTCCGACCGATTAGCTATTTGCCTTCTTCTATATCATCTTCGGTCTCTTTCTTCTTCTTTGTGTCTCTTAAATCAAATGAGGAAGATTTATAGGTAATGTTCTCACTTTTGTCAATTTTCTTATGAGTTTCGTGTTTTTATTTTATTTGAAATCACCCCATCAAATCCAGCAATCATTCTTTAGATACTAACAATCTATGTACTAATCGAATGTTTCCAGTGTTCTTTCGCATCACTTTTTATGATCAGTTTCTGTTTTAGCTTGTGATCCTATGTGCTTGTGTTATTCGTTAACAAAACTTTGGGGTTCTTGCAGCATACCATTGATGAATTTATGTCATTTTCATGTAGATCGTGATTCTGAGAATGACATATTAGATATGGGAATCCAGTTTTGAAGCTTTATTTTGGCTGCAGGTAACATAATCTTTCCTGCGTTTTTCTTGCTCACATTGTTCCTCACTGTTGCTAACATAATCTTCTTCATTGGCAACATAATTTGTTTATTTGTGTAACATGATCTCCTCCCTGTTCTGTTTTGTTGCAGAGAATGAAGAAATCTAATCGAGAAATTAGAGGTTTGACTTTTTTTAAATTAACCAGAAACTAAATGTTTGTTTGCAGCTTATGTCAATTCTCTCCAACTAAACGAAGAAGCAGACCAATGTAAAGACTTTTTGTCTTTTTCCTACTTTTCTAACTAATCAATCTTATAATAATCTTTACATTGTATAATGTGGAAACCCATATGGAAACAGATTACTGATATTACGTCTCTTGGTTTCATTCCATTGCAACAGATCTTAACTCTGTGGTATAGGGCACCATAACTTCTTCTTGGAGCAACCCATTACTCAACTGCAGTGGATATCTGATCTGCTGGCTGCATTTTTGGTACAAGTTCTTCTCTTTTAGTTTCACTTTAGTGTCACTGTCACAGCAAGAACTAACAGTTTTGTTTCCTTTTGACTTTGCAGCTGAGCTTGTAAACAAGCAAGCATGCTTTGCTGGAGACTCTGAGCTTCAACAGCTCCTCCATATTTTCAGGTAAGTCTTTGTGTTCTTGAGCGTCATTCTCAAACACATAAACATGGCATTCACTTACATGATTGCTCTATTTTCTTTCATTTCTGTGAAATTCAGGTTGCTGAGATTCTTTACTGGAGGTAGAGGCGAAGATTTTTATTCAGCAAGCTTGAAAATGTCAATTATTATTTTGGAAACTGTGATGAAGAGAAATGTCAATTTAGTTGGGCTTATCTTAAGTTCCATGTGCCTAGATGACTTCAAGGAGTTTGTTGTTGTTGCAGTGGAGAAGAATTGATTGGGAAATTGATGGTGTTAGCGTTGTGTTTTGTTTTGTTGTGTAGTTGGTGCTGATGTTGATACAAAGAGCATTGAGCTTCTTTTGAAAGAAGTGACTGGTAAAGACATCACCGAGCTGATTGCTTCCGGTAGGGAGAAGTTGGCCTCTGTGCCATCTGGTGGCGGTGTGGCGTTGCGGCTTCTTCTCCATCCAGCGGTGGTGGTGCTTCCTCTGCTCCTGCAGCTGCAGAGAAGAAAGAATCCAAGAAGAGAGAGAAAGAAGAGTGATGATGTAAGCATTGTTTTCCTTTTCGAGTTTTTGTTATGATGTTGAATTTGTTTTTGATTTTGCTCCAGTACTATATCTGACTTTGCTGGTTACATCACTCAACTTTGATGCAGGACATGAGATTGAGTCTCTCCGAGTAGGATTTTCTCAACCGAGGAAGATTTTTACTGGATCTTGTTTTTGCTCTCTTTTTGTTTTCTATTTTAGTTCGTTGTTATCAGAAGTTTTCAAGTCACATTGTTTACACTCCTTAGATTATGAAATGAGAGTTTTTCTATCTTTCTGGCTTTTCATTTTTTTGTTCCTTGTGAAATGTTTCAGATTTCTGGCTTTTCATTTTTCACCAATTGATAACCCCCAGAAGTTATAGTTTTTCCAGTATAAAATTTTTAGGGAAAAAAAAATTAGATAAATTATGGTTTCACTAAGTTTAACAACACGAGAAACGATTGTATTGACATACCTTCATTTTTTGGTAAAACTGTATACACATTACTTTAAGTGTCTTGAAATAATAAATGTTATACGAATTTATGAAATAATTATAAAGAAATAAACCATCCCTTAAACTAATAATCAATAACGATATAAAATATGAACATATTTAAAATGAAAATATTTAATTTAATTGTTTTTTACATATAAAATCTTCAGTTTCATTTTGTTTGCCCTGTTTCAAAAAAAAATTAAAACTGTGTTAGGATTTTAGACGAGAGAGAATCAAGCCTGAAGAGTGAAAGATCATGTTGTCTCTTATATCTCGGCTGATTCATTTTCTTTTCGAGTTCTTCTTTCAACAAAGTCGCCCATGGTTAAGTTTTTGGGAAGCTAGAATATGAAGTCGTGTCTTTCACTGAATGGGGATTTGATTTTATGGGTTGGTTTTGATTCGGCGCTAGATATATGGGTGTGTAAAGGTTTTATCCGTTTTATTATCGCAAATGTATGTACTAGAAGATACTCACAACTTAATAGAAAACCATCAAAAAAAAGCAAATAATAATATAAACCCGCGCATTGCGCGGGTTCTCTCCTAGTAAATAAATAAAGAGACGAAGAAAGTTGAAGAAGCTGACAGAAAAATTCACATAATAATAGCGGAGATACTTTTTGTGGATTAATATAGAAATAAAGGAATAAAGGAAAGAGAATTTGGAAGGACAAAACACAAAACATAATACGTATCAATCTTATATATAATAGGAGAGTTGCTCTCTCCTCCTAAGCTATCCACATCAGCAAAAAAATCATTAATTGTATTTAACAAATAAAAAAAATCATTAATTGTATTTAAGATATTTAATATATGTGTATTAATATTTTTTATATATATTCTATTTTACACATAAACAAAACTAAGAAAAATACACAAACAATTTAATTGATTAATATAAAGTATGTGATATCTTGATGTTAAAAGTTAAAAGAAAGTTGTAATATAAAATGGAGATGAAATAAAGAAATATTTAACTTGAAATAGTATATAGTTAGGTTTTAACTCAAAGGATTTATCCTATTTAAAAATGTTATAATGTGCTTACAAGTAAAAAAGGTACAGTATAAATTATTTAACATAGTAAAAAGCTAATAAAAAATTAGAGTTAGAGTTTGTTTTATTAAAAAATAGAAGTCGAGTTATTATTTAAATTTCATTGCAACGAAAAGCATGAAAATTTTAAGAATGGTGACATGTTTGTTTCAAAAATACAATTTATATTTACAAAACTAACATAATAGAAAATAATCAATTGTCATATGCTACCACAACAAAGCATATATGTAAGAAGTTATACATGTTTTTGTTTTTCATCATATTTTGAGTGCAATTGCGATTCTACACCATGTTTACAAATTTTAACGTTGAGTCAAATGCATATTAAATTTTAGAAATAGAAAACTCGAGATGAAGTAAGGTGTTAATATCTTAATAAAAAAATTGATCATATTGTTAGTGTTAATTGTTGGGTTAACTCAAAATATAACCAAAACATGGAAGTTAACATATAACCATCATAATTCAAAATTTTAAATCAATGAATATAAATAAAATCAAACAGAAAATTATCGCAAACAATAAATAAAATCAAACAGAAAAGTTATCGCAAACAATAAATAAAATCAAACAGAAAAGTTATCGCAAACAACCCCGCGCTTGCGCGGGGCTTTATTCCCTAGTGAAATTAATTAACAGATTTTGGAAGAAATGAAGAATAGAGGAAAGTGTGTGTAATTAGTAGTAGTACATAAACATATCAGGTGTGCAAATGGTATTCATATTATCCGAAATCATACTTTGCCCACACAAACTTTTACTCTTTTGGTCAAATCCAGTCTTGACTTCTATTCCGTTAGTCAACATTGCAACAGAGGTGATTCAGCCATCACGTCATTTGCCCTGCTGGAACGGGACGGCGATACAACGTTGTTTTGGTTGAAAATCCAGTTCGGATCCAGTTTTGGTTTAATGGTGGTTTACTCAAATCAAACCGGGCAAATCAATTTGGGGATAAGAGGAGAACGACATCATTTTCACTAAGTTAAGTCATGTTTGTATATATTTTGGTGATAATAAAGATGACTTAATTACTTCGCTGGGTCGAAAAAGTCAAAACAATAAGATGAATCAAGTTGTAAGCATTGTACGACATATATTTTATATAGTATATATTTTAAATTTTCTTTTAATTCAATATTTTAATTTAAAGTTAAATATTATACATTATTTATTTTGTCTGGGAAAAAAATGTTAAATCTTATACAATAAAAGTTTATTTTTAGGATTTTCTGTCATGTTTTTACATATTAAATATTGAACATCTTTTAAGAGTTTTGTGACGTCATTGATTTATAATTTATTTTCACAAGAAAATTTTATTATTTGGTGTAGTATTTATATTTATTTTTTATGACAAAGTTACTAGTATAGTATTTAGATGTTGTTTATGCTATGAATTTAACCAGATTAATCTTAGTATTTAAATAAACTGAGAAATGCTAAAAGCTTAAATCTATGGTGAATTGAGGCAATATATACAGAAACTTCCCAAATTAAGAATACAACAATAATCCTTATAAATTAATTTCATACATATGTTATAAATAGATTCTGCTCGATTTACCCCTACAAGATTATTGTATGAACTGGTGATATATTGAGACTCATGGGACACACATTAAATGCGTGCTAACATTTAAATTATTATTTGCTAACATTCAAACAATTATATGCTAACATTTAAATCATTACTTGTTAACATTGCCTATTAACAAAACTATTGAAATTATTTAACATTCAATTATATGCTAACATTCAAATCATTACATGCTAACACGCAAACTATTATTTGCTAACAAATTTATTAACAACAAAATACAAAATATGTGTCATGATCTTTGTTAGCAAGATAACATAATCTCTGTTAACAAGATAATATGATGTTTGTTAGCAAAAGACATGATGTTTGTTAGCAAAGTGACATGTTTTTTGTTAGCAAGATAACATAGTCTTTGTTACCAAGATAATGTGATGTTTGTTAGCAAAGTATGTAATGTTTGCTAGCAAAGTATGTAATGTTTGCTAGCAAAGTGACATATTTTTTATTATCGAGATAACTAAAAGTTTGTTAGCAAAATGCTAGTAGGCGCCTATGGGTAGTGTTTACTCTGTCTTTAGTTTATGAACAGGACATGAACAATGTGCAAAAATGTTGTCAGAAAATGTCACTTAATTATCATGTTATCTGTGTACATCTAATGCAATTTCCCTTAAATATATTCAGTAATCCATAAAAGGTGTGTTCTAAAAGTTGGCAGCATAGCGGATAGGCGGCTGAACAATCGCTAAAAATGATTGTGGCAATTTTACAAAATCGGAGTCAATATTTGGTTAAAAAGTACTCTCCGTAATTGGAAAATTTGGGTAGAAATTGAAAAACCGAGTGGACCAAGTCTTATTATTTTCCCAGTAGTGTTAAAAATTCAGCCCAATAAGCGTGCAAAAATCCGGCCCATATTATCACATGTGCCTTTTATCTTCCCTGACAAATCAGATTGGGGATTTTTGTTCTAAACTCAAACCTAACTACGATTTTCGTGAAATCAGCCGCAAATCGACCAAAAATTAAGCTCCAATCATTATGTCTTGAAGTCTTCTACCAACATCGCAAGTTTACTGAAGGAAACTCGAGGTAATTTTATCTCAAATCCATTATTTCTGTAACAAAAGATTTTGTTTTAAGTACAGTTCCGACAAATCTAATCATTTTTATAACAAAATAGTCCACAACACATTACTTGTTAACAATATTTGGTCAACCTTTTATGCCCGTAGTCTCCGTAATTGGAAAAGTCGGGTAGAAATTGAAAAACCGATTGGACCACGTTTTATTATTTGCCCAGTAGTGTTAAAAATTCAGCTCAATAGGCGTGCAAAAATCCGGCTCATATCCTCACATATGCCTTTTATCTTCCCTGACAAATCAGATTGGGGAATTTTTGTTCTAAACTCAAACCTAACTACGATTTTCGTGAAATCAGCCGCAAATCGACCAAAAATTAAGCTCCAATCATTACGTCTTGAAGTCTTCTACCAACATCGCAAGTTTACTGAAGGAAACTCGAGGTAATTATATCTTAAATCCGTTATTTCTGTAACAAAAGATTTTGTTTTAAATACAGTTCCGACAAATCTAAGCATTTTTGTAACAAAATATTCCACTACACATTACTTGTTCATTGAAGAATAATAGGATAAAAAATTATAATCGTATTGTTATCTTTTGTATGTTCTACAATATATTTGTGTATATTCCGCGAGTGGAATTATATTTGTCTTTTGTATTAGATGTAAATTATGAAAAAAATGTTTAATCTATTTGATTTGGTAGTATATGAATTTTATATTGTTGTGTTTTATATAAAAGTGTTTAATAAAACATAGAAATCTAATAAAAATTCCTCCCTGAATAATCTCCTATTTATTTCTGATTTTGAAAAAACAATTAGGCTGCGACATAGCGCGCCATTTTCGAACACATCATAAAAGTATTACTATATTTTTGAATTGTTTTTTTAAAGTAAATAAAATAAGTTTGGTTTTTCTTTTCAGGAGAAGAAACAAAAAAGAACAAAATCTTTTGGACTTCCAACAGTCAACCTTTCGTCTCCCTCTGCACTAAATCACTCTTCCTTCTTCTTCTTTCCGAATAACTGTATGCAAATATCTTCTCTTGTATCCAGATATCTCTCTAAAGTGATCTAAGAATGTCTGCATAACATTTGAATCTGGATTGCAGGAACAAAGTTTAAAAGATGCAGCAACCGAGGGAAGCAAAGGAGAACAAGAACAAGGAGAGAAACGTTAAAGGAAGAGATCTAATCGATGTTCTCTTCTCATGGTCACTTCTTGATGTCATAAACTCAAATCTCTACAAAGGAAAGGTACTGTTTTCTTATGAAAGTCTGAATCTTTTACTTAGAAAACTTCAGAGTTAAGATACATACTTTTGACTTACTTGCTTTTTGTGGATTTTGGTGTGTTTTGGTTTAATAGGTTGATAAGATCCCAACCAAATTCCCTTCATACACAGAGTACTTGAACTCTTTTTTGAATCCGATAATTGAAGAGACGCATTTTGCGTTGTTATCAAGCATGGAGACTCTCAGACAAGCACCAGCTTTCAAGCTCTGGGAGATCAAGCCAGCGAAAGATTTCAAGCCTCCGAAGAATCTCTTTTATGAGGTTTCTTTGCTGATGATGACCAATGGAGATCGAAGAATGTTAGAGGTGAATGATCTCATTGCCGTGACTGATAAGAAGCCAAATGGTGTAGAGGACTTGTGCTGCTCCAACGAGTCTTGCGTGATGGCTCTGGTGTGTGGAGTTCAGGAGGATCGTCCACATCTGATAACGATCTTGGCCTCCAAACCCATCGCTCTCGAGAAAGATAGCATTGGATCGACGAACAGAGGAAAGGGTGTGAAGAAAAGCTTGAACCTTTATGGTGTTTCTCTGATCAACATGATGACAAACATTCGCATTTGGACCGCGTTGCATCCAAATCCAGAAGAAGGAGAAGGAAACCTGAATCTCATATCTACAGTCATTGAAAGCCACAATGAGGTAAAGTAAAAGATAAATTACAATCTTGAAAACAGAGTCGAAATTATTTGTTTTTAATACTCTGTTTCTTGTGTAGGTTGGTGACAAAAGGTGTGTTTCTTGCCAAGAAAACGGTGAGAAGCTAGTGCCACAACAGTTAGAGCGGTTTAAACTGAATGCTTCTCAGGAGAATGCGATTTGGAGTTGTTTAGAAGCTAAAGATTGCGACCATCGCAACACTATCAAACTGATATGGGGACCTCCGGGCACAGGGAAGACGATGACGACAAGTGTTCTGCTTTTGAATCTTCTGAAACTGAAATGCAGGACATTGACTTGTGCACCCACTAACATAGCTGTTTTGGAAGTTGCTTCAAGGGTTGTTAAGTTAGTCTCTGAGTCGTTGAGGTTTGGTGGGTATGGTCTTGGAGATGTTTTGCTGTTTGGTAATGAAGAAAGGTTGAAGATCGATGAACGAGAGGGTCTCTCCGATGTTTTTCTTGATCACCGGGTTGATGAGCTGGATGATTGCTTCCAGGCTGAGACCGGATGGAGAGCAAATGCTTATCATATGATTTGTTTGCTCAGTGATCCTAAACAAGTGTATTTCAAGTCTTTAGGCAATCACACGAAGCGGTTTGATGAGTATGTAGAGGAGAGGTTAAGCAAACTGATAATGGATCTAAATTCTCAGTTCACAACTCTGTGTCTGCATTTACCAACATCTGTGCTCTCCTCTGAAGTTGCAGAACAAATGAGTCAGACTAAAGATCTTCTTAAGCGTATGAAAGTTTCAGATGTGGTGGGAGATTCAGTGGAAGGAAACGATACAAGAAAGCAAGATTGTCTGAAGATGTTGATGTCCATTTACCAAAGTATCCAACTTCCTGATTTCATAGGAAATGTTCTACTCAGAAAGCTCTGCTTAGACAATGCTCGTTTGTTGTTCTGCACAGCATCAAGCTCTGCGAGGTTACAGATGTGTACTCCAGTACAGTTTCTAGTGATTGACGAAGCTGCTCAGTTAAAAGAATGCGAGTCTACGATTCCTCTGCAACTTCCGGGACTTCAACATGCGATTCTAATCGGTGATGAGAAGCAGTTGCCTGCAATGATTCAAAGCAAGATTGCTTCAGAGGCTGGTCTTGGGAGGAGTTTGTTTGAGAGGCTGGTGTTGTTGGGACATAAGAAAATGTTGCTGAACATGCAGTACCGGATGCATCCTTCGATTAGTATATTCCCTAACAGAAAGTTTTATGGTAAGAAGATCTTGGATGCTCCTTCTGTGAGAATGAGAAGTCATGAGAGAACGTTTCTTCCTGAGAGAATGTATGGACCTTACTCTTTCATCAACGTAGCGCATGGAAGAGAAGAGTTTGGACAAGGTTCCAGCTTGAAAAACGTTGTGGAAGTCTCTGTTGTGGCTGAGATACTCTCCAAGCTTTACACAGGTAAACAAAATCTTGGTTCTTGATTCTTGATTCGTGATTCTTGATCAGTCTTTAAAACTTGAGTCTATAGTTGATTCTTGTGTTTGTTATGTAATCTGTAGCATCAAGAAAGGCGCAGAAACCGATCAGCGTGGGTGTGATTTCACCGTACAAGGCTCAAGTGTGTGCGATCCAAGAAAAGATAGGTGAAAAGTATAGTACCGGAGAGCTGTTCTCAGTGAGTGTTAGGTCCGTAGATGGGTTTCAAGGCGGTGAAGAAGACATCATTATAATCTCAACTGTTAGGTCCAACCGTAATGGAATAATTGGTTTTCTGTCTAACCAACAGAGAACCAATGTAGCACTCACTCGCGCCAGGTTATCTAACACTATAACTTAAATTAGCTACTACGTGAAACTTGTTTTTGTTTTCTTATTAATTCATTGCCTTTGTTTTGTAGATACTGCTTATGGATTCTTGGAAATGAGGCAACTTTAACGAAGAAGAAATCGGTTTGGAGGCAGTTAGTAAATGATGCGAAATCAAGAAAATGTTTCTATTACGCAGAAGAAGATGAATCTTTAGCTCAGTGTGTTGAATTATCAACAACAGCAGTTGACGATCTTCATGAGCTCCAAAAGAAGAAGTCTATTTCCTTTAAAAATTCGATATGGAAGGTATTATATTCTCTCCTTTCTCTTTTATAAGATGTTTTAGTAGAAATTACCATTCGTATTCTGAAATATTATAAACGTGCTTTTAGCCAAAACGTCTTATATTATACTAATCGATTATTTCAATCAATCTTGTTCTCATAACATTATGGTTATCCATTTTTTTCCTGCTTCTTTGTTCTTTACTACGACAGGTTTGTCTTACCGATGAGTTCTTGAAATCTGTGGAGACGATCGTAGACTCTGAAATCTACAAAAGGGTTAAGAGCTTTTTGGAGAAGTTGTCAAATGGGGAGCTTCACCAAGAGTCGGAGACTGAGAGTGATAATCTCTTTAGACAACAAGAGATCGGTGATGGCCTAAGTCTCATTTGGGCAATAGATACAATCAAGAAAGATCATCATTATGTCCAAGTTTTGAAGATCTGGCACGTTTTGCCATCTTCAGATGTTTCTCGTGCCGAAGAATGTCTAGAGAAGTATTACAAGAGATGCACACAAGTGAAGATAGAACAGTGCAGATACATTTTCTCTCAAGGGTAAGTAAAAGGTTAAATTTTGTGAGCTTTTAATCAGGCAGAAACATGAAAAATGTATATGTTTTTGTGTTGTTGATGCAGAAATTTAGTTGTACCGATGAAATGGCCGGTCAAGTCTTGCTCGAAGAAAGACAATATAAGCGATGTTTCAAGATTGTTTGCGTCGATGAGTGTTGAAGCTCCCAACACATCAAGTAATGTTTTTTTTTTTCCTTTTTAATGAATCTTTGAAATTCAGGAGTTTTGTATTAAAGTAGTTCTAATCACATTCTCTGTTTTTATTTTGTTTTGCAGGAAATAGTCGAGGGTGAAGAAAGTGTGGAAGATTAGAAAAAAGTTCATCTCCAGAGATCTTTAGTGTTTCTTTCTTAAAAGTATTTGCAGATTTTTTAAGCAGACTTTTTTTTTGTTTCCTTTCGTCCTTTTTTAAAAAAGAAAATTACTATTGCTTTTTCTGCGTCTTACTGACGTAAGAAAATCTAGACTTTTTGTTTTCTACATTATCTTTACAATTTGTGTAGATGCTAATGGGTGATATGATTTAAAGTTTGCTTATCCTCGTAGGCTCATAGCAGAAAAAGTTGAATACGTAGTCAAATTAAATTAAGTTAAAATAATTGGTAATGGTGATTAACTTGCTGATATATAAAGGGACCGTCTATGAGTAATTGGTAATGAGTAAACCCAAGTAGTAAACGGCTGTGTGGGGAAAGCTCATAACCTATGCAAGAAGACATAAATGTAACTAGTATTATGCAAAATATGATAACTTAGACTTACAGATGCGATGCTTCAGATCCAGAAACTGGATTTGCTCAAGTGTTTTCAGTCTATCGATCGATATCGTCTCAAGACAGCCAAGGTAACTTCTGTCCTTAAAAAGTTGTATACATTATCCAAAAAAGTTTTGAGTTAAACATATGATCGCATGGCTATTTCAATTCCAGGAACGTATGTCAACGGTCCCAATATTTTTCATGCAAAAACATTGGCTTTAATGGCTTTTGAATTTTCGGATATCTTCACTATCATGTCCTAAACCACCAAATTATTCATCAACATAAATCTGACCACACGTGGTTGTGGTTGTGGTTTTTATTTTTATTTTTATTTTATTTTTTGCTGGAAAATGATCATGTAAGAGATACTCTTTCTTTGCGCTCACTGTTTCTCTCTCGATCGACCTCACAAACTCACTTATGCTCTCGTGTATTTTGCAGATTAACGGAATCGAATGAAAGAAAGTAAAAGACATGAGACAAGTGATTATAGAGTTCCCCAAATACATCTCTCTTCAGAATCAAGGCCTGGAAATTCACTATGAAGTTGGTACAGATCTCCGAGCTCACAACAATGGTGACTTACTCTCTCAACGAAGAAGACGAAGTTCTTCTCTTCAGTTGTAACAACTTAACAAACGTACAACAACCTTATATATAAGCTATTGGGCTAATCTGTAACTTGTCTTTGGGCTTTAGTAACTTAGGCCCACTTGCAGCTCATAGGATTAGAACCATTAGTTCTCACAAAACTCCAATTTCCATCTCTGTTTCAGCTCCTACGGAACCTTGAAGCTCAGTCCTGGAACCAATGATCTTGCAACCCTGAAGACCATCTTCCTCCTTTCCTGTTTCACCGGAAAAGTCCTTTGCTTGCTTCAAACACCTCTAAAGCTCGCACCTTTCAATCCGCCTCAACCTTCAAGAAACTTTCTGAAGTGAAGCTCCTGCTGTCACTTGGATCCGCGACTGCAGTCTTATAATTGCCAGTCCCTGACGCCGGAAGTAACAATCTCCCAAAGCTATTCAGCTTTGTCCACCTTGTGGAGCTGTTCCCGTCAAGCTAATACTTGCTCGACTAGCTCCGGATCCGCCGTCTTCAACGATTCACCGACGACGGTCCTCTTGAAGCCGCTCAGGCTTCAATAACCTTTAAAGTCTTCAAGTACCCTTCGAATTTATCTCCAGGTAAGACTTTAGTTAACATGTATGCTGGATTAACCAATGTGTGAATCTTGACGACTTCGACATCTCCTTCTGCAATGATATCTCTGATGAAATTGTATTTCACAGCAACATGCTTTGTTCTCTCATTTAAACATGTAGTTCTTTCCCAAGTAGATACCACGCTAAGAAACACAATTAACCTCAATTACATCATGCTTGAATCCTATCTCTTCACAAATACCTTTCAACCATAAAGCTTCTCTTACTGATTCTGACAAAGCCATATATTCTGCTTTTGTTGTAGATAAAGCCACGACCTTTTGAAGAACTGATCTCCAGCTTACCGTGTTGCCTCCAACTGTGAAGACATAACCTGTAATTGACCTGCGCTTATCCATATCTGATGCTTAATCCGAGTCACAATAACCTTTTACCTTGAAGTTGTCTTCCTTTGTAAAGGTTAGGTTGGTTTTTAAATCTCCTCTTATGTAACACATTATCCATTTCACAGCTGACCAATGCTCTTTCCCAGGTTTACCCATATATCTGCATACAAGACCATCCGCATATGCAAGGTCAGGCCTGGATCCAACCATCGCATACATCAAACTGCCCACTACGCTTTCGATAAAGGTACTTCATCCATGAAACTAGACTCTTCCTGCTCTTGCTTCTCTGTAAGGGCTTGTAGCTTGATCTGTGATCCTAGCGGTGTCTGAACTGTCTTGCAATCCCACATGTGGAACGTCTTTAGGACTTTGATCAGGTAGTCAATCTGTGATAGAGTTAGTAAACCTTTCTCTCTGTCCCTGAAAATGTCCATACCCAGAATCTTCCTTGCAGCCCTTAAGTCCTTCATGAATTCAGATTTCAACAGCTCCATAAGCTTGCCTACTTCAGCTTTACTCTTAGAAGCAATTAACATGTCGTCCATGTATAGGAGTAAGTAGACCATGTTGTCGATGTTTGACCCTTTTAGGTAGACACAAGGGTCATACTCGCTTCTCTTGTAGTTTTTCTTCACAATGAATGTGTGAAATCGATAATTCCATTCCCTAGGCAACTGCTTTAGGCCGTAGAGCGATTTACTTAGAAGACAGACCTTATCCTCTTGACCTTTAATAACATAACCCTCTGGCTGTTCCATGTAAATCTTTTCCTGTAGAACTCCGTGTAGAAATGCCGTTTTGTCGTCCATTTTCTCAAGTTCCATATCCTGATTAACCACTGCTGATAGAAGAATCCTTATCGAAACATGTTTAATCAATGGAGCAAAGACCTCATTATAATCCACACCCTCAATCTGAGCAAAACCTTTAGCCACTAGCCTTGCTTTGAACCTTGGTAACTCAATCTGTGGTATGCCCAGTGGTGAAGCCACTTGAGACCACACGGGGTCAATTGACACCATATTATTTTTGTAAAAGTTATAAATTAGCTTAAATTTGTTAGGTTTTTAGAAAGAAATGGTAAATAAAATACCCATAAAAATACACGTTGAATCTCTATATGACCCCAGTAAATTAAAGTTCTAGATTCGCCACTGGGTATGCCTGGTTTAAGCTTGAATATCCATTTGCATCCTATCACTTTCTTATTTTTAGGCCTATTAGATAGATCCCATGTATGTTTCTTGTGTAACAAATCCATTTCCTCATCTGAAGCTCCTGTCCACTTCTTCTTATCTTTACAGCGCATAACTTCTTTATAGGACTTTGGTTCATCAAACTCCATCAACTCCATGCTTACTAATGCGAACGCCACAAAGTCACCATCTTCAAACCGTGACGGTGGTTTGACGTTTCTTCTTGTCCTGTCTCTGGCTAGAATGTCGTTCTCTATATTTTCTGTGTAGTTTATGTGATAGTCCCTGATCCAACTTATGTTTCTGATTCAGTTTCACTTTCTGATTCCTCTGAGCTAGATTCGTTCTGATCTGAGTTCTCTGTCTCTGCGACAGCTCCACATTCATTTGATGTGTCTTCTGATGTAGAGCTTTCCCCCATAAACTGATTTAGGTCCATGTCAAACGTAACTTTCTTCTTAGTCTTCTTGACTGATTGCTTTTCCGCTGAACTGGTTCCGTTCAACTCTTTGAACATCATATCCTCTTCAAATATGACATTTCTGCTCAACACAACCTTTTGTTCATCCAATAACCAAACCCTGTAGCCTTTAGTACCCTGACCGTATCCCAGAAAAACCCCTTTAGCTGCTCTCGGACTGATCTTGTCTGTTACTTGGTGAACATACGAAATACACCCAAAGCTTCTGAGATGACTGTACCCTGGATCTGAATCTGATCACTTAGTCTCTGGAACCTCAAAATCGATTGACGCTGATGGTGACCTGTTGATGATGTGAACTGCTGTTGAAGCTGCCTCTGCCCAAAATTCTGGTTTCAAACCTGATTCTACTAACATGCTTCTGACTTTTTCCATAATCGTTCTGTTCATCCTCTCCGAAAACCCATCCTGCTGTGAAGTATAAGGGAAAGTCTTGTCCCTCTTCACTCCTGACTTTGAACACAATTTATCAAAACTGTTGTTGCAAAATTCCAAAACGTCTGTTCTTAGACATTTTAACTTCTTCCCCGTTTGGTTTTCAACTAACAGCTTCCATTCTTCAAATTTCTGGAAGGCTTCATTCTTCGTTTTCAGAAAGTAAATCCAGACTTTTTTTGAGTAATCGTCAATGAAGGTAATGAGGCATTGAGCCCCTGATATACTTGGTGTTGTGTTCTGTGAACCCCACAAATCTGAGTGGACATACTCTAATATCCCCTTTGTAGTGTGTTTCGCGTTTGAAAAACTTTGTTTGTGTGATTTGCCGAGAGTACACGCCTCACAAATCCCAAGTGCTTGACTTCATCTGGTTTTATATACCCTTTCTTTGCCAAAGTTTCCACTGTATGCCACCTCTTTGGCATGTCTATGATCTCCTTTGCTGCATTTGCCTCTGGTTTTCTGAAGGTGCCTTCTAGGTAATAGAGTCACTGATCATACTTGCCAGTCAATACATTCTTTTCTCCCTTTTAGAACACAACTGAGTAGTCTTCTCCGCTGTATCTGCAACCTGGCTGCTCTAACTGACCATACAATATCAGATTTCTGCCCATGTCTGGAATGTATCTGAGTTTGCTTAGAAGAACCACAGACCCATATGGATTATCAATGGTTATTTTACCCTGACCCTTTACTGTGCATGTAACATCCGTAAACCAAAAAGGTGCAGTTTTGGTCGAGTGTCGAACGACACAAGTGGTGAGTGTCGGTCTACACCAGCTCTGGTTCGCAATTCCGGTTCGATTTATGTGAAATCGATTTCCGGTTTATGTCGGTTTGGGCTGGAAACCCTATTCCTAGTGTTAAAACCTGCGCAGCCGTCTTCCTTCTCCTCTGTTTTTGTCGTTTAGTGAGCAAAACGTGAAGGAGAAGAGAATTGGAGGCGATTTCGGTGTTGTGAGCTCAATCCAAGGCCGTTCATCGTCTATTGGAGGCTTGGGTTCGTGTGGCGGCTGCTGCGTGGTGGTTTTGGCGGTGTTCTTCGTCGACTTTGTTGTGCTTCTTCATCTCCCTTCGTTTTCCCAGTTCTTCGGTCGACACGAACCGGTTAACTCTGGTTAAAACCGATTTAATTGAAATTGGCTGGTTTAAATCAATTGGAATTGTTTTATCCGAATTGGATTGGTTTAATGTGGTATTTAATTAATTATTTGGTATTTAATTGATTAAATGGTTTAAAATATGGAAAAATTATTATTTAATTATGAGAATTATTTAATAATTGAGAAATTGAGTTTTAATTATTAAGAATTATTTAATAATTCGGAAATTGGTATTTAATAATTATCGGAGCTTATTAATATAATTAAATATCTAGTAATTGCGTAAATGGCCTTTAGGCAGAGTTATTGCCTCACTAAGTATTTATTAAATACTTATGCAACTCTATTCCAATGTGTTGCAGGTAAAAGGTTTATGTGATCGCGGAATCGAGGCTGAAGAGGGGGATGATAGGATGTTTACTGTTTTATTGTTTCGCATCGTTTGACTTGCTAGTACCTGGTGTTTAGGTTGCTAGTATTTCTTTTATTATTTATTTGAATTCATTTGTTGAACCTGATTTATTATTTATTTATTTAAAGACTTCCGCTGAATTGTTATTTAATTGATTTATAAAAAAAAATGTTGGTTATTTCAGTGCAGAAGGTGTTGTTTCCATCATAACTCTGTTTCCCTCAAACTCCTCAAAGTCTGTGAGAAGATCCTTCCTGGGAGTGATATGAAATGTGCAACCAGAGTCTAAAACCCACTGATTTTTGTAGACTGTTAGGCTTGCTGTGAGAGCTATTGTATCCTTTGTAGCCATATTTGCGGATCCTTGTAACTTGTTTTGCTATCCACCTTTGTTTCTCTTGGGACAGTCCCTTTTCCAATGATCCTCATCTCCACATATCCAGCAAGATTTTGGACCATACTTAGATCTCGACTTTGACCTGTTTATGTTTCCTGTTTTGCTTTTACGTCTGAGGTTTCCTTAATTTTTGCCTTTATTGTCAGATCTTTTCTCAGACCTTCCCCTGTTTTCAACGTATAGGCCATCAAAAGCTGACTTTGACTTTCCTAGGAGACCCTTCTATCTCAATGATATATTCTTATCTTTCATGTTTTTACCAAGGTTTTTTTATTATGTTTTCAATACAAATAACATGGCTTTTGTGCCCAAGAGGTAGTTTTCTTGTATATTCTGGTTTTGAGTATCATTCAGGTCAAAATAGCAAAGTAGAGGTCAAAATGGAGCAAAAGGAGCCAAACCATCAAGTTCCCAAGTCTAGAACACCAAATCTATATTTCTCGCTAAAGACCAAACCGGAGCATCCAAAGTTCGACCGCGTATTCATGCCTTCCCGACGTCCAAAAATCATGATTCGTATATGGAATGTTAGATAAAAGAGTTTTGAATAACTTCGAAGTGAAAAGAGGTCATTTGGATCATTCATTGGGCTGAAACTTATTTTCTACCAAGACATGTCCTGTAAGCGCCTAAATAGAGCCCATGGAGAATTTGAAGTGGCTTAAGGCCCGCGCCACCACGCCCAAGGCCTTGGCTCATCTTGACACTGGCCTAAATCAATCAAGAAGGTTCTCTTGGGCCGAACTCAGCCCATTCAAGAACTTGGAGAGCAAGCTCAAGCGGCTGAAGAGAAATGGAAACTTTCCTCTTCTTGGCGTGCCTCAACCTTGCAGACCTAAACCCTCTCTCTACCTATATATACTCGCTTTTAGCCTCTTGTAACGAGACACACAGAGAGACCACATTCTATTATTCAATAAAACAAAGTTTCGGAGCCACTTAGGTGGTCTCCTTGCTCTTCTTTCTTTCCTTCTTTTGCATTTGTACATAGCTTGCATGTTTCAATTTATTTAGTCTAGAGGTAGCGATTTCTCCCTAAGGATGAGATGCGGTTTGACTCATATCTCTCAGATCCGGACGCTATGCAGAAGTAGTATGCACACTTCGAGGGCGAGTCTGGTAGAGTTGGCCGTGTCGGTAGAGGCGGATTTGAGTGGGCCAGTTGGTTCGGTGGCTGTGCCATCCGCTCCTGTTATCCAACCTCGGAGTCAGCAGCAGCAGCGCAGAGGTGGCGCGAGTTTCAGTTCTGGTTCTGGCAGGGGCGGTTTGCCTGCGCAGGGCCAGAAGAGGAGTCGAGATGAGAGCTCTGGAGGTAGTCAGGGTACTCGAGGTGCTTGTTACCGTTGTGGGAGTACAGAGCACCGTATGGCGAGCTGTCCTAGGAGAGAGGCGGTTCAGGATGCCAGGGTGTGTTATCATTGCAGGCAGCCGGGTCATCTCAGATGGCGTGTCCCCAGTTGCAGAGGATGGCAGTGGCAGCGATTCAGCCGGTAGCGGCTCAGCCGGTGAGTCAGATTGCGGCGGTGCAGCCAGCGGGTCAGAGTGGATCGGCACCGCGGGGCTATTCTTCAGTGGAGACCGGCGGGACCAGTCAGGCCGGACAGATCACAGGTAAATCTTCGACTCAGACTTTGTAAATTCTTAGTATAGAATTTGTTGTTGTGTTATTGTCTGTTAGTCATTTTTATCTGTGATAGTTTGTGGAGGTTCTCAACGCAATTGAATGTGTAGGGACCTTGTTAGTGGGCGGTTTTGAGTCCCACGTTTATTCGACTCTGGAGCATCGAATTGCTTCATTACACCGGAGCGTGCCGAGAAGAGTGGCATCCGGAGTAGCGCGGCGAGAGCGCGGGCATGGTCAAGGTGGCGGGAGGTGGATTCTTGTCTACTTTGGGCCGTGCTAGAGGAGTCGAGATCGAGATTGCGGGGCAGTCAATGCCAGCAGACTTAGTCATCAGTCCGGTGGAGCTGTATGACGTTATTCTCGGGATGGACTGGTTGTCACACTACAGAGTTCATCTGGATTGCTACAGAGGTAGAGTGGTCTTCGAGCGAGATGCAGGGAGGTTGGTTTATCAGGGAGTGAGACCGACTTCCGGGAGTATTGTGATATCTGCTATTCAGGCCGAGCAGTTGTTAGAGCGGGGCTGTGAGGCGTATCTGGCGACGATTTCTATGTCTGAGTCAGGAGCTGGAGTTGTTATGGGAGATATTGAGGTTGTCCAGGATTTTGAGGATGTCTTTCAGTCACTGAAGGGATTACCACCATCTCGGTCTGATCCTTTCACGATTGAGTTAGAGCCGGGGACAGCACCGATATCGAAGACGCCTTACAGGATGGCGCCAGCTGAGTTGGCAGAGCTGAAGAAGCAGATAGAGGACCTTTTGTCTAAGGGGTTCATTCGACCGAGTGTTTCACCGTGGGGAGCACCGGTGTTGTTTGTGAAGAAGAAGGATGGAGTTTCAGACTTTGTATCGATTACAGAGGTCTTAACCGAGTCACTGTGAAGAACAGGTACCCACTCCCGAGGATTGATGAGTTGTTGGATCAGTTGAGGGGTGCTACTTGGTTCTCCAAGATTGACTTGGCATCGGGGTATCATCAGATCCCGATAGATGAGGCAGATGTCAGGAAGACTGCTTTCAGGACGCGTTATGGGCATTTTGAGTTTGTGGTTATGCCTTTCGGTTTGACTAACGCGCCGGCAGCCTTCATGAGATTGATGAACGACGTGTTCAGGGAGTATTTGGACGTGTTCGTCATCATTTTCATTGATGATATTCTGGTATACTCGAGGAGTCAGGAGGAGCATGCGACTCACTTGAGGTTGGTTCTGGAGAAGCTTCGGGAGCAGAAGCTTTTTGCTAAGTTGAGCAAGTGCAGTTTCTGGCAGCGAGAGATGGGATTTCTTGGCCACATTGTTTCTGCAGAGGGAGTTTCTGTGGATCCGGCTAAGATTGAGGCTATCAGAGATTGGCCTAGACCTAGTAGTGCCACCGAGATCAGGAGTTTTCTGGGTTTGGCAGGATACTACAGGAGGTTCGTCAAGGGGTTTGCTACCATGGCGCAGCCGATGACGAAGTTGACTGGGAAGGATGTCCCGTTTGTTTGGTCAGCTGAGTGTGAGGAGAGCTTTAGTCAGCTCAAGGAGATGTTGACTACTACACCAGTGTTGGCGTTACCCGAGCCAGGGAAGCCTTACATGGTGTATACAGATGCTTCAGGCATTGGTCTTGGTTGTGTGCTGATGCAGGAGGGCAGAGTGATAGCATATGCTTCGAGACAGTGGCAGGGCAGTGAGCGTAACCGTCCTACACATGACTTAGAGTTGGGAGCAGTGATCTTCGCGTTGAAGATTTGGAGGTCTTACTTGCTAGGTGAGACAGTACAGGTCTTCACGGATCACAAGAGTTTGCAGCATATCTTCACTCAGCCGATGATGAACGCGAGACAGACGCGCTGGGTTGAGTTCTTGGCGGACTATCAGGTGAGCATTAACTACCATCCGGGCAAGGCTAACCTAGTGGCGGACGCGTTGAGTAGACGGAGGTATGATTCCGCAGTTGAGCGAGATGTGGAGTCTCTAGTTGGCGAGATCAGTACCTTGCGTTTGTGTGCCATTTCGCAGGAGCCTTTGGGTTTAGAGGCAGTGGATCAGGCGGATCTACTTAGCAGGATCAGAGTTGCTCAGCAGAGTGATCAGAGTTTGCTGGATGCGACTAGAGTGACTGGTTCTGAGTATGAGGTCTCTGCGAATGGGACTATCTTGGTTCGTGGGCGAGTTTGTGTGCCTAAGGATGTGGAGTTGAGACATCAGATTTTGGGAGAGGCTCATGCGAGCAAGTTTTCCATTCATCCAGGGAGCGACCAAGATGTACCATGACCTCAAGAGGTACTATCATTGGGTCGGGATGAAGAGGGATGTAGCAGACTGGGTTGCGAAGTGCAACACTTGTGCCTTGGTGAAGGCAGAGCATCAGGTTCCGGGTGGTCTTTTGCAGAGTTTACCCATTCCAGAGTGGAAGTGGGACAGGATTACGATGGATTTCGTGGTTGGACTACCTGTTTCGAGGACTTTCGATGCTATTGGGTGATTGTGGATCGGTTGACTAAGTCCGCACATTTCTTGGCCATCAAGAAGACAGATGGAGCTGCTGTCTTGGCTAGGAAGTTTGTGCGAGAGATTGTGAGGCTGCATGGAGTGCCAGCTAGTATTGTGTCAGACCGTGATCCCAGATTCACTTCAGAGTTTTGGAGAGCTTTTCAGGCAGAGATGGGCACTAAGGTGCATCTGAGTACAGCTTATCATCCGCAGACAGATGGTCAGTCAGAGAGGACTATTCAGACTTGGAGGATTTGCTGAGGATGTGTGTGTTGGATTGGGGTGGCCATTGGGCAGATCACCTGAGCTTAGTTGAGTTTGCATACAACAACAGCTTTCAGGCGAGTATTGGCATGGCTCCATTTGAGGCTTTGTATGGGAGGCCATGTAGGACACCCCTATGCTGGACCCAAGTGGGGGAGCGCAGCATGTATGGAGCTACTTATGTTCAGGAGACGACAGAGAAGGTTCGTGTTGTGAGGCTGAACATGAAGGAGGCTCAGGATAGGCAGAAGAGTTATGCAGATAGACGCAGACGAGAGCTTGAGTTTCAGGTTGGAGATAGAGTTTATCTCAAGATGGCTATGTTGAGGGGTCCTAACAGATCCATAGCAGAGAACAAGCTGAGTCCGCGTTTTATGGGTCCGTTTCCAGTAGTGGAGCGAGTTGGGCCATTGGCTTACAGGCTGGAGTTGCCTGAGATTATGAAAGCCTTTCACAAGGTTTTTCATGTGTCGATGCTGAGGAAGTGTCTTCACCCTACAGAGGAGTTAGTGGCTAGGATTCCAGAGGATCTTCAGCCAGATTTGACAGTGCCGGCAGTGCCTGTGAGGATTTTAGAGAGGAGGGAAAAGGTTCTGAGGAACAAGAGGATTCCCTTGTTTTGTGGGATTGCAGTGGTTCTACAGAGGAGACTTGGGAGCCAGAGGCAAAGATGAAGTTGAAGTTCAGGAAGTGGTTCGACAAGCAGGTCGAGGAGTGAGCTTATTTCATCTTTGTAGTTCCCAGTTGTTTTTTTTGGCTTTGTATTGTATTTTCGTTTTGGTTGTAACGATATACATTTTGGAGTTTTAATGAGATGCAGTTTTTCCTCATTTTGCCTTGTGTTGTTTAAGTGGTATTTCGGATGTTACAAGTGTTTGACCAGTTGGTCGTGAGACGGTCTAATTCTATTGTTATAGACGTCTTGGAATTTTTACTCTAAGGATTGCGATCCTGAATAACTCATTACGGTTTTGGAGACAGTGGTTCTCTGGCAGACTCATCTGAGTGTAGTGGCCTCAGTATGAGTGACTTAGCTGAGTGTAGTGGCCTCAGTATAAGTCGTGGCTGACTTATTTGGGTGTAGTGGCCCCAGTATAAGCAGCGGTTGGGAAGCCCCTGGGTGTAGTGGCCCCAGTTTGGGTAGGTGCAGACTTGTCTGGGTGCAAGTGGCCCCAGTACAAGTGGTTTGAGGTGATGATTTAGAGTAAAGATGTCTAAGTGGGCGTATGACATAAGATTAGATGTGTGTCTCGGGGATCAGGTGAGGATCTCCAGTGTTGCGGCCTTGCGAGGTCGGGTTTTGTGGTCTTTGTGACGTTTGTGTTGGGATTCGAGGACGAATCCAGTTTAGTGGGGGAGAGTTGTAACATCCGTAAACCAAAAAGGTGCAGTTTTGGTCGAGTGTCGACCGACACAAGGGTGTGTCGGTCGACACCAGCTCTGGTTCGCAATTCCGGTTCGATTTAAGTGAAATCGATTTCCGGTTTGGCCGGTTTGGGCTGGAAACCCTATTCCTACTGTTAAAACCTGCGCAGCCGTCTTCCTTCTCCTCTGTTTTTGTCGTTTAGTGAGCAAAACGTGAAGGAGAAGATAATTGGAGGCGATTTCGGTGTTGTGAGCTCAATCCAAGGCCGTTCATCGTCTATTGGAGGCTTGGGTTCGTGTGGCGGCTGTTGTGTGGTGGTTTTGGCGGTGTTCTTCGTCGATTTCGTTGTGTTTCTTCATCTCCCTTCGTTTTCCCCTTTTTAATCCAAAAATCCGAGGTGAGTGCATGACTGTGGGTCCGTGATTGCTAGATTCAGGATCTGTATATGTTTCTGTGGTGATTTCGTGATGATATTGATGTTTGATTCAGTGTTTATGGTTGTTTGATTGATTTCCTGTGAATTGCGAGTTTCGGGTACTGTTCATAGCCCGATCTGGGATTTTTCCAGAATCGGTGTCGGTCGACACAAACCGGTTAACTCTGGTTAAAATCGATTTAATTCGGTTTAATTGAAATTGGCTGTTTAAATCAATTGGAATTGGTTTAACTGAATTGGATTGGTTTAATGTGGTATTTAATTAATTATTGGTATTTAATTGATTAAATGGTTTAAAATAATTAATATGGAAAATTATTATTTAATTATGAGAATTATTTAATAATTGAGAAATTGAGTTTTAATTTTAAATATTAAGAATTATTTAATAATTCGGAAAATTGGTATTTAATAATTATTGGAGTTATAATATTATTAAATATCTAGTAATTGCGTAAATGGCCTGTAGGCAGAGTGATTGCCTCACTAAGTATTTATTAAATACTTATGCAACTCCATTCCAATGTGTTGCAGGTAAAAGATTTGTGTGATCGCGGAATCAGGCTGAAGAGGGGGATGATAGGATGTTTACTGTTTTATTGTTTCGCATCGTTTGACTTGCTAGTACCTGGTGTTTAGGTTGCTAGTATTTCTTTTATTATTTATTTGAATTCATTTGTTGAACATAATTTATTATTTATTTATTTAAAGACTACCTCTGAATTGTTATTTAATTGATTTATAAAAAAAAAATCTTGGTTGTTCCAGTGCAGAATGTGTTGTTTCCCATCATAACTCTGTTTCCCTTCAACTCTTCAAAGTCTGTGAGAAGATCCTTCCTGGGAGTGATATGAAATGTCCAACCAGAGTCTAAAACCCACTGATCTTTGTAAACTGTTAGGCTTGCTGTGAGAGCTATTGTATCCTTTGTAGCCATATTTGCGGAACCTTGTAACTTGTTTTGCTATCCACCTTTGTTTCTCTTGGGACAGTCCCTTTTCCAATGATCCACATATCCAGCAAGCTTTCGGACCATACTTAGATTTCGACTTTGACCTGTTTATGTTGCCTGTTTTGCTTTTGCGTCTGTGGTTTCCTTAATTTTTGCCTTTATTGTCAGATCTTTTCTCAGACCTTCCCCTGTTTTCAACGTATAGGCCATCAGAAGCTGACTTTGACTTTCCCAGGAGACCCTTCTGTCTCAATGATATATCCATATCTTTCATGTTTTTACCAAGGTTTTTATTATGTTTTCAATACAAATAACATGGCTTTTGTGCCCAAGAGGTAGTTTTCTTGTATATTCTGGTTTTGAGTATCATTCAGGTCAAAATAGCAAAGAAGAGGTCAAAATGGAGCAAAAGGAGCCAAACCATCAAGTTCCCAAGTCTAGAGCACCAAATCTATATTTCTCGCTAAAGACCAAACCGGAGCATCCGAAGTACGACCGCATATTCATGCCTTCCCGACGTCCAAAAGTCATGATTCTTATATGGAAAGATAGAGTTTTTCATCACGCGAAGTGGAAAGAGGTCATTTGGATCATTCATTGGGCCGGAACTTATTTTCTACCAAGACATGTCCGGAAGCGCCTAAGTAGAGCCCATGGAGACTTTGATGTCTAAAGGCCCGAGCCACCGCGCCCAAGGCCTTGGCTCATCTTGACACTGCTAACTCAATCAAGAAGGTTCCATTGGCCCGAACTCGGCCCATTCAAGAACTTGGAGAGCAAGCTCAAGCGGCTGAAGAGAAATGGAAACTTTCCTCTTCTTGGCGCGCTCAACTTTGCCGACCTAGACCCGCTCTCTACCTATATATACTTGCTTTTAGCCTCTTGTAATAGACACACAGAGAGACCACATTCTATTATTCAATAAAGTTCGGAGCCACTTAGGTGGTCTCCTTGCTCTTCTTTCTTTTCTTCTTTTGCATTTGTATATAGCTTGCATGTTTCAATTTATATAGTCTAGAAGTAGAGATTTCTCCCTAAGGGTGAGATGCGGTTTGACTCATATCTCTCCGCCTCTCTCTCATAAGGATTCATGAGACTCATCTACTATCTATGACTCATTGTTGAATTATGGATCCTTTCATTGAGGACATGACATAATTGCCATTCGAAATCGATTGTTAAACAAAGGGGAAACCCTATGGTTCTCCATCTTTATTTGCGCTTAATGCTTGTTGCTAGAGTAGCTAACTAGTGACTTGATTAGGTTGATATACTCTCCAAAAGCTTGTTATATCTCCGGATATAGTATTTGATGGGCAAATCGTTTTAGGCTACGAAAGTAGACCTAAGGAGTTTTGTGAACAATCATTACTTGTGTGTAATGCATGTCTCACTCTACAATGACCAACGAAAGCTGAGCCCATTGGTTTAAGAGACATAGGGGATTGGAACCACGAAAGTGGAATAATCCTTCCTTAGTGTTTTGAGTTCAAAAGATTCGGATAGTGTTGGCATATGTTTTCAAAGGGATTTTCCAATAGTTCAATAGTGTTGTTTGTATAGAATTGCATTGTTCTTTCCATTCATTTGTTCTCAACAAACACAAATCCTTGCATCGTTTGATTTAGCTTAGATCTTTAAACTACATGATTGTGCAATGTGTGAAATCCAATCCCTTGTGGTTCGACCCCTAAATACTACAATTACATGTTGTGCACTTGCAACTCTAGTTGTCTTAGGGAATTATTACTTGTACTAATCCCGAATAGATGCCGCATCAAGTTTTAGATCTTTAAACTACATGATTGTGCAATGTGTGAAATCCAATCCCTTGTGGTTCGACCCCTAAATACTACAATTACATGTTGTGCACTTGCAACTCTAGTTGTCTTAGGGAATTATTACTTGTACTAATCCCGAATAGATGCCGCATCAAGTTTTTGGCGCCGTTGCCGGGGATTGCATCATGAACACTTGCATAGTCTTGTTTGAAACTAAGTCTAGATCTTTGTATTTTCGCATACTAACTTTTTCTTTTTATTTTCTTGTGTTTATAGGTACTTGGAGATGAACCATAACATCAACATCCACTTTTGAGGACGGGTGCCGATCCCACATGATCTCCACGGCCGGGTTTACCAAGATCCAACCGCAGAAATCATGCCAAATCCGTTCCAACCCAACCGCGCTCATCCGACCTTTGAAGGGCCTAGCCGAGACAAGCATCACTACCATCATCATCAAAGCCGACCTCCGGTTTATCATCAACCACCAAGGCCAATATCACATCCATACCATGACCATGTTCTTAATAGGCGTAGAGACAATCATCTTGAAGTCATGCTTGAAGGTTTCATGGAGAGCCAAAGAAGATCTAGCCGAGACATTGGAACAAAGCTAGAGTTCATGCGATATAAACTAGATGGAAAGCTTAGAGAACTCTCTACCCAAATAGAGAGAGTAGAGTCAAGATGTATAGACATGGAGGAATATTTGAAGAAGCAAGGCGAGACCATTGAAGACAATAGGAGAGCGATCCACTTTACCAACGTTTCCACCAAGGAGATGGACAATCACTTAGATGAGAAGATCACAAGTCTTGACAAAAACCTCGATGGCACCACCAAGAGTCTGAATTCAATCACAGATGTAGCTCACCAAGCTAAGAAGGAGGTGGCCAAAGTAAGCCTAAAGGAGAGGCAATGTTACTCGACGATGCTCATGTTGGTGGAAGGGCAAATACAAGTGAAGGCACAAATCCGAGACTTGCATATCTGATATACCTCTAATTTACCCACTTTTTATACTGTTTTAGCATTGTTTTCTAATGGTTTTTGGCAGGTTTTCTATCTAAAAAGGTAGTTTTACTGTGTTTATAGTGTCTAGAGTCTAAACAGGTGAAATGATGCATTTTGGAGCAAAACCATAGGATTTGCACTTCAAGCAGCTCCATGCACAAGCACCAACTTTAAGAGGGCCCAGAAAAAGATCTACTCAATGGATTTCATCAAGACCAGTTCCCTGCGTGCTCTGATTGAGTTAACTTTCCAACGCAACTGGAATGGCCTCATTTGGATGAGTAGAAAAGGAGTTACAACCAAAAGAGTGAACTGTCCAGACGGCTCTATCGAGAATCAGCGCCCAACCGCGCAGTCCGGCTGGCCGAGGAACGAATGTTCCGCGCTCGGCCAAAACCGTATCCGTCCGACTGAAGTCTCGGCCAAAGTCCAAACCACTCGGCCGATCACGCAACGACCCGGGAAACATTGTCCCGCGGTCGGCCAAGCCAAACGCTCACGCCACACCGCGCACGACCAAAGCGCGCGAGCCGGGAAACAAGCCTCGCGGCCGCGCAACCCGTTCCGTGCCACGGCCGATGCATCCGTCCGAGCCGGGAAAGAACGTCCCACGTCCGGCCGAGAATTCTCATCGGCCAAATCTCAATCCGCTCGACCACGCCGGCCGACCGCGAATCATCCGACCCCGACCGTTCCGACTCGCCCACGACCCGATGTCCGGCCGATCGTCCCGCACGACCGTCCCAACGCCGCGGTCGACCCGAAGCCCTTTTGAAGCCCATTTCATGTTTTCAAGCCCGGCTTAACCCTAAGCCGCCTCTAAAAGACCTAGCACTATATATATGGATTTTTAGCCTCTTGTGAAAGAGAGCCGCCCTTGTATTACGATTTCATACTTTGAGTTTTATTGCAATCATGTTTTCTTCATCTCTTTGTGTTTTTGCTTTGATTATGTCTGAGTAATTCACTAGTTAGGTTGTGAGATCTATCAAAGAGTTCATGGTTTGATAGGTTGTTAGAAGTCACATAGGGTTTATCATATCGCATCTTCGCCTCTGCTTGAATTCATTGCTGCTTGCTTTTCTGATCAACTAGCATCAGATCTTAGGTTTCATATACTCTCCAAAAGCTTGCTATATAACCTGAACTAAGTATTTGGTGAGCAAAACTTCATAGACTGCGAAAGTTGATCTATGCGGGGTTGTGAACAATTGGGTCTTGAACGAACTATTGCTTGATTTAATCACCTAGGGACATACCAAAAGTTTAGCGACTAGGTAGATTAACAAAGGGGTCGGAGCCTCGACAGTGGAAAGATCATACAATCGTGACCTGAGTTCTAGATAGCGCAAACCCTAGCGAACCTTCTAATATCTTGTTAACCTTGAATCTCTGCGAGTTTCTCATTGCCTAGCGTTTCCCTTATTGATTTTCATAAACCGTTTAATCTGCTGTTTGATTTACTTTGTTACACAATCAAAAACCCTAAATCATACTTGTTTTCTAGCTATATTAGACTTGCAATACTCGAAGTGTACTTATCTGCTCCTTGTGTTCGATACCCGTTTACTACTTTTGATCTGTGCACTTGCAGAATCAGGGATAGGAAAAGGGAAGACCTGATCCCGCGATCAAGTTTTTGGCGCCGTTGCCGGGGAGCAATACAGCTACCTTCGAGTTCCCAACTATAGTCTAGCCTAGAATTTCGTTTTTCCTTTTTGTTTTTGCAAATTTTCAACTTTTGTTTTTCCTTTTTACTGTTTTCTATTTAAAGAATCTTGCCTCTATCCCTTTCAGGTACTAAGCTTGAAAGAAGACTCTAACATGAGTGATTCAGAAGATCAAGAGGAGAGAGATAACTTGGCCGCGAGAGAGATCGCGCTGGCCGAGCAGCACGAAGATCCGCCGGATCCGAACCCGCGCACAATCGCGCCAATGATGGAGCGCGACATAATGAAGAAGTCATGGGAGACTTCGATTCCAATCCAACACTACTAATAGATCGGAATCCCATCCAGCCGCCACTTCCTGAAGGAAGAAGCTATGAGATTTCGCCGGAGATTATTGGTTTGGTGAAACAAAACCAGTTCCAAGGGAAACCCCAGAGAATCCTTTGGAACATATTGATGCTTTTGAAGAAATTTGTGGCACCATCAGTGCAGGAGGTGCACCCAAAGAGTACTTAAAGTGCAAACTATTCTCTTTCACTTTGACAGGGAAGGCTTTGCGCTGGGTTAAGTCTCTTCCAGCTCAATCCATAACCACATGGAAAGAGTACAAGGTGGCATTCCTAGGTCACTTTTTCACAAAGCAGAGAGCAAACTTGTTGAGAGAAAAGATCTCTAGTTTCCAACAAGGGCCGGTGGAGCCTTTTCATGAAGCATTGGAGCGCTTCAAGGACTATACAAGAGAGTGTCCTAACCATGGGCTATCTGAGGGCAGTCTATGGAACATTTTCTACAGAGGAATAAGTGGGAAGTGTAGATTTTCTCTTGATACAGCCAGCAATGGAAATTTCATGACCAAGACAGTTACTGAAGCAAAGATTTTGATTGAAAATCTAGCCTCAAGCGACAGTGACAACTTCATTGGGCATGAGAGAGCAGTGAAGGCCATAAATTCTGATCCATACAGAGATGGATACAGCGAAATCAAAGCCATGATGGCTGAGATACTGAGAAACCAAGGAAGAGAAGTGGAGAGACAAAGAGAAGCTTATAGAGTTGAGTCCACAATAATTCAAGATTACTTTGGAGATTTGATTCCAAGTTTCCAAGAAGAAGTAAACTTTGTTGGAATAGATGGATCAGCACATAGAGAAGAAGCTTGGAAAGGAGAGCATGATGTTTTTACTCAAGAATCACCCAATGAGAAGAGGGATGTTCATGGAGGAAGAAATTATCAGCAACCACCTCACAAGAGAAGAATGGAGCCAAGGAGCAATTTTGAAGATTTGATAACTTTCATCAAGAGTTCTCATAGAGAGCACACAGCCTTGATTGATGAGAGATTGGAGTCAGCCTTCACAGATTGAATGAGAAGTTGGATTCAATTTCTTCTTTCACAAGAGACTTGGATCTTAGAGTTGCCAACATAGCCAGCTCTATTAAGAGAGAAGAAGGTGTGCTACCAGGAAAAGTGGAAATCAATCCAAGGAGAGCAGCTGTAGCAGCTATCACTCTTAGGAATGGAAAAGGGTATGAGCCACCAGCATACCCAGATCAAGAGGAAGCAAAGCCGCCAATCAAGAAGAAACCAATGGAGTATGTCATTATTGGAGATGGGACTGAACCACCTAAGGAAGTCCATGTCAGAATAGAACCAGGAACTCAGGAGGAAGTGGAGAAGCCACCTGAAGAACCAAGAGTGTATGAGCCAAAGATCCCATACAGAAATGTTCTTTCTCAACCCAAGAAGGAGAAGGAGCAAGCAAAGCTCAAGGATCTTGTTAGCCAACTTTCAGTAAGGTTACCTTTCATTGATGCTTGCCAAATAATTCCATCTCTCAGGAAGTATATGAAGGCCATACTCACAAGCAATGTGAGTCTTGAAGAAGGAGCAATGATGATTACAAAGGAGTGTAGTGCCATACTTCAGAATCGCATGCCAGAGAAGCTGAACGACCCAGGAGTTTTGTTTTGTCTTGCAAGATCGGTTCTACACACTTCCATAGAGCACTTTGTGATTTGGGTTCAGTGTGAACCTAATGCCTTACTCAGTGGCCAAGCTATTGGGCATCACTGACTTCAAACCTACAAAGATATCTCTAGTCTTTGCAGACAGATCTGTTCGCCGCCCTGTTGGTGTTATTATGGATGTTCCAATCATGGTTGGAGATTGCTACATCCCTGCTGATTTTGTAGTTCTTGAGCTGGAACACCAACCTAAAGACCCTCTTATCTTGGGAAGGCCATTCCTAGCTACTGCAGGAGCTATAATAGATGTCAAGAATGGAAAGATTGACTTGCATCTTGGAGATATAGTGATGAATTTCGAAGTAAACAAGTCTATGGAGAAGCCAACTGTAGATGGTCAAGCTTTTTGGATTGGAGAGCTCGCAGAGACAAGAGAAGAAGTGCTGGATGAACTCCTTCTTATTGATCCCTTGGAGCTAGCTTTGACAAAGCTGAGAATGAGTATGGATACATGGAAAGAGAAGCTCAATGCTTAGTCAAGTTCATGGATTCAAGGAAGCTTATAAAGAGCTGATAGCTTATATGGACTTAGAGAGAGAAGAGGAAGAGCCAGACATTGACAAGAATCAGGAAATATCACAAACCAAAGTTAAGTTCGACCCATGGTGCCCACTTAGAGCTCCAAAAGCCGAGCTCAAACAACTCCCAGTTGGTCTAAGGTATGAATATCTTGGTCCTAATGAAACATATCCTGTTATTGTTAATGCTGCACTAACAAAAGAAGAGACCGCTTTACTTGTTCGCGAACTGAGAAAGCATAGAAAGGCTCTTGGTTACTCTTTGGATGATTTAACAGGAATCTCACCTGAACTATGCACACATCGCATCATCCTGGAGGATGAGTCTAGTTCTTCAATTGAACACCAAAGGAGGCTAAACCCAAACCTAAAGGAAGTTGTCAAGAAGGAGATAATGAAGCTATTGAAAGCTGGAGTGATTTATCCAATATCAGATAGTGCATGGGTCAGCCCTGTACATGTCGTGCCAAAGAAAGGAGGGATCACAGTCATCAAGAATGAACATGATGAGCTCATTCCAACAAGAACAATCACTGGACACAGAATGTGTGTCGACTACAGGAAACTGAACTCCTCCACACGCAAGGACCACTACCCCTTGCCATTCATAGATCAGATGCTTGAGCGCCTTGCCAATCATCAATACTACTGTTTCTTGGATGGATACTCAGGATTTTTCCAAATTCCAATCCACCCAGATGATCAGGAGAAGACTACATTCACTTGTCCCTATGGCACATATGCTTATAGGAGAATGCCTTTTGGATTGTGCAATGCTCCAGCTACATTCCAAAGGTGTATGATGTCCATATTCACAGATCTCATAGAAGAGATTATGGAGGTTTTCATGGATGATTTCTCAGTATATGGTTCTTCCTTTGAATCATGTTTGGGAAATCTTGGAAGAGTGCTACAGAGATGTGAAGACAAGCACCTAGTTCTAAATTGGGAGAAGTGCCATTTATGGTTAGAGATGGAATAGTGCTTGGACATAGAATCTCAGAAAGAGGCATAGAAGTTGATAAAGGCCAAGATTGAAGTAATGACAAACCTTCAGCCGCCCAAGACAGTCAAAGATATCAGAAGCTTCCTAGGACATGCTGGGTTCTACAGGAGGTTCATTAAAGATTTCTCACAGATAGCAAGGCCGCTAACACGCCTATTATGCAAGGATATTAACTTTGAGTTCACAGAGGAGTGTCACAAGGCTTTCACTAAGATCAAAGAGCATTGGTCAGTGCGCCAGTGGTTCAACCTCCAAACTGGGAACTACCTTTTGAGATAATGTGTGATGCAAGTGATTATGCAGTAGGAGCAGTGCTTGGACAAAGAAAAGACAAGAAGCTACATGTGATCTACTATGCCAGCAGAACACTTGATGAGGCACAATGCAAGTATGCCACAACAGAAAAGGAGCTTCTTGCTATTGTCTTTGCATTTGAAAATTTCGATCATACTTGGTGGGATCAAAGTTATAGTTCACTCTGATCATGCAGCATTAAGGTATCTTTTATCTAAGAAAGATGCCAAGCCAAGATTGTTGAGATGGATACTACTACTGCAAGAATTTGATCTTGAGATCAAGGATAGAAGAGGAGCAGATAATGGAGTAGCTGATCATCTTTCAAGGATGAGAGTTGAAGAAAATCTACCCCTTGATGATAGGCTACCTGAAGAATCAGTTTATGCAGCTGAAGCTAGCAATAAGCATGGACAACTAGGCCATCACAGGCCAGGAACAAAGATCTCATCATCAAACACACCATGGTTTCGCCACATAGCAAACTTCCTTGCAGCTGAATACCCACCACCAAACTTCTTTGGCTACAGAAAGAAGAAATTTCTGCGTGATGTAAGAAGGTACTACTGGGATGAACCTTACTTATACAAGAAATGTTCAGATGGAATGTTTAGAAGATGCATACCTGAGGAAGAGGTAGAAGGAATATTGTTTGCTTGTCATAGTTCTAGCTATGCAGGCACTTTGCCACTTACAAGACAGTATCCAAGGTCCTACAAGCTGGATTTTGGTGGCCAACTATGTTTAAGGATGCTCATGCATTCATATCAAGATGTGATGCTTGCCAAAGAATGGGAAATATAAGCAAGAGGAATGAGATGCCACAGAACTTTATACTAGAAGTTGAAGTTTTTGATGTTTGGGGCATTGACTTTATGGGACCCTTCCCAACCTCTTTTGGTGACCAATACATTCTAGTGGCAGTTGATTATGTCTCCAAATGGGTGGAAGCCATTGCCAGCCCTACTAATGACGCACAAGTGGTCATCAAGATGTTTAAATCCATCATTTTTCCAAGGTTTGGAGTGCCTAGGATAGTCATAAGTGATGGAGGTTCACATTTCATCAACAGAATCTTTGCCAACCTTTTGAAGAAGCATGGAGTCACTCACAAAGTTGCCTCTCCTTACCACCCTCAAACTAGTGGACAAGTTGAGATCTCAAACAGAGAACTCAAGAGCATACTTCAGAAGACAACAGGCAAGACAAGAAAGGATTGGAGTGCCAAACTAGATGATGCTCTATGGGCATACCGCACTGCCTTCAAAACACCACTTGGTACCACCCCCTTTCATCTTGTTTATGGTAAAGCATGTCATTTACCTGTGGAGCTGGAGTACAAAGCAGCTTGGGCTATTAAGGAGTTGAACTTCAACCTAAAGACAGCAGGAGAAAGAAGATTGATTCAGCTAATGAGCTTGATGAGATTAGGCATCTGGCTTATGAGAATTCAAAGATCTATAAGGAGAGAACCAAAGCTTTCCATGACCGCAAGATCATCCCAAAGAACTTTGCGCCAAACGACCAAGTTCTACTATTCAAGATCTAAGTCTGGGGGAGTTGATATACCTCTAATTTACCCACTTTTTATACTGTTTTAGCATTGTTTTCTAATGGTTTTTGGCAGGTTTTCTATCTAAAAAGGTAGTTTTACTGTGTTTATAGTGTCTAGAGTCTAAACAGGTGAAATGATGCATTTTGGAGCAAAACCATAGGATTTGCACTTCAAGCAGCTCCATGCACAAGCACCAACTTTAAGAGGGCCCAGAAAAAGATCTACTCAATGGATTTCATCAAGACCAGTTCCCTGCGTGCTCTGATTGAGTTAACTTTCCAACGCAACTGGAATGGCTCATTTGGATGAGTAGAAAAGGAGTTATAGCCAAAAGAGTGAAGGCTGCTCCAGACGGCTCTATCGAGAATCAGCGCCCAACCGCGCAGACCGGCTGGCCGAGGAACGAATGTTCCGCGCTCGGCCAAAACCGTATTCCGTCCGACTGAAGTCTCGGCCAAAGTTCCAAACCACTCGGCCGATCACGCAACGCGACCCGGGAAACATTGTCCCGCGGTCGGCCAAGCTTCAAGCGCTCCACGCCACACCGCGCACGACCAAAGCGCGCGAGCCGGGAAACAAGGCCTCGCGGCCGCGCAACCGTTCCGCGTGCCACGGCCGATGCATCCGTCCGAGCCGGGAAAGAACGTCCCACGTCCGGCCGAGAATTCTCATCGGCCAAATCTCAATCCGCTCGACCACGCCGGCCGACCGCGAATCCATCCGACCCCGACCGTTCCGACTCGCCCAAGACCGACTGTCCGGCCGATCGTCCCGCACGACCGTCCCAACGCCGCGGTCGACCCGAAGCCCTTTTGAAGCCCAAATTTATGTTTTCAAGCCCGGCTTAACCCTAAGCCGCCTCTAAAAAGACCTAGCACTATATATATGGATTTTTAGCCTCTTGTGAAAGAGAGCCGCCCTTGTATTTCGATTTCATACTTTGAGTTTTATTGCAATCATGTTTTCTTCATCTCTTGTGTTTTGCTTTGATTATGTCTGAGTAATTCACTAGTTAGGTTGTGAGATCTATCAAAGAGTTCATGGTTTGATAGGTTGTTAGAAGTCACATAGGGTTTATCATATCGCATCTTCGCCTCTGCTTGAACTTATTGCTGCTTGCTTTTCTGATCAACTAGCATCAGATCTTAGGTTTCATATACTCTCCAAAAGCTTGCTATATAACCTGAACTAAGTATTTGGTGAGCAAAACTTCTAGACTGCGAAAGTTGATCTATGGGTTGTGAACAATTGGGTCTTGAACGAATTATTGCTTGATTTAATCACCTAGGGACATACCAAAAGTTTAGCGACTAGGTAGATTAACAAAGGGGTCGGAGCCTCGACAGTGGAAAGATCATACAATCGTGACCTGAGTTCTAGATAGCGCAAACCCTAGCGAACCCTTCTAATATCTTGTTAACCTTGAATCTCTGCGAGTTTCTCATTGCCTAGCGTTTCCCCTTATTGATTTTCATAAACCGTTTAATCTGCTGTTTGATTTACTTTGTTCACAATCAAAAACCCTAAATCATACTTGTTTTCTAGCTATTTAGACTTGCAATACTCGAAGTGTACTTATCTGCTCCTTGTGTTCGATACCCGTTTACTACTTTTGATCTGTGCACTTGCAGAATCAGGGATAGGAAAAGGGAAGACCTGATCCCGCGATCAGACCTCAATGTCAAGCTGCTAGGAGGACAGCTTTGAGGTGGATTGAAAGTGAATATGAGTATCAGTTTTCACGTTGTAGGGATTATGCAGCAGAGATAGTAGAGTCCAATCCCGGCTCATCTGTGGAAGTGGAGACATTCCAGGTGATCGAATTACCTTTCTAGCTACAGCGTATCCGCAATGAAAGTAGCGCCTATACGGATTGTTGTTTGATTTGGAAATCAATTCCATCACTTGTTCTCCACAATGACAAGTTTTTGGAACACCAAACACTCTCCCTCTTGAACGAGCACTTGAAGATCCAGTCGAAGCTCCAGACAGGTTACTCATGTCTTTCAATCAACAAAAACACAGAAGAAAAAAGAAGAAAAAAGAAGAAGAAATTGATAGTGAGAAAATGACAAAAAAGAGTACCGAAATCGAGCAAACCTATAGTATAAAGACAATAAGGACGCTATGAAATTGAAGATGTTCGTAGACTAACAGTCAATTTGAAAAATTTTGGTTTACAAAGGGGTTAGATGGTTTTCGTTCGTCGGTACAGACATTGAACCAACACAATTGAACCTGTGGATAAATGAGCATTTAAAGTTATCTTGGTGGGGAAATAGATGTTTAAGTTTCAAATGATGGGGAAATGATACGAGGTCATACATTGGGCCGCATATAGTACGACTGAAACTTCGTGGTGGGGAAATAGGTCGCCGGCCCTACCCAACCCGATTCAACTTCCACCTCCTAAAATAAAAGGAAATACTTAAAGTGAAAGACTAGATTCTAAGAAAAAGGAAATAGATCAACGCAAAGAAGAATATTTCCAAATGAGATAAGGAAATTTTATTCAGGTAGAAAAAAATGAAAAGAGAAAGTTCAAAGAAAAAAACAGAAGAGAGATGAATTTGTTCCTTCACCTTAAAAAAATAAAAGGAAGCTTCGATATAGAGAATTTTGGGTGTAACCATGGCTCCAAACCTATGGAACCCTTAATAAATGTCACTAAGTCGACCTCTAAGGCTTTAGAATGCCTCTTCCGTCAACGTCACAATCTCTTATCCAGCCGCTCACCCTTATCTTTTAATCCAAGTTCACAGCATCAACAACGTCTGGAGAGTAGAAGGAGAACTTTTCTTGCAACATGTGGGAAGGATGGTAAGAATATCAGAAAAAAGACGAATGTGACGTGACCGAGTTTCTAAAACGCCATGAAGACGTAAAGAAGATTAATTTCGGCGAAACTTCTGTTCTCCGTCTCTTTGTGAAAATATGGTAAAAAATATTTTGTTGTGTAACATCACTTGGGATAAGACACTAGGTTTTGTTTCGGAATTTGAACCAAAGCTAGCCGATGTTACCGTTAGGCCGCCTTCTTCTCAATAATAAGAAAAGCGAAAACTAGCCGATGTCACCATGTCACAGTCCTAAAACCGTCTAGGCTATGATAGCAAAAAGAAACAACCAAGCTTTTTAAAAAAGAAAAAAAAAACTAAACAAATCTAGCGGAAGTCTTATAAATAAATTAAATATATAACTAAATCAAATAAAAATATTCAGTGGAAGGAAATAACAATAAACAAATCTAGCAACCTAAACACCAGGTTATAGCAAGTCAAACAATTGCAAATAAATAAACATTCTATCATCCTCTTCTTCGGCCTTGATTCCGCGATCACTTAAACCTTTTACCTGCAACACATTGCGAAAGAGTTGCGTAAGTATTTAATAAATATTTAGTGAGGCGATCACTCTGCCTACAGGCCAATTACACAATTTACCAGATAATCAAATACTCCCTCTGTTTCATTTTATAGGGGGTTTTAGAGTTTTTGTTTTGTTTCATATTATAAGGTGTTTTGAGGTTTCTATGCAAAAACAAATATATTTTTGTTGTTTTTTACTCTTTTAATGATGCAGATTGATTTTTCATTGGTTGAATTGTATTGGAAGTACTGAGAAAACATACTTTATTTTGAAAGCTTAAAAGATTAAATGATTTCTTAATCTTTGTGTCAAACCCTAAAACCCCCTATAAAATGAAACAGAGGGAGTAATATTAATAATTCTCCATAAGTATTAAAATACTCTTTCTCAATTATTAAATAATTCAAATAATTAAATAATAATTTTCATAATTATTTTAGACCAATTAATTAATTATATACTGAAATAACTAAATAACCGGATTAAACCATAATTAAATCAATTTAAACCACAAATTAAATCAAATCAAACTGGACCGAACCGGCTTGTGTCGAGCGCGCTTTGTGTCGGTCGATAGATGACTACTTTGTTTCGACCGACACCAGCTTGGTGTCACTCGACACACGTTCGACAGCCCGACACCAACAACAACGAAACAGCACAGAAACACCAAAATCACACAATAACAACCAATTATCACGAGATAACACACAATCAACATGAACTCAACAAGAACAACCTCAAGCCCACACAGATGTAGCAGTTCGCGAGCCTACAGTCAGCCACTCACCTTGACAAAGGATTGAAATGAAGGAAGAAGGTAGAAAAAACGAAGCACAGCCATAAACCGATGCAGATTCACCCAAGAACACCTCGAATCCACCCAAATCGCCTCCTTCTCTTCTCCACACTCACAAAATGACAAAAACCAGCTCATGGACGACGGCTGCGTCTTTTAACTCGCGAACAAGGGTTTCCACCCTAAACCGACTAAACCGGCCATTCAAATCAAACCAGATTTGATTTTGAAATTGTTGTGTCGACCGACACACTTCCCTTGTGTCACTCGACACAACCTCCAGAAACACAGAGATTGGTCTACGGATGTTACATTCTATTTGACCCCATCACTATTAATATTAATATGCATGCCCAACCCGATTCAACTTCTACCTCCTCAAAAAAAATAAAAATAAATGAAGAGAAAGACTAGTTCCTAAGATAAAGGAAAGGGATCAACAAAGAAGAATATTTTCAAAATAAATAAGGAAGAATTTATTCATGTAGAAAAAATCAGGAGAGAAAGTTCAAATAATATAAAATAAAAGAAGAGAGATGAATTTCTTCCCTTACCTTTAAAATTTAGAAAGAAGCTTCGATATAGAGAACGATGTGTATAACCATGGCTCCTTCATGATGGCTTTAAACCTATGGAACCTTTAAAAAAGTCACCAAATCGACCTCTGAGGCTTTAAAATGCCTATTCCGTTAACGTCACAATCTCTCATCCAGCCCCTCACTTATATCTTTTAATCCAACTTCACGGTATCAACAACGTCTCTCAACAACGTCTCTAGAGTTAAGGAGAACTATTCATCTAACATGTGGGAAGGATGCTAAGAATATCAGACAAAGACGAATGTGATGTGACCGAGTTTCAAAAATTCCATGAACACGTAAAGAGGATTAATTTTGGTCGAATCTTTGGTTCTTAGTCTCTTTATGAAGATATGGTAAAATCAATTTTTGTATGTCACATCACTTGGGATAAGACAGTAGGCATGGCTTCTCAGCTCTTGTAATTGCAACCAAAGGTAGCCGACTATTTTGAATGACAGCTCCAAAATTTTAGGGATGGTGGATGGCCTTCTCTTATGACTAAGGTTTCTTCTTTTTGTGAGAAATATGATATTGAGATGGTAGACATGGAAGAAGATTTTCTTGGTTCAAAGAGACCAAGAAAAAAAAGCAGGAGTAAAGAATATGCATCATTACAAGGTCAAATCCTTAAATGAGGTTTTGGATTTGCAGCTTCCAGAGTTTAATGATCGCTTCCAGAACACTGAATGCTTATTTGTGCTGCTTCTTTATTTCCCATTAACTTTTTCTCTGAATTTGACGAGTTTAAGTTGATGAAACTAGCTACATTTTATCCAGACGACTTTAGTCATTCAGAGTGCATACAGCTTTATAAACTCATCGCAACATCTTTGTAATTCAAGTTCACGGCATCAACAACGTCTCAAAAGTCGAAAGAAAACTACTCTTGTAACATTTGGGAATGTTGCTAAGAATATCAGAAAATATAAACGTGACGTGACCGAGATTAAAAAACACCATAAAAATGTAAACAAGATTAATTTCGGTCGAATCTTCTGTTCTCCGTCTCTCTGGGAATTTATGGTAAAATTTATTTTGTTGTGTATCATAAGTTGGGATAAGACACTATGTATGGCTTCTAAGCTCTGGGAATTCCAACCGAAGCTAGCCGACGTCATTGTTAGGCTGCCTTCTTTTCGTCAATAAGAAATGAGAAAACTAGCCATGGAACCTAGAAAAGAAACAAGTGGAAACTTACATCGTTTCAAGTTAATTGCTACACTAAGAAAATAATTGATAAGTGATCATTGTAAACTTGATTATATATTTGGACATAAATGTGAGGGATAGAATGGCGACATTCTATTTGACCCTGAAACGACCAAATAAATAAATTAAACAATTCTATTGAAGTCTTTAAAATAAAATAAAATAAATAAATAAATAATCAATTTAACAATAATTCAGCGGAAGCAAATAACACAATTAAATAAATTTAGCAAGCTAAACACCAGGTTTACTAGCAATTTAAACAAATAAATAAAACAATCGTATCATCTTTTCATTCGGCCTTGATTCCGCGATCACATAAACCTTTTACCTGCAAGGCTGCAACACATTACAAAAGAGTTGCATAAGTATTATCATAAATACTTAGTGAGTGGATCATCCCACCTACATGCCAATTACGTAAGACACTAGACAAGCAAACAACCAATACACAAAAAATAAAGGGCAAAAACAGACAATTTATCCTTGTGTCGGTCGACGCACACTCGCAGACAGAAAACCAGAATCACGAAATCAGCACAAAAACAACAAATTAAGGGATTTCAACACCCAAAATCGATCAAATCACCACAATAACTCAAGAACAGCTCAAGAACAACTCAATACCACATCACACAACGAAATCCTAGTGAAACACGAGCCTAAGGTCACACACTCACCTCTAAAATGGATTGAAAGAGGAAAGTGAGATGAAGCAACGAAGAACAGCTACAAATGACCTCTGATTCAGCCAAGAACACCACGAAATCACCACAAATGACCTCTCGCCTCTGCTACTGTTCACGTCCAAAAAAAGACAAAAGAGATGGCTTCTCCCTTTTTAATTCGTGAAATAAGGCTTCCAGCTCTTAAACCAGCTAAACCGGACTACTTAAAACAAACCGGGTCAATTTTGCAATTGTTGCGTCGCCCTACGCAACCTCCAAAACTCTAAAAAAAAGGCTACAAATGTTACAACTCTTTCCACTAAATTGGATTTGACCTCAAATCCTAACACAAAACGTCACCAAGACCAAAAAATCCGATCTAGCAAGGCCACAACACTGGAGATCCTCACCTGATCCCCGAGACTCACATCCAATCTTATGTTATAGGCACGTCTCTAGACATCTTTACTCTTAACTCATCACCTCAAAACACATGTACTGAGGCCCATACACCCATATAAGTCTGCACCTACCCAAACTGGGGCCACTACACCCAGGTGGGCTTGCCACTGCTGTTTATACTGGGGCCACTACACCCAAATATGTCAGCCATGACTTATACTGAGGCCACTACACTCAGATAAGTTACTCATACTGAGGCCACTACACTCAGATGAGTCTGCCAGAGAACCAATGTCTCTAAACTGTAATGAGTTATTCAGGACCTCAGTCCTTAGAGCAAAAATTCTAAAACGTCTATAACAATAAAATCATAGCTGTCTCACGACCCCAAAATGGTCAAACACTTGTAACGTCCCAAACCATTCCAACAACCAAGACAAAATGAGGAAAAACTGCATCTCACATAACTCCAAAAATGTATATCGTTACAACGAAACGAAAATACAATAAATCTAAAGCCAAAATTAAACAACTGGGAATACAAAGACGAAAGAAGCTCACTCCTCGAACCACTTCATGAACTTCAACTTCATCTTTGCCTTAGGCTCGCAAGTCTCTTCTGTAGAACCACTGTAATCCCACAAAACTCTCAGCAAAGGAATCCTCTTGTTCCGTAGAATCTTGTCTTGTCTCTCAAGAATCCTCACAGGCACTGCCGGAACTATCAAATATGGCCTAAGATCCTCTAGAATCATATAGCCACTAACTCCTCTGTAGGGTGAAGACACTTCCTCAGCATCGACACATGGAAAACCTTGTGAAAGGCTTTCATAATCTCAGGCAACTCCAGCATGTATGCCAATGGCCCAACTCACTCCACCACTTGGAACGGACCCATAAAATGCGGACTCAACTTGTTCTCTAGTATGGATCTGTTAGGTGATATACCTCTATTTTACCTACTTTTTATGCTATTTTACTATGGTTTTCTAATGGTTTTCTAGTGGATTCTTGTGTTAAAAGGTAGTTTTTATGGATTTATAGTGCAAAGAGTCATTTTAGGTAAAAAGGTGCATTATGGAGCAAAACAGGAGATTTGGACTCTAAACCAGTTCAATGCCCCTGCATCAACTTTGGATGGAGCTAGAAAAAGATCTACTCAATGGATTTCATCAAGACCAGTTCCCTGCGTGCTCTGATTGAGTTAACTTTCCAACGCAACTGGAATGGCTTCATTTGGATGAGTAGAAAAGGAGTTATAGCCAAAAGAGTGAAGGCTGCTCCAGACGGCTATATCGAGAATCAGCGCCCGAACGCGCAGTCCGGCTGGCCGAGGAACGAATGTTCCGCGCTCGGCCAAAACTGTCCGTCCGACTGAAGTCTCGGCCAAAGTCCAAACCGTCGGCCGATCACGCAACACGACCCGGGAAACATTGTCCCGCGGTCGGCCAAGCCAAACGTCACGCCACGCCGCGCACGACCATGCCGCGCGAGCCGGGAAACAAGCCTCGCGGCCGCGCAACCTTTCGCGTACCACGGCCGATGCATCCGTCCGAGCCGGGAAGAACGTCCCACGTCCGGCCGAGAAACCATCGGCCAAATCTCATCCGCCGACCAAGCCGGCCGACCATGAAACATCCGGCCACGACCGTTCCGACTCGGCCAAGACCCGACTGTCCGGCCGATCGTCCCGACCGACCGTCCGAACGCCGCGGTCGACCCGAAGCCGTTTTTGAAGCCCAATCCGCACAATTCAAGCCCAAAGCCGGCGCCGACCTAGCTAGATTAGGTTTAGCCGCTTCTTATACTTAGAGCATTATAAATACTTCTTTTTAGCCTTGTAACTCAAGAAGGAGAGAGACCACAATCTATTTTACATCTTAATAAAGTTTTGCTTGCTTTTACTTTGTTCTTGCTTGTTACTCTTTCTAGAGAGGATTCGAATCTCTGTTCTTATGAATATGAATTCGTGTTCCTTCTCTATGTCTGAGTAGTTTACTTGTTAAGTGATAGGAAGTCAAAGGATAGCATTCATGTATGCTTGATGATTGATCACAATTAGGGTTTTACTTATAATCTCCATCTTTGCTTATACTTAATGCTTGTTGTTAATCTGGCCAATTAGCATATGCCTTTAGGTTGATTTGAGCCTCGACAGTGCTGTATCATTCGCCTGAACTAGTATTTGGTGGGCAATCTCTTTTAGACTGCGACAGTTGATCTACTTGTAGGTTGTGAACAATTGATCTTGATCGAACTAATGCTTGATTTAATCACCTAGGGACATACCAAAAGTTTAGCGACTAGGTAGATTAACAAAGGGGTCGGAGCCTCGACAGTGGAATGATCATACCATAGTGTTTCAAGTTCTAGATTAGCACCTAAGTGCGGTAACCCTAATTGATTGATGCTTCTTGAATTGCTTATCTCAAGACTATCCTATTGCTTAGCCTTTCTCTCCTATTGAATCTCACTTTCTTTATTACTTGCATGCTTTACTTTCTCTGCACTCAACCAACTTATACTTTTGCCCTAGCTTGTTCTCAAACTCATAACTTGTAGTGTGCAATCTGGTCCTTGTGTTCGATACCCGTTTACTACTTCTGACCTGTGCACTTGCAGAATCAGGGATAGGAAAGGGGAAGACCTGATCCCGCGATCAAGTTTTTGGCGCCGTTGCCGGGGACCAATTCGCACCTACAAGTCTTGCAAGAGAGCTAGTCTAGGGTTTTATCTTTTCCTTTTTGTTTTTGTTATTTTTCCTTTTTTCTTTGATTTGTTTTTCCTTTTTGGTTTTTCCTTTTTGTTTTTAGCTTTTCAGGTTTTCCTAGTTAGATATGGAGAAGGAGCCACAAGCCTCTTCCCCTATAAAGGCGATGCCAATTCGCCACATACCACCTCAAAGCACCTCTTGAGCGAACAAGAGATGTCAAGCCCTCAAGCACCACCACCTTCATGGGATAGTCCTCCAAGACTATCCACTTTGAAGACAAAGAAGAAACTTCTTCCTTACCTTGAAGCAGCCGACCTGGAGACGTCTAGCCAAGCCGCATCACACCAAGAAGAACCTTCTAGCCACACCAGAAGAGGAGATTAACCCTGAGCTGATCGAGTTCGTGAAGAGAGATCAATTCCATGATCTGTTTTCAGAGTATGCATGGAGCACATAGATCACTTTGACAATCTTTGTGATTCCTATGGAGTTTTTGACTTTGAGAAGAAGATGATGCTATTCAGCACATCACTAGCTGGACCAGCACTAGATTGGGCGCAGCATGAACCACTCTCTACAATCGAGTCATGGATCGATTTTAGAGAAGCTTTCTTGGAAGAGATTTGCAAGGAACCACCTTTCAAATCCAAGTACACCACTACTCTCATCAGCTGGAGAGAGAGCGTGATGAAGAAGAATGGGGAGGCATACCACCTCATCCTGAAGTTCTGAATGAAGAGCTAATCAAGCATGTGGAGAGGAATCCTTTCTACAATTCTACTTCAGAATGTGCAAAGGAGCATCTATGCAACTTTGAGCAGCTTTGCCATGACTATGGACTTGGAGACAACCCCAAGAAGATACAACTTTTCCAACTATCTCTAGCTGGACAAGCCAAAGACTGGGCTAAGTTCAATGCCCAACATGCTTTCAAGACTTGGAATGGATACAAAGGAGCTTTCCTCACAGATTTGAAAGGTCCTGTTTATGTTCCACCACCACGCCCAAGCTATTCACAACACCATCCATCATCACCAGACATAAACAAGACACCACTTTTTCCCAAGGGAGAGCTACCAAGCTGCGCGCCAAACCAAGATTGAAGATATGCTTCAAGAGTACTTGAGAAATCAAGATGAGAGTACAAAGAAGATGGAGAGAAGAATCGATTTCATCCATGAGAGCCTTGGAAACAAATCTGAAGTCCTATTCAAGCAAGTGATCAAGCTTGATGAAGACATTAAGAAGTTAAGAGAGGATCATGATCGATCTTTGACCCTAGTTAAGCTTGATGTTGCTTCCAAATATCAAGAGTTGCTGAACAAGAGCATGAGAATTGAAGATACTAGCTATGGCAATAGCAAACATCTTGGATCGATCTACAACCGCCTACAAGCCCTTGAAGGATCATCTCATGCCAATTACAAGAGAGAGAGGAGTCCAACACCCAACCACCCTCCCTTTTATTGCAATGCCATCACAAGAAGAAGCACTACTCAAGTCCATGAGGACAATGAAGAAGAAGAAAGAGAGTATGAGGAACAATTGAATGATGAAGATGAAGAGCAGAGCATCGACATCAATGCTTCCCCAAAACAGAGCATGGATACACCAAGCCCTAGAGACCCTCGTTTCTCACCAAGAAGTCAAGCTTCTACACTTCCAAGATTGGAAGCAATGCAAAGACCATCACCACCTACTGAAGAAGAAGATACTTGGCAGTATGATCCCATTGATCCCAACAAGATAAGCCCCATGAAGCTTAAAGAGTTCAATGCTAAGGTGAAATCACTTCCATTCTATGTCACTTTTGAAGAAGCTTGGGATAAACATGGTCTAGTGGAGTTCTTTTTCACAACTAGTGAAAACAAAGAAGAGATACACCAACTTTTCAGGAAGGCTCGATTTCCCCTTGCCCCTCATGGAGTCAATCAACCACCATCACCACCATCATCACCACCACCCAGTGGTATGTCAATTCCATATCAAGAGAGAAGCTTGCTGAGTTCAATCAGTTTGTCCAAACTCTTCCAGCCAGCATGTCTTTCAAACAAGCTTGGCGCCACTACCCATTCACCACCTTCTTCCACAACTGCAAGGAGACACCTGAGGACATAAAGAGCTTTTTGAGAAAGCTAAAGTTCAGCCAACCTTCAAGACCCTCTACAAGATTGAAGACCCAGGTCAATTCTCTATTCCCTGTCAAGTAAATGGTCATTACTTTGATAGAACACTATGCGATTCTGGCTCTTGCATAAACCTCATGCCAACCCAAACCGCCAAACTCCTTGGCATCACACGCTTGCAACCTGCTCAAATTAGTATTGGACTTGCTAACCATACTATAGCCAAGCCAAGAGGAGTTGTTATTGATGTTCTTCTAGAGATTGGAGATATCAAGATCCCGGTGGACTTTCATGTCATAAACATTCAAGGAGGATGTGACACACCATTGATACTAGGCCGACCCTTTTTGGCCACTGCTGGAGCTGTCATGGACCTTCCAAACCGGCGAATGTCCTTAGCCAATGTTGACAAGACAGTCTTTTACAAGACCATACCATTCATCACACCAAACAAGCTGTCTTACCTCATCACTGCCCAAGGCCGCCCAAGAGAGCCACCAGACCACACTCAAGGTCACAATGAGACAAGAACTAAAAGACTATGTCTCAGGCCGTGCCCTTACCCCATCTCCAACTAAGAGATCCTATCAGTCAAGCTAATGACTCAAAAAGAAGCGCTGCATGGGAGGCAACCCATGAAAGGTGTTTTTCTTTACTTTTCTTTTCAATTAGTTTTAGTTAATGTCTAGTTTTGTTTTGAGTTTTGGAAACAGGAATCTAAGAACCACACAATGGTAAAGAAGATATACCACAAGAAGAATGTTCATAGTTGGCGCGACTTGATGGCCGAGCAGAACCTCTCCACGCTCGCCCATGTCCTCTCAAGCCGCCCAACACACCATCCCATCTCATTCCATCTGCATCTCACCCATCCCACCTCACCACACTTGCATTCCATCACTACCATCATTCCACTGCATTCACCATTCTTCAAGTAACACCAAATCAGGTTACATCTTTCTTTTTACATTCACAACCACTTTATTACCTCTTTCTTTAACTCCCTTAATTGGATTTTCTTTCACCGGGACGGTGCAAGTTAAGTCTGGGGGGATTGTCGGTACTAATGTGTTTGTTCATGGTTGTTTTGATCTTATAATTGGTTTTTCCTAACCCACTTTTTCAAAACTTCTGTTTTATTGAGTCAAAACCAGTCCGGGAACAATGAACTTGCTTTGAGATTTGATAGTGTCATGCTAACAATCTATGACCCTAGAGCAAACATCAGCTGAAGGCACAAGCCTAACAGAAGCTCCTAGAGTGGATCGCATGCTAGCTCAGCGAAATTTCTAAGGTAACCAAGCAATCTAGAGTTAACCTCACCCTTAATCAATCTTAATAACTCTTGTCAAGGGGATTGGCATACATGTCGACAGTTCCTTGCTTGATTTTCAATGAGATTTGTCTAAAGAGTTCACCTCTCTCTCCCATCCCAAATGGTAAGTAATGTTTATGAGAAAAGCTCAAAGAGCACAAGGAAAACAAGTAAGCATGAGGAATGCATATGTCTGTACCTTCATGTCTTATGGAATACCTTAAATCAAACAAGGAACAAGCTAAAGACTTATCCTGTGGTTGAAAGAAAGGTCAATAGAAAAAATAAAATGATACCCTAGAAAAGTAGGGAGAAATTGACCTTTCAAAGTTCTGATGTGAGAAAGAGAGAGGAAAGGAACTCATTGCACTTCAAAGACAATCTTGGAGAAGATCAAGTGGGTAAGAACAAGTTCAATTGATCGATTTTCCCTTGATAAAGAACTCACGCTTTAAATTTCTGCAAGAGGTTAACAATAGAGAGTTTGGATTGCTGGATGAGACTAGTTGGGTTGGTATTGTTGCTAAACTTGCAGGGTGTATGTGAAGCTAACCTTATGTTGACTATGTTCTTAGTGGAATACAGGAAAGGAACCTTTCACAGGATTTTCAAAGAAGCAAGAGAGTTCCCACGTTTTTCAAAACCTCTTCACTAGTTTAGATTCTTTTTGCTTGGGGACAAGCAAAGATCTAAGTCTGGGGGAGTTGATATACCTCTATTTTACCTACTTTTTATGCTATTTTACTATGGTTTTCTAATGGTTTTCTAGTGGATTCTTGTGTTAAAAGGTAGTTTTTATGGATTTATAGTGCAAAGAGTCATTTTAGGTAAAAAGGTGCATTATGGAGCAAAACAGGAGATTTGGACTCTAAACCAGTTCAATGCCCCTGCATCAACTTTGGATGGAGCTAGAAAAAGATCTACTCAATGGATTTCATCAAGACCAGTTCCCTGCGTGCTCTGATTGAGTTAACTTTCCAACGCAACTGGAATGGCTTCATTTGGATGAGTAGAAAAGGAGTTATAGCCAAAAGAGTGAAGGCTGCTCCAGACGGCTATATCGAGAATCAGCGCCCGAACGCGCAGTCCGGCTGGCCGAGGAACGAATGTTCCGCGCTCGGCCAAAACCGTTCCGTCCGACTGAAGTCTCGGCCAAAGTTCCAAACCGTCGGCCGATCACGCAACACGACCCGGGAAACATTGTCCCGCGGTCGGCCAAGCTTAAACGTTTCACGCCACGCCGCGCACGACCACGCCGCGCGAGCCGGGAAACAAGCCTCGCGGCCGCGCAACCTTCGCGTACCACGGCCGATGCATCCGTCCGAGCCGGGAAGAACGTCCCACGTCCGGCCGAGAAACCATCGGCCAAATCTCATCCGCCGACCAAGCCGGCCGACCATGAAACCATCCGGCCACGACCGTTCCGACTCGGCCCAAGACCCGACTGTCCGGCCGATCGTCCCGACCGACCGTCCGAACGCCGCGGTCGACCCGAAGCCGTTTTTGAAGCCCAATCCGCACAATTCAAGCCCAAAGCCGGCGCCGACCTAGCTAGATTAGGTTTAGCCGCTTCTTATACTTAGAGCATTATAAATACTTCTTTTTAGCCTTGTAACTCAAGAAGGAGAGAGACCACAATCTATTTTACATCTTAATAAAGTTTTGCTTGCTTTTACTTTGTTCTTGCTTGTTACTCTTTCTAGAGAGGATTCGAATCTCTGTTCTTATGAATATGAATTCGTGTTCCTTCTCTATGTCTGAGTAGTTTACTTGTTAAGTGATAGGAAGTCAAAGGATAGCATTCATGATGCTTGATGATTGATCACAATTAGGGTTTTACTTATAATCTCCATCTTTGCTTATACTTAATGCTTGTTGTTAATCTGGCCAATTAGCATATGCCTTTAGGTTGATTTGAGCCTCGACAGTGCTGTATCATTCGCCTGAACTAGTATTTGGTGGGCAATCTCTTTTAGACTGCGACAGTTGATCTACTTGTAGGTTGTGAACAATTGATCTTGATCGAACTAATGCTTGATTTAATCACCTAGGGACATACCAAAAGTTTAGCGACTAGGTAGATTAACAAAGGGGTCGGAGCCTCGACAGTGGAATGATCATACCATAGTGTTTCAAGTTCTAGATTAGCACCTAAGTGCGGTAACCCTAATTGATTGATTTCATGCTTCTTGAATTGCTTATCTCAAGACTATCCTATTGCTTAGCCTTTCTCTCCTATTGATCTCACTTTCTTTATTACTTGCATGCTTTACTTTCTCTGCACTCAACCAACTTATACTTTTGCCCTAGCTTGTTCTCAAACTCATAACTTGTAGTGTGCAATCTGGTCCTTGTGTTCGATACCCGTTTACTACTTCTGACCTGTGCACTTGCAGAATCAGGGATAGGAAAGGGGAAGACCTGATCCCGCGATCATTAGGACCCTTCAACATAACCATCTTGAGATACATTCTATCTCCAACCTGAAATTTAAGTTCTCGTATGCGTCTATCTGCATAACTCTTCTGCCTGTCATGAGCCTCCTTCATGTTCAGCCTCACAGCCCGGACCTTCTTCGTCGTCTCCTGAACATATGTAGCTCCATACATGTTGTGCTCCCCCACTTGGATCCATCATAGGTGTGTCCTACATCGTCTCCCATACAAAGCCTCAAATGGAGTCATGCTAATACTTGCCTGAAAGTTGTTGTTGTAAGCAAACTCAACTAAGCTCAGGTGATCTGCGTAATGGCCACCCCAATCAAGCACACACATCCTCAGCAAATCCTCCAAAGTCTGAATAGTCCTCTCTGACTGTCTATTTGTCTACAGATGATAAGATGTACTCAAATGCATCTTAGTGCCCATCTCTGCCTGAAACGCCCTCCAAACCTCTAAAGTGAATCTGGGATTACAGTCTGACACAATATTGGCTGTCACTCTATGCAGCCTCACAATCTCTCTCACAAACTTTCTAGCCAAAATAGCAGATTCATCTGTCTTCTGTAAAATGTGACAAAAAAAAATGGATTTTAGTCGATAAAATTGTATTGAAAAAAAAAACATTATTTATAAAAAAAATAAAATTGAGAATAACAATTTTTATAAAACATAGAGAGTAATCTATTGGTCTTTTTCAAGCCAATGTTAGACTTCCAACCTCCATGTTCGGTTATTGTTTTATGATTTTAATTCAATGATTTACACAAGCCAAATGGTAAATTCTGAGAGTTTGGACATATATAAATTAATCAAAATGACAAAATCCGAGGTTGCCAAATTAATTTATTTATATCCAAGATAAAATTAAATATAATTTACTAAACTATCAATTATGATATACGTGAAATAATTGTCTTGTCTTATAATATCTTAAACCTTATTTTATTTCACGCATCGCGTACTGAGAAAAACACACAAACAACAACAAAGGAGAAGAATACATAATCATTTGAAAGCAACATAACCAAATTTGGACTGAGAATTAGTTCACTCGCTATATGGTTCTTCACTTGGTAATAGGAACAACATGAACCCAAATCTTCTTCACATTTAGGAAAGAACCATCATACTTTTGCCTTTAGTTTCTCTCAAGCCAATGAAGAGTAATATACACCAATACCATCAACACTTCCACCACATCTTCCATGGAATCCAACAATAGCATTGCCTTCACTATGCAGCATGAATGAACCAGTCGGTTTCCCCATAACTCCAGAGGTTCTCCCTTTTGATGTTTTGAAAGTCAATGACCGAATGATGTCACTTTGGTAAGGATTAGTAAGTGCGTATGTCCCCTCCACGGATGTGATATACTCAGAAGGATAATCGACTTTAAACTGCATCTAAAAGTCGAATAATTTTAACTGCTTACAACATCTAAATACTCAATATGTATACATATGATAACTCCGAGTATACAACTGTTTTAATTAATTCACTATAGATATTGTACTAATTGACCATTGATTAGCACGTCCATAAGTGAAAACTGTTTGGAATCCCACAACCTAATTAAGTATTATTTGAGGGATATAGGCCAATCTGCTCATTGCAAACTGATTTTGATTTAAAATCTAATGAATCAACAAAATTATCAAATAGTAAATAAAATTTATCTAGATTCGTGGAAATTAGGAATACCTCATTATGTTTTTCGGTGTTGTTCCCATATTCACGAGATTCAACTTTACCCGCTTTGACATAGTCAATCTTGATTTGCCTAATTACACTGTTATCATATCTGACGTACACTTTTGTTATGCCATCATAGTCACCACCATCATCAAAAACATTTCCTGTTGTTTTAGCACCTCCGATTTCCGATATGATTCGAGGATGTTTGATAAAATATGCTCCAAGAGAGTTGAGATTCTTCTCAGAAAATCCATGAAACCCAATGATCTTCTTCCCAGTTGCCCTCAGGGAAAACGCGGTACCATCATGGAACCCCATCATTTCAGAAATGTTCTTGTTAGTTGTAAACTGGATTGACTGAATCACACCCGTGGATTCATCGTAGTAACCATCAACAGATAGCAGATATTCCTCGTCCGAATGGTTAATCTCAAACTACAAAAGAAAATGATATAAATGGTGATGATAGAAAGATATTATTAATTACTCTAAAATTATATATATAAAGATATTAAGTTAAGACACATTACATACCGTTTGTGTAAAACCACGACTAGCGACACCATGGGTTGGTCCAACAATTGTTTTTCCTTCCTTGGCATATTCAAACTTAATAAGCTGAATGCCTTTAAGACCACCTCGTACATGTATCTTTGTTACACTCTCATAACCGAATCCATCATCCCAATGATTCCCTCCCTTACCACCTTGTGCCTCTTTTTTCTCCAGAGGAGAAGAATTCAGCGGAGTGTAATATGCGCCGATACCATCAAGACTTCCACCATGTCTTCCATGGAATCCAACAATAGCGTTACCTTCGCTCTGTAGCAAGAATGAGCCAGTCGGTTTCCCAATAACTCCAGAGGTTCTCCCTTTTGATGTTTTGAAAGTCAGTGACCGAAGGATTTTAGTTCCGTAAGGATGAGTAATAGCGTAAGTCCCCTCCACAGATATGAGATACTCAGATGGGTAATCGACATTAAACTGCAATAAAAATAAAATTTTAATTTAATTTCCATGCTAACTATATTGGGAAATTGCAATGGATATACATCAATACTTCTGAAATTAAATGGATATTTCTGACAATTTTACGTAACACTGTTCATATGGCTGAAAACACTAAAATCCCTACTTAAATCTCTCTCACAAATATTGCATTCCATTGCTAATAAATTTTAGTTACTTTACTAACAAAAATTATGTCACTTACTAACAACCACCACGTTCTTTGTTAACAAACATCACATTATCTTGTTAACAAAGACTGTGTTATCTTTGATAACAAAGATTATGACAAATTGTTTACATTTGGTTGTTAATGATTTTGCTAGCAAGTAACGATTTGAATGTTAGCATGTAATGGTTTGAATGTTAACATATAATAATTTGAATGTTAACATAATTTTACTAGTTTGGTTAATAGGTAATGTTAGCAAGTAATAGTTTAAATGTTAGTACTAATAGTTTGAATGTTATATAATTTGTTATATTTGTTAACATGAAATCTAACAATTTTTTATATGATGTCACTTCTTATGTTTTATGTATGATTTTTCTATATCTATTTATATTGATCTAATTAATAACTATTACAGTCATATATTTAATTGTCAGATTATCTATGTATATTGACTAAATTTACCCTATATATTTCATTACTCAATATATATTTAACTTTGAGTTTACAATTGTTATGAAATACTCCCTCCATTTTTTTTGATAAATTTTCTAGACTTTTCACACATATTAAGAAAAAGCTTATTTCCAATCATTAGTGTATAGATTTTTGCAATAAAACAACTTTCTATGATTTTAAACCAATAAAAATCTAACAAACACAATTATTATTTCTTGAAAACTGAAAAAGTGCATCAAAAAGGTAGAAAATTTATCTTTGTGAAACAACAAATAATGTCTCGAAAATTCATCGTTAAAAAACGGAGGGAGTATTCAATAGCATAAGTCCCCCTCCACTGATTAGCACGTTCTTCTAGATATGTTAAAACTATCTAGAAATCTCACTTACAAAAACAAATATTATAAAATAATAAACAAATATTTTGTGGAGGATATTGGTTTTTAAAGAATTAGGAAATCAAGACCATAGTTATAGTTGTTAAAATTAGGAATACCTCATAATGTTTTCCGGTGTCCTCCCCATGTCCACGACCATATTCAACTTTACCGGCTTTGTCATAGTCAAACTTGATCTGCCTAATTACAGTGTTATCATATCTGACGTATACTTTTCGTACGCCGTCATAGTCACCACCATCATCAAAAACAATTCCTGTGTTTTCGGCACCTTCAGTTTTCGATTTAATTGGAGGATGCTTGATGAAATATGCTCCAAGAGAGTTCAGATGCTTCTCAGAAAATCCATGAAATCCAATAATCTTTTTTCCAGTTTCCTTCAAGGAAAACTTGGTACCGTCATATAACCCCAATATATCAGAAATGTTCTTGTTAGTTGTAAACTGGATTGACTGAATAACACCGGTGGATTCGTCGTATTGACCCTCAACAGATAACAGATATTCCTTGTCGGAATGATTAATCTCAAGCTGCATAAGAAAAACATATAAACGGTGATGAGAAAATGATAGCATGACTCTAATAAAATCGGACACACAAAATATTTTAGGCTAAGACACATGACATACCGTTTGTGTCATACCACGACCAGAGACACCATGGATTTGTCCAACAATCATTTTTCCATCCTTCACATACTCAAACTTGATGAATTGAATGCCTTCAAGACCACCTCGTACATGTATCTTTGTTACATTTTCATAATCTGATCCATCATCCCATTCATTCCCTCCCTTTCCACTTGTAGGTTCCACAATTAGTGCCATCTCGTAATTTTCACTGAAAGAGTGTTTCTGTTTTAGTTATTAACTAATCTGAACATCAAATTTTGAAGAAAAAATGCAAAATCTTTATGTAGAAACGGTGGTAAGCACTTGTTTATCTGGTTTAGAGGAAACTAACTAATATATAACCGATTAAAACTGGAGAGAGAGAGAGAGAGAGAGAGAGAGAGAGAGAGAGAGAGAGAGAGAGAGAGAGAGAGAGAGAGAGATTACGTGGTATACAGGAGTAGAGGAGATATAGATAGCTGATGAATGAATTATGAACCAGTGGAGAGTGATGATGTATACCAATGTAGCAAGGTGCCCTTTTATACACAGTTTTATTATTTTTAATTAGATAAGAATGAATTTATTATTACAATAATAATCCTAACTTATCATTTTATTATCTCCTCGTGTTTAACAAGAATCATAAAACATTTTATAACGGTCTCAAAACCTCTATAAAGTAATAACGTCGAAACCACAAAATATATTTACTTTAGCGAGATTATTAATTTATCAAGAGATAATTAGACCAAAACTTAATTTGGGACTCAAAAATTCTATTCATTTATCGAGGTATTACTTTATCGAGTATTACTTTATAGATGTTCTACTGCATATTGTATATTGATGGGGTAAAAGTTAAAAATCTAAATTATTAATTACTAATAACCAATCTCTTTAAAAAGACGTCTTGGGAATTCTACAACGAAAGAAGAAAAAATAATTGAGATTCAGCTTTCCCAGAATGAGGTACTATATTTTATACTTGCATAATCATTTTTTACCTACTTTAAAAATGATTTTTGTTTTGTTTTGACAAACATTTCATTTGGTCTTAGTGTTTTTAAGGTGCATTGAGTATTTTCGTGGATTTTTGAGCTGTTACACATTATTTGGACTAAGAATTACAGAAAAGGAACAAATCGAGATTTAAGTCAGTTTTTATAAGTCAGAATTTTGGCATTTTATTAAAGACTTTCAACCAATATATCAAGCTGAAATTAGGAGAAAATATAGAGGGATGAGTCATCTATCATCTCTAACCGGTTACAAGTCATTCCAAGTGGTCGAGCTCATGATATGAAGGTTTTCGTAGAAACTAGTATATTTCTGCTTAGATCTATTCCTCGACCCTAGAGTTTTCAAATCTCGACCTCAAAACTCTAAGGTCGTGGGATGATAAATAGTACGACCAAAAATCACTTAAAGCCAACGGAAGAACCTTCTATAAGTCTTTTTGGGTTTCTACACTTTACTACTCTACGAAGGAAAACCCTTGTAGGATATTTATCAGAGCTGAAAACTCTAAGCAAATCACTACGACGTGCTCTGGGGCTCTCCAATGGCTTATCAACTTACCAAGAGGACATATAAAATCGTTCTTCCAATCATACCATGTTTTTATCCAGCAGCAAAGCGCCAATGAGTGCAGCCGAAGACTTGTAAGAGATTCTTCAAAACGAGGCCCTAAAAACTTATGTCACACGGTTTAAAGACCACAAGGGGACCATCCCAAACTGGCAAACTGCAAGAGGGGACCCCTCACTAGCGGAACCTGACGAAGTTCCCTCCTCTCACTCTCGAAGACGAAATGCTGACAGGAAAATAGGTAGGAAAATAACAAGCAGCAGCAGTGTCTAATGTTCTAAGGTTCTCACAATTTCAGCGGGAAACCAATTTGCCTAAATTTATGAGCTCGTGAATTAAAATTAGAAAGATTTTGCAAAAGAGATAAAAAAAATGAAGTTATTGTCCTTGTTTCCTACAGAAAGTTTGTTTGCAAACATGGCATATCTTTTTTGGAATTTGCCAGACGACGATAGAATGCGGATGTATCCTTGGTTAATTTGGTATATCTGGAAATCACGAAATGATAAGGTTATGGCGAATGTGGACTGGGATCCAAATGAAATAATAATCAAAGCAACAGCGGAATCTTCGGCATGGGTAACCGCCCAGGAAAAAAATGTAATGCTATGTCCACCACTGACAACCTCAGGGGAATCCCCTAGAACGGGTGATATTTGTCAAATAGATGGGGCCTGGAAGGAGACAGAGAGTCGAGCTGGGCTAGGATGGTTTTATTTGAACATGAATACTCAGGAAAAGCTAATGGGAACTCGTAACTTGAGAAGGGGAATATCGCCCCTCCAAACGGAGTTGGAGGCACTTATTTGGGCCATGCATTGTATGCTGCGGCATAATAAATTGCTAACGCGATTTGAGACGGATTGCTCTGATGTGGTGAAGATGGTGTCTACGCCAGAGGAGTGGCCAGCGTTCGCAATACTTCTTGACGAGGTTGACCGGTGTAAACGGAGGTTCACCTCCTTCTCCATCGCGCACATACCTAGGACGAAAAACACGAAGGCAGACAAGTTAGCACGGAATGCTCGAGCTCTACCTACTGATGGGTATTATGTAAACTCTGTTTCGCCAATTTGGATTCCCGAACTGGTTTAGAAACAGAGGCTGCCGACAAAAAAAAAAAAAAAAATTATTGTCCTTGTAATATTTCTTCTTTAGTTTTATCCATTTACTCTTTTTTTATAACGATTAATCTTATTTAACACTCAAAATAATTATTAACCATTTGGAATTATATTTTTGGGATCTAAAACTATTTCTCTAACTCTTAAAATTACTTAACAAAATTTATAATGGAATTGTAAAATTTGTTACCAAAATATTTGATTTTCACATAGCCACAATTTATTTTCTCATAATTTGTTGCGGTGTTATGACAATACATGTAATTTAAAATTTAGTTTAGATTTTTTTTCGGTATTATGACAATACATATATTTTAGATTTAAATTATAAACGCTAACTTACTTGGATTAAAAATCAAGTAACGAATCTGAATATCATAAATTTACGTCCGCTACTCAATTTTTAGTTACTTATAAAGTTACTGAAATTAAATTGGGCCAACGATCTATAGTAGTGTGTGATGATATTTTTCTTGAAACGCTCATATAGTCAATGAGTCACATGAATTTAATTCTTAACGTGACATTAATGGCCGCTTCTCATGCAATACCCCTATTAGTCTAATACATATGACACGTTTACTTTTAATTAACAAGTTTTCACTATTGCATTTATGTAAACATATTTGAAACTACTTTGAAACTTTTTTTGCCTAAAACTAGGTAACCCGTGATTTAATTTTACACAACAAAACTTAGGTCCATGATATAAACTTTGGTGTCAAACTATTTTATTTTCGCATAGCCATAGATTATGTTCTCATTATTTTTATTTTGTTGACATCCTATCCTTGGTTCGGGTATCCAAACTGGTTGAGTAGAGTTTATATGACACGGATTATACCTTTACTTTATTAACACATTTTCATTAAATTGGTTAGTTTACTGATATAATTCTGAATTAACTCTCCAAAGATTAGTTAGTTTATTAAATTTTCATTTAACTAGATAGTTTATTAATACACTTTTAATAAATGACTCTCCATTTCATCAATCGGCATAACTCTGAGCTATGTAATATGTTCTCATTATTTGTCGCTATATGATGATAATACATGTAAATTAAGATTCGGTTTAATTTAAACTACAAAGGCTAGCTTATTTAGGTGCTGATTGGTTCACCTGCTGCTACCCGCAAACGCTAGTGATTATTGGCGTTTGACAACAATCACCACAAACATTTATACCGCTTTAAACCGCTCAAGATCCTCAACAACCCTCAAAATCAAAAGCTCCTTTCCCAGCAGTTTGCGGGCGGTTGCGGGTGGATAATTAAAAAAAAAAAAAAAACACAAACTTATATAAAATCCGAAAATAAATAATAATCTTTATTAAAAAATAAGATTTGGATAATAAAATCACAATATAAAAAAAATTAGTACTTTTAGTCAATATTCATTAAAATCATATATACTTATATATTTATAAGTTCTACAAATCAAAATTCTCTTGATAAATATTCTTTTCATACTAATTTAATTAATATCACATTAAATATATATTTTGAAAATAAAATCACATTTTTTATTTAAATTATAGAAATTAAAAAATAGACGTAAGTATTATACACATATTATTCTTTATAAAAAAATTATTTTTAATTATGTTGAACCATAAATTTAAAATTTTCATTATAATATAGTTTTGATATTTTTATAATTATATAATGTGTTTATATTATTAATTTATTGTTTAACCGCTATTGCATCCGCAAGTGAACCAGTCATAAGTATCCCGCAAACGCATCCATTTTCAATTGTTATGCCAGTCGTACAAACCGCTTAATAACGCTACTAATCACAACCGCCCGCTTCCGCAAACTCCCGCACCCGCAACCGCAACGATTAAACCAGTCAGACCCTTAGATTACAAATCAAGTAACGAATCTAATTGTCATGAATATACATAAGATTTTAATTACTTCTGAAGTTATCGAGATTACATTAGGACAAGATCATTATTAATGTCATAATGTAACAAATTATATCAGGACAACGATCTTTTTTAGATGAAAAATCAAGTAACAAATTTGAATGTCATAAATATACGTCGATTTTTAATTGTTTAAGAAGTTAGTGCATTACATTAGGAATATTAATTGGCCAACCATCTTTAGTGGCGTGTAGTTGTGATTTTTCTTCAAACGCTCATAAAGTCAATGGGTTACATGAATTTAATTCCGAATGTGAGACTAATGGCCATCTTATACAATAACTTAGTAGTTTTATCAAATTTTGATCATCTCATACAATAAGTTTATCATATTTTGATCATGAAAACTTGGTAGGTCAAATCTATTTAGATGTAAACCATATATTTGATGATCATTATTCTATTTGATCCCGTCATTTATTAACGACAATAGGAGAGTCTGGCCCATCAAGAATAAATCTTTCTCAAGAAACAAGAAATATATCAGGATAACGGTAAATCTTCTAAGCAAATGGAAGGAGATATATACAAATGGATAATTTTCGGAAAAGATAAGGAAAATAGATATTTGAGGCAACCGACTCCTATAGGAAAAGATACAAAGGTCCTCTTAACTTAAAGACCAATCCACAAATCGCTGAGAATACTAGAGCATAGGCAAAACCCTATTCCCTTTAACTCTTTTCATTCTTGTTTACTTTCTTTGATTCATCTCGGCAAATTTATCGCCGATCGGAATCTCTTTTGTACTTTGTATTGACTAAGAATGTTTGACTATAACTTTGGTGATCTATATCTTTTTTTTCTACTTTGGGGAATTAATTTTTATATAAAGGTAAAATATATCCTAACTAATTAAAAACTAGGAATTTTCATTCAAATATATACATATAATTACCAAAATATTTACAAGTTACGGTTTCTAATTACATTGGATTTATATGTGATAGAGATCACTTAACCTGAAATGTTTCGTATTTTTGGGAATTTTTTTGTTGTAGCATGAGAAAATTGTATAATTTACATCTTTAGAGGTAGACTAGTGGTTGTGTAAGTTATGGTTGCTGGAAATGTGAAGTTATGTTTAGCAATGTTTCAAAGATATATCCAATGAACAATTTGTTCAAGTAAGCAGAATTTATGTTGTGGAAATTGGACTGTCTTGTGGGATCAGTGAACAAATAATTAAATGTGGCATTGTTGTTTTCTTTAATTTTGCAGTTGGAGCTGAGTCAGAGGATTCTCAGATTGAGCCTTTGTTGAAGGAAGTAAAAGGTAAAGACTTGGCTGAGCTAATTGCTTCCGGAAGGGAGAAGTTAGCTTCAGTGCCGTCAGGTGGTGGTGGTGTTGCGATGGCTTCAGCTCCATCCGCTGGTGAAGGAGGCGGTGCTGCTCCTACTGCTGAGTCCAAGAAGGAAGAGAAGAAAGAAGAGAATGTTGGAACCAGACTATGTAAGTAGTTTTACTTTCTGTGTTTGAACTTACAGACATTGCTTGAAATGAAATCAGATAACTAATTTTGCTCACTTGCATGTTTTCGTGCTAATTTGCAGGACATGGGTTTCAGTTTGCTCGAATAATGCGGTGATACACTTGGGTTCTTTGTTTTGTTCTCATCCTTTTTTCTCTTCCAGGTTGCAACGTTTTGAAATCTATATGATGATGTTGTTGAAATCAGTTGGTATCAGAGACATAAAGCCCATCAGTGAGAGTCATGAGATCTATCGAGAGATCTATAGCGATCCGATTTACGATGTTTATGAAGATGATGAGATTTATAGAGAAATCTGTGGTGATACCATCTACGATACCTATGAAGATGATGTTTCGAACATTGATCATGTTGATTTTGTGTTCAAGCATGGTGGTTTCAACAAAGCTGCGCAAAATCTGGTCCATGCAGATTTAGAGCAGATCTTCATTCCTTCAAAGAAGTTTGATTGTAAGGTTGGATTTAGGAAGATCGATTTGGTGCCAAGAACACGGTTGAAGATTCGAGGACGAATCTTTCTTGGCCGGCGAGACCTGATGCAGCGAGATATTTGGAATATCTCCAAATATCTTGATTAAATATATTGCTTGTATTTAGATAAATTAATATGATTATATTAATTTTAATATTTAATTATTTAAGAGCTTTCTAGAATATTCTTAGAAATTGAGATTTTATTATAAATAACCGTCTAGGCTTCATATTGTATTCAGACTTTGATGAATTATTAAAAAAAGAGATTTCCTGGAGAGGTTTTGATAAACCACAATGAAGAGTATTCACAACCAAGAGATTTTGCGAAAGTCCTGAGAGGAGGACTCTCAAACCCTAGTTATCCGGTATTCTGCGGAAATCAACAGATCTCTAATCCTATCCCTAGAAGCTTCCGCTCCATCAGTCTTGTATCACCGATCGATCATCTTTTCTTAAACATTGCCGAAAACCCCAATAGATTTTGACCCACAACGTAATTAGCACTTTTGTTGTTAAAAATCTGTGTCTTCTAATTCAATCACAATCGCATTTGTTACATTCCAATCGGTTTTACAAAGTCATTCACTGTCTATTTTGTCTACTCTATATCAAATTTCACTGGCTTTTGTTGAATCCGAGATAGCACTCGTCAAGACGGGCTATCAAAGATGTGAGTTTAGGAAACTGGAATGCTTAATTCGACTCTTAGAATATCATGAAAGTTACAAAGGGGTTATCTCGCTAACAAGCCTAACGAGATAACAGTGATGAACAAGAAGAGAAAGTAAGATGGGTGCAAAAGCTTAGTGATTCTAGATGATTTTGGATCCTCTTTCCCCAATGGGGGGTCTTCAATATATAGTGTTGATGAGTCGGTTGAATGATGAATATTCTCCTTTGAGCGAGATGGAAAACTTCATCTTTTGTTATATAAAAAACTTCCTCTTGTTCCTGATTTCCTTCCATTCTTCAAGTCGGCATGAGGGTTTATTTACATTTCTTCATGAATTCTGCCTTCCTTCTCAAGCTTTCCCTTTTTGGTGAGGAAGTTAGGCCTAAAACCGGATTGGGCAATGGTGACGGGCTCAGGGAAATGTGCTCATTTCTCCTCTAACAGCTTTGAAGAGGTGAAAAAGAGATGTTAAAAAGAGGAGAGATGACGAAGGAGGGAATGAGAAAAGAAAGAGATATTGAGAGTGATTTTTTGGTGATTTCATTTCCTAATATTGATTTTATTATTTATTTTTCCGAGTGATTTTCATTTCCGCTATAATAGCCAGTGTCTGTAATAGCACTTTTTGTTTGCTATATGACATTATTTGATAACAACATAACGTTTGTTGTAGCAATTTATTGTCGCTATAACTATGACTATCATAGCCTACATATTTTGCCATTAATTTAGCAGTAGTAGCTCTTTATTGTCGCCATTACTCTGACAATCATAGCCTACAATTTTTGCGATCATTTTAGTAGTAGTAGCTATTTATTGTCGCTATTACTCTCACAATCATGGCCTACAATTTCCGCGATCATTTTAGCAGTAGTAGCTCTAAAAATGAGTTAATTCTTTCACATTTTGTAGCCGTGGTTTAGCGCTGTCTCTTTGACTACAGTAGCTAATCGTTAATGCTACTAATGCAGCCTTCAGTGACAATAATTTGCCGCTCTTGTCAACTGTACCAATCAATCGGGATTTCAATAGGATCACTACCAACCATAATGATTTCGACAATAAAACAGATTTACAAACATATTTACAAACATATTTACAATCAAAGACTTAGATTCAAACATATTTTTCTCATAACACATCTTTTAAGAAAATTATCCATACAATACCAAAATGTCATGATAAATGAAACACTAATTGATTTTTCTCAAAAACAATACTTAGTTCAAACACAAGACATAGGTAGATATGAATGGGAAGAGATAGTACTCCACAAGACTTACTTCACATCAAAAGATCACAACTTTGTCTTCTGGCCATGCTATTGTCGTTCCAATAGCATCCTCCATGCCCTCTATTGCTGAAGTTGGCTTCCAAACAGCTGTGTCATTGACCTTCACCACATCCACCCACACGCGGACCGCATTATGTCCCAAAGGTACAAAATGCACAAGCTGCTCAGGGTTGTTCGAAGACCAGCGCCCTTCAGCGACGACCCTATTCTCTCCACTAATGTCGAGCAGTTTGCATTTTTTATCTTCTTTCACATGCTGATAAGGAGTACTCTTCTGTGTGTAAGTAACTCATCAGTTTCACCATTCGTAATCTGTATTCCAAGTTAGGCGAGTTATAAAACAAATAGAGAAACTTACATGCTGAGATGAAGTCGAAGTAGATTCTGACATTGGTTTCGAACTCTTGACAGGAGCAGCAGGCGTACCTCCTTGCGTCAAGGAGATTCAATGAATGGTGACTCCGTACCTAAGTCCTCTACTAGAACATGAACTCTGTTCGCTGGCCATGCTACAAAGGACTTCAAAGAGTTATGAAGATTACTGAGTTCTTCAGTGGGTCGCCAGAGAAAGGTATCGGGTTGTAACTGATGCGGAGTCAGGTTTTACCAAACTCCTAGACCTCTGCAAGTGCACAGATCGCGGAAGTATGGGTATCGAACACAAGGACTGGCTATTGAGTACACTTTGAAACTATGGATTTTGGATCAAGCTAAAACAAAAGTATGATTGAGGTTGTAATGGTGAACCGAACTAGCAAGTATAACGAGGTTGTAAATCAATAAAGGAAAAGCGCTAGGTCATAGGGGCTATCGCAGAGAAGCAAGCAATGATCAATGAAACAATGATAGATAATTGATTAGGGATATTGGGATATTAAGAACCATCTAGAACACAGATCACGAATATAAAACCATTCCACTTTCGAGGCTCCGGCTCCTTTGCTAATCTACCTAGTCGCTAAACTTTTGGTATGTCCCTAGGTGATTAGATCAAGCATTTAGAATGAATAGGTTCTGATACAGTTCACTAGATATAGATAGATCAACTTTCGCAGTCTAAGAAACCTAGCTTGTCAAAGAATATGTCCGGCGAATGATACAGCACTGTCGAGGCTCAAATCAACCTAAGATCGGATTACTAGATGCGCGGTAAAGCAATCAGCATTAGTTAAGTGCACAAGACGAGACAAAGACTCTAATATAATCCCTAGCTAATCATTGAAATCAAAGATCATGCAAGCAACTCATTGAATAGTAACCCTAGCAACCTAACTAGTGGATTACTCAGACATGATCAAAGCAAACACACATAGAGATGAAGAAAACATGATTGCAATAAAACTTAGAGTAGGAAATCGAAATACAGGGCGGCTCTCTTTTCACAAGAGGCTAAAAAGCTATATATATAGTGCTAGGTCTTTTGAGGCGGCTTAGGGTTAAGCCGGGCTTGAAAATATGAAATTTGGGCTTCAAAACGGGCTTCGGGTCGACCGCGGCGTTGGGACGGTCGGTCGGGACGATCGGCCGGACAGTCGGGTCGTGGGCCGAGTCGGAACGGTCGTGGCCGGATGGATTCGGTCGGCCGGCGTGGTCGGCGGATGAGATTTGGCCGATGGTTTCTCGGCCGGACGTGGGACGTTCTTTCCCGGCTCGGACGGATGCATCGGCCGTGGTACGCGAACAGGTTGCGCGGCCGCGAGGCCTTGTTCCCGGCTCGCGCGGCATGGTCGTGCGCGGCGTGGCGTGACGCTTGAAGCTTGGCCGACCGCGGGACAATGTTTCCCGGGTCGTGTTGCGTGATCGGCCGGTGGTTTGGAACTTTGGCCGAGACTTCAGTCGGACGGATGACTTTGGCCGAGCGCGAAACAATCGTTTCTCGGCCAGCCGGTCTGCGCGGTTGGGCGCTGATTCTCGATAGAGCCGTCTGGACAGTCTTCACTCTTTTGGTATAACTCCTTTTCTACTCATCCAAATGAGCCATTCCAGTTGCGTTGGAAAGTTAACTCAATCAGAGCACGCAGGGAACTGGTCTTGATGAAATCCATTGAGTAGATCTTTTTCTGGGCCCTCTTAAAGTTGGTGCTTGTGCATGGAGCTGCTTGAAGTGCAAATCCTATGGTTTTGCTCCAAAATGCATCATTTCACCTGTTTAGACTCTAGACACTATAAACACAGTAAAACTACCTTTTTAGATAGAAAACCTGCCAAAAACCATTAGAAAACAATGCTAAAACAGTATAAAAAGTGGGTAAATTAGAGGTATATCAGTAACACCTCATCTACAAAAACCTTAATGGCCTTTGGTCCTAGAGGAAGGCCGTTCACCAAAGCTTTGGGATCACGACTCTGCCAACAGCCTTCGGCGACAGGCTCGTCGTCATCAGTTAACCAGTGTAGAAGTTTGCACTTGTTCACAGAGGTTGTGCTTGGACTCTGTCATTCACATAAGTCGGAATCAGTTGTCGCTATTAGTGTCTCATATATACCTTATACACACCAAAGTTTTAACTACCATAAATCATGAATGAGGGTTTGGTTAATAAGAATGTACCTTTGGCGGAATGTCTTCCAAGTCTAACTCCTCAGCAAGCGAGACAACACAATTCTGAGGCCACGCAATGGTCTCTCCTACAGCTTGGGATATAGTATACATATTGAGAGCAGGTCTCCAAAGAAAGGCATCTCCTCTAATCACTGTATCCACAGCCACCTTCACAGAATTAGGCCCTAATGGTACGTTCTTGACGAAGTCCATGTGATCAGAAGATACAATGCGGGCCTCAGCAACTTTATACTCGGAGCCACACCAATCAAACAGAATACACTTGGTCTGCTTCCTTTGGTTTACAGTCTACAAACAATCAAAAATTTCTAATTAGAACAAGTGAACTTTTACAGACAAGTTACAAAGACAATCTGAATGGAATAAAATGCTTACTTTTGCTGCCGAGTTTTCACCCACCTCATTCTCTGGACGCTGGTAAAAGGGTATATCATTGTCAGATAGCATATAGCCAAACAGATGAACAAAAATGAGATATGTGTAGAAACTTACGTGGTTATTCATCCTCGCAAGAGTCTCTTGTAATTCATTGTCTTGCTGCTGCAATTGAACTTGAGTTTGTTGCATTTCTGTGACGTACTTGCTCTTCGCCTGGAAACAAGCAAGCTTGCTCATGCTCATGCCGCGACCCATTGCCATGAGTCGTCCAGGGTTGTGAGGTCCTAATATCTGCGCCAGACAGTCTTCTTTTGAGTTAGAAGACGATGACATGGGAGTTTCAGATTGGATGAACTCATTGGCCTTTTGCTGGTAAGAGTGAGTAAAACAGTTAAGTGTCAGACATTTACAGAGTGTTTCTCTTACTAATGACAAAAACTGACTATTTTAGAAGCAGCATCCGTGTTTACTGCTGTCCCATCCTTCTTAGTCCGTGACTTCACCCATACATTCAGTCGTGTAACTTCAGCTGGTTCTGAGCTTTCTTTTTTCTAGGCAATTAAATATATCCAATACGTAAGACACTCTTAACAAAAACACAGCATTACCACAAAGATTCACATGAAAGAGCGATCACCATGTCCTCTGCCAATCTAACCATCCCTTTGCGACAACATGTGTGAGGAATTTGCTTACTCCTTCTTTCCTTATATGAATCGCTAACAGCCTAAACTCGAAAATTAGTACACATTAGAGGCAAATACCACTTAAAGGTAAAAGTTATTACCTTGAACTCTTGGCTTGTTTTTTGTTGCACAAACTACCTCCATTCTTCAGATGGAATATTGCCTGGCCTTAGCTTCATTAGTTCCGAATGGTTGTGCGCATCTCGTATTTGTTTAACCAGCCTTGATTTAGAAGCCCTCCATAAGCATCCCGTCTGCTTCATAAGGGCATCTCCAATGTATTGCCCCATATTTGACTATAAATGAAGAAATCTCAAAATAAAGTTGGGTTTTGCTCCAATGTATTGCCTCATTTTTTACTTCAAAACCTTTTATTAATTACTAAATTTACATTGTATATTTATATATATATATATTACAAATTGCCCCATAACAGATGCCTTCCCATATTCTCCATCAAGATCAAATCGTATCTAAAACAAGTATGAAAATGTTAACTCAACAGTATGTAAAAAAGATTTAACTGATAGTAATTAAAAAGGGTGGACGGATTACCTTTACAGATTTCCATAAAACTGTCTTCCGATCTTCACCAATTTTTCTCCAATCATCTATCAGTACGGGAACATGTTCCCGTACCAACGGACCTAGGTACGACGACAACTTCACTGATCCTTCTCCGTAGGGCTCACCGAAATCAGTGAACTCCACTCTTAATTTTGCATTAGAATCCCTAGCAATATCCTTCATCTTGGTTGGTCCCCTGTGTTTTTTTAGTTGTGGCGGTGCACTCTCCTCAGCTACCTCTGGTATGGCAGTCGGTTCTTTCTCTGCCTCGTGTTCTGACTGCTCCTTTTCACTTTCTGAACCAATCTCAGTTCCTTGCGCCTCATCAATTGCAATGTCCTGAAGAAGTGTGTCATCTGGGAAGCCTTCTTCTGCCTCTGCGGGTATCGAGCAAACGAATTCAGGCTCTGAATTCTCCACCTGATTCTTCCTTTTCTTCGTTCCCTTGGGTTTCTTGCCCATCTGGCTCCTTCTGTAAACTCAAAGATGTTATAGCCAACGTTAAACAGACACGACTATAAAAAAGTAAACCAAAACATATGAATGCCATTACCCTAAAAAGACACACGAATCCATTTAAAATGCAAAGCAAACTCAAAGAAAATACAAATCCACAAGGCAGTCAACTGTCAATGAAAATCAAAGCAATAGTAACACACTCAAGACAATACGCAATAAATGAATCAACTCTGTCACACATATATTCCTTCACAGTCGTCTCGGACATTTTGAGAATCATGTGCCAAATCTTCCTGATTCATATCAACTACTGAAGGCAATGGTCCAACATCCATATGACCTTGCAAATTATCATCACTGTATCTTCTCGGAGGACCCCTCATGACTACATACCAACTAGACTCATCAATTTCCCTAGAGTAGAATATCTGTTATGCATGTGACGCTAAAATGAATGGATCCTTCGCAAATGATATTTGGCTTGATTCATATTAACCAACGTGAACCCATCTTCGACCTTGACACCGTTCCCCCTAACCGCCCATTGACACCGAAATATAGGAACGTAGAATACGTTATAATCTAACAAAATGATATCTAACACTCTCCCATAGTATGAGACTAGATCAACTACTTGAGCCATATCATTAGCACTAGATCTACACATTCATGTTGCCTCGTAGTAAACACCACTGTTCTGACTAAGTCTATTCGCTGAGGCTATATGAAACTTCAGGCCATTGATTATATAACCCGTGTAAGATCTAGCTACACTACGTGGACCATATGCTATCCACTTAAGTGTCTCGGCGTTGTCTTCAGCATCCAGAGGTATCTAACAATACCAAATCATCATGTGAGATAAGTAATTAACTACCCAGTAAATGAAACAAATTCTAGAAGAAATATAATAAAACGTGCCTGTTGTTTTAGCCATGTTGCGAATTTCTGTGTGTGCATACTCCATAGGTAAGTTGCATCACGTCTACATCTAATGTTAGTGTCCTGAAGATGTTGGACATGAGCTTTTACATGTGAAAAAAAAAAACAAAGTACTTTAGACCATAATTGCGGAACTAATTAAAATAAATGCATATTCAAAAGAGAATAACTTACTCGACATACGGTTCCACCATAGCCGTGTTTTGTATTACCGCCAGGTGTGCTATCTTCTTATCCGTCTCGGTAAGAGAGAATGATGTGCCAGTCAATATAGGACGACCTTCTAGTATGGATTCACTCTCGTATGCAGTGTTCCTATCGTCTTTGTCTACCACATTGGTTGTCTTCTTCAAAAAAGGCAGAGCAAAACTGCATACATTCTTCTGCAAGATAGGACTCGGCCATACATCCTTCCTGTCTTGCTAAGTTTCTCACGTAGTCATTCAAAACTTTCATGTACCTGCTTATACCAAACATGAAAAGAAACCCCAATATTATCACTACTGTAAATAAACATCAAAATATGAGTGAATAAAGTGGAAAATTATAACCTTTCGATTGGGTACATCCATCGGAAATGCACCGGACCACCTAACTTGGCTTCCCTTCCTAGATGTACACATAAGTGAACCATAATGTCGAAGAAACTAGGAGGCCAGAATCTTTCGAAAATACACAGACTCTCCACAATCTCCGTCTCCATTTTCTGGAGCTGTTCCATATCAATCACTCGTTGACACATAAGGTTGAAGAAAGAGCATAACCTAAAAATAGCTATCCTAGGCAGTGGACCTCTAACTGCAACTGGTAATAGTTGTTGCATCAAAACGTGGTAATCATGAGATTTAAGTCCCATGACTTTGCACTCATCTATTGACACACAACTAGCAATGTTTGAGCAGTAACCATCCGGGCCTTTAAAGTCAAATAGACGCTTACAGAAAGTTTTCTTCTGTGACTTTGACAATGACCAAGGAGCTGCAGGAAGTAATATCCGTTTACCGTGAGGTTTAGGATGCAAGTCCTTCCGGATGCCAAGAGCTTCAAGATCCTTTCTAGCTTTTATGCAGTCCTTGGAATTTCCACAATGCAATAACGTTGCAATTAAACTCGCAGCCACATTCTTCTCAACGTGCATCACGTCCAAATTATGTCTCACCGGTAAATCCTTGTAAATCATGGGAAATAAATGTTAGTCAGAGAACACAAATATTTTGCCATCTACAGATATGAATATAAAAATGTAATTATACCTGCCAGTATGGTAAGGTGAAGAATATTGATCTTTTCTTCCATCTGGATAACTCCTCTTCATTTTTTTCTGCTAAGTCTTCTTCCTCGTCAGATGCACTATCTTCTGCCTCGTTATCAGAAGTCACTTCTACGCGGGAAGCTCTAGATCTCTTTTTCCCGTCTCTTTTCTATTTCCAAAATCATTTCTGCAACTTTTCAGTATAATGGAAACATTCCTACCCGTAAGGATCCTACTCTTAATCCCATGCTTAGTTTTTCCATCAAACCATGTCTTCTTCACTCTGAAACTATGACTCGGGGATAAACCTTTCCTATGGCACATGTAGACATGTTTCCTACTATTACTCAACCACAAACTATCCGTATGCTTTCCACAAATAGGACAACCCATGAGCTAACGTCTGTGAAATATAATTTTCCCACGTTTCTCGCTTTTAAGTCCCTCTTGAAGAAGAGTTTAGACCAACAGCAAAATAATCAATCATAACAACGTTTCTCTGGAGAGTGAAAAATGAGAAAACGAGAGCGCCTCCTCCCTTAGGGTTTTGGCTTTTCTAAAAGGAACTTTTTGGCCGCAAAAATTTTCATACATCCCAACGGCAAAAGTTCTCCTTTACAACACGTTTTCTCTCTAGCTCCCTGCTATCGCCTCTCTAGCACTCTGCTACGTAATCTCTCCGAATCCCTCAAGCACCGAGACCTAGTCACATAGTTTGACGGATCTCTGTAAGGTTTGGCCACTGTTACGTCACGATACGACCTATACGAAACTACATCTAGCGAAAGTGCTATGTCTTACCGAGATAGATATTATTTCTCCGGTGAAACAACCCAAAACGATGAGCCAACTCAATGGATCTGCACGTCGGGAAGGAAGCCCCATCACAGCACGCAGAAGACTTGTGGTGGACGATGAGATCATCCAGATCCCGGATTGTGACCTCACCGCAGTCACAGAACAGTTCAAACAAACCCTAATAGGGCGAACTTTCAATCGTGAAGGCAGAAGTATTGATGCTTTAATCAGCATGCTCCCGAAACCCAAGATCTGGGACGTGGAGGGAAGAGCTCACGGAATAAACCTTGGCAATGGTCGATTCCAGTTTGATTTCAATCATGTGGACGACATGAACAAGGTTTTAGCTAAACGACCATGGCACTTTAACCAGTGGAGCTTTGCGTTGGAACAATGGGAGCCTTTCACTCGTGAAGATTTCCCCAACACGATGCTCTTCTGGATCTCAATGACCGGTGTACCGGTTCACTTCTGGAACAATCCCACTTTCAACGAGATCGGCAAAGTCCTAGGAACGGTCACCAATATTGATGCCAAAAGAGTCAAATTCCAAGTCTCCCTTAATGCAGACAAACCATTGCAATTTGAGAGAAAAGTTGGCTTCCCCAATGGAGACATTGCTACCATAACCCTAACCTATGAGGGTTTGCAACGATACTGTTTCACATGTAAACTCCTTTCTCATGAAGAAGCGACATGTCCGGAACTCACATAAGAACAACGTGAGGAAAAAAAGAGGATACGTGTGGAACAGCTTCGACAGGAAGCTATGGTTGGATATGGCGTTGCTGCAACAACTAAATCTACAAAAGCAAAGGAAGCTTCGGGCAGCCTGAGAACCGAGATGCGTGATGATTACCTGTACGATGACCGTTCAAGGACCAATGTTCCTAAACGAGAATATCGACAGAGATCGAACCATACAAACCTTTCTGAGTCCCGATCAGTATCCCAAGACAAATCTGCCTCGAGATATCACGACCTCCGTCAGGAGCTAAGAAAAAGAAGAGACTCGCGTGGTCGTGAGGTATGGAATCGCCTAGATCGTAGCAATCTCGAGAAGCGACATTCAGGCAGAGATCGATACCACCCGTATGAGAAATCAACGAGTGAACGGAGGGGCTCTCGGGATTTGAGAAAAGATTCCCAGCAAGTCTGGCGTCCAAAAAAACCCCAACAACTCGATACCCCGACCTCTAGAATCTCTAATCAGGAGAGAGCTGTACGAGAACCGCCCTCGGACTCGCAACGAACTGTTTCTGATATACCAAATAATAGGGAAAGGAGCCAGAACCAAGCTAAGGGCCTGCTGATCACATATCCTACTGAAGCTGAGAAAGAGCTAGTCTGGAAGAGAAAGGGGAAGGAACATGCGGTGGAACTCTCAAAAGAGGAAAAACTGCTGAGGTACATGGAACAACCTCCACCATTGAGGAACCTCTCTATCACAGAACCGGCCCCTCACAGAGCTCCAAATCCCGAAAACGAGACACAACAACTTCCGGACCCAAATGCTCTCCTGCTACCTCCATCAGACACAATGGTGCCAATCTCCCCAATGGAGGAAGAGTTCCTAGCGGCTATGGAAGAGGGAGAACTCGATGAAACCCTCACGGCGGCACAAATCGACTACATGATCAATGAACTTGCTGAGAGTGGACTGGATGATGAGATGCTGGAGAATGATGACCTTCTCGGAGAGGAACTGGCTTCTGATGAGGAAAAGATTGATGCTATTTCACAACTCTCTCCACTGGTTTTTCAGGATAAAGAGTATGATGACGAGATGCAGGAACAAGAGGCTGAGATCCCACAGAACAAAGACAAGGGGCTCCAGAACACCCCTCAAGGAAGAAAGAAGAGATCCGTACCCAGTCCGGAGAAGAAGGGTCGACATGCCTCGAGGAAACTCCAAGCTCTCCGCCTCAAACCATCTCCAAAGAAGAAGCCACCAACGGGTAAAACATCAAAACCTTTGGCTTCATCTCGTCTCCCTCATAATGAGGTGTTTCCCTCTGCTCTAAGCAAGAGATCTTCTACTGTTTTAGGTTCGGTGGTGTCCCAGAAACCACCCAGTAAGAAGATATGAATACAATTGCTTGGAATTGTCAAGGTGCAGGAGCTTATTTGACCAAGAAACATCTTCAAGAGCTGCACCGCCTTTTTATTCCTTCTTTTTTTTTTCTTTCAGAAACAAAAAATAATTTTCCCTTTATGCAAGATTTACAATTTTCTTTTGGTTATAATAAATTGTTCACCGTGGATCCAGAGGGGCTAATCGGTGGACTAGCTTTGTTTTACTTTGATTCTTTTAATGTCAAGATTATCTCCTCAAACAACCGGCTAATTGACATCGAAGCCACCATTGAAGAACATAAAGTTTTTATGTCTTTTATTTATGGAGATCCGGTATATGAACGCCGTGACAAAGTATGGGATCAACTTAGTCAACTCAGCTTGACTAGACATGGACCATGGTTTATGATCGGAGATTTCAACGAGATGGTAGGGAATCACGAGAAAAGAGGAGGAAGACGACGCGCTGAATCATCCTTCTTACCATTTCGGTGCATGCTCGATGATTGTGGCATGATATTGTTTCTATGTAAAGGTAATTTCTTATCATGGATGGGCTATCGCAGCTCAGGAAAAGTACAATGCCGGCTTGATCGTGCAGTGGGGAATGAGGATTGGCACCACTGTTTTTCCCACACTAATGTGGAGTATCTAAGGTTATGGGATTCAGACCATAGGCCAGTTTTGGCTAGAATCTCTTCTAAAATCATCAAGGCCAAACGAAATTTCAAATTTGATAAAAGATGGCTCGGCCAAGAGGGCTTTAGAATGACAGTCGAGAGAGGATGGGGTCTTTCACGAGATGTGGAACGGGGGAATATACATGCAAAAGTTCACACATGTCGTCGTGCTATATCTGCATGGAAGAAAACAAACCAGACTAATTCACAAAAAAAAATCGAAGACCTAAAAGAGAAGCTGGAACGTGCACAAGTGTGTGACAACACTTCAAGTGAAGAGATCCTAAAGCTTAAATGGGACTTGTGCGATGCTTTTAAAGAAGAAGAATTATTCTGGAAACAAAAGAGTCGAGCTACTTGGCTTAGAGAAGGGGACCGAAATACCAAATTCTTCCATGCCACCACCAAGCAAAGAAGAGCAAGAAATCGGGTCACAAAGCTAAAAAAAAAAACGATGGAACATGGGCTGAGACGGAGGCCGGTATTGAAACAGTAGCGACGGAGTATTTTCAAAACTTGTTCACATCATCTCAACCACGGGATTTCGAAGAAGCACTCCGCTACGTGCCAACACAGGTCACTCCTAATATAAATCAAGCACTAAAAAAGCGCCCTACCACGGAGGAGATCCAACAAGCAATAAAAGAGATAAATCCTGCTCCCGGCCCCGACGGTATGACAAGCCTTTTCTTCCAACAATTTTGGGATGTCACTGCAAATGATATAATATCTATGGTCAAGGATTTCTACATAAGCGGAACTCTAGACCCAAGGCTGAACAATACAAATATCTGTCTCATCCCAAAGATAGAACGGCCAAAAGAAATGGCGGAGTTTCGACCCATAAGCCTCTGCAATGTTAGCTACAAGATTATCTCGAAAATCTTATGCAAACGTTTAAAACGTTTTCTCCCGAAATTGATCTCGGAGACCCAATCAGCCTTTGTGGCTAGACGGCTTATCACAGACAACATATTGATCGCTCAAGAAGCTTTTCATGCTCTCAGAACAAACCCCAGCTGCAAATCTAAGTTCATGGCTATCAAGACAGATATGAGTAAAGCATATGATAGAGTGGAGTGGAGCTTTCTCAAGGCACTCATGCTTAAAATGGGATTTGCAGAAAAATGGGTCTCTTGGATCATGTCTTGTATCTCTTCAGTCTCTTACCAAGTATTACTGAATTGGGAAGCAAAAGGACACATACAACCTTCAAGGGGGCTCCGTCAAGGTGATCCGTTATCACCCTTTCTCTTTATCATATTAACAGAGGCCTTGATAGCTCAAATTCGCGGAGCTGAAGAAGAAGGAAGACTTACGGGTCTTAAGATAGCAAGGAATAGCCCACCAATATCACACCTCCTCTTTGCAGACGATAGCTTATTTTTTTGCAAAGCAGATGTCCCGCAATGTGCGGAGGTAATGAGGATCATAGAGACATATGGACGGGCAACTGGACAACAACTAAATGCCTCTAAATCCTCTGTCTTTTTGGCAAGAAAGTCCCACCCGATATTCGTAACGCATTGAAACAAACTTTGGGCATCATGACTGAAGGAGGGATGGGAACATATCTTGGTCTCCCGGAGAATATGAGCGGATCAAAAAAGAGAATCTTCACATTTATACACGATCGCCTCAGTAAGAGGATCAACTCGTGGTCTGCTAAATTACTATCTAAGGGAGGCAAAGAGGTTATGATTAAATCAGTGGCACAAGCTTTACCAAAATATGTGATGTCTTGCTTCCTTCTTCCCCAAGAAACCGTGAAAAAATTACAAGGAGCTATTTCGAGATTTTGGTGGAGCACGAAGCAAAATAATAAAGGATTACACTGGATTGCATGGGATAAGATTTGTCTCCCAATGGAGGAAGGCGGCCTAGGCTTCCGGGATTTAAAAAATTTTAATCTCGCATTACTTGCGAAGCAATTATGGCGAATCTTTCACTACCCATCGTCACTCTTAGCAAGGATTCTTAAAGGAAGGTATTTCTTGAATTCAAACCCCTTAGACGTGGTAAAAGCAAGCTCCCCATCTTATGGTTGGAAGAGTATGCTGGCAGCTCGAAATCTACTCATATCCGGACTACGAAAAGCAATAGGTTTGGGAGGTAATACGGTAGTTTGGCGTGACCCCTGGCTGCCTACTAACCCACCTCGTCCACCGAATAGCAATGGTGGTATCCAAGATCCATATCTATTGGTTTACCATCTCATAGATCAGGAGACAAAGCCGTGGAAAGAGGAAACCTTCCGACAACTTTTCACGGAGGATGATGTACGATGGATACAAGGCATTAAGCCATCTCGACTTCCTCAAGCCGATCGACTAGTTTGGGCTTATACAAAAACTGGAGCATACACTGTCAAATCAGGATATGAACATGCTACACGTAGGTCAAACGCAGAAAAACCAGCATACGTGCTCGAGCCAAGCATCATCTCTTTGAAGCAAGAAGCATGGAAAACTAGAACGACGAAAAAGCTCAAACAATTCATCTGGCAATGCTTAACGGGTTGTATCGCGGCACGTGACCGTCTCGTGGACCGTCATTGTGGCTCGGACCGATCATGTCCCCGCTGTGGCGACGAAGATGAAACAGTTAATCATCTTCTCTTTGAATGCCCTGAAGCAGTCAAGGTATGGACGCTGTCCGATATTCCCATCATTCCGGGTGTTTTCCCGAGTAAGGCAATCTTTTGTAACTTCGATCACTTGATTTGGCGGGCACAAGAGAACGGAACCCAAGACCAGACACTGCTCAAATATCCGTGGATATTATGGTTCATCTGGAAAGCAAGGAATGAGAAGGTGTTCGACAACACAGATGTGGAACCCCTGAGTACACTGCAGTCTGCGATGTCAGAATCCATCTCATGGCTCAATGCACAGTCCCCTGCCACCATTAAGGAACAAACAGAACCGCTTCCCTTATTACCGAGAAGTGACGAAACAGAATCGTGCCTCCCACGCTGTCAAGTTGATGCCTCATGGGGCATTAACTCAAGCAATAGTGGAGGTGGTTTCGTCCTTGATGGCGGGTTTAGATTGCCTCAAATTTTCACAATTTATAAACCCAACTAATGAGCTGCAAGTGCACAGCCGTGTTGTAGTCGGGGTCGAACACGAGGAGGAAGTGTTCTCACTTAACACCTTGTGAGATTGGTTTAGCTAGCTCGCAATATGAGATGGTTTTGGACCTAGAATGAGAAAAAACAAAAGAAATGTGAGTGAGTTGTAAACAATTTAAAACAAGAGTTAGGCAAAGGACAATCATATGGAGCAATGATGAAAAGATAGTTGCATGGGATGTGTGTAGAGCCGTCTTGAACATGAATCACTAGTGTATGGTCTTTCCACTGTCGTGGCTCCAACCACTATGTTTAAAACAACCTAATATACTCAGCTTTCGTTGGCTATTAGAATTGCAAACATGCATTAAAGGTGATCAAGATTCAATTGTTCACAATAAACCATAACTCAGCTTTCGTTGGCTATGATCTATTGCTCACCAAATACTAGTTTTGAGATCTAGATTCAGCACTGTCGTGGTTCTATTTCTCTAAGATCAGATTACTAGATGTACGGTAGAGTAATCATGCATTAAGCTCAAGTAAAGGTGAAGATCCATAAGATAAATCCCAATAAGTTGCAACACAATCAAATCATCACGGCCACCATAGATCTCCTCGGCCTAACTAAGAGATCTACTCGGCCATGATGCAAACAAGCAAGCAAAGCATGATTGTAAACATTATGCAAGTATTAAAAGAGATAAAGGGATGAAGAAAGCTTCTCTATTGATGAACAAAGTCGGATTCTCCCTTGAAAACTCTTAAAATCAAGTTTATAGAAATGGAAACAATGAAAAAGAAAGAACAAGAGTTGAGCGGCGCCTCCTTCTTCTTGGACGATCTCCTAGGGCTTCTCTCCTCTGAACTCTCTTCTCACACGTACACTCTTTGATAATTTTCGGACTCGACTCTCTTCTTCAGCGGCTAAAAACATGTATATATGGGCGAAGTCGCGTAGGGTTTTCTTCATGCCGGAAAAGGAAAGTTTCCCGCGAGCAAAGCCTTCTTCTCCACGTCGTGTATGGGCCGACATTGTACCAAGGAAAGCTCCAAACATTAGCCAGGCCTCTTCTCTATTCGATCAAGGCCTTTGGCGCTGCTGCTCGGGCCATTAGACACTCCAAATCCTCCATGGGCTTCGTTTGCTCGCTTACCGGACATGTCTCGGTAGAAAATAAGTCTAGGCCTCATAGTTGATCCAAATGGCTTCATTCCACTTCGACGTGATGCATGACTCAAGTATCTATCTTTCCATATCAAGATCGTAACTTTTGGACGTCGGGAACTCCTCCGCGCGCGGCCAAACTTCCGAAGCTTCGTTCTGCGCGCAGCGAGAACTAACACTTGGAGATAAAATGATCTTCTTGACTTGGAAACTTGCATGGATCTTGATTTAGGGCTCTTTTACTCCTTTTTGCATCCTTTTTGATGGTTTCACCTACAAAGACTTCAAATCCCACAAATACAAGAAAACTACCTCTAAAGGCAAAGAATCTTGCAAAAACCGTTTGAAAACATAGTAATTATATAGTAAAATCATGTAAAATATGGTGATATCAACTCCCCCAGACTTAGCCTTTTGCTTGTCCCCAAGCAAACTAAGCAGGAAAAGAGGTTTGAAAACGTGAGAACTCTCAAATCTTTTGGAAATCCAAATTGACTTATGCTTTAGTAATCCACATGAAACAGCATTGGCAAGTTTTGAATTAAGAACAAAGTACATACCATGAGTTTTGCGATTTTCCCAAAGCGGTCCACAATCCAATTCGCCACCCTTGACTCCTTTCATTTCTAAAGGTGTGGTCTCAACTAGGGAGTATCGATCAGCCGGCTTTTAGATTCTTTCTCATCCCCTTGTTTGGCACTTGTCTTTTACTCCATGTTTCTCCTCTCTCTCTTCTCACTTCTTTGAGTTGATTCATCCCTTTTTTAGGGTAGCGAAGTATTTTTTTATTCAACTCCTTCTCTTTATTATAGAGGTTTTGCTTGGATCTTCCACAGACGCGAGTATTGATGGTGTTTGCCACCGAATCCCCGGTTGCTTGGATTCATAGGCCTTCCATAGACGCGAGTATTGATGGTGTTTGCCACCGAATCCCCGGTTACTTGGACCTTACGCTTTTTCTTTAAATTTGAAGGGGAGAGAGAGGGAAGCACGAACTCACTAAGACTTTTTCATTTGATGGAGAGGATGAGGAATCATGCCATTTGTATGCCAAGCCCCTAGCTGAGAAGATTAAGTTCATTAAGGGCGGAGTCAAAGATGGATCCTTCTCAAGTCTTTAGAGATGTAGGCGTTTTTGGTAGATCGATCAACTCATAGTGCACCTGTGGTAAGATGTATTGCCAAGAACTGCTCAATGGTCACTTAAACATTAGTACAACCATGGTTAGATCCAAGATAAGGTCATGATTCTCGACAAAAATTTTGACTCAATAAAAACGACTCGATAAAGGGAAAAAATGCAAATGAAAACGCCAAAATGAACAAACATTGTTAGTAATCCCCCCAGACTTAACTTGCACCGTCCCGGTGAAATCAAATCGGATTAAGAGAGGCATAACATGAAGTTCAAATGAAAAATTGAAAAGAAAAAGGTTTAGGATGATGTTACCAAATGTCGACCAATTTATAATGAAGATCAGTTCCGGTTTGGGTCATTCTACACTTCTTTAGGCAATATTGGTCGGTGAGTTTTTAATTTCAGGCCTTGGTTTCCGCCGGTTTGTGTTTTGGCCGAGATTGGTATATTCGGTCGGCCAAAATGTGGTGCTGTGAACTACAGAACAAACCGTCAAAATTTCATGACCTATATTGAAATTTCATCGACCAACCTGGTATTTTATAGCCTCTGGTGAAGTTTGGGAGCATTTGTACGAGCGGATTGAGACTTCCTTCACAAAATGGTCAAGTCGGCTCCGGGAAGGAGTTTCCTTGGCCATGTGAAGTTTGGCTCGTTCCTTTTCGTTTCTTCCTGCATAAAAGTGTTAGTTAAGCTCAAAGAAGAGTTTTCCAACCGGTTGGCGCGCCTATGCCGTGATTTGGTTTTGTCGGCCATATTGCTTGCGCGCCATCGGCCAGAATGAGCTCCGTCGTCTATCTCATGATCCGTGATGATTTCTCCGTCCTATCTTTTGGATTTGCCGACCAAATGTGATTTTATGGTCGCCTGTGAAGTTTGGTGGACTTTGGTCACGCCGTTTAGGAGTTGGCCGTAATTTGGTCTCCTTGTGCGCGGTATGGCCGAGAGAAATGTCCGGATTGAATTTCTTCAAATCCACTCGGGCCAATTGAGATTTTCTTCGACCGAATTGTTTTAATAACCCTCCTGTGTCATTCCCAAGTGGTGGCCGCCTTGTTTCGTGTGATGGCCTTGTATCTCCTTTTAACCTCCCTTTGGCCGCCATATGCATGTTGGTTTTGAGGTTGGTTATAGGTTTGCTCTATTTCTCCTTCCTGTCAAATGTTAACTCCTTGCAAAACACTTGAAATCATGATTAGATGGTTTCTCAGATTGTGATCCTCAAGTGACCAACTTGAAGTTCACAATCCAAGAGATTAAAGCACAAACTATAAATTCTTATTTGGTCTTGGTCAATGATCCAAATTTCAAACTATAGTTCAATCTCTTGTAATTTCAGTGAGCAGAATGAGTTTTGACAAGTGATTATGTATTCTTTCCAATCATCAAAAGTAAATCAAGTTAAACCATGAAATATATTTGATAAAGTGCAATGGTTTAAACGATTTTTCAAGTGAAGATCAAGAGTGATTAGAAATGAATACTAGGTGAGAGTTTACTTACCTTTTGGAAGAGAAACGCCTTGTACAAGGGTGGGCTCATTGGGTGGGACACTTCCATTGTTTGGTCTCCTTTGGGTCTTCATCCTAAGAAAATATTTTTGTATTTTTGTTTGATTTTTGAAAAACTCCTGCAAAATAGAAATAATAGTTAAAAACCATATGGGTTGCCTCCCATAAAGCGCTTTTGTTTTAAGTCATTTAGCTTGACTCCTTTTCTTTCTTTCAATCGTGGTGAAGAGTGGCTGAAGGGCAAAGGATCCCTTTAGCTTCTCCATTCTCCGGTTCAGTGGCTTCTTGTGGTGGTGTTGTCGCGCCATAGTCATCTCTCACATCATCTTTGAAAACCAATGCCTTGGGGAAAAGCTTCATAGTTCTCTCAAGCTTCTCTTCAATGGATTGGTCACCTTTAAGCTCCGAATCTTTTGGTGTAAAGATTCTTATCTTGTGAAAGAGATTAGGTGCACCATTAGTCTCCTCTTCAGCTCCATATTCATCAAAGGTTGGAAGTAAGATGGAGTTGATATCTTAAAGACATTTTCATGCCTCGGCTCCAATGTTTTCTTCTTCTCCTTTGGTTTTGGGTAGCGCTCACTCTCTCTTCTTTCTCCATGCAGCATAGCTTCTTTCTTGGTAATGAGAGTGGCTTCTTCTGGTGGTAGCTTGGTCGCACTTGGCACTGACCTGAAATTTACACTTGGGAAAAAGATATCTTGCCGGATGTGGCCAAAAGATAGATGATTCCCAAAGTAGTTTAGGACCGCTCCAGCTGTAGCAAGGAATGGGGTTCCAAGAATCAGTTGATTCCTCTTTGAGCCTTCCCAAATCATGACTTGAAAGTCAGTTGGGACCGATCGACCCCCTATTTCCATCATGACATCTTCAAGCATTCCATAGGTTCCATGCACGATAGATCCGCGAACTCGACTCTTATCTTGGGGCTCTTGAATTCCTTGAATCCCAAATCTTTTGCAAGTGCAAGAGACATTAGATTAACATTAGCACCAGTATCACATAGGCAATCGTGGAGTTGAATGCCATTGATACTTGAAGTTATCACAAACTTCCCCGGATCTTCTTGTTTTTGTAGTGGCTTGCCTTCAAGTCTTCTCTTGTAAGCTCTTCTTGATTCCCAACTGTATCTCTCCGGTTTGTGCCTCTCCTTAGGCTCATTTTCTTCTTCTTCCCCTTGAGATAGTGTAGGAACAATTGTGCCATCTATAGATGAGACAACACTACAAAATTTTTGAGTGTTTACCTCATTTTGTTTCTTGGCCGCCTCGGCTGTTTGAGCGATTTGCACCTCAAGCTTTTGAACGTGAGTAGAGAGAGACCCAAACTTGCTGCTTAGATCACCAAACATGTGATCAAGCTTCTCATATAGGTTCTTGGTGATCAATCTCTGCTCCTCCATGTATTTCTTCAAGCCACGTCAACCTTCTCTCCGGTTTGGGTTGGATTTGTTTCTTGAGAAAAAGTGAATGGTTGCTTCACTTGGTACATCCCTCTTGGATAGACTTGTTGTGGCTTGGATTGGTATTGGCCTCCTTGATACGCTCCTTGATTGGGGTAGACTTGGTCATTTGGATTCTCCACATTGTTGCTCCGGTATGATAGGTTTGGATGCGCGCGAAATGGTGGATTGAATCCTCTATTCCCATAGTTTCCTCCAATGTAGTTGACTTCCTCTAGATTCTCTTCAGCGCCATCTCTCATGAAATCCATAAGAGTGTCTTCATTTGTGGCTAGGGCATCTTCAATGGCGTGAACTCCTTGTCGGCTTTTGAGTAGTTGTGAGACCATGTTCCTTAGCTCCGAGATTTGAGCTGATTCTGATGAGCTCGTGGTCTTCACGCTTCTATTGTAGTCAGGGCATGCATTGGCATCACTAGCAGCGAGATTCTCAATCAAAAGCTTTGCCTCCGGCACCGACTTGGTCATGAAATTACCATTGCTCGCGGTATCGAGAGAAAGCTTGTATTTATGATCAATCCCATTGTAAAAGATGTTCCAAAGGTTACCTTCTGAAAAGCCATGGTTAGGGCAGCTTCTTGTGTACTCCTTGAATCTCTCCAAAGCTTCATAGAATGACTCCATTGAATCTTGCTTGAAACCAGAAATCTTGCTCCTTATAGAGTTGGATCTTTGCTTAGTGTAGAATTGGTTCAAGAAAGCTCCCTTGTATTCATTCCATGTTGTAATGGACTGAGGTGGTAAAGATTTTACCCATCTTAGCGCCTTGTCACTTAGAGAAAAAGTGAATAGCTTGCACTTGAAGTAATCCGGCGATACTCCATTAACACGAGTTGTGCTACATATCTCCTCAAAGGTGTCGACGTGATCAAGAGGATGCTCAGTGGGCAAACCATGGAATTGGTTTTGCTTCACCAAGGCAATGATCTGCGGTTTGATCTCAAAATCGTTCCTTGGAGGTAGAGGCGGTCGGATTGGATTCCGATCCATAAAGAAAGCGTCGGAAGAATCAAAGTCTCCCATAGTTTGGTGCCTTGGATGCTGCGCGTTTGGCACTCTCCTTGGAGGTGCGTGAGGTTGGTCTTGAGGCATCCCTTGGTTGTCACCGTGACGATGATGTCCATTTGCAAACGCCGGTGGTGGTCGCGGCGGGTTAAGAGGTGGCTGTAGCGGCTCAGCTGCATCGGGCGCGTTCGGATTGGGTGGAGGAACGTCTCTGGCCGGTGCTGGCTGGTCAGCTCTAGCTTCTGCTGGATTAGGAGGATCATTGGCTCTCCTCTCTTGGTCGGGCGGGTTGTGTGGCCTATTTGGCGCGCCTTCTCCGCCTGGATTCATTCTTTCTCTTCTTAGCGCCTAAGTGTGCGCTCAAGTTGGTCAATGTCAAGATCTTCTTCAATGGTTGTATTTGGATTGGACCTTCTTGTCATGCACCTTAGAAACACACAAAGAGAGAGTTAAGTAAAATTTTTATGAGTTTTTAAGATTTTATGAAAAACAAAAACAAAGAAAAGTGAAAGATGAGATGAGCTAGTCTTGAAATCAATCAAGAGGTGTGAAGGAAAAGCAACTCCTCCCCGGCAACGGCGCCAGAAAGCTTGATGGCGGGTTTAGATTGCCTCAAATTTTCACAATTTATAAACCCAACTAATGAGCTGCAAGTGCACAGCCGTGTTGTAGTCGGGGTCGAACACGAGGAGGAAGTGTTCTCACTTAACACCTTGTGAGATTGGTTTGTAGCTAGCTCGCAATATGGATGGTTTTGGACCTAGAATGAGAAAAAACAAAAGAAATGTGAGTGAGTTTGTAAACAATTTAAAACAAGAGTTAGGCAAAGGACAATCATATGGAGCAATGATGAAAAGATAGTTGCATGGGATGTGTGTAGAGCCGTCTTGAACATGAATCACTAGTGTATGGTCTTTCCACTGTCGTGGCTCCAACCACTATGTTTAAAACAACCTAATATACTCAGCTTTCGTTGGCTATTAGAATTGCAAACATGCATTAAAGGTGATCAAGATTCAATTGTTCACAATAAACCATAACTCAGCTTTCGTTGGCTATGATCTATTGCTCACCAAATACTAGTTTTGAGATCTAGATTCAGCACTGTCGTGGTTCTATTTCTCTAAGATCAGATTACTAGATGTACGGTAGAGTAATCATGCATTAAGCTCAAGTAAAGGTGAAGATCCATAAGATAAATCCCAATAAGTTGCAACACAATCAAATCATCACGGCCACCATAGATCTCCTCGGCCTAACTAAGAGATCTACTCGGCCATGATGCAAACAAGCAAGCAAAGCATGATTGTAAACATTATGCAAGTATTAAAAGAGATAAAGGGATGAAGAAAGCTTCTCTATTGATGAACAAAGTCGGATTCTCCCTTGAAAACTCTTAAAATCAAGTTTATAGAAATGGAAACAATGAAAGGTTCAAGATTCAATTGTTCACAATAAACCATAACTCAGCTTTCGTTGGCTATGATCTATTGCTCACCAAATACTAGTTTTGAGATCTAGATTCAGCACTGTCGTGGTTCTATTTCTCTAAGATCAGATTACTAGATGTACGGTAGAGTAATCATGCATTAAGCTCAAGTAAAGGTGAAGATCCATAAGATAAATCCCAATAAGTTGCAACACAATCAAATCATCACGGCCACCATAGATCTCCTCGGCCTAACTAAGAGATCTACTCGGCCATGATGCAAACAAGCAAGCAAAGCATGATTGTAAACATTATGCAAGTATTAAAAGAGATAAAGGGATGAAGAAAGCTTCTCTATTGATGAAACAAAGTCGGATTCTCCCTTGAAAACTCTTAAGATCAAGTTTATAGAAATGGAAACAATGAAAAAGAAAGAACAAGAGTTGAGCGGCGCCTCCTTCTTCTTGGACGATCTCCTAGGGCTTCTCTCTCTCTCTCTTCTCACACGTACACTCTTTGATAATTTTCGGACTGGACTCGATCTTCTCTTCTTCAGCGGCTAAAAACATGTATATATGGGCGAAGTCGCGTAGGGTTTTCTTCATGCAGGAAAAGGAAAGTTTCCCGCGAGCAAAGCCTTCTTCTCCACGTCGTGTATGGGCCGACATTGTACCAAGGAAAGCTCCAAACATTAGCCAGGCCTCTTCTCTATTCGATCAAGGCCTTTGGCGCTGCTGCTCGGGCCATTAGACACTCCAAATCCTCCATGGGCTTCGTTTACTCGCTTACCGGACATGTCTCGGTAGAAAATAAGTCTAGGCCTCATAGTTGATCCAAATGGCTTCATTCCACTTCGACGTGATGCATGACTCAAACTTAGGACTCAAATCCATAAGTTTTGAAACTGATTGTATGCAACTAGTCAAGATCGTCGAAGAAGAGGAACCATGGCATCCGAGCTCGATTCTTTCCAATTTCTTAGTTCATCTTTTGAATCTTTTTCAATAAGTTACATACCACAATCGCTTAATGTCCGTGCCGACTCTCTTTCTAAAGGAGCCCAAGCACGAGATCACCTTTTCACCTATGTAAACGTTCTAATTCCGAGTTGGTTGGCTCACGAGGCTAATCTTCTCGGTTCTATCTAATAAATTACATGGGTTTCGCTGTCAAAAAAAAAAATAGGACAACCCATTTTCTCTTTCACTTTACACCCGGCAAGATTTCCATATTCTGGAAAATCAATAATAGTCCACAGCAGAATTGCCTTAAGCGTGAATGTTGTCTTACTAACAGCATCATAAGTCAACTCGCCTATAGACCATAACCCATTTAAATCTTCAACCAGAGGTTCTAAGTATACATCTATACTATTACCTGGTTGATGTGGTCCGGGAATCAAGAGAGTGAGCATGATATTCTCCTCTTTCATACACAGTGCAGGAGACATGTTGTAATTGACGAGCAAAACAGGCCAACAAGAGTATTTGCTGTTTGATGTTGAGTCAGGTTTTACCAAACTCTTAGACCTCTGCAAGTGCACAGATCGCGGAAGTATGGGTATCGAACACAAGGACTGGCTATTGAGTACACTTTGAAACTATGGATTTTGGATCAAGCTAAAACAAAAGTATGATTGAGGTTGTAATGGTGAACAGAACTAGCAAGTATAAACGAGGTTGTAAATCAATAAGGAAGAAGCGCTAGGTCAACAGGGGCTAATCGCAGAGAAGCAAGCAATGATCAATGAAACAATGATAGATGAATTGATTAGGGATGTTGGGATATTAAGAACCGTCTAGAACACAGATCACGAATATAAAACCATTCCACTTTCGAGGCTCCGGCTCCTTTGTTAATCTACCTAGTCGCTAAACTTTTGGTATGTCCCTAGGTGATTAAATCAAGCTTTAGAATGAATAGGTTCTGATACAGTTCACTAGATTATAGTAGATCAACTTTCGCAGTCTAAGAAACCTAGCTTGTCAAAGAATATGTCCGGCGAATGATACAACACTGTCGAGGCTCAAATCAACCTAAGATCGGATTACTAGATGCGCGGTAAAGCAATCAGCATTAGTTAAGTGCACAAGACGAGACAAAGACTCTATATAATCCCTAGCTAAACATCGAAATCAAAGATCATGCAAGCAACTCATTGATTAGTAACCCTAGCAACCTAACTAGTGGATTACTCAGACATGATCAAAGCAAAACACATAGAGATGAAGAAAACATGATTGCAATAAAACTTAGAGTAGGAAATCGAAATACAAGGGCGGCTCTCTTTCACAAGAGGCTAAAAAGTTATATATAGTGCTAGGTCTTCAGAGGCGGCTTAGGGTTAAGCCGGGCTGAAAATACGTAAATGGGCTTCAAAACGGGCTTCGGGTCGACCGCGGCGTTCGGACGGTCGGCGGGACGATCGGCCGGACAATCGGGTCATGGCCGCTCTGGGTACGATCGGAACGGTCGATGATTTCGGCCGGACGTGAGGCGTAGCTTTCCGGATCGGACGCCATCGGCCGCGGTACGTGAGTAGGTTGCGCGGCCGCGAGGCGTTGCTTCCCGGCTCGCGCGGCATGGTCGTGCGCGGCATCGTGAGTGGTTGTGGTGGCCGACCGCGGGACATTGCTTCCCGGGTCGTGATGTGTACTCGGCCGGATTTGGACTTGAACTTTGGCCGAGACTTCAGGACGGATGGATTTGGCCGGCGCGGAACATTCGTTCCTCGGCCAGCCGCTCTGCACGGTTGGCGCGGTTTCTCGATAGAGCCGTCTGGACCAGTCTTCACTCTTTTGGTTATAACTCCTTTTCTACTCATCCAAATGAGCCGTTCCAGTTGCGTTGGAAAGTTAACTCACTCAGAGCACGCAGGGAACTGGTCTTGATGAAATCCATTGAGTAGATCTTTTTCTGGGCCCTCTTAAAGTTGATGCTTGTGCATGGAGCGGCTTGAAGTGCAAATCCTATGGTTTTGCTCCAAAATGCATCATTTCACCTGTTTAGACTCTAGACACTATAAACACAGTAAAACTACCTTTTTAGATAGAAAACCTGCCAAAAACCATTAGAAAACAATACTAAAACAGTATAAAAAGCATGTAAAATAGAGGTATATCACTGTTCTTCATGCTGTATGGATTAAACCCATCAGTAGACAGTCCCAGACGCAGGTTCCTCAGCTCGGCGGCGAAAGAAGGGAACTTGTCATTCATAGACATCCATGTCACAGACTCCACCGGATGGCGCATTTTCCTGTCTGTTCTCTTGTTACTGAAATGCCATCTCGACTCCATGGCTGTTTGCTCTGACCTGAACATCCTCTTAAGGCGTGGGATGATTGGAAAATACCTAAGTACTTTCTGAGGAACTCCCTTCTTTATTTCACCAGTGTGCATGTTCGTCTTCCATCTTGAAGTCTTGCATTTTAGACAGACCTTGGCCTTCTTCAGTTTTTTCCTGAACAAGCAGCAGTCATTTACGCAGGCATGGATCTTCTCGTACCCCATATCGAAGGTTTTAAGGAATTTCTTGACGTCATAAGTGGATGTGCGGAGGACATTGTCTTCAGGTAACATATTTGGCAAGGTTTCCAGTAGCTCATTGAAACTCTTATCTGACCACCCATTCTGCGTCTTGTTCCTAAACAGAGAAACTATGGCGGAAAGCTTGCTATGGTGCACACACGCTGGATACAATGGTGTCTCAGCTTCTGCGAGTTTTGCCAAAAACTCATCTTCTTTTCGGTCATCACTCTCAGCAGCTTCTGAATCATCTAAGCCCTTACTAACTAACTCCTCATCTCTACATCTTGCAGCCTCGTACAGACCCAAAATCTCATCATTCCGACCATTATGTTGGCCTGGTTCTCCAGTTACAGAGTTCCCATCTCCATGGTGAAACCAATCTGCCAGTATCTTGTAAGCAGCATCCATCCCATTTATAAATAAATGTGACACAACGTTGCTATATAAACTCGAACTAGGTTGCGACACAATCCACATGGACATATTATCTTCCCATTCACTCCTAACTTGTCACTAACAACATCAACAAAAGCACAGGTGATATACCTCTATTTTACCTACTTTTTATGCTATTTTACTATGGTTTTCTAATGGTTTTCTAGTGGATTCTTGTGTTAAAAGGTAGTTTTTATGGATTTATAGTGCAAAGAGTCATTTTAGGTAAAAAGGTGCATTATGGAGCAAAACAGGAGATTTGGACTCTAAACCAGTTCAATGCCCCTGCATCAACTTTGGATGGAGCTAGAAAAAGATCTACTCAATGGATTTCATCAAGACCAGTTCCCTGCGTGCTCTGATTGAGTTAACTTTCCAACGCAACTGGAATGGCTTCATTTGGATGAGTAGAAAAGGAGTTATAGCCAAAAGAGTGAAGACTGCTCCAGACGGCCATATCGAGAATCAGCGCCGAACGCGCAGTCCGGCTGGCCGAGGAACGAATGTTCCGCGCTCGGCCAAAAGTCATCCGTCCGACTGAAGTCTCGGCCAAAGTCCAAACCACTCGGCCGATCACGCATCACGACCCGGGAAACTCAAGCCCGCGGTCGGCCACGCCACAACCGCCACGCCACAACCGCGCACGACCAAAGCGCGCGAGCCGGGAAGTAACGCCTCGCGGCCGCGCAACTCACTCACGTACCGCGCACGAACGCTCCGTCCGACCGGGAAACTATGCCTCGCGTCCGGCCGAGATTTCCATCGGCCAAATTCCTATCCGCCGACCACGCCGGCCGACCGTCATAACATCCGGCCCGACCGTTCCGACTCGGCCAAGACCCGACTGTCCGGCCGATCGTCCCGACGACCGTCCGAACGCCGCGGTCGACCCGAAGCCGTTTTTGAAGCCCAATCCGCACAATTCAAGCCCAAAGCCGGCGCCGACCTAGCTAGATTAGGTTTAGCCGCTTTTATACTTAGAGCATTATAAATACTTCTTTTTAGCCTTGTAACTCAAGAAGGAGAGAGACCACAATCTATTTTACATCTTAATAAAGTTTTGCTTGCTTTTACTTTGTTCTTGCTTGTTACTCTTTCTAGAGAGGATTCGAATCTCTGTTCTTATGAATATGAATTCGTTTCCTTCTCTATGTCTGAGTAGTTTACTTGTTAAGTGATAGGAAGTCAAAGGATAGCATTCATGTATGCTTGATGATTGATCACAATTAGGGTTTTACTTATAATCTCCATCTTTGCTTATACTTAATGCTTGTTGTTAATCTGGCCAATTAGCATATGCCTTTAGGTTGATTTGAGCCTCGACAGTGCTGTATCATTCGCCTGAACTAGTATTTGGTGGGCAATCTCTTTTAGACTGCGACAGTTGATCTACTTGTAGGTTGTGAACAATTGATCTTGATCGAACTAATGCTTGATTTAATCACCTAGGGACATACCAAAAGTTTAGCGACTAGGTAGATTAACAAAGGGGTCGGAGCCTCGACAGTGGAATGATCATACCATAGTGTTTCAAGTTCTAGATTAGCACCTAAGTGCGGTAACCCTAATTGATTGATTTCATGCTTCTTGAATTGCTTATCTCAAGACTATCCTATTGCTTAGCTTTCTCTCCTATTGAATTTACTTTTATTACTTGCATGCTTTACTTTCTCTGCACTCAACCAACTTATACTTTTGCCCTAGCTTGTTCTCAAACTCATAACTTGTAGTGTGCAATCTGGTCCTTGTGTTCGATACCCGTTTACTACTTCTGACCTGTGCACTTGCAGAATCAGGGATAGGAAAGGGGAAGACCTGATCCCACGATCAACGGGCACCACTAATGTAAGCAGGATCAACTCTTGAGTTCATGCAAAACCAAGAAAAAGACGAGAACAATTAAATAAATGTTGAATGTTCTAAAAGGCCAAAAGCTTACAACTTCAAACAACTGTAAATACAGTAGAACCTCTATAAAACAATACTCGATAAAACAATAAACACTATAAGATAATATTTTTCTCCGGTCCCAACTCGGGCCAGTGTAAAAAATAGCATAATGCGATAAGATGATAAGACAATAATATTTTTGAAACTCCTATGTAAAAATATAGTCCCAACAATAAGCTAAGACAATAATTATAAAACTAATGCATATATATCTAAGACAATTTAGTAAAATATGACTCCAATGTAGTTTGTATTTTCTGAAAATTGGAGATGTATTCTCAACATGCAGCCAAAAGTTGTGAAGAGTTCTCGAAGCCACAATTGCATCCTTATGTGTAACTACTTGCACATGTCCTTCCTCATCATCTTCAACTTCATCTTCACCATTAAGAACAGTAGACATAATTTCTTGTAGACTTTGAACTTCTGAGCATGAAATATGTAAATAACAAAGTATAAGGAAAATTTGAAAAAAAAAATCTGAAAAAATATATTTCTATAAAGTTTCTTGTTTTGATAGAATATTTCTATAAAATAATAATTATTGTTTTATCGATAAAATAATAACTCTATAAGATAATAAAATTTCAAAGTCCCAACATTATTGTTTTATAGAGGTTTTACTGTACCTGCATAAGTAGACCCATGCCTTGTCTAACATTGTTTTTTCTGACAACCGTACACAGGTTCCTTGCAACATGTGAAACAAGTATTCATGATTAAAGCAGAATAGAGGAGAAACCAAACATCAAGCAATAAAGAAACACAGAAGGCAAACAGAAAGTTGTACATAGAAACTCGCTTGAGTAATTACAGATAACAATTGAAAGCAATCGATGTGGCTAACCTCTTCTGTTAATGTGCTGCTTCTGATTTCACAGAACTCGCCCCTAAATTCACGAACACAGACCTGAAGCTGTAGTTCTCAATCGCTTCCTTAAATTGTTTCAAAGGAACAATGAATTAGATTATGATTGGATAGTTTATTAACTATATAGATGATCGCGGGATCAGGTCTTCCCCTTTCCTATCCCTGATTCTGCAAGTGCACAGGTCAGAAGTAGTAAACGGGTATCGAACACAAGGACCAGATTGCACACTACAAGCTATGAGTTGAGATCAAGCTAGGGCAAAAGTATAAGTTGGTTGAGTGCAGAGAAAGTAAAGCATGCAAGTAATAAAAAGTGAGATCAATAGGAGAGAAAGGCTAAGCAATAGGATAGTCTTGAGATAAGCAATTCAAGAAGCATGAAATCAATCAATTAGGGTTACCGCAATTAGGTGCTAATCTAGAACTTGAAACACTATGGTATGATCATTCCACTGTCGAGGCTCCGACCCCTTTGTTAATCTACCTAGTCGCTAAACTTTTGGTATGTCCCTAGGTGATTAAATCAAGCATTAGTTCGAAAGTTCAATTGTTCACAACCTACAAGTAGATCAACTTCGCAGTCTAAAAGAGATTGCCCACCAAATACTAGTTCAGGCGAATGATACAGCACTGTCGAGGCTCAAATCAACCTAAAGGCATATGCTAATTGGCCAGATTAACAACAAGCATTAAGTATAAGCAAAGATGGAGATTATAAGTAAAACCCTAATTGTGATCAATCATCAAGCATACATGAATGCTATCCTTTGACTTCCTATCACTTAACAAGTAAACTACTCAGACATAGAGAAGGAACACGAATTCATATTCATAAGAACAGAGATTCGAATCCTCTCTAGAAAGAGTAACAAGCAAGAACAAAGTAAAAGCAAGCAAAACTTTATTAAAGATGTAAAATAGATTGTGGTCTCTCTCCTTCTTGAGTTACAAGGCTAAAAAGAAGTATTTATAATGCTCTAAGTATGAAAAGCGGCTAAACCTAATCTAGCTAGGTCGGCGCCGGCTTTGGGCTTGAATTGTGCGGATTGGGCTTCAAAAACGGCTTCGGGTCGACCGCGGCGTTCGGACGGTCGGTCGGGACGATCGGCCGGACAGTCGGGTCTTGGGCCGAGTCGGAACGGTCGTGGCCGGATGATTTCACGGTCGGCCGGCGTGGTCGGACGGATGAATTTGGCCGATGGTTTCTCGGCCGGACGTGGGACGTTCTTTCCCGGCTCGGACGGATGCATCGGCCGTGGTACGCGAGTGGTTGCGCGGCCGCGAGGCTTGTTCCCGGCTCGCGCGGCATGGTCGTGCGCGGCGTGGCGTGACGTTGTGCTTGGCCGACCGCGGGACAATGTTTCCCGGGTCGTGATTGTGATCGGCCGGTGGTTTGGAACTTTGGCCGAGACTTCAGACGGACGGATATGTTTGGCCGAGCGCGGAACATTCGTTCCTCGGCCAGCCGGACTGCGCGTTGGGCGCTGATTCTCGATAGAGCCGTCTGGAGCAGTCTTCACTCTTTTGGCTATAACTCCTTTTCTACTCATCCAAATAGGCCGTTCCAGTTGCGTTGGAAAGTTAACTCAATCAGAGCACGCAGGGAACTGGTCTTGATGAAATCCATTGAGTAGATCTTTTTCTAGCTCCATCCAAAGTTGATGCAGGGGCATTGAACTGGTTTAGAGTCCAAATCCTCTGTTTTGCTCCATAATGCACCTTTTTACCTAAAATGACTCTTTGCACTATAAATCCATAAAAACTACCTTTTAACACAAGAATCCACTAGAAAACCATTAGAAAACCATAGTAAAATAGCATAAAAAGTAGGTAAAATAGAGGTATATCAACTCCCCCAGACTTAGATCTTTGCTTGTCCCCAAGCAAAAAGAATCTAAACTAGTGAAGAGGTTTTGAAAAACGTGGGAACTCTCTTGCTTCTTTGAAAATCCTGTGAAAGGTTCCTTTCCTGTATTCCACTAAGAACATAGTCAACATAAGGTTAGCTTCACATACACCCTGCAAGTTTAGCGAACAATACCAACCCAACTAGTCTCATCCAGCAATCCAAACTCTCTATTGCTAACCTCTTGCATAAATTTAAAGCGTGAGTTCTTTATCAAGGGAACATCGATCAATTGAACTTGTTCTTACCCACTTGATCTTCTCCAAGATTGTCTTTGAAGTGCAATGAGTTCTTTTCCTCTCTCTTTCTCACATCAGAACTTTGAAAGGTCAATTTCTCCCTACTTTTCTAGGGTATCATTTTATTTTTTCTATTGACCTTTCTTTCAACCACAGGATAAGTCTTTAGCTTGTTCCTTGTTTGATAAGGTATTCCATAAGACATGAAGGTACAGACATATGCATTCCTCATGCTTACTTGTTTTCCTTGTGCTCTTTGAGCTTTTCTCATAAACATTACTTACCATTTGGGATGGGAGAGAGAGGTGAACTCTTTAGACAAATCTCATTGAAAATCAAGCAAGGAACTGTCGACATGTATGCCAATCCCCTTGACAAGAGTTATTAAGATTGATTAAGGGTGAGGTTAACTCTAGATTGCTTGGTTACCTTAGAAATTTCGCTGAGCTAGCATGCGATCCACTCTAGGAGCTTCTGTTAGGCTTGTGCCTTCAGCTGATGTTTGCTCTAGGGTCATAGATTGTTAGCATACACTATCAAATCTCAAAGCAAGTTCATTGTTCCCGGACTGGTTTTGACTCAATAAAACAGAAGTTTTGAAAAAGTGGGTTAGGAAAAACCAATTATAAGATCAAAACAACCATGAACAAACACATTAGTACCGACAATCCCCCCAGACTTAACTTGCACCGTCCCGGTGAAAGAAAATCCAATTAAGGGAGTTAAAGAAAGAGGTAATAAAGTGGTTGTGAATGTAAAAAGAAAGATGTAACCTGATTTGGTGTTACTTGAAGAATGGTGAATGCAGTGGAATGATGGTAGTGATGGAATGCAAGTGTGGTGAGGTGGGATGGGTGAGATGCAGATGGAATGAGATGGGATGGTGTGTTGGGCGGCTTGAGAGGACATGGGCGAGCGTGGAGAGGTTCTGCTCGGCCATCAAGTCGCGCCAACTATGACATTCTTCTTGTGGTATATCTTCTTTACCATTGTGTGGTTCTTAGATTCCTGTATCCAAAACTCAAAACAAAACTAGACATTAACTAAAACTAATTGAAAAGAAAAGTAAAGAAAAACACCTTTCATGGGTTGCCTCCCATGCAGCGCTTCTTTTGAGTCATTAGCTTGACTGATAGGATCTCTTAGTTGGAGATGGGGTAAGGGCACGGCCTGAGACATAGTCTTTTAGTTCTTGTCTCATTGTGACCTTGAGTGTGGTCTGGTGGCTCTCTTGGGCGGCCTTGGGCAGTGATGAGGTAAGACAGCTTGTTTGGTGAGATGAATGGTATGGTCTTGTAAAAGACTGTCTTGTCAACATTGGCTAAGGACATTCGCCGTTTGGAAGGTCCATGACAGCTCCAGCAGTGGCCAAAAAGGGTCGGCCTAGTATCAATGGTGTGTCACATCCTCCTTGAATGTTTATGACATGAAAGTCCACCGGGATCTTGATATCTCCAATCTCTAGAAGAACATCAACAACAACTCCTCTTGGCTTGGCTATAGTATGGTTAGCAAGTCCAATACTAATTTGAGCAGGTTGCAAGCGTGTGATGCCAAGGAGTTTGGCGGTTTGGGTTGGCATGAGGTTTATGCAAGAGCCAGAATCGCATAGTGTTCTATCAAAGTAATGACCATTTACTTGACAGGGAATAGAGAATTGACCTGGGTCTTCAATCTTGTAGAGGGTCTTGAAGGTTGGCTGAACTTTAGCTTTCTCAAAAAGCTCTTTATGTCCTCAGGTGTCTCCTTGCAGTTGTGGAAGAAGGTGGTGAATGGGTAGTGGCGCCAAGCTTGTTTGGAAAGACATGCTGGCTGGAAGAGTTTGGACAAACTGATTGAACTCAGCAAGCTTCTCTCTTGATATGGAATTGACATACCACTGGGTGGTGGTGATGATGGTGGTGATGGTGGTTGATTGACTGCATGAGGGGCAAAAATCGTGCCTTCTGAAAAAGTTGGTGTATCTCTTCTTTGTTTTCACTAGTTGTGAAAAAGAACTCCACTAGACCATGTTTATCCCAAGCTTCTTCAAAAGTGACATAGAATGGAAGTGATTTCACCTTAGCATTGAACTCTTTAAGCTTCATGGGGCTTATCTTGTTGGGATCAATGGGATCATACTGCCAAGTATCTTCTTCTTCAGTAGGTGGTGATGGTCTTTGCATTGCTTCCAGTCTTGGAAGTGTAGAAGCTTGACTTCTTGGTGAGAAACGAGGGTCTCTAGGGCTAGGTGTATCCATGCTCTGTTTTGGGGAAGCATTGATGTCGATGCTCTGCTCTTCATCTTCATCATTCAATTGTTCCTCATACTCTCTTTCTTCTTCTTCATTGTCCTCATGGACTTGAGTAGTGCTTCTTCTTGTGATGGCATTGCAATAAAAGGGAGGGTGGTTGGGTGTTGGACTCCTCTCTCTCTTGTAATTGGCATGAGATGATCCTTCAAGGGCTTGTAGGCGGTTGTAGATTGATCCAAGATGTTTGCTATTGCCATAGCTAGTATCTTCAATTCTCATGCTCTTGTTCAGCAACTCTTGATATTTGGAAGCAACATCAAGCTTAACTAGGGTCAGAGATCGATCATGATCCTCTCTTAACTTCTTAATGTCTTCATCAAGCTTGATCACTTGCTTGAATAGGACTTCAGATTTGTTTCCAAGGCTCTCATGGATGAAATCGATTCTTCTCTCCATCTTCTTTGTACTCTTCTTGATTTCTCAAGTACTCTTGAAGCATATCTTCAATCTTGGTTTGGCGCGCAGCTTGATAGCTCTCCCTTGGGAAAAGTGGTGTCTTGTTTATGTCTGGTGATGATGGATGGTGTTGTGAATAGCTTGGGCGTGGTGGTGGGACATAAATAGGACCTTTAGCAAATCTGTGAGGAAAGCTCCTTTGTATCCATTCCAAGTCTTGAAAGCATGTTGGGCATTGAACTTAGCCCATTCTTTGGCTTGTCCAGCTAGAGATAGTTGGAAAAGTTGTATCTTCTTGGGGTTGTCTCCAAGTCCATAGTCGTGGCAAAGCTGCTCAAAGTTGCATAGATGCTCCTTTGCACACTCTGAAGTAGAATTGTAGAAAGGATTCCTCTCCACATGCTTGATTAGCTCTTCATTCAAACTTCAGGATGGGGTGGTATGCCTCCCCATTCTTCTTCATCACGCTCTCTCTCCAGCTGATGAGAGTAGTGGTGGTACTTGGATTTGAAAGGTGGCCTTGCAAATCTCTTCAAGAAAGCTTCTCTAAAATCGATCCATGACTCGATTGTAGAGAGTGGTTCATGCTGCGCCCAATCTAGTGCTGGTCCAGCTAGTGATGTGCTGAATAGCATCATCTTCTTCTCAAAGTCAAAAACTCCATAGGAATCACAAAGATTGTCAAAGTGATCTATGTGCTCCAGCGCATACTCTGAAAACAGATCATGGAATTGATCTCTCTTCACGAACTCGATCAGCTCAGGGTCAATCTCCTCTTCTGGTGTGGCTAGAAGGTGTTCTTCTTGGTGTGATGCGGCTTGGCTAGACGTCTCCAGGTCGGCTGCTTCAAGGTAGGGAAGAAGTTTCTTCTTGTCTTCAAGGGGATAGTCTTGGAGGACTATCCCATGAAGGTGGTGGTGCTTGAGGGCTTGACATCTCTTGTTCGCTCAAGAGGTTGCTTTGAGGTGGTATAGACTTAAGATAAGCAATTCAAGAAGCATGAAATCAATCAATTAGGGTTACTGCAATTAGGTGCCAATCTAGAACTTGAAACACTATGGTATGATCATTCCACTGTCGAGGCTCCGACCCCTTTGTTAATCTACCTAGTCGCTAAACTTTTGGTATGTCCCTAGGTGATTAAATCAAGCATTAGTTCGAATGATTCAATTGTTCACAACCTACAAGTAGATCAACTGTCGCAGTCTAAAAGAGATTGCCCACCAAATACTAGTTCAGGCGAATGATACAGCACTGTCGAGGCTCAAATCAACCTAAAGGCATATGCTAATTGGCCAGATTAACAACAAGCATTAAGTATAAGCAAAGATGGAGATTATAAGTAAAACCCTAATTGTGATCAATCATCAAGCATACATGAATGCTATCCTTTGACTTCCTATCACTTAACAAGTAAACTACTCAGACATAGAGAAGGAACACGAATTCATATTCATAAGAACAGAGATTCGAATCCTCTCTAGAAAGAGAACAAGCAAGAACAAAGTAAAAGCAAGCAAAACTTTATTAAATATGTAAAATAGATTGTGGTCTCTCTCCTTCTTGAGTTACAAGGCTAAAAAGAAGTATTTATAATGCACTAAGTATGAAAAGGCGGCTAAACCTAATCTAGCTAGGTCGGCGCCGGCTTTGGGCTTGAATTGTGCGGATTGGGCTTCAAAAACGGCTTCGGGTCGACCGCGGCGTTCGGACGGTCGGTCGGGACGATCGGCCGGACAGTCGGGTCTTGGTAGCGATCGGAACGGTCGTGGCCGGATGATTTCACGGTCGGCCGGCGTGGTCGGACGGATGAAGATTTGGCCGATGGTTTCTCGGCCGGACGTGGGACGTTGTTTCCCGGCTCGGACGGACGCATCGGCCGTGGTACGCGGAGTGGGTTGCGCGGCCGCGAGGCTTTGTTCCCCGGCTCGCGCGGCATGGTCGTGCGCGGCGTGGCGTGAAACGGTTGTAGCTTGGCCGACTGCGGGTGTATGTTTCCCGGGTCGTGATATGTGATCGGCCGGTCGGTTGCGAACTTTGGCCGAGACTTCAGACGGACGGATATGAATTTACAATAGTAGTTACAAAAAAATATGCTATGATCACCTGCTATCAATGGGGGTATTTGTTGTAGTGTCTAGATATAGAATGTGGATAACTTTTTAGAATCTGTACAAACTTTAGAATTTACATTTTTTAAATCATAGAAGTCGTCTTCAAAAAGTTTTAGAATATGTACAGACCGTAGAACACGGATTCTAAATATTTTAGAACATAGAAGACGCATTCTATTTTTTTAGAATATGTACAAACTTTAGAAGACGCATTTTAAAAGTTTTAGAAATGTACAATTAGTAGAACATGGATTCTAAATATTTTAAAACATAGAAGACGCATTCTAAAAATTTTAGAATCTTATATATAATTAGGGAGTTGCTCTCTCCATTTGAGAGTGTCCACATCAGCACAAAAACATTAAATTGTATTTAAAATATTTAATAAATATATGACTATTCATATTTCTTTACATTTATTCATATTTAATAAAAATATACAAATAAATTGATTAATTAATAGAAAGTATGTGATAATTTGATGTTCAAAGTTATCAAAAAGTTGGAATATAAAATAGAGATGGAGTAAAGAAATATTCAACTTCAAATAGTATATATTTACTTTATTATTCAAAGGGTTTATCCTACTTAAAAATGTTAGAATGTGTTTACAAGTTAAAAAGTTGAATATAAATTAATTAAGACAATAGAAAGCTAATGAAACATTAGAGTTAGAGTTTGTTTTTCTAAACAAATAGAAATAGAGTTTTATATGTAAATTTAATTGTAGTGAAAAACAAGAATATGTTTACAAATTTTAACCTTCAGTCAAATGCATATACATATTTATAAATTTTAACCTTCAATCAAATACATATACATGTTTACCGTCTAATAGAAGTAAACATAATACTTATAACATGATAAAATTTTAGAAATAGAAAACTCAAGATAAAGCAGAGTGTTAATATCCTAATAAATTAAAATAAAAACAAATTATTCATATTTTTTAGTGTTAGTGGTTTAGTTAACTCAAAACATAACAAAAACATGAAAGTTAACACAAAACCATCATATTTCAAATCCACGAGTATAAATAAAATTAAACAGAAAAACTATCGTAAACAACCCCGCGCTTGTGCGGGGCTTCAAACCTAGTATGTACAAATGGTAGGACACAAATTCTAAACATTTTAGAATATGTTAAAACGTTAGAACACGGATTCTAAAAAATTTAGAAGGTAGAATGCAGTTTCTAAAAAATTTAGAACAAATATTAAACTTTTTTTTCAATTTTTTTTTTAAAACTCTTAAAATCATAAAAAACTAGTGTGTCCTCCCGTGCATACGCACGGGTTAATTTCTCTTTCAGATTTTTTAGTTCCCTAAATTTTACAAACAATTATTTTTTGTTATGACGAATTTTAAAACACTTAATTAAAACATAAAAATGGACCAACTGGTTTGTTTTATTCTTTTTTGAATGATGCTATAATCATGTGAAGGTAGCATGCATTTTTAATGGGAAGGAACTTGACATAAGAAGTAAGATTTGTAAAAAGTGGAAACGATGATATATATATAATCTCCAGGCCATATAACAAAGTTGTTTTCTGTATATTCGGCCTGCATGACAAAATACTCGTAGTTCTCAAATTTTGATTCCAATCTCCACGAGAAATGATCATCAACTCCAGCAATCCAATTTCACGATCAATGTCTAATAATGTAAATATGTAATAGGCCTGCCTTTCTTTAACTGTCTTCTTAACCACAAAAAGCTTGCTGACTCCAAAGTTTGTAACTTTCAGATGTCCCGAATCATTTTGCAGTATGTTTCTGTTTTCTTACTCGAGCAAATAAGAATTTTTGGACTTTTTTTGGATATGCAACATAGTATCATTGAAACATTTTGTAATAGTACTTTATATCGATACAACCAAGAGGAAAACCTACGGAGGCTCTAGGTCACAATGGATTATAGTTTCAGGTTTATGCTCGTGCAAATTGTTCATTCCCTTTCCAAAAAATAATGATTTGTTAGACGAATACCATGTACAGATAATCAAAACCATAAAAGCAAAACTAATATCTATATCAACTGGTCATGAATCAATATGAGCCGGCATAACGACAAAGTAAAAATACACTGACAATAACCACTTCACCTAGCAATTTCAACTGCTAACTTCACTGCTTGCGCTTGCATAAGAGGCCCTGTCCTGTCTAGATATTGCCGAGAATCTCTCTACAAATAAACACAAAACACAAAAGAATTCAAAATTAAGAAGCATAAATATATGCAGCAGAGTTGCTATTCAGCATTTTACGAATGTGAAGATCTCAACAACTTCAAAATAAAGACGTAGATCTAAAGAGGTCATTTACGTGTTCATCCTAATTGAAAAAGAATACCTTAGGTAATATTTGGTGGCAATCATCATGGGGTTACTTTGAGTAATTGCCCCTAAAACAGAGCCTGAACGCACTCCACTTCTTCGAATTCATGACATTCTCCTTCCTTTCATTCCTTTTTAAAAACTTGAATCCTATCCCCCTGTAACGTAAGAAATTTAACCGAAGCTTCGTTTTATACATATTTAAAACAGACTTTAAATAGAGAATTTACATGCTGCTGTGATGAATCTAATAATATCAGGATATGCGACTGTGATGTAAATCATAGACGACAAAAAAGTAGGTGAACAATTTAAAGAGCTTTCACTACCAGAGTTTTGTGTGTACCTTTTCATCCACGAAGGTGATTTTCATGCCCAAAATAAGTTTTAAGTTTATCTTTGGAATACAAATCTCAAATTTGTGACAACAATGAGAGAAATAGATGATGAGAGAAATATTCTCCATTATTTTTGAAGAATTAAGCTGAGAAACAAAAATATGCTCCAGTAAAGAGAAATAGTGAAAACCAGAATTTGAGATCAGAGAAACAAAAAGAAGAAGGATATGATGATATGAGAAACTGAAAATGAATCCAATTGATATCGTGAAATGATTGGTAGTTGATAACCGTGTGTAAAATCGTGGTGATTTTGAGGTAGAAAAAATTGGGGATTGTCGTCTGTAAAACGTGACCATATTTTTCGTCCACTCCGCCTTATTTTCTCCTACTGGGCGTTTAGTTAATTTGACTCGCTAAGCCCATTACAATGAGATTTTTGTTTTTAATTATGAATTGTTTCCTTTAATAAATCTGACGTGTCATGTGATTTCTTTGTTTTGTTTAAACAGTACACATGTCACTCTGCCATTGGTGGAGTGACTTGTGCTTTAGTATATTAGGGATGTCACTATACTGTTCTCGATTTTTTTATATTTTTATTTGTATCATTAAATATTTTTAAACAATTATTTGATTATTATAACATTTTATATAAGGTTAATTTGAATATGAGTTGCTAAAGGATAAATGACACTAGTACGTACAAAACATATTTACCTTAAACCATGTATATATAAGCTTTTATTTGGTTGAATCCGTCTCAGAAAAAACATCCATCAGTGATAGCTAGGTTTTGGTTGAATTGGGTTAATCTATGTTAAGTTTTTGACATATATATTATTCTATGCTGGACTATGGTTATTTTGGTTAAGAACTGTTATTTTCTAGTGGATTTATGAAAGACTGCTTTATGAACGACTACACAGTTATAGGTGTGGCTATATGTATGTATACATCAGTTTCCATTATACTCTTCAGTTGGTATATATCTCCGAACAAACACACAACCCGGATCCTTCCCCTTAACATTCTTGAAAGTAGCCTTTTCCTCGCCGGTTGGTGTTACAGTAACAAGCGGAAGCGTAAAACAGAGTACCGTACCTTGGTCGGTTTGGTGACGTACTTGTCACGGAATCTACTGAGAATTGATGCAGAGATCGGGATTGATATCACAGAGAGAAATCAACCAAAAACCACTGTGCAAGTGCCTTTCCCGTTGATGTCTCCAAGCCTTATCTATCTCTTTGTTACAACAGTCACCAACTGTTGGTTTCGGTTACCTTTTTCTGTCTCTCTACGATCATCCATTTATAGACAAATAAAGAAAACAACAGAGAAACACCAATGTCATGAAGAGACACGAATTGTGTCCCTTGAGAAGTTTCTATTGGATTGTTTAAATATACCTCTTTGGTATGCTGCCATATCATGGGCGCAAACCAACCATATACTAACAGTTGGTTTTTGCTACAAATATTTTGTACACAACAAACAGAAAATTGTTATAAACTAAAGAGTGATATGGGTGAATATCCGTGGATACTTTCAAAATTAAGTAAATACCAATGCATAGTTGTAAATTAGTTTTTGGTGGAGAGAGAACAAAAATTAAACCAAATATGTCCTTTTTATTTTTAATAATTACAGAAAATGTCATTACCATAAAAGCTTCGGAAACACTGTTCAACATTTGATCAGAAAATATTGTTCATCTTCTGTTTAGAACAACTAGTCAATTGATATTAAAATGTTAACATAATTATTATGTAAAACAATTATCGTGTTAAACTATTTAACATGATATAAAATACAAAAAACTGATCGTAACATAATTAGCATATCCAAAAATTATTGTGTTAATAAACTTATCATACTAAAAAAGTGTAAACCTGTTAACTCATATAATATTTTATATGTTAACATAATTATCATATAAAAAAAATATCACCGTAATCAAGTTATCATATTTTAGGAAATACCAAAATATAAAATAAGAAAATTAACTTGTTAATTCGATTAACACTTTATGAGTTACCGTGAAAACTAATTATTATATCAAAAAAATTATAAACTTATAATGTTAACTCAGTTGCATTACTCACCGTTAACAATGTTGTTGATGCTAATGTTATTATCACCATCGTCACTCGAATTATCCGCCGCCTTCGCAACAGTCACCACCGGTCCACCTCCTTCTTCTTCTTCCCCCTCCTCCTTTATCATACTTCCATGCTCAACTCAAATCGACTTCAAATTACTCTCCTCCTTCTCTCTCATCATCATCGCAACCATACATAACCTCCAACATCCACAAATCTCTCCGACGACCCTTCTCCCTCCTGATCATCCAAAAGCCGCGGACGTTCCTTCTTCAGCCGCTCCACGGTGACGGCGTGCTTCTCATTGAACTCGAATTCCATTTTCATTAGCTTCATCCGAACTCTCTTTTCCCTCACCAATCAATTATATGCATCATCTATCTCTTCCCCCATCTTTTTTTTCTATCATCTCTAATTTTTCTTGTGAGTTCATCACTCAATCCTCAAGAAAATTTTTAGCTCTCTTCTCTCTCCATCACTTTCTTCATCTTCCTCTCCGTTATCAAAGAGAAAAGAGAGAAAAAAATAATCACCAATCTTCACTCCTTCGTCCGCCGCCGCAGGTAAGAGGAAAGAGAAACCAAATTAAAAAATTTATGCATTGGGTATTTGTGGAATTTCTCTAGTAGACATGTGGGGTCGTACAGTAGCAAATTGTGTCAGTTAATTTTGAGAGTTTTGATGTGCATTCAGTGGTATTACTCTAAACTAAATAATAAATAAGTAAATAAAAGGAGGAAAGGTGGTGGGTCCAAAGAGAGAGAAGAGAGGCAAGGGATGAGAGAGGAGAGATCAAACTAATTTCTCTTTCCTTCTTTGGTTTTTGGAGTGAGTTTTACAAGTGAGCAATGAGCTCTATTTACATGCAACATATATTATTAAACTAAGTAAAATATCTTCTTACTTCATGTAGAAGTAATTCTTATTATATATTAATGGATAAGCATCCATTATTATACTCCCCTTGATTATCCATTCTTGTGAAGTTGCTTACGGCCTCGTTAAAACCTTAACATGGAAAAACCCAATGGGATAAAAACCATGAAAAGGAAAAAGAGTACCGCGATGCAAACTCCCCCTGAAAAATAGATATGATCTTCTCTTCACAAATCTTGAAGACGACGCATTCCAATACTTGAACATGCTTCTTGAACACTGTAGTAGGAAGCGCCTTTGTGAAGAGATCAGCTGCATTGTCACTTGAGCGAACATACTGAATATCCACTTCTTGATTCTTCTCAAGTTCTTGAGTGTAAGAGAAAAATCTTGGAGGGATGTGTTTTGTCCTGTCGCTCTTGATGTAGCCTTCTTTGAGTTGAGTGACACATGCAGAATTGTCTTCGTATATGGTTGTTGGCTCTTTCTTTGTAGATACTCCGCTGGCTTCTTGTATATGTTGGATCAAAGATCTCAACCACACACTCTCTGCATGCTTCATGAAGCAATGATTTCCGCATAATTTGAAGACGTTGCAACCAATGTTTGTTTTTGGGAACGCCATGAGATCGCGGTTCCACCGTATGTGAAAATAACCGGTTTGCGATCGAGCTTTATGCGGATCAGACAAGTAGCCAGCATCTGCAAAACCAACTAAACCAACCTCGGGGTTTCTTGAATAATATAATCCAAACTCAATCGTACCTTGAAGATAACGTTCCAATGTCTTCTGGTAGGCGATGAGCTGTATCTTGCAAGCAGATTAGTAGCAAAAGCTATATCTGGTCTAGTGCAATTTGCAAGATACATAAGTGCCCCGATGGCGCTCATATAAGGTACTTCAGGACCTAACATTTCTTTCAGAATCTTCAATAGGTCGAAATGGATCCTTGTTAACATCAAGCGATCTATTGACCATTGAACTACAGTCCGTTTATTGAGAGAGAATATTTCATTCTTCATGGCCATTTGCCATTTCTCCCAGTCCGGCCTCTTTTGGCACTCTGACACGGAAGTTGGATCTGGATCATCATTTTCATGATCGATCTCTTTAGCTACAGAAAAAGAGAACATTCCATCATCATCTATTTCACTTCTAGCCCATATTTTTCCACTTTGGGCGAAGGAGATGGAAATCTCAAATTTTTCTGTCTCTGGTTCGTCATCTTGACGAACCTCTTTATCAGGTTCTACAAGAACCTGTTCGGAAATGTCTTAAGACATTTCGGTTCATCAGGAACCTTTACTCCACAATTCTTTTTCTTTCGGGGATTTTATCCTTTGATCCTATAGGCCTCCCGCGCTTTAATTGAACCGGTTCACTTGCTCTATTCACATCAAAATGTTCATGAGGAACTTCTATTTTTGATGGAGCATTAGCAGCGGGGATATAGGACTTCGTCACCCTTTTCGTATCTGAACTCATGGGCAACTGGTTAGCCAATCTTTGCATATGTATAATTTTCTGAACTTCCACCTCGCGTTGATTAGAAGGAGGATCAAGATAAGCCAAAGAGTGTGTACACCATTTGGTGATATCATTTGGTGATTCTCTCGACCCTCCCCCTAACGCAGGGAATTCATTTTCATCAAAGTGGCTATGCCGTAAACATATCACCAGTTGCCGGTTCAAGATACCTTATTATACTAGGGGACGAATACCCGACATATATTCCCAATCTCCTCTGTGGTCCCATTTTTGATCTCTGTGGTGGCGCTATTGGGATATAGACCGCACACCCGAATACCCGGAGATGGGATATATTTGGCATATTTCCAAATGCCAACTGTATGGGCGAAAATTTATTATAAGCACTTGGTCTCACTTGAACCAAGGCTCCCGCATGCAATATTGCATGTCCCCATACAGTGATTGGGAGTTTTGTTCTCAAGATTAACGGTCTTGCAATTAACTGCAACCGCTTTATTAATGACTCAGCCATGCCATTTTGCGTATGAACGTGCGGAACCGGATGTTCAACATCGATTCCCACAGACATACAAAAGTCATTAAAGGCTGCTGAAGTGAATTCACCAGCATTATCAAGCCTGACTTTCTTTATGGCATAATCAGGGAAATGCGCTCTCAACCTGATTATTTGGGCAATGAATCTTGCGAAAGCCATATTTCTTGTGGTCAAAAGACACACATTTGACCATCTACTAGATGCGTCAATCAATACCATAAAGTATCGAAATGGCCCGCACGGTGGGTTAATAGGCCCACATATATCACCATGTATTCTCTCTAAGAATACAGGGGATTCATTCCCAACTTTGGCTGGCGAGGGCCTAATTATGAGTTTTCCTTGAGAACATGCTTTACATGAAAACTCCCCCGATTGAAAAATCTTTTCATTTTTCAATGGGTGGCCACTCGTATTTTGCACAATTCTTCTCATCATGACTGAACCTGGGTGGCCAAGTCTTTCATGCCACACCCTAAAAGTGCTAGTAAACATCTGGTTTACTGCAACATAAGATTCAGTCATGTTGATTTTTGTGCAATATAAACCAGAGGACATCATTGGTAATTCTTCCAATGTTTGTTTCCTCTCCGTTGTAATGCAAAGATATTCAATGCCATTTTTGTTTATAGTCTCAATATGATATCCATTTTTGCGGATATCTCGGAAACTTAATAAGTTCCGGTGAGACTCCGGGGAATATAGTGCATCTCGCACTTCAAATTTCGTTCCCCTTGGCAATGAAAAACTTGCACTCCCAGAGCCAAGTATTATCTTTGCACTACCGCATATAGTACTCACGCTTTCAGCGGAGTCTTTCATTTTGAGATAGGAGAAATACTTCTTATCTTTGAGTATTGTATGTGTCGTAGCACTGTCTGCTAGACAAGTATCTCCATCCTTAATCTCAAATCGTGGCACCATCAGGCCACTGAATTCTTTTGAAAACTTTAAACAGAATAACAAAATTGAAAGGCATAAATTGAAAGACAGAAATTTAGATCTGGGAGGAGACATAGTCATCAACTCCGCTACATAGAGGAGGTTTTCACCATCAACTCCGGAGGAGGATTTCCCTACCACTCCATATATATGATCTGAGGAGACATAGTCTACCATGTGATCATTTGCTCGGAGTAGGCAGAGCCTAGCTTCCCGGCATAAGAATTTATTTGATCGAGGAGGCAGAGCCATCCATGACGATCAGCTCGGAGTAGGCAGAGCCTAGCTTCCCGGCTTTAAGAGATTTATTTGATCGAGGAGGCAGAGCCATCCATGACGATCAGCTCGGAGTAGGCATAGCCTAGCTTCCCGGCAAATAGACAAAATATAATTTTAAATAAATTTGGACAGAATTTAGGCTTACCTCTACGGGATAAGAATAGATCTAGACAGATCTAGGGTATAGAGGCAATCGTGCTGATAACGTGTTATAAACTAAATAATAAATAAGTACATAAAAGGAGGAAAGGTGGTGGGTCCAAAGAGAGAGAAGAGAGGCAAGGGATGAGAGAGGAGAGATCAAACTAATTTCTTTTTCCTTCGTTGGTTTTTAATGTGAGTTTTACAAGTGAGCAATGAGCTCTATTTATATGCAACATATATTATTAAAGGGTTTTGTGCAAAACAACCCTCAAACTAAATTCTTTTTGCAAATCAAACCCTCAATTTAAAGTTGTGCAAATCAAACCTCTGAAGTCAAAATAACCCCGCAATATAAGACATCTCTATATTTGTGACAAAATTTAAAATGATTTTATGCAAAAAAACCCGAACTATTTTTTGTGTGCAAATCTAACCCTCAACTTAAAAAATATGCAAGTCAAACCTGCAAAGTCGAAAGTCACTGCTAAAATGACTTATATGTATTTGTCCTTAACTACAAATGTTGACTCAAAACGTCATGACATTTATAATATTTTAACCATTTTTATTAAAAATACTTAAAACAATAATTCAATATTTCTTTCTTTTTCTCCATCAATAAGGAGAGGGTTAGGATTTTTAACCAAATCCAAAAAAACTAAACCGTAACCAATCCAGAAAATCAAAACCGAACCAACTTACTCACAATATAATTACTTGGAAGATCTGAAGTCCTATGTCTTTATGAGCCTCTCTCGAATAATTCTATTGCGAGTAAATTAGTTCTTATCTTTGTCTCTTCGTCGTCATTAGTTAATGAGATCATGAAGAAAAGAATCAACTTATTCGCGATAAGATTACTCGAGATAAATTCATTAATAAGAGGAGAAAGAGAAAGGAAATTAAAGATTAAAGTTTTTTGTTTTTTTTTTAATTTACTTTTAATAAAAATGGTTAAAATATTATAAATGTCATGACGTTTTGAGTCAACGTTTGTAGTTAAGGACAAATACATATAAGTCCATTTTAGCAGTGACTTTCGATTTTGCAGGTTTGACTTGCATATTTTTTAAGTTGAGGGTTAGATTTGCACAAAAAAATAGTTCGTGGGGTTTTTTTGCATAAAATCATTTTAAATTTTGTCACAAATATAGAGATGTCTTATATTGCGGGGTTATTTTGACTTCAGAGGTTTGATTTGCACAACTTTAAATTGAGGGTTTGATTTGCAAAAATAATTTAGTGAAGGGTTGTTTTGCACAAAACCCATTATTAAACTAAGTAAAATATCTTCTTACTTACTGTAAAAGTAATTCTTATTATATGTTAATGGATAAGCATCCATTATAATAAAAATGTTTTATTCAATCACTTTTGTACCAAAACACCAGAGAAACAGACAAAAATATACAATTAAACAGAATAAACTATGTTCTTTGTTATTTTGGTACCAACATTCCACGAAAACACACAAAAAGTTGAGAAATGTCAAGTTTTTGGTACTAAAATGTACAGCAGAAAAACTGAAAAAATACGGAATCCTACTTCTCCCTTTTATTAGTTGTTCCTTTAGACCTTTTACGCTTATCATGTTTATCACCCTTTTGAAGTTTGGGGAGAGTTATCGGAACTAACCCGACCAAATGTACAACACTAGGTACATTTGGTTAGCTTCTAAGTGCACAATGTTAAGCAAAGTTTCTAAATGTAGAAGTGTCTTTACTACGAAGAAACATATGTTACATGACTTATCATAGATAGTTTAATGTCAATGTTTTTAAACCCAGACCGGACTGGTAGTCCGACCGGGTTCAACCACGAACCGGGAGAGGGAACGGTTTGGGTTACTATTGAAAACCGGAGGTAGCTGAACCGGATAACAATTTGGATTCGACCGGATATAAACTGGAAACCGGCGAACCAATAAACCCCGGTTTACAATTTTAAGATTAATTTTTTTTTTTAATTAAAACTATGAAGTCAAAATTGAAAAACAATTGGTGCTTCTAAGGATCGAACATTAGACTTTAAGATGTAAGGCAAATGTGATAACCACTACACCACAAACCTCATTTAACCACTTTGTTAACTTTTTATTACTTTTTATGATTTTTGTTGAGGTGAACTTGACTATTCTTAAAATATCAGTGAACCAGGTCGACCTGGTTGAACTATATTGATCCATAACCCCAAAACATTTCCGATTTTAAAAACATTGTTCAATGCCTAAGTTTCATAAGTACTATAAATAGGTCACATTTGTTTTTGTAAGTTAATAAGCCTTTTTATGATAATATCATAAGTGAAAGAATAAGCTTTTGATCTCTTCTTTTCTTTCTCTAAAATTTTAAATTTCTTGTTCATCTCTTTCTCAGCTTAAACTCTTTAATCTTCTTTTAAACACAAATATAGTTTATCTATAGAGAGATGAGAGAGTATTTGGTAATTTAGAACAGCGGCTAATTTGGTAACACGGTTTCTTAGGATTGGTCACGTGGCTTCTTCAGATTGGTTACTTTGACTAAGAAAAGACTTCTACACTCCTCATTAAACAAAAAACTCTCTAAGGGCCTGATTGGTTCTCCCGCTACCACCCGCAAACGCAGCGTTTGCGGTTCGTAGCGGTTTTCGGCGGTTTATAACAATCACGACAACCGCTTTGAATCGCTCTATACCACTCTGTACCGCTCTATATCGCTGAAAATCAAAAGCTCCTTTCCGCAAGCGTTTGCGGTTGCGGGCGGTTGCGGGTGGATAATTAAAAAAAAAAAAAAAACAAACTTATATAAAATCCGAAAATAAATAATAATATTTATTAAAAAATAAGATTTGGATAATAAAATCACAATATAAATAAAAAATTAGTACTTTTAGTCAATATTCATTAAAATCATATAATACTTATATATTTATAAGTTCTACAAATCAAAATTCTCTTCATAAATATTCTTTTCATACTAATACATATATATCTAATAAATAAATTGTAAAATAAATTTAATTTTCACATTAAATATATATTTTGAAAATAAAATCACATTTTTTATTTAAATTATAGAAATTAAAAAATAGACGTAAGTATTATACACATATTATTCTTTATAAAAAAATTATTTTTAATTATGTTGAACCATAAATTTAAAATTTTCATTATAATATAGTTTTGATATTTTTATAATTATATAATGTGTTTATATTATTAATTTATTGTTTAACCGCTATTGCATCCGCAAGTGAACCAGTCATAAGTATCCCGCAAACGCATCCATTTTCAATTGTTATGCCAGTCGTACAAACCGCTTAATAACGCTACTAATCACAACCGCCCGCTTCCGCAAACTCCCGCACCCGCAACCGCAACCGCAGCGGGTTAAACCAGTCAGGCCCTAAGTCTACAGGCACGACGGCCAAGTTTTTCTCAGACGGAACATTCGCCTTCAACACCAATCGGAACCTACCGGAGATACCTACGGTACGCTTAGCCCATCCCTCTCCGTTCTGGTTTTATTCCTGGTTTATCTTCTTCGAGTGAGTTCGTTTTCGCCTCGAGAAACTTGCTGGTTTTGTCGGCTATCTGGTTGAGAATTGTAGAATGGAGATATTAGGGTTTTTCTTACTGAGTGTTGTCAATCTCCTTTACTCGATTCTGCTCACTTTGATTTTGGATTCACAACTCAGAGCCTGACGAACCATTCTCGCCGCTTATTCGGGGGTTTTTTAATCAGGCGGTACCAAATTTCTGGATGCCAAAAAAAGGAAGAAATTTTGAGAATTTAGAGCAATTAGATTCGATTGAGCTTAGATTTTCAATGAATTCGACTGATTTGTATACTATGAAACGCATTTTGCCAGATTTATCTTACTGCGTGTGTTTGCCCCCTTTCATTACGCTTCTCGTCTCCTTTCAAAAGGGGTAATCTTGTTCATGGATGACCTAATATCTGTGTTCTCTTTCACTTTGAATTCTATGTTCTTTGAAAGGGCCTGTTTTTGGAGATAAAAATGTTGTTGAAAGGATTAAACTTGCCTCAAAGGATTAGACCTTTATTACTCTCAAGTCTCAACTTTGCTTGACTCCTTGTTAAGAAAATATCTTATTGGCTTCTTTGGCTTACGTCTTCAAACATGACGTGTACTTGATTTGATTGTTTGTTTGTTATATTCTTCTTTTTTTCTTCCAGGTTTTGGATTCTATCCCTTGTGGAGAAAAACAAAAGCACAAATGAAGACCATGAACACTGAGAATGAGAATCAGACTCCTCACTCGAAAGTGATCTCAAATGCATCTTCAACTGGTACTATCAAGCAAGGCTCTATGGCCTCTTCCCTGGGTGTTATCGACATCGGTGTGAGCGAAAATGCCTACATCTTCAATGTCGAACTCCCTGGCATTGGGAAAAATCAAAGTAAGTAAAAGCTTTCACTTTCATTATAACGACCAGTGACATGAAATGAAAGTTACATTCTTTTCACTATCTGACCCCCCAAATGCTATCTTCTTCTTGTGGTGTATAAGCAGATAAGATCAAATTTGAGATTCAGAGGGACGGAAGAGTCTGCATCCAAGGAGTGATTCCTGAGACAACGATCCCAAGTGAATCTGGACGCTTATACAGAATGCAAGTGCAACAGACCTGCCCTCCAGGTCCATTCTCCATCGGGTTTAGTCTTCCGGGACCAGTGGATCCTCGCTTGTGTTCTCCAATGTTTCAACCTTGTGGGATCCTTGAAGTTGTTGTCGTCAAGCTTGGAGTACGCATCCCAACTTCATAGTTAATTATCAAACTAGGATATGCTTGTGAAAAAACATGTTTCAGTAATCTAATTTCATCAGATCTTTGTAAGACAGTTCTAAAAAAATTGTAGTTGGGATGTGAAATGGACCAAACGCAAACGGTACTCTGTTTTTAATAAAGTTTGAATTTTTAACCTTTTCCATCTTTGAAAGAGAAACCTTTTTGTGCCACATCGTGAGAACATAAAGATAAAAAAGGGAACTTTTTTAGAAATTATGACTCGAATTTACAAAATAACGTTTGATGAAGCACCTTAGGTGATGATTGGTTCTACCGTTACCATCCGCAAACGTTGTATTTGCGGTTCTTGGCGGTTCTTGGCGTTTTATAACAATTATGACAACCGCTCTGTACCACTCTGTACCGCTCTAAATCGCTGGAAATCAAAAGTTCCTTTTCGCAAGCGTTTGCGGTTGCGGGCGGTTGCGGTTTGAAAAAAAAAAACATAATATCTCCAAATTTGGAAGAAGGGTATATTGTTTTTGAAAAATGCCTTAATTATGTTTAAAATTTTCGAAAATACTATAGATTTTTTTTCGTTTTGAAAAATACACTTTTGGAATGTAAAAAGTCTGTTTTGACGTGATTTAAACAAAAAATTAATAAATAATTACAAATTAAAAAACGAAAATTTAAAAAGTAATATAATTAATAAGTTTTTTTTCAGATAAATACAGTATATGTTGAATCGAAAAAAAATTAATATTTTGGACCTTTATGTAAACAACTTAACCTCATACATATTCCAACCAAATGAAACTTTAAATAAATTAAAACTTTACATATTTTTAAAGTTTATGAATTATTAAAAATTTAAAAATGGAGAATGATATCTTTCATTTTTAATGTTTATCTTTAGACAAATTTAAATATTTTTGAAACTTTATATAAACAACTTTAGGTCATGAATGTTTACATGGTTTCTGGTTTTTGTTTTTGGTTTTTGGTTTTAGTTTTTGGTTTTCAGATTTTGGTTTTTGATTTTTTGCACAAAATATTTTTGAAAGAAAATAACTTACGGCAAAACTCATGAATTGTGGTTTTTGGTTTCTTTAGAAAATGATAAAAACTGTTAAAAACTAGTTTCCCTATATTTTAGGAAATCTATTTGTTCAAAAACTTGATTGGCTAATGAAGTGGTCTTTGGAGAAACAAAATCCAAAATCTATTTCAAAATCTGCAAACAATCAAGGCCTTAATCTCACCCCATTTAAACTTTATATAAATAACTTTATATTTTTATTGATTTAAAAAAAAAATCTAAACAGGTAATTAGGATGGTTTAGTATGTAAAATGATACAAAATTATTATCAAATCTTAATATTTTATATTTCTTATTTGAATTTCGTTTTTATTAAATTAGTTAAAAATTTCAAATTAGGAATAATCATTTCACAAATAAAAAAGTGTATTTTTCAAAACCAAAAAAAATAAGGGTAGTTTCAAATTAAAAATAAATCAAAAAATCTATTTATAAAAAAAATCTATTAATAATATGGTTATAAATGTTTTAAATAATTATATATTATGTTTATTTTAGTAACTTTTGGTTAAACCGCTCTTGAACCCGCTGGTTAACCAGTCAAAAATATCCCGTAAACGCAACCGCTATGAATTGCTGTACGAGTCGTACCAACAGCTTTTAATCGCAAACTCCCGCTTCCGCAAACTCCCGCAACCGCAACCGCAGCATTTAAACCAGTCAGGCCCTTAAAGTAATGGACTCGATCCATGAAGGTGTCGTGTTCCTTTTTATTATTTTTTTATTTTTATTTTTTTGTCGACAGTCTCTACTTCTAAACCAATTCTGGAATCCAAATCTGAGAAATAGAGTTTACATAATACACACTAGTAGATATAGTTAGCACGGAGTGCTAACTTGTCTGCCTTTGTGTTGTTCGTCTGTGAAATATGCACAATGGAAAAGGGGGTGAGCCCCATTTTACATCTGCAAAACTCATCTAGTTTTGTTGCGGAAGCTGGCCACTCCTCAGGCGTAGACAACATCTTCACCACATCGGAACAGTCCGTTTCGAACACCACCGTTAACTTGTTATGTCGTAACGTACATTGCATAGCCCATACCAACGTCTCAAGTTCTGATTGGAGTGGCGATATACCACGCCTTAAATTACACGTACCCATGAGCTTTTCGCCCGTTTCCGTATTGAAATTATACCAACCCAGTCCAGCCCGAGATTATGTTGCTTTCCACGATCCATCGACCTGACATATATCACCCTTAACAATAATTCCACCAATTCCTTAACCAATACTGGTGCTGTCTCTTGTTTTTCCTCGGCCACGCTTGTAACATCCCTGTTTGTGATAAATGAGGGAGAGGCTTAAGAGAATTGATTTGGCTACCAATGTCAACAAAGTGCACTTACTTTTTCGGTCAAAGGTCTATAAGTAACTCCAGAGTTAAGCGTGCTTGGGCTGGAGTAGTTGAAGGATGGGTGACCTTTTGCGAAATGGCTTCCGAAACCGTGTGAGTGAGGCCAAAACACGGGGAAAGGTCGGGTGTTGATTGCAGGAATAGTAAACAAGTCATTAGAGCCTCTCAAAAAATAATGGACCGCCCGTCGGACAGGAGTGAGGCCCACGGGCCCAGATGGGCTTGCGGGCCCAGAGAGGGCCTGGGTGACTCACCGGGAGGGGCGGTCGGGGCGTTATAACGCTGCCTGCTGCGTAGTCAATGATATCATTAGGATCTGAATCCTCGTTAGAGATTACCTTTTCGTTTATGGCTTTCCAAATAAACCAAATCAACCAAAGGTATAACCCATTATGTCATCATCCGGTAGATTCCAGAACAGATAGGCAATGTTCGTGAACAAACCTTTTGTCGGAAAGTGGTTAAAAGCCTTAGGAATTGGGGATACAGCCCGAACATGTACGTTGGTGGACATTCAAATAACATATGATTAACTGTTTCTGGTGCCATACTACACCGCGCACATTGCGGGTCGATTTGAACTCCGCGGCTCCGTAGTCGTGCCCCTACAGAAATGCATCCCGTTAAAACTTGTCAGAGAAAGTGTTGTAGCTTATGGGTACATTTCACTTTTCACGTATATGCTTGGAGGGCCTTATATCTGGGCCAAACAGTATAGTATTAACCTCGTCCAGGTTTTGTTGCGCTAAATTGTACCCTGAATTAACCATATATCGCCCGACATTGTAAAAAACCATCCTATCAAGTCCGGTCTATTTGAACTACAATCCCTAACACGATAGGAGGTGTCGTGTTCCTTGGTAGTCAAAATTAAAGCAAATTCCATGAGCTTTAAAGTAGAAAAATCAATGAAGAGAGACGCATACTTCAGTTGTTTTTGAGTTTGTGTTAAAAAAACGATTTTTTGGGTTCTTTTAAAAGCTGATGACGATGCTGGCGCTAAGAGTGTTATCGGCGTTAGATGCGTCAAGGATACAGTGTACCATTTCAAGGCGACAATAGTTGCCGGAATGGGACTATTCACAGACGTTTACCATCTCTTCTGTATAGCTCCAATCATGAAGATGATTAGCCAAATTTATTATCACAAAGACTCAATGAGAACCGCCATTCTCTCAACTTCCTACACCAACGCTCTCCTCGGAACCGCCGGTTACTTACGTGACCGTATAAATGATATTATTCTCTAGTGTTATTTCATATGATTAATTCTAGTAAAAAAGGAAAAATGTATTTTTATGATTTGTTTATGTTAGGTATAAATTAAAATTAAAATATCAATATACAAATAAAAACATCAACATTGTGAATGAGAGAAAAATAGTAGTTTTTTATTTTAATGGCAAAAATAAGGAGATAAGTTGGGAAATCGCACACTCAATTCCAGAAATATATGAAATTTCACGTTTTATTCCCCAACTCTTGATTGCATAAATAATTTCTCAAAGTATTGTTGACTTTACCAAATTGGGTTTCAATTAGTCAACCGTTAACATGGAAATGGATTCCTTTAAATATGTAACATTATCCGTCAGGATTTTCAGTTCCAAGCTCAAAATTTCCAAACTTAAAAACCTTAAGAGAATTTTCCGGGAAACTTCGATGATTTTTAGCAAATTCCAACATATTTTAGTGATTGTATCAATTAAAAATTTCGAGCTCCGAAACTGGTTGAAATTTGCAAAAAGTTTCCGAAGAAAGCCGAAAATTCCCTTAAAGTTTTTAGATTTGGAAATTCTGAATTTAGAACTGAAACTTCCGACGGATAATGTTTCAAATTTAAAGAAATCCATTTCCATGTTAATAGTTGACTGATTGAAACCTGATTTGGTAAAGTCAACAATACTTTGAGGAATTATTTGTGCAATCAATAGTTAGAGAATAACATGTGAAATTTCATATACTTCAGGAATTAAATGTGCGTAGTTTAAAGAGAAACACAAAGGTTGGTTTAAAACAGGTCGTAAATAGTTTACAAAACTAGACCCTCAATTAAACCAAAACTTGAAGAAAGCCTACGAAGTTAGAATAATGGAAGCAGTGTCTGGTAAATTACTTTCTCTGGCTTTCCCTCCAATGCATCTAACACATTAGATAACACTTTCTTCATCGCAAAACTTTCAACAATAATAGTCGAAGAAGTAAACATTATATATGCTTGCATTGCTACGGAGAAGAGGAGATTTGATAATCCAATTCATACCATATTTTTCTGAGGAGACATTTCAAGTTTGCATCATCAAAACAGAAGTTTTGTTCGAGAGCATAATGCTGGCTAAACGGACAAGGAGAGGAGAAGCTGACTCATTCACATACATGATTCACAGTCTTAATGAGGATTTCATCTTAATGAAAATCATAATATTTAAATAGGAGAAGATTAAGGGCCTTTCAAAAATGCCAATAAGCCTATTGATGGCAGAGTAATCATCTTTGTTGCACCTTGAAGGAGTTCCAAAAAACAGTATTCGCTTGCCACAAGTTTGTTGAGGAAAGCGGTTGATTCTTAGACATACTCAGATTGGAAAAATGAAGATATGGAGAATGTTTATTTGCTGGCATTTCGTTTGCAAAAGGTGTCCGCAACAATTCTACGAGAGGCCAGAGCTTGACCCACCGGCAAAGCCTTTGCCATCGATTTCATTTTTTGGGATATATAAACTTGCCAAATATTCTTATTCCAATAAAAAAAATGAGTTTGACGGGATGAGAAACATACAATTTTTGTAAGTGATATGAGGTGAGTTAATGATCAATTTTTCAATTAAAGAAACTCTCACTGGATTATGTAGTTTGTTAGTAAATATATAACTAAAAAGGTTTTGAACAAGAATATGTTTGGAAAAACATCAACCAAATCTTTCTAAATTGATTTAAGATGTAATGAAAAGAGAAAAAATAACGCATAGAAAGAATTCATTTACAAAAAATATTAACATTAAATAAAAAATGATTTAAGGTTTCTTAAGACTATAAGAAAAGAACATAAATTATTTATATTATGTTTATGAACATTGAATCAAAGTTTATAAATTTAAAACATGTATTAAGTTAAAATGTATTAAAAAATAAACAAAAGAGCATTTGAAGTTTTTAAACATATAAAAATTCATTGTAATAATTAAAAATAATAAATATGTTAAATATAACTATTTTCTGATATTTAATTTTAAAGGTTACTCTATACAAATTTAAAGAAAATATTTTCTGATATTTAGTTTAAATATTTCTATATAAAGTTAAAGAAAAGACTTTTTATAATAAAATAGACACGTCTAAAGCAGCTCACAACTTCATCCGCGAAAACTATCATCAAAGAAATGAAAGAACAAGAAGCAAGATGAACACATAGGAGAAGTATAGTAAGAGAATGAAACCAAAGAACAACGAAGATGGAGATGCTAAAGTAGGAAGACAAACAAAAAAAACCGAATAAGAAACCATGAAGATGAAACAAAGAGATCAAATAAGAATATAACAAAGAAACCGGCGCTTGTGACCCGGTGGTAAAGGACCCTCAGCTGAGGTACCCGCCACCTGGATTCGAATCCCGGCCACAACGGATTTAACATCCCTTCCGTTGGGGCACTGGACCCCACTTATGGGGATAGTCGGGAATGTGGCTGCCCGGATACCAGAGTTATCAAAAAAAATATATATATATATATATAACAAAGAAAAATAAGAACCATATATTAAAGAAGAGATCCAGAAGGAAGAACAAAGTGAATTACAACAATATTCATTTTTTGGCTTCTCTTCAAATGATTTTCTATAACCTTTATGTTCGAGATTTGTCACCGAATTTGGTAATTTTGAAAGAGACAAAGATGATTATTTTATAAAAAGTGATGCTACAGATAATTAAAAGATCTATACTAAAATGTTTTTAAAAAATTAACTCAAAACTTAGTATAAGAAAATTCATATTTCTAAAGCATTAAGTTTGATTTTTTTTTAGTCAACTACAGTCCATTCCTCTATAGGAGATAATCGAATAGGCTATTATGAAGCAAATTAAAGTTGATGTGGTTTAAAAGATTAATTTATTTTTTGTCATAAAAAACAATACAAACTAATTGAATGTGTTATTCTCAAGCAAAGTTAAAGGCTGTTGTAATCTACAATATTAAAATGTTATTGGTTCAGTAACAACAAGGCAAACTAGAACTTTATTTAACACAAGTTTCTAATTCAGTTCACTGAAAACAATATTTGTTTACGCCGATCATGTTGTTATACTGTTGAAAGACAAAAGTTTATGATATGTTCTTATGCATAATTTTGTGAAACAATGGACAAAAGATATAAAAATATTTTATGAAAACTTATGTCGAGTCATGTCTAATGAAGATATTTGAAATTTATACATACAATTTTATGATGAGTTTCGTGAAACGAAGATATCTAAGAAGTCTAATCATAACACGTAAAGACTATGAGGTTTTGACGAAAGTTTAACACAATATAACAATATATCAAGATTTTAAATCAGCATGCTATGCTAAAGATGTACTTATTTTTATGTAGGTAGATGACAATTATGAAAGTAACTATCAAACTTTCTAAAAGGTTTCAGAGGTTTCTACAAATTCTCATAGAATATTACATGAATAGACAAACATTCTTTACTGAAATTATATAAATTAGTATTTTAACAAGGTAAAATTATTGGATAGTTACAAAAATAATCTATGACTTGAACTCAAAATCAAAGGTAACCCACATTTTTCTCCTTTCAATTGCTTTATTATTATTTTACATTTTTACTTAAAAAATCTATTATCTTATAAAAAAATATATTTTCAAGTACATAAAAAAAAAATGGACATCCATTATGATTTGATAATTGTAAAGTATTAGTGGATTAAATAAAGTTATGAACACAGCAGGAGTTAAAAATCTAGTACAAATAAGAAAATCAACATTGTGAATGAGAGAAAAATAGTGTTTTTTTTAGTTTAATGGCAAAAATAAGAAGATAAGTTTCACATTAAAATAGAGTTTAGAGAAAAACACAAAGGTTGGTTTAAAACAGTTAGTAAATAGTTTACAAACTAGACCCTCAATTAAACCAAAACTTGAAGAAAGCCTAAGAAGTTAGCATAATGGAAGCAGAGTCTAGTAAATTACTTTCTCTGGCTTTCCCTCCAATTCCTACTACTCTCTCTCGCTCACTTCCTTCTCCATCAAACGCATAGACTCAAAAACCTCTGTTTATGCCTAAGAAAACCAAACCTTTTCTTTTCGGAGCAGTCCACTGAATACCCTCGAAATCAATGTAAGCGGCTAAATTTCGTCGCATAATCATCAATTTACTGTCTTTAGGGTTTTTCAATTTGAAACCCCAAAAAAGCTATGATTTTGTTTCACACGGTTTCCCCAAAAAGAACAACGAAAAGAAGAAAAAGACTTGCTTTTTTACCCCTTCCGATGATAAAAATCCGTTCTTTTGCTTCCGTGCTCTGTGTAGAGTTCACTCTGTTGTGGTTTAAGTGATTAGGGTTTTCAAAATCGATTCTTTTTCATCTTTTCAGAGCGAGAAATCGAAATCGAGTCTGGAGACTGTAACATAACCCCCCTAAATGCGTGTCGAAGGAAGAGATTTGGTCGATCTTGTGCTCTCTTGGTCTCTTCAAGAAGTACTCAATGTGGAACTTTACAAAGGACAGGTTCTGTTTCATCCCCTTTTAAGCACATTTGATCCGATTTTTGTGTGTCTTTGATAGTAAAGTTTGTGTTGATGGCTTAACAACAGGTTCGAAAGATACCTACTGAGTTTGCCTCAACCGCAGACTACTTCAAGTCGTTTATTCCACCGCTTATCGAAGAAACGCATACAGCTCTACTCTCGAGCATGAAGACATTGTCAAGAGCACCAGTGGTTGAGATAAGCTACATTATGCCAACAGCTGAGTTCAAGCTTCCTAAAGACTTGTTCTATAAAGTTTATTTGAGTGGAACGAGTGGTAATACGGTTACTGATGAGACAACTACGCAGTTGATACCGAAAGATCTCATTGCGGTGACAGATAAAAGGCCGAACCATCGCGTCGATGGCGGCTTCAACATCTCCAACGAGCCTTATGTACCTGCTATGGTGTGTAAGGCAGATCCAGACAGGCCTAATGTCGTCACTATCTTGGCATCAAAACCTCTTTTTCTTGATGATTTCGAAAGCAACAGCAAGAACGAGGAAAGACCGAGCCTTTTCGGTGTTTACTTGACGAATATCACCACTAATGTCCGTATCTGGACCGCCTTGCATCTTGGTTTATCAAATGGGAACTTGAATCTTTACTCAAGAGTGCTTCAAAGGAACAGTGAGGATGATGATGATGGAGTTTGCATTCCCTGTAGACTTGAAGGAAGCGATGGTCTTGTTCCTCGTAGTTTCCTAAAGCTGAATCCTTCACAAGAAGATGCGATTCTGAGCTGTTTAGACGCTAGACGATGCCACCACGAGAACACGGTTAAACTGATTTGGGGTCCTCCAGGGACAGGGAAGACGAAGACAACGAGTGTGATGCTTTTCACGCTTTTAAATGCGAAATGTAGAACCTTGACATGTACTCCAACGAATGTCTCTGTTCTTGAAATTGCGTCAAGAGTTGTGGAGCTAGTCACTAGATCGTTAAAGATTGGTAGATACGGTGCTGGAGATGTGGTTTTGTTTGGGAATGGTGAGAGGATGAAGATCAAAGAAAGAAGAGAACTTGTTGAATTCTTCTTGGACGAGCGGGTTGATAAGCTTTACCCTTGTTTCATGCCCTTTTATGGATGGAGAGCTAGTATTGATTCTATGATAAGCTTACTGGAAGACCCTCAAGGACAGTATCATCACTACTTGGAGGACCAGAAGAAGAAAAGCAAAGTTGCTTGTGACTTTGAAGAAGAACAAGAAGGCCCTGAGTCATTTCAAGAATATCTACCAAAGAGATTCAGTGAGCTTAGGAAAGATCTTGAGCTTGTTTTCTCAAGTTTATGCACACATTTGCCTACTTCTCTGCTCTCATCTGAAGCCGCAGCGCGAATGTATGAAAGTATTGAACTTGTCAGAGATGCTACAGTTTTAGCTATACCAGATGGTGATGAAGGAGTGAAACCAGTCCTCATTGTTAATGGAGAAAGAAGTGAAAGGTTCAGCAGACCACAACACGCGAGAGTAGAGACTTATTATCTAAAGCTGTTGAGACTCATCCCTGAGATTTTCAAACTTCCAGGTGTAGCTGATAAGCATCTTATCAAAGAGCTTTGCTTGGGACACGCTTGCTTGCTTTTCTCTACTGCATCATGCTCTGCAAGATTGTATACAGGAACACCGATACAGCTTCTTGTGATCGATGAAGCTGCTCAGTTAAAAGAATGTGAAACAGCTATTCCCTTGCTCCTTCCAGGAGTCCAACACTCAATCTTGATTGGAGATGAGAAACAGCTTCCTGCAATGGTCGAAAGTCAGATTGCTTTAGAGTCAGGATTTGGGAGGAGTTTATTTGAAAGATTGGTCATTCTTGGACATAGGAAGTACTTGCTAAACATTCAATATAGGATGCATCCATCTATAAGTATCTTCCCGAACAAAGAGTTCTATGGAATGAAGATTCAAGATGCTCCAACGGTAAGACAAAGAAACTACACAAGGCAATATCTTCCTGGAAAACTGTATGGGACTTACTCTTTCATTAACATTCCATATGGAGAAGAACAATATGGTGAAGGACGTAGTCTTAAAAACAATCTTGAAGTTGCTGTTGTCTCGGATATAGTAGCCAAACTTCTCCAAGGTATAAAGAAACTTATGATTCTTATTTGGTTTAAAGTTTGTTCTGTCTCTTAATTTTCTTATGTTTGGAAATGCAGTTTCGGAGAAGACAAAGTTACGCATAAACGTTGGTGTGATCTCTCCTTATAAAGCTCAAGTATTTGCAATCCAAGAAAAGATTCAAGAAACATGCAGCGGTGGTGATGCAGGAGGACTCTTTTCGGTTAGGGTTCGTTCAGTTGATGGGTTTCAAGGTGGTGAAGAAGATATTGTAATAGTTTCAACTGTTAGATCCAATGGTATTGGAAGAGTTGGTTTTCTTGCAAACCGTCAAAGAACAAATGTATTACTCACTCGAGCAAGGTGACTTTTTACTGCGTTTCTTGATTCTTCGGTTACTGCTTAAAGATTTTGTTTTTTGATTGTTCATTTTGTCTTTTTATCTCTATAGGTTCTGCTTATGGATACTTGGAGATGAGGCAACTTTGATGAATAGCAAGTCTTTGTGGAGGAATTTGATACAAGACGCAAAGCAACGAGGCTGTTTCCATGATGCTGAAGAAGACGAGTCATTAGCTAGGGCTATTGCTATTGCGAAAATCGAGTTTATTGATAGGCGAATGAACAATTCAAAATGGAAGGTAATGATTTTGCTTTTGTGTACTTGTGTGTTCTTTTGGTCTCTTCTCTTTCTTTGAGACTCTCCTTTTGCATTTGAACTTTAAATAGGTTTGCTTCAGCAACGAGTTCAAGAAATATGTGGGAGAAATCAAGAACCCGGAGACTTACCGGGAAATAAAGAGTTTCTTGGAAATGATGTCACAAGGTTTGCTTCATGAAGAAAACTCGGATAGAGACAAACTAGTTTCTTCTTCTTCTCAGCTGTTAAAGCAAAGCAAGATCGACGATTTTCTAAGGCTCATTTGGTCTGTAGACATTGTTAAAGAAGGGTTTCACTATGTCCAAGTTCTGAAGATTTGGGATGTTGTGCCATCATATGATGCTTCTGAAGCTGTAAAACGTCTAGACGTAAAACATATGAGATATACAAGAGACGAGATTGAACAGTGCAAAGCCAGATGTTTCAGAGGGTGAGTGATACTGTGATAGTTATGTGACATAACATTCCTATTGGTCATCTGACTTTTTTCAAATTTTAATGCAGGGATATAGTTGTGCCCTTGAGATGGTCTGTTGTGTCTACTAATGGTAGCTCGATGATTTGTTCAAGGGAAGTTGTGGGTAGGTTTGGATCACTCAACCATGTGGGAGAAACAGTAACTTCTGAACCTTCCAAGTAAGTCATGTTTTCACACTTGTTTGCCTAGTTTCAGTAAGTCATGTTTTCCTTAAAGTCTCATTGAATGATTCTTCTGTGGTGCGTAGTGACTCTTGGGAACCTCTAGATGATGAAATGGAAGAGCAGGATACTGAATTAGACAGATTAAGCAATCTTTTTAGCTCAAAACTTGCTCTGTGAGAACCAAATCAGCCTTGGAGTTTTTTTTGTTGAATACGTTTGGCCGATCTTCTTTCATCTGTTAGAAATTCTTTTTGGTGTAAATTCGAAGTTATGTTACTGCTTTAAGGTTACAGCAGAGATTTACTTAACAGGTGGCATATAGAACAAGTTTTGTATCAGTTTGAATCAAACAAGAATGTGTTAATATGACACTACATTAGTCTCAGATTCTGTTCTTCACGTTTGTCTCTTTCACTCATGATATGACTATGATCTGGTTTAATCCGGTCTTCGAAGACCAAAAACTGAAACCATATATCAACCATTTACAATTCGGTTTGGTTCAGTTTGTTAATGCATATTTTAATAAATTTTAGTTTATTTGGTCCGGTACTCCGGTTTGGTTATACAAAAACTGAATAAGGGCTTCAGTTTCAACTTTTGGAATTTAAACCAATGTAACCAAACTGTTTATACACAGAATTTGGTTTTAACTATTTCGGTTTATTGTGGTTGAGAGAAGAACAACTACAAATTAGTAAGTAGAGAAGAAAAGAGCAACTACAAAACCAAGAATTCATTCTTTTTTTTTTTTTTACACACTTGAGTATAAATAAAATAACCACAAACTTAAAAACAGAAAACCACCTATAAAAAAAAAAACGAATTATAAAACTAACAGAGATTAACAAAGAAAAAGTAGAAAAAAAAACACGAAAACCTTACTCTAGAAAACAAAAACCAAATCAAAAACACAAGGTTTAAGAAGGGTTTAAGAAAGAATCAACCTTAGCATTGGTAGCTCCAGACAAGAACTTCATGCAAATAGGAGGCTTAACACCAGCCAAAGCAAGTATAGAGCTTGGCAACGTCCAAATCCCTTCACCACAAATCAAACCAGAAGCAACAGCCGAAGAATAAGCATCAGCTTTCGGCTTATTAAGCTTCCTCCATATGAACAGAATCAGACTTCCCACACACATATCGATCGTGAAGTAACCTCCAATGTAAAACGGTATCGCCATAGCCATCGGCAACGGGATAAACCTCGCCCACTTCGGCCCCACGAGATCCCGCACGCCGTTGACAAACACCGCCGCGGCGAAGAACACGTAGCAGAGCATTAAACAGTGTTTAGGCAGAGCAGAGAAGCCTTCTACACCGAGAATCGACATGTTTCGGTACACCAACGCGTAAGGCGCGGGATAAGCCGTCCCGGTCTGACCGAAATCGGGGAAGGCTTTGTAGAACAGCCAGAAGACGCATGGAGATATGACGCAGCCCATAGCTGTACCAATCGCTTGGCTCAAGAACATTGACCTCGGTGAAGCTAACGTCATGTAACCGGTTTTGAAATCTTGCATGAGATCAGAAGCCGTAGAGACAATGTTCATCATCACACCACAAGCAGCGAGTCCGGCTAAGACGCCACCGTTGGCCGCGCCGGCCCAAGCGCCGATGGTGAAGATGGCGAGTTTGCCGTACGTTGAAGCTAAAGACCAGTCGGTGAGACCGCAACCGTAGGCGTTACAAAACGCTAAAACAGGTGCGATGATGTACATTGTCAAGATGTGGTACCATTTGAGCTGAGGGAAGATGTGTGGGACGGTGATGATCGAGACTATGGCCATGATCACGTAACCGGAAATAGCCATCCACGATGGGATTCTGTCTTTGAGGAAAAGCTCTGTTCTTCGCTTGTCGTCGTAAGATATGGTTGCGGTGGTTGTTGGTGATGAACGGTCGTTAACCGGAAGAACGTCTCTGTTCTTGAATTGCGTGTATAGACCGACGACGGTTCGGCCTAGGACTTTGATGAAGTTGTAGAGACCGTCACCGAGGATCATAGCTATGGCTATAAACACCTGAGAGCAAGCATGCATTAAATCACAATTCAAGATTTGTCATATAAGTGTGAAAAAAACGAGACTTAATATGAAAGTGAAGGAGGAGGAGTACCTTGTAGCCTTGAAGGCCGTGGAGACTAGTAGACTTAAGATCAGCAGAGTACCATTTGCCTTTTTGGGCATCGATGAGAGGCCACATGATGCCCCAAGAGAGTATTGATCCGACGAGAAGCGAGACATTGATTAGATAAGGACATATCATTCCAACACCAACGTATGTAGCCGAGAAGTCAAAGTAGAACCTGATTTTTTCATTCACAAACAGTTTAGATGAAATCTTAATTTCACCAAGAGGAAGCAATATGTGGATTGTGAAAAGATACATACTTGTTTTTGTAGGCTTTGAGACCAAATGTAGGAAAGCTAGCAAAACCACAGTCGTCACCAGAAGTGAAGAACCATTGAAAGAAACCCCATAAGAAACTGAATGAGAAGAATTTCCCCAATGCTCTGACTTGCTTCCTGTGGTTATTTTGTGAAGGAAGTGATTAATATTTCAGACAAAGAGGAAGCAATATGTGGATTGTGAAAAGATACATACTTGTTTTTGTAGGCTTTGAGACCAAATGTAGGAAAGCTAGCAAAACCACAGTCGTCACCAGAAGTGAAGAACCATTGAAAGAAACCCCATAAGAAACTGAATGAGAAGAATTTCCCCAATGCTCTGACTTGCTTCCTGTGGTTATTTTGTGAAGGAAGTGATTAATATTTCAGACAAAGACAAGCGTCGTATTAAGATTGATGGGCATGAATCTTACTTTGCGAGTTTGGCACCTTGAGGTGTGTGGAAGCTGTTGATGAGATGAGCAGTTGCAGTACCACTAGGATATGTCAATTTGAAGTTAACTGAGGAGTTAGGTGAAAAGGTACCTTTCGAAGGGGAACAACAGAGAAGAGACCAAGAAAGCTAACGATAAAGAGGAAACCAATCATCCAACCCAAATGAGGATTCTTTATGTTGAGAGGAGTATTGGCTTCAGCTGATTGTTTAGCAACAACATCACTCATCCCAAAGAGATAACTACCAAACCCTCCTGTTTCAAACACATACACACACACACACACACAAACATCAATTCGAAAACAAAACAAGCAAGGCTAAAGGCCTCGTTATTCAAGAAATGTTGAATTTTGTTTGAACAAGGCCTTCAACAATGCAATGTTGACTTAGATCATCCTAATATCTTGATCATGATCACAATTATATTCACAACGTCTAAATTCTCACATCAACAGAGTACTAAACTGGACGATTAGTGACTATTATGACAAACTCTTTAAATCAATTACTATAACTCTAAGCCAACTGAATCTTTGGAAACATAAATATTGTCACTAAACACTTATGAAATTTGATTTTTTATTACTGATTAATAAAAAGGTATCAAAAACCTCAAAATTTATCCTTAAGAATAAAAAAAAGGGCTATACAATTCATTATTTTTAAACAGATGGAGATATTTAGATGTGGACTGATTCATTAAATTAAAAAGTAAACCAAAATCTAATCATAACTCAGATTCATCTACTTAATTAGTCTTCTAAGTCTTAGGTCATGTGTGTACATCTAGCTTACTAGCTAATACGTCGTTACTCCATGTTCCCATTTTAATACACATCGTGGGCATAAGCAAGTCAACTCTTAATTAATTAATTTGACGTCAAGATCTCTATAAGAGAACGAATCACGTGAGTCCTAAAAATAGTTGTTTACTTGGAAAAGTCCAATCTGTTTAACGAATCATTAAATGTGTTTACACATATGAGTGGTGATATCTGTTTCAGTCTCGAAAATAGTTCCAAATATTATTTTTGTTTTTTTGTTTTTTTTTTATTATTATTTTATTATAAAATATCTTATTTTATTATTATTTTATTTTATCATGCAAAACAATATCTCTATTTTAAAATATGAGTCATTATCAAAGTAGAGTTGTCAATTTCATCCCATGAAGTGAGAGTCATGAGACTGGTGGGCTTAGATTTTATTTTTAAAAAATAAATTTATGTCTAACGTGAGTATCCAGAATATACAGCTAAGCAAACTGATAAATAAAATAACATTATACAGTATTTAGTTTACTACTTAAAAAAAAAAAATCATTCTTTAGTTTACTACTAGTGAGAATAGAAAGTTCCTATCATATGCTAAAAAGATTGACTTTGAATAAATAATAAGAATCTCAAGCGTCATCTCTTCTATCCACTTGCCGTGTTAGATATGTACATGCGTATTTTATCACAAAGTCATAAAACCATTGCTCTCAGAAATTTCAAAACTAACGTCACAGTAACATAATTGATTGTTTTTTTTTTGGCATTTTTCCCATTTTTCCTAGTATATACTCTAGCATCTAGATACACTAGTAACTCAAAAGTCAAAACTATACTTATGATGGAGGAAGTATAATCCTATATATACAATAATATTTGTTAATGCATATCATTAATTTTCGTTTATTAATTTTTTTAATAGTCGAGGATAAAATGTTTAGATAACAGCATGTATTTATTAATCTAATGAAAATGATAATAGCGGCGGACCTAACTGATGCTATAAATAATCTTAAGATTAAAAGATTTAACATTTTTATACTATAATCACAAACAGTTAAAGGATATACAACTTTTTTTTTTTGGTCGAAAGAGGCTAAAACAACTAAATTTAGCAAAATAACACTAAATTTCTTCTACCTGATAATCATCACACGTGATTAATAATATCATATAATTTTAAAATAGTCGAAAAATCCGTGAAAAGTATAAGCTGTCATTTTCACAGAGATTTCACAGCAAAAAGGTTTTTAGCCGCAAAAGGTAAAACTATAGACGGTGACACGAACGAGTTAGAATCTGTTACGATTCCATTGACACGTTCACATCACAAAATTTTGGAAAATTCAACCACAGATTCTAACTTTATTCACTAAAAAAAAAATCGAATTCGTCACCTAAAATTCAATTTCTCGAAAATTAAATTTCAAATTCTCAAAATTAAGAAAAACAGAGTCACTGTTTTGATCGGAAAAGAAGTAAAAAAAAAACGTACCGCTAAAGGCGATGCCGGAGGAAGCAACGACGCAAGTCTGAATAACGGTGTTCTCTTGCCTCGTAAACGGCTGTTTAAGAAACCCAGCTTTGTTGAGAATCTTCGTCCACGTCTTGACGAAGAAGAAACCGAGCAAACCGGCGGAGATGTTGAGCGACGGGATGATTCCGGTGGTGAGATTCAGCTTCATCACCACGAACGTGAAGAGAATCGAGAGGATGAAACTCACTACCATCGCTCTAATCGTGAGCTGTTTCTGCCACGGCGGTGGAGCCTCCGCGTTCGATTCGAAGATTTTCTCGACGGAGACTTCTTCCGCGGCTCCTCCATCTGCTGCCGTCGCGGCGGCGTTGAGATCGTCGTCTTTCTTTGCTCGTTCCACCTCCATAACTCGGATCTGAGGTAAAGCGAGAGAGAGAGAGAGAGGAGGGTTTTAATTAAGGGAGAGAATCTGAGCAGAGAAAAGCGGCGATTAAAGAGGGAATCAGAAAACTGATTCTATTGTGTGAGTGAGAGAGAGCGAATCAGTTTCACATACTATATTTATAGTCAATATTCTCTAACAGAAGATTACTTAATATTTTCTTTTTTCATTTAGTACTCATATGGTTAAGATAAGATGAGTTATTAAAATGCTTATCAGTGTAACAGTGTTTATCTTTACTTTTTTTTTTTATATATGAATTAAAAATTTTAAAAATGTGACAAGTATCACAAAAGACCTATCAAATTTAGGATTTTCGACTAGTCTTTAAACGATGAAACCATAAATCTATACTAGGATTTTCGACTAGTCTTTTAAACGATGAGTTATTAAAATGCATGCTTATCAGTGTTTATCTTCCTTTTGTTTTTGCATTACGTTTTGATAAAGAAAATGAAGTGGTTGATTAGATTCGGTGAAGAAAGAGACGGTGAACTGTGAATTGAATTTTCAGGTTTTGAGGTACAATCTTATACTGTTTTTAATTTTTCTTGAAATAGTCCTTTGCATCTGCGTAAAAAATAATGTGAATTTCCATTGCTGGTTTATTTCCGGAGAACAGAAGAGATGCTTTCTAGAATAAAAGGGATGCTTTAATGTGAGATTTGGTCTAATCTTTGCTTTTAACCGTCATGTCACTAGTGTGAAGCATTTTCTTTCGAAGAGATATTCAGATTCTCAAAATGCTTACGGGATTGAAGAATAGCAGAAATCTAACTTTCTCGATGCAGCTATTGAATTCTGTAAAATGTAAAAATGATTTAAAAACTGGATGGGTTTAACCGGGAACATGTGTTTATCCCGGCCTGGTTTTAATGGAAAATCGGAAATGTAATTGACCCAAAAAAACTGGTAAAAAAATCGGCAAAAACCCGAAAACCGGCTGGTTCGATTAATCTATTAAACCCGATTTCAATATGATATTAGGAAGAAAACCAGAAAATTGTAGATCTAAGAACAAAATAAAATGGAAAAAAAAAACTATTTTACAGAAATTTAGCAAAGAGGAATGAGAAAACCAGAAAATTGTAAATCTAAGAAAAAAAATTAAGGTTGAAAGAACCATTTTACAGAAACTTAGCAAAGAGAAAGGAGCAAGGAAAGAGAAGAAAGAGGGAGGAGAGTAACATGAGATCGGCGGCATAAGAAGAAGAAATAGGGTAATTCTTTAGGTGATTCATTTTTAGGGATGGAAAGTATTTATTATTATTTTTTTGTCACCAATAATCATTTATAAATCAAGTTTAACCAGTTAGTTATATATAAATTCATAGCTTCACTTTTCTCTCTCTAAAAACTTTTTCTCTCCCTTCTTTCTTCTTCCTCTTCGTGCAGATCACTTCTTGGCCGGCGCCGGTGGGCTTCCACAGCCACGGTGTCTTGGCTCCCCTGTTTTATATCTTAGTTCTAGAATTTAGTCGGTTTAGATCTTATTTTCTCAGCTTTTCTCTTTTACGGCGACAGATTAGATTCTAGATCTAGATCTAGAATTTGTTTTGTTCCGGATTTGAAAGGTTTTTGAAGATCTCTCTTGCTTTTGGGTTCAATCTTCTGGGCTTTGTTCTTTTGCTGCAAATCTTCTTCCTCCTTGCTGGATCTTTCCTTGGCCACATTCCGAATCGACCATCCTCTCCGCTTACCTGCTCTTTGGGGTTTGGCAGAGGCGGTTCTGGGGGCGTCTTATCGTCTCCTCCACTAGATTATACCTACAAATATGGTCGTCATCTGTTTGGGTTCCGTTTGCTCCAAACCTGTCATGTTCCGGCTCCGGCTTCTCTTAGGCTGCTCAACAAATCGATGGTTGCGCCTTGTATGCTCTCGGTATTTTCATATCTGAAGTCTACTCCTTCCAAGAGGACAAAGGATTAGATTCGGTGTTATAGGAATTGAGGATTTTAGCAATTTTCTTTGCTCTAGTTTGTTTTATGTTGTCTTCTCGTCTGTGGGCTTTGGTTCCGGAGGTTTTTAAAAGAGTTTGATGGGATTTAAAGAGATTTAAGAAAATATTTTGAGGGGATTTTGGATGATTCTTATCGGATTTTAAATGACTTTTTAAATGATTTTTATCATTTTGGGTGATTTCTTGTGAGATTCCATCCTAATCGATCATATACGCTTATAAGTTGGAATGATGTTTTCATACATCTAACGCACAAAAAACAAAGAAAGAACCAAACTTTGACTACTCACTTCGATGGCTTTATGGCTTCATAAAATGCAGCAGCATCAAACCTCGACTGTTTACTAGAGTCTAAAGTATCATCTCCCATCACCATCGATCCCTCAGTCTCCTTCCCGAATGATTCTGTCTCATACTTTGCCTCTGATGTCATTACACAGGCCAGTGACCAAGCTTACTCTGTTTTATCATCATCATCAGGCATCTTCGAGAGATCATAACACATGGCATAACCACAATCAACCAAATAAAACTTCCCTGCAATTTCAGCAAGAAAGCAAATACGAGTGAAGAAATGGATTAAGATAGCACTAATTTATAATCATGGTGATACAGAAGTGCGAGAATGGAGAAGAAGAACCACTTGCTCTTCCGCATTCTTCACCTGAGAAGAAGACGAAGATGGAGAAGAAGAACTACTTGCTTCATGACTCTCATCTTCAAGCTGCTTCCATAAGCTCAACGTTGAATCGTCTCTCTAACCAGCTTCACCTTATCAAATATTCTGCTCTTCAATGAGAAACTCCGATACGTTTGGTAAAAGCCAATCTAGCACCGATTTCTCGCTGTTTCTGCCGTTAACGGCGCCGATTACGCTTCCTATGGCTCCGAGAAGTTCCGGTTTCACCTTGAAACCTTCCGATTTGAGTAATTTCCCGATCATCGGAAGCGATTTCTGCAATTGATCGGCGTCTGGATCCTCCTTCGTCGACTGAGTCTCCAATTGTTTAATTGAGCTTCCGATTATTCTGGGCCAAATCTACAGTAGTGTCTTCACGGTCTTTTGAGATGATCCTTATGCTCGATGTCCGCTTCGAAAGGATGATGACTGCTTCCATGTCTGTTTTTCCTTTTATAAATTATTTTTAAGAAAACGTTATTCAAATCACACCTTAGAGGTGTTATTTTTGTTAGCCAGTAATGTGACCTATTTGGGGGTCAAATCTCCTAAAAAGCTTTTGACAATTATTTCTCTAATTAGTTGTTTAGTTTGGAATAATAGTGGATTTGATTTGAGATTTACAAATGACTAATTGAACAACAGGGTTATATAAATGATTTTAAATGACTTAAAGTGAAATTCCATTTTCAATAACACTGAATTTGAAATGTGTTTGAATAACAGAAATTTTTAAAAAAACCTCAAAATCACCTAAAATTTTTAAAATCACTTTTCCAATACACCCCACTTAAAATATTTAAAATCACCTAAAATATAAAATCATTCAAAAATATCTAAAATCTTCAAATCCCCTTTCCAATATACCCCCTAAAATAATTTATTCTATCCTTGCTCGTAGATCTCTCTCCTTTTCTCCATCGGTGTGGGTGGTCTTGCGAATCTATGAGCAAAGGTGGTCCCTTCTTATGGCATTCTTCCTCTAATCCTTGCCGTGAGCTTTGGGCCTTTAGTGCGTTGAGATCTGCTATCAATCTCGTCCCAAACCATCCTTGGAGTGGTTTCCTTCACACCAAAAACGACCAAAGCATTGTTGTGCTTAGACAAGAAAGTAAATATAGAAACATCAAAAAGAAAAGTGAAGAAAATATAAGTTTACAGGAAAGTTCTTATTTAATTGGAAGAAAAATTTAAAATATTATTAATATTGAGTTTTCATTTTCTGAAAAATATCTTTTAATCAAAATCTATATATTAATAACTCTAAAAATTTATAAAATATCAAAGTTCTGATATTATTAATTTATAGATTTTCTGTTGTATCACCAAAATCCTCTAAATTACAGTAAAACCTCTATAAAACAATAATGTTGGGACTTTGAAAATTTATTATCTTATCGAGTTATTGTTTTATCGATAAAATAATAATTTTATTTTATAAAAATATTCTATAAAAAACAAGAAACTTTATAGAAATATATGTAAGTAGGTACACGTAAGGAATCAATTGTGGCTTCGAAAACTCTTCACAACTTTTGGCCCCATAAATTGTTGATGCAATAAGAAAAATTCGAGATGAGCTCCAACGAGAATCCAACTTTCATAAAAGACAAACTACATTGGAGTCATATTTTACTAAATTGCCTTAGATATATATGCCTTAGTTTTATAATTATTATCTTAGCCTATTGTTGGGACTATATTTTTACATAGGAGTTTCAAAAATATTATTGTCTTATCATCTTATCGCATTATGCTATTTTTTACATTGGCCCGAGTTGGGACCGGAGAAATTTATTATCTTATAGTGTTTATTGTTTTATCGAGTATTGTTTTATAGAGGTGAGTTGGGACCGCAGAAATTTATTATCTTATAATGTTTATTGTTTTATCGAGTATTGTTTTATAGAGGTTCTACTGTAGTAGTATGCCTGCACAATAGTAGCACGGGATTATGTCCTTTTTTTATCTTATAAGTTTAGTTTTGTTTTGGCACCCAACCGGAGCAATTAATAGATTGAGTATTGTAGATTATTTTTGATATAATAGATATAGTAGTTTTAGGATTTTTGGATTTGTTCAGGCTTTCAGATATACTAGTAGAGGACCCGCGCGAACACGCGTGTGACGTTGTGGTTTTGTGAAGAAAATCTAAATCCTAAACCGAGCCCGACCCAAAAACCCCTAATAAAAAATTTTAAAAACCCAAACCTTTTTAATATATCTAAACCCGAGAATCTGAAATCCAAAAAATCCCGAAAACCCTGAACCGAATAAAAAAACTCGAAACTTTTTCACCCGAAACCCGAGCCTGACCTAAAAACCCTAATAAATTTTTTAAAATACCCAAACTTCTTTTACTATGTCTAAAATTTTCAAAAAAAAAAAAAAAAACTCGAACCGAACAAATTTTTTCAAAAAAACCGGAACAGAAATCCACAATTTGATTTAAATTTGTATTTCTATTTCACTATTGGAAATTTTGCAAATATCATTCGATCATATTCTATTGATTTAATACTATCGATAGATTATGTTAATTTTTCTTTTTTGCAAATTTTTTAAGAGCTGGAAAACGGAAGTTTTCTAAACCATCGGTTTGTTTTAAGTTATTATTCTTGTATCCAAACAATTTTTTCCATTTATTCTTTTATCCAAATAGATTTTTCTCTTATTCTTATATCCAAACAATTTTTGTTTCCATTTATTCTTCTATCCAAATAGATGTTTCTTTTATTCTTGTATCCAAACATTAGAATGTACTTCTCAATTAATAATATAAAGATTTCCAGTTTTTTTTTTTTTTAAACGAATGGATATATATCAGGTTTTTGAGAATTTTTTTTCAGGTTTTTGAGTACATTTTTGGGTTTTTTGTTGATGAATAACCAAATATAGCATTCAGTTTTCGGTTTGGACCCGAAACTGCATAGACCCAACCCGATATCGAACCAAAATTAATTTGTTACTATATGGGTACAAAGACTATTTGTCTGATAGACTCGGATGGTATCTATCCAAACCCGCTTGATCACTCGCAAGTCTATGAGGGAACATGTGAACCGATTAATTAATATATTCGATTTTTGGTTTGATTGAAAGATCCTCTGTTTTTTTTTTTTTTTTTTTTTTTTTTTTTTTTTTTTTAAATTATCGTAGAGGACCTGTATCCATTATCCAAACAATTCATATATTGTTTTCTGTTCTTTAAACCATTGGTTTGTTTTAAGTTATTATTTTGTATCCAAACTATTTTTCTCTTTTATACTTGTACTAGATTAAGACCCGCGTATACGCGGGTTTATTTTAAGATTTTGTAATAAAATCATGGAAAAGTAATTAAACCAAATTTGATCATTTTAAAGTAAACAGAATAATATTAAAAACCCGATAAAAATATTTAAATAAAATAAGATCGGTAACCTTTTTACGTTTTTATTGTAATTGATATTTTTTTGAATTCATGATATAAAAAATGAATTAATTTGTTTTATTTTTATTTTTATCCAATATAGAAAGACTTATATATGTCTAAATATGATCAACTGATTAATTAATTCAACAAAACTTTATTATTCCATTCAAGAGATTTCAATTGATGAAATCTTTATTTAATAATTTTTTACCTAACAATATTGAAAATATATTAAACTATTTAAAATTAGAATATCGGTTCATTATATTTTCTTAATATTAGTTAGTTGCTTGATAATTAATTTGTTAGTTTTCTATTTATATTGTTTCTTTCTCAATTTTGTTTTTGACTCAGACCATTATAAATTTTCATTTTCATTATTAGTTAGTTTTTTTATTATCATTATTTTATTACACATATCGCAATTTTGTGAGTTATAAAAATCATACGTATTGCTATCATGTTGTTTGCTTTGATGAGTTTGTGAATGAGAAAAAAAAGACTACTTTAACTCTCTTTTTATAGGGGTTCATGTAACTTATTCCATGCAGTTATAGGAAATTTAGTTTACCTAACCTATTTCATGTACTAATAGGATTTTATTTATTTCATTAATTTGAATCTTATATGTGTTTGGATAATATAAATTTGATGAATGAGAAACCTTTTTCTATTAGGATATGACAAATATAATTTTTTTTTCTTTTAACTATAAAAGATTAACTAAACCTAACCTATTTATTCTAATCTAATTTTATTTTTTCTTATTTTTGAATCTTATTGTTTTGGATAATTGATTTGATGAAAACCATTTCTATTTAATAAAAATATATTTTTTCTTTTAACTATAAAAGATTTAAAATTTTCCTTTATCTAATTTTTTTAATTATTATTTTCTTTTTTTCTAAGACACATGTCACGATCTTAACGGACATAACATTAAAAGTGACACATGTCGCAATCCTAAATTTTATAAAAATCCTACGTGTCGCAACCACGTCGCGCGCATCCAGCTTTATATAATAAGATATCCAAACAATTTTCCCCGTTATTCTTGTATCCAAACATTACGGTATACATCTAGATTAATAATATAAACATTTTTCCCCATTTGCCAGTGCCACAATACCTTTTCATAAAACAAATATATGGTTTAGGGGTATCATTATCTTGATCTACCATCTTAGATATTGTTATCAGTCCAAAATATGTCAATCAGTGATCAACCAAGCGAGAGAATTGACCCAATTTAATTTTAACGGCGTGTATTTTTGATCGCTATATATCGATCTTCGTAAACCATTAGCAAATTGACGGAAATGTGTGTAATGTTAAAGGATCTATATGATTTAAAAAGTTGTAATGGGGCCTTTTCGTAATACAAAAAAAGTACAAAAAATCTTCATATTCTTGTTCACCGAATCTTCTCCTAGATTGTCCTTCGTTTCATAAGCAGGAAGAAGAAGAAGTCAAAGACGATACAGCAACAACAATGGCGTCGTCGTCATCAACCTCTAACCTCCTCTTCCTCGTCGTGATCATCGTCTCTTTCCTTTCAATCTCCGGAATCGCCGCTCGTCCCTGCAAAACTTTCCTCATCTCGTCGTATTCCCTCTCAATAACCCCAGAAAACCCTAACCTCGACTCCGATCTCACCTCCTCCCGATTCGTCACCGTCTTCACGATCCGTCGCATCACCCCTCACCGTATGATTCCTTTCTTCGTCAATCGCCGCCACGGATTCCTCCCCTCCACCGTCGAGAACGAGAAGCCTCAGATCCGAGAGGATCGTCCTCAGTTATCTCTCCCTTTCGTCTCCGAGAACATCAATTCGTTCAGGGATCGCACCCGAGACATACTCAGCGTCGTCGTTGCTCTCTTGTTCGGCGTCGGATGTGGCGCTTTAACCGCCGCGACTATGTACCTCGTTTGGGCTCTGGTCGTGAATCGCCATAGCTACGATGATTTCGAGGAAGATGATTACGAGAATGATGAATCTGATGCTGCTAGTTTGAAGAAATTGGGTTACGTCAAGATCCCAGCTCCAGCTCCAGCTCCTTTGAAGGAAGCTGCTTAATTCGAGTTTGTTCTTATCCTATTACCCATATAGTAACGAAAAAGCTTTATTTCCTTTTGTGAATTCATAGTTTCTGCAAATTATCTCATGAGTGTCTCGCTTTTACGCTATTGTTCTCTATGTATGATGCTGCTTACCAGTAAATTCGTGTCTTTCATGGATTTATCTAAACCTAATTATGTTTTATTATCCAAGTGTGATTATGTAGATAACTATATATATGCAGAGGAGAGCTCTTACAGATTTATACACTATCTTTACACTAATGTGGCTAGTTTATGAGCTGATAATACTTGTTTGTTTGATAATGTAGACTTTGTCAAGATAGTTTCTATAGATTTGATTCACTATCTTGAGCTATTACTTAATGGTTTGATCATGTAGACTTTGTTTTGGTTTCTGTTTGAGTCAGAGAACTCCATTTCTTGTTCTTGTTGTCTTTCTAAGTCGCTATACATTTAGATTGCAGGAAATTCGTAGTGGATATCTATCAAGTGTGATTATGTTACTTAGTGGCTTGATAACGTAGACTGTGTTTTCATCAAAGGTATTAAGGTCTTTTCGGGTTTCTATTGCTTATGGCAGTGTCCAGTTTCTATTGCTTATGGTCATCTTTCCGTATGTCTAGAGCTTAAAGCTTGACGTTTTCTTGATGAAGAGAAACAATTAGGTTATAGCTTTAGTTCCTTCTGTTATTTCTTTGATCTATTCTTGGGTTCTTGGTTTTACTGTAGTCTCTGATTTGCCAAGTAACAACTTGTTTTGTTCTGTTCCATCGGTTTCTTCTAGTTCTTCTCTATATATCATATTGAGTGTAGCTTGATCTAATCCTGAACATGTCAATTCGATACTCACTGTCTTGGTATAAGATGCCTCTCAGCCTCATTTTCTTTTGCCTATTTGACTTTGCTTTCAACCTCAATAATAATAATAATGCAAACAATATTGAATTCATGTCTTTTTTTCTCCGAATGTGACATATTACCATTCTTAACAAACTAGTAGTAACAAAATAGCATTATCACACAACAAAAAGAAGAGTATAGTAATGATACAACAAGAGTTAACATAAGCTAAACAGGGGTCTTATGTTTAATGACACTGCGTATGAAATGATACAAACATAGAAATGAGAGAAACATGCGTCTGAGGATGAGAACTACACGGAAGAAGATGGATTCAACTGTCTAGAAATGGGTGAGGTTCTGTGAGAAGGAACCGTTGCTGCCTTCGCCCATTTTCTGCACATCATCCGGCGATAGTATCTTTATATACCAAACGCTATTCACAAACGACCTGCAAAAGAAGCATCACCATTTTCAATTCAGGAAGAGGAAGAAGAAGAAGAAGAAGAAGAAGAAGAGAGAAAAGAGAAAGGTTACTTACTCCCAAGGATCATCGCCGAGAAGAAGTATATCATCCTCCTTGTCCACGAATACAAGCTGCCAGCCTGATCTAAAGGCGTCTTCCAACAACCCTTTGATATCAAACATTTTGCCCAACTCTTCTCTCAGCTCATGATAGCTACTGAACCGAGAGATGTCGAGCGAACGCCCCACCGAACCTGACTTATAAACCTGCCACCACCACAATCAAGAAACCATTCACTGTTTTGAAAACACTTATCCACAATAAAAAAACCATTTATCCCCAACCAAGAAACCATCCATCCACAATCAAGAAACCATTCACTATCAAGAAATCATCCATCCACATTCAAGAAACCATCCATAATCAAGAAACCATCCACTCATATGTTAGTGTACCTTCACAAAGTTCTTTGTCTGTCCAGCTCCATGCAATAACTCGGGAGTGTCTTGCACGGAACCGTATAAAGTGTTCTGAAATCCGGAATCCGGTAGTGGCATTGAGGAGGTGTCAGCATCAGCAGCACCTGATAGAGCACTAAAACGAGGAACCGTGGTAGGGAGGAAAAGCCCGGAGTCCGAATCAACGCCGAAAAGAGAGAGGTTTTGGGAGCTTGGAGGTTCCAGAGAAGGACTTGTTCCTCCACCGTAGGCTTGTCGAAGAGACAACGGCTCGGAGAACTCGTTGGATTCGGGATGAGAGTGCTTAAGAGACCAAACCTGTGTTGGTGGTAATGTCTCAGCCTGTACGGACTGACCAGTTATAGCGAAGTTCAAGAGATTGCTACCATCTCCAGAGCCTTGGAGTGTTGAGTTTTGCTGCTGTGCTGGATTAGCTGTTGATGTGAACTTGTTGTTTAAGTCTGTGAAATCTGATTTCATGAAGGAAGGAGAGAGCAAATCGGAATGCTGCCACACGCGGTCTGGTTGCTGTGGCTGTCCAGATACTGCTTGGTTACTAACTTCTTGGCGCATGTTCTGCTGAGGGAGATTCTCAGTCAGAATCTGAGTCTGAGCTTGCATAAGATGATGACGTGGGAGTTGTTGTTGTTGTTGTTGTTGTTGTTGTTGTTGCTGTTGCTGTGATGATCCTTGGTGATGTTGCTGAAGGAGCAGATCAGAAGATGATTGTTGAAGATACTGGTGGTGGTTTGGATCTTGGAGCTGCACAAACTGCTGTCTTAGAGGATCTCCACCACCTCCGTAACCGGCTGCTAACATTGCTTGGTACTGCTGGTTCTGATCAGTTCCTAGTAGACTATGATCCAGCCTCGGTTGCATCCATGGGAATAAACTAGCAGACGGATAGTTTAATGGAAGCAAACCATTCTCTCCAGCTCCACCTCTAAGCCATGTTAGGCCACTTGCTATCTCAACTCTGCTATCTGTAACATTACATATAATTATGTAAGTAATATAAATTTTTGAACCTGCATCACTATGTGCATGCAAATACTTCCATTTGGAGAAAGATATGTCAGTTTAAGCATGTAAGTCTTTAGTAGAAACAAAGAGGAGGGCAATAGTGGATACCGTTGAATGACGACGCGCCTGGATGCCAAGGACGCTTTAGCCTGAGAGGAAACAGTGAAGGATACATAGGAAAAGTGGTAAGAGGCTCAATCTCCCATAGAGAAGCCCTTGCTTGTCTCTCTCCAGCGGTCGATTCATCCCAACCAACCTACATCAAGAATGTGAAATGGAGTTCTTAGAAAATGTTATAGGCTTAAAGCAAGGTACTTTCACATTTTTATAAGATTTACAAGCATTCTCTGAACACAATATCAAAACTAAGATGGCTAAAGCCCTCAGCATAACAATAATACCAAAAGATATAGTCAAATGTTGAAACAAGGTGGAGGAATAAATCATCAGCTTCTTGCATGTTATGTCAAATAAAATTACCTTCACAGACCGCCAATGAGAGTTTGGCCAACGAACAGAATCCAGATCACCAATGCCAGTAATAGTACCCATGTACCTTTGAAAATACCAATGTCATTGTCAGAATGTGAGATGTTGGTGTGAATGTTGCAAAAAATTGCACTTTACAAGTTGGATTTTACCTTCGAACGCTAGACTCTTCAGTCTCAAAGAGCATACGAAAGCGCATCCCAACAGATATACGAGTGTGGAAAACAGCTTTAATGTACTTGGGAAGTGGTAGCACAAACTCAGATGAGCTAGACCTGAACATAAAGAGAATGTTGTCAGCAGAAGCTTTTTCAGAGACTGAGAAGAGGAAGAATCAGGAGAGAGAGCCTATTCAACCTTGGATGATAAAAAACTGTAAAACAGCTATTAGTAGCAGAAGCATGTGCAGCGGCAGCGAGAAGTCCAATATGCATGCTATCACTAGACAACATAGACGATGGTACAATAGTCTGTGGTCTATTTGCATGACGAATTCCCAGAAGGAGTTGGTTCCTTTCATTCCTGGAAAACAGTGAATAAAGGTTTAATATTGGTAACCAAGTAATCAGGTAAAAGAGAGTAGAAAATAAAGAGTAACAAACACCTGATGAAAATGACAGAATCTCCAGTTACAAGTCGCTTGGCACTGACAAAGACACTCCATCCAGTTGTAAGCAGATGCCGTTTGGGCTGTCCTGCAATAATACACCATAGACAATGTAAGAAATTGGTAAAAGCAAGCACTACAAAAGGGACTTTCAAAGTCTTTAACAGTCATTATCCTATATATCCAACATAACCAACCAAGGGCAGTGAGAAAAGAAGACCATTGTGACTGAATTTATGCACTTAATAGCTTGTAAAGCTCCAAACAACCGCCTATCATGATTGGTAATTACTAGATGATCCATGACTCTTTTTGGTCTATGATTGGCTTATTTTAACTACACTTCAAAGCATCCCCTAGAACTAGCTAAAATAGGATATTAACACCTGGAACATGCATATAGGCATATTCCATTTCCAGAACAGAATACATAACCCTGTTCTTGCATCAAACCAATATGGCAATATGCAGAAAACTTCTTCTAAGAACTTATTCAACAGCCAAATAAAATTATCAAGACACATCAACAGGAGGGATTCAAAATCAACCAGACAAGACAACTATACGTAGCTAAAAAGGATCGAATCAAAGCCTACCCCTAAAGATATGCCTAAACTTCCATTCATTATCATGGAGATCCCTTGCAATCAACTCTTGAGCTGGTGGCTGCTGTGTGTAATCCTACAGAATGGAAACATCTCAAGGGAGTAAACATCAGCATCTCACAGTATCACTGTTCGCAACTCTACTAAACCAAAAAGCACATACCAATGGAGGAAAAACTTTCTCAGCAGCACGTCTAGGAACAGAGAACCCTCCATGTGTACTAGTATCACTAGCTGTCAAAGTCTTGCAGAAGTAATTGCTCGGTTGCTTACTCGGGATTCCCAACTCTATTGGTACAAATGTATCCTTCTGCTCCTCCTATAACAGCAAAACCAGTAACTAAACAAATCAGTAACAACTCAAAAACAAAAATCACTGCAATAGCACAATTCTATTCTAAGTAAGTTCACCTGCGTCAATGGTTGAAGTACCATTTGAGCATACACCTCATCTGTCTCCACATCTGCCTGAAAAATGGTACAAAAACAAAACCCATACTTACACAAACACAAGATCCCAAAAAAACCCACTTGAGTTATTGAGAAAGAAAAGGACATGGAGCTAACTAAAGCAACGCACATGCATTGTAACATTATGGAGCTGACATATTAGTTGTGGTGGTAGACTTGGATAATTTGGTATGTGACCTTCAACTTCCTTATTAGTAGTAGCAGCAACCTATAAATACCAAAAAGGGTCTTTACTCTTTAGCTTTGAGACTTCTTTTGCAAAATTCCATCATAAATGCAGATGAAGAAAAATTAAAAAAGCACAAAACTGTCATGATTAAAAACAGAACCTGTTCACTGTGACCTTGTGGGAAATAGACAACACGACTTCCAGATGATGGAAGAGAGACTAATGGTCCAGCACAAGCATGCCATAGCTCGGAATTTAAACACTTCTTTTCTCCTAATTCAACAAGAAATAAACAAGAAATCAAGAAAATGAATCTTGAAGATTGCAATTACGGAAGCATAGACGAATTTCAGAGTTACCTTCATGGCTCTGATGACCAAAACCAGATGTTGAAAGATTCATGTCCGGAAATTTTGATTTCTTGAAACACTAAAAGCTGAAATTAGAAAGAAGAAGAAAAAAAAAACCCTAATTTCCGTACAAATTTCTTCACTTCCAGCTACTACACCAGCTATAAATCTTGAGCTTCAGCAAGAGAAACTTGTCTTTCTCCATCTTCTTCTTCCTCCCCCAAGAAATTCACACTATTCTTCTCTCACCGTGAAATCAGAAGAAAACCCATTTCTTTAGAGCTCGAAAGTCAAGTCTTTTACACCATTAGAGGTACTGAAGAGACGCATTGGGGACTGAGCTGCGGAAACATTTCGGAGGAAGCAGAAGAGAAAAGAAGTTGCAGTCAAATCTTTGTGGAGAAAGAGAGAAAGAAAGAGGAAGAAGATAAGGAAAATCTGTCTCACTTCGCTTTCCGTAGCATTAAAAAAATCGACTGGAAGCAGTTTCCGTCGCTGTCTAGGCTTTTAAACAGAAGAGAGAGTGAGAGAAAGTGTGGTTTCACATTTTTATTGATGTTTTATTTCGGATATCCGAACGGAAAATAGCCCGTAAGGATCGAGAGAATATAATAAGTTTGGATTAACGAAAAATAATTTCCCAAATATTTTCACTAAAACGGGAAATTATTATATAGAACGGGAAATTTGGGACGGGATCCGTGGCGAAAAGGACAGCAATTTGCAAAGGGTTCGGGTCGATCAGAATAGACCCGACTGGACCCGGTGGAAAGCTGAGTAGAGAAGAGAGATTGAGGGACCCACTCACCACAATTATGAGCGGTGGTATGGTGTCAGTACTATACAGTGTCATCACCTCACTTTTTGATCGTTGGATTTTGCTTCTTCTTATTTATCTTCACCGTCAAATATTATTTGTTTTGTTAATATTATATTTTTTTTCGTGAAAAAAAAAACAAAAACAAAAATAGATTGCATTTATTACATACTATCGACATTCAACACTCAACCAGGTAGAGGTGAATCAATCAAAGTTAACATATGAGTGGAAGGAAAAAATGAATATATGTGACTCTGACTGAGATAAATAAATGAAACAATAAATTTGGTTATAAATTAAAAAATACTTTTTTTTTGTACACACAAAGTGATAATTTTTTTTTTTTTTTATGATTATTGGTTAATAGCAAAGTAAAATGAGAATCAAACTGATTTATTTATAAGCGATTGCTCATCTTATTATATAAAGCTTGATGCGCATAACGTGGTTGTCACTTTTAAGTTTATGTCCATTAAGATAATGACACGTGTCTTATAAGAAAAAGAGAACTTAAAAAAAAAATTCAGAAAAATGTTAATTAAAAAAACGAAATTTAATTTAATTTATTATATCAAAAAGGAAAAAATAATATTTGCCTTATCCAAACAGAAAAAGGTTTCTCATTCATCAACTTTCTTATTATATAAAGCTGGATGCGCGCTACGTGGTTGCGACACGTAAGATTTTTTTAAAATATAGGATCACGATATATGTCACTTTTAAGGTTACGTCTGTTAAGATCGTGACACGTGTCTTACGAAAAAAGGAAAAAAAAAATAAAGAGAATTTTTTTTATCTTTTATAATAAAAACAAAAATTTATATAATAAATTGGCTATAAACAATTCCTATTAATACATAGAATATGTATATAAACTAAATATCCTAAAACGGTATAGAATAGGTTACATAAATCCATGTTTAAAAAAATCCTATTAGTACATGGAATATGTATGTAAATTAAATGTCCTAAAACTGTATGGAATAGGTTACATGAACCCCTATAAAAAGAGAGCTACTGTAATCTCTTTTTCTCATTCACAAACTCATCAAAGCAAATTCAACAAATCTCTTTGATTCTCTTTCTCTAATTTTAAAATCATTTCTTTGAAAGTTCAAAAGAACAGTGGAGATTATTTGACTCTAGCTCAATTGGATCGAAATCGAAATTATCGTCGTACTATAGTACGTGTTATTCGAAAGTAGGAAGCTAGAAATCCTAAAGAAAACAATATTCTTGTAGGAGTTGAACTTCTATTACTTGATGAAAAGGTTAGTAACATCTTATATTGATATCTTATTATATAAATAGGAAAGTTCAAAATATCAATGAAGAATATTTAATTTTAGATCAATTGGATCAAAATTGAATTTATTGTCGCAACATGTGTCTAATAATTGATCAGGTGATGAGTTGTGTTAACACAAGAACATTTGAAAAATGTATTAACATAAAAAGAAAAGTAACATTGTAAAAAACCTAACTGATATTGGAAAGGGAAATTAATAATGGACAGAAGCAAAAAAAAAATTGAAAAAGAAACAATATAAATAGAAAACAGACAGAATAATTATCAAGCAATTAACTAATACTCCCTCCGTTTCATAATAAGTGTCATTTTGACAAAATGAATCTAGACTATTTATTAATGTATCTGGTTGTGTTTTGTCTTTTAATACATCCATATATATCTAGATACATTGGGTAAGTGAAGAGTCAAAACGACACTTATTACGAAACAGAGGGAGTATTAAAAAGAAAAATTTATAATAGACCCATTTAATAATTTTTAATAATTTAATTTTTAAGTTTTAAATCGAATAATCAAAATTTTACGAATTAATTAATTGATCAAATTTAGACACATGTAATTCTTTCTAATATTAGATAAAAAAAATATTTTTATATTATGAATTCAGAAACAAAATGTGAGTTATAATTAAAATGTAAAAGGATTACCAATTTTATTTAATTTAGATATTTATTATTGATTTCTAATACTATTTTATTTACAAAATAATCCGACTTTTTTGATATTTTTGTGATTAATTTTACAAATTTTAAGATAAAAACGTGTTAAAAAATAAAATAAAATAAATTTAGATAAAGGAATTTTTTTAAAAAAATAATCCATTACAGTTAAAAGAAATAAAAATATATTTGTCATATCCTAATAGAGAAAGGTTTCCCATTCATCAAATTAATATTATCCAAACAAATAATAAAATCAAAATAATGTAATAAATAAAATCCTATTTGTACATGGAATATGTTATGTAAACTAAATTTCCTATAACTGCATGTAATAGGTTACTTGAACCCTATAAAAGAGAGTCAAGATTTCTCAATCATAAATTCATCAAAACAAATTCATCAAATCCCTTTGATTCTATTTCTCCAATTTAAAAATCATGTTTTTGAAAGTTTTGCGATACATAGATTTTTATAACTGACAAAATTGCGACATGTGTTTTAGAAAAAAAAAAAATTCTGAAGTATGAAGATCGTAACATGTGTCATGGAATAAAAATAATAAAAAAATTAATATGTATAAGACTAACTAAAAATTAGAAAAACAGATAACAAATAATTAAAATGAAAAAAATAATACATCCATTAAAAGTAATAAAAAAACAGGAAACAAATAATTTAAATTCTTTTGTTACATCTATTAAGAAAAGGAAAAAAATCCATTTCGAAAAGGAAAAATACCAATATATAGTATTTATAATGGTCCGAGGCAAAAACAAAATTGAGAAAGAAAAAATATAAATAGAAAACTAACAAAATAATTATCAAGCAATTAACTAATATTAAAAAATTATAATTGATATTCTAATTTTAAATAGTTTGATTTTCAATTTTTGTTAGGTAAAAAAATTGAAATAAAGATTTCATCAATTAAAATCTCTTGAATGGAATAATAAAAGTTTGATTAATTAATCAGTTGATCAGATTTAGACATGTGTAAGTCTTTCTGTATTGGATAAAAATAATAGTAAAACAAATTAATTCATTTTGTCATATCATAAATTCAAAAGAAAAATCAATTACAATAAAAATGTAAAAGTATTACCAATCTTATTTTATTTAAATATTTTTATCGGGTTTTCAATATTATTTTGTTTACGTTTAAAAATGATCAAATTTTGTTTAATATTTTCCATGCTTTTATTATAAAATCTTAAAATATATCCCGTATACGCCTCTATTTCTAACAAGCTTTTTTTTTTTTTTTTGTGTTGTCAACAACCTCTATTTCTATACCAGTTCGGGATCCAAGCTGGTGAAACAGAGTGTATATAATACACATCAGTAGGTAGAGCTCGAGCACTCCGTGCTAACTTGTCTGCCTTCGTGTTTTTTTTGTCTTTGGTATGTGTCTGATGGAAAAAGAGATAAACCTCCTTTTGCATATGTCCACCTCGTCTAGTAGCATCCAAAACGCTGGCCATTCCTCTGGTTTAGACATTATCTTCACCACATCAGAACAATCCGTCTCGAACACCGTTATTAATTTGTTATGTCGTAGCATACATTGGATAGCCCAGATTAGAGCTTCCAACTCTGTCTGGAGAGGTGATATTCCCCGCCTCAAGTTACATGTTCTCATGAGTTTATCCGCAGAATCCGTACTAAAGTAATACCATCCTAGCCCTGCTTTAGGGTCCGTGTCCTTCCAAGCGCAGTCGAGCTGACAATATACCAGATCAACCAAGGGTACATCCCCATCCTCTCATCGGTGGGCAAATCCCAGAACAAATGTGCCATATTTGAAAAGAGTCCCTCTGTCGGGAAGTGTGCGGGAGCCGTCGGGATTGGGGATAATGCCCAGACCTGCAGTGCCAGTGGGCATTCAAATAAAGTATGGTTTACTGTCTCTGGCGCCATCCCACATCGCATGCACTGTGGGTCGACGTGCATACCCCGACTCCTTAACCGTGCTCCGACCGCTATGCATCCTGTTATCGCTTGCCAGATAAAATGTTGTAATTTTTGAGTACACCTTATCTTCCACCCCTGTGATTGAAGCTGACGTGTGTCGGGTCCAAAGAAATTGGGACTTTCATTCTCCAAAGTTTGTTGTGCCAATGCATATCCTGATTTGACCGTGTAACGACCCGTCGTCGTGTAAAACCATCCCATGGAGTATGGTCGGGGAACACGCGAAGTGGGGATCCCGAGAATCCTGGAGACATCAGTGCTGTGAAATAATTGATTTAATAGTGGAAGATTCCACGTTGCGGTGCTAGGATTAATTACTTCACTCACCCGAAGGTGTGGGTAAAAATTAATCCCATGTCCTGTAGCTGGCCTTGGGCTAGAAGCTGGAATCCATGGGTCATCCCAGACTGAGATAGATACTCCTGAACCAACTCTTTTAATAAGTCCTTTTTGTACCAGAGGTCGAGCCGATACTATACTCTGCCAGCCGTATGAAGGAGAGTATGATCTGATTAGGTCTAAAGGGGTAGCATTTCGGTAATACCTTCCTTTGAAAACCCGTGCAAACAACGATTCATGGTTGTCTATTAGCCGCCAAAGTTGTTTTGCAAGTAGAGCCGTATTAAAATCCTCAATAACCCGGAAACCCAAACCCCCATCATTTTTGTGTCGACACAACTTTTTCCATGCCATCCAATGCATTTCCCGAGATTGGCCATTACTACTCCAGCAGAAGTTAGAAACCGCACTCGACAGGTTATTTGTGACTCCTTTTGGCAGTCGGAAACATGACATTACATGTGTGGGTATTGTTGAGACCACAAATTTGATAAGAACTTATTTCCCCCCTTTCGACAACCACTTTGAATTCCAGCCATTGATCCGTTGTTGCTGTCGATCGATCAAAAAATTAAAGATCTTTGTCATTGCTCCCCCGATACTTTCCGGTATCCCCAGATAGTTCTCAAATTCCTTCAGTATTTGAAGTAACACCCGACTCTCATCAGTATTCGCTCTACAGAAAAACAGACTGCCGTCCGCAAAAAAAGATGGGACACTGTTGGGCTCGCCCGAGCCACCTTAAGCCCTGTAATATGTTTCTGTTCTTCCGCCTGTTTCAAATTCACAATTAGAACCTCCGTGCACATAATAAAAAGATACAGAGATAATGGATCTCCTTGCCGTAAGCCTCTTCGGGGAGTTATCTTTCCTTTAGGTTGTCCATTGAGTAACACCCTGTACCTCACTGATGTAATACATCGCATCATCATGGTTATCCACTGTTCCGCAAACCCCATTTTCCTCATTAAAGCCTCCAGAAATGACCATTCCACCCTATCATAGGCTTTGCTCATGTCCGTTTTAACCGCCATGAACTTCCCTTTACATGATTTATTTGTCCTGAGACCATGAAACATCTCTTGGGCGATCAATATTTTATCCGAGATTAGCCGGCCCGGCACAAAAGCAGATTGAGTCTCTGAAATTAAACTTGGTAATAGTACTTTGAGTCGCTGACAGAGAACCTTGGAAATGATTTTATAGCCCACGTTACAGAGGCTGATCGGGCGAAGCTCCGTCATCCGACTCGGTCTTCCCGTCTTGGGAATGAGACAAATATGAGTCATGTTCAACCATTCATCAAAGCTTCCCGATATTAGAAAATCATTAACCATCTTAATGATCTCCGATTTCACGATAGGCCATGAGCGTTGGAAGAAAAGCGCCGTCATACCATCCGGTCTCGGTGCTTTTTCTGTGTGCATCATGAATAGCGCGTCATGTACCTCGGCCTCGGTGGTGGGCCGAATAAGCATCTAGTTCTCATGGTCACTAATACGGTGTGGTATATTCTTGAGTACTCCCGTAAAATCCCCGAGTGAGAGTGACGTAAACAGTTTATCAAAGTAACCGATAGCTATCCGTTCCACCTCTTTATCTTCTGCTACCCATACATTGGCCTCATTATGCAGCCCGACAATCCTATTGACGGCTCTCCTCTGTTTCGTAGAAGCATGGAAAAACTTGGTATTTAAGTCCCCATCTTTTAGCCACATATTCCAGCTTTTCTGTTTCCAATATGCCTCCTCATCCCTATATGCTTCCTTCAGTTTATTTGTTATGTCTATAAGTTCCTCCTGAGTATTGTTATCGTCATTTTGTACTTCCTCCAGTGCCTGTTGTAATTCTTCAATCTGTTGTTTTCCGTGTGTTTTTTTTTCCTTTCTCCATACCGAGATCTCATGGCGGCAATTATTAATTCTGTCAACCAATCCCGGTGCCACCTCGCCCCGATTGTTATTCCATCCTTGTTTGATGGACTCCAATAGTCCTTCGAGTCCGATCCACCGTTTATCAAAACGAAACTGTTTCTGCCTCTTTGCTATCTTGGAATCCAGAGTAGGTAAGATTGGCCTATGATCGGAGCCAATCGTTGGTAGATACTCAACGTGGGAGACCGGAAATAACTCATGCCAATCCTCTGTTGCTAAAGCTCTATCTAGTCTGCATCTCACTATCCTCTGCCTTCTCCGCCCCCTCCATGACAATTTATTTCCACGACTCGGGAAGTCCACCAAGCCACAATCACTTATCATCAAGTTAAACGAAACAAAAGAGGATGCTTGGCGTAATGCTCCCCCTTGTTTCTCATGATTTCCTGTGATTTCATTAAAGTCTCCTATGAGAAACCATGGGTCCGTTCGTGTGGTTCCAATCCTTGTAATCCGTTCCCAGACAAGGTCCCTCCACTTGACCACTGGGTCCCCATAGACGAAAGACAGAAAGATCACCTTGCCCTCATATCGAGCTTCGATATCAATAATCCGCTTGTTGGAGCAAACAATATTGACGTCGTAAGAATTATTATAAAAAAGCGCCAGACCCCCACTCGCACCAGACGGTTCCACTGTGAAAACTCTGTCGTAACCAAAGTGAAACTGAAACTGTTGTACAAAACCAAACCCTGCTTTGTTTCAGAAAGAAAGAGGAACTCAGGTTTGAATTTTCCCCAGATCTCTCGAAGATGACTAATAGTAAAAGGATTCCCTAACCCTTGACAATTCCAGCTAAGAACTCTCATCTAATAATCTAGTTTGTCCCGGTGATTCTGTTCCCCTTATCTTCCCACCACACCAATTCTTATTTCCATCCAAACTCTATGCCCTCCCGCAGACTATCATTGATATCCGATTTTGAACTACAGTCACTGAAAACGTTGATAAATGGGACCTAGGATTGGCCCTAGTCGTTATGCCACATAAAGCCCACACATAAACTTGTCTATGGAGACCCTAAACCCAACTTTGTAGTGCTTTTTTTACCCTTTTAGAAAGCTACATGATGCTTTTCCACGGGACCCACTCCATCTTGGATGAACACCGACATCTGTACCCATCAAACCCCAAACGGCATACATGTTTCACCATTCTTGTGTCCCGCAAGCCTCGTGTAGGTGGTGCCGGTTTCCGACTCCCACCAAGAAGAGAGTAATGTTGCTGCAACCTCCTGCTGTAGTCACAGGCAGATGTTCTACGGATGATTCGATGAATCTCTGCAACCCCTTCTATTTATATCTCTCTGCTGAATACATCGCCAGATCGTCATCATAACTCTAAGATTTCCATATATTGCACACCCAAATCTCCCCAGAATCCCAATGCGATTTGAGACCTTGACTAACTGCGTCATTGTAGTTGACTGTGACCCTGCTCCATTTGTTTCCGCTGTATGCCTAGGAATCAATCCCATGATCGTGTGATCCGATTTCCTTTGTTGGAACCCAATCAGAGAAAACCTATTTCGAGAAAACCTCATAAACTTTACCTAATCAATCCTATTCAGATTCCCCTGCTCCAATCGCGACTCCTCCATAACTCATGATAATCCTGTATCCTGTATCACCCAAACTCTCTGTATATCTTCTTTCCTTACTCGTGTGTGACCGAATCGTGCCGATCTTGGGATGTACCGCGTCTCCATCTCTTGTCCCACTGTACCTTCCCAGAAATCATCCTAAGGATCCGGAATGAAGGTCTGTAGACTCGAATCTGAGATCCCCGGACCAAATCCCCAAATCGCCTGATATTTGAAGAACCAAACTCCACTCGGATCCAACAAATCCTCTCATTATACTTCGCATTGAGAACCCCAATAAATACCCAGATCTGAGTGGATCTCCCCTTGATCGACCAAGTAACCCATAAAACCACCGATTTTCCGACGGAGATCCGATCGAATCTCATGCCCGTAAAGCAGATCTGAAAATCGCCATTTCTATCGCCTTTTCCTTTATTTTTATTTTTAACTCTCCTTATTACAAGACACTTCTGGCCAAAGTGATTATATTTCTAACATTTTTATACTGACACTGAGACCCTAAAACCATTTAAAAAATATTTGAAGTATCGAGAGTCAAATAATTTTCTTGGAGCATAAACTAACATAATCATATGAAGAAAAATGGTCAATTAAAATTCTTCAAGTATTTGTAGATAGCTTTTTATTCTCAAATGATAGTTGAAGCCATTCTCTTCTCACGCTGCCACGTCAGCTAAGATGAGCTTTATAATTGTGACACATCAGCATACTTTATTTAATTTATTATATTTTTTCTTTTTCTATAATTATGCATTAATTTTCATTTATTAATATAATATTTTTAACAAGAATTTGAAAAGTCACTTTAAAAAAAAGCTTATGTATAAATCTTAAAAATGTAAAATTATATAATTTACCTTCCAATAAATATGTCAGCTAATGTCAAGAAATTATAGAAAAGAATACTAATTTTTTTTCAAATATTTTGGGATGAAATGAAATGAGACAAGACCGGATAGGACGAGACGAGAAGAAACATAACGGGACATAAGAAATTTTTTGCCTATCTCTTATTATATTAAGGGAGGAGGGGGGGGGGTTGAGAGTATAATTTGCGTTGATGGTTAAAATTTTCTAAATCCATTGTTATTGGTTAATGGATTTTGACATCTATCTATATATATAAAGTTCATGTTCCTCTCTTCTGATAGCTTCTAAATTCTCCATTTTGCCACATCAGCATTTTCTTTAATTTATTATATTTTTTTCTTTTTAATATTTTAATTTCATAATAATTAGCATTCATTACTATAATAAGTTTAACAAAGAATATGAAAAGTCACTTTTAAAAAAGGAGAAAGACTATATATAAATCTACAAAAACTATTATTTAGTAAATTTATTTTTGTTAGATTATATAATTTACATTGATGTCAAGATGTTATTGATACGCCCCTGGACTAGATCGGCTTGAAAGCTAAGTGTTTGAACGGATTGGAACACAAAGGATCCAATGATGGATGAGAGTTGAATGAGAATGATAAATGGATCGAATGACTATACTAGAGAACCCGCGGAATTGGATCTCTAACACCGCCTCCAACGTGTTGATATTACACACAACAAGTGAGAGGAAATTCTGTGGACTTAGTTGATATTACGCACAACAAGTGGACAGAGAATGATCAAACAAAAGAGAGGTTTTTGGTAATAGATTGATTGATAAACTGAAAAGGATTTCGTCCAGTACAATATAAAGGGAAAGAGAAGAAGGGAAAAGGAAGAGATGAGTCAAGGAACAAACTCCAAAGACTATCTCGGAAAAGCAAACACAATTAAAACAAAGTTTGAACACAAATATGACCCTTGATCTTCATGGCCACGTTTTTAGCCTTCTTTATTGATGGGCCTTGGTCTTGATCAGCTAAATGGGTGATTTGTATGTGACCCATTTGCCTCATTAAAAACCTTGTCAAGAAAACCCATTGGGACAAAACTTGACAAGGGAAAAAGAGTACAAATGAGACACATGCCCATTTGCTGATCTCTTGAGCTTGGATCAAAAACCAGGGAGGTTTAGGATCATGTCTTCTCCATCTTGGCTCAAGATTAACTCCAGAATGAGTAATCAGTTCCATTGGCGCAGCTACAGAATCCTTGGAAACAAGCTCCTTCTCAGCTGCAAGCTCTTTAATTCCGTCAGGTTCCAGCTCCATATGTTTAGCTCCATCAGGTTCAAGTTGCGCGGCTTCAAGTCCCTCCTCGGCTTCAAGCTGCTCCATTCCATCTTCTTCCTCGGCCAAAAGCTGCTTTTCCTGAACCTCCTCATCCATGATCGCATCAGTTATATAAAGAACACTGATTTTTTTTAACTATTTTGGGATGAAGTGAGACGAGACCGAATATGATGAGACGAACAAAACATAACAAGAGAAATGGAATAAGACTGGACGAGATGAGACAGACAAATTAGACATGATGAGATGAAAAAACAGAATGAGAAGGGATTGGATGGGACGGGATGAAAGGGACATAATGAGACGAGAAAGGACGGGACAATAATTTCACTCACCCCTAATCATATAACAGGATATGATGGGACTCGATAGGGCGGACAGGACGGGGAAAGAACAGGATAAGATGAAAAGGAATGAAATGGGACGGGATGGGACTATACGGGAATTTTGTCTATCCTTAGTTACATTTAGGGAATGTGACGAGAAGAAAAGGAAGGAACATGATGGGACATAAGAAAATGGAAAGGAACATAATAGGATAGAACAGGACGAGACGGGACACACAAGATGGATGAGATGAGAAAGAATAGACATATTTAATTTTTTATATTATTATTTTTAATATTTTAATTTTATAATAATTAGCATTCATTATTATAATATGTTTAACAAGAATATGAACATTCATTTTTAAAAAAGGAGAAAGACTATGTATAGATCTACAAAAATTATTATTTAGTAAATTTATTTTTGTTAGATTATATAATTTACATTGATGTCAAGATCTATATATATAAAACACAGTTGGGGTCTCTTCTGGCTCTCTTTTAAACAATGCTCTTCCAATTCTTTTTTAAGACTAATAATTTATTACATTTATTACTTAATCATAATAGAATTTGAAAAGTCATTTTGTATAAGAAAATAGTTTATATATTGATCTAAATAAATTCTAATTTAATAATTTTAGTTTTATCAAATAGATTTTAATAGTTTAATAATAATAATATAAAAGAAAATGAATGAGCGAGACAAGACGAGTCATAACTGAAAGAAACGGGAAGGGGAGCAGATCAAGGAGATCTTCAGGATCCTCTCTGATATCATCGCTCTCGCATCTACTTTCGATTCGATAACCTTCAGCTCTATTCCTCGTTCACAAAATTCTCAAGCTGATAATATCGCAAAAAACGCAAAGAATAGATTAGTCTCTTTTGTAACCCGTTGGGACCCACCCATTGTAGTTGTTGGCTAATTAATGAGAATGAGTAATGTGTTGTTCAAAAAAAAAAAAAAGGGACGAGACAAAACGGGATAGAAAAGAAAAGGACAGGGTGGAACAAGACAGGAAGAAACAAGATAAGGCAGAATGGAAAGAAATGAACGAGACAAGGCAAAACGGAATGTGAATGAATAGGACGGGAAGGAACGAGACGGAAAGGAAATGTACATGATGAGGAAAAAATGAGATGAGAATGAATGAGACGGTGCAAAATAGAACAAGGCGGAACGAGAAGGAAATAAACAGGACGGGACATAATGAGACCAAAATTATACCCGACAAGGCAGAACGAGACGGGAAGAATGGGATGAGAAAGAATGGGATGGGGCATACGAGACGGGAAAAAACAGAACGGGACGAGACAGAACGGTATGTGAATGAATAGGACGGGGAGGAACGAGACGGGAAATAGAACGGGATAGGGGGTAAATTTTGCCTACCTCTTATTATATTTAGAGACGGGACAAGAAGAAACAAAAAGACCAAGATGGGACAAGACAAGACAAGACAGGAAAAAACATAATGAGACAGGATGGGACTAGATGGGATGGATATGACGGAAAGGACGGGATGAAAAGAAACATAATGAAACAGAAAAAACGTGAATTTAGCATATCCCTAATTATACTTTAGGACATGACGGAAAGAAACGGAAAGAACGAGATGAAACTGGACAAAACGGGATGGAACAGTCTCAGACATGATGGGATTGCACGTGACGATACGGACATGGCGAATGAGACGGGAAAGAACGGGCATGATAAAGGAACAAAATGGGAGGAATGAAAAATGATGGTTCAAAATTTTTGTGTAAACTTAATTATATTTAATTTTCGGAAATTTTTGAGTAACCCTTTGATTAATATGTGTATGACATTTTTAAAATAATAATAAATCATATAATTAAATTAAATTTGTGAAAAATAATAAAATCAACACAACAATTTCAATTCCCGCGCGAAGCGCGGGTCACCCCTAGTATTATATAAAGAACACTGATTATTTTTTAAAGTATTTTGGGATGAAATGAGACGAGACCGGATATGATGAGACGAAAAAAACATAACGAAAGAAATGAGATAAGTCGAGACGAGACGAGACAGACAAATTAGATATGACGAGATGAAAAAAACCGGAATGAGACGGGATTGGATAGGACGGGATGAAAGGGACATAATGGGACGAGAAGGGACGGGACAGAAATTTCACTCGCCCCTAATTATATTTAGGGATCGGACAGAGACAAGACAAAACGGAAAAAAAAATATAACAGGATAAGATGGGACTCGATAGGGCGAACAGGACGGAACGAGACAGGGAAAGAACGGGACAAGATGAGAAAGAATGAAATGGAACAGGATGGGACTATACGGGAATTTGTCTATCCTTAGTTCTAGGGAACGGGACGAGAAGAAACGGAAGGAACATGATGGAACATAACAAAATGGAAAGGAACATAATGGGATAGGACGGAATGGGACGGGACATACATGACAAATGAGACGAGAAAGAACAGACATGATGAAAATGAACGAAATGGGATACAATGGGACAAGACGGTATGTTAATTTTGCCTAATCCTAATTATTTTTAATTAATATGTATAATATTTTTGAAACAATAATAAACAATAGAAATAAACTAAATTTGCGGAAAAACAATAAAATTAACACAATAATATAAATTCCCGCGCGAAGCGCGGATCACCTCCTAGTTACTAATAAAAGTTGATCCTATAGGCCTCTAAAGGTGTCCACATATGATTCTAAAACTTTATTTGATTGGTCCATGTCATTATTATTTATTTTTTCATTGAATAATTAATTTCATAATTTTTTTTTATTCTTATTAGCAAATTTCCATTTTTTTTGATATCCATATATTTTCTTTTATTCCACATCAGTACTATTACATTTATATTAGTGGAAAATTGAAAAAGAAGTCCACACTATCTATGGCCCATTCAACCATTCATTTTAATGAATGTCAGACTTAAATATCTCTATTAAGCATTTTTCATTGCAAATGCACTAAGTAATTAGACAAACAAATTTCTATTTTTTAGCAACAAGGTATTGTGGTGTAGAAAAAGAAACTAAGAAATTCAATTTGATTGGTACACATAAATACCTTAACATAATTTCATTTTATTTGTTATTATGATACATCAACATGTTATTAATTTGTTGATTTATATGCACTATATATTATAGTGGAAATAATATTTTATCTTGAAGATACATAGAAAATAAAAACTGCAACTATCCATAGGGTCTAACTGGATTTGAATTTTATGAATACTCTGAATAAGATGAATTAAGAAAATGGGATTCCAATGAATGGGATGATGGCAGTTATATAAATAAACGAATGGAATGAAAATTGCAGAGAAATATAAATATGACCCATGACTGGTAACAATTTAAAGGAATTGAATGGAATGAAAAATAGAGATACATTTTTTTGATCGTAAACTTTATTAAAGATAAAACCAAAGTCTGAAACAAGGAAACTAAAAACAGAGTTAATAGCAAAAAGAAAACACAGTATGAACTCTAACGAAGGCATTAAACTCACAATCCTAAGGAGAACTAGATGCTGAGTACCATAACTGCTAATTAAAATCAAATAACAATACTAAAACCAGCTCAAATAATCTAACGATGAGAACCAGATGCACAGTGTTTTGCAGTCCAAATCTCTTTCTGTACAAAGTAGTGTTATATTTGCTACAATGGGACTTCATAATTTCATCCGTCGGAACAACATTGGAGATGTTGAGTTTGAGGAAGCGGAACGAGGAAATGATGTTCTACATGGTCATCAAAATATTATTGATGATGCAAACGATAATCAAAGTGTTCGAGTTGAAGAAGACACTCAACCAGGAGCTTATATGAGGGTTGTTTTGCAGTCCAAATCTCCTTAGCTATTTGATCACGAACAACCCTCATATAAGCTCCTGGTTGAGTGTCTTCTTCAACTCGAACACTTTGATTATCGTTTGCATCATCAATAATATTTTGATGACCATGTAGAACATCATTTCCTCGTTCTGCTTCCTCAAACTCAACATCTCCAATGTTGTTCCGACGGATGAAATTATGAAGTCCCATTGTAGCAAATATAACACTACTTTGTACAGAAACATCATACCTTGGAAATTCATTTAAAACCCTCCATTTTTTTTTCCAAACTCCAAACGTGCGCTCAATTACAGAACGGAGGGATGCATGCCATCTGTTGAACATCTCTTTGCTATTGCGTGGAGCTTCACCATTCAAAAACTCTTGCAGATGATACCTTGTACCACAATTACGTTGCTTTCGGTACGGAGCTAAGTAACCTCGGCTATTGGCATATCCAGAATCTACAAGATAATATTTATCTTTTGGAGGTGTGGGAAACTTAGGATCTTCTCGTATCGCTGTTGCTAAGACTCGAGAATCATGTGCAGACCCTGCCATGCCAACATAACAATAAGTAAACAACATATCAGCGTCGCACATGGCCAAAACATTAAGGCTCGCTGTAACACCCCCGAACCGTCCTAGGCACAGACGTTCCGAGAAGCGCCACAAAATGTCGATGTTCGCCGAATAGGCCATCCCAGACTAAGAACAAATCAGAGCCCAGGTCAGCCCGTTCCACGAACTCGACCCTCTTGACCAAAGCCTAAGGCTTGCCAACCCGTACTTCGGTCAGGAGTTGTGTTAGCCCGGACCAAGCTAATATCATTGGAACATAAGGTCTTTACATAAAACTTTCCTTTATTAAAATATCAGAGTGCTTACAAAATCCGACTTAAAAACATGCGGATCGATCCTTAGTTCCAAACCAAACAACAAACCATAATTTTACAAAAACATACCACAAAACTATTCTGGCGCCTACTGCCTGCAGCGGTCCGCTCTACTTCACACCTCTACGGTCACCTGAAAACATTAAACAAAAGGAATGAGTAATCTAATATTACTCAGTGAGTCTAGGACCTCTATACAAGGGGGATTCCCTAAACTCCAAACACAAACGCCGCGGGCTTGTAACCCCGCCTCCACCTGCAATGAGGTTAGCACAACACAACATATGCAATCACATGCATTATTGATGTCATAGTCTTAAGACTAACCGTACCCCAATCAAACAAGAACAGGTACGATCAACCCAAGACTATAACAACAATCAAACAATCTATATGCAATGCCCATGCAAACCTAGACAAGTATCTAATACTTGTTTTCTATATGCAATAAGGCGCCTAGGTGCATTAGCCACATTCTCTGCCCACGCCTGTGAAGGTTCACGCTCATCCGGAATCACACAGAAACTAGATGAACGCCTTCACCCGGGCACTACAGTCCATCGCGGTACCCGGTTCATCCTTCCATCTATTGGCCTTACTGGCGCACCATGCCAATGTCTGGTTGGATCCCATATCGTCATATGGTACCATACTCGGCCAAGGCAGCTGACCAGGTTATCCTCCGAGTCTTCCTCCCTTCATGCACAGCCTCCTCGTTGCCAATCTAACCTCTATAGCGAGGTTCCACTAACCTACTCTAATCTTCCACTAACCTCACTTAATTAAGAAAACTTTCTTAATTACTCTCTAATCACTTTTCAGGTGCTCTCTAGCTTTGGGAATGGAATGGTTTGGACTTGGGGCTGGAGGAGCGTATTTATAGGAGTTCAGGAGGCTGCCTGGCTTCTTGGGACGTCTCCAGTCATGCGCAGACACATGGAGACCTAGGTCTAGCATAGCTTTGCTTGGTGGCGACCTACACTGCCTCAGAACGCGACATCCAGGCGGTCTAGGCTAGGTAGCTTTGATTGGTGGCCTCTAGGGCGTCTCAGGACATGACACACGTCATTCCTATCCCCTCTCAATGCTCATCCAATAGGCCGACTTCCCCCAAGCATGTGGTGTGATCGTCCGATTGGTTATAACTCATCTTATCCATTAAGATGCTGGGTGCTTCTGTCTGATTGGTCAGCTCTTGATCCAATCCGTTTCTGCATCTCTCCACTTGCTTCTCATCCACTCCTGAAGCTTCTCTCTCTCTCAGTGGTTGGTGTTGCATCCTGATTCGTCCAAGTCATTTCGTCTCCATTGAGCACCTCAATGTCTCCGTCTGATTGGTTTGGACGATTCTTGTCTCTCATGAGCAGCTGGGTGTCTCTCCCTGATAGCATTAGGTCTTCTTGGAGCTTATCCACGCCCTCTCTCCTCTTTAGCAGCTGGTGTCGTTGCCCAATTGGTTTAGGCTTGCTTCGTCTTCATTCGGTAGCTGGATGTTGCTACATGATTGGCTGAATGGTTTGGCTCCATCTGAGTAGCTGAGTGTCTTCTCCATATTGGTTAGATCATCCTTATCTTCTCCAAGTAGCTGGTGTCACCACTTGATTGGCTTAGAACAAGATTGCTCCAAATGTACGTTTCCTCGTCCAGAGGGTTTCGTACGTTTCCCTGTCCTGGAGGGTTTCGTCCCCGTCGTGCTTGAGAATTAAAATCTCCTATTTTAATCCTTCTCTCATTTCCATGTTTCTGAGCTTCCACATAGTTGCTTGGAAATGTGCGGAATACCTCCATCCCGAACATTTACGTTTCTTGCAGTCGTTGCGGGATAGATCTTGGGCGTCCGTCCCATCTCTCAATCTGCTCGTCCGATTTGCATTCTGCTTCGACCAAACTTCTTAGAATGGTCTCTTATGTCGTCCAAACTCTTCTCTTCTTGATTTGGAGAACTTTGATATTTCGTCGTCCTGTTGACTCTTCCCATGTTCGTACAATGATCGTCCCACCTGGACAATCTTGCTGTATCTTCACTTCTGCTCGATCGTTCTTGATCCTGTCTTGATCCAAGTCTTCGTTGTGATCTCTGGATTAGATCCCACGTCTTTGTCTTCCAATCCCAGAGTGTTGATCTTCCCATCCCGGCCTTTGGGATGTTTTAGGTCTTGATACGGGGTATCACATTCTCCCCCCCTTAATAGAATTCGTCCCCGAATTCCAGTTGTAGAGAGTAGGAACGTTCCATTGTTCCGGTGTCTCTCCCCATCTTTGAAGATGCCTTGCCTCCTCTTACTCTGTCTTCACGTTGTCCCTTGCAGACTCCTCTTACTCTGTCTTCACGTTGTCCCCTTGCAGACTCCTCTTCCACTGATCTCCTCTGATCCTCCTTGCTCAAATCTCCATTCCCATAACCATCCATCCCGGCTTTAACTATGGGTTATCTAATGTCAAAACCGTACCTTAACCAACACTTCCTTGTTGGTCTTGATCCCGGTCTGACCACTCTAGCGAGGTTCTCCTAACTTCGCTAACCACCTAACCTCTTACTCAAGGATCTTCCGTCCTAGCTTTATTTCCCTCTTGGAAACAGCATTCACGGAATTTCTCCTATTAACACATCGCTTCCCTTTAAGGGTTCCACTCGATGTGCTAATACCCAAAACTACTTTACCAGAACCAACTTGGTTCCAAGGATATCCGCTCTAGTTTCATTTCCCACTGGAAATAGAAACATCGGAATCTCCTTTCACCACATCGTTTCCCAAAACATGGGTTTCCTAAACGATGTCTCTACCAAACTCAACTTAAACCACCAAACAATCCTACTTACTATACCAAGCAAGCAAGAAAATAAACCATTCAAAGATTGAGTTAGAACCCGAAAAATACCTTTTCTCGGCATGTGGTTTAGGGTTCCTAGACTCTATCTTACATTCTACGGCTTCCACTCCCTGGTCGCCTCTCTCTCCTTGTGGTTGAGCGGGTGGGTTGACTAGTACTGGGGCAGTTCCTTGGACAGTCTGCTGAGAAATGTCCTTTCTCTCCACAAGTAAGGCAAATGTTCTGCCTTTCATTCATCCTTGATCTAGCTCGCACATTGGGACATGCTCTGCTATGATGTCCCGTCCTTCCACATTGATCGCATGGTAGCGTGACTTGAGACGGTGCTGGGACTCTCATCCTCGCAGTCTTCTGGGAGGCCTTCCCCTTTGGCTGACACCATTTGCTCTAGAACCATTACCCTCTGTTCTGAGATTCTCCAATTCTGTGGCGATTATCTCATCCCACCTTCTTGCTAGTTAAGACCTTCATCATCTTGTGGCCATTCATTCTCTCCGGTACCTTCCTCCGTGGTTTGGTTAAGATCCGGTATTTGATATTCATTGCCTGCCACCGAGTTTGGTGCATCTTGTTCTCCATACATTGTACACCATATCGCATTAGCTTCTCCTTGATCTTGAGGTATGCTTCCTTCTCCATGCTCCATTGATGATGTGTATCCAGCGATCTCGTTGAGTTTCCTTGTCCAGTACGTGGGTGATACGTTCTGGTGTCCAAGATAATCCTCCCATGTTGGTTCCGGCGTATCCGGTTCTTCAGGCTGGTTTCTGAAGACTTCATTATTGACTTGAGTTGCGATGGCTGGATCATTGCTTTCTACACCCGTGGCAATGAACGGGTATACATAATCCGTTGGGTCATTGATGTACTTGCATTTTACATAGTTTTAGTACATCTTTTATGCATCTTTTGCATAGTTTTAGCATCCATTAGCATCATATCTTGTTCCTTTTCTCTTCTTATGCATTCATAGTAGTTTTAGGTTGCATTTGCATACATATGCATGTTTGGTCCTTTGAAATAGGTCTTTTGGAGCATTCTGGAGCATATGGGACGAAGGAGCATGGAGGGACTTGGCACATGGACGCAGCTCAACTGGATACGCAAAGGAAGAAGGGAGAAGCCATCTTGAAGACCAGCTCGACCGTCTACTCGACCAACCGGTCGAGTTCCTCAACTCGACCGGCCAAGCTTCAACTCGATCGAGCTGAGAAGTCAACAGTCAAACCCGAAAAATGTTGCTTCCCCCTTGACTTTCCTTTGACCCTAAACCTAATCCTCTTGTATTTAAGGGCTCTAAAAGCCACGAAAAAACCACCAAGCTTTAGATTACTTTTGTTTTAGTTTCTTTTAATTTATTGTCTTTTACTTTTGAGAGCTCTAATCCCATCTTTGTGTTCTTGAAGCTCTTGCTTCTTGAATCCTAGATCCTGGATAATCTCTTTGTATTTGCACTTGCTTATTTCAATAAAAGTTGTTTAATTTCATCTCCTCTTTCTTATGATGTCTCTTTTATTGCATTTGCTTGTGTTTACATTCATGTGTAGTGAGTAGTTACCCATTAGGGTTTGAGATGGGATAGATTAGAGGTTTCATATGCTTAATCCTTCTAGCTTATGGTCTTAATCTAGATTCTCTCTCTTTTGGATAGATCTTAAGGCTACATGACCACTACCCCTGGCTTGTAAGTCCTTAGGCGATTCCCCACACGGAAGTGATGGCATTCGCTGGAAAAGATCCACTAAGAGCTCCAATATCTCTTGCTCTAGAAATAGAGGTCTAAGGGGTTGGATGGATTAGTTTGGGCAATGATCCTATGGCCTCCAAGGTTTGATTCTCACTGGCTAACCCCCTGTTTCTGAGATCATTCCTTGGTTGATAGCCTCACCTTGGGAAAGGGTTGGCTAGGCATTGAGAAGCCCAATATCAAGAGAAGCCTTGATACAAGGAGTTTTAAGAGCTAGATTGATTAAGTGTAGATTCCTTTGATTGCAAAACCCTGTCTTGAACCCTAATTCTCTCTTATCTTGTTAAAGTCGTCACCTTTAGCTTTTTGTCTCAACTCGACCCTAAACTCGATCGAGCTGGTACTCTGTTCCACTCGACTCGAGTCTTGGTCGAGCTGTTACTTCACTGCTTTATTTACTTTTGCATTGCATTTCTGTTTCATTTAGGTTGTTAGTGTTACTTCAAATCTATTACTGCTTGCTTGACTTTCTGTTGTTTCATATTCTCATAGAGTGACAAGTTTCCCATTTTGGATTGATAACCTCTTATACTACATGACTATGATGGTTAAGAGGAATTGATTGATTGTGATTGCACCATACCATCATCTTTATTCACCCCTGTTTGCATTCCACCTCATATCATATCACACATCCATAAAATCCTATCATCAGTCATCCTCCATTGGCATGTAAGGATTTACTCCACCTCCCGGTGCGAATACATGCGGCATTGGTATGTATGGTAGAACCCTCGGTGGACTATCTCTATCCCATGAGTTTGGTGTAGTCTCGCCTGAACTGATCTCTATGATCTGAGTAGATGGCACTACTCTCTCCTCCTCAGGGTAATGTACTGGCCAAGTCATGTGTTCGCCATACTCATTCACCGTTGTGCTGGGCTGCACGTTGTCTCTCGGCATAAGATATACGTCCTCGTCCCAATCACTGCTGCTATCATGATCTGTTAGTGTCTGCTGTTCCAAGTCCGTCACTACGATCCAGTGCTCCGAATTGCTCGACGGTTCTGAACTCGACGATCCAGACTCCACTGTCCACTCTTGCCCAGTACTAAACCACGACCCCTCATCATCCACAAACCAGTCACTCATGACTTCAAGCTATCACCACAAAGCAAACATTAGGGTTCCTATTCAACACAATCTATCCCATGGATGATCCGCATCCATCTATTCTATGGATGATCAACACCCATAGACACCTCAAACATGGCTTAAACCACATTGCACAATGTTACCATAACCTCTATACTGACCATGCAACAATCAAACAAGAACATGCATGATCAATCAGAAATTATAAGCAACATCAAGCAATGCTTAACCACAACCTAAACATTCTACCTATATGCTGCAGACAGACCAGATTACCTAAGGTAGTTTTTGTGACTCCAATTTGACTCGATAAAACGTTTTAAAATCCTTGTTCCCGAGCATGATCATGAACCATGCTCTGATACCACCATTTGTAACACCCCCGAACCGTCCTAGGCACAGACGTTCCGAGAAGCGCCACAAAATGTCGATGTTCGCCGAATAGGCCATCCCAGACTAAGAACAAATCAGAGCCCAGGTCAGCCCGTTCCACGAACTCGACCCTCTTGACCAAAGCCTAAGGCTTGCCAACCCGTACTTCGGTCAGGAGTTGTGTTAGCCCGGACCAAGCTAATATCATTGGAACATAAGGTCTTTACATAAAACTTTCCTTTATTAAAATATCAGAGTGCTTACAAAATCCGACTTAAAAACATGCGGATCGATCCTTAGTTCCAAACCAAACAACAAACCATAATTTTACAAAAACATACCACAAAACTATTCTGGCGCCTACTGCCTGCAGCGGTCCGCTCTACTTCACACCTCTACGGTCACCTGAAAACATTAAACAAAAGGAATGAGTAATCTAATATTACTCAGTGAGTCTAGGACCTCTATACAAGGGGGATTCCCTAAACTCCAAACACAAACGCCGCGGGCTTGTAACCCCGCCTCCACCTGCAATGAGGTTAGCACAACACAACATATGCAATCACATGCATTATTGATGCATAGTCTTAAGACTAACCGTACCCCAATCAAACAAGAACAGGTACGATCAACCCAAGACTATAACAACAATCAAAGCAATCTATATGCAATGCCCATGCAAACCTAGACAAGTATCTAATACTTGTTTTCTATATGCAATAAGGCGCCTAGGTGCATTAGCCACATTCTCTGCCCACGCCTGTGAAGGTTCACGCTCATCCGGAATCACACAGAAACTAGATGAACGCCTTCACCCGGGCACTACAGTCCATCGCGGTACCCGGTTCATCCTTCCATCTATTGGCCTTACTGGCGCACCATGCCAATGTCTGGTTGGATCCCATATCGTCATATGGTACCATACTCGGCCAAGGCAGCTGACCAGGTTATCCTCCGAGTCTTCCTCCCTTCATGCACAGCCTCCACGCTGCCAATCCGGTTGGGCTCTGACGTGCGAGAATGCGCTTGACTACACCTTCCTAGACAACATGTGGTTAGACACGCCACATGTTCTCAGTACTTAGCATATGGGCCTTTACGCACCACTATGCCTCATACCACCGGTTCTGCGGCAGAGCTTCCCTTGCCTCGGAAGAGTACCCACACGAACCTCGAAAGATCTGGCGGCTCAGCCGTCCGTGATCTTTCCACATCGGAGTCATACTCAACATATGGGCCTACGCACCACCATGTTAGTATGCACTCGAGGTTTAGCGGCATAGCCATGCTATAACCCCACAACCGATGCATCTATGAGATTTGGCGGCATAGCCATCCACAATCTCACATCACCTAATGTATAGATATGCATCTACACTAACAAGATCTGACGGCATAACCTTCCCCGAAGGTCACCCATCACAATCTTACACAGAAAAGAGATCTGTTGGCATATCCTTCCCCGAAGGTTACCCAACACAACCTCACACACAAAAGAGATCTGGCGGCCTAACCTTCCCCGAAGGTTACCCGACACAACCTCACAACACAAGAGATCTGATGGCATAACTTCTCTCCCTAGAAGATTACCCATCACAACCTCACAACAATGCAAACCTGCATATAAACACACAAGAGATTTGACGGCATAACTTCTCTCCTAGAAGATTACCCATCACAACCTCATAACACATTATATAAATTTCTGCAGCATAACTCTCCACAATTTTTACTAAACCTTATTGTTTAGAGAGTTATACTACAGAACCAATAACCAATATGAACAGAAAGCATCTCCCATGCTTTGGTGTTCATACAACCTGCATACACACACAAAGATCCAAAACTAAAACTATAACACCAAGACTCACCACTTTAAGAAGACTTCAAGATCCTCCTAGCTTTCCTTAAGCTTTGATCTTGACCTACTCTAATCTTCCACTAACCTCACTTAATTAAGAAAACTTTCTTAATTACTCTCTAATCACTTTTCAGGTGCTCTCTAGCTTTGGGAATGGAATGGTTTGGACTTGGGGCTGGAGGAGCGTATTTATAGGAGTTCAGGAGGCTGCCTGGCTTCTTGGGACGTCTCCAGTCATGCGCAGACACATGGAGACCTAGGTCTAGCATAGCTTTGCTTGGTGGCGACCTACACTGCCTCAGAACGCGACATCCAGGCGGTCTAGGCTAGGTAGCTTTGATTGGTGGCCTCTAGGGCGTCTCAGGACATGACACACGTCATTCCTATCCCCTCTCAATGCTCATCCAATAGGCCGACTTCCCCCAAGCATGTGGTGTGATCGTCCGATTGGTTATAACTCATCTTATCCATTAAGATGCTGGGTGCTTCTGTCTGATTGGTCAGCTCTTGATCCAATCCGTTTCTGCATCTCTCCACTTGCTTCTCATCCACTCCTGAAGCTTCTCCTCTCTCTCAGTGGTTGGTGTTGCATCCTGATTCGTCCAAGTCATTTCGTCTCCATTAGCACCTCAATGTCTCCGTCTGATTGGTTTGGACGATTCTTGTCTCTCATGAGCAGCTGGGTGTCTCTCCCTGATAGCATTAGGTCTTCTTGGAGCTTATCCACGCCCTCTCTCCTCTTTAGCAGCTGGTGTCGTTGCCCAATTGGTTTAGGCTTGCTTCGTCTTCATTCGGTAGCTGGATGTTGCTACATGATTGGCTGAATGGTTTTGGCTCCATCTGAGTAGCTGATTATTGGTCTAGCTCATCCTTATTTCCAAGTAGCTGGTGTCACCACTTGGTTGGCTTAGAACAAGATTGCTCCAAATGTACGTTTCCTCGTCCAGAGGGTTTCGTACGTTTCCCTGTCTGGAGGGTTTCGTCCCCGTCGTGCTTGAGAATTAAAATCTCCTATTTTAATCCTTCTCTCATTTCCATGTTTCT